GACCAAGTTCATCCAGACGCTAAACCCTAAACCCTAAACCCTAAACCCTAAACCCTAAACCCTAAACCCTAAACCCTAAACCCTAAACCCTAAACCCTAAACCCTAAACCCTAAACCCTAAACCCTAAACCCTAAACCCTAAACCCTAAACCCTAAACCCTAAACCCTAAACCCTAAACCCTAAACCCTAAACCCTAAACCCTAAACCCTAAACCCTAAACCCTAAACCCTAAACCCTAAACCCTAAACCCTAAACCCTAAACCTCAAACATGATATTACAAAACCCCATAAAGTCGCGTTTCCAACCCCAAACAGTCGCGTTTCCAACCCCAAACAGTCGCGTTTACAGCCGTAAACCGTAGTGTACCCGTTTTCCGGCCCTAACCGTAGCGTTTTTCACCCTAAACCGTCCGAGATGAACCGAGTTTTTGGTTGCAAAACTACATTTAAACATCTAAAGACGCATTTCGTCGTACAATTCTCCCCCGCTTCGATATCTTCGAGTACTTTTTTCGAATGGATGATTAACGCTGGACGTTTCAAAGGCTACGCAAACCTTTCTTCTAACAAGACTCTTTTTTGTTCTCTGACGTGATTCTCGTCTTCCCGCCCCCACTCGCGCAAACGTCCGAGTGGAAGTCCGTCGAGAACGTACAAGAGAGACGAACAAAACGCCCGAAAGAAATTGCAAGGCCACAAGGAACGAGCAGCTGAAGCATTCGGTAACTCGGTGTGTTTGTTCGTGAGATGCTTAAACTCGCACGTCCATTTCTTTTTCGTCCCGTTCGAGAGGAGAAAATCTTCTTCCCCGCAGGAACCGTGGGGGACTCGATGTCCGTTGGAAAAACAATCCGTCTTTTTCCGGATCGTTGGGTCATCATCGTCGTCATCAACGAACGGAAGACCCTCGAATTCTGTAGAAATCGCGCAATGCGTGAACGTCGTTCGATAATCCGCGAGAGCCTGCATGCACGGCTGCGTGGCGAGTCTTCTATTCTTCGTTTTTTTGCTAGTATTACTACCCGTATTTTCAACCACAAAAAGCAAACACGCGCACGCTGCGATGAAAGAAAACACAATGAGCACGTCATCACATCCGGCACTGAGTCCTTCCTCGTGCCCTATTTTCGGCGTCGTATTGAGCCGCGAGAATGGCGTGCAACTTAAACCTGCAGTGAATAATAAACACTGGAATCGAATCTTATAAAAATGATAACAATGCGTAAAGAGACTGTAATCCGCTCGCACAAAATTGAAAAGCGTTCGTCCAACAAACCCTTCCAACTCCTTCATTTGTCTCAATACGTTCGTTTGATGATTCATGGGTATCGACGAAACTACAATTGTATCCGTACTGCCCGAATACACGAGACGATTGGCATGTTTGAAGAGCTTTTGTCTCTTAAATGCTCTGAATTTGAACTTCTCGTCGAGTAAAACGCAACGCAGAAAACACGTCCCATTCGGTCCAAATCGTTCTGGATATCGCTCAATCAACACCTTCGCCGCGTGCACTATATCTTGACAAGACCCACTCGCGAATCCAATCAAAAACCATTCTAAGCCTTTCTTGCCGTTGCGAAAATTGTAACTCGTGCGCTCGCGCAAGCAATCTGAAACGGACGTGTGAAATCTCAGAATTTCAGTTTCTTCCAAACAAATGTGAGAGTATAACTCAGCTGTTTTCACTTTGTTTTCTGGAAGCATGCGCAAGCATTCGAGCTGAGAGAAGTCGATATCGAAGATCTGTCCATATTGCGTAATGATTCGAAAAGGATTAGCAGCGTTGCTCTGGAGAATGTCGTGAATTGCCAAAATTAAAAATCCATCTCTGCTCGACCAGTGAAAATCGAAAGCCTTTGGTTCATTTCGTCTCGCATACACGGGTTCAATAAAACGTCGTTGCGCGGAAGCAAGACGGCGTAGTTCGTGTTCAAACTCTTGAGAGCCTTCGAGGAATTGCTCCAAGTATTCTTCAATCGTAATTTTTTTGTTAAATTTTACAACGATACATTCGTATCCAGTAAAACTTTTTTTTCGTTCTCGTTTCAACAAATAACCCGTCTTTTCAACGTAACAATCAACAAAGCAACTCTCGTTGGGGACGTGTGAGTGAACATCGAGTGCTTTCGTCGCTAACGAGAATGTTTGACGGCGGGTGTACTCTGCAATGCTGGTGAAGACGCCAAGGAAATTATTTTCGCGCAACTGCGCGCGATGTTCCGTCAAATTCTTTCGCCTCTCTTTTCTTTCCTTTTTTTTCATGAGCGCCGTGAAGTTCTTTTGCTGACGTTTTTGGATAACGTTTTGACGTTTATGTTTCCCCATTTCCCCACGCCGCCGCCGGAGAAGACCCAGGGGACACGCGCGCACTAAATTTGCGCGCGTTCTAAGCGCAAAATCTGTATTTGCAATTAGTAGTGAGAGGTGTGACGATTACGATGTCCTCCTTCGTTGTGGTACTCCTAAACGTATCCGTGTGTGTTTAATACGCGCGCGTTTTGTGCGTTCTTTTTTTGTGAGTTGTGACGAGGAAACCTGTTTTGTTCCCGCGTGTCTTTTCAGAGAGACGAAAATGAGGAATTCAACAAAGGATGGCAATCTAAGCGTTCAAAAAATGTATAACAACATAACAATATTACAATCGAAAATACGAGAAAGAGAGGAAAAATGGAGCAGTGGAGACACCAGTACTTTTTTAAGCGCGCCGGATTCAAAATTCGGAGCTCATAGGTATGAAGAGCGCGTGTCTGTGCATCTTACGTCCATCAGGCGCGTCTTCCCGCGCTTTCAATCGTTTGGTGTTGCGCAACCACTCGTTTTGCACCAAAAGTATAGGGTCACAAAAATACGACTAATAATACGAAAGTAAAAGTAAGAACGCTCTAACGCTCCACAGTATTAAGAGAGTGTTTTCAAAAACAGGTGGTGATAGTATAACAATATAGTAGATGATCTGCTTGAACATGTTGTAATATTGTTATATTGTTATATTGTTATAAATTTCAACCATCTAAATTTAAACGCCAATTTTCTATTTTTTCCTTACCCGTGAAGGCTTTATCATTCGTCATTTCGTGACATACTTTGAACCATTCTTGGGGGTCTTTCTCGATTCTTCTTGTTCCTCTAGTATAAACTTTCGAATCAATATCAAAGTACTCAATTCTCATCGATTGCCGTTTCGTAATTTTGTCCAGAACAAAATCAACTAAAATCCCAGATTGACAAATGTTGAGCAAGCGCATACCCAGTTGCAACTGCGTTCGCCCAGATTGCACGCGTTGATTGATTCCAAGCAACGCGCTGCTTGTCAACTTCGACGACGTTTTGATTTCAACCACGTACAACTTTTTGTCTGTTTCGCTATAGACGACGGCATCGGGCGAATACGAAACGTTGTACTTCTGGTGCATGAATGAAAAACCGCCGTACTCGCGCACGATTTTCAAATTTTTCTCTTTGCACAGCGCCAAGAGCGCGGTTTGTTCACACGCGATACCAATCATCATCTTCGAGTTTACTTGAGGCTTATGAAACATATTACCCGAAGTTCTGTCGTGTCTAGAGCACGATGGAATATTCTCCTGCCAATTCTCCCACACATTGCTTTTGTATTCACACTTCAGAGGATAATCGCCAGCCGCCAACTCTTTAAAATTTTTCTTCATCATCGCGTCAGTTCCATCTTGTTGTTGGATTTGAGAAATTTCATACGCTGCCACAGATGCTGCTTCCGCGTTGTGTGTTTCGATCGCGTTTTTAATACTCTCGCGGGATATCTCGTTGCCAGAATCCCAATTCTTTTCAATACTATCAAGAACTCCCCACAAACTATTCTCGACGGTCTTCCCATCATTGGAATAGGGCATGATATACCCCAAACCACTGCCTTCACTGACTTCCATCTTTGGAAATCCACCACCGCGACTACCACCACCACTACCACCACCACCACCACCACCACCACCACCACGACCACCACGACCACCACCAACACAATCATCGCCGCCGCCAACGCCGCTGCGATTATTAGATTTGATTTGTATCTTCTTCTTAGCGTCACACGGCATAGGAGTTGCAGAAATCGCTTCGAGGAATTGTTCTTCGTCCATGCGAAGGATCGCCATCGTTTCGCCATTGTTTTGTTCCTCAGTCAATAATCTCGCGTGCAACTGGACGCATTTTGCGTAAAAGTTTTTCATGTATTCCAGTAGAATGTCATGAGCATCAGTGCCATTAATTTGCCGAGTCGCTTGGTTCATCAGAGTTAAATTTTTTGCATTTCTAACAATCTCCATGTACGAACTCCCGTCTCGGCGACCGGCGCCGCTAAAGTTGTTTAATCCAGCGAGTAACTCGTTGAGAAAAACACGAGTACTGCCATCAATACTCGTCACTACTATTTCATGGCAATTCTTTTCTGCGTTGTCGTCGTTGTTCGCATCATCCGGATTGGGCAAACGACTACAACGGTAGCTACTTTGCTCCTCGAGATGTGTTTTGTACCCCACGTCCAACTTAAATAGCACAGAGCATGGCGCAAAGGATACACCCGCGGACCCAATTTGAGACGCAAACAGAACGCGCGATTGCTCGTCCGTTCGAAATTGATCTATGATATCGTTGCGATCCTTTGTACGTGGCGCGTCCTCGCTCGTGAGGAACAAAATTGATTCTCCGTGCTTTTGCAACGTTTCGGATTTCTCCTTCAGATTTTGAGCAAACGCGTGAAGGAGTTCAACCGAATCGCACGTCACGACTACTTTCACCTTTTTAACGTCAACGAAGTCAAGGATTCTATTGATTACGATATTCACGCGAATCGTCGCGGATAACGAATTTTTAAGATGTATTGTCGAGCAGTTGTTCAATACACCTTGAAAAATATTCAATCGTTCCTTCGCCATTTTTCGCAATTCTTCAGACACGTCTGCCTTATCTAAAAAGTCCTCAATCGCGTGTATAAAATTCTCGACATGATGCTTCATGGCGAACGGCGCAATCGCGTGCAGACGTTTCAGAAACATCGTAAGAAAATTGGTATGAAAATAAGAATCGCTTTGGAAGATTTGTGTTAGCACTCGATCGCAGTCGTAATCGTTCGTCGGCTGTTCTCCTTCGCCTCCACCTCCTTCTCCTCCTCCTCCTCCTCCTCCTCGTTCTACTATATCGTCCGCGACATTCTCGAGATCGTCGTCACTGCCGTATTTGTTCGTTTTATCACTCGAGGCGTCATCGTGATCATCTACCGCCTCGTCGGTGATGTATTTGCGACCACCGTCGTCATCGTCGCGAGTAACATCTTCTTTTCGAAACACAAAAGTAAAGAAGCGATTCATCGGAAGAGGCGTTTGCACTCGGTTGATGCAATGAAGAAACGCCTCATAAAGCTTGAAAAATTGCTGTAATCCTTGGCGTCGGTAAAGATCGCGTTTTCCCGACTTCATCGCGTCTGTCAAAAAGAGTCGCGAAATTACGACTGAAAAATTTTCGTAAAAGATGTCGTACGCTCCGACTTCAAATCCCATAAGGCGCGCGAGCCAGTACACGTCGCAAATCCCATTCGTAATGATTGTCCCAGACATGAAAATACGCAGTAAAGAATCATTACATATCTTTTGCACGAAATCCATGATTTTCTCTCCGTTGTTTTCGCTTTGTCTTTGCTGACTCTTCGTGTAGACTTCGTGACACTCGTCGACTACGACGAGCGGGAATTTCTTCGATTTGAACTTACTCACATTTTGCAGCGTCCCGAAAATAATAGGAGTTTTCGGGACTGTCTGAACCCCATTACAAAGCTCTTTGATGACTCCGAGAGAATGAAAATATCGATTAAATGAAGTGAATGTCTCATTGAACGCGGCGGTGGCGGTTAACGGCGAAATTATTAATATCTGATCATCTTTATTCGCTCCAATAAAAATCCATTCGAGCAAACACAAAATGACAAGAACAGTGACTCTCGTTTTGCCCGATCGACACGGTTCTGGATTCACGATCGATGCAAATTTCTCTCGGGTAACTTCGTAAAACATTCGCTCGGCTACTTTAATTTGATTCTCGTTCAGTACGAATCGCTCGTCCGTTACTTTCTCCGTTTTGACCAAATTCAAATACGCTGTAAATTTCGCTGTTGCTTTTGCTATTGCCGTTGATTCTCGATTCTCGTCGATTGTTGGACGTTTTATTGTTGGACGATTTTTAATTCCGCAATCTGACAATTCAGGAGTTTCCAAGACGTCGAAGTTGGTTTTTTCGTAAACTAATTCTCCGTACGTCTGCTCCACATTTTCGTATAAGTTGGCGGCCGGATGATGAAATCCGCCAATTATATTCGCTCCAAGTGAATCATCCACCAAAGACAAGATCGCTTGCGACCGCAAATGAAACTGGAAATGTAAATCCTCTCGAACTAAAGCATTATTTAAAGCATTCATGCGTTTTTGAATCATATCCTTAAATCGCTCGTTCGTTACTTGAATGCCAAAAAACTTCCCATTTTCGTTTGCGAGCTCGCCATGCTCGATTTGTGGAAAAAGTTTTCGTTTGCCGTCAACGTTGCAACAATTGTCTTCCACCGAGTAAGAAGCGCGTAACAGACGCACTCGCGACCTTTCCGCTTCGAGGAATTGAAGGAGCGCTCCAGTTTGAAAAAAATTAACGACGAAGACCACGATCGTCGCGTATGACTGGAGCGTTTCTTTTTTTAGCAAATCTAAAATTTCTGACTTAAGCGCGCCAAGTGTTTGCGCTTCTTCTGACGAATCAAACATTTGACCAATCGATGAGCTGCACGCCGCCACCAATACCACGCTAAATTGAAGCACACCAACGAATTCCTGCGCTGTTTCGTCCATAACTTTTATGCGATCCTGAAAAGTTTGCAAATCACATACCGAATGCTCGAAAGTGTTGATCGAAATCTCAAGCACAAAACTGTCGCTTTTCTTTGCGTTTTGATCGCGCGTGGAACGGTCGTAAACGGCCTTAATCTCCCCGAGGAGTTCGTTGTTAAAGTCTTGCTGCGCATCGGTATCTATCTTCTTCAAAGTCTCTAGGAGTTGACCGACTTCTGATTTCGAGACAGAAAGTTTTTTCATTGGGCAATCCCTCACCTGTTCTTCTTCTTCATTAGAAATATCATCATCATTGTTATCATCATGATTATCATCTTCAATATCGGTAGTATCACTAATGAAGTTCGATCCCACGTTCGTTGACGCGTTCTCGCCCCCTGACTCTCGCTTTCTGCGACGGGAGGGCATGATCGTTTTTTGACTAATGACTAAATTTAGAAGCGTTTTTTTAGAAACGAGAAAAAAACTCGAGTTTGGGGCGTTTGGGATTCCGAGAAAAAAAAAAGGCGTTTTTCCCGAGGGTCGTGTCAACGAGGTTCCGAGAAAAACGCAACCACAAAAAACGCACAAAAAAAATCGCACACTTTTGTATCTTGGAAATACGAAATACTAATGTGCGGCGCTTGCAACCATGGCTGGAAACCATTTGGCACGCTGATGAAAATGATCTCGAACACTGGGGCGGTACGCGACGAAGAGCGAACGGAAGAGAAAGAAAAAGCACGAAGAGAAGAAGAAGAAGAAGAAGAGAAAGAAGAAGAGAAAAAATACGAGGAAGAGGAAGAAGAGGAGGAGGAGGAGAAGGAGAAGGACGACGACGTGGACGACGACGACGACAACGACGTGGGGGAGATACTGAAGAGGAAGCCTACGACAAAGACGACAAATGTGCGCAAACGCACGCTGCCGAAAAGGAGCGAAGAGAGACGAGAAGGGAGGAAGAAAAACGAGGAAGAAGAAGAGGAGGAAGAGAAAAATAACGAGGAGGAGGAAAAAAACGAGGAGGAGAAGGACGACGTGCTGAAGAAGAGGAAGCCTGCGACAAAGATCGCCAATCAGCGTCGAAAGATCCGGCGATCTCCGGTCAGAACGACGTGTTGCTTCGTTAACGCTGACGGGTATTCGTGTCACAAAGGAAAAGCCGATGTTCAAGCTCGCCTCCGCGTTCCGGAATCCGAGAAAAACAAATTTTCCGAGAACGCCAAGTGTTGCGACACGTGTTATAGACACTTCAATGGACGCACGTGTTGCTTCGTTAACGCTGACGGGTATTCGTGTCACAAAGGAAAAGCCGATGTTCGAGCTACGTATCGCGTTCCGGAATCCGAGAAAAACAAATTTTCCGAGAACGACAGGTGTTGCAAATCGTGTTATAGACACTTCAAATATTCGAACGTCACGTGTTGCTTCGTTAACGCTGACGGGTATTCGTGTCACAAAGGAAAAGCCGATGTTCGAGCTACGTATCGCGTTCCGGAATCCGAGAAAAACAAATTTTCCGAGAACGCCAAGTGTTGCAACACGTGTTATAGACACTTCAAATATTCGAACGTCACGTGTTGCTTCGTTAACGCTGACGGGTATTCGTGTCACAAAGGAAAAGCCGATGTTCGAGCTACGTATCGCGTTCCGGAATCCGAGAAAAACAAATTTTCCGAGAACGACAGGTGTTGCAAATCGTGTTATAACCGCCTTCAAGATGCACACTTTTTTCGCCTCAAACGCGTTTGCGTTAATTGCCGTCTGCTTGCATACGATCCTGCCAATACTCCCGGAGCGTGGAAACTCTGGCAGGTCGGAAACGATCGCTTTCTTCTTTGCTCCAAGTGCTGCGACAACAGCCGAGCCCAGCTCAAAAGGCGGCAAAATGGAGTTCCGGAACGTCGCAAAGGGAGAGAGGCGAAAGGCGATTGGTAATGTTATTTGTTATTAATCTGTTTGTTCTCTTCTTTAACTAAGCACGCGCATGTTCTCTTCGCTTCAATTAATGCCGCCAAATTCGCCTGTCGATAGACGTTATTCGGATTTTGTTACCACCGCAAGCATAATACGGATCGGCGATGACCGTCGGGTAGTGGAAGTGAACACCCGATTTTCCGGGTTCGATTTCTTTCAGCTTCGACGGAAGAGGCGTCGTTAAAGGCTAACGCGATGACGTGTTTCAAACTTTGCTTTGCTTTCGATGATGTCGACGATAATTCGCTGATGCCGCTGTTGCTGACGATTATCGTTTTGCCACTCGAAAATCCATCGATAAAAGCTTCCTTACGTTACCTGCGAGTGGGGACAAGCGCGAAGACAAGAACTCCAGAAAGATGCCAATCGCAAGGAGGAATATAAGAAACACATGGGTCTCTTGCGAAAGTACAAGTCAGATGCGAAGAAGGAGTTCGAGGCCTTGCGTCTCGCGTTGGACGGAGCCGACGCCACGGAATTTAACCAACGGTTATTGCAAAAGGTGGCTCCGGGAAAATCGTTCGATCGCATCGAAGACGCCGAAGTGAAGAAGCTCATTGCCAAAGAGTTTGCGCGCGTTGCGAGAAAATTGAAGGAGAAACGCGCAGAAATAAGCGAGACGCCGCAAGTCGACGAGGCGAAGTCGATTTTACGACGAACACTCGAAGAAGAGTGGCCGGCGTTATCCACAACGCCAGCAAGTGGCGACGCTGAGATGGATGGATGAGGAGGAGGATGAGGAGGATTAGATATACACGCATAGATTAAATAGTTGTAATAACAGCGCAGAGAGACGCACGCAAACGCACGCAATGGAGAGCAATGATCAACCTTTTTGATTATTTACGCTTAATTACGCGGTTAATTCTTCACAACACAAATCCGCGTGAATGACGCGGTTACGCTTCTTTTTTGCGACTGAGCGTCACATCTCGAGTAAACACACTCACGACGGTTCGTCTGGTACCAATATCGCGATCGCTTGCGCCGTATTCGAGATATACCGATAGAGTTTGCAGCGTTGTCGCTTACGCACACGCTCAATTTTATAGGCGGCGCCTAAAACAGTTATATCAGGTACCCCAATTGGAATTGCTCGTTGACGCTGAAACTTTCTACATTTTGCACAGCTTATGTTTTGACGAGAACGATCGCGTCAGATCGTCAAAAGCTCTCGTTCGTGTGCACGTGTGATCGTGCATGTTTCCTTCTCTTTCTCTTTTTCTCTCTCGTTCGCCAATTCGGAGTCTCTGAGTGCGGGCTAAGCCGCATATTCGCGTCCCGGCGTTCTGGTAGCCGCCGTTCAGTCCATGGCATGGCCGATATAATGGTCGGAATATATTCGAGTTTCAGCGCGAACCGTGACGGGCGCCGTCGTCCATGGTCGCGAGAGTGTCAACTTTTTTTCCGTGTATTTTTGTGATGGTCGTGTGAGAGGCGAAAGAGACGAACAAAAAAAACTAACAAAAACACGGGAGGAGAGAGGGGCCCAGAGGGAGGAGAATTTTCACGCTTTTAGGGTTTCCGTGGCACACCCCACAAGAGAAAGCGTGAAAAAAAAGTATAAAACCAAGCGTGGAAAATGTAGATAAAAGGAATTTATTTAGTTTTCGTACTCCATATCCTGCTGTAAAACTATCGGCGGCATGTTTCTAAAATCTTCAACTTGAAGTCTTGCACCATTTTTCGTCTGTAAAGTGAACTCTCTTGCTACGCCTTGTTTTGGTTTCGTCTCAGAAATGTCAGTTGGACGTCCAAAAAAAATGTCAGAAATGTCAGTTGGACGTCAGAAAAAGTCACCGACTAATGCTGTTGCTGTTGTTGTTCCCTCCGTGGCGCAGTGCACTGAAGCATAAGCTGCTTCAAGATACCAACAGCTGGTGTCGTGTTGTTAGGCGATCCAAACTTTGGATCCGATGTATTCATCGCGTTTCCATTGTCAGCGTACATGCTTATTTGCCACGTTAACTCTTTATTTCTTTGTTCAAGCGTCTCGAGTTTTTTCTTCAGCGCATTCAACTTCTCTTCAGCCTCTGTTGCTCGCTTCGCAGCGGCATTCACCGTTGCGCTCGAACGCTCCGCGTCTTGTTGTTTGAAACGAGACGATTCCAAACGAAGTTCTTCTAATTCTTTCTCGCTCTCTTTGAGTTTACGCATGGCATCAGTTGCGGCTTTTCGCGACTGCGCGTTGAGCTCGGCAGACCATGATTCGCCCTGATCATTCGCCCAGCTTTCCAAGTGAACCAATAAGTCATCCACGCTCGAGCTACCTTCGCCTTCGGGAGGCGGCGAGGTTTTCGTTTCATTTTCGTTCGTATTTGTTCCTAGCCATCCCCAGATAGATTGGTCCGCTTCTTTCACGCTCAACAAAGGCTTGCCGTTGCTATCGACTTGACCTTTCAATTTACCGAGAATTGTGAATATGCGCGCTCGAATCGCTTCAGTTTCTGCTTTTGAATCATTGTTCGCATCTACTTGTCGGTTTGTTTCTGAATTTTGCGGTTCCGTCACCGTCGTCAAATTGAGCGATGAAGAAGAAGGGGGCACACGAGCCGTCGTCGCGGCTTCAAAATTGTTCTTTCGCAAAGCCGCCATTTCCTCCAAAACACTCGCTTTCGTTCTCGCTTCGATACATTCGGCTTGCGCTTGAGCGAGCGCAGATATCAGTTCTTGTTCTCCTTTCTTCACTTTTTCGAGTTCTTTTTCAATTTCGTCCGCATGATTTTGTGCTCCTTCGGCGCGATCCTCAGCAGCACTTTTCGCCGACGCGACTTGAGAGAGCGACTGTTTCATCGCGAGTATTTCATCTTTAAAGGAGTCAATCTCTTTCGTAAGTTTTTCTTCTGTATCCTTGAACTGAACTTGTACGTGCGCAAACTTTCGTTTTCGCTCCTCACCTTCTCGGATCGCACTTTCAGCGCGTTGATTTGCTTCCTCGGCGCTTTGCTCTGCTTCAGCAGCTCTGGACTCTGCGCGTTCTTGCGCTTGACGCGCTCGGTCTCGATGCGCAATCGAAGCGGCAGCTTCTCTTCCGGTAGCATCCATGAGATTGAGTTGCGCTCGAAGCTCAGCGAGCTGGTTCTCGGCTACAACTTTCGCCTTCTCTGCAGCGGAAGCCTTCGCGTTTGACGATGCGGCAGCTGCAGCACCTCTCGCTACCGCCGCTTCCATGTCGCTCGTCATCGCTTTCGACTCTTCGCACAAATCTTTGTATTTTAAAACGCCTGCGATTCGCTCTTTATCTTCTCTTCCCGGGCAATCGTAAGCTCTTGCGTCAATCCTTCCGAATCGAGCGCAGCCACGGAGTTCTTGCTGACTAAATCTTCCAACTCTTTCGATGCGCTTTCAAATTTACGCTGCAATTCCTCTTTCTCCTTTTTCATCGTCTCCATTGCTTTTTCGGAAGAACCTTCGGTTGTTAAAGGAGGCGGGACAACACCGGCATTTCCTTTCTTTCCTTTCTTTCCTTTTGCTGTTGTTATATTTTGTTGCGTCGTTTTTGCGGTTGCTAATTCGCGAGTCAAGCGCTCGACGTCACTCTCGTAGCTTTTTCCTTTCTTGACTGCGTTCCGCAACTTTTCTTTTAAACTGGCGAGTTCTGTTTCCAACATTTCTTTCTCTTTCTTTGCTCGTAACCGTTCTTCTTCATCGTGCTTTTTATTCTCATCTTCATCGTTCGTCGCGTTTGATTTGGCATTTTTTGGCGTTTCGTACTGCTATCGAAGCGGCTCGCGCAGTGGCCGCTCTCGCATCTTCCAGCTCGTTTTCCATGGTACGCATGACATCCTCCTGTCTCGCGATTTCATTCCTCGCCACGCGCAGAGCATCTTTCAAAGACTCTACGCGTTCGTCTTTGAAGCCGCTGCCGCTTGTTTCACTTGTTTTGCTACCAGCGTTTGTATCTCTTGGTGAAATCAGATTCAGGCCAGATACGCCAAGGCGTAAAACACATGATTACGCGTCAATGAACGAGTTTTTAGTTCGTAAATTTGCGATATAAGTGGATTTCACCTGACTTGTGTTATGTGAAAAATTTAGGGGAGTTCCGGATTAGGGGATTGCAAATTGGGTTATATTTAAGAAATATATCAAACGAAAATTTAGGGGATCGGTATTAGGGTTTGAATTGGTTAGGGGAGTTCCGGGGAATAATGCGCGCATAATGGTACGAGTAAGTACATACATACTGCAGTACTACATATATAAATAGTTTCATTAATACCCGGTACCAGTACCTTTTTATCTTTGCTCTCTTCTTTTTCTAAGTGTGCTAATAATATTACATGCCGAAAATCGTACTCAACGCATCTGGCGCGTGTTTGATATGGTCCCGCTCGTTTGAACCATACCCAGCGTTTGGATTCAAGACGGCGATATATACGCGAGTGTACGCTTCGATCAAACGATTCGAGAACCGGTTCTGGATATCCAATCGCACTCGAGGTGATTGAACTTCTTGAAAATCCGGGGCGCCATCCTTGGCACTTTCTACTAAACCTTGCAACGCTTTAGAGATGATATCTAAAGTCAAGCTCGGATCGTGAGACATCACGCCAGACGAACGTTCTTGATACAAAGAAACTCGTTCGAGCACGTCGAGAAGACCACACGCATTTAAGATTGATTCCGCGTAATTATCGGCGACATCTGTGGCCGTGTTTGAAATGCGTCTCGTCAAGTCTTGCGTCTTCGCTTGTGCTAGCGGATACTGCTTTAACGGAGTGTGCAAAGCTCCAAGGCAATTTAAAACGTAGGCATCTGCGGCCCATGGCACAGTCTTGGAGCCACCGATGATGGTCGAATTTACCTCGATCAACTTGTTCGCTCCCAACTCGCACGCTTCAATGACTGGATCAATGATGGCATCTAATACTTTCACGATGATTTTATCCGCTCCAGCATTCCCGTGCTCGTTGATTCCGCTCTGTTCTCTGCCCGATAAGCCGCCGCTCGATGGAACGTCCGATGAAGCAGCTTTCAAAATAGAAATCGCCACCTCCAAGCGTTCTTGTACAATTGGAGGCGCATGTAATCCTGTTTGCGGTACTGGTGGGTTGCGAGTAATTGCAGCACCCTTGACTATTGCGTCATCGTTAAAGGACGTTTGCGCGGCTTTCGCGCAAACCTTGACAGCTTCGACCAAACCTTTCTCGGCTTCGGAGGGAGATGCCGTCGTCAACGAAAGCAATTGTTCTAAAACTCCAGAGTAAAAGTGTAAAACTCCCGTAATTTTGTACGTTTCTAACGCATCCGGTGTTCCAGCTAAAGCTTGCTCCACGCGAACTCTTAACGGGCGCGATAAACCATCCATTATCTTAACCATCGTATCCTTCGCGATTCCCTCCATGTTGTCATATAGCTCGCCGCTTGTATCTGCGCTTTCCTTCACACTTCCAGAGTTTGCGTCATCTCTCGTGCTAGATGTATTGTTCGCATCTTTCTCGTCCTCTTCGTCGGAGAGCAGCGATGCATCTGTACTTAAAAACAAAGCGTTGCATACGTCGCGTTCGTTCGCCACGGCTTGGTGAATCCATCCAAGCATATCAGAAATATATCTAACCGGATCGTGCGCGCGTGCTTCGATCGGAGCTTTTCCAGATTGGCCTCCTCGAGTCAGTGCTGCAATAAAGTGACGAAACAACGCATTGTGTCGTGTTCTTGCAATCTCTTCTACGCAATATTGATGCAACGTTGGTCTGGAACGTAAAACGCGCAGTGCTTTCGCGACTTGCTCTAGCCGCTCTTCTGCGTCCGCGGAAAAGCTACTGGTATTATCAAACTCGTTCTCAGCCGCGATGCGCACTTCACTTTGAACCCATCGACAAAGCTTTTCGTGCGCTTGGTCCATGTGACCGGACATAACATCCATGAGCTCTAAGCCCGAACGTTGATGTTGCGTTCGAAGCAAGTGGGCACAATTCTTATGGATTTGTTTTACTCGTCTGAGTGCTTTATAAAATAGAGGTGTTATGACGCGGGAAGTCGACGCGGACACACCACCGACGATCTCAGTCGTTTCATCGATATCTTCCTTGAGTGCGTTCAGTTCCGATTCTTTCAGCTGATAATCTCTCAAAAACGTGTCGATAACTTTGCTTCTCGACTGAATTCGTGCGAGATCATTCTTTGCGCTCTCCGTTTCGCGCAGTAAAGCCACAGTGGACTGCGATTTCTTCTCCAACGCTTCTTCGATAGAATCGACACACTGCGTCAATGCGTCTAACTTGTCGTCTACGGCTTTGAGCGTGCCTTGCGTAGATTCAGACGCGTGAATGAACTCGTTATTGATGTCCAACCCTCGCCGTTCGATGGCGAACCGTAAACCTCTGCGCGCGCTCTGATCGTTTTCGATGTAGAATTCAGACAAAGCTTTCAAACACGCCACAGTTTCGCGTCCATCTAATCGCGTGTCCAGTACCTTTTTCACCTTCCGCGCGAGTCCAGGTGCGAGCGTCGTTGACGACATATTCAAATCTCTGTTTTGGAAAAACGCTGTCGTAGTTTTGCAGAGAAGTCTCGTGATGGCACAGTCTGAAGTTTGAGAATAAGCAAATTTTTTGATTTTTGAAAAAACAAACTCCGCAAAGAGAAAGAACAACACTCTTGTTTCTCCTCTCTGGAGTCTACATGGATACTACTAATACTACTAATAATACAATGAGTATCGCGAACGCATAGCTAAAGAATATGAACGACTGAAAATGTCTTCAAAGATTTTGGAAGGTGGTATCCTCCGGCGCGATCTAGAGAAACAACAACAATCTCAAAATTGCGAAGGCAAAAAGCTCTATTACACAACTTCGTTGCGTTCCATTTTCGGAGAAAATTCGGGAAGGAAAAGGGATCGATCTAAGCACCCCTTGCGCGGTTCGCTTCGATTTAGCGATGGAAAATCGTGCGTGTGTACGCCGTTTTGTTTCCTGGACGAGAGAGGGGAAGAGATTCCGATCATCTTCGAGAACGCGTTCGAAGTCGTTCGCGCTTTTTGTTCTAAAAATCAAACGCAAGAAAACGACGACGGAGCGAGGGAAAGGATGGGTGCACATATTTTGGAAAATGTCGTCATACGCACGTGGCGAATGCGCGCAACCACTCCACAAGAGAATAGGAGCGGACGATGTAACAAGCGAAAACAGAGCGACGAACACAGTGACAGTATTTCTCATCGAAAAAATAACGAAGAGAAAGAAGGAGAAAAAGAAGAAAGAATTGGTTCCAGGCATCACCTAGAAGCGCTCTCATTTGAAATCGTACAGCCATCTAGCGAGATGGAAAGCGATTCTGCGCTTTTGGAGAGCGAGACTCAAAATATAAGCAATGCAAACGGTGGAGTAGATGAAGATTCGCAGGTTATACTCATGAAGGCGGAAAAAAGTGATGATAAGAGAAAAGAAGTATCATCATCGACAACGCCGTCGTTCCCATTACTTACGACAACACAAAATGGGAGCGTTCGGCTCGCGTCTATGGAAGAGCTTCGTGCGAATGGGCGATTGGATGTCGTCGACGATGCCGTGAGAGTGCCAAAAAAGGCGTCACATCGCCTTTCTATCGGTATTGTTGATGATATGGAAAGTGGAGGTATCGACGTGAATCACGCGTGCTTCTTGAAAATGACGACACCAATTATTCGCATACCGGAGGAGAAGCCCATGTTCTTCGCTCTTTTCCTTTCCGCCCAAAGTAATTCCAAAAAAAAGCAGGAGGATTCGAAGGATAAGATGTATGGAGAGCAATGGATTATGTTTCAGGGCGAACGAATGATGGCTTTTCACCCGCTTCTCGCGTGTACATCGAGCTCTCAGTCTTGCGAAGATGGTAAGGAAGAACGAAATGATGGTTGTGGCGACGAAAAGATGCGCTCGTTGAACACACACTCGATGACCAACCTTCGATCGGTAAATTTGTACCCAGACGATCCAACGCGCGATAATCTCCGCGTGCTCTTTGCCACGGAAGGTACATCGATTGGTTTCAACAGAGTGACTCGATCAAGCGGTCGTGACGAACGTAGTGTAGATGGTGGAAGCAATCGAAGCAACAAAACCGATACTGAGGTTTGTTTGGATGTAGCGAGTGTATCGTGCGCGTGCGAATCGTGCAAAGACGGATACACTGTGCATTCACACACAGGTATAGTAACTTCCGTAGATTTAGAGGATAACTTCGCGTTCGAGCTTGATAATGATTTAGTTGTCATGGTTTCGCAGCATTTGTTAAGTGTAGATGTCGTGAACCCTGCGCTCCTCTATCCAGGTCTCCAGATTGGCGCGCGAGTGCAAATTACGCATGGTCATCCAATATACGCAAGAGTATGCGCTGCTGACGGAGATGCTCGAATTGAAGATTGGGAAGATGAAGAAGATTTGCTGAGTGAAGATAAGAAGTTAATCGCAGTTGGCGCGTGTGCGCGGACGTTTGTAAAGGTAGTCAGCCTCTCTCCTTTCCTCGCCGCGGAGGAGGACGAAATGCTCGAAATGAAACATTTATTAAACGTGTGCGCGGATGTAAAACCAACGATTCGATCATCATTAAACGGGATGCGCGCGTTGACTTTCAAAAAGAATGTTCGAGTTTCTTCATCTCGCAGAGACACTTTGCGAAGTTTGTGCGATTCTCTAGGATTTGGTCTCGCATTTGAAACTTTGAACGCGTTCGACGCGCTCTGGAAGCGTCTGCCCTCGATGAAAAGTGGGACGTCGAGCGAGACACAAGTGCGAGACGTGCTTACAGTAGCTCGCGAGCCCGATCAAATGTGTTTGACATACTTGAGTGGTATCGTGCCTGGTACCACAAACGCCAAAGAAGACTACGAACAGATTACGAACGCTGCGAGAAAAATGCCGCTATTATTCGCCATCCTGGCGCTCGACGAATACCGTCGCCATCACGTCCACAGTGTGTGCGCAAGCACTTCGCGCGCTTTTTCACCCATTCATCCAATCAATAAATTGAAGTCAGGGAGTTGTAATCCAGTTCGATTGGCGTACGATGAATGTTTGTTCGCACCAAGGAAACTGGGTGGATTCCGAGAATTTGAAAGTCACGTAGAATTCCCGTCACTCTTGGATATAGCCACGGAAGCTCAAACAATGTTATCGCGCGTGACTGTCGCGCGAGAGACATTGTCACCGCTCATTTTCCGTGAAGGCGCGCATAGAAAAATGAGTAATGTTGGAGTAAACGAGGGAAAGATGAGGGACGTTCACGTTGTTCATGGATACGATGCTCGGCTTCCGAGGGGCCACGTTTTGCGCATCTCGGCGGCGCGTGCGTTTTGCATTGAGAAGGCGAAGAGAGAAAAGGCGTCTCTTCTCATCGCACACTTAGAGCGCACACGAGATTCACGGTTCAATCGGGATCGGTTCACACTGAATGACGCGTCAGGAAGTGTACCTATCGAGTTTGAGTTTGAAGATGTAGGTCTGGACGACGTGGCGGCATATTTCGGGGAGTTGGAAAGGAAGATTGAAGAGTCGCCAACGACGTATCTGGTCGCATTGACGGCTTGGAGAACATTATGTGAAGGCATCGAAAGGGACAACACTGGATGCGACGATGATGCGTTCGCGCACAGTAGAACGCGTATCTGCGCGCGATTAAATGATATAATTTTCTTGGACGAGCGGATTTTTGCGCATTCGCAGAATAATATTTGCGCGTCCCAAGAAAGATGCATTTCTGACCAAAATGCAATTTCCATTAAGCAAGCGTTGTTTTGGAGTGCAAAAACACCATCACACTATGGATCTGGGGCTCTTTGCGAACCCACGCCTACCGATATTGACGTCCGTGGAGTTGTCGTAGTCGAACAGCGCGTCACCGGGGACGCCGGCGCTGCTTCCGCTACATTTGGGAACCACCGCAGAAGAAAGCAGCGCGAACTGCAACTCATTTTGCAAGATTGCGACGATGAGCGTAACGTGATTAAAATATACTGCAGAAATGCGTTTGCTGGCGGCAACTCTGGATTTGGGTTCGGGGTAGGGGCCACCGTTATCATCAAACGCGTTAATAGATACGTGTCTCCGCGAAGCATGAAAGTTACGTATCGTCTGACAGATCGGTCGCGGATTACGGTGGTTGAACCTTGGTTTGCTTCGAAGCATAAAAGAACGATGATGGAGCACCACCGAGAAGATTGTAGCGATGATATCAGCTGGTATGCGGCTGTAAATGCAGATGCAGATGTAGTTGTTGCAAGTCCACCGCAAGCTGTGAGCTCCTACGCTTCTGAATGTTCCAACGCGTTGACAAAATTACCCAGAGACACGCGATGTTCGTTACGAAGCTTATCATGGAACAGTTCCGCGAATCCCGAAGAAGAGGATTCTCGATCTCAGTTTTTATTCGTGCGCGACGACCGATTGATCTCGATCAGAGCTCGGATATCTGGTGTAACGATGCTTCAATCGAGCTTGACGTGTCCTTCGTGCGACGTGACGGCGTGTTTGCTTTCGAAACCCTCGTCACTATATATCACCACAGATAATACTGATCTGTGCAAAGCTACGGAGACTTGTTTTAAGCAAAAGGCGTCACCAGTCTTCCAACTTGAACTCAATGTTACAATAGACGATGGAACCGGCGTTGCCGATTGCTGGATTTCAAACTCGGCGGCGACTGGCTTACTTCCAGAGAAAATGTATCGCGATATCGTCACACTCACACGTAAACACGGGAAAGTGGTCGCAAGAACGTCTACGAGTACGGCGGATGAACGTGAGAATTACGGAGCTTTGGATTTCGGTTACAACGCGATAGGGTATCAAGGGTACACGTTGAGTAAGGTTGACGCGAGACCAATCGTGGAAGCTATCAAGTACGTCAACGCTACTCCACACATGCTGTTTGAATGCGCACGAAATTATAAAGTTCATTCACATCCACAATACGGCGATACATTTTGCGCATATGACCGCCCTTCGATATTCGCGAGGAACGTGAAATGCGGTGGGTTTCCGATGCGCACGGTATGTGCGCCTGGCGGTCGTTTGCGGGCCGTGCGAGTTACGATCGTCGATACCAAGCTCGAACTTTGTGAAAGGTTGCGTCGCTTTCGTTGTAAAGAGGCAAATGCGTGAAGGAAGACCAACGATACGTTTTTAGAATACATCATAGTGCATTTAGTTAAGCAATAGATCTAAGTTATTTAATCGTAATTGTATAGTTTTATAGTACATTAATCTACATCTTCGATGATATCCTCCTCCTCCACATCTTCCAAGCTATTATCCATTTCATCTATATCCTCGCGCGTGAATAAACTATCGCTAATGATTCTATCTTCGTTTCTTCTGTATCCTTCCTCGATGATTTTCTTGAACGGCAAATTCGTCGCGACGAATGCTTCAAAACTTCCCTCATAATAGCTTTGTCTGCTCCGGAATTTATTATGGCGAAGTTTTGGCGCCCATATTAATTCTCTCAGTCTCCTACTTGAATCTTCTACTTCTTTTGCTTTCCTACTCGCACTCGGCGCTCTCAACGGTCTCCAAGATGATTCTGGTGGACGCGACTGCACAGATACACAACCGCGGGCGGCAACGCTCGAAGCTAATCTATCTAACATGAGCGATTGGGATTGATCGCCATCACCGTATTTCCATCGTTGGCTACCGCAGCTAAACACGTCCGCATCACTCACGTGCTTCAAAAATTGCGACAGCGCGTCAATCTTCCTGTTATCTATAAAATCTGGCGTGTTTTCAAACAGGAAGTCAATAACTGTCTTGGGGGCGGCATCCACTCGAGCCCGATTCAATGTGATTTCAACCTCGGACTCAAGCGCATCATCTGACGGTTTCCGTTTGGCGTACAAAAATTTACCGAGCGCGTGAAAGAGTGAGATGCTCGATTCCTTTTTGCGTTCTTTATCACCATCGGCATTATCAATTCTCGCTTCCTCGCGATTGCGTTTCTTCGTGTTCTTCTTCTCGTTCTTTTTCCGTTTTGCGTACATATCGCCAACGATGCGCGCGTAAAGCAACTGAAGAGAAAACATGAGAGAACGTACATCTCCATTACACTCGAGAACAAGATTTTCAACGTTCTCGAGCATTCCCGACTTTATAGAGGATAAGCCGTCAAAATCATCATCTTCGTCGGGAAGACTTTCAAGAAATGAACCATTCTTCGTCATTTCGGAGGAAAATTCCAAGTTGATGACGCGTTTCGCAGCATCTTCGAGCGATTTCTTCGTGCACGGATTTAACTTGATCTCTACTAAATATTCCGAGAGGTTTTGACGATTTTGTGCACCCATGCGCTCCAACTTTTCGTGAATAATACGCCTGACGAATTTAAGTCCATCGCTCTTCGACTCGTTTCCGAAAGAAACAAAATCGCCTTCGCCGACGTCTGACGATGATGAAAAAACGACAGGTATTCTATTCTTTGCGGACGAAGAGACGAGCCCTTCGATTGAAGCAACAAATTTGCTTCTACCGCGTTCATCTCCTTGTGCCACGGTCGGAACATCTCGAATCAAAATAACTGTGCCTCTGCTTCTCTTGTTGCCGCCTCCGATAACGTTTGATACAATCGCGTTGTACTTTGTGCTTCGGTTAAGAAAGTTGACGAAATCCTCAATTTTACTCGTGTAGGCATCGCCACCGTCGAATCGATTCTCGTTCGTAGTCGATACGTTCTCGTTATAAATCGATGGTGCCGGAGGTTTCCATTCGAGCACAGAAAAGCACTTTTCTTTCGCCAAAGTTACAAACGTCGATGCCTTCCCACATCCGCTTGGACCAACTAAAAACAACACCGCCGGTCGTTTCGATGTTTTACTGCTCTGTTTCTCTAAAAAATCAATCATTACTTCAGCCTTCTTCTTAGGAACGACAACTTCAGTGCACGAACGTGGATGATACTTCTCTGGCCACGACGTCGTTTGCGTGATAGGTTTTGAGTTTTTACTCGTTTCCATCGTCTTTGGTTGAATACGTTGTTGTTGTTGTTTTTCCTTTTTTAAATTTGCGACGAGCGTCGACTTCCTCAAGTCCAGACGGCGACCTCCCGGCATCTTTGATTATTCACGAGACAGCGCGTGTTCTCCTTTACTACTCTCGCATTGTGTATTGTGAATGCATTTGAGCTCAGTAAATTAAAGCAGTAAAAGAAGAAGAAGAAGAAGAAGAAGAAAAAGTGCAGACAAATGAAATAACGAATTACCCAGAAAGGAAGAATGCAAGAAACGACAGCACAGATGTGCAAGCAAAAGAAGTGTTCATATATATAAATCATCTCTTTTTGCTTTTCTCGCGTCGCGCTAAAGTGTTGAACGAGGTGAGAAGATCAAGGAAAAAGTCCTTCGCGAGAAAGAAGATGGAAGAAGAAAAACGAGAGCAAAAGAAGGGAGAAGAAAGACGGAAGAAAACCCCTAATGACGATGGAGGCGGCGAAGACGAAGAAGGAGAAGAAGAGGCAGAGAAAGATACCGAGAACAATGATGCTGAGGATGGAAAAGACGAAGAAGAAATAGAAGAAGAAGAAGACAGCTTGTTGCCCGAATCGTTCGGGCAGCGACCGGCGAAGGATAAGCAACCTCGTCAAGTCGTGGAAAAGATTTTCGTAGATTTAGACGAACTCGCGAAGAACAATGATTTCAAACCAGAAAACTGCGAGAATAAGAATTTAATTGTCATCGATTTGAACGGATTACTCATGCAAAGGAGTTTCAGCCCACTCGGTACATCTACTTCCGGTTTTAGAATTGATCAGGACGCAAAAGTAGGTAACTTTTACGTATACAACAGACCTCACATGAAAGATTTTCTGGACTTTTTACACGAGAATTTCACGGTAGGGGTTTGGTCGAGCGCTACGGAATACAATGCGCGAATGCTAGTACGCCATCTTTGGGGTAAGAAAAAAGAAAAGCAGCTCGCGTTTGTATGGGGACAAGAAAAATGCACAAATGTTGGTGTTTTTACAGAGCCAAGGGTCAAGCCCGTCTTTTTGAAGGAGCTCGATAAATTATGGTCGCACAACCCCGAGATGGAAAAGTTTAGAGGTACCCACACGGTGCTTATAGACGACTCGCCATATAAAGCGGTGAATAATCCAATGCACTCCGCTCTCCATCCGGCTGAGTTTAAAATTGTATTTAAGGAAGGCGATCCTTTGGTTAGCGCTCCTTCTGCTCCTCTTCTTCCCGAATCAATTGAATTAAAACAAATGAAAGGAATAAAACGCGCGAGCGGCATCGCTCCAAGTTTAGGTAAAAAACGTCTGAAAAAGTTTATCAAGGAGACGCGCACCTCGAGTACATTTGATCAACTTTCAGGGAATGATTTTTCTCGATTTCAAGTAGAAGAAGACGACGCGCTTGCGCCGGAAGGAGAGTTGCGGTCATACTTAGCCGAATTAGTCGCGAACGAGAAAGGCGCTGCAGCGTTCATAGAACAAAAACAGTATGCGGGGAAGCAAGCCCCGCTCGGTCCAATAGATATAGTGAAAGATATGGTAGCTAAAGCAAAAGAAATTGAAGCTAATATAGCGAATGGAATTGTTTTGACGTCGCAAATGGTTAAAACGAAAGATGCCGCCGAGATATGTTTAGACGACTTATAAAACTACAAAACTTCCTACTTCAAAATCCATTATTTTGTGCTCATTCAACCTTCTTCTTCTTCTTCTTTACTAAACTAAATAATGCTTCGATAAAAATTCACTGGGCACGTCGCTCATCACCGCACACTTGCGTAACTCGCTATAAGCCTCATCTCTCATTGATGCCGGACAATCACCAGCGTCGCCATTGTCAACCGCTTCAACGGGAATGCCTACTTTATCTAATTTAGCTGAATCCTTGACGTATACGTGTAAACCGCCAGGACATTCCGATTCACCGCCGTTGCATTTTAAGAAGCAACTCCACGTTCCCGGAGGCCTGCAAAATCCGGGCAACGCCACCGGCAAAGGATTATTTGCTTTGCACGAGCACGATCCACCGGGTGCCAGGTTTGCTGGCTTAATACCAGTGTGTTCTGGACATCCACTCACGCAAGGTTCAGCTAGCGTTAAAAATCCTTTTTTGGCGAGCTTTTTGATTTGCGCGTACTCCAAATCGTAATCGTGGATGGCCACCTTCCCTTTTCTTGGTTTTTCCGCGTTAAAATAGTGATGCGAAACGCCATATCCAGGTCTGAAGTGAAAACCATACACGTCCACTTTCACGCAGTTGCACAAGGCAAACCAAATGGCAAAGTACCCTCCTGTCGGTAAGGTTGCGACGTTGGAAGAAACAAACTCTGAGAATTGAGGATCAAACGCGACGAGTGGTTGTTTCGGCGCCTCTTTTCGGAACTTGATGTAGAGTTGAACGCCTACTTGAGATTGCATTTGCATGACATCGACTTCGTTATCTTCGTGATACCCGGCATGGATAGTGTTCACAAAGCGTAGGGTCGTTTTCGTCCCGACTATTTTTTTGTACCCTTCCGTCGGAGCCAGATTGAAGCGAATGACTAAATCTGTCGAGTCTATCGTCGGTCCAAATTTGTACTTTTTCAACATCCCCGCGTTTCCTATCACCGAGCATCGCTTATACACGCGTCCACGGAATGGATCTTTGGCTGGAGCAAAACGCACCAAATCTTTGCTCACCGGTAAAGCGAACGCGTGCGTACCTCCGGAAGCTTTTGGGTTTGTCTGGTATCGCAAAACCATGTCATCTATTTCTCTCAATCGCTCTCTATTAACTATGTGATGTCCTTTAAAAATAGCGTGCATGCCACTTGGCATGTGTTTTGGTTTCTCGCATCGTTCGCCTTCCCAAAGTGTCACGCACAAACATTTCGATTGCACGCAAACACCGTGTCGTCCGCACCAGTTATAGCCGGCGCACGAGCCGTCGTCCACGGCAAAATCGTGGTCGTTTGAAGGCATCATGTGCGTTTCATCCGAACCAGTGAACCCGAACGCTTGTAAAACTCCTTTCTGTTCCAAACTTTCTACGTATTTATCAAATTCTGCGACATTGCGGAGTTTCGTGTTGTGAATGCGGTCCAAAGCCGCTTTCCTTTGCGCGGAATCACCGAGCGAAGCTGACCCGTAGTTCGTTCCCGCCGAGTACGCGCCGTCCTTCCTCGCCGCCCCGGCTTTGTTACCTCTCAGGCGAGATAAGAGCGACACGTGATCGTTTTCCACGACTCCACTACTACTACTACTACTACTACCACTACTACCACCACCACCATTTCTACTTCCACCTTTCTTCGAGCGCCGTCCACCGTGAGCTGCTTTCGACGAAAGCTGAGCAGAAGAAGAGACAGAAGAAGAAAGGACCTCGTCGTCGTCCTCTACTTCCTCTCGCGCGGTTGCTTTTTTCTCCCCAAACTCGTCGTATATATCCTCTGTTCCAGCAGACAAGGACGCTGCATTATTATTATCGCTACTACTACTGCTGCTCGTTTCTATGCTGCTACCACCATCCTCGAGGGTATCTCTTTCGTAGTCGTGATTGTTGTTATACTGGTGCGAAGAGAGCGAATAGTTTGAGTGAACCTGATCGAATTTGTAAAACGCGATAACTACTGCGACGAAGATCAAGGCGAGACGGACGAGTTTGTTCTGTTTCCTAGACGCCTTCTTACTCGCAGTTGGCGGCATATTCGCCTTCAACTTCTCCCGAGTTCCCTGTTTCCAGGTTTAGTAGGCAAAGATGATGTGATTGATTTTGAGAAGAATTTTCGGAAAGAAAAAGAAAAAGATGTGGAAGGCAGAGGCACCATCGCACAAAAACGAAACTAGTTTTTACGCCGCCGCCGCCCGCGTGATAATGTCGTTGAAAGATATATCATATAAATAGCGGCAAAGTAAATCATTCCATAACAACGACCACATGATCTAGTTAATCGAAAACCTTGCACTCTGCGGCGTCTTCGTTACCGTCGCAAAACTCATCCATGCCCGAGTCCATCGCAGAGCCAGCTTCTGTACTCGAAGAACTCGTTGCCGAGGCGGATGGGAACTTTTGATAGTACACGGACTTTGCATCAGAGTTGATGGCGCGGACGTCGTCCCATTTTTTAGAATCGGTGCCTTCCTTCGCGGCGGCTTCGCACTGCTTTCGTAAGAAAACGGAGAACGTATCCCAATCGGAAGCCGTTGCCGATGGAATAACGTTATTGCCTCTTTTCTTCATCGCGATGGAGGAAGAATTTTTCATCGTCATCTTCTTCGTCTTGGAAGAGGAAGAAGAACGTGAAGAGATCATCGCCTTGACCGGCACAGGACTCATGCGCATTGCAATCATGTTCATGAATAACGATATTAATTTTACACTAAATTCTATCCTTCCCAAAGGTAGATCAACGCGCTTGGTATAATAAAGAGATTATGCACGGGGGAAATATCTTTGTGTGTGTGTTTCTCTTTTTCCGACTTTTTCGGCTTTTCGCCTTGCGTGCAAACTTTTCTTCTCTCTCTCTTCTTCTTCTTTTATGTTTTTCCATCATCACAAAAAACACCTCCCAAAATCTCATCTCATCTTACATCATGTCCCTTTGGGTTGATAAATATCGTCCAATCGAACTGAATCAGTGCGAGCACGTCAACGCGAGCGTCGCAAATCACTTGAAAGAACTCGTCAAGGATGGAGACTGTCCACACTGTGCGTCCTTTTCTTCCCTTTTGCTAGGAAATTTTCAAACTCTCTTTTTCTTTTGCGTGCTTTTCAAAATTCTCTCTTTCTCTTTCTCTTTCTCTTTCTCTCTAGAGCGCGTTTCTTTTTTAAAAGTCGCACTCTTCTTTACGTCTATCCGCGTTGAAATTGCTCTTTTTTCGCCACACTCACGATTTACTCCTCTTTTCTCTCTTTTTTGCAGTGTTGTTTTACGGTCCGTCGGGTTCTGGGAAGAAATCGCTCGTCCTCGCGCTCTTGAGCACAATCTTTGGCCCAGGCGCTCACAAGACAAAAGTCGAACAGAAAACGTGGAAAATCGACGCGACGTCTACGAGAAAAATTGAAGTCGATTTAATGACGCAAAGCTCAAATTATCACATTGAAATCAATCCATCGGATGCAGGATATAAAGATAGATACGTCGTGCAAGAGGTTATTAAAGAAATGGCGCGCTCTCGACCGATCGATGCGCAAGGAAACGCAGGATACAAAATACTCGTACTCACCGAATGCGATAAACTTTCAAAAGAGGCGCAACACGGCTTGAGAAGAACCATGGAGAAATACTCATCGGCGTGTAGATTAATTTTAATTGCAGACTCAGTAAATAGAGTATTAGAGGCGGTGCGCAGTAGATGTTTACCCGTCCGCGTTGCAGCTCCTCGAGCGGAAGATATTGAAAAGGTTTTATACGACATCGCTGCCAAGGAGAAATTGACGCTCCCTCCACAGCTCTGTTCAAAAGTCGCCGTCTTTGCGAAACGCGATTTGCGTCGGGCTATTCTGGCACTGGAGGCGTGTAGAGTTGCTAATTATCCATTCAAAGAAACGCAGTCCGTGCAAACGACGGATTGGGAGTTGTACATCGCCCAAATTGCGGCTGAAATTTTAGCCGAGCAAAGTCCGAAACGTCTTTTACAAGTCCGAGGTCGTATTTACGAGCTTCTCGTGAATTGTATTCCGCCGACTTTGATTTTCCAGACGCTTTGCTTTTATTTATCGAAGCGATTAGACGATGAGATGAAGCACGAAGTCATTCGTTGGGCCGCTCAATTTGAACATAAACTTCAGCTCGGCTCGAAAGCAATCATTCACATAGAGGCGTTCATCGCGCAATTTATGGCGACGTACAAGAGGAAGCTAATTTCTGCGTTTGCATAAAGTTGTACTTAGATAGGGCAAGATTGAGGGAATGTGCGTGCGCGCAATGCATGCACATGATCATGACAATAATAGCACAAGGTTTCGCACCTCGATACACTTGGTTTCACCAGAGAAGGCGCATAAATCATCTTTTTGAAGTAGAAAAAAAATACAAAAGAGATTACAACTTATTTTTTCTGTTTGGGTCAACTATTACCGTTCTATTCTTTTTCATCGTTAGTTGTTGAGCTAGTCGTCGTGGTCGTCGTCACCGTCGTCGTCGATTCTATTGCTACCGTGTAGATTTGTTGCAAAAAACCAGCTATAGCTCCGAGAACTGCGCCGGAGATTATCAACGTCATCTCGTCTTCCTCGAATATTGGATGTAAAACTCTTTCAAACTCCTTGGGCGTCATGAGTTCCATGCGCTCACGCATGAGCTCCTTCAACGCGAGAGTTTCATCCGTGTACTCATGCAATACTTCCACGTGTTTTGGCAACTCTTTCGAAAGTTCCTCACTTACCGATTGAATAATTTGAACATCCGTTGTGGATTCCCCTAATGAATCTAATCCTCGCTCCAAGCCTTCTTTCGTTACGAAGTCTTTCGTGTACGTTTCGAGCATATCGTCAAATTCTGGACGTTTCCGGCCGGTAAAAATGTTGTTCCAAATCTTCTCGCTCGTCAGCACGTTCTCTGCGAGATGGTCGCTAAACTCACCCGAAACTTCGTGTTGTCTTTGAAGGAACAAACCTTGCAGTTTAAAGCCGCCAAAATACACAGGTTCGATTGGCTCAAATATCAATTTCAACGCTATCCAGTTCGTCAAGTATCCAACGATTGTGCCACCAATTGTCAAGGTCCAGGGATTATCGTAAAACATCCACACGACCATTTGAATGAGACCGAGCAAAAATCCAAAAAAGAATCCGGAATCCGTGAGGAACTTCAATTCAGCGCGACCGCATCGCTGGAACAATTCGCACAAAACGGATCGATCGACGCTCATCTCCGTAACTACCAACTCCTTCAAATCAATGACTCGATCAACGTTCGCTTGTAAGAGAACGACGAACCCGGAGAGGTACTTAGAGACTACAGATTCGTGCAACTCTGAAAGCAAAGGTCCAGGAAGTGTAGGAACAGCATTCTTCGCCATATCCATCGCCCACGGAAATTTGTTCAGCGTGAGCGTACTAGCTATGGCGCGCGCAATTTCCGGAATTCTAGAGAAGAGTAGATTTGAAATATCTTCTGGATTCAAACGTAAGAACGTCTGAGACACGTCTATCAACTTTTCCGTGACCATGGTGACCATGGTAAAAGCCATTCGCGGCGCCTTTGCCGGCACGATGCCTTGCCACCCTATTGCTCCTAGGGGACTCAACACGTCGAATCCATACAAATTCCCTTCCAAAGCTCGCCAGAACGCTGGTCCCCAAAATGCTACGGGATAGAAGATCATTTTCACCGCGAGCCAATTTGTGATGTAACCGACAAACGCGGCGACGACCGGAATAAACATCGCGCCCTTTGGATTTGCTTTAAATTTACCCACCGCTCGCGCGATGGACCTTTTCACGTACCCGTCGATTCCAATACGTTGATTACTACCATTACTATCCTTGCTACTAACACCACTGCTATCAATCTCTTTCTTATGCTGCATAAATGATGTCAACTTCTTCACGTTTCCAAACATAAATCGCATACACGCAACCATGGCGACGCGTTGCGAGAAAAGCAGAATGCCAGACGTAAAACCAGAACTAAAACCGGGTATATTAATTCGTTTACCAAAATATATTCTCGCGCCATACACGACAAATGCTGCGACAACGAGCGAGAGTAAGAACGCACGAACGACTGCTTTCATGATTTGTGCGATTGATGTCGATCTTTTTTTCGTTGTTGTTGTTGCTATCTTTTGCGCGTCGTTCTTCCCCCCGTCCTCTGTCGTCATGGACGTCGTCGCGAAAGCCTTTACATGTTCACCCCTGCGACGATGTCGTGATGCTCTCACGTCATCAAAGTGTGCACCTACGGTGGCAATGGACAAGGCGAAGGCATTCCTTTCTCCTCTTTCTTTCGTCTGTAGTATCTGTTCGTATTCCATGCATCTTTTCCTCGAGGGACGACGAAGGAGAGGCAAAGAAATGAGTGCAGTTTTCCTCCTCTTCTTCTGAGTCCCAACGTCATCAGATGCAGTCCAAGCTGCTCTGGACGCCGAAGCGATACAAACAACGCGCATTTAACGATCGTTTACTGCTATATGCCTGAACATTTTTCTTTTTCTATTATTTGTAAGGCTTCTTCAAAGTTTTAAGAAGGAGATACCATACTTTTTTCCTCTCAATTCTGTCTCAATTCAAAATGCATTCGAGGGGAAATGGATACCATCACCACAACGGCACGTACGACGCCGAAGAAGAAGACGACGCCGACAGCGAGGAAGCGTTTCTTTCAGATTTCGAGGCGCACGTTGATCCAGGACCAGAACCAGAGACGTCTTCCGCGTATGTGGGAATTTCTGTTCCGCTGCACGACAACAACAACAACAACAGTAATGAAAAAGGAAAACAAGAAGAAGGCGACGAAGAAAAAGAAGAGGAAAAAGAAGAAGAAGAAAGCAATCGCATGCACGTAGAGGTAGGCGCACCAGAGCGCAGAGGTGAAGGATTAAACGCGCACATAGTCTTTGGCGTTTCGTATTGGACGACGTTACCGACGTATGCCAGAAAATCTGGTTTAGTTCGACGACGGTTTTCACAGTTCAACAAGCTGTATCAAGCTTTAGTCGAAGAAGTCGCCGGCGTGATCGTGCCAACGTTACCACCAAAGACGACGTTTCCTTTAGATGATCCAAAATCGCCCGCAATTGCTTCGCGCGCGACGTTACTGAGAGTATTTATAGCGAAGATCTCGATGCATCCTCTTCTGTCGCGCTCAAAAGCTTTGTATGATTTTCTCGACTGCTCCAAGAGCAACACGACGTATAACAAGGTGAAGCTCTCGACGACGAAAGATGTTAAAAAGAAAACAACTTCCGCTATTTCATCCATTTTCGGTAGCGTTACGAATGTGATTTCATCCATCAACGATACCATAGCGAGTAAAACGTCTGACGGTGAATTAGGAGGTGGCTCTCATCTATTTGACGTCGAAGGAACGCTTCGGGAACCGGCGCTGCACGCGGAGGTTTGTCAGTACATATCTTCACTTCGAGAAAGAACGGAAAAAATGCTCGCCTCGGCGAAAAAAGTAATCAGACATAAAGAGAAAACGACGGAGTACTTTTCGGATTTGTCCACGGTGTTCAACACCATGCAAGAGCACGAAACGAGAGGAGTAGAAATCATTGAACGCATTTCGGGAGCGGCGAAGGTGAACTGGTCGACGGCGTCTTCATCTTCATCGCGACAAGGCATTTGCTGGAGAAAGGCTGCAAATACATTCTCCCGCATAGCGCAAAGCGACGATACCCCGGAAACTACCGAGCTCAAGCACGATAGAAATAGATTGTTCCTTGAAAAGATTAGCGGGTCTCTGCAACTGATCATGGAGGTTGTCAACGCGCTCGCGGCGAGGAAAAAAATAGTAGACGAATACAATCACACGTTACAGAGCATAGCGAGGAACCAGTACAAGATCTCCTCCCTAGGCTTACCGGACGCTGGACCGAAACGAGAGGAAAAAAGAAGACTCGAATTGAAAGTAGCCGATTATCGAGTCAAGAAGACGACGTTGTTTAAAAAATACGAAACCGCCAAGGCGAATATGGAAAACGAGTTGCTCTGGTTTCACACCGAACTTTCCAAGTCTCTCGGAAGTTCGTTGCGATTGTTTGTCATGACGCAAGGAGCAGAAGCTGGAGAGTTGCACAGAAGTTTACTGCAAATTTAGCTTTATTAAGTTATAGATGTACGATAAGAATACGCATATTTAAGCTCCTCGCGTTTGTCGTGCTTACTCTGCTCGAAACTCTCAGAGAAAAAGTGACGTCGTTTTTTTCGCGCCAATGTGCAATTTTTCCTCACTCTTTTCTTCCGTAGAAAGAAACGAGATGGACTCGACAGATTCGGTAGTGATGATGAACATGCCCAATACCAGCGGAGGAGGATATCGTTCTTCAAAGTCTTCGTCGTTATTCACGACTATTTACAACGCGGTCCACTTGATAGTTTTGCTCATCGCGTTCTCGCTGTCGATTTACGCCGCCAAGACGGTTCGGGACCTTGAAAACGACACTAACGGTGTGACCGGAGTGAGACTCTCGATTGGAAAACCGTCTCCTTTAGCAAGTAACGAGAATTCGTTCTCATTTTTTCGAGGATCTGGAGTGTGGCATCATAAGAGGCGTCTCGAAGGGGGTGCGCGCTCGGATTTCCAAGCCGTTTCTATTGAAGGAGATAAAACGGATTTCGTTTATATTTTCGGAGGCAAGGATGCGAGCGGGACGTATCTCAATACAGTGCTTAGATACGATTCCATCAATGATTCATACGATTCCATGAAAAACATGCCAGAAGCGAGAGCGCGTTACGCCGCAGCTGTCATGAAGAACGACCTGAATCAAAACGAAGTTTGGATCCTTGGCGGAATCTCCGCTGTTACCCCGGGCGTGGATGGCGGATACGACGAGGATACCGACAAGGTCTGTCCGATGGTTTATAACGTCGACACGGACACGTGGAGAACAGAAACAGGAACACGTTGCTTGCCATCAGTCGTCAAAGATGCATGCGCGGCTACTGGATCTAACAACGCTATTTATCTCATGGGTGGTTACGGAGTAGACTATTCGGTATTGAACTCGGTGTATAAGCTCGCTGGACCGTTGTCTTCCGAGTGGGTCAAAACTTCGGATCTTCCGGATCCAAGAGGGGACGTGAGCTGCGCGGCGTTGAAAAACAGTATTTATCTCGCAGGAGGCTGGCACGATACCCTAACCGGTGTGGCGGTACCCTATGTGAGTCAGTCAAAGCTCTATTCGCTCGACGTGTTGACGGACGTTTGGACGTCGACGCACGCTGAAATGAAGAACAGCAGAGGCGATTTTCAACTCGTTGCCAATCCAATCGCGAACTCGTTGCTTGCAATTGGGGGCGAAACGAACACCACCCATAACATTGGGGGCGAAACGAACACCACCCATAACAGGGCTACCCAGCTTGCCACGCATCATGTCGAGGAATACTTTGTTGCTCACGACGCTTGGGAGGATCGCCAATTGATCCCCACCGCGAGATTTCGATTCGGCGCCGCGTTCAAAAATGGCGTTTTCCACGCATTCGGGGGTCACGTGCACGGTGGCAATCATGCAGACGCCTTATCTTCCCACGAGGCATATTATCCGCTCGATCACCCAGACGTCTGGGTGACCGTAACGAGTTCATGAAGTAATGTTACATCTTTCATGATGACGCACTTTTATCCGATTTTTGGCGTGTAGTTAAATCTATAGATAAATCGGGGTCAAGGTTTGCTATCAAGCGCATTCTCGATCAGGGCACTTTTTTAAAACAGGTTTTTTGGCTTCTAGAGTTCTAGACAAAACCTTACGCATCTCTTATTATACTTTCCTCTTCATCGATTCACGTTGTGTTCGATGATAATGTTTCAGTGGTGTTGTAGTTTTATTGATAAAAAAAATTCACACTCTAAGTATTACAACAACAAGAACATTAATAATAATGTAGGCTTTTTAAAGTAAATGGACTTTTCCTCGTCTCTCATCCTCTCTCTCCTTCAATTTTATAATGATCCCTTCTTGTTTTACAACATGCTCGTGCTGATGATTTTGTAGTTCTTGTCCAAGCGCTGAATCAAGTCCTTCCCCATATCCGGACCGGTGCACTCGCACTCGACCGTGACCAACACGGAGTGACTTTCTTCACCAAGGCGCGCGCGGTCGTGGTTTATGTGCTTAATACTCGCTCCTGCCTCCGCGATAACCCCGCATAATCCCGCAATACCTCCCGGACGGTCACTCACGACGGCTTCAAATTTAATGAGTCTCCCGTCGGCGACCAAGCCACGTTCAATGCAGTATCCTAATGTGCTCGTATCAATGTTACCTCCACACAGCGCAACTGCCACGGTTTTACCTTTTAATTGCGGTATCTTATTTGCCAAAATACCCGCTAAGCCTGAAGCACCCGCACCTTCTTGGACGAGTTTCTCCAACTCTACCAATCGTAAAAGCGCCGTCGCGATGTCTCTCTCTGAAACCGTCACCATGATGTCGATCAAATCTTTGCACGTCTCGAAGGATCGCGGTCCGACGGTTGGCACAGCCAAACCGTCCGCCAAAGTAGCTCCAGAAGGAACGAGTGTAGGTTTACCCGCCTTCAACGCCGCGCTCATGGATTGGCATCGATCGGCTTCAACGCCAACGACTAAGCAATCTGGCTTCAACGTTTTAATGGCCAAAGCGCAACCAGCAATCAAACCGGCGCCTCCGACTGGGATGACGATGGCATCCACGTCTTTGACGTCTTCTAAAATTTCCAGAGCCATTGAGCCCGCACCAGAGATGATTTCAAAATCGTCGAAGCCGTTGATGTATTTCAACCCCTCCTTCTTCTCGTACTCTTCTTTGCCGTACTTTGCGGCGTCTGCAATCGTCGCGCCGTGGAGGATAACTCTCGCCTGCAAGTCTCTGCACTTGGTAATTTTCGTCAACGGGGCAATCGAAGGCATAATAACCGTAACTGGAATGCCGAGTTTAGCTCCGTGGTAGGCCAACGCTAACGCATGGTTACCGGCGGATGCGGCGACGACACCTTTCTTCTTCTGAGCGTCCGACAAAGACATCAAAGCGTTTCTCGCGCCTCTTTCTTTGAAACTCCCGGTGCGTTGTTCCCACTCGTGCTTGAAGAAAATTCTGCTTCCGGTGGCCTTGGACATGGCGTGAGACTCGACGCATCTCGTTCGGACCACACCTGTTAATTGATGATGATGATGATAAGAGTCAGTCATAAGTTTCCAACGCACAGAAAAAAGAGATTATTTTTTACACATGTTTTGTTTCTCATCCATCAGTCGAGAAAAAAAAGAAAAAGAAGAAGAGGAGAGATTAGTGCACCCATTTTGAAGAAAAGGAAAATTGATATCCACCAAATCTCTCATCTACGGATACGAAAGAGAAAGGGAGAGAGAGAGGAAACGTACCTGAACTGATTCGGAAGTGCGCGGTGGAGATATCCTCGAAAGATGGAACGTCTTGACCGTTGACAATTTTGCGATCTTCTTTTTTCGGCGGGGTCGGAGGATTCGTCGCAGTTGCCGAAGAAGTTGGTGGTGGAGAATCTTTCGGCTTTTCAACGTTGGCAGAAGACGCGCGCGTGATTTGGTTCCCCGCGCGTCTTCGAGATTGCTTTTGTTGCTTGCGCGTCAACGAACTCGTCGTCGTCGCCGTCGAGTTGAATTGCTTGGTTAAAGATTGCGTCGCGAACATTATGGATGAGATGGTTTCTCTTTTAAAGAAAGTGCGCGCACAAGGCAGAAAAGAATGCCGGATGAATTTTCGGAAAAGGTGCGGTTCTCGCGTGAGCTCTTTCCCAACGGTGACACGTCGGTAGAGAGATTTTGCTTTTTTTTGGGGCGGACCCAAAAAAACAAACAACAGTCTCCCTGGGTGCTCGATTATAAATCACAGTATTAGTTGGACTTTTATTTGATTAAAATATATTCCTCTACAACACGCACTCGCACAAATCACATCGACGCGACGAATCCTTTACTCTTTTCGTTCTTTCTTCCGTCTCGTATTCGATCAATTTTGATTCCTAAAATCATAAAGTTTTATATTATTATTATCAGTGTATTATCTTCACCCGCTTCGTCGCGAGCTTCTCCTTTTTATAATAATAAAATGTTTTTAAAATACACGACAGGGGCGCGTTTCTTTCTTACGCTTGGTGAGCGATTTTATCGAGAAGCTTCCAGTTATCCGAAATGATAGTCGTCGACGGACTCGATCGGTACAAAATACCTTGGGCTTTCGCCCACGCTTTCAAAATCGGTCGCAATTTGTGATAGTTGTATCTCGGCATAGTAGGGAAGAGATGGTGCTCGAGTTGAGTGTCCATGCCGCCCCAGATCCAGGTTTCGAGAGGACCAAAGACAGTTTCAGCGTCTCTGGTAGATCGAAACTGACCGTCGACGTATTCACCCGCATTAGAGGCGTCCATAATCTCTTCAGATTGATGCGTCGCGCTGACCAAAGAGCCGACGATGAAACCGCCCAACGTGACCGAGCCGAGCGCGACTTGCCACGGCATGCACGTCGCCAACCAGACGTAGTTCAAACCCATTAAAATGATTTCCTTCCACCTCTTTTCTTTAAACGCAACCTTGACAGAGTGCGATCTCCAGAGCCAGTACATGATGGACAACAAAGGGTAACCGTAGATGTGTTGCCACTTGCGCATGGGAGAGTCTGGCCTTCCGGAATCTTTCGGATGTCTGAGATAGAAAAACGGTTCCATCATGACGTCCCCATCCATGTCCTCTTCGTTCGTAAACGTGTGATGCATGGAGTGCTTTTGCGTCCACCACTCAACTGAGTGACCGTTCAATAAAGTCGGCATGTATCTCATAGAATCACATAATTTGCCTCTACCGTGGACGTAGTCGTGTCCGAGCCAACCCGCTTGAACCGCGCCGAGCGCCAAGAGCACGGTGGCAATAATCGGATGGGAGTACGCGACAGCAGTTCCGACGCCGTATAAAGCGACAACTTGCGACAGTGCCCAGATTTCCTTGACAGCGTTTCTTTTGAAAAACCCATCAGCCTCGAGCTTCTTTCTAAATTCTCTGAAACCCATGGAGATTTCGTATTGTCGGTCCGTCGGGAGCTTGGAAGTATCCGCCGGCGGGTCGCACTTTGGTAATTTTTTGAGTCTTCGAAGGGCTAAGTCGGCACCGTTTGGACCGTACGAGTGCAAAGCGTAGAAGGCATCCGTGGCATCTCGACCGTCAAAGAAGTGGATCCATCTTTCACCTCCCGGATGCGCTTTCGCCCACCCTCTGGCGTCGTACCACACGTCGTCGATCTTTAAGCGCACTGGTTCGCACTTTTTCGGGTCCGGATTCCTCACATCGCACTCATCCGGTACTTCGTCGACGTCTAAAACAACCGTACCGGAGAACCCATCCTCGTCGGTGGAAGATTTACCGACGATTCTCGATCTCAACGCCGGGGAAGATTTTACCATCATCGATGACGTATGATGATTGTTCGAGCCGATGGCGAGTCGTCTTTGTTGTTGCTGCTGCGCTTTCGTCGTCGTCGTTCGGTTCGATCTGACATTTCTGCGGACGCTCGTTCTCAAAGAAGAAGAAGAGGCGACAATCGTCGTCTTCGATCCAAAAGTCATCGCTTGAGAAGACATGATTGTTTTTATGTTTAGAAAAAGCAACCCCCTCAACACACACTGCTTACTTATCGCTTTTAAAAATGCGTGTCCAGTTTAGAGAAATTTATCTCTCTTTCTCTTTCTGTTATTTTAAGCTGCTGCGCGCTCGGAAGTACAGAGTTCTTTTCTCGTTACGTTCTAAAGAATGAGAAGTTACACTCGGTCCGTCAAAAGATCGTCGTATAAGTTATGACGTCGTTCGTGGTCGTTTCTCCCGGAAGAAAAGAAAGGAGGACTCTCGCAGTCAGTTTCCAGTCAAAAAGCTCTCCCTTTTTCGCAGGGGACCGACCACTCAATGATGAAAGAGATTTTCGCGTTATCCACCGAAAAGTGTCCATTCCATTTAACGACGAGCGTCGTGTCGTCGAGTGTATCCACTCACTAAAAACACACACGCGCTCGCTCGCTCCCTGGAGATAGATAACAAAACGCGATGATGATGATTATGGAGGAATGCAAAGATTCCACGAGAGTCAACCACGCGCCGAGAGCGCCGAGAGCGACTCCGACTCCGACTCCGACGACGACGACGAGGAACGCCGGTGGGCTCTCAAAAAAATGTGCGGTGGACGACGGAGGAAGAGGAAGAAGGGAGAAGTGCCAGGAAGATGATGATGCCTTTCACGCCGAAGAAATAGAGTACGAGGACGACGAAAAAAACTCCTCGGAGAGATCCTCATCACTCATGAGAGACGAAGCGGAGAGAGAAACGGACGCCATCCTCGTCGGTGGCTGCGAGGGAGGAGTTCTCGGAGAGGAAGAGGACGACGTCTCAAAAGAGCGACGGATGAACCTCGTGGAGGAGTGCGTGAGAGATTTACTCGCTGGCCTCGGCGAGGACGTTACGCGCGAAGGACTCTTGGATACTCCGAAACGAGTCGCCAAAGCCATGACATTCGCCATGAAAGGATACGGAAAAACTGCCCGCGATGCGCTCGGTACGGCATTGTTTCAAGAACCCACACTTTCGAGACCGATAACGATGAAACAACAAGACGCGAGCGGAGAGGGTGAAGAGAGCACGCGAAATGTAGAAGCAAAACAAGAACAACAAAAACGAGAAGGCGACGACGCGTCTATAATTTTAGTACGCGACGTGCCAATATTTTCCACTTCTTCGACTTCTATGATGCCTTTTTACGGCGTCGTGCACGTAGGTTACGTTCCGAAAGACGGATACATTCTTGGATTGAGTAAAGTTGCGCGCGTAGCGGAAGTATTTGCTCGAAGAGTGCAAAATCCAGCAGGTTTAGCGCGAGAAATTGCGGAAGCTGTTGGAGAAATTGCATGCGCTTCAGGTGTTGGAGTCGTTTTAGAAACCACGCAATTAGGACCACGGAAAGGTAATGCGAACGCAGCATCTGCTAGAAACGTGAGTCGTCACGGCGTCGGATGTTTGAGCTTGGGCAGATGCAGAGAGAAATTTGATCGTTCTTCGGCGATGAAGAACGATGCGGAGGATTATGAAGATGAAGAGTGTCGCGAGGGAAGATGGACCGAATTTGAAGGGTTGCTCGGCATGGGTCGCGCAAAGATACAAGATACTTCGTCGCCTTTAGAAGGCAGTTCGCGGCGGAGCACGTCTCCGTCGGAGCGGGGAAGCTCGAAAGCTCCACCCAAAAAAGCTCTCGAAGCATCGATCCGACTTCTCAAAGCGATTGGATTAAAGTCAGCAAACGGAACTTCAACTAGCTCTAGTAGTGAAAATCTTCTCGTGGGTTGCGGAGACGATGATGACGATGACGATAACGATGACGAGGATGACGATGATGATGATGACGACGACATTACAATGCGAGACAATAACTCTGCTTTGGCGGATGATATTTCGCTGTCATCGTACACTTCGTTTGAGGGCAGAGCGCGAACACCGCCTTCGCCATCTACTTTATCATCACCTATCTTGTCAAGCGATGCAGCAGGAGACGACCACAAGAACGGCAAGAATATTCACAACAAAATGCCATCATCTGTTGTGAGATGCAGAAGCGTTGAAGCTCCTTTTTCGCTCGCGCGTTGCGCGTTCAACTATGCTTCCATGATGAATGAATCGGTTTGTGGAAGAGAGGTTTCCTTAGAGCAAACAGTGCAACAAAACGTACCAGAATCGTCATCTATGTCGACTTTCAGGCGGTGTTTCAGTTCCACATCGACATCTGACGTCTCCGAACTTACGATTGAGCGAGATTTATTATTGACGACAACGTGCGAACATCACCTGTTACCTTTTCATGGCGTCGTTCATGTGGCGTATTGGCACTCCCCAGGTCACGCACTCGATAGAAAATTAGTTCAAGCGATAGTATCTAGACAAGGAAGCCGTCTGCAAGTGCAAGAGCGGCTCACTTCGGATTTAGCGGATGATTTTGAGAAAGTTATTGGTAGTCACTCCAATGTGACTGCGGCTGGCGTGATGATTTGTATCTCCGCAGCTCACATGTGCATGGCTTCGAGAGGCGTGGAAAAAACAGGAAGCTCGACGTGCACGGTAGCTACGCGAGGTAAGTTCGCTTCCTCTTCCAAAGCCCGCTCGAGAGTCTGGCAAAGTTTGTAACGAGTTGTAAACAAATAGAATAATAATAACAAAAAGCTGTTTTTCCTTCGAGCGCGCATATTAAAGTAAAGCAATTATATTACTACTAGATTTTGTTATATTACCAAATATGCTAAGATTAAATTAGAACGCCAATCGCGTGAAGAACCAGCGGTTTTTGCCAGTCTTGAACTTCTCCTCGAACAACTTTTTAGACTCCTTTTGCGCCGCAACTTTCTTGGTCGCGTCGTCCAAGACATCCGGCGTCACAACCCCCTTCAAGTCAACATCTAAGGAGTACCGCGTCGGCATGAGGTGGTTCAAGTTGATGTACTTGATGAAAGTCTTGCATCTAGATCGTTTGTCTTGCTTCTTTTGGTCCATCTTTCTCGTGATCTTTCTCGGTACGGTTCTCAAACCGCACACCAAAGCGTGTCCGTACGGACGAGCGTTCGTACCTTCGTCGTTGCATTTGACAATCACCGCCTTCTTGCCCGCATATCGGCCATTGGTGACTACAACAACTTTACCGCCTGCGCGTGTGAAAAAAGAAGAAGAGAAAATACACCTGGTTAGTTTACTTTCAAACGTAAAAGAAGACTTCCCCGTGGAAAGAAGAATGGAAAAACGCAATGTTCAGAGAGAGGGAGGGAGAGAGCAAGCCGCAAATCGAGGAGGAAATGTGGACAGCTTTGGTCGGAAGTATCGCACACGCGCGAACGATGAATCGTCAACAAACACGCGCAATCTTGTCAAAAACGCATTCGAGCCTGTACTTTGACCACGCGCTCGAGCGTCTGATGTTTCCATCGTCAACACAGAGCGCGATTCCAAAGCGGAAAAGACCCGTCATCCCCTCGGAGGGCTTCCTCTGAAAACAAATCCGGAATCGGCGCGCGTCACGCGCATCGCGAAGGGAACCATCGGTCGCACACCGTGGAAGAATACTTCTAATCGTTCGTACCTTTCAAAAATTTAACCATTATGTACGTATAAGGTGTGTGTGTGTGTGTGTGCGCGATGTAAAAGACAACTGCGGTTGCTCTGTGCGTTTTTTTATGAGGAAACGAGGCCCCAACAAGCTCTTTTTTCAGTACGTTCCTTCACCACAACACCTCCCCCCTCCGATAATATTAATAAAAAGTATCATACAAGAAGAAGCGCAGAAATGTCTTACCGGTTGAGCAACATTTCGCGGCAGATGGCTCGATTCATGCGAACACATTCGTCATCATCATCATCCGCGCGCGGTAGCAGTAATAGTAGTAGTATGAATAGTAGTATGAATAGCAGCTCGTCGTCGTCGTCGTCGTCGCGCCAAAAACAAATTTTCTGTAACAACAACAGCAGCAACTGCAACGGCTTTGGCATCGTTTCGCGTCCAACAAACACCAACATCGGCATCGGCAGTTTGCGATCGTTTGCGGACATCGCCGCCGCACAAAAGAACACTCAACTGAATGCTCGAGTGGTTGCATTCGCTCTGGAAGCATTGAAACTTGAAGCAGCGACAACGACAGCGAGAACGAATTTAAACTTGGTAGATTTAGACGAGATAATTCTCTCGACTGATTCTATCGGCTTGTTCGAAGAGATTGAGGATACATAGCATGACCTAATACATGAATACATATCTAGGTACTGGTACCACTGGTACTAATAATACAACTGCATTTTGGACATCGTATAAATAAAACTTTCGTACGCTATAATACAACTGTCTTTCTCGTCTTCCTCGTCGCAAAAGAGTCGTCCTCGAAGCCAGTTTTCACACTTTCGTGGGCAAGAGCAGTGCTAAACCTCTCCCAGGGCCTGGTGACGGAGGCGGTGGTAAAGTCATGCCTTCGACGAAAAGCATGAATTTCTTCATGCCAGACACGTTCCATCTAGGAGCTCCTCCTCCTCCTTCTTGATCGGCTATGTGACTATCCATGCCTTCTGCGTTCGCCGTATTATTTTCGTTGGACGATGTCACAGAGAAACCGATTTTCTTCAGGTGTTCATTCATAACATTCAGAGCTTTGGCGTAATTCTTAGACTCGACATTTTCTCGGTAAAGGCTCGTTTCGCCGGTTGTCGTTACGCGGATGATGACACAGCCGTAGCACCGTACAATTACTTCACCTGTCGCAGCATCTTTCTTTGCCGGGAATTGGTTGCACAAAGATGATTTCAACCTGGCTCTCCCACCATCGCGATAACCTCCGCCACTACCACCTCTGCTGTTGAACCCTCTGTCAAAGAACCCTCGTCCTCTTCCTCCTCTGTTGTTATTATAATTATTATAATTGTTGTTGTTATTGTTATAAAAAGTAGTTGGCGAATTATTGCGAGATTCTTTTCGTATGGTTTTCGTCTTCGGCTCTAGTCTCTCTAACACGCTCTTCTTCGTCGTTGTCGTCGTCTTGCTCTTCTTTTCCTCTCCGTCGTCCATCATTTTAGACACCATCGTGAGTTGTATCGCTGCTGCTGCTGCTGATGATGATGAGGTTTTCTTCCTTTTAAAGTTCGTTGTGACGAGATTTGAAACCTCAGAGCAGAGGGAGAAAGAAAGAAGAGAAAAAAACAGCAGAGGAGCGAAAACGTCACACAAAAATCTTATTCACACACACATTCACATATATGTCTTCAGCTATTTTACGCTCCTCTTTTGCGGCATCTGTACGCACCACTTTCTCCAAATCGCAAAGAACTACCATCAATACTAAACGCTCAGTCATGACGAAAGCTGTACGTCGTCGTCGTCGTCGATTTCTTTTTTTCTCGATATGTGAGCCGACCGACAAAACGATCGGTTGCGCTTTTTTTCTTTCTCTTCTTTCTCTAGTTTTCGTTTTCGTGTGAACGCGCGCGAGAATCAACTAACCTCGCAAAAACTCTCATGCTACACACACACACGCACACTCACGCGTGATATCTTTACATTTATCACACAGGTTACCATCACGGAAGGCGTCGGTACGTTGTTGTTTGATGTTGTTGAAAAATTCCGTTCTTTCCTTTTTTTGTTCTTCTTCCCTGTTTTCCCGGGAGTCTCTGTCATGAGATATTTTTCGTTTCGTTCTCTCTCTCTCTCTCTCTGCTTCTGCTTCTTCGTATTCTTCGTCTTTCTATTATTTCTAGCATTGAAACTCTTCTCAACTCACCGAAATGTAAACTATTCATTCATTCATTCATTCACAGAATTCGACACGGTCGCTCGCGAATGGCGCATGAAATGGTCCCCGGACGACGACAAGGCATCTTTAGCCGCCGCCCAAAAAGTGTTGGAAAAGCAACTCGCGACGGTGAAGGCAGTCAAAGGCGTCAAGAGCGTCCAAAGAGTCGTTTGCGGTGGATGCATGGACTTTAAAGTCATCGTTGCTTTGGACGGCGACTCTTTCGGTGAGTGGGAAGCCGCTGGCTTCGCGCCGGAGGCTGACTTTCTCAAGGAAGTTGAATCCATCAAGGGCATTCAACAAGTGGAGACGCAAACCTTTACGCTCATGCCAATGTAAAGTTAAAAATCTCTTCTTTTCGTAAGAAAGAGTTCTACACTTCTCCTTCTGTAATCCGTCAAGGTAGAGGAAGAGTCTTTTTGTAATGAACATCAATCACGGCACACACAAAATGAACGAACGAAACCTTCTGGTATTCGTATTTTTTGACGCGAATAAATTTTCCCCTCTTTTTCTCTAGAGCTCCTCTTCATATTAACTTTCTTTGTCTCACAGTTCTCAGTGGTAACACCCTTTCGTATTTTCGGTGATCTTCTCTTCTTCACTAAATTTTCTGACGGACGCGACGAGAAAAAGAATCACGCAAGCATGGATACTCCTGTCAATACCCAGCTTGGCGCGTCCACTGGCATCTCCACGATTGATGCGATTCCGAACGTCGAGGTACGTCGCTTCTGTTTTCTTTATTAATATACCGTGTTTTTCTGACATTTTGATTTCGCGCGTCGTTTTTCGAAGTCACCACGTCCTCGTTTCTGGAAATCCTCGCATTTTCATAGTACGTGAACACTCACTCACTCACTCTCATCATCATCATATATAATACCAACAACAGGCATTCGGGATGCTCTTTCTCGGCTTTCTCTTTTGCTTCTTTGGTTTGAAATACCACATGTATTTCCAATACTGCTTAACCTTCGTGGCGGGTGCTTTCTTTTCCGTCCGCTTGCTCGGCATGGCGTCAGATGCTATTCCAGGTGACTTGGTCAATGCGGATAACGAATTATATATTGGCGCAGCTTTTGGCGCGGTCATGTGCTTGGGAATTTTCTTCTATAACTTTTGGTTCTACAGAATTCTCGCCGCGTGCGCCGGATTCGGTATTGGCGGTGGTGCGACCATCGCCATCGGGCTCTTCGCCCCGATAGCTGTCGACTACGTCTTGTACGTTGGCGCCGCTGGTGCGGTTTTGGGTATCTTCTTCATGACATCATACATGAAGACGCTCGTTGGTTTGATGTACATCCTCTGTGGCGGGTTTATGGTTGCCTCGGCGTCGTCATTCTTCATTGAAGAAGCGTCCTTGTCGAAGTCGTCGCCGTTGTGGATTACAAACTCACTCAGCATCAACCTCAGAGATCCGGCGACTTTGGCCGCTATCTCGTGCGGCTTGGTGTGCGCTGGCTTCGGTTATTACTACAGCACGAAAAAGAATAAAGATGGCGCGGATGAAGATGAAGAAAACTCTCCTTTATTGAGAAAGAAATAAATAATAAAGCAGAGGTTTCTTTTCGGCTTTTTCTATATTGAGAACACAACATGAAGGACGAGAGGAGAAATGAAACTTTTACATAATGCACTCACTATTTATTGATCGTTTTAATGTGTAATTTACTACTAAATATTTTCTTATTCATTACTCTCTTCGCACGGCGTGTAACACGGCGGCAAAGTCCTCGTCATCGTGCCCGTCTCGTCTCGCTCGCTTATACATCTCGTTTGCGGCTGCGGCAACTGGTAACTCGCGACCGAGTTCGTCCGCCAATTGGACGGCCAAACGCATGTCTTTTTGCTGATGCTTCAAAGGAAATGCTGGCGCAAACTTTGTATTCCTATCGCTCGCAATCATCCCCGGACCTTTCATGCCAAACATCGGAACATTAATCGCTCCGAGCGCTAACACGTCTAACAAGTCTTGTTTCGATAAGCTTGCGTCTTCACACAACGCGATTGACTCTGCGAACGACGCCATGATTGAACCCATGCACGAGTTAACGATTAATTTCATATTCGCTCCGGCACCAACTTCTTCGCCTAAAAAGAAGCTCGCTTTGCCCATTTTATTTAGTTGATTCGCGTCGTCGGCGTTGATTTCTTTAAACAGACTCTCGCTCCCGGCGCATAAGAAAATCAACTGCCCGTTCTCCGCCGGCGCTTTCGATCCGCTCACTGGTCCTTCTAAATACCGACCACCTTTGCTGGTGATCATTTCCGATACTTTTTGGGCCGTGTGTCTGTCCACCGTAGAACAGTCGACGTATCCTTTCCCGTCAGAGACACCATCTTTGGCCAAGGTGGCAACTTCTAAAGTCGCCTCCGGGGTGCTCACCATGACGTACGTCACGTCCGCTTTCTCGCACACCTCTTGCGCAGTCTTCGCTAGAGTCGCTCCCGCTTTGACCAACGGGTCGCATGCCGAAGCCGTTCTGTTCCAGACGATTAAATTATGATTGCCGTTATTGATTAAATTCAAAGCCATCGGGACGGCCATAATTCCAGCCCCGAGGAATCCTATCGTTGTTTGTTTTGACGTCATTTTATCTGATGACGATGATGCGCGAGGAGTGATGATGATTGAAGACTTCAATGTGGTCTTCTCGATACTATTGTTCTTGTTGTTCGAGAGAGACGAAGAGTTGTTGTTGTTGTTGTTGTTCACACGACGACGACGACGACGACTACTAATAATATTAGGAGGAAGCGAAAACGAAGACGCAGCGTGGGTCATATTTCTAAGGAATTTTTACACGTGTCGGCCGGAAGAATTCTCATCTCACAACTTCAATAAAATACTACTCCTTTTTACTTTTTCTCGTCGTCGTCCACTGTTTCGTACGTCTGTTTCATGCGTTTGAGCTCAAATTCCGCCTCTCTCTTCAGCGCTAATATCTTGCACACTTCCGAGACCGTCGCTCTCAACTGGTCCTCCACTAACTCTAACTTCGCCGCCATCGCCGCTCGTATTTCAAAACTCGCCGCCAGCTCTTTTTGTAACTCCTCTTTAGACAAGTCGTCGAATTGACCCGGGGAAATCGTTTCTATCGGAGGGATTTTATCACCACCACTGCTCCCATCAGTACCGCTCGCGTTGCTGTTACTGTTACAGGACATCCTCTTTCCTCTTTCTTTTCCCTCGTCATCAAAATTCGTTGAACGTTCTACAAAGTATCCTTCCTCCCGGTGGAAGAAAAAGCGAGAAAAAGCGCTCTTATTTTGGAACGTCAACATCGTCTTCTTCTTCTTCTTCATCGTCGTCGTCCTTCCGCTTGGAACAAACGCCGCTCTGATGATGGAAGAACAAGACGACGACGACGATAAAGACGACGACGAGGTTGTCGGTATCGACGCGGTCGTTTGCGATGGGAAAATTCGCGTTGAAGTCATCATCATCATCGTCATCGTTCCTTATTTCGATATTATAATAAGGCCACATTGCAACACGAAAAAGCAAATTGAGAAGAAAATTGAGTGAAAAACCACTCACTTTTGCAGCTCACGTTCCTCACTTGTAATACAAGTATACTCTTTCAACTACTTTTGGAACTTTCACACACACACACACACACACACACACGCTCGAATAGTAATGGGATCTCTTTCTCTCCCCTGCTTCGATTCCGTCACCAGAGTCTCCAGAGGAGAGAAAGAAATCGGCGCGGTGGAGTTGGAGACCGATAAATTCGATTTCGAACAAGGCAACAACAACAACAAAGAAAACATCTTGATGAACAAACCGACAAAGAACGATTGGGTGTGCATCGCAAACAGCGAGTGTCAGGCAACTAATAGAAGAGGAGGTTTGTATTGCCGAATGTGCGGAACCGCGTATAAAGAATCGTACGTGAAGTTGAAACAGATGCAGAAAATTCAACGGGAAGAGGAAAAGAAGAGGAAGAAAGAGGAAAGAGAAGCGCAAGCGAGAAGCAGTTCGATGTTAAACAGAGATTTTACCAATTCAAAGAAGAAAGAAGAGAAAAGCGAAAACGATGACGATGACGACGTCGACTTGGAAAGTTCGCTGATGTTTCTAACAATGAGTAACGCCTCGATTACGTCTAAACGCAGCGGTGGCGACTTTGCGGACGGCGGAGCAGGCGAGAGCGGGCAAAAAAAAGGGGACGAGACGAGGAAAAGGCTCGCTGAAGCTTTAACTTGGGAGGAAGTCAAAGAAGAACAGCTGAAGAAGAGCTTTCCGTTGATGTCATTCGCATTTTTTGCCGCTTTCGTGTATATTTTGGTACCTATTTGCGTGTGCTTTTTTGGGGTGGTTTTTGCGGGCGCCATTTCGTATTTAGAAGATTGGAGTTTAGAACACTCGTTCTTCTTCATCGTAGGCGAAATCGTAAAGTCACCGATAAATTTAAACAACAACATGGATTATCCCATTCACCCGAGTGGGGTTTGCTTATCCGTAATGCTTTCGATTTGGTCGTATTTAATAATTCTGACCACCGTGGCGTTACTGAGCGACTTGGAAATCATCAAATTTTGGGCGTTTAAAATGGAAGCTGTTTTAGTTGACGTGTTTCGAGTGACTCTTTTATCGGACTCTGATGCGAGAGCGAGAGCAATTGGTTCGCGTTCTGTTTTTTTCAGCTTCAAAGTTGGAGAAATCTTGGGTTTGGCGTCTTTCATGCTCATCTTCGCGCCTTTTATGATTACGGTAGTGGGCTCCTTGACCACGCTTCTTTTGTACGAAACCGAGGGCATAACGTACCGAAAAGCGTTGACGCTATCGTTGCGTGGTTTATCTCTCGGGAGAAGTTACGATGAGACTATTTTAAAGCTCAATAATCCGGCGAGTTTGGTATACATACTTTATTTATGCTGCACGGAGATGGCTATAGGAACCATCTTCGTTGGCTTTCTCTTCCAATCGCACTTCAAAAAAAACTGGTTTCCCGCAAAGTGGGCGAGAGCAAGAAGAAAACGCAATAGCAGCGGCGGCAAGGCAGAAAGAGCCCCTGCGTAAGAAGAAGGGAGAAAAGAAGTACGTTATTAATTTAGTTTTAGTAATAATATGTGTGCGATTAGTCTTTCGCAATAATCACGCGTTTCTGCACTTTTTTCGTTGCAAAACCAAATTATCTATTTTAAAATCCTCTGGTGCTCTGCTGTTGAAAATATCTCAACCTCGGTTTACAGGTTTACGGGATTTGTCCACGTCTCAAAAATAAAAAAAAATTCTCTTCGCAGATGCATGCAAAAAGAAATTTAATCGCGTCAGAATTATTTTTGATCGTCCAATTCTTGTTGTGTCTCAACGCGATACTTATTCAATCGGGTGTTATTGTTGTTGTTGTTGCGGCCGTCGCTTGCTTGATAAACAATACTACGCTCGCTTTTATTTCTTCTTAAAGAAGAAGAAGACGATTTATTAGATGGAATACGCAGCTGGAGGTATCTGTGCAGCTCTTTTTTTAAAGCTCAGAATGGGACGACCGCATTACCCGGAAAGGAAAGGTGAATATTCCGTTCGATCGAAAGCATCGAACGGGTTAGCCGTTTGGTCCAACGCCGATCGACCGAGCGACTTTTCAACCACCCCGTTTCCCGGTTGTGAAACCGTTTTGGATGTTTTCAACTACGCCGTCAGAGTGAACGGGTCGAGACCGGCAGTTGGCGAACGAAAAATCATCAACACGGAAACCGATGCCAAAGGTTTTGAAAAATTGCACTTGAGCGATAAATACGACTGGTTGACGTTTGCGCAGTTGAACGAAAAAGTTGCCAACGTCTCCTCGGGTTTAATCAACACGTGTGGGTTGAAACCGAAAGATAAGGTGATCATCTACGCGGACACAAAGGCGGATTGGATGATCACCGCGCAGGCGTGCTTTCGCACGAACGCTTCTGTTGTGACTATTTACGCCACGTTAGGCGCGGAAGGCGTCGAACATGGTATCAACGAAACTTCGGCTTCAATCATCGTGTGCGACGGGAAGTTATTAAAAACTGTTCAAGCCGTCGCATCGAAGTGTCCGTCCATTAAGCACATCGTGTGCATCGGTACGGATCAGCAGGAACATATCTCGTCCTCAAAGTTGCCGAAATCCATCAAGGCGCACGCCTTGTCGGACATCCAAGACTCAGGGTCCAAGAAGAGATGCGACCCGGTTCCCCCTAAATCGACAGACACGGCCGTCATCATGTACACGTCGGGTACGACAGGAGCACCAAAAGGTGTCGTCTTGGCGCACTCGAACGTGTTGGCCTCCATGGCTGGTTTGAACGATTCCGCGGATTTGACAAACCAAGACGTCTACTTGGCGTACTTGCCCTTGGCACACATCATGGAAATGGCGGCTGAATGCCTCATGATGGCCCTTGGTGCTGCTATTGGTTATGGGTCGCCACAGACACTAACCGATACGGGTTTGAAACTCGCTCCCGGCTCCCGAGGTGACGCGCCGACTTTACAACCAACCTTTATGGTTTTTGCGCCGGCTGTTTTGGACAGAGTGCGCCAAGCGGTTCAAGCCAAATTTGCCGCGGCGAGTCCATTACTTAAGAAACTTGTCGGTGCCGGGTTAGCCGCTGGAGAAAGAGAGTTTCACGCCGGAAGAATTGGATCCACGGCGTTCTTCAACGCTTTGATTTTCAAAAAGGTACAAAAACTGATTGGCGGAAAAGTCCGTCAAATGGTTTCCGGATCCGCTCCTTTATCCCGCGAGACGCACATTTTCATGCAAACGTGCTTCCGTTGCCCAGTACTTCAAGGTTATGGTTTGACCGAAACCGCATCGTGTGGCACCATTTGCACGCCAGGTGATTTTTCCGCGTCAGTCGGTGGTGTTTTAACTTCCACGAAGATCATCTTGAAGGACTGGGAGGAAGGAAACTACTCGACCAAAGATGAGAACGATGCCAGCATTGGTTTACCAAGAGGCGAGATTCTCATCGGTGGCCCGGTTGTCTGCCAGGGCTACTACGTGCCGAGCGATAAGCCAAACGCAGAGTTGCAGAAGAAGAACGAAACAGAGTTTTCGCTCATCGACGGTGTTCGATATTTCCACACAGGAGATATCGGTCAGTTCACGAAGAAAGGTCAGTTGCAAATCATCGATCGCAAGAAAGATTTGGTGAAGTTACAATTCGGCGAGTACGTCGCGCTCAGTAAAGTTGAAAACGTATTGAAGCAGTGCCCTTACGTCGCTTCTGCGATGTGCTACGCGTTATCGAGCAAGTCGCACGTGATTGCTTTGGTGGTTGTGAATGAAGCTCCAGTGAAGAAGTTTGCGGAGAGCAACGGAATTTCCGGCTCTATCGATTCGATGATCAAAGATCCAAAGGTCGTCGCCGAAGTTACGTCTGCGGTACAAGCCGTGTGCAAGGGGAAGTTGGCCAAGTTTGAAATCCCATCGAAGCTCGCGCTCGATGCGGAACCGTGGACTCCGGACAATGACATGGTCACCGCGGCGTTCAAGTTGAAGCGTCAAAATCTCGTGAAGAAGTACAAGAAGGCCCTTGATGCTGCGTATGCGTAAGAAAGGTCGGGACGAAAGTTATATGCGGAAGCGTTTACTGTCAAGTTGTTACATATTATATAAAAGTTAAAAACATAATATATTATTCTTACAAAGCGGCTTCGCCTTATTTAACTATCTATCTGCGTTGTTATATTTTAAGAGCAAAAGACGGGCGATGAAAAATTTCTTCAACATCTGAGCCGTTTCCTCTTCTCTTTTTTTTCATATATGATCTAAAACTTCTTGATGAAAGGTCTAGAAGCTCCAGCTTCTTCGTCACCTAAGTCGCTACTGTTCGCTGAACCACCCTCCTTATCGTTGGTATCAAATCTATTGTCCTCTTTAATCTTCTCAACGGCATTCTTCGCCATCTCTCTGTACTTTTTGCGGAACTTCGGGTAGAAGCAGAAGAACAACAACTTGAACGAGTCGCGCGGTTCGCCAAATAACTTCATACCGTACGCCAATACAACAATAATTAACACCATACCGAACGCGAAACCAACGCTATCGCTCGGCGACAAGAAGTAACCTTCGTCGTTCACATTCTCGATGCCGTTGTAAATGATTTGAGCTAAGTTCAACGGTGGTGGCGGCGGCGGCGCCAACGGCTTTCTCTCCACATAACCCAATCGATTGAACCTGAAACTCACCGGATAACCAAGGGCGCTTGCCATTGATTTACTCAAATCGTACGTTCGAATAGATTGTTGCGTAACCGCAGACGACTCATCGTATTCCCCAGAGTAGAAGAAATTGTCGTGATAAATGGTCATCTTCTGGTTCATAGAGATTTTTTCCGGTACGCCGGCGCCAGTGTCGATGACGAACACCTGGCCATACGTGCATATGCACTGAGCCTCTTCTACTCCACTCGCCGTGCAAGTTTCTATGCACTCTTGATCTTTCTCAGTTGAGGCTGGTAAAGTGTTCACCCATTGCTGAACAGCTAAATGAAAAGCGCGCGCTTGCGACAACGTCTTGGCCTTCGCACTGAACTTCCTTCCAATAGAGTTTTCGGCGCCCAACCACCCGAACCTAATGGTATACAAGCCTGGGACAGAAGTGAGTTTGTCTCGCAATCTCTGAAGTTCTGTGGCCGTAAACGTATACAGCCGAGCCGCAATAAAGCCCATTTCGAAGGATTGATCCTTCGACTCCAACTCGATGGAAGTATACCTTGCTCGACCTCCAGCTCGTACCGGAGCTGAATTTCCCTGCGTGGATTTGACATCCGCAAGCGCATCAATAGCAGCTTTGACTTGATTCTTGACTGAACTGGTCGGTAAAGAGACATAAATGTTGCAATACATAGCAGCCTCAGACGGCGGCGGCATGCCAGGCGGCGGCAACGGCGGCGGTGGCGGCGATGGGGACGCTGGTGGTGGCGACGGTGGCGACGGCGGCGGCGGCGATGGCGGAGGGAAAGGTGAAAGTGGCGGCGGCGATGGAGCCGCGGGCGGTGGCGACGGCGGCGATGGCGGTGGGGGAGGAGGACTTGGCGGCGGCGGCGATGGCGGCGGCGGATTCCTTGACGGTAGCGGCGGCGGCGGCGGTGCCACCCACCCCGGTGGTTTGTTCGGTGGAGGCGGTGAATTCGGTGGCGGCGACGGGAAGGAAGGTGGTGGAGATGGAGGAGACATCGGCCAGGACTTACAGTCGGTTTGCACGTATTTCTGTTCGCCCACATATGGGAGGACGGCGTCAACGACTTGCTGCTCCAATGCTGGCGTGAAACCATCCGGATAATAGAACGTCGCGTAGACAAACTCACCTCTCGGGTCGGCTTCAACCACTGGCTCATACACGCCCCACGTATCGTGCGTGCTTACGCCAGTTGTGCAATCAGTCACCGTATCGATCGGTCCGACGTCGCCGATATTTCCCGGCGTGGTCAACTTGGTAACGAGAGACCCCGAATCGCAAGCGACGTGAATCGCTTCCTTTGCGAGAGTCACGAAGCTCTTCTCCGGGTGCCTCAAGGAAACAGATACCGAGCGAACGCCATCATCCGGCGCGGCTTCCCGATCTTCCTGGGTCAGATCAGCGTCGCAAACAGCGCCCGGCACTCTCTCGCAGCTGTACGGCTCTTGGTGAAACAAAACTTCAACCGCAACGCCGGCGTACGTGTTTGCACCAGTTTCATCCACAATGCCCGTGACAGATACCGAGTTCGCGATGTCCTGCATCGCTCTGAGAATACCTGGGTAAAGGTCAGTCACGGTCGCTGTGGACGTCAAGCTGAACGTCCCAACAAACTGAGACGCCGTTTGTAACGGATCACCGCGCATGAGCGGCTGCGCAGACGATTCGTTCTTCACCGCACCGATCGCGTTGGCAACAATAGCAATCGAATCCCTGTTGTGTTGTTGGCCTATTCCCGACATGGTCGAGCCCATGTCGTGCTTGTATTGTAACCCGTACGGGAACACGTTGAACATACCTTGCAGGGACGAATAAAACTCGAGCATTGGGTTCACGAATCGTTCCAACACCACCGGCGGCGGTGACAGGTTCCATGGCGGTGGCGTCCCCGGTTCCGGGTGTGGCGGTGGTGGTGCTGGTACCGGTGGCGGTGGCGAGGGGGCAGGCGGCGCTTTCGGAGTCGGCGGTGGCGGCGACGGCGAGTACACCGACCTCGAAATGGCAATCTTGTAGCCGTCGTCGCACTCCGTTTTCTCTCCGGCGACTAAATACCACGTCCATCCAACTTCAACGCTCAATTCAAGCGCTCCGAACGGTTGTGTCGTCGTATAATCGACAAGCTTTTCCGCGCCACTCAAGGATGTTAACTGCGCACCCGTCAAGCACGTCGAATCGAGAAAACCAGGCGTTTGTGATACGTATCCCGCTTCCACTTTCTTCAAAATCCTGTTTCGCGAAAAAAGAAAAGAAAGAAGATGATGTCAGTTTCTCTACTGCGCGTTACGTGCTATGAAACACGACACCGTTAACGATCGCAAAGACAAAAGAATGAATGCGTTGAACGTAGAAGAAGAAGAAGAAGAAGAAGAAGAAGAAGAAACTTCTTTTCATTTCATAAAACGCGAGTGAGAGAAAAAACGCTTTGGATTTTTTGAAAAAGAATAGAGAGACCCCCCCCGCGCGCCGCTCTTCTTTTGAGGAGGGGCTTTGATCTACGGCCAAAATAATTTGAACCGACAGATTCTCTCTTTCTTTTCTATCGCGCGATCGACGTCGTTTGTTTCGCTCTCTCTTTCTCGGATGAGAGCGTTGTCTCTGTTACTATTAAACGTACCAAATGTCGCTGGAGAGAACGTTCCAGTTCAAAGTGATCGTGCTCACTTCTTCGTCGATGAAATCGACAAAGATTTCCGTGGAATCAGCCGATTGGTCTACGTGTGGCACCCAAAAAATCTTCCTGGGCGTCTTCTCCGCAGTCGCGAAAAGAACGGAGAAGAACGCGAAGACTATCGCGAGGAGGATCTTCAATGCATCTGATCTCTTCTCCGTCATCATCATCATCTCTGCTACTCCTTGCTCACTTTTGACGACGGGAACGAAAGGAAAGAAGAGGAGGATTCAAACACAAAAGGAGAGGTTTGGAAAGACCGGAAAGAGGAAAGAAGAAGAAGACGATGTGATCGTTGATTTTTTTCTTCGTCGAAGAATTTAAAACCAAGTCTTTTTCCTCCTTAACCTTCTGTATTCCGTTCAATCGCACTCGCGTTCGCTTCTTCGATCTCTTCTCTTTCTTTTCGATCGGTGAAAGAGTCTTTCTTATAGCGTTTAAATCCGCGTTTTATGTGAAGATGATTCAAAAGAACAAAAGAATTTTATACGGCGCTTCGATGTAATCCGTTTGCAAAGGGGGGGTGACGATTGATTGGAAAAACGTGCGAAGGAGAAGCTTCTGGCCAATTTTTTTTTGGATACCCTAAATTGAATGTATGTATGAGATTGGAGTCAACAAAAGAACTTTACTACACTCTACTATTCCTCTCTTACTCCTCACCACTTCGAGAAGATACGATGTATTCACACAAAGCGGCGTCAAAGACAGCCATCGATCGATTAGAACGATCTATTGAAGTGATGGGTACGATGCCTGAGCAAATAGCCGAGGCACACGTTCGATTTATGGGGTACGATTTACCCGACAATTGCTCGGCTGCGGTGAAACGAGGGAGGCTGTTGAAACTCCTTTCCGATGAGGTTTTGCGCGAGGCGAAACGGGCGGAAAGGGAAGAATTTACGACACAGGCAAAGGCTCAAAATTTTGGTGATGGAAACGATGATGACGATGATGATGAGAACAAGAAGAACGTGTCATCTTCACGTCGGCAACAAAACGACAATGTGTCGTCGTCGTCGATTTCTTCGAATAGACGAATATGCGACGACGCAGGCGACAACAACTCCACGGAGACGAAAATAGTGAACGGAGGAGGACGATATAATAACAACAACGAAGGCTCCGATAGTGATTCAGATTCCTCGGTACAAGGCACGGAGCGTGCGGCACCACCACCTCGTTCACTGTCGCCCCCTCCGCCGCGAGTCGACGAGCGCGAGGCGAATGCTGCGAGTACGAATACGTATGCAGATTCGGAATCAGAAGCATCAGAAGAAGATCCGGACAACTATTACGGCAAAGCGGCACTCGAGCCGGAAGCACCACCGGGATCGAATCCGTTCGCTACGATAACTTCGGAGAAACAAAAGGAGATGGAAAAAGAAGCGTTGCAACAAATCGAAGAGGCTAAAAAAATGATGGCAGCATTGAAATTCAACGTCAGCAAAAACGATAATAGTAATACCAATAGTAGCGACGACGAGGACGACGAGGACGACAACGACGACAACGATAGCATTGACAACATTAGCAACAACGACAATAATAAAAATGACGACGAGAACATCTCCAATGGGGATCTCCTCGCGGGTGAAAGTTTCGCTCAGCGCCAAAATTCCAAGTTCAAAAACGTTTCCTTTCCGCCGCTTCCAATCGAAGACGACGTGCGTTCCATTCGCTCAGATGCGGTTTCCTCCAGAGGCGGAGATGACGTGGGTAGTGTGAAAGACTTTGGTGGTTCTGAATACGGTGGTTCTATTTACTCCGTCGCCGCAACAATGGGTTCTAACCAAAACGAACAAGAGGATGACGAAAAGTTGTTGGACCAACTTGTCGAAGAAGCGGAAGTAGAGAGGATTTTGAGAGGAAGAATCGACGAGGAGGAAGGCGACGGTAACATCATCGACGATAATTCGGAAGGGAAAGAAAACGAAGTTCCGCTATCTCTTTAGTAAAAAGAAAGAGAGAGAAAGACTGAGAGAGAGATAACAAGGTGGGAGCTGTTTTTATTTTCCACATAAAAAGGCGCAAAAGAGAGAGATTTATCCAATTTGCTCTCCCTCTCCTTGCTTCAAACGCGTGCTGCTGCTATACTAGTAAATACAATCGAACACATTCGAACGAGAGATACCTTATTCGTTCACAATCGTCATCATTATCATCATTCGTCGAGCGTTGACTTCGAATCACAACTCGTTCGCCGGGTGTTGTTCGAGAAACTTTCACATTGCAAAAGCGTCGTCGTCATCGAATTTTTCGTCGACGTTCGTTACTACTACCACTGCTACTACTAATCAACGACGTTCTCCATCAATCGCGCGTGTAAGAAGACAAACGATATCATCTGGTCAAACATCATCATCATTTACAACCATGGGCAATGAAGCGACGACCTCAATCGTCTGGTTTCGCAAAGGTTTGCGCATTCACGACAATCCGGCGTTGTCTGAAGCTTTGATAGATGCGAAAAATTTCGGCGGCGGCGACGAGAGCAAAAAAGTTTTGCCACTGTTCATCTTAGATCCGTGGTTTTGCAACGAGAAGAGCGTTGGAGCGAACAGAATGAACTTTTTATTGCAATCGCTGACAAACTTGAACGAGAATCTGGGATCCTTATTGTCGATTGAGAATGTGAACGACGCGAACAATTGCTTAACAGTTGTCCAAGGAAAGCCGAAAGATGTGTTGCCGAACGTCATCAAGAAGTTTAACGTTTCCTCCGTATACTTCGAAAAGGAACAAGTGGAACCGTTCGGTAAGCAACGCGACGAAGAAATAATCGAAATGTGCAAGAAACTCAACGTGGATGTGAACACGTACGCGTCGCACACTTTGTATGACCAGGAATTTTTGCTGAGTAAGGCTTCGGCGAAAGGCATTCCTCCGAGCACGATGGGCGCTTTTCAGAAAGTACTCGCAAACGTCGGCGAGCCACCAAGTCCAGTGCCGGAGCCGCCGAAGAATTCCCTGCGAGTGATACCAAACGCAGGAGATGCTCTTTCGAAGGAGTTCAAATACGCGAACGGTATACCGACCCTGGAGGATTTGGGATACAAGGCGAAGAGTCTTTCGTTCAAAGGTGGTAAAGGCGGCGAAACTGAAGGATTGCGACGAATGCGCGGCGCCCTGTGCAGAGGCGGAGACGGATACAAATACGTGCAAGAGTTTGATAAGCCACAGTCGTCGCCGTGTCAGTTGTTCGCAAAAGAGAAGGGCAGCGGAAAAGCGTTGAATCCGTTTGAAATGGCGAAGAAAGCTTCTTCTTCTTCTTCTCCAAAAGAAGAGTCGTTGTTGTGGCCTTCGACGACGGCACTTTCGCCGCATCTTAAGTTTGGTACTGTTTCGGTACGACAGTTTTATTTTGAGTTGCAAGATATCTTGAAGAACGAGCTGAAAGGAAAACACACGAATCCTCCGACGAGTTTGATGGGCCAGATTTTATGGCGCGAATTTTATTATGTCAACGCGTGCGGTACCCCGAATTACGATAAAATGGTCGGTAACAGAATATGCAAACAAATCAAATGGAAGCACGATCCAGAAAATCTCGCCAAGTGGGAAAACGCGCAAACCGGGTTCCCTTGGATCGATGCTGCGATGACGCAGTTGAAAGAAGAAGGCTGGATGCATCATCTGGCCAGACATGCCGTGGCGTGTTTTTTGACGCGAGGAGACTTGTTCATTTCATGGGAGGAAGGCGCCCGGGTCTTCGATAGAGACCTGGTTGACGCAGACTGGGCTTTAAACAACGGAAACTGGATGTGGTTATCGGCCTCCTCGTTCTTTTATCAATACTTTCGCGTTTACGGCCCACATTCATTCGCCAAGAAATACGATAAAGAAGGAGCGTACGTGAAACATTTCTTGCCGGTGCTCAAGGACATGCCTTCAAAATACGTTTACGAACCTTGGACGGCACCTTTGGAAGTTCAAAAAAAAGCTGGATGCATTGTCGGCGTGGATTACCCGAAACCGATGGTTGACCACGCCATAGCTTCGAAACAGTGCATGGCTTGGATGAATGAAGCGTACGCGGCTGGGAAAGAAAAGAAATCTGGGGGAGAAGAAAAGAGTAACAAGAAAGCGAAAACGAAATAGTATGTATCTCAGGAACCTGGTATCTAAGTACCAATACCTACTTAGTTACCAAGGGTACCTACAAGTACAAAGCATAGCAATAACATATCATAGCAATAACAAAAACACTATCATTAGATGTAGACGTCAAACTCTTCACCGACGAGCGCTTCCGACCAAGTCCAAAGATCTTCAGCTTCCTCCGTGTTCATGCTCTCTTTACTGGTCGACGCCTCATGGAAAATGTGACCGGTATCTCCTCCAAGGTCATTGTTGTAATATACTCCCGTTTTATTTTCCAACTCTGGATCTAACGCCATTTTAATTAAACAATCTCCACCGCCCGATACAGTTTCCGCAACATGAAGTAAATCGTTCGCTGCGAAATCGAAAACTTTAGTAAACACGGGGTTTTGGTGTTGGAAAAAATTTGAGCGGGTGATTAAGCCCGGGCCGAACGAAACGACGTTTATTTGCGAGTTGGCTAACCTTAATCGTCGGTTCAACTCGTTTGCGAACAGAATGTTCGCGAGTTTACTGTCCTTATACGCCTTGTCGGCGTCGAACTCAGAACCATCCATCAACTCGAATTCCGCCCCATCTTCTTTAATGCCATCAAAATTCCCTAAGCCGGCGCCTCTCCCAACCTTTCCTCCCGGAGATTCCGGATCGTGGACTTCGGAAGCCGTGATAACAATTCGTGGTTTTAACGTCGAGGAACTCGCCGCACTTTCAACATTTTTCAACAACAAGTTTGTTAAATAGAAATGACCCAAATGGTCCGTACCCATGCTCACCTCGAACCCGTCCTTTGTTCTGTTCACCTCTTTACTCCCCGCGTATTGAACGCCCGCGTTCAAGCATAGAATATCAATCGGTTCATCTCCTAAAGACGTCGCGAACGTCTTGATAGATTCCAAATCCGCGAGGTCACACTCAGCCGGCACCAACAAGGAAGGATCGTTCACTCGTCCGCCTTCTGCTGCAATCGCGTCTAATATTTCATATTTCGCTTCTTTTGCTTTTGCCATCGTGCGGCAGGCTAAAATCACCTGCAAGTTGTTCGTCTTTGCAAACTTTGTCGCGGCGTCTAATCCAATACCGTGGTTACAACCGGTGATTACAACCGTACGAATATCGCGCATGACAATAACAGGTTCTTCTTCTTTCTCCGCAGTTGCCACTTCTTCCTCTTCTACTACTACTACTTCATCATCCGCTCGCACTTGTTCTCGTTGAAAAGTCAAAAACGACATCGCGGCAGTCAACGTTAACATCTCTCGCTTTGTCTTGACGCATTCGTTGTTGTTGTTATTATTGGTCGCTGCTGCTACTGCTGCTGCTCTTCTCGGTCTTCTTCTTCTTCTTCTTCCAACCGGTGGATTATGCGGCGACAGTTGCACGCGACGCTGAACAGAAGAGACGACCGATGACGTGATTCTCGTTGTCATCCATGTCGTTTTCGTTGTCGTTGTTGATGATGGTGCGTACATATTGTGCGATTTTGAAGAGATATTCTGTCTGTGGATAAAACGGATACGACGAAAATATCTCTTTCAATTTTACTCACTCACCAAAACCGATTACGTCATTCTCTTTTCTAACAAACACACACGAACGAAAAAGCAATGGCTGCCAACTTGTTACGAAGCACTTTCACGTTAAACGCAGTAAGAATGGGCAACGCTCCTTCCTCCTCCTCATCGTCGTCGTCATCATCCGGTAGAAGAAAACACTCCTCTTCCTCCTCCTTCAAAGCGGGCATCATCGAATGGGCGAACGGGTTAGGAGGAAAAGAAGATTCCGACGGGTGTAAAGGAGCCGACGCACCTGCGGGGAGTACATATCCAATCATGGCGGATGAATCCATCATGTCTAAAAAAGCACACGGAACGTCAGACTCTCCCGTTCAGAAAGAGTTGCGTTGGAACTGTGATTACGAAACCGCTGATAGAATCTGTAACTTCAATCGTCATTACGCGGAATATGCGGGATATTTCCTTTCGACGTCCTTCTTGAAAGAAGTCGATCGGACGAAAGAGACGACGTATTATGACTCCGTCACTGGGAAGCCGTTGTTCGTGGCACCGAGAGGCAGAACTTTTGAGGAGTTTGAGTCGGAATCTCGTGCCCACGGTTGGCCCTCTTTTCGCGATGAAGAAGTTGTTTGGGACAACGTTCGCTGCGTCCCTGGCGGCGAAGCCGTAAGTACTACGGGCACGCATTTAGGCCATAATCTCCCAGACAGAAAGGGTAATCGATACTGCATAAATCTTGTTTCAGTTGCGGCGATGCCATCGAAGTAATTCAATAGTATATTTGTGTGTATCAAAAATCGCAAGAAAAAGAACTACTCTTACTCATAAACGCGGAAAAACAGCTCTCTCTCTATTTCTCAAAAGGTACCTCTCAAAAGAGACTCGTCGAAAGCGCAGCCTTTCGATCTCGTAAACTCGAAACATTCCATGTGACCATTTTTGTACGCGGAATTACACACGTTTGCGTCCCACGCGAACTCATTTTCATGAAGATATTTTAGACATTGGAGATGCCCATTTGCAGCGGCAAGAGTACACGCTACTTCTTGGTCGACATCCTCCCATTCGGATTCGGAGTGTTCTTTCAAGTATTTCAATCCTTCGAGGAATCCAATTTCAGCCGCTTCCTCGACGATACTTTGCCAACCGCAAAACAATTCAACTTCCATCGTTTCGTGCACGTACTCCAGAAGGTCAATATTTTGCGAAAGAACGGTATTTATTGCCAACTGCTCGTCTTGATAAGGACACTCTTCTTCGTGGCAAAATCTTACGCATTCGATATGACCGTTAAGAGCGGCGAGTTCTATCGGTCTGTCACTCGGCTCGAAATCCTCGTCCTCGTGCCATTCACCGCAACTTTCACAAAAATATTCCCCTTCATGAGGTTCCGTCCAGCGACAGCCGCGTTCTTTTCTCGCGTACACGAGGCACTCGAGATGACCTCTTTCAGCGGCTTGCTCTAGAGTTCTTTCGTCCAGCGAAAGCCTCTTCGCACCCACCAACCACTTCAAAATATCGAGTCTTCCGGTGGCGGCAACTTCTGAACAAACGTATTGTTCGCTTGGTGCATTGCAATCGTACTTTGAAATGCGATCCATGGCGTATCGTAAAGTCGAAATAGAAGTAAAATCAGAGATTCTCGACTTCTTCTTTGTTTTCCTACGGGCTCGGTGAATAGCTTCTTTCGTCTCTCTCGAAACCAGGTTTAAAAACTTGACGTCAACATCGTTAAGCTTTGGAAGCAGATGTGCGCGAAAAACATCGCTTTGGTGCGTAAAAACTTGCGTAAGAGTGCTGGCACCTCGTTCCATCATAGTTCCGCTCCTCGTCTTTGGTTTTTGAACGCGTATTATTTTCACCTCTTTTCTTTCCTTGTTGTTGTTGTTGTTGTTGTTTTTAAGAACGGCCCAAAGTACGAACAGGAGCGCGAAAAACGAAAACAGAAGTATGTCCTTCTCCGTTTGCAACTTTGCGATGACCGTGGACTGTGACTGTTGCTTCTCGCCCATTGTCCAGAAGAAAGAGCGCGTGTTGACACGAGGAACAGCCGGCGTTGTGTATCTTTTTTATAATTTTGTGCGTTTTTTTTGCAAAGTGCGCAGATTTTTTCGCTTTTTCTCTTACAAAAGAGAGACTGCTTTAAAACACACATCGTCACAACTACTGCTCTACTACTTTAACAATAATGACTCCAGAAGTACTTCTCGAAGTTTTTCGGATTTCCTGGGCGAAAGAAACGGCGAAAAAGAAACGGGAGAAGCGATTACTCGAAGGAGGAATACCCGCAGAGAAAATACGAGGAGACGACGACGACGACGAAGAAGAAGAAGAAGAAAATGGAGATTCAGATTCAGAAGAAATGAACATCACGGACGAAGCGTTGATCGCGTCGAACGCGGTGATGAATTCGTTTTTGAGAGAAGTCGTGCACAGAGCTGCCGCAGCTGCGGAGGAGGACGGGGATAGCTCGGTGACTGGAGTTCATTTGGAACGAATATTACCTCAGTTGCTTTTAGATTTCACTTCGTGAGCGATGAGAAGCTTTTGAGGCATGGAAGTAGGACATAGAAGTAGTTGTAGGTAGAAAGCAAAATAGTAATGCAAAGATTGGATATTTATAAACATATGAAAGCAATGATGAATGCGTGTGTGTGTGTATTTCTCTTTCTTTTTCTCTCTCTATTGTACAACGTGTGGGTTGGTGAAATGTTTTCTCGTAAAATCCAACTTTTTAAATCCAATCGCCTTCTTGTAACTTCAACGGCAAATAGACCTCGGATAAATACTGAAACCCGTAACTACTCAGCGCCTGAATTTCCGCCTTGGTTTTCGTTTTCAACATAATTTCAACCTCTTTCACCCAGTCCGGGTTCTGTTGGATGAAATCTTCTTTCAGCATGTGATTGCCCGTTTCGATATCCTTCGCGGTCATTTCCAATCGACACTGCTCGGGGATTTTAAACTTATCTAAATCGCTCGGACGAACGCCCAACCACTTAATATCCGGAGTGGTTAAATTCGCAGAGTCAAACGCCATGTTCTTAGAACCTTGCATGTATACAGAAATGATTTTCAATCCGTACGGATCCGCGTCCACCAACGCCAACACCGGCAACTTCAATTCTCTCTTCACTTTGGAAAGAAACAAACGCGTTGCCACGTCCGGTTGACCTTTCGCCGTAATTATAATGCACGGATACTTGTTGTAAAACCTATCCTCGGCCAATCGCATGAACGCGGCATCTTTCTCCACCAACAAAACAAACTTCGCGTCCGTTCGTAACTCCGTCACTTTATCGACGTTGGACGGAATCGCTTTACCGCCGACGCCCATTTTCGTGCAATCAATATCGTCGCCGTCCTCTTTATACCTCAATCTCCCAACTACCACGCCTTTCTCCGACGCCACCACGTGCAAAGAATTTCTCGTGCACCCTAACAAACACGAAATGTCGTCTAAGACCGCATCCGAATCTTTCTGGTCTTTGAACAACTTCACGTCCGTATAAAACAAGTCTCTCTTCGTCACGTGGATGCCTTTACTCAACACTCCGTGGACTAACTGCATAACTCGCGTCAAAATTGTCACCTTCCTGACTGAACTCATGTTCGTAAATGCCGCGGATGTGCTCTTATTCTTCAAAACGATTCTATTCAACTGGTCGATGTATACCTGGTCGTTTTGGCCTCTCGAAGGGAGTTGATAGGCGAACCCGTTCCCATCCATAATCGATTTCGCCACCGCTAACATCAATTGCTCAATCGCGGCCGCAATTTCCGTCTCTGGCCTATCCAAAACTTCTCTGTATAAATCCTCCATGTTCAAATCTTTCAGAGTCTTCCTCCGACTCGGCCGCGACTTGACAATCGCTTCCAACTTTTGTACTTTTTTCAAAACATTTTCCACGGAACCGTCTCGGCCTTTCTGTCCATCTTTCAGTTTCTTCAGAGCAAAGTTTACGCCTTCGTCCGGGAGGACTTTCTGTTTCTTGCTTTTATTGCTCATCATGGATGATTGATTCTGTCGTTTCTCTTCGTATTCCTTCTTCTTCTTCTTCTTCTTATTTTTAAAGGAACAGCAGCAACAAGGGAGGAGGAGGAGGACGAAGAGGAGACACTGAATGTGTATTCTAAATTATGTGGTGATTTTGAAATTTCCCTTCTCATTGATGAACCACAGAAGAGTATGGTCTCATAATCATATCTTCTTCACTTCCCAACACTCATCTCTTCCTCTTTTCTTTCACGCAAAGAAGAACACAAACGACGACGACAACAACAACAACAACAAACATGCTCTCCTCGTCATCGTCCTTAAACTCATCTTCTCTTTCTCGCGTTGGTGCTTTAACCTCCAGCAGCAGTCTCGCTCATGGTTGTCGTCAGATGATGATGATGACGAGCAGAAATACTTGTACGCCGACAAGAAAACAAAAAACTCGTTTCGCGATTAAAGCGCAATGGCCGGACGCTGTGTACATATCCAATGTCATCGAACAGTTCCCCGAGAAAGGAATAGCCTCTGTTGAGGAGGGCAGATGTTTGTGGGACGATGGGTACGACGTGTTAGACGTGAGAGATTTGGATGAAATCGATGCGAACGAAAAGTGTCCTAATCCACTGGGAGTCGATATCGCCGCGCAGCCGAACAAAGGGAACAGATTGAAAGTGATTCCACTCGTCAACGCGAAAAGAAAATACGATTTCGAGTTGAATGAAAAAGTATACGTACAAACTGGATTAAATCCTAACTTTTCCAGCGAAGTGCAAAAGGCGTACCCGGACAAGAACAAGAAGTTGATGGTGGTGTGCTCCGATGGACGAACGAGGGCGATTAAAGCGTTGGAAACTTTGGACGAGTTAGGCTACCTCAACATCGTCGGAATCAAGGGCGGAGCAAATTTATGGAACCGAGAATGGGACGCTAAAATGAGACGTCGAAATCTTCCCGGTCAGTTCAAGCAAAACTTCTCGCACGCCGGCGACAGTCCTCAGTTGCACGGCACCGGTGGCCAGTTTCAGAAAGCGGACTCGCAGTCGTACAGCGACCCGCGAGATCCGGTGGAATGGATTTGCGAATAATTCCAAAACTGATCTGTGTTTTATGTTTTATGTTTATTTAATGTGTATGTTGCTCGTGTTGTAATGTGTATTAAAGTCTAAGCGTTGCTTGTTTGTGCAAAAGCTCCTTCGTTCTCTGAGACTTCTCTCTCTCTTGAAGAAAACTCCAATCTTCATGGACAAAATTTTCTTCATTATCTCAGAATACTGACGACAACAAAATGTTACGCTTTTTAAGCACTTCACCGAAAACGACCACGCGCATTGGGAGAACGTCGTCGTCAAAATCTGCGTTCATAGGAAGAGCGATTATTTCTTCATCTTCTAGCAACGCTTCGTTGCGCGCTTCTTCTTCTTCTTCTTCTCGATTTTGTTTAGGGAAATGCTACACGTCGTTTTCGACTTCTAAAGCTGCGACAGTCGCCGCGACCACCAGGCGCTCCTTACTATCGAGCGCTTCTCCTTTCAGCACCACTTCTTCGTTTGCATCGTTTCCTCGCTCGAACGCGAGTGAAACCGTGCACAGTAGCAACGAGAGCGGAAGAAGGAGGAAAAGGTACTCTATCCAAGCGAATGCAGGAACACCGAGAGAAGAGTGTATGGTCACCACCCCTATCTATTACGTCAACGACAAACCACACATAGGTCACGTGTACACCTCCACGGTGGCGGATATATACGCGAGATACAAACGATTACAAAACATGGACGTGTTTTTTCTCACAGGGACAGACGAGCACGGGTTAAAAGTGGAACAATCGGCCGAGAAGAGACAGATCCCGCCGCAAGCGTTGGCGGACGAGAACAGTCTGGTGTTTCAAGAGGTTATGAAAGCGAACGAGATTTCGTTCGATGATTTTATCAGAACGACGGACGAGAGACACACGACGCAAGTGCAAGCGTTTGTTGAAAAGCTGCTAAAGTCGGGAGACGTGTATTTAGGGAAATTCGAAGGATGGTACGATGAAGGACAAGAGGAGTATTACACCGAGACAAAAGCGAAGGAGTGTAATTACGAGTCGCCTATTTCCGGGAAACCGATGGTGCGAATGGAAGAGGAGAATTATTACTTCAAATTATCGAAATACGAAAGCAAGGTGAAAGAGTTATTAGCAACGAGCGATTCGTTTTTGACGCCAAAAGAAAGAAAGAATGAGTTGTTACAACGCGTGAACGACGGATTAAACGACGTGCCAATTTCGCGAACGAATTTTACGTGGGGTATACCCATGCCAGGAGACGAACAGCACGTCATTTACGTGTGGATCGATGCGTTGATGAATTACATCACGGCTATCGGTATGGCTAAAGATGGTGAAGCCAAACAAAAGTATTGGCCGGCGTCCATGCACGTCATGGCGAAGGAGATTTCGTGGTTTCACGCCGTCATTTGGCCGGCGGTTTTGATGGCGTTGGATTTGCCTCTTCCAATGAGAGTGCACGCGCATGGATTTTGGATTCGCGAAGGACGGAAAATGTCGAAATCGTTGGGTAACTTTGTCGATTTGACCGTTTTGAACAAGTTCTCAACCCACTACGGTTTAGATGGGTTTCGATACTACTTGGCGACGGAAGGTCCCATTGGAGCGCAAGACGCAAACTTTGCGTCTTCGAGAGTGCAAGAAGTATACGGTACGGATTTAGTCAACACGTTCGGTAACTCGACGTCCCGAACAACAGCGATGTGTGTGAAATACTTCGATGGAGTTTTGCCGGAAAAATCGGACGACACCTCGAAAATCTTCAAAGGGTACGATTGGAAATCGATATGCGAGAAAGAAGCCGCCGAGGCTGTTCGCGCGTACGAAAACTTGGAACTCAACAAGGCAACGCAAGCCGCGATGCGAATAATTACCAAAGTTGACTTGTTCATCACCGAAACCGAACCGTTTAGAATGGCGAAGGATCCAAACGAACAAGAAAATTTAGGCGCAGTGTTGTATCAATGTTTGGAAGCCTTACGCATCTCGGCGTGTATTTTAGAACCGATTTTACCAAATAAGATAAAGGAAATGCACGCTGGTTTGCCTTTGTATGCCAACGTAAGCGATTCTATGGGAAAGCGATTAGTATGGGGTGGATTGAAACCGGGAACGACCGTTTCCAAGCTCGCGCTTTTCCCTAGACTGGATCCTTTAGATGAAAACGGGGAAATTATGAAAGAAGAAGCGCAAGCTCCAGCGACGTCCAATAAGCCGGCCAAAAAGTCTAAAACCAAAGTTGAGAAGGTATACAGTCCCGAAACTCAAGCGAAGATAGATGCGCAAGGTGCCCTCATTCGATCCATGAAAGAATCGGGAAAGACGAACGACGATGCAGAAGTTGCAGAAGCGGTTAAAATTTTGAAGGAGTTGAAAGCGTAAAGGAATAAAAGATAACAACGCACGCGGAGCAAGAAACGATTAGAACGATTATTTAGCTTTATAGTACTCTTTATCAATGACATCAATCAATCCGTCGTATAGTAATTAGTGTTGGTTTATATGATCCTATACCCCATCGTTCGCTTATAGTTCAATTCTTCGTCGATGCGTAATCTATCGTGTTGCCAGTTTCCGGAGGAACCTCTTCTCGCTTCGTTGCTCGCTGGTTTACCAAACACTTGCGACAAAGAACACGTCGCGGGAGGATTCGGGAATATCATATCTGGATCCATTCGCGCTTGCGCTTTGAGCATGGGAATCAAGGACTCTTTGTGTGCCCACGGCGGAATCGGCTTCCCTCTTCGCTGGTCCTCAGAATCGCTATCGTCCGAATCATCTCTCATAGGGGACATTTCGTACGAACTCGGAAACTTCGAGTGCGATCTAGGAATGGATCGATCGTGGTAGTTGGTGTTATTTGCTAGACTCGACGGTGTTCCCCTCGGCGTTACATTGAAAGATTTGATTTTCGAAGGTGTCATCATTTGCTGCTGGTGTCTTCTCGAAGGTGTGATGTTACTCGCCGCTGCACCGCCCGCCAAGGCGTTTCTCGCGTTCTCCAAAAGCCTTTTACTCTTTTCCGTTACAGCGCGATCAGCGGTAGTTTCAACGACGTGCTGTTTTTGATGTTGCGAGCGTTGTTGTTGGTAACTATTATTCTTAACGAGCGAGGAGGACGGATGCATGTTGTGCGCAGGCTTTGTCGTCGTTCGCTGTTGTTGTTGCTGCTGCTTCTCGCGAAGACGCTCTCTCTCTTGCGCTTCTAAAATTGCACGCGCTCTTAAATTTTCTTCGTGCTGCGCGCTCAGTGCCATTTCTCTCTCTCTCTTAGCCAGCTCCATCTTCTCCATACGGAGACGTTTTTGCTCTCGTTCTTGGAGTTCGATTTCCTCACGCTGCTCTCGTTTCTTCTTCTCCGCTAACTCTCTTCTCTTTTGCTCTTCTAACTTTTGCCCCTCTCGCTCTCGTTGCATTTGCTTCTCTTTTTCTTCCATCCGCAATCTCTCGTTGTATTCCTCCGCGCGCTTCATTCGATCAGCTAATGCCCTTTGGGTTTCTTCGATCGCCGCTGCCGCGTGCTGCGTTGACGGCGCCGGTTGCACCGACGCCAAGGAAGAGGGGATTTTACCAGACGCGACCTCCATTGCTTTCGCGAGCGCTTGCATCTTCTCCACCGTTGTCTTATTTTGTTGTTGTTGCTGCGGATGCTTCACTTGCGGTGCCGGTGCGTTGAGCCGCGCCGCGGCGGCGCTCTTCGTTTTCATGCTCGGTTTTGAAGAGGTACCGACTTTAAGAAACGCCATGCCTCTCGCTCTCGCCTTTTCGCGCTTCGCTTTTTCCTCCTCCTCGGTCGTCGGTCTATGCTGCTGCGGTTGTAGTGACGACGGTGGCAGCGGAGCAACGACTCTGTGCTGCAACTGTTGTTGCTGCTGCTGTTGCACCGGTCGCTTATTCTCCATGTTATTCTTTGTTGTGCTAAACGGAACATTATTTTTCATCGCCAATTTCTCCGGCGCGACCAAATCAGTCCCCTTTTTTGGTTCTTGTTCCCGTGCCGCTTGCGCATCCTCTTTTTGTCCCCCTGAAACCGGTACCGTCTTCTTCTCACCAACTACTCTGGACACTTCCGTGGAGCTCTTCATCGCTACTGTTGCCGTGACCGCCGTTTGACTGCTCCCTGCTTTGTCTCCTGCGGCAACGTCATTCTCGACATCTGTCTTTTTCTTCTTCGCGGAAAGGTGTTGTTCCCCCACGCCGGTCGCGCCGCTCACGAGACTCGCTTCCATCTTTTTCTTCTTCTTCTTCGACGAAGAAACAGGAGGGCCTGCTTTTCTCGACGCATCTGCGTCTTCTATATTCTTCTGTATTTCCGCCGCCGCAGCAGCTGGAGCAGTAGGAATAGAAGCTTTCTTCGTTTCTTCGTTCGACGCTTGTTGACTGCTCTCGTTGTTTTTTGGAAAAACCACAACGGTTGGTTGAGAAGATTTCCGTTTCTTCTTACTCAAAGTCGTCGCGCTGGCTGGCGGCTTCGCGTCTTCATCATCGATGACGATAACCTCGATGTTTTCTTTCTGTTTCTTTTTCTCCGGCGAGGTGGACAACGACGACGTAAACGACGATGATTTCCCTCTCTTCTTTGTCGTTGTTTCAACTAATCTCTTTTTCTTTTCCTCTCCTTCTTCTTGTTCGATGATGTTGTTCACATTAGTAGTCGTATTGGTCTTCTCCGTCAACAACATCCTCTCTCGAATCTCCTCCTTCCTTTCTAACAACCACGAGGAAACCAAGTTCGCTTTCTTTTGAATCGCTTGCGTTTCCTTCTCTTTCGTTCTCTCCAAGGCTTTCATGCCCGCTAAGAACGTTGCCGCCATTCTGTTGAAAGAAACAAGAGATTTTCACCACCAGCGAGGGGGGTACAACTCAAAGCAGAAGAAGAGCGTCAAAGTCTTTCTCTCTCTCTCTCTTTTTATTCTCTCTATTTATAATATCACCTCACTCTCTCTCTCTCTCCTCTCTCAGAGCTGTCTCTTTCTTCTCTGCGCTCTTTCTCTCTCTCTCTCTCTCTCTCTCTTAATCGCGCGCGCGCGTTTGTGATGAGAATGAGACCAACCAAAGAGTAGAATAATGAAGAAGAGAGACTCAACGACTCAAAAGGAAAACAAACAAACAAAATTTTGCTTTTGCTGTTTTTTTTTGCTTCTTTTTCTGTCTGCTTTTTTTCATTTTCAGAGTATTCATCAGTCCTTCTTCACAACGAAGACAAGCCTCATCAAGGGGTTTTTAGAATAAGATTCTCGCACCACCACCACCACTAATATATAATAAACGACGACGATGTTATCGAGACGCGCGTTATCGTCCTCTTTAGCGAGCACGAGTTGTTGTTTACGCGGATGGATGAGCGTTGGGGGGTGTTTGAGTGCGAGTAGTAGTTTTTATCATAGGAACAACAATAGTATTTATTATAGCGTGGGGGATGCGCATCATCATCATCATCAACATCAACAACAAAACCAACACTTCTTCTCCTCGTCCGCTTCGCGTAATCGTCACGGCTTGGACGATTTCGTGGACAGTCTCCCCAAAAAAGGCGAGGATGGGAAACCGGATCCTGTCGAACCCATCGGTCGAGCGTGGGAGGCGAAGGAGTTGAGAATAAAATCGAACGAAGATTTGCACAAACTCTGGTACGTGTTGTTGAAAGAGAGGAACATGTTGAACACGGAGTCGCATTTATCGCGAGCGAGAAACGAGTTGTTTCGACATCCGACTCGGATTACGAAAGTGAAGAAAACGATGAGTCGAATTAAATTTGTGCTGACAGAACGAGCGATGAAAGAGTACGAGGTGGCGATGGAGCGAGCGATGCAAGCAGAGGAAGAGGAGACGCGGGCGCAGTTACAAGTCGAGGCGGAAACGAAGCTGAGAGAACGGAAAAGACAGATTAATACAGAGTAATACAGTTTGTGCTACAACACCTTCACGCCGTTGCATTCGACGCGAGCGACTAATATGCCTTCTTTTTTGTTATCCAAACCGCCTTTAACGATGAGTTTACCTCCTCTTTCGATTTGGAAAACGACGCTGGAACCGACGAAATGAATTTCGCGCTCAACGCCTACTCTGTTGGCGAAAACAAAAGCCCTTTTTCGAGGTCGTAGTATTCCTTCTTCTCCTTCTTTTTCCTGGTCTACGAACAGAGGAAGTAATCGATTAAACCAGTAATTCCACGTTTCCGTTCGGTCTGGAACGATTGCTTTCGTTTCCGCATCGTCGTCTGGATGCGCGTTTGTCCACGCGGAGGCGAACAAGATTAAAGAAGAACTCGCTTTCTCGATCGTCTTGGCAAACTCAAACGCACCCCACGGCGCTTCAAACTTGTACGGGTTAATATCCATGCATATACCAACCGTCGTTTTAATTCTGTATTCTTCTACTTTACTACTACTGCTCCTACTACTATTAGTATTACCAATACCTTTCGCTTTTAACACGAGTTCTAGGGACGTGAACCCACTCTCGATATCTTCGTCCGCCCACGTCTCGTCGATGCAATACAAGTGGTGCTTATTCGCTCTCAGAATCACGCGCCCTGCTTCATCGATAACTTGCACCGCGTTATAATACATTTTTCTTCCTGCATCGCGAATGCCTCTCACGTACCCAGCACTCGCGAGACAGTCAAACCTTTTCGCGACGGAGGATAAAAACTGCCTGGTCACAGCTTCCTCCTCCTCTTCGTCATCCCATTCGACGAAAGGTTCAATTTCCTCTCGAGAGTCAAACGTGTACCCGGTAAAACACATCTCCGGAAACTGGATGATGGACAAAGGCGCGACGACTGACGACGACGAGGACGATAATAACACATGTTCGTGCGCATCGAGCATTCTCAAGCACTTCTCGAAAGACTTTGTTCGGTCACCTAAATCAGTTACATCGAAAACAAAAGTTAGTTGAGAAATGTTTAAAGCGATGATAAAAGGTAAACGCACCGTGAGCGGGTTCAAACTGCACGCACGCGACTCTGAACTCGCACATTGAAATATCTTTATCATCATCATCATCATCTTTATCGTCATCATCATCCACGGCGTTGTTTGTCTCTTTCCTCGTCTCCTCCGTCGGAGGACAACCACCACTCATTTTAATAATAGAGTATCTTCTCAAAGACAGAAGAAAGAGAAGCGTGTTAAAGTTTTTGTGGAAAAAAGGAGTGGTTTTGGTTCGTGTGAGATTTTAGAGAAAAAAATTAGTTTTCTTCGGCGGCGCCGTTTCTTCATTTATTCTCACAACGACGAACAAGAAAGAGAAAAAGAGCGAAGACTGATTAAACAACAACAGAAGATTCGCATTTCATTCAAATTCTGTAGTAGTATTAGTCGTCATAATCATCATCATCATCGTATAAAACATGATATCGGCTTTAGCGTGGGTCCCTCCCGGAGCGTCCTCGCAGACGCCGAAATTTACCGACATTCCCGAAAGCGCATTGAAAGAAACTCGAGAACGGATGAAACGAAGGACGGACGTGGAGGACGACAGCGACGACGACGACGACGACAAAAGCGAAGAGAAGGACGAGGAGAAAGAAGAAGAAGAAGACGACGATGACGATGAAGAAGGTATGGCGGACGAGCAAGAGATGAAAGACGCGTTGAATGATGATGACTCAGAAGAATCCGAATCAGACTCAGACGTGAAAGAGAAAAAAAATGAAAAGAAAAAAGCGATACGGAAAGCGCAAGCGGTCGCGAACGCCGCGAGAGGTATCACGGACGATTTAGCCGAGCTGGACATGGATAACTACGACAACGATGATTCATACGACGAAGATATTCAAGAGAGACAATTATTTGGAAAAATGAACTCGGAGTTTGAATCAAACCAAGACGACCCGTACGTGACGATTAAGGACTCGGACGACGACGAAGAGGAGGAAAATCCGGACGATTTCGGGATTTTAAAGAACGATTTAGTAGTGTTAGCGGCGAGAGCAGAGGAAGATGCGAGCCACTTAGAGGTTTGGGTGTATCAAGAGGCGATAACAAACGAGGAGACGCACGAGACCGAGGCGAATTTGTATGTGCATCACGACGTGATGTTACCGGCGTTTCCGTTGTGTTTAGCGTGGATGGATTGCTGCAAAGATACAGGCGCGAATAATCGAGGCTCGTATTGTGCTGTTGGGACGATGTATCCAGGGATTGAGATTTGGGATTTAGATTGCATCGACGCGGTGGAGCCGGCAGCGACTTTGGGCGGGTACGATACCGCGGATGTGAAGAAGAGTTCGAGCGGAGGAAAGAGTAAGCCTAAAGTAAAGAAAGAAGGGCACCAGGATGCAGTTTTAGGCATGTCATGGAATTCGCAGTTTCGAAACGTGTTAGCGTCGGCGAGTGCAGATAAAACGGTAAAGATATGGGACGTTTCGACGGAAACATGCACGGAAACCTTGACGAAACACACCTCCAAAGTGCAATGTTTGGAGTGGAATCCGGAGGAGAGAACGGTTCTCGTTTCGGGTGGTTTTGATAAGCATGCCAGAGTGTGCGACGTTCGAGCGCCGAAAGAGGCGAGCTTAGATTTCAACGTCGGCGCCGATTGCGAATCGGTGTGCTGGAGCGCGAGAAATCCACTCGAGTTTTTCGTTTCCAACGAGGATGGCGAAGTCGCCTGTTTTGATACGCGAATGGCGTCTTCAAATATTAATAGCGGTGGAAAGAAAAAGAGCAAAAAGTCGTCGTCGGGAACGTCTTCAGCCGAAAGATGGCGCATTAAAGCGCACGAAGAAGCAACAACGTCTGTTTCGTGTTGTCACGGCTCTCCAGGTGCGTTTTTAACGTCCAGTACGGACGGAACGCTGAAGTTGTGGGACGAAAACGTCGGATCGACGCCGAAGTTGCTCGCCGCGAATACGGCTGGTGTGGGTGCTGTGTTTTGCGCGGGTTTTTCTCCGCACTTGCCATATTTAGCTGCCGCTGCCGGGAGTGCCGGTGCGGTTTCTGTATGGGACGTTTTGAGCGAAGATGCGGTGAGACAGTCGCGCCACGGACCGCTGTTAGAGCGATATGAGGCACAATTCAATTAGATTTTTAAAGAATGATAAATCTTGCTATTTTAAAATCACTTATACTGCTGATACATTTTTTTTCTATTCTCACTACTATATTATATCACTTCTTCACTGCGGCGGCGTACTTTTCTTGGAGTACCTTCTCTTTCTCTCTTGCGGCTTCCGCGAGCTCCATCGCCTTCTCAACTCTTATCGGCGCCCCGAGACTTTCTTTTGCCTCGAGCAGTTCAAACGCGCGCAAGGTGTTCTTTTTACCCACTAACTCATCGTGTAAAGTCTTCAACTTTTTCGATAAAGCAACACTACGCGTGCGATAACCTTCGTGCAAAAGAGCAACTTTGCGCTCTAATTTCGCCGCCTTCTTAGATTCAGTACCCATGAGAGCATACAACGCTTGGTACTCTGCCTTTTTGGTACCGACATCTTTACCTCGCGCGGACTCGCGTATTTGTTCGCGGGTTTTGTGGAACAGTTCCGCAAAAGAATCCGGCATGTCGCCCGCTTCTGCAGCGAGCATTGCTTTCGCCTGTGCGAGTTGTTCGTTCGATAAACAATAAAAACTCGGATCGTCTTCCGGACGAATACCGTTCAGATCTCTTTTAATCAGTTCAATCATCTCGTCGTCGATTAGTTTCTGAGTCTCGTCTAAGTTTTTTCTCGTTTCCGCAACGACTGCGGAATACCCCTTTGAAACGTTCGGTTTGGGCAACTCGTTTCGACGTTGGTAAACTTGCGATCTTCGCTTCTCCATTTCATGTCTGACCATTTCTTCACGCTCAAGAAGGCGTTCTCTGCGCTCAGCTTCGTCTTCTTCGATTTCAACAGGCGCGCGACGATGACCGCTCGCGTCGAATTCCATCGCATCGTCGTCCTCTAACTCGTCTAATTCATCGATGTTTGGAATTTGAACTTTGAACTCGTTCTTCGGTTTCGGCAAGGACGCGAAGCGCGACTTGATACCACTCGTAAGCGGGCGCCTATGATCCAATTGCTGGTTCGAACCCGCAGAATCACTCGGGCGCATAAACTCCGCCACGGCGTCGGGATCGTTAATTTGTAAATCGTCGCGCAAAGGCGTTTGACCAACGACACCGGTACCTGGGCGCTGCAAAGCGGGCGTACCGTGCACGACGTTCGTGTGGCCTCGCTGGTTCGTTCGTTGACCTCCTTGCAACGACGGCGTCGCGCCAGAGAAATCTTTACCGGCACCATCTGCAAATCCGCTCGGGGTTTCGCCGCCGTATAAAGTTGACCTTGTCGCCGTCATGGCGGCTAAATACCTCGCCTCTTCTAAAACCATTTCATCTCTCGATTTGCGTTGAATCATCGGCGTTTCTTGTCCGGGCAACTGGTTTGATGTCGTTATCCCCGTCGTATCGGGCGCGAAACCCATTTTACGTAACTTTGCGATGCGCTCCAACTCGGATTCCGACACCGACGGTTTCGGCAAGTTCAACTTCCCTCGAATCCTCCCGGCGGAGAAATTATCCAACTGCTTGTTCGATTCTTTCACCGCTTTCGGCACGTTTTTCTTCTTTGCAATCTCGTCCAACTTATCCATCGTCCGCATCTCTTCCTCTCTTTCTTTAATCATCTTCCCATCCAACTCGTGAATGGTTTTCGACTTGAACTTAGCATCTTGTATCATTTTTCTCTCCAATTGTTTCTCCTCCGAGACGTCGTACGGCCCTTTGGGCGCCAACTTCTCGAACGCAATTTCCGCGTTGTAATCGATACCAACGATGCGTTTGGTGTTTCTACCCCCCATGCCAGCCGCTTTCATTTCTCTATTCTTTTGTATGCTCGCCAATCGCCTGGCTTCGTCCAATCGTTTCTCCCTCGCTTTCCTCTTTGCTTTTTTCCCTTTCGTATTCGCCAACCTCGCGCGCGCTTCCGACAACATCTCTTTTTCGTCTTCGTCCATATCAATCGCATCTGGTCTCGCCGGTTTCGCTTCTGGATTTGGATCAATCTCCCCCGGCCTTAATCGTCTCGGATCGTCCATCGGATCGTACTCCTCGTCCTTCGACACCGCCGCGTCGAGCAACCTCTCGTACCGCTCCAAACACTGACTCGGTGTCCTCCCGACGATGGGCGCAATCGTGCGCCATTGCGTCGGCATTAACTTTGCCAAGTGCAAAAGTTTCTCGTCTTCTTCTCTCGTCCATTCTGTTTTCTTAATGGATGGATCGAGCCATTCGAACCATCTCGCTTTGCACTGTTTCGCCGACTTTCGGACGAGTAAAGAGGAAATTCTTGCCCATTGATTCTTCCCGTATTTCATCACCGCCGCTTTGAGGATCTCATCCTCGGTGTTTTTCCACACCCCGCCTTTAATCATGATCCTCATTTTGGATTATTGTTGTTGTTGTTGTTGTTGTCTTCTCTTCTTCTCGTTACGTGGCAGCAGCACTATTCGTAGTAGTAGTATTAGTTTTTCAGTTTATGCTCTTCTTCTTCTTCTTCTTCTCACGCAATCAAAGATGTGTTGCTCTGTGTTGTTGTTTTTCTTTTGGCGGCTTCCTTCTTTTTCTTCTTCTTTTTCTTCTTTTTCACACACTCCAAATTTATTAACGGCAAAAACGCTCGCTTTTTTTTTCTCACCCCCCTATCATCCTCATCCTCATCCTCATCCTCATCCTCATCCTCATCATTGAATGGTCGCGAACGCTTTATTTCAACCGACGACGTTACTGAGATTGGTGCTCTTGTACTTGCAACAGCGCGACGACGACGATGATTCTGAGAATAACGACGATCAAACAGTCACGAAAGCTTTGGTTTCCGTGCTGAGCTCAAACTTTGCGTTTGTTCGATTTACGAACATATTCTGGGCGTATTTGGCAGCCACGGCGACTGTGTTTTCGAGATCGGTGGCGAAAACGAACGCGGTGGCGTCCGAGTGGAGCGTGTTAGACGGGTTGACGTTTGATATTGAGACCTTCGCGAGCAGAGGAACCGTAGCATCTGGCATCGGCGCGGGCCAAATATACGGTATCGGGTACGAGGTGACATCCTCGGCGGCGGCGGCGATTAATCAGGTATTCGAAGAACTAAACTTCGATTTTAGAAAGAAAAGAAGGCGAAGGAAATTACTTGGCGTTAATTTGAAAGAAGGCGCGTATGCTGCGAGCGCATCGAGAACGATGAACGCGACAAAGTTTGCCTCCGTGATTGAAAGAAAAAAGAGAGAAACAAGTACGAACAGTAGAAAATTGCTCTTTGATGATGATATTGTTGCAGAAGGAGATGACGAAGATGATGCCGAACGGACAATGATGCACGCTTTAGCGCCGATGTTTCTGAGCAATTTACCCTTTAGCGTTCGAGACGAGTTTCTTCAGAGCTTGCAATCAGTCATAATCGATCCGTCCCTGGTTTTAAGTTTCGAGTTGAATATCGCGAGAGTCAACGTGTTGATACCTGGAAAAGGTTACTCTGCTTTAGAGAACGCACAGTTATTTCGCGCGGGTCAAAGAAATGTATGGTCTGGATATTTGCAGAGAAGACGGAGCGGCGTTGGAGCTTCGTTTTCTTCTGCAGTTGGCGCCTCTTATTCTCCCGGTGATAAGCTAGCGTTTGACATTCAAGACACGACAGAGAAACTGAAAGCGGCGACAAGTATAATCGATCAACTCAATGCCGACAGAGTCGCTAAAGCGCATTTTAGTAACACGTCAAAAGTAGATGTAGATCCTTTCAATTTACCAGACGGAACTGTATTGCCAGATTCGGAGCCAATCGGCGTGGCTAGCCTGACTTACGCGATAGCGATTTCAATCAATTTCGGTCAACGAGTCGGTGTTCTAGCGTAAAAAAACGTGAGTTCTGTTTCAAACTTCTACTTTATTACAAATTGCATGCGTTCTATTTACTAATCTGCTAGTCGCTATCGAAAATTTCAAAAGCTTCTTCTTCTTCTGCAACCACAGGTGGCTCTTCTTCTTCTTCTTCTTCTTTTTTCTCCTCTTCCTCTTCTTCCTTCTCCTCCTCTTTCTCTTCTTCCTCCTCTTCTTCTTCTTCCTTCACTTCCTCTTCCTCTTTATCCTCCGTTGTCTTTGTCGGCGCTTCCCGCATTTTTCGTTCCAAGATGGCATTCAGAGCAGCAAAACCGTCCTCACCGGGTGAAAGAGCCATAACGTTCGAGCCGCCAGGACCTAAATATGTGGGTATGTTCGTACTTGTCACGTGTATAGGCGCCGTCGAGTTTCTTATCGTCAATTCCACTTCCGGTTTCTTTTGCTTTTTCCTGTTGCGTTGTCGCCCAGTCGCTAACGCCGCGGCGATGGCCAATGCTTCTTCCTCCGCCAACTGTTCTTTCTCTTTGAGTCTCTTTTGCTTCGCGGCGTGTATTTTCTCTTCCGCTTGTACCCACACGTTATCTTCCGCAATTGGATCTTTGCCATTCAAAACGTTCAAATAGGCAATGCCTATGCGCTCAGAAATTGTCGTCCTCGCCTGTCTGGAGAGGAAACCAAATTTTTCGGAACACCCGGAAATGATCGCCGTGCCATCGGGACCGTATTCCGTTTGACCGTGCGCGTACACACCAGTCGCGTCGACTTTCTCTTCGTCTTTGTTCTCTGCAATCATACGAAACTCTCGCTTGACGCTCGGTAAAATGACATCGTCCATGAAGAAAATCGGAAATCTGGTTTTCGGCAACGCGCGAAATTCATGGTAATCCAAATGCGTCCTCGATTGTTGAATCGATTTTTGAACCTTCGGAAATAACGTCGAGTCTTTCTTGTTGTACCACGAGTTTGGCAATTTAATCTCATACAGTTGATACCTGACGTTATTCTTTGACAATCTCGGATCAAAACCTCGTAAAATCCAGAGTTTACGAAACGGACCATTGTTGAACTTATACGCCATCTCTCGCAATTCCGCGCGAGTTTGTTTCGCGTCGACGCTTATGTGCGCCGGGACAATCGACCGAAGTTTCTCTTGTAACCCTCTCGGCGACCACACCGGTCGTTCCTTGAACAATTTGACTAAACTCTTATACCACACCGGTCGTTGTTCGTCTGCTTCGACGTTCCTTGGTAAAACTTGCGGTACCGTGGCGTCTGCGAAATCGACTAAAATTTCGTTATTTCCTTGCGGCATAAACGTCAATTCCTCTCTGTACTTTCTCGTTTCTCCATCTTCGAAGTAATCTACCGGCACGTCCTCTTTACAATATACCGGCGGTACTAGCTTAAACTCCCCAGGGACGACTAATTTTTTCACTTCATTCTCCTTCTTTCCTTCTATGCCTCTACTTTCCTTATTTCTACTCATGGCTTTGGACTTCAATCGTAACATGAACGGATCCTCCGCGTCTCCCGTCGGCGCGCGAATTTCGTCCTCGTTCACCACGAACTCCATCTTATCTTCCACTCGACTACTTTTCCTTCTATTCATACTCTCATCGCTCGCGAATATCCGCTTTCTCGTTTTCATTTTCTTTCTCAACTCCTCTTCCTCTTCTCGTTCGGTGAGCGTCGAGCAGTATTGAAAATCCGCGAGACCGCGGAACTCGATTTGTTTCGTACATCGAGCAAACGCGTCCACTTGCACGCCATTTTTACTATTCTTCCCTGAAGAAGAAGAGGAAGATTTAAACACTCTCAAAACGAGCGTTTTCGCATCCAACTTCTCCCCGTATATCGGCAGCGCCAACGCGTCCTTCTCCCGAAATTTCATCTCCAATGCCTTCGTCCCCGTCGAAACGAGTCCATCGTCTTTGTTTTCGTCCTTCCCTCCTCCTCCTCCACCATCGCTGCTTTTGCCATCCATCATCATCCTCGTAACAGTCGCGCTCGTATTCGTTACCGTCGCGCTCTCTCTCTTCCCTATCTCGCACGCCTTCATCAGCTGTCCTTTACCACCAAACTTCTCGATGATTTCTGGGATGTGGTTCATGCAATCGTACCCTGGGTAGACAATAGATACCACGCGCTTGTTCGGGACGGTGACTGTAAATCCATTGTTGGTATTATTATGTCGTTTCTGTTGTTGATGAAGATGAAGTTGTTGATGTCCTCTTTTTGAATCCAAGTCTTCTGGTTTTGTTTTGTTTTCTTCCTCGCCATTCGTCTCTTCTTCCTTCTTCACCTTCTTTCTCTTCTTCTCTTCCTTCACATCCGGAGAAGAAGAACGCCGCCGCCGGCTTCGTCGTCGTCGGTCTCCTTCTCCTCCTCCTTCTCCTTCTCCTCCTCTCGTCCGAGTTCTTCTTAAACTCATCTTTTTATCGTTTGTGTTTTGTGACACTTTTTTGGTTGGACGACTTTTTGTCTCTTCTTGATTTTCTTTTCTTTTTTTTCTTTCTCGTCATTTTTTCACTAAAATCACAGATCAATTGTCAATCACATCATCATCATGGGGGAAGGTGCTCCTACTACAACTGATGATGATGATGAGAAGAAGAAGAAGACAAAGAAGAAGACAAAAGAAGACGAAGAAGAGAGATCCGACGACGACGACTCTGATTCCGAAGAAGAAGAAGAAGAACACAGAGCACCGATTAAAATCTCCAACCTGGACGATTTAAACGCCATCAAACGCGCGTACGAGGAGATGTTTTGCGACGGTTTATTACACACGGAAAAGATTAAAGAAACGCACTCGGTTTCAAACACGAAAATCTTCATCGGGAGCGTGGCGTGTGTGTTCGCGTTTGTCGCGCAGTTATACCCGGTATATTTGAAGAGGAAAGGTGGATACGACGTGAAGTTTCACGAGGATCCTTTTTTGCAACGGTTGACGTTTCTGTGCGTGTGTGGGTACGTGATTACGAACGTGATTTTGACCGCGTTCATTCTGTTTTGCGAACGAGGGGTTTTGCTTTGGGGGGAGTTTTACGACGACGACGACGAAGAGGACGACGAAGAGGAAGAGAAACAAGAAGAGGATGAGAAGGATGGGAAGAAAAAGACTAGCATTAGCACGAACGCAGCGTTAATAGGGCACAAAGTGTGCGCGAGAATACACCACATGCGGTTCTCGCAAAACTTGACGTTAGAGCTCGTCTCGCGGGAACTGTTGTCAAACGGAGTGGCGAAGAAGATGGACAAAGAAAAGAAAGTGAAGACGAAAGACGGGGTGGTGATTTTACCAACCACGAGAGGAAGAGTGACGAAAGTAGTGAACGTCGCGGAGTACGTGTATACGGACGGGGTCTTCGCGGAGACTTCGTACTTGAACATGGTCGAGCAGTTAGTCGCCGAGTACGAGCAGTCGTTGGAGAAGAAGGATAAGTGAGAGAGAGGAGCGTTAGTTATTAATAGTTTTATTAGATCTAATACTGTCCACTACTACAAAGCACTATTGCTACTACTACCAACACCATTATCTAATAATATCGTTTTCAAACTACGTCTCGGTTTCGTTTCGTCGATAGTTTTTGGCGGCGTCATGCGCGCTAACCAAATGCCGTCGCGTCTTGGCTTTTCCACGAAATTGGTCGCGTTGTTATACGATATGGAGTACGTCACGAATAACTCTTGATCGTCGTAAAACGCCATGGTTGGATAGTGGATCATCACACCAGGAGGTGTGACACCTTCGTCGATTCGCGCGAATATGTAAAGATTTTCGCCGTCGTCGTCAGAGTGCGCGATGACCAATTCGTCGCGTTTCTTACCGCCCGCCGTTTGCTCTTTATCCTCCGAAGTGCCTTTGATGGCATCCGCACCACCCTCGCTCGCAGTCATTGCAATGGTTTCGTCGTTAAACGCGACGTAGAGCCGTTTCGTTTTCCGATTGACAATCGTGTTTAATTTAGAGTCTGGATTGACGAGCGCTGAAGGCAACGGCGCTGACCACGTGACACCCAAATCACTACTGATGGATTTAAACGCGACGCCTTCGGTCGAACGCATGAGCATAGTCAAATGATGATTTTCGCCGCTTTCAAATATAGAACCTTCAATAACCCATCGGCCTTTTGCACCAGTTTGAAACTGAATCGCACCGTTTGCTTTCCACGTTTCACCTTTATCGGTCGATCGCAAAACGCCCGCCGCGTTGCGAACACCTCTCGCCGTGGAACACGTGTGTGGACTTCTCTGTCGCCAGAACGGTAAGAGCCAAACTTCTTCGGCGTTATCTAATGTAACAACCGTCAATTTATTCGCGATTACTTTCGGAATGGCGACGTTATCCGTGGTCATGCGATATACCGTTTTCGCTTTGCTCCATTCTTTCAAATCCCCCACTCCATCATCGTTTCCGTTTTCATCCTCTGTCCCGGAGCCGTCGGCGAAACTTCTCGTTCGCACTTTGATATCACCACCAATAATCCATCTCTTCGGTATCGCCTTTCGCACGATTGGAAACTCTTGCGCTAAGATTCTCGGTCGCAAACATCTCGGCGGCGTCTCCGCGTAAAAGAGATACTCCGTTTTTGTTTTCTCGTCTCGATGTAACACCGGCGCCCATAATCCGTTCGAATACGTCCTCGGTTGTAAAGTTTCTCCTCCAATTTTCGTCGCCGCGCTTTTCTCACCAACCGCCGGTGCCGGTAAAGGCTTCTCTAAAACCCACGCAGTATCCGCTAATTTTCTTCTATTACTACTACTATTACTACCACTGCTACTACCAAGACCACCGTCCTCCGTCTCGTTATACACGACAAACGTACTCTTCGTCGTCTTCCCGTTCTTTTTCGTCATCACTCGCACGGTTTGGTCGAACCCGCCCTCGATATCCGGCGCGGTTTGAAACGCGACTGAAATTCCTTTTCCGTTTTCACCCGAGTTTGCGATTATGGTGCCCATGTGCGCGTATTCTAATCCATGCAGAAGAGGATCGAAAATCCGTTCTCGGAAAACTTTAATCCCTTCGCCCGGGAACAGTCGCTTTTGTTGCATCTGATATTGTCCAAAAGCCAACTTGCTCAGACTTTTTCGTTGTTGTTGTTCAAAACCACCACCACGAAAGTCGGCTTTTAACGACGACGACGACGAGGAGTCTTTGTTATTCTCGAGGTCGTCCTCTTCGATGATTAACCCGAAAATCTTGCTCAAATGATCCTCTCTTTGCATTTGTTTCCTCTCTCGGCGAGAGTGTCGATCGACTTTCGCGTAGTGCGAGTTTACTTTTCTCATCGATTTCTCGTTCTCGTCGTTTTGTCGATTTAAGATTCCATGGAACGCGTTGTTCAAGAAGAACGAACACGCGCTGAGAAGGACCACGAGAAGGAGTATAACACGAACGCGTCGTTTTTTGATCCATTTTTTGTATCTTTGTTGTTGTTTGATTCTGATTGATTTACCACCACCACCACCAGTCGCTCCGACGCCGGGGAACAACGTTCCACGACTGTGGGTGTTGCCCCGCAACATGATGGATGGTTTTTGAAGAATTCATTCATCATTTTTATGCATGAAAAAATAGAAAGAAACGAATGATGATTGACTTTATAACTGTGCGCATACGTATGTATTTTAATCTACATCTCTAGGTGACGATCGAAAACCACCTCTGCCTTTTTGGGGAGGAGGAGACGGCGAACGAGATCGAGAATACGAGCGACCTCGGCTACTCTTTTTTTTATAGTCGTCGTCTCTCTCTCTCCCGCCGCCGCCGCGAGGAGGAGGAAGGGGAGGCTGAGGACTGCGGCTGCGACTCCTACCGCGACGATGAGTATCGCTTCTGCGCCTTTTTTCTTCAGGTGAGAGAGACCGAGAGCGGGATAAACTTCTCGATCGCGAGCGACCTCGTTTCTTACCGCTACTCTCCTTTTTGCTGTTAATGTTGTTGTTGTTTCTATAATCGTCTTCGTCGTTCGAATACCTTCTTTTCCCACCTCCTCCTTCTTTCTTAAAACTCTTCAAATCGCACTGGATCTTCGAAACGCCAAATCTATTTTCAAATTCAATCCCGTCGCAATCGTCGCACGCGTTCTCGGCATCGGTTAAATATTCGAAATCTACCTCGCCGATTTGCTCTCCCGTGTTTGAATCGATGAACGCATTCGCGTACGTCACTTTCCCGCTTCTTCTAAAGAAGTCTTTCAAGTCTTGCCAGCTCGCGCGAGGTGGTAAATTTCTCACCACGACGCAAAACTCCGTCCGTCTCGGGCGTTCGAACGACCCTCTTCCTCCTCTTCCTCCTCCTCTCTCGTCTGCGCTGCCGCCGAACCGGCCTCCTCCTCTTCCTCCTCTTTCTCCTCCTCCCCGGTCATCTCTCGTGCCACCAAAGCCACCACCACCAGACGACCCTTTACTAATCTCCACTCTCAATCGATTCCCATCGAATTCGTACCCGTCTCGATAATACTGCGCGTCCTCCGCGTCTCGTTTATCTTCAAACTCGATAAACGCAAACGCCGGCGGGTGGTTACATCTCGGCATTTTAATGTGCACTATGCGTCCGTATTTATAAAACAAATCGTCCAACTCTCGTTCGCGAATGTCGAGTGGGAGGTTCCCGACGAAGATTGTGTTGTTGTTGTTGTTGTTGTTGCCTCCTCCTCCTCCTCTCGACATGAGATGATATTGCTGCTTTTCTGATGCTGATGAAATTGTGATGATACTGTGATTCTCTTTAGCTCGCTTTAAAACGCGACGACGAGTACAAGAAAAAGGAACAGACTTTCAAACGCGAAAGCGCAGATTTATTTGATCGTGTGTGTGTACGACGACTCTTTGTATATAAAGTGTTGTGTGAAATAAATTGAGAAAGCTGACTGAAAATTCCTTCCTCTAAAAAAAACCAACTTTTCCTCCATCCTCCTCAAAAGAAGAAGAAAAAGAACAAAAAGAGAGATGAGAGCGAGTGCGAGTTTTCTTGTGTCCTCGTCGTCGTCGTCGATGATGATGAGAAGAGCGACGAGCAAAACGACGACGACGCCGACGACCGTTTGTAGTTTTGATGGAAGAAGAAGACCCGGGAGAATACGTAGCAATGCTGTGAGGATTAGTAGTAGGAGTAGGAGTAGTAGAAGAATAGAAATGAAGAGCAGCAAAACAGAATTATTGGATGATGCTAAAGAAGAAGATTTCGCCGCTTTCGACGACGACGATTCAGACGATGATGAGAATAGTAATACTCTTCTTCTCTCAAAACTGAGCGTCGTTTCATTGAGCTCGTTTTCGTATTTTCAATCCGCGTGTAACGAAGCGTACGCGGACGTGTACGCGAACCCAGACTGGCAAATGGGCGTCCCAACAGAAGAGGCGACGCCGTTGCAAAATCTGTTCGGGTTTCTCTTCACCGCGTTTTGTGGATGGTATTTTTGGAGAGTGGTTAAAAAGAGAGGGAAACGCGCTCAAACGTTTCGAGTGGCGAATCAGTTGAGTCCGGAGGAGTTAAAGGAACGAGAAGAGGAGAGGAAATTGAAGGATAAAAAATTAAACGCGAGTCAAGCGTTTACGGGCGGTATCACCGGGATCGCGATATCTGCGGGTTTGTACATCTTCGCGAGTAAAATATCCACCGGGTTCGATAACTCGAGTTTGCCGGAATCGTATACCGCGAGACAGATTTCTATAACAGTTCGAACGATCGTGGAAGGTTTGGTGTATTTGGCGACGTTCGTGTACGCTGCCAACGGGGTTGGATTGACCTTGCTCGGGTTTAAAAAGTTGAAGAATAGGTATTTTGACATTTCGTTGGAAGACGCTTTGGAGGAATCGAGAAAGGAGGAAAGCGAGGACTCGGAACAGTGAATGATAATGCTGGTGCTTACCTAGGTATTGTATTATTGCTATGGGGTATTCCTCACGTACGGATCCAAAAATGCTTTCCATTCTTTTAAAGTCCACGACGAACTCGTATCGCAGACTAAGCCGTTCAAACAACACGTCGGCGACACGTGAATGCCCAACTGTCTTCCCAACTTGATGTGGAATTTCATTTGTTGCGTGACTAAAGTTCCACCGTTTTTATCTTCCGTCTCTTTATTCAGTCTGGCGTACTTTCTGACCTTCTCGAAATCCTCTTCGCTTTGACCGAGTAAGCACTGGTTCAAGATATCTTCCGTCAATTCGTGCCTCGTCGCGTCGAACGTGTAAATATCCGTAAAACTCTCTCGCTTCTCGAACAACTCCTTCGAAAATTGCCAAAACGCCTCTTCGCCGCACACTTCCGCCACAGCTAACGACGTCTCGTGCATGATGCCAGACGCGACATGCCAAGGCTGCACTTGATGATAGAACTCAAAGCGGATGTTCAAGCCGGCGTAATGAGGCATGACGTCCTCGTACATGCGTTTGAACAATCTCGCGCTGAATGGGCACGCGTAATCGATCCAAAACGATAAAGTCGTCGGTTCCCCAGAGCATGGAACGCCTTTGTAAATGTGCGCGATGGATTTGGACGGTAACGGAGGACCTGCCATGATGACGTTTTTCTTCTTTGTCTTCGTTGCTCTCTGTGCGGTTGATGCTCTTTTTAGTTGGTGTATCGTGTTGATGGTGTTGTTGCTGTTGCTTCTCGAGAGTACTAACGACGACGACGACGATACAAGGCCGCCGCGCATGTGTGTGATCGTATCTCGTGCTTAGATATCTTCGCGTCAATTTATGAAGTTGCAACTGTTTCAACAAACTTTCTTCATAATAATAACACACATGGAGAACAGGAACAACGGCGTCGGCGGCGGCACGGTGGGGAAGAGAGTGGTACAAAGAGTACCACCACCACCATCACTTTCTCCTCCTCCTCCTCCTCCTCCTCCTCCTCTTCTTTTAGCATCATCTGCTTCGGCATCTTATTATTATCAACAACAACAACACCAACAACAATTTCATCAACAACAACAAAATTTCACATCGATTAAAATTCCGTTGGAAACGCAACACCATATCGAAAAGTTGAGCGAATACGTCGCGAAGAACGGCGCAGAGTTTGAACAGCTGACGAGACAGAAGTCATTGGATATGTTTTGGTGGCTCGACGATCTCAATTCTAACGAATATAGGATGTACAAGCTATTGTTAGAGAGTAAAATGGGAAGACCTAGTAAAAGTGTAAAAGTCGTGCAACCACGGGTAACAACCACTACGACAGATAAAATCCAAGAGCAGATTGAAGAGGCAAAGCTGAGAGCGCAGAAACTTATGATGGCAGAAAAAGAAACAAAATTAGAATACGTTGAAGACACTACTTTGTTCGATAATATCGTCGGAAACATCCCGCAAAATACTCGCATAGCCAACGCTGGATTTCAAAACGGTACGTACAACGCCATCGACCTGTTAACCGCGCCGAAGAACGTGAACGAAGAGATGATGCAAAAGAAATCAAAAATAGTGGAAAAGTATTTCGAAAAACGAATGGAATTGTTTGAATACGAGTTGGATCGCGCAACGACGAATAAATATGGTGATAGCGACAACAGCAACAACAAGTTTTTGTATCGAAACGCCAACGAAAACGAGGAAGACATCGAAGAGTTGCGGGAAATCCGAAGGCACCGCGTAAGAAGAGGTGGAACGAATGAAAGCGCGGAGGAAATGGAGGAAAAGTTCAACGCCAGTCGAGGTTCGAAACGTGGTTTAGGTATGGCTGAACAAGAAGAACGAAACGGCGATGTTGAGTTTTTGAAATACAGAAACCAACTCTCGCGGCGATACCACGGCGGTAATTGAAGTAGTTTTGTATTGTACTTTAGGTAGAGTTTTGCTTGTAAAAAATATTAGTTATTACGCGCACTCGCAGCTGTCTAAACACATTCATCTAATCGTAGTACCCTTCCGGTAACTGCCCACTTTGCTCGTCCCCCAATTCTAAATCTCTGCTCGTTTTCACGTCCGCGTCTTCCCCGAACTGAATCGCGTTATCTACGCGATACAACACGTCCGCCACGCACTCCTCGTCGCTGATGTCCAATTTTGCAAACGCAATCAACGAATAATCATCCATCAATTGCGCTAACATAGTGTTCAGCTTTCTATACTCGCTCGGCATGCTCTCGTTTAACTCCTCCGCTAATCGACTGTGATCTGGCCACAGATACGGCTCTAAAACGCTTTGATCCTCCAACAAATCCGCTTTCGACAAAACGTTGACGTGCGGCAACTCTAACAGCATCATCGCCGACTGCGCTTGCAAACACCCAGCGATAAACTTCGCCCCGTCCGTGATAAATGTCGAATCTAATATATACACCGCGACGGTTTGCCACCCCCAATCTCTCAACTTATCCACGAACGTCCTAAAACACGTGTGGTGCGAATACAACTCAATCTGTCCTGGACAGTCGAAAATCACGCAGTCGTCTTCCCCGAACCCTTCTAACGCCTCGGATAACCAATCGTCCAAATTATCCTCTAAATACTCCATGCAATACATTAAACCACCGTTTGGTCCTAAATCCAACTCATCCATCACGTCATCGACGGTGATTAAATCTTTCACATCCGCCGTCACCGGGTAGTTAAATTGGTCCGCAGCCGGGTCCAAATTGATGCAATGTCTGCGTTGGCCTAACGCCGAACAGTGTTGGAAAATCGTTTCCACGTACGTGGACTTCCCCGAGCCGGCTGGGCCAATCACCAGTTGCGCGTACGGCATTTTAGTTTTATTATTATTATTCCTTCTTCTTCTTCTTAACGAGGATACTACTTATACTCCCGTGTTAAACACTTATTCCTCTCTCGTCGTCGCTGTTTTCTTCTCTTCTACACAATGGTAGAAGAAAAATAATAAAGTGAAGACGTCACAACTCACATTATTTATTATTCAGATAATCTTAAGATAACACACACACACACACACACACACACACGTGATAATAATAATAATAATACTGATGATGACGAGAGTACTAATGACGCCGACAACAAGGACGAGGACGAGGTTTTTGGCGCTTAAAACACATCATCATCCTTGGATAATGTTGTTCTCATTGTTGGTGTTCCAAAATTGTTCTCTTTTTTCTTTTCCAATAACATCAGTCAATGCGTTGGGTTGCGAGTGCACGGGAGACGAGTTTCTCGTCTCGGGCGTTTCCTTGGGCAGCCGATGCGCCGAGTGGGGGGATAAAAACGCAATCTGCGCGGATCAAACGACGGTCACGGACGAGTGCTGCAAACCGTGGTGTTGGGTGTCACAAACAGATTGTCCTTCTGCGAGGTATAACAAACAGGCGGATAAATATTTTTCGTACGACGCGTGCGGGGCGACGTGCGCGAACGACCATTGCGGAGAGGAGAAGACGTATGTAGATACCAGAGGAGCAATCGTGTGCGAATCGGAATATCAAAACACGTGGGTTCGATATCGAATGTCGTCGTGGATATTCATTATTCCCTTGTTTTGTTTGTTTTCTTCGTTACGGTACCAGCAATCACGGAGGCGGATGTTGCTTTGTCAAAACCAGTTACAAGGCGGCGGTTCGCCATATGGTCAAGCGTCAGCGGGAGTGTGGAGAGGACAGAATTTTGGTCTGCAGAATAACTTTACGACGCCGCAAGGGCAGGCGGTATACATCGTCGGCGCGAACGGGCGATTAACGCCGCTACAGAATTCGAACGCGGCTAATCAACCGCAATTTTATCAAGGGGGAAACCCAGCGCAAGAGGTGAGGAGACAACAGAATCAGCCGAGAAGCGGCGGCATGTTAGACGCGTTGTTTGGTAGAGCCAACAGAGGTGGTGGTGGTGGTGGCGTGCAATCGCAACAACCACGCGCGGCGGCGGCAACATCTGTTGTTCCGGAAATGTCGCCCGTGAGTAGAGAACCGGCGTACGCACCTCCGTCGAATTATTACGGCAACGAAAACCAAGCGAGACGAAATCAAGCGGTGACCGATAATTCTCCGCAACAAGCGTATCCGACTGTTTAAAAGTAAATATCAATGACCATGATGCTTTAAGTAGGAAGAAACTTGATTAACGATGATGTTTTTATATGTAATAAGATTTGTATATGAGATATTTAAAGTACGCGTACAACGGCAGCAGTATCTAGATGAAATTTAGAATCGCTCTTTTCTTTTCCTTCCGGTATATTTAGAATCGTTTGCCACCTGGACGCCTCGATTCCTCATCTGTTTTTTCTTCTTCATCACCCACGCTTTCCCTTTCCCTTCCGGGTGTGATTTTGAGCCCACATATATCGTTCTCGCGTGCTTATCTCCTTTCCTCTTCTTCTTCACACCTAATCCGAATTCGCTATTATTGTTATTGTTATGTTTGAACTTGTTCTTCCCGCCTCCTCTCCCGACGACGTCTTGTTTCGCGTTGGCGTAGTCATTCGCCTCGTCCGTCTTTGCCGTCGGCATCGAGTCCGGCGGTCCAGCCGCCAAGACCAAAAAATATTTCTTCGCTCTCGTCGAGTTTGGATAATCTACGACTAAACCACCGCTAAAACCAACTCTCAACGCACTACTCGCAATCATCTCCGCCTGCCTCGCGTTCTCCGGATAAAACTGAAACGCGCACTTCGCGCCTCGTTTCAAGCACCTATACGTTTGCGAAAAGAACGCTTTCAATCGTTTCCTCGGGTCGTGTTCGCTCTTATCCGCGTTGCACAACCACTGAATCGCGGATATAGAGACGCACCCGTCGAACACTCCCGGACGAAACGGTACCCCGTGGCCGATATCTGACTCGAAAACGTCTCCTTCCACTTCTCGCTCCACCGCGTGATTCAACATCCCTCTGGAGATGTCTACCCCGACCCAATGATGCCCGAGCTCGGTTAACCGATCCCCGGATAAGCCGGACCCGCACCCGACGTCTAACAAAAATCTCGGCACATCGTCCCTCGGGAAGTTTAATAACTCCAACGCTCTCTCCGTCAATCTTTCTTGGATTTCAATCACCCTCGACGAGGCGGTGTACTTCTTTGCCTCGGCGGCGTCGTAGAAATACTCCGCCGGGGCGGTCAGTTCTGGTCGAGACATTACTAATTTGCGTTTGTTGAACAAACAGTGAACAAAGACAAATGATGATGATGATGCGGGTACAAATAGTACAGAAGTATATATATACGCGAAAAGCTGTTGCCTGTAAGACCGTTCGTTTTCTTTTGCATATAAAAAGCGTGTCAGTCAGTGTGTGTATTGATGGCGGCCGAAATTGAAATTACTTTTCTTTTTGGCAAAAGCAGCGAAGAAATTTACACATCTACCCACAGTACGAGTAGGATTTTACATCTAGTAGTATTACATATACATCTATTATTGTTTCACCGCCATTTCGTTTATTTTCATCTTCAAAAACTCAGCGCACGACAGCGGAGGGTATTTATCGACGTCTACGCCTCGTTCGATGAGCTTATCTCGAATCTCTTCGGGCGTTTTAATCACCGTCTCACCGTCTGGATCCATGAAGAACGCGCACGAATACCTGTGTTGCATTGCGGCAATCTCGTCCGGAACGATGACTCTGTGCGCCGTGGCGTTGTAGAAATCTCCCGTCCATCGTTGGAGTAAAGCTCCGGTGTTTAAAATACAACAGTTCCCCCGCGATCCTCTCTTTGCCGCGACATCGATCCAACCTTCCTCGAGATTGTCTCTCCCGTGATCGAACCGCGACGCTTTTTTCACCTGTAAACCTCTTCCTAAAGATTCCGAATCGTGGAACAGAAACGTCGCGAACCCAAAGTCCACGTGTTCACTCACTCTCAACGACATTTTATTCCCAACTTTCTCGCTTATCTCCGTCGTTTTCGTCGGCATCGAGTGCAAAATTTTCAAGGTGCACAAATCCATCTCGCGAAAGGTATCCGCGAAGAACCTCACGTCCTTCTCAAATCCAAGCGCGACTGCCGTCGCCAAGCACAAGCTTTCGCACGCCCTCTCGCATTTGTCGTAAAACCTCTTCGTGACTTCTTTCCACTCTTTCTTTCTTTTCACGTTTTCGAAATAGTCTCGATCTTTGTACAAAGAGTCCTTTCTCACGCTGAACGTTTCCTTCTCGTCTGGTAGTCTTAAATCGTTCAACACCTCCGCTCGGTACTTCGCGTACCCCGTGTTCGTCTTCGGTTCCCACTGCACGAGCTCTCCCTCTTTGTGTTCCGTCGACTGACCTTCGAAGAACAGCTTCGCCTCTCGAAAGACGGACTCGATGTCCTCTTTCTCCAATCCCACGTTTTCCAAGTAGCAAAATCCGTGCCTTTTGAAGCATTTCCCGAGCGCGTCAGCGCATTTCCGCTTCGCTTCATCGAGAACAACAATCGTTTCACCTTTATAATCATCATCTCCTCTTCCTCCTCCTTGGAACACGAACGGGGACAGATCGATGGTCGGTATCTCGTCCATCATCCGAAGAACGACACCCCGCGCACTTTTTTTTTACTCTCTCGTAAGTTTTAACGAACTTTTTTTGCATTCTCATCAAGCTGTCAAGAGCTCATATGGAATTGTGCCCTGCAGGAAAAAGCGCTGAATGCTCTTTTCGAAAGAAATTTTCATCACAAAAAAGAAAACACAAGAAAGACTTCTTGGAAAGATGGAATCATCGGAACAAGAAGAAGAAGAACAAAAAGAACTGGTCCGAGTGGACTCTGAAGACGTGCTGAAACTGGTCTTCCAATTTCTCTCGGAGCAAAACTTATATAAAACGGCGAAAACTTTATTGCAGGAAACCGATATGGACGTGGACTTTGTGACCGAGAAATCGGTGTCGAAATTGACGACATCGATTCTCGCCGGCGAGTGGGAATTCGTTTTGGACCATTTTTATAACAAAAACATAATATCGGTTTCTGAGAACGTTTTGGAGAAGATATTGACGCAAATCGCGTTGGAAATGATCGAAATAAGGGACGTGGAAGTCGCGAAAGCGATATTACGGGAAACAGAAACCATGAAACGATGTAAAGATAAGAGTAAAATGAGACGGTTGGAAGCGTTGGCTGGGATGCCAAAGTTACCAGGGGAGATTTTGATGTCGTTATACGTGGACGAGAAAGACGCTGGGAAGTTGGAGAAAGACGATAACGCCATGAAAGGTGCTTCCATGGAGGAGATTAAAGAAAAAGTGACGAAAATGAAACTCAAACGTAGAAAAGCTATAGCGGAAGACGTGCAAAGCGCTTTGCGGTCGGTGAAACCAAACGTGTTGATGAATTTATTAGGGGATGCGTTTAAATGGCGAAGACACTGCGGGTTTGTCTCGGAGAGCATGTTAAGTAGCAACGACAACTCTAGTTTTGATGTGTTTTTAGACCGATCGAACTTGAAGGATATCTTTAGCCATTCATCCGCGGGAGGCAAGAAGCGTAAAAATAGAGACGCCGAAGGAGGCGAGAATAATAACAACAAATACGATTATAAAAACGTCAACGACGATTACGTTCGAGCCGAGAAACGTTCGATTGGTAAATTTGGTAAGAAGTCAGTAGTCAATTGCCTTGCGATATCTCCCGATGGGTTATCTGTGGCCACGGGTACCGCGGACGGGTTCGTCGAGCTGTGGAAATTTTCCAACGGAAAATTACGAACCGATTTGAAGTACCAAAACGACGATGAACTTTTATTACACGAAAACGGAAAGGTTACCGCGTTAGCGTTCTCGCCCGATTTTGAGACCTTGGCGTCGGCGGATTCAACCGGGGTGATTAAGGTATGGAGAATACAAACGGGGAGGTGCGTGCGTACTTACCCATCCGCTCACCACGGCGCAATCACAAAGATGGAATTCTCCGCCGACGGCAACGGATTACTCACCTCTGGGTTCGACGGTATGGCTCGATTGCACGGTTTGAAATCTGGCAAGACGTTGAAAGAATACGTAAACCCGACGGTTTCATCTGGTGGTATCACGGAACAGTGCGAGTGCGCTATATTTTGTGGCACGGACAAAGAGTTCATCTTGGCAGCGTATTCGAACGGCTTGGTCTTGTTGTTTGACGCGAAAACCGCAGAGATTCTCAAAGAGCACAAACATCCGCTCCTGACAAAAAAGAGCGGCGACGATAAAAGCAGTGACGATGCATCAAAAGAAGCGCACGTCTCTGAGTTCGTCGTCAAAGACATGTGCCGAGACCCTTTATCGTTTGACAAGGTATTTCTTTGCGGAGGCGCCATGAAGTTGGTTTCCTTCGACGCGAAAACGGGGAAGATTGAACGCACGTTCAACGCGCCAACCACCTCTATACCGTCCGAAATCATAGCCAACACCGCGTATATCTCCGTCTCCGTCTCTCGAAAAGGTGAATACATCTACGCTGCCAACGAATGCAACGCGATAGTTCGATGCTGGAGAGTCAACGACGCCAAGTTTGTTTGCGAAACCGACGCGAGAGGCGACGTCGCGGAAGGAGACAAAGATACTTCACACTGCCTCGCCTGCGAGACGCACCCGCAAGGTAACGCCATCGTCACTCTGTCGAGTCCAAACATTTGTAAACTTTTCACCGCGTGATTTAATATTAGTATTCGTTAAAAATAAAAACAACTCTCTCTCGCTCTCTCTCTCGATCGATCGATTTTTCGATTTTTTTTTTTATTTCGAGAAAGAAAGAAAGAATTGGACGAGAATCGCGTCACTTGTTTTCACGCGCGGCGGACCAACTTTCATCAAACCCTTTGCGTTTTTCCATTAAAGAAGAAGAAGAGAAGAAGTCGTCGATAAATAATATAATAATAATGGGTTCGTACGAAGATGCCAAGCGCAAAGCGCACGTCATGAAGTTCAAGAAGTATATCAAATCTCTTTCCAAACCGCAAAAGGTTGGATTGATTTTAACTTTGTGTTCGTTCGTTTTACTCTTGCTCTATTTAGTCATCGACAATCACGACACCTTGTTCATCATGGCTGAGTTCGTGCACTTCATCGGCATCGCGATTCTGGCGTATAAATTGTTGAGGGAAAAATCCTGTCTCGGCCTTTCCATGCAAACGCAAGAGTTGACGGCGATATTTTTAGGGATCCGCTTGTACTGTTCGTTCATGATGGAGTACGACTGGCACACGATTTTAGATTTTTTAACGCTAATGGCGACGATGTGGGTGTTGTCCACGATGAAAGGGTCGTTGAAGCATAATTACGAGACGCACAACAGACCGCTGGATACGATCATGACGTGGCAAGTGTTGGTACCGTGCGTTATAATGGCGATTATCGCGCACCCGCAAACGTCGCACGCGGTTGTGAATCGAGTGTTGTGGGCCACGTGCGTGTATTTGGAAGCGGTGAGCGTTTTGCCGCAGTTGCGCGTGATGCAATCGGCGAAAGTTGTGGAGAGATGGACGGCGAATTACGTGTTTTCGTTAGGTGTGGCGAGGTTTTTGAGCTGCGCGCACTGGATTTTACAGATTTTCGACGGACAGAGTTACTTGAAAACCGCGTTGACGACCGGATTGTGGCCAGTCATGGTTTTGGTCTCAGAGATTGTGCAGACGTTCATTTTGGCAGATTTTTGCTATTTCTACGTCTTGTCTTTTGCGGATGGTGGCAAGGTTGTGCGATTACCAGCTGGATTAGTATAATATATAAGAGGAAGAAAAGAGACGAGAAGAGAAGAGAATGTGTTCCTCAAAAGCGCTCAGAAAACACAACATAAAACAAGAAGAAATCATGAAATAAAACAAATACATCATAGACTATACCAATCAAGTACTTCCACAAACATTGACCTGATTCTCTCATATTCCCTAACTATCACATCTTGGGGGTCTTCCACGCTGAACATGTGTCTGTCGAACAAAATTTCTTTCACAATAAACTGTGGCGCATAATCTGTATCGTTTCTTCTCGCGATATCCTCGAATTCCTTCTTCAAAGTTTCCGCGTACGAAATCTTTGCGTCTCGAAAACCGAACACGTATATTGATATTGGGCATCGCCTTTGACTCCAAAAGAGTGGTCTGGTTCCAATGTGCCCGTATTCAGGCGACGATTTTTTATACGAAGAAGGTCGAAATGGAGTGCAGTGAAGTGCGACTTGCATCGCGTGCATTGGCGTCATCGATGGGTTATACGCTGCACACTCCACGCTCGCACCAAAATAAAACCTCATCCCGGATCGTTTATCACCGGTCTTCCAGCGTTCTTCCAACGAGCGCTGGTATTCCAACGGTATGGCTATAGCGCATGGACTATCCGTATATGGCGCGTATGAATGCGCCATTGTATGCGCCAACTCCTCCATTGCTGCAAAAATTCTTTCTTCTTCCTCAAGATTCCCAAAACTGAATTGCCCAAAACGGATCCTTCCATCTTCCAACGCTTCTCTCAGCAATTTACAAAACTTCTCCATGGTTCCGAGTCCGTCCCGATCTCGCGGGTTCGGCGGACATCCATCCAACAACAGCGTCCTAACGTGCACTTTTTCCTCGTCCACAACTATTGCATCGCTGCCTTCACTTTTCCTCCGTTTTATCCTCTCCTCTCGATGTTCTTCGTCTCCCGGTACTTCTAAATCCAACGGTCCGAACGCTTTCGGTAACAACTCCTCCAATCTCATCGCTGCCATGCCGGGCAATAAAATCTGAATATCCTTCGCGTCTCTCAGTTCGTTCATAAACTGTCGACAATGTCCGCACGGCGCGTGTGTTATGGCAATTTTTACAATCTTCTCTTTTTCCTCCTCCTCGTTACTCTCGTTGTTGTTGTTGTTGTTGTTGTTCCTCTCGTGCTCTTTCCTCCTTTCCTTTTCTCTTTCTTCTTTCGTCTTCTTGCCTCCTTTCATCTTCTCTTTCCTCCTGTATTCTTCCAACTCCGCGTTCCTGATTCCAACCATGGCGTTCGTAATCATGCACTGCTCCGCGTGCACGGACCTATTCAAAGCGCACTTTTCCACCTCTACGTTCACGCCTAAGAAAATATTCCCGCGATTCGTCAAACACGCCGCGCCGACGTGGAAATTCGACGTCGGTGGTCGCGCGTATTCTTTCACTTCGTGCACCAACCGTCGCAAGAAGTCGTCGACGTCAAATTTAATTTCTGAGGACGACGTCGAGAGGATGAGAATCTGTTCCTCCAACGACACTCCGTACGACGAGCTTCCTTCTCCTCTTCCTCCTTTCGTCGTTTCCGTCGTCGTACATTCGTTCACCCCCAAAGAAGAATTCCGTCTTCTCAGCGCGTACCCGCCTTCTTCGCACGCGTCCCGGACGACTTCCTTGATCATCATCATTTTAGCTTCATCCTCGTCATCTTTGGTTTCGTCTTCGTCTGTTCTCTCTTTCTTTTCCTCCTCTTTCCCTCTCGCTTTCGTCGTATCTATCATATCTTCTTTTGATGATTTGAAGAGAGTTTTTCCCTAAAAAAGTGTAACGAACTCATTCATCTCGTCTTTCCTCAGAAGAACAAAAAGAGTTTAATAATAATGCGTCGCAGTATTGCTTTGCGCTTTGTTCGACTCCTCTTCCTCTTGGCATTCGTAATGGTGGCGACTGCGTACGAGAAATCTCCCGTCGTTACCGAAACCATCGGAGATGATTCCAACGGAGAGGACATCCAATATCTCTACAAAGTTCCAAAACTGTCGAGTGGACCGAGAGCGTTGTTTCTTCTTTTCCACGGGTGCGCGCACGACGCGTTCGATTGGTTCGAAAAAGACGAAAATAATTGTCCAAAATGCAGAGGATTACCGATCGAAGTTTCAATCGCTCACTTCGCGTACGAACAGAACATGGCGGTGTTGGCGATATCGAGCAATAAAGGGTGTTGGCAACGGAATCCAGATGCGTCGAGGGTGTACAAAGTGTTGAAAAATTTTTCAGAAAAAGATGGCACGGATATTGGAGATTTAGCGCATAAAGAACACGTGGACGTGTACGCGTTCGGAGCCTCGAGTGGCGGGACGTTCGTGTCGCACGTGTTACCGCAAATATTCGAGGACCATTTCGGACATTTGAAGATGCGTTTGAAAGGCGCCATATCGCAAATCGCGGCGCCGCCGGAGGTTGAAAAGATTACGCTGCCGATGGTGTTTTCGCACATGCCGAAAGACGAGAGGATTGCCAGGGCGGTGAGAAATACTGTCGATCAGATGCAGAAGAGTTCAGACGTGCCGGTAAAGGAATCGGAACTGCACCCGATGAAATTGCACGAAACGTTTTTCAGAGACAACGCGCCTCCGGGGTATTACGAGACGTACGAGTCTGAGAAAATGTTCGAGGCGTTGAAAACGAACGGGTACTTGGACGACGAAGGGTATTTGAAGGAAGACCCGAGACGCTCGGATTGGAGAGATGTCGTGTGTGGTTCTTTAGAAGGCGAGAATAGATTTGCTCCAGATTCGCCGTGTGAAAATAACAAGAGTTGGACGTCGGAGTTGATGAACGTCGCTTGGGCGTCGCACGAGATGCGTTTCGATACGTTTGCGGAAGATGTGAAGTTTTTGATAGAGGCGAGTCACTTTGGCAATCGAGCGATTGAGTTTGAAGACGAGTTGGACGATTCCAACGATTTGGAATTCCACGAGAAGAGGGCGAGTCAAGAAGGCGAAGGACCGGCGCCGGCACCAAGTGCGAGAGATTTTGATTTGATGTCGCAATCTGGAGGCGAAAATGGTAGGACGCCGACGCGAACGAATCGCCCGACGAAAAGAGGCCAACCGGAGTTTCCCTCGCACTGGGGACCAGTGCCATTGCTGCAAACGCGCGATTACCGACAATACCCGCCTCCGTACGACGAGTATTTCGGTTCCGGAACAGTCGTGAAATGGATTCTAAAGCAGCAAGACATGGATAGAGAAAATCCAGAACGCGCCGCGAAAAACGACGAAGAAGAGGCGACGAAACAAAGCGGCGACGACGAAGACGACGGAGAAGCTGAGCAAAAAGAAAAAATTGAGTTCCCAAAACGATGGGGCGATCCACCAGAGATACAAACGATGGATTACGTCGAGCTTCCTCCGCCATACGGACACGGTTCTTCGACTTTGCGCAATTGGATCGAAGAAAACTTGAGAAGAGATGCCGAGTTTCGTTTACCGAAACGCCGAGAGAAACCCGAAGTCGAAGAAGAAGAGGAAGAGGAAGAGGAAGAGGGCGGGAACGAGCTGTAAAAGGAGGAAAGGAATGGCATACGAACATACAACATATACGCATAGTAGCACTTGTAAACTGTAAACTATAAAATACAACCGCAGTCTATATACTCAGCATCATCATCTCAGAAAACGTTCGGCACGGTACAATCGCTCGATAACAAGCCTCTTAATTTGGCTTCTTCCCAAATCTTTGGATCGATGTTATCGATTTCATTCAACCACTCTAAGGTCTTTTCTACTTCAAATCTAGATTTCACGCCAACTGCAAATTTCTTCACGACGTTTGGTGCAGCCGAAAACGCCATGGCGACGGCTGGTAACGATACGTTTCCAAACTCTTCGCACAACTGCTCCCACGCTTTCTTCTTCGCGATGACATTCTCATTCGCCGGTCCGTATTTATACGTAGATCCACCGACTAACAACCCACTGGCGTAAATACCAGCGTTGTGAATATACATGCCTCGTTTTTCGCACTCTTTATACAACTCGCACCCATCTTGATCGATTAAATTCCAACTCCCAGCTGCCATGACCCCGTCGAAGGTGTTCTCGGCGCTCTCGCGAATCGCTCGCAACGAATACATCGGATCGTTTCCACCTAACGACACATCCTCGACGACTTTCTCCTCGTCCCGCATTCGCTTAATCCTCACAAAAGCACCCGTATCTTTATTCGCAGCTTCTTCGAATCGCATTTCATCTTCACAATCGTGCACTCGAATGCCAAAAATGTGCTTCACGCCGATTCTTTCCAGCGAATCGGTTAAACTTTGCGCGACGCCGTCACCGGTATAATTCAGCGTCGGTCGACTCTCCGGATTGTTCTCCGGAAACACGCAATCCGGGTGCCCCAACACGTTCCCTTCTTCCACTCTGTCCGTTTTTAACACGTCGTTTTTATCTTTAATCACTCTCCCGACTTTGGTCCAAATTTTAATCTCCTCTCGTAAGTCCTCCGTCATTTTTGGATAACTCTTCAACGCTTTCCCGAATCGTTCTTCGGACAAACCTAACCCGTAATGCGGCGCGGTATCGAAATTTCGAAACCCAAGGTCCAACGCGCAATGCACGACATCGATTGCGTGTTTCTCTTCCATTTTCGCGTATAATCCAGCCAAAGAAGAGAGTCCAACGATGACTTCATTTTGCGTGACTTTACTCGTTCGCGGTTGAAGAATCTGCATTTTTATATCTCTTCTGCTCTGTTTCGTTTTCAAACGGGGGCGAGTAGTACTACTACTCTCGCGTCTCTGAAAGATGACGAAAACGACCTGTTGCGCGAATGAGGCTAAAATGATCGCAAAAAGAAAAGCGCGGAGGAAAGAGCCAGCTGATGAAGAAGTCGTCGTTTGTGTACCTTTTTCTTTAGGCATTTCCAATGAGGCAGATGAAGGAAAAATTTTCGTAATTTTTGTTGTTCAATCAATTTGTCTCTCTCTCTTCTCTCTCTCTGAAACGTGAAAACGCTCAAGCCCACTCCATGGTCGTTTGCGGCGACGACGTGGGAAGCTCTCCTCGTCTTGAACTCCTCAACGCGTGTCTCTTGAACTGCTCGCTCCTTCGCGTGGACGGGTAATTTGGACTGACAAAGTCTAACTTCGTGGCGAGTTGAACCGCGTCTATGCGTTTCAGCTCGTTTTCCACGCGGTGTTTGCTCGACGCGGGTAAGTACGAGCCGGTGCTCAGATGCGGCGTTTGTATCTTTCTCTTCTTCTTTGTCTTCTCCTCGGACTTTCTCGTGGAGAACTTTGCGACTTCAATCATTTTGGACCTTTTCACCGCCGACGCCGCCGCCTTGGGTTTCGCCGGCGTCATCTCTTCTTCTTCTTCTTCTTGCGTTGGACTTCGTCCTCGTTTCCTCGTCGGACGAGGAGGTGAAGAGACCGACGATCCTTTCCTGTCTTTCACCGTCTTCGTTTTCTTCTTCACGGACGCCGACCCGGGTTCTCTCGTTTCTCTCGCTTTTTGCGTCTCCGAGGACGTCTCTGGAATCGTCGTCATCTCTTCTTCTTCTTCTTTGTCTTCGTCTTCTTCCTCGTCGTCCTTCTCGGTGACTTTTTGTGCGCTAAAAAATACCTCTTCTTCTTCTCCGTCGTCCTCTGCTCGACTTGGAAGACGAAGGTCGCCGTCGAGTTCCGACGTGTCCACGGGAAAGCCCGGTTCCGGTTTCGACGAAGTGCCGCCCATCTCCTTTACACTTCTCCTTCTTCTTCTTCGCACGGGTGGCGTTACTTGCGTGTGTGTGTGTGTTGAGTGCTCGAGTTGTTGCGCGCGTATTTTTTTAAACAAAACACCTCCTCCAATTACACCATTATATACACGCGCGATGACGAATAATACTAATAACACTAATACCGATAAGAAGAAGACAAACCCAGAAGAAGAATTATACTACTGCGAGAAAGAGTTACGCGCGTTGGGAAAATCACTGGAATGTTGCGTGTGCATACGGTTGATGGAATCGCCTTCACGAACGAGATGGTACTATTCGTTTTGTGTTTCTTCATTTTGAAAATTTCCCCTACCAATACTAATTCATTCTTCTTCTCACAGTGCGCATTACTTTTGCAAAAAGTGCATATTAGACTGCGCGAAAGCGAACGGGAAGTGTCCTTTGTGTAAATCCGACGTGAGCAGAAGAGAAGTGAAACCAGACGCGATGATGACGGAGATGATTGAATTGTATAAAAAATTAGTCGTGAAAGTTGTTAAAGAAGAAGAAGAAGACAAAGAAGAGGAAGAAGAAAAGAAGAGGAGAAGCGTGCCGTACATGTCGCAACTGCCGATAACGCAAAACACATAAGTCTGATGATGATTGATTCTTTTTGTATAAATATATAGCAAAACAAACTCTTGATAACTACTAGGCTAAACTCTTTAGAAATAATAGGTGTGACTTTGAATGATAATAAGAGCGAGCGAGCGAACGCTCTCAACTCCGTGAAAAACGAAATGCACCCGCGCGCACCAAAACACCAACATCAACATCAGACGGGTAACCGTTGCCCCTTCTTCACTATTTTCTTCACGAACTGATTCACCCCGGGAAACCGCAACATCGTCCCCAACACTGGCACGCGTTGCAAGAACAAAAGGACGGTTGGAAAAAATCCAGCGAACAACGCGAAGAACCCGTAACACTCTATAATCATCCCAACTACCGCCCATTTCATCAACACTAACAGTAATCCGAGTATGAAACAAAACGCGCCTCTCTGATTTCGAGGTTTGATGAAAAATTTCATCGTCGCTCTCGGGCCGATCGTCGTGGTCACTCCAGAGAGGAACATGAGGTTGCCCATGGCTAATAAAGCTCGGTCGAAGAAGAGAAAGACGCCAAGGGTGGTAAAACCGCATCCGAATGCAATCAGTCCGATGCCAATTTCTATTATTATTACGAGTATTATCATTAATGAGAGATATAATATGTGTTGTCAGCGTAATAATGGTGAGACAGAATGGTGAGACGGGGAGCGAGAAGAGGATGATGATAAATCTCTCTTCTTTTAGCCGTTTATAATGTTTTGTGTGAGATGAGTCAAAAACGTCCCCTAATACGAAGTACGCTTGTTCTCGCTTTTGAAAGAGGAAAAGAAGAAGAAGAAGAATGTAAAGAAAAAGAATCTAAAAAGAAGATAAACGCACTTCGTCTGTCGTCCATCATTTTTGTCGTCGCTCTCGTTTACGTCGTCGTTTACGTCGTCGTAAACTCTCTTTTAGAAGATATAATTGAGAAGAATTTTGCCTACTCTTTCTTGTGTTTGACTTCTCTCAAAAAAAAAGAGAGGCAACCTTTCTGTCTGTGCTCGAATAAAAAAAAGGGGAAAACACCAACAACCTTTTTTGGGATTCAACAACAAAAAACAAATTATTCTCCACAATACAAAAGCAAAAAAGAAGACAAGAAAAAAAGAAAATGAACGACGCGGCAGCGGCAACGTTTGACGCGGTTTCCGACGGCGTTTCCGACGTGAAAGATACGGTCGGGAAATACGTGCAGTTTAACGCGAACAAGACGAATTTTTTCATCAAATTGAGAAAGAATTTAGACGTGAGGTTTCCAGGTCATTATTCATCATTTGTTTTGTGTGTATATGTTTCTGTTGTTGTTGTTCTTTATTAATACTTTTTGTTGTGTGCACTTGTTGTGCGCGCACGATTGATCATCGCTGACGCTCTTTCTCTCTCTTTCCACTCTTCCACTCTCTCGTGAACAACAAACATTGATACAAAAAATAACAGCCATCGCACCGATTCCAAACTTGCGCTTTCAAGTCGGCACCGATTTGTCCTTGGTCTCGCACGACGACAGCCGATTTATGGACTTGACGGTGGAATACACGCCGAATTTACAGTGGTCGTGTAAAGAAACCTGGTTCGATGGGGAGATTCAATTCGACACGAAGAATAAGCACGTGAAGTATGCGAAAGATTTCGATTTGGGCGGCGCTATCGTCAAAGTTTCCGGTAACTACGACTACGTGAACAACGCGCCGTTCGTCGGGTTTCAAGTCGTCACGCAACAAGGCATCTCTACGCCGGCCAATTGCAACGGGTTCTCGTTGGCCAAGAGAGTTAAGAAGGAAATGGGGCCGTTTCAAGCCGAATGCGATGTTCAAGGGACGTTGACGTTAGGAGAAACAAAGTTGAAAAAGTCTGGAGGGATGGAAATGGGACCGACGAAGATTGAGATTAATCGCGTGGAGATGGTTGTTTCATGTTAAGAAATGGTGAGGCGATAATGCGCACTTCTACTTGGATAATAATAATAACAACGAGATCACCACTTACTGTACGGTATCTCGGCCATTTCGTATTTAATATATGTAGTAAGAAAATAATTACTGTAGTACTTGTTTTGTTTTGTTACCGGTATCTAATTTTCGCGTTGTTTACGAATTAACCACATCTCAACACACGCGCATCATCAAAATAATTAGAAATCGACAAAGTCCGAACTAAAGATATCTTTGACGATTTGTTTGCTTCCGTTGGGCACCTTCTTCGGGAACTTGATCGAATACGTCACGACTAAATCACCAAACTTCCCCGAACTTCCAAACCTCGGCATCCCTTCCCCTTTATAGGTCTGCACAAAGCCAGGCGTGGTCACCTCCTCGTTCTTCAACACAATCTTCCTACCGTCGTAATGCGTGATTTCCGTCTCAAAACCGTTCAATGCCATCACCAACGTAATCTCTTTATCCATGTACAAATTATTATCACTCGCGCCTCGTCTCCATTTCATCTCTTTATCGTATTGCGCTTTCACAATCATCTTCAAATCCCCAGGCTCGCCATCGATTAACACGTCGCCTTCCTCGAAGAATAAGATTTCCTTCCCATCTTCCATACCCGGTTCGATTTCGCACATCAACGTGGACTTTTCTCTCGCTAATTTCACGTTCGGACACTCCTCGCACTCGTTTTGCGCGTACTGCTGAAACATCCCCGGACCGACTTGTCGAGTCACCATCTTCTGTCGACAATTACACTTCCTCGTCCCTTTCGCTGGTTTCAGAACGTCTTTATCTCTTATCACTTTAATCGTGTTCCCTAAATACAAATCTTTCAAAGAAACGTACAAATCCATCTGCACCGGTTCGCCTTTCGGCGTCTCCGGTTCTTGATTCATGCCGCCGAACCCGCCGAACCCGCCGAATCCTCCACCGAAGAATTGGCTGAAGATATCCCCGGGGTGCCCACCACCACCTCCTCCGCCTCCTTGCTGATGTTGCTTCAACCCTTCCTCTCCGTGTCGATCGTAAATCTGTCTCTTCTCTTCATCCGTTAAAACTTCGTACGCGTTCGAGAGCTCCTCAAATTTACTCTTCGCTTTGTCATCCCCTGGGTTTTTATCCGGGTGATACTTCAACGCCAGTTTCCGGTACGCCCGTTTAATTTGCGACTCCGGAGCGCCTCGCGCGACGCCGAGGATGGAGTAGTAATCTTTCGCGTGTGCGAATTCCGCCACGAAAGACACGCTCAATAACAACAGCGTCGTCAAGAGCAAAACGAAGAGAGATGATGATTTTTTTCTTCCGATCAATTTTTTGCTCCTGCATCTGCGCGGCATCATCTTTTCCTTCGTTGTATTTTTAGTAGTATCATTACCAAACGTCGTCATCGTTCTCGTACTACAACAAAGAGAGCGTCGATCGATCGATCTCTCGTCTGCTTCTAAACTGCTGCTCAAACCCAAAAAGTGTGCGAGTGTTTGTGTGCAGTTCAATACTCTGTGATATAAATACGAGTTGCGAAAAAGTCTCTTCTGACGTCTGTTTCTGCATGTCTGAAATGACTTGTCATTTGCCAATAGAAATTCTGATGAAAAACAACACTTTTGAGCAGAAAATTTCTTCATTAACTTTCTCTTGGTGTTGTTGTTGTTGTTGTTGTCGTTCTTGATGAAACGACGATGATTACGACGACGACGACGAGATTAGCTCATCTCGAAACTGGTTCTGCCGCTGCTTCTTCGTCTCTCTCCAGAAGAAGAAGAAGACAAAGAGCGGCGACAAGAGTTGAGGCGAGATGCAAAAGTTGTTTCGTGGCTCCGAGTACGGTTGCTCCTTTAAGAAGACAACAAAGACGATGTGATTATGGAAGGACAAAAAGGAAGACGTTGCGACCACCGGCTGCGTTTATATTCTGGTCGCAGGAAGATGAGTTGAGGAAACGGTTCAAGCAAATCGCGACGGTCGTCGCGGACGAGCTCGCGATTGCGTACAGCGGGAACAAAAACGTGAAGAGCATTCGGAAAGGAATACTACTCGTCGCGGAGTATCCTTTATTTTCGGTCGGTGTTTTGGTGGCTGGAATGTCGGTCGCGGCGGCTATGGCGAGCGCGGTTGCGGTGCCAATCGCGTTAGCCGCGGTCGGGACGTTACTTCCGCTGATTATGTTTGCGTCGTTTGGGGCTATATTCGCCGCGACCGCGGCTGCGATGGTGGCGTTGACCGTGCTCGGGCCTTTGTTGCTGAGCTTTTCATTCTTCGGTGGCATGAGTTTTGTCGCCGTGGCGGCGAAGGCGGCAATAATCGTGCCTTCGATTATAATTGGGTCGACAATTTGGGCGATTGGGAGTTTCGGCTTAAAACGGAGTGCCGTAGGCGGCGCCGCCGGTACCGCGGACGAGGAAGCGAAATTTGAGAACATAAACGCAGTAGGCTCTCAAGACGACGACGACGTAAACGACGACGACGAGAGCACGAACGAGTTTGCGCGAACTATACTGGACAGGTTTGATCGCCAACTCTTAGGCGACGTCGAATTATGGGATTCTGAGGAAGTTTCCGCGTGGTTAAAAAGCGAATCGCTCGACGAAGCGGCTTCGATCGCGAAAAGCGCAAAAATCACCGGACGCCAGATACTGAAATATAAAGACGTTCGAGAGTTGGAATCTATCTTTCAAATAAATTCTCCGAAAGACCAGAAGAAGTTCGAGAACGCGTTTAAAAGGTTGCAAAGACTCGCGAACGTGAAGTTAGATTAACGATTGTAGATTTTAGATTTTATTAGACTTCGTTTTAGACTCATCAGAGAGCAGCTTGATAAACATAAAAATTTCTTCACGAAACACCACAAAAACAGCACAAAAAAATAAGAAAAAAATGTCTGCCGAAGCGCTCGAATCGATTTCCACCGACGACCTCATGAAAGAGGTCCAGCGCAGAATCGACTGCGCGAAGAAACCAGAGAAACGAGTCATTCTCATCGGTAATATTCTTTGTTTTTGCTTCTTCTTTGTCTTTCCTCACCGCCTTTCGCGATAAAAGATGACGATGATGATGATTCCATTTTATCTCATCATACGAAGACTAATCATATCTCTTATACGTGCAATAATAATAAACACAGGTCCACCTGGGTGTGGGAAAGGCACGCAAGCGCCGAAAATCAAATCCGAGCACTGCTTGTGCCACTTAGCGACCGGGGACATGCTCAGAGCAGCGGTTGCCGCGAAAACGCCGAACGGATTAGCCGCGAAAAAAGCGATGGAATCGGGCGGTTTGGTGTCGGACGAAATCGTGGTCGGTATTATTTCCGAAGCGGTGAAAAAACCCGAATGCAAAACCGGGTTTATTTTAGATGGGTTCCCGAGAACAGTCGTCCAGGCGGAGAAGTTGGACGAGATGTTGAAGAAACAAGGGACGAAAATCGATACGGTTTTGGACTTTAACATCCCGGATGAGGTTTTAGTCGAACGCGTGGAAGGTCGATGGATTCACGCGGCGAGCGGGAGATCGTATCACACGAAGTTTGCACCGCCAAAGGTACCAGGAAAGGATGACATTACCGGAGAGGATTTGATGAAAAGAAAAGATGATAACGCGGAGACGTTGAAAAGTCGATTGGATGCGTTCCACAAACAAACGCAGCCAGTGATTGATTATTACTCCAAGTTGAAGAAAGTTACGACGGTTGTCGCGAACAAACCGGCTTCAGACGTCGAAAAGCAAATCAGGAACGCTTTGTAAATATATAATAATAAATAGTAGAGTGCTGTGTGGTACTGCTGGTAGTAAGAAGGGAGAGTTGTTATTTAATTCATATTACGTGCAGAGTAAACAAGAGCGAGTGGTTTTGTAGTAATGTCACACTATCCGTGTCTTTGATTATTGCGTGAGCGTAAAAATAGTATCACATTAAAAGAACGCGAACTCTCTATCATAAATAATCAAAACTCGTCGTCCTCGTAGTCCTCGTCATCGCTTCCACTTCCGTTCGAAAACAACAGCTCGTCGCCGGCCCAGACAAAAGAATCGGTTTCGTACAAGTCACCATTCTCGTCAGTTCGCGTAATTGTATCGCCCGCACCCGTGCTTGATTCGCCTTTCAACAAGGACGATAAACGCTTGAGAATCGGACGAATCGTTGCGTCTAATCCGACAAGACTCGCCGGAGACAAATCTGTCATACCAATAGCCTCCTCCGCTCTCTCTTGAGCGCAAAGATTTCTCAACTCGGAAGCTCTCGCGATGTTATCGATTTCTTCTTCCATTTGTGCCCACGACATCCACGATTTCGCATTCGTCGGATTGGCTTTCACCGAACATTTGAACAACTCTCTCGCTAACGGAATGTTCCCTACCTTGCGCTCTAAAATCGCCCATGCTTGTAAACCAACCGCAGCGTCTTTCGATTCCGGACGAATCCAAACGCCTCGCTGAAACAACTCCCTCGCTTTTTCGATGTTCCCAGCTCTGAACTCGGCGACCCCCCACGCTTGCCAATTTTGTTGGTGCGAAGGATCGAGTTTCGTCCCGGCGGCAAAGTATTGCCTCGCCACGCGAATATTTCCATCGTTCGCTTCTAATCTTGCTAACGCTTGCAACAAACTTGGGTCCGCGGGGTTTAATCTCACCCCTCTTTGAATCAACTCTCTCGCTCTTTGAATGTTTCCGATGCTCGCTTCGAATCGACCCCACGCCAACCAACAGTACTTGCTCTTCGGACATACCTCCAAACCTTTCTTGAAGCATTGTCTCGCGCGTTCGTTCTCCCCGCACTCGGCTTCTAACAAACCCCAGCACTGCCAAATCGCGGCTGACTTCGCCCCTTTTTCCGTGTTCGCCCCGTCTCTGAAATGTTTCCTCGCCTCGTCGTATCTCCCTCTCTCCATCGCCATGAGACCCAACGAGTGATACAAATGCGCCGAAGCATCACTTTTCGGCACTTTCATCACTCCCTTTAAGAACAAATCCCTCGCTCTTTGATAGTTACCTTCCTCTCGTTCTAACTCGCCCCATCCGTGCCAAGCGGCTGCATGCTTCGGATTCGCAATCACCGCCGCGTCGAAGTACTTCCTCGCCTGCTGCACGTTCCCCGCTTTCTTCTCCAACGTCGCAAACGCCTGCCATAAGTACGCGTTCTCCGATCCCGTCGCTCTCGTTCCATTCTCGTACACCTCTCTCGCTTTGTTGTAGTCTTTTTGTTGCACGTAAATTTTACCGATTCCGACGTACGCTCTCCCGTCCGCAGGGTCGTACACCATCGCCCTCTTAAAAGTCTCGATCGCCGCATCTCTCAGTTTTCTCCGTTCCTTCCGCGTTCGCGCGTACAACGATTGATTCCGAATCCGTTTCGCTTCTTCGATGAGTAAGTCTTGGTTGATTTTCAATGGTTTTTCTTTTCCGATTTGCGAGTTATACACGCCGCCTTCTTGCATAAACGACGAGATAGAATTCGTTGTTGAAGACGTCGACGCGCTTCCAGTGTTCTCTGGATCCGAGGAGTACTCTCTCCCGCCGCTCGCCGTCGTCGAATCTCGACTGCCACCGATTAGGATATCCTCTTCATCGTTCGAAGAATCCACCACCTTTGAAAACTGGGCGCGGATGTTCACCATCTCCTGGGAGTCGTTCTCGTCCGAAGAACCAGGAGACATGGAAATGGCTCGAGATACGATAAGTGCATCTCCACCACGAGAGCGACGTCCAGTCGTGCTCGCCACGACTTCGTTGCTTCGCACGCGGCGTTGTTCCATCATCGTAACCACACACATCTTCTGCGCTCGTCGTTGTCGATGATGTCGGCTCTTTAGACTCAGTGCTGTGTTGGGTGCTGTGGCCGTCCCTCTCCTCGGCTGAGCCACGAGCGAAGGCCAAGACGCCATTATTCAATGCAACGACGACAGAGACGACGATGTGTGTGGTGCCAGGGTGAAGCCATTCCTTCAAAGAGATTTGAGAGATTTTTTGTTCGTGGAAGAGGAGAAACGAAGAGGAGAATTGGTTTTGGTCTCTGAATTAGGGTTCAGAATTTTTTTTGAAGAGAGAAAAAGAGAGAAAAAGAGAGAGGCTTCGTGAAAGTCGCTCTACTTACTGCCGATCACGCGAAGATGTACCTAAAACTCAGACATCGCTCTACGTATTACAACTATGGTCTACTACTACTACTACTACTACTACTTTAATTCTCCTTCTTTTTATCGTCGCTCTTCTTCCCGTCGTCGTCGGTGTTGACTTTAGTGGTGTTGTTCGTAACGGCGTCCTTTCCCCGATGCGGCATAACGATTGGCGTTTGAATGCGCCGTCCACCGACTGTTCTTGGCTCGCTGGTTCGTAAACCTGCCGAAGCGCGGCCTTTTGCGGATGGTCTTCTCCTTTGACCGCCGTAAATGTCGCTGAGCACGGACGCGCCGACGAAGGACGGCCCGACGTTTGGCAAAACGTCTTCCTCCTCTTCGTCTCCATCTTCGTCTTCTTCGTCACCGGAGGAGGATTCGCCTTCTCCATTATCATCGTCGTCGTCCGAGGATGATGACGGGAATGTTCTATACTCTTCTTTCTTCTCTTCTACATTCGTCGTCGGATGAGTACTTTCGACACCATTATTAGTATTCTCCTTTCCGTCGTCGGTCTTATCGCTCTTCTTCTTCTCACTCTTACTTTTCTTCTTACTCTTCTTCTTCCCCCCTTTTCTTCTCTTACTCTTTCGTTTACCTCTGTTTTGCATAAATTCAACGAAAGCACCCCAAAGAGATAACGCCAACCACATCCCGATCACTGGCGTCAACTCTGCGCACCTGTGAATAGTTCCGCTCACGCGTTCCATCAACGCGTTTTCGTTCACTTTACCATCCGCGGTGCCGCTCGTAATCGCCTCCATCGCCCTTTGCAATTTTACGAAATACGCCGACTTCACCGGATCGTTCCCCGTCTTATCCGGATGATACTTCACGCTCAAATCTCGAAATCGTTTACGAATTTGCGCCGCCGTCGCGCTTTGCGAAACGCCTAAAACTTGAAACGGATTTTCGCCGCTATCGTCCACGAATCCCAAAATACCCTGGAACCACTCGTACTTCCTCCAATATCCGTTGTATTCTTTTCTATTCCTTCTCCTCACAAATCTATCGAACGATTTCGAATCAAACATCGCCCATAAAAAGGTCCCGGCAATGGGCACGCACATCGCAAACGCCGTCAACCACGCCGCGAACGCGCCGACTCTCGCCAGCCTCCTCCCTACGACCGGCTGCAAATAAAACGTCATAATCTCCTGCATCACCGGCACGGCTTGAAACAATAACAGACCTAAGAATAACTCCTGCACGCCTTCGTTTCTCCACACGAAATACATCACCAAACACATAAACGCTGGAATCGGCCACATTTTCGGAAACGCGAAGCACCGAAAAATAGGAAACACTCCGGTGGTGACTAACAAGAACCACGTCAATCGTTTCGAGCCGGATTGCACCAATAAGTACGCCACGAAACTGGCCACAAAAAAATGCCACAGCATTCGTCTCATGGGGAATTTCGCCTTTCGCAGAGCCTCCGGGTGCACTTTGCCCATTTTGACGAGCTTCGGGAGCATTATTTTCCCTTGCACGAGCTGAAATCCCGAGTGTAACGACGAGGACAACATCACGTACCCGATGTTCGATAACGCGCCTTCGATGTTGTCGCCTTTGATCATCGCCAAGAGCATTATCACTCGGAACCACATGATGAGATAATTATTCTATTCTTATATTCTTATATTCTTCTTATCTTCTGGTATTCTCTTATTATCTCACTGTTATTCTTGTTCTTGTTCTGCGTTCTGTTTGTTGTGTTCCTTCTTAAAAAATGTAACAAACCGAACGGAAGAATGAAGTGACGAAAAACACAAACCAATTGAACACGAACGGTTTTTTTTAGAAAAGAACGAAAAAAAAGTCAATTGGTCAAAGTTTTGACCTCCTCTTTGCTGCTCCGCTTTATTTATTATTAAGCTGTTGTTCTCAAAGTCATCATCGAGATGACGACGACGACTGATGGTGATGGTGATGATGGGAAGAAGACTTCGTTGGAATCGCACTTCCATCTCTCGAAATCTCGCGTCAACGACGCGGTGTCAACGCTGGAAAAAACGATACTCGAAACCGCGAAAAAACGAGAGCGAGAACTCTCAGAGAAGAAAACGTTGATCGATCGATTGTACGAGCGGTTGGAATTGACCAGAGAGATGGTCGCGGAAGGTGAAAAGCAATTGACGGAGTCGGAGATGAAGTTGCAAAAAGCGAAAGAGGAAAACGAGATGTTAAGGAAAGTGGTCGAAGAGTGCACGAGGAAAGAGTCAACGTGGAAACGGAAAGGAGAGTGGCACAAGAGGAAAGCGCGAGAGGCGAGGGAAAGAGTGCGCGAGTGTTGGGTAAATATGGATAAAGTCGCGCTCGTGTGCGATGAGATGGTCAAGGGGAGCGATGTTGAAGAGGTTGGGGCGTTTGATTTAGTTGACGACAACGAAGAGTACGATTACGGCGAGCGCCAAAAATTGCGAAAGGACGACGACGAAGTAAACGCGGAGGAGGAGGAGAAACAGAACGAATACGTAACGAAACCATCCAACAACACATCCTCCTCTCGAATTCAAACGTTGGTTCAAGCACTCTCTAAATCCGTTCGTAACCTCGAATCTGCGGTTCAAAAAGAGCGGAGTTACCGAAAAATGGCCGACGCCGAAGTTGAGAAGGCTCGCAAGTGTATCATGAACGAAGTGGAGGGCGAAAACGCCGATTTGAAAATCGCCGCCGCGCGGCTGACGAAAGCGTTATCGCTGTTAAAACACAGCGGCGATAGTTGTTCGAGCACTATTGTTTGATGATATGATATGTGTGTACGCAACAAACACGCAGTGAGTGAGGGCATGGGAGATGATGTCACCGACCATCTCTTGCAGATCGAGCGCGACGACGGTATAAAAATAGATACGACGAGCGTGTTTCATTATTATTTCCACAATTTTTTACTCAACAATCACCTCTCTAACGACATCGTCTTCGCCAACGACAGTCGGTGCACTCACCACGCTACTTTTCTTCACCGGCGCCGCCGCCACTCGCACCGATGCCGCGACTGCTTCCTCGGGACTATCGTACGCGGTAAAATCCACCTCCACCGCACCTTCGTTGTACGTTTTGCTGGCAATAATCCCAGATATCGCCGCAAACACCGCGACGAGAACTAATCCCCACTTCCCGACCACGTCTCCTACTGACTCGAACATTTCGTCGTCCCAAAAATCTTTCTCTTGCATGACTTTAGGGACGGTTATTTTGGAACTATCGATCGGTGTCGCGCTGTTTTCGATTTCTTTTTGTTTTGAATCTTTCGTTTGGATTTCCCGAGCCGTCCAGGATTGTTTCTTCGCCATGAGAGGTTGTCCTCTTCCTCTGTTCGTCTGTTTTCTAACAGAAGAAGAAGAAGAAGAAGAAGAAGAAGAAGACGTGGAGGCCATCGTCGCTTGCGCACCGCGAGTGGTGTGTGTGGTGGCAAACATTTTGTGCGTATTTATGTATCCGTGTGTCTGTGCGCGCGAGTCTGTGACGTTTCACTTCCATTTTTTATCCAAAAGCTTGCAGATTTCCAAAATATTCGTAAAAAACGTTTAAAACAACAAGTAATCTAAAGTAAAACGCATCCTATTACGATCGTACTCGAAACATGCCTCCGCTCGCGTTTTGAAACAAATTTCCACCACCACCACCTTTCGGTTTTGACGCCGCGTTCTTCTTTCCTTTCTTGGTCTTCGAGGCGTACTTCGTCCGTTTTTTTTTACCCTTACCTCCAGCGGCAGACGCCGCTCTCGGTCGTTTGTACTCGAGATCTTCGAAGAATACCAAGTCTTCGTGTCTCGCTTTATTCGCTTCGCTGCCTCCTTGGTGACGCATTAAACGACGGCGACAGTTATCGCACGTGCCTCCGCATGCGTTATGTGTGAACGACGTTTCACCGAGGTACGACAACAAAGCGACTCGTCGACACGTCTGCCGGTCTTCCATGTAGTCTTTGACTTTTTGCAACAAAGGCAGCGCTTTTTCCAATCGAGCGGCCTTACTTTGCCCACCTTTACTTTTTTGCGGCATTTTGAGTAATCTTTCAACGCGTCCCAGGTCTTGGTGAGAGTATAAAGACACACCTCGCGCCTTCAACCCGTCTCGTCCGGCCCGACCGATTTCTTGGTACAAACCTTCCAACGTTTTCGGCGGCGAATGGTGAACAACCCATCGAACGTTCGCTTTATCGATGCCCATCCCAAATGCGATCGTGGCGACGCACACGCTCACTTTACCTTTCGTCCAATCGTCTTGCGCTTCCCGACGGGCTTTTTCCGTCATTCCAGCGTGGTAGGGTACCGCAGAAGGGGCGGTTTCCGGGTTCTTTCTCTTTTCGCTGTTCAACGCTTGGGCGACTTTCACGCAGTCGTCTCTCGAGAGGCAATAGACGATGCCGTTATCGTTTTTACCGAACGTTCGCGCGATCCACTTGGCAAACTTATCGTCGTCGGCTAAATCACCCTTTGCTTTGACTTCGAATTCGATGTTTGCTCGGTTGAACGAAGTGACAAACTTCTTGGCAGTTTTCGTAATTTTTAAAATCTTCAACACGTCGTCTCTGGCTTTGTCCGTCGCGGTGGCAGTTAACCCGGTTAACGGGACACTCGGAAAGAGTTTCTTCAACTCGCTCAGTTTTTTGTAATCCGGACGAAAATCGTGACCCCAAGAGGAAACGCAGTGCGCTTCGTCCACCACAAATCTCGCCAGTTTGCCTTTCTCGAATAAGCTCTGAAACGCGTTGCGCAAGGACGGCGACGCTTGGAATTTCTCCGGCGTCACGTAGAGTAACTTAATCGTCGGGTTTTCTTTGTAAAGCTCTCGCAAAACGCTCTTCGTCTCGCCTTCTCCCGCGGAACCCAGCAGTGCGACGGATGGGATGTCAAACTCGTAGACGAGCTTCTTCACTTGGTCTTGTACTAAACTCACGAGAGGTGAAAAGACAATCGTCACGCCTTCGCTACATACCGCCGGCAGCGCGTAACACAGAGTTTTCCCGCCGCCAGTGGGCATCAACACGAACACATCCTCGTTTGCCACACACGCTTCGCAAATTTCTCTTTGGTTTGGTCGAAAGCTCTCGTTGCCAAATATGTAGTAGTTTGCCGCGTCGAGCATGTCCGTATCCTTGTTCGAGGTTCGAACGCTAGCCATGGCGTTCATGTTGTTGTTTGCGAATGTCGTCGTTCTCGCGATTATTCTATTCGTCGTTTGCATCCTTGGTCTGGCGAATGTCGGAACATCGTCGACGTCATCTATAGTTTCTACGTCTTCTATTACTGCTGCTACCGCTACCGATCGCTTTATCTTCTTCTTCGCCGGTTGGTGTCGTTCTTCTTCTTCTTCTTCTTCTTCTTCTTCTTTTGCGTTCGTATTGTGCGTGGGTGCCAGCTTTCGCGTTTCCCTTTGCCCGCCGTTCGCGATGGTCGCCAACATCTCCCCTCTGACAAACTGTCCGTTCCCTACACCAACCATCGGCGGCGCAGTCGCTCTCCCTCTCCCATTTTCTCTCGTCCACGCCATCGACCCTCCTAAATTATTCGCGCTGTTGATGTTCTCCATCGCCATCATCGCTTTCGCGTTTTCTATGCGCTCTCGCTCTTCGCGTTCGCGTCGTTCGTCGTTGTTCGATTTCATAAAATGTTGACTCTTCTTCTGTCTCTTTCTTCTCAGCGTTTCTGGAGATTCAATGTCCGACCCAGACGAGACTTCTTCATGCGGTACCGGCTCTCTTCTCATCGTGTCCTTTTTATCGTTAGTAGTCTCGTCTTCAATCTCCTCGTCGCTGGTCAAAGCGATATCCTCTTCTTCTTCTTCTTTTTGCCGCTGTTTTTGCTGCTGCGACGTTTGCACGCGAAGCGACTTTCGGCGTCGATTCTCTCTGACGTCGTCCGGGGAGTCGTCGTCCTCGTCCGAGTTGTCTAAAACAATCACCTCATCGTCGTCCTCGTTGTTCTCTTTGTCGTTGATGATGATGATTTTGGACGATTTCGTTTTTTCCAACAACAACATTGATTTCGTTTTCGTTTTCTTAAACATCTCCAAGACGTTGCCATCTTTTTTTTTGCCCCGTGAAATTGTTGTTACCGCGTTGCCACCATCGCCTCCGCGCGTTCTCTTCGACGATCCAGTTCCCAATCCTACTCCTACTCCTCCTCTTCTCATGATGATGATGATGACATATATAATGGGTGCACGAGAGAGAATGATGATTTTCTTTTCTTCGTCCAAAAACAAGAGAAAAGTTTTTTTGAATGTTTTTTCCTCATCAACAGCTCAAATTTGCTCAAAAGTGCTCAAATTTCTTCTCAAAAGCGCTCTTCTTTCTCACAAAAAACAAAAAAACAAGAGAGAGAGGCAACAACATCATCATCAAAATCCATCATCTTTGCTGCTGTTTGTGCGATCCACTTTTCAATTTTTTCATCTTAATCTTCAGAGAATAATCTCTTCACACGACGCATCACACGGGCGAAGAGAGATATATACACTACCACGCACACATCACACACACTTTACGCGTTTTAACTGCGTGAAAATGAAGAAGTCCCCGTTTTCAAAGTCGTTTTCATCATCGGGTGGTGGTTTTGGTGTTTTTGTGCCTCCTCTTCTTCTTCTTCTCTTTCTTTCTCTTCTTGTTTTGGGGGGTGATGGAGGAGGATTTTCACCAATAAAAGTGGCAGCAGCGGCAACAAAAACATCCTCGTCGTCGTCTTCATCGTCTGCTTTCGGCGGTGGTTTTGATGGCAAGAGCAGTCGTTTTGAAGGAAGAGGAAGAAGAAGATCGAGGTTTTTACTCCAAGAAGAAGATCAAGAGCAAGCGGAGGAGGTTGAGAAAAAGTTGAGAAATTTAATACCCGTGGAAGGCACCACCGAAACCGAGGAGGAAGACGCAGGAGGAGAAGTGGCGGCGGCAACGGCGACGACAAACACCAAACACTCGTTGTTACACTCGGAAGTAGTTCGTGCGCACACGCCAACCGCGCAAACGAAAGACGAAACCGTCGTCGAGGAGGTGATTGCAAAGCAATCGGAGGATAATACGGACGCGGAAGCGTCGGAAGCTATCGTCGCGGCGGACGTGAGCGAAGAGGCGCCGGCGACGAAGGAAGAGGTGACCTCGGACGATGAAAGTGCGGAGGATATCGCGGAAGAGGAGAAGGAAAAAGCGGACTCGGAGTACGCATCGGAGAACGCGGAAGAATTGGCGGTGGAAACAGCTGCGGCGAACGCGATTGCGGACGCGGTGATTGCCGAGTCCGACGAAGAGAACGCGGCGGAGAAGGACGGGGAAACTGTGGACGAGAAAATTACGAAATCTGCGGCGAAGAAAGCGGCTAAGTTTTTCGCCAACGTGAAAACCCGAGCGAAAGAGCGGTTCGAGAAGAGAGCGCAGGAGGAGTTGGCGTTTTATGCCGATTACGAGGATTACGAGGACGATTACGGAGCGGCGCCGGACGCGCTCACCGGGGACGGGTTTGATTCGCCGGCTGATTTAGTCGCCTCGGGTGAAGAGACCATCGAGGAGGCGAAAGAGGATATCAAAGATATTGAAGCTGAAAAAGCGGCGATTGCGCAGGAGAAAGGGATGCAGATGGCGTTGGAGGAGATTCAAGCGACTGATTTAGCGGAACCGACCGCGGACGTGGCGGATCCAATCACCGGGATTTCCCCGCAAGGCGAGCAATTGGAAGAGCAAATGGCAACCGCGAATGGTGAACCGAAACCAGTCGCAAACACGCCAATGTATAGTTTGGAATCTGGCTACGACGTTCGCTCGGCGTTACGAGGCGCCCGGTCGAAAGCGAAGAAGTGCGAACCGAAGAAGCGCCTAACGAGAGAGGCGCAGTGCAAACACGTCAGGAACACGCGCGCGTGCGGCGGAAACCTGTATCCGTACTTAAAATTTGCGTATTGCACGAACGCGGGTATTGTTATTCCGACCGTCATTTATGCGTTTGGTTTGGGTGTTTCCTTGTATGCACTCGCGCTCGTGGCGGACGCGTTCTTTTGTCCCGCGCTTGAAACAGTGGCGACGATTTTGAAAATTTCGCCCGAAGTCGCCGGCGCTACGTTGTTAGCACTCGGAAACGGTGCCCCTGATGTTTTCGCGCAAGTCGCCGCGGTCACTTCTGGTACCATGCCAGACGTCGATATGGCGGTTTCTACCGCGTTAGGTTCCGGTTTGTTCATCACGACGGTCATCTTAGGGGTTGTCATTTTGATGGACAGGACGAAAAACGCTTCGGACGGATCGTTAACCGGCGTCCTCGTTTCTGCCGCACCGTATAACAGAGACGTATACGCGTACTTAATTGGTATTTTAACTGTCTTTGCGATTATGATTAAAGGTGTGATTGCGTTGTGGCACACCACGTTACTCGCCTCGGCGTACGCCGCGTACATCGTCTTGGCGGTGTTCAAAGACGAGGGCATTGACGACGACGACGACGACGAAGATTCCGCGCCCGTCTTCACTTTGGATGGCGACGAGGAGAACAGTAACAAAAAGAAGAAATCGCGAACGCGCGAAGTGCCGCTGTTCGATTTGGCTTCGCAAAAAGGCGGACCGGACGACAACAAAGGCGCAGATTTACCGCGAAGAAAGAAACCGAAAATGTTACGATTAGGCCCCGCGGATGGTTTACTCGAAGGAGCGTTCGCCTGGGCCATGTCCGAAGCGCAATGGGACGACATGACGCCGTCGCAAAAAGCGTTGGCGCCAATTACCACACCAATCTTTCTCGTCATGTCCTTGACGATGCCAGTCATTCGTGAAGGTCGATTAGGCAAAGGGTACACCACGGCGTTGGCGTTCTTCGCCCCTTTGTTCTTCCTCGCCGCGCCTGGGTCTGCGACTGCCATGTTCCGCGATAACTTCCCAGGTTCTCCGTACTTTTGGATCTTGTGCATCTCTGCAGGTTGCTCTGTCGTGACTGGCATCAAGTTGCAGTTGGAAAAAGAAGGCCCGAAAGCAGCCTCGGAACCGATTGCGATGCTGGCCTTTATCAACTCCATCGTCTGGATGCACTTAGCCGCGGAACACTTGGTTTTGATCATCGACGCGTTGGCGAAAATTGCGGGCATTTCGGAAGAATTTTTAGGTGCCACCGTCTTGGCCTGGGCCAACTGCGTCGGCGATTTAGTTTCCAACATGGCTGTTGCCAAAGCCGGCCAAGCGGCCATGGCGGTCACCGCGTGCTTCGCCGGACCGGTGTTCAACTTACTCGTCGGTTTAGCCGCCAGTTTAGTCTACGTCAACATCGTCCTCGGCGACGTCCAAGTCCAAGTCGGCAACTCCGTCCTAGTCTTATTAGTCGGTTCCATCGCCAGTTTACTCTTGGTCTTGAGCTTAACCGTTCGCAAATCGGATTACGAGTACGCGTTGCACGCCAAACTCGGATGGAGCTTGATTGGTTTCTACGTTCTCTTTTCGGTGTTCTTTTGTTTAGTAGAGTTGGGTAAGGTTTTCGGATCGAGAGAAGTCATTCCCGGTGGGACGATTACCGCTGGCCGGTAGCGCATTTTACGCGTTGTGTTGTTGTTACTATATTATATTTGTGTGCACATATAAAAACTTCTTCTCGCCGCGCTCGTACCGCCGTGTTCTCCGTTTTTCTTCTGTTCTCTGTTCTTGTGTGAACCAACACACACACGAGACGACGTCACAAGATTTCGTATTAGGTGATTCTCTCTCTCTCTTTCTGAGAAGAAGAAGAAGAAGAATGTCTTTCATTTGGGAAGCCTCTCCACTTTGGCGAACGATCGTCCGATCCACTCGGGACTCGCGTCCACTTTTTTTCACCTTCATCGCGAGCACGTTCGGCGCGAGTACTTTGCTCTGGTACGGCACGCAGAAGTTCACCAATCCTCAATTGGATGCACACGCGGTGGCAAAACTACGAGCGAAAAGCGGGTTAGACGCGCGCGTCGTCTCGGACGTCAACAAACAACGACTGGGCGTTTTATTAAAAGAAGTCTCGCAAAGAGACGGAGCGAGTTTAGAGAAACAAGAGAAGAGGTGGAGAGACGCGTTAGATGGGAGGACCACGGGGGATAAAGACGGAACGACAAAGAGACACTTCGGGTGGAAGTGAGAAGAAGAATTACTCATAAGTCAACACATCATATCCGCGCGCGCACGAGAAAGAGAGAGAGGTTTGTGTTGTACTCTAAATAGAATAGGTTTTAAATTATTAGTGTATTACTTTGCTGCTATTTTGCTACGCATCCTACTCATCTACTGCTACTTATTCTTCGCATTGACTCTCGATTGATGTCGATTGAGATGACGCGAGCGTTGTTGTTATCTGTACTAAACTCATCTCTCGAATCAAAAGGATTTACTCTTCTTCCCGAGCAAAACTTCTTTCGCCTCGTTCACTTTCGTGCTCACGAACGGGCTCCCTCCCGCGTCTGGATGGTTCGCCATCATCACTTTCCTGTGCGCTTCCATCACTTTATTCTTCGCGGCGGATTCTCGTATCCCTAAAATCAACGCCGCTTCTCGTCGACTCATCTGGTCGTCGAATCCACCTTTGTAAAATTGCTTCAATTTTGGTGGTGCGAGCATCCAGGCTTCGCCGGCGAGGATGAGTTGTCGAGCGGTTAACGCGGTCGCCGCGAAGCCTATGCCGAGGACCGCCGCGGATGACATTTAGTATTTGCTTTTTCAGTTCTTCTTTGTCTTCTTCTTCTTAGTTCTGTGTTATTATACAAGCGTCGTATTAGGATACATATGTGAAGAACGAACGTTTTTTCTCTCTCGCTTTTTCCCTGTGAGAAATCGCCATAAAACAACGACTCAAAATAATGGCGGCAGCAAAGAAGAAGACGACTTTGAAGACGAAGACGGTAAAAGGGACCACCCCTTCTTCGTCCAAAAACGAAGAAAAGGAGGAGGAGGACTTGTCCAAACTGACCGTAAAACAGTTAAAGTCTTTACTGGAGAAGAAAAAGTTACCCACGGATGGGTTGAAGAAAGATTTAATCGCGCGATTGAAGAATGTGATTCGATCGTCGTCGTTAAAGGGAAACGAAGAAGAAGAAGAAGCCGCGAAAACGACGACGACGAAAGAGAAGACGACGAATAAAAGAGGGAAGAGTGAAGAAGCACCAACACATGTCGTCGTCGTTCGAGAAGAAGAAGAGGACGAAAAGAAGACGAAGAAACCGAGACTTTTGTCGTCGCCGCCAGAGAAGGAGAAGACGGGAGGAGGTGAAACAGGTGAAAAAACGAAGGAGGAAAAAAAGCCTATACCTATTCTTCCTCCTAATACTACTTCGGCGGATAAAAAAGCGGCGAAGAATGATTTAGATGACGTGCGGAAAACGTACGAGACGACCATGAAGAGAGGCGCGTGCGAGGACAAGGTGGTTGAAGAACTCATCGACGAAGGATTTCTGGAAAGGTCGGTGTGGCCGCAAATCCTCGCGTCGACGAGTAAAAGTGAACATCCAGACGAGAATACCGCGTTAGCGTTTGCGAAATGTATCGTGCATAAAGCGAGAAATATGAACGTGCCGGATGCGTTTGCGACTTTGAGTAATAGTAGTAGTGGTAGTGGTAGCGGTAGTGGCGACGGTGGTAATGAGGAAGGCGAAAACGCGTTGGCGTTGAAAATGCTCGTGGAAACGTTGACGAATGTCGCGTTCGAGAACGTCACAAAGAATAGTCCTGAAGTTGCTGTGGAAATGACCACGGTTGTTCGCTTCTTAAACGTGTTAATGAATGCGTTAGAGAACGATATGGCGCGTAAAAGCGCGTTGCCCTTAGTGTCTATTCAGATATGGAAAGCTCGGGAAGAAAAAAGGTTGGAGATGGAACTCAATTCCGCGCCAGTCGATGTGCAAAAGAAATGGCAAAAGTTGATGAAGAAGGAAGCGAAGCAAGAACCGACGAAGATGCAATCACGACGAAACTCGTGGCTGACCAATCTCACCACAGTGTTTTTGGATACATTACCGGTTGCGCGCGCGAGCGAGAATGCGATGGCATTTTGTGCGTATTACCTCGAATTCATCGTCGATTTGCTCTCGCAACTTCCCACGAGACGATTTGTGCGTGCGATTTTAGGCGACGCAAACATCTTCGTAAAGGCAAACCTGACAATAAACGAGATGAGAAGCGATGAGGAAGGAGCCGACGGAAACGTCAATTTGTTGAAGCAGCTTTTGGAAATGGCAAAAGATTTCTACGATTTTGAAGTCGACGACCATACGGGAGACGCATTGAGCGAAGAAGAGATGGAATCCAGACGTTCAAAAGTCACTCACGCGTTTCAACGCTTATTGTTCAAGCATTGGCCGGATGAGTTGAAAGAGCTCGCGTTGTCCTCCGCGAGAATGATTGAAACGCGCTCGAGTTTGACGAAACATTTGAAAAACTTGGAAAGCGACCAGTTGCGTAAACTGTGCTGCGATCAGTTAAAGTTAGCATCGAACGATGACTCCAACGATGTTGAGTTTATGCAGAAGGACCAGGACCAATTCTTAATCGATGTTATCTCGTTTCACTTTGAAAAACGTCGATCGAGAAGAGAAATGGTGAACAAATTACCGTTGTATCCAACCGAAGACATTTTATGGGACGAGTCTCTCGTTCCGTTCGACGACATCAAGAAAAAGGACGAAAACAACAACAAGAGCGCTAAGAACAGGATGAAATCGTTACCGTTAGCGTTGCCAAAGTTAAACTTACAATTTTTGACCTTTTCAGATTACCTCTTACGAAACTTCAACCTGTTTCGCTTGGAAGCGACGCACGAAATTCGAGACGACGTCTCCGACGCAGTGCGACGCATGCAACCTTCAAAAGACGGTAAAAGTTTTCGAGGCTGGGCGCGAATGGCCATGGCGATTGCAAAAGATGACCCGCGACAAGAGGCTATTGAATTTACATATATTGGTAATCCCAATGTTGGTGAAGAAAAACCGTCCAAGGTCCGAATCAAGATGCGCTTGAACTTCTCAGCCACTCGCGACGACGTTTTTAAAGAATGGGATGAGTTGAAACGATTCGATGTGGTGTTTCTTGTTCATGCAAAACAAGACGCGAAACATGGTGACGCGAAGAACGTCGAGTACATTCGAGGTGCGGAAATTATTGACATTCGCGACGAAGAAGGGGTCCCAGCCAACGAAGGTTTCCCGGAACAGCTGAAAGATGCGAAAGTTGTCAAAGCTCCGCCGCCACCGGATGCGATGGACGAAGGGCCAAAGAAACCGTCCGGCTACGATCGCGTGTTCACATTAGAAGTAGATTGCGCGCAGTACCAACGCGATCTGGAAACGTTCGATGGAGATGTCGCAAGAGTGCACGAGATGTACAAAAATTTCAACTGCGTCATTCGCAGAAGACCGAAAGAGAACAATTTTAAAGCCATTCTGGCGTGTATTCGCGATTGCTTGAACCAGGATATGAACGCGCCCGAATGGTTACAAGATGTGTTTTTAGGCTATGGCGATCCATCGTCTGCATCTCCAGATGCCTTGGAGCTAGAAGACTCGGAAAACAATAAAAAGCGAACGAAAATTGACTTCAAAGATACGTTTTTGGACGAAGCGCATTTGCGCGAATCCTTCCCGGGGAAGAAGATTGTTTTCGATTCAGCAACACCCGTCCCGCCGTTCAAAGTAACCTTTGGTATTGACGAAGAGGATGCGAGCAGTAACGTTGTCAACGTCGAGTCGTACGTTCCGCCAGATCCAGGTCCATACCCGGAAGATGTTAAGAATCAAAACATGGTTCGGTTTACGCCGACGCAAGTCGACGCTGTCAAATCTGGCGTTCGTGAAGGGTTGACCTTAATCGTCGGTCCTCCTGGTACCGGTAAGACTGATGTCGCGACTCAAATTTTGCACTGTTTGTACCATACGAACCCGAATCAAAGAGTCGTGCTCATCACTCACTCTAACGCGGCGTTGAACGATTTGTTTCAGAAGATTATGATTCGCGACGTTCCGGAACGGTATCTATTACGTCTCGGACGCGGTGAAGAAGATTTATCGACAGATAAAGACTTCTCCCGAACTGGTCGCGTTGATTACATGTTGCGCAGGCGCTTAGAGCTTTTGGAAATCGTCGAGAAACTTGCCATGAGTATCGATGAAACTTTGGCGAACGCCGCGGAGACGTGCGAAACGGCTGGCTTCTTTTGGAAATCAAAAGTCCTGGCCTTATGGGAGCGATTTTCCGTGCTCGTTCTAAATAACAAGGAAACGCCAGTTTCTCACGAGCGCATTCGAACACAATTTCCGTTTGCAAAGTTTTTCGCGGATGTTCCGAGAGGGTACGAGAACTTGTTTGGCGACCCTTCGGAGGCTAACCTTGAATATGCCATTCGCAAAGCGAAAGGATGCTTTCGTCATTTAGTTGAAATGTTCACTGAACTCGAAGAGTGTCGCTTCTTAGAGCTTTTGAAAATGCCGAAAGACCGATCGGAATATTTGCTCACGAAACAGGCAAAAATCGTAGCCATGACGTGCACCTACGCCGCGTTGAAACGCTCGGATTTTCTCGACGTAAACTTCAAATACGATACCGTCGTCTTCGAAGAGGCCGCGCAAATCCTTGAAATTGAAAGTTTCATTCCTATGGCGTTGCAAAGAGCGAAAGATATCGATGGTCACGCGCGATTGAAGCGAGTGGTGATGATTGGCGATCACAATCAATTACCGCCGGTGGTCAAGAACCAAACGTTTTCAAAGTTTTGTCACATGGATCAAAGCTGCTTCGCCCGTTTGGTGCGTTCCGGCGTTCCAAATATCGTTTTAGATGCACAGGGTAGAACGAGAAAACAAATCTCAAAACTATACAGTTGGAGATACAAGAAGCTGGACGATTTACCGCACGTTTCTACGGAAGAGCGGTTTCAGCTCGCCAACGCTGGCATGGCGAAAGTCGCTCAGTTTATCGACTGTTCTTCGTTCGCGCCGGAATCGTGCCCACAACCGCATTACTTCCAAAACGTCCAAGAAGCCGAGTATCTATGCTCTTTGTACCAGTGGATGCGCTTGTGCGGCTATCCAGCGCAATCGATATCGATTTTAACAACCTATCGAGGGCAAAAACATCTCTTGCGAGATGTCTTCAAAGCGCGATGCGACTCGCACCCGCTTTTTGGACCGCCAGCCTCAATTTCCACCGTTGATAAGTATCAAGGGCAACAAAACGATATCGTTTTATTATCGTTGGTGCGAACGAAACACGTCGGTCATCTCAGAGACGTGCGTCGTTTGGTCGTTTCCCTATCGCGCGCCCGATTAGGGGTGTACGTCTTTGGCGCGAAGAAAATTTTCGAAAACGTGGACGAGTTGAAGCCGGCTTTGAAAACTTTGATGAATGATACTAAATTAGATGTTATCAAAGGTGAAGTGTACGGTCACATCTCGCGAAAAGTCGAGGATGCGGTATCGAACGATGTAAAAAAATCCTTCAAAGATAGCGACGAGTTCGCCACGTTCATTGATTCCTGCGCCCTGGAGTATAAAAAAGCGGCTCTAGAACATCTTAAAAACCAACAACAACAATAGACGTTATAAATATTAATACTAGTAAAAATACATTCTACTTCTTCTTCTATCCGTGCAATTTCCTAATCTCTACGCTTTTCTTTGATCACACATCTACTCACAACATCCGGAACGTCTCCGCCGCGCGCTCGAACTTTTCCTTCGTCTCTTCCCATCTGTCCACCTTTGCGCTCATCTTCAAAACGAAGTAACTGCCGTCGTTGGCGTCTGGTACTGTGACCACCGTCATCGCTCTTCTCTCGATGGTATCAATCTCATCGCCCCTAGGTCCTATACATATCTTCTTTCCGCCACCAATCTCCGTGATTTCCGCTCGGCAAACTTCGCTAATCGATTGGAACACGTAATATGCCTTCCCGTCGCGTTCGATCCTTTTCGTCGTGTTTTCATTTTCATCTCCAACGTTCACAAACTTCATCACCCCGCTCCGATTATTTTCAACGCCTACGATCACATCTTGCGCAATCTTCCCCGCCGCCGCTTCTCGTTCCTCCTTCGTAAACTCCTGCTCGATATATTTCGCGTCTTTCTTATCCTCGGCGAGCGCGAACGCTTTTCGCACCGATTCGTCCGCGATTTCTAATCTCACCGACAGCGTATCTACCGTCTTGAATTGTCCGACGACGACTTTCGTCTCTGCTTTTTTCTTCTGTTTCTCTTCCACCGGACGGTCGATGGCGATCACCCAATCCTTGGGCACTTCAAATTGAAAGACGTTCGACGCTTTCCCCGTAAACAGTTTGTACTCAGAATCGTCGTCGTCAAAAGCAAACGCCAACAAAGAGTTCGATGACATTCCAGCATCACTCGATGGTGAGAAGAAAAAACTCCCCAAAACCAAAGAAAAGAAGACGCTCTCCCGTCGACTTAACTTCTTCAACTTCCTCTCCGATTTTGAGGACGAACAACGACAACAAAAACGAGGAACAGTCGCAGACAGAAGAGCGTGATGATGATGAGAAGAGTACATTATTTTTATCTGTCGTCTGTGTGTCGAGAAATTCGTTTGTCGATTTTTTTTCTGAAAAAATAATTTTGAGGCGAAAACTCGTACACTTTTGCGCAGGCGAGAAAACATCGTCACTTTTAGAGCACACGAAATAGAGAAGAGTGTAGAACACTTCTCTTCTTATTCAAAGAGAGAGAGAGAGAGAGAGAAAGAGGCATTCAGAAGAAGAAGAAGAAGAAGAGAGCGTTCTCGTTCTTTAAAGCTTCTTTCTTTATACGCACAGCTATCTATCGCGCGTGGTTTTGAGAAGAAGAAGAAATACTATTTAAAGAAGAAGAAGAAGAATTGGAAGAAGAAGAATCATCAAAATGGCAGATTTAGAATTCGATTTCGAGGACAACCTGGAGCAGACGGATTTGAAAACGCAAACGCTCGCACCGACGTTAGCACCGTCGGACCAGCTGGAACCGAGAGCGCAAAAGAATTACCGACAAACGGTGTGCAGACACTGGCTGAGGAATTTATGCATGAAAGGCGACAAGTGTGGGTTTTTACACCAGTTTGATAAAGAGCGAATGCCTACGTGCCGGTACTTTGCCAAGTACGGCGAGTGTAAAGAACCGGATTGTCCGTATAAACACTCCAACGACGACGTGAAAGAGTGCAACATGTATAAGCTTGGGTTTTGTATTCACGGACCGAACTGTAGGTATAAACATATTCGGTTGCCTGGACCGGCGCCGCCACCGAACGAAGCGTGTTTGATTGGGAGACCGGGACATATTCACGGCGTGTTGCCGTTCGCGGCGAGGCAAAGACAGAAACAAATACAAGAGGAGAAAGAGAGACAGTTGTTGATTGCGAGCGGGGAGCAGCCGAGGGAGGAGCCGGCGCAAGCGATCGCGGCGCCGTTGCCGCCCGGGCCTCCGCCGAAGAAGGCGAGGACGGTTGATGTAAACTTAGCGTTGCCCGAGGCGCAAAGAGTAGGCGCCGAACCGGAACAAGACTTTGATTTCGAAGCTTGATATATATAGAAGAGCTTTCTTTGTTAGAGGTATAGCTGCTAAAAGAATAGAGTAATTTTCATCAAATCACACGAGCGTATCACGCGATATAAACTAAAACGAAGCACTTATTGTTATTCTTATTATTATTCTTATTATTATTCTTACTAAATTTTACGTGCCCCAATCGGCGTCATCGTCGTCGTCGTCAACGTCGTTATTGTTGTTGTCCCACTTCGGCTTTTGCTGTTGCGTTTGCTTCTTCGGTTGCGAGTTGGATAAAGAATTGCTTGAAATTGAGTTCATGGACGATTTTGACGCGTTATTGGAACTCATTCCTTGTTGTTGTTGTGGTTGTTTTGACGCCGGTTTCCATTCGTCCTCTTCGTCCTCTTCGTCGCCTCCGGCGTTGTCTCCCCATTCGTCGTCGTTACCAAACCCGACAAATCTCGAGTTTGGACTTTTCGGTGGGCGCAAATCGACGTACCCTTCCGGTCTCGGAAACGCGTTGCCGCTCGAATCGTCCGCCCCGAGCGTTTTCGGAATATCCGAAGCTAAGCTCGACACCCCAGTTGCTACTGAACTCAGCGCCGAGGAAAACCAACTACCCGCTTTATTCGCGGCTTGCTTGGCGCTTTCCATGGACTCTTGATCCGCCGCGCGCGAAGCCGCTTCTTTCGCTTTTTGCGCAGCCGATAACGTCGTATCCGCCAACGACTTCGTCACCGAACTCAAACCGTTCCACATGCTTCCTAAGACGTCGTCGTTCGCGCTGCTCTTACTTCTCCCCGGAGGCGGTTGCGATCCGAAACCGACGAATTTCCCGCCTTGGCTCGGCGCGATACCTTCCGGTTTCGCCGCGTTTCTCGCCTGTTGCTGCGCGAAAAAAGCTTCTTTTCTCGACGCCGACGCTTCCATTTCCGCCATGGAGTACTCCGATCTATTGCTATTATTATTATTATTATTATTACTAACACCGCCGCTTCCCCCTTTTTGTAAGTTATTCTGGCTCGATCGACTTCCCATTCCCGTCGTCCCTTTCGAACTCCCCAGCGTTTGTCCGTTCTCGAACCCGGTTCGTTGATGCGCCGGCGTTTCCCCGGTATTTTGCTTCAAACCTTTCGGAATATTCGCCGGTTCCGCGTACTTCCCTCCATCCGCTTCCACTCTGATTTTCTCTCTAAACGCCTCCGCGGCAGCCGAGTCGTATTTCAAGTGTATCGGCGCGTCTTTCGGAACGCCGTGTTTCGCCAAGAACTGATTCACTTTCGCGTTCCCTCCGAGTTGCATCTTCTTCAATTGCGTCGCGTTCCACGAGTCCATCCCGACCGAGCGAACGAACGATAAGTGCACCCCCAACGAGCGATGAACGCCGGAACATTCTAAACATATAAACGACCCGAACGAGACCGAGGCCCACTGTGGATTTTTCGTCGAGCAGTCCACGCACGTCTGTTTGGTAAGGTGTGTGTCAAAACAGGTCTCAAAAGGTCAGAACAGGTGTGATCGCAAAAACGACTTTTACGTGAACGAGTGGTAAACAACGACGAGAGATTCGGTGACGACGAGAGAAGAAAGCACGACAGAAGAAGCAAGAATCGTTTTTGTCGTCCTCTCGTTCGTGGAAAATAGAACAATACTAAAGAGAGAGAAAGATTCGTCGCGCTTTATAATGTTTCGGATTGGATCCACAAACACCCTCCTCAGATAAGGAGTCACTTCGTTTAAAGGAACAGAATCTTTCGCGGACTTTGCGCGCGCTTCTTTTATCAGAGAGAAAGAAAAGAGAGAAAACACAACCACACAAACAATTAAACACGCACCCCGTTCCCGTTTTTCCCTTGTAACTCTCTCAAGATTGCCGCCGCTTCTGGGCTCGCCATTTGATGTGTTGAGAGACAAAGTTTTCTGTGTTTTTTTTCTCTGCAAAAAGTGGTGCTTTTGCGGTTCAAGTGTTTTTGGTTGAAGGACTCTCTCGTTCTCTCAAGTTCTTTCTCTCTCTTTTTCTCTCTCGTTCGTTCTCTCTCTCTCTCTTGTTGCTTCTTTCTTTCTTTCTTTTTCGTTCGTGTTGTCTGTTCTTCCTGACACCAAGAAAAAAAAAACGCACGAGAAAAAGTGCTTCTCTGTCTTTGCCACAATATTGGAATATTTTCTCAACTGTTCTTGTCTCTCATCAGTGAACGCAACAACCTGAACACGCGTTTTGCGCGCTGGTGGTGCTGCGCGTGATACTAAAATACTAACACTAATAGTAATATAATTATAACCGCACGAAACGAGTGCATGCGCGCGCGAGAGAGATATAACTCAGTCGCTTTGAGACGGCATTACTAAATTAAAATCACATTGGTGAAAGTTCGATTTACGATGAAATCTTCTTCTTTATCGATAAAGCAACCGACGACGAGAGCCGCCGGTACTGTCGTCGTCTCCGATGAAAAAGAAGAAGAAGAAGAAGAACTCGTAACAACGCCCACGCGAGGAAAAAGATTTTTCCATCGACGCTCGAGCGAAGATGGCGGTGAAAACACGAAATCATCCTTTCGCGATCGCTTCACTTCGTTGAGTCGAACGAGCGAGGATGGTAACGAGAGCGAATACAGCGGATTTGGTAGCGAAAGAGGAAAGCATCATCATCATCGTCCCAAGACGAAAGAGAGCGGGAAATACGCGGAACCGAACGAGGAAGAACGAAAACGAATGGAATATTTAAAAGAGCAATTGGTGAAACACGAGATGATATTGCCAAAAACGATGACGATACCGGAGTTGGGCGGCGAGGAGAGGACGCTTCTGAGATTCGTTCGAGCGAGGACGAAAGGGAAGGAGTTGGCGTGGGAAATGTTACGGAACACACTGAAATGGAGGAAAAAATGGCACGTGGACGAGTGCTTAGAGCGGTCGTTCTTAGAGAACGAGAAGCTGTACGATATAGTGTGCTCGCAAAACTCTTTTTACGTCGGTCACGGGAAGTTTGGACACCCGATTTATTTCGACAACGTGACGAATATGCCTTGGAAGCAAATACTGAGCGAATTCGACGACGTGGACACGTTTCTTCGGACTCAAATCCAAACAATGGAGTGGCAGCAAGAGTTCGTGTTTAAGCCAGCGTCAGAGAGAGTCGGGTATCCCATCACGCAAGTGATTAACATTTGGAACTTGCGAGGCATGACTTTGGGCTTATTCACGAGCGAAATCAAAGCGGTGACGAAAAAAGCCATGCAGTTATCCCAGGACAACTACCCGGAAAGTCTCTACCAATCTTACATCATCAACGCTCCCACCATATTCACCGTCATCTGGTCCATTATTAAACTCTTCCTAGATGTGAAAACGAGGAATAAAGTCCACATCATGGGTCACGGCAAACACGTCTTTGACCAACTGCAGAAAAAACTCGGCCCGAACTCCTTACTCACCGCGGAGATGGTCCAATCGAAATTCAAAGACATCGGCGTCGTCGAGCGGAAGCTCGGATTTGAATCCGCGCACAAGAAGTCCCAAGATTACATCCGAAAAAAGTTACGCGAGAAAAACCAACCGTTCTATCCCTCTCACTCCGTTCTCGAGAAGCGAAAAGAAGAGCTGGAACAATTCGACGAGGAGGAGTTCTTCGACGCGAGCGACGAGCACTGGTGGACGAAAAGCGAGAAGGAAATCAAGGAGAAATGTTTTAGCTGTTTTAGTTGCTTCACTAAGAAGCGAGTTAATGAGTTGCCTTAAGAAGCGAGCGCGTGGAGGAATGACCGACCGAACGAGTGTTTGAATCTCGTTGTATACTACTAGTTTAAATCATAAATAAAATTACCGTTGTGGTGTGTGTTGTTACATTCTTCTAGGTTTCCTTCTCTCTCTCCTCCCTCGAAATTCAATCGCGAATTCATATTTTACTACTCTTAAAACTGCTTCTCCGGTTGCTGCGTGAGAAGTAACCCGAACCGTTTTTTGCACGCGACTCTCTGTTTCGAGAACTTATCGTCCGGCGAGAATCTCGCCGGGTGCGCCGACAACGTCGGTTTCCCATCCGGACCCGTTTTCTGTTCATTAAGTAGAGGGAAAAGAAAGAGGGCGGCGGGAGGTGAATTTCGTGACGATGAATTCTCGATCGAAATTAAAATGTTATTCCGCTGTGTGTTCCAACAGAGAGAGAAAAAAAGACGAGACAAAACCGAGCTTTTGCGACTCATACTCACAGAGAGAACGATGCGACATATAAAGTTTTCGTACCTTGAGCGTGTACACGCGCTTCCCGTCCTCGTTCAGGTAGTACATGAGATACATGATGATGATGTGATGGAAAAAAAAAACAGAATTTCAGCAGAGCAGAGTTTTGTGCGAAAATTTTGTGCCAAAAAAGTGGGCTGTCGTCAAATGAGACACATGTTCTTCATTTTTTTATTTGTGTGTTGCGTGAGAAATCAATGTGTTTTGTTGAGTTGCACAAAATGTTTACGACGACGACTCAGAGAATAAGAAGAACGAGATAGGGATGATGTCCTTATTGCGACCAACAAAAAATGCGAGACGCGAAATGCTGTGTTTTATGCGCTTTCGTCGATGTCGCGCGATGAGTACGTCTTCAGAATCGATACCACCACACCCGGCGGAGTTCCTTCTCAACCAGCCTCTGAAACTGTACCGAGATTGTTTACGACTGGCGGATTATTTAGCGCACAAACAATCCGTCCCGAGATTTGCCCTGAGAGAACAAGTGAGACACGTTTGGAGGAAGAATCAGTGCTTGATCGATGCAGAGGAGATTCAAAAAGCACGAGAAGCCGCGCTGAGAGGTCTGAGCAACAGCATGATGCACTTCGCGACGGAGAATTTAGACAACCCGAAAGGGAATCAGAGAAGCGCTTTTCTAGAAGACGAGGAAGAAGAAGAAGAAGAAGAGAAGAAATAGGTCACATAGAAGACGAATAATAGAAACGAATAGATGTGAATACAAAGAATAGAGAAGAAGCGAAAGTTAGTGCATTATCATCATCATCGTCATCGGTATCGTCGTCGTCGCGTATTCGACGAACGAATACGTTTCGTAACTTGGCGGAATTTATATATTTTACAGTCAGTTTTAAAAACCCATCATAATAGAGTGTTGTTCTCGGGGTTGTTAATATTATAATCCACCAGCCGTTTCTATCCGCGCCGCGTCTTTGAATAACTTCTCGTTCTCCTCCCCTGCTTCGTGCGTTGGACTGAACGCGACTTCCGTGTGTTTGCCTTCGATATCCGCAAACGCGTTGGTCGGGATTTGCAAGTTGCCCATCTTCTCTCTTCGGCTTTCGCTCTCTTTTTCCGCTTTTCGCAAGACTTTGGATAAGTCGTCGTAGCCTTTCTTCGCGGCAACTTTTTTTGGCGTGCGGCCTTTGATATCGACCAAGGAGGCATCCGCACCTGCTTTGACTAAAATGGAGACGGCGTCTTCGTACCCGGCGCCGGCGGCGACGTGCAACGCGGTTTGCCCGGAACTGTCGACGAAATCAATCGCGTCGTCAAATCTCGAGCTCTGCGTATCCGCCGTGCTACTCATTTCCTCCTGTATTCTTCTAAACTGTTTTAAGATGATTTGTAAACTCTCGATTCGACCTTTCTTTGCGGCGGAGTGTAAACACGTGGCGCCTTTGCGGTTGCGCGCGAACGCGTCGATTTTGCTCTCTTTGAACAGTTTCGTCAACGCCTGAGCGTGACCACCTCGAGCGGCGTAATGTAACGGTTTCTCGTCGTTTTCGTTGCACCCAACGTTCGGGTCGGCGTTGAACTTTAACAAAGTGCGCATGCAATCCACTCTGCCTTTACTCGAAGCCTCTAACAAAGGCGTCCATCCGAGTTGGTCGTACTCGTCCTTCACTTTGTCTTCGGTGATGACTTCGTTCGCGTCGCCCCCGAGTTCTAACAACGCTCTCAACTCCGACGGATCGTCCACGCGCACCACGTCTAAAATCGGGTGCACATCTTTCTTCAACTTTTGGAGTCTTTTCTTGCGAAACTTATCCTTTGGTTCGCAATCCATCCCAAAGTCCTCCACCGGTTCCTTCTCCTTTTCGTCTTCGGAGGATCCCTCGTCGTCGCTGGTGTCTTCATCGCTCCCGCTCGAATCCGAATCCGAGTTGTTCTTTTTCTTCTTCTTCTTCTTCATCTCTTTCTTCTTCGGCGGAGGAGGATCATTCCACGCGAAACTCTTCTTCTCGCCTGGATTTTCCACCCCTAAACCTTTCATCTTCGTCTCGAGCGAGGCGTCGCCATGCACCGGATCGACGTCGTACCCGCCCCCGGACTTCATGGCGCCGATAGCGGTGAGGAATTTCCCGTCTTTATCCATCGTGTTTGGATGCGTGTGACTCCCGTCTTTCTTCGCCTGGTTCCAATCCGGTGCCGGTGGTCGATTATGTTCTTGCATTTTTTTCGCGTTTTGTATCGCCAACTCTTTCTCCGTCATAGTTTTCCCGTACTCGGTGCCGGTGATTTTCTGGTACGCCGAGGCTGCCGCGGAATTGACCGTGTCTTTGATGTCTGAAAATTTCGATTTGTTGTCCTCGTCGTTTCTGCCTGGGATCTGTTTTTAATTTATTATTATAAAAGCCGTGAGTATTAGAACACGAGGATGCGTTGTGGTCGGAAGTTTTAAACAACGCAGTATAGAAGGACTACGCGCGAATCGCACACGAATGAAACAAAAAGGAATGAATGAAAGAAAGAGAGAGAGAGAGAGAGAATTGGATGCCCCGATTTCTTACAACAAAACAACGCAGAACGACGAAGAAAGACGACGACAAAATATATAGAAAAAACACGCCCCGCGAAACAAAACAAACTTAGCCTCTTCTTATTCGTACCTTCGCGGAGTCCCCGACCTTTTCGTATTGGCCCATTCCAAACATTATTATTATTCTTCTTGTTTTATTAGGAGTAGTAGTAATTTAATAATAAAGAGTCAAAACACCAACAAAATTTGTGCAATGTGACGAGTGATTTTTTCGAGGAGCTGCTCTTTGAGGAATTTTTGTGTAAAAATACAAGAAAAGAAAAAAAATCACGAGACCAAAAAGAGCGGAGAAAAGTTCGTTATTTTATAAAAGATATCATGGATGCTACTGAAGCACATCGTGAAGAAGAAGAAGACCAAGAAGACCAAGAAGATGTGATGCTGTTCTTTGGACGACGAGCGACTCCGGGCAAGTGCAAGACGAGACTGGCGAAAGATTTGATGAGGATTTTGATGGTGAACGAGGAGGAGGAGGAGGAGGAAGAAAGAAGGAGAAAGGGTGAAACGATGGCGGCGAGATTGTACGAGTTTTGCACGGAGAGAGTTTTGAGAGGATTTTTGTTGGGGAGAGAAGAGATGATTCGTGGTACAAATGTGTGTGCGCCTACGCCTCGTCGTCGTTATCGCGACGGGGTGATGAAGAAGCGTCTCCGGTTGGTGTTTTACGTCGCCGAAAAGGAGGAGGTTGAGAAAGTGCGAGAGTGGTTGGAGAAGAAAAATCTTCTTTTCTTTGGAGACGAGGACAAAGACGACAAAGAAGAAGAAGAAGAAGTAGGAGTCGTCTCCTTAAGGAGGAGGAGGAAAATAGAAATCGAAGTCAAAGCGCAGGATGAGAGCACGAACGATTTAGGATTGAGAATGATACGCGCCATAAACGACGAGATCTCTTCTTATGCGAGTAGGAGTCCAGAAGATGTAGGTGAAAGGAGTCGCCGCGTCTTTCACGTGGTCGGGACGGATTATCCGGACGCCTCGTGGGAACGGTTAGAAGAGAGCACGAAGAAGATGCGAGCATCGAAACCTCTGAAGAATGACGCTCCGAAAATAGGTTTCGGGAAAGCCGAAGATGGCGGGTTTTGGCACCTGTCGACGACGTGTAGACTTAGCGAGAGTTTGTTCGGGAGCGAGGAGGAGAAATTGGTTCGGTGGAGCACGAATCACACGTTAGAAGACGCCAAAAATGCGGCAAGGAAAGTTGGGATGGTCCCACACGTGGAAGATTCGTACGATCCTTTGTACGATATAGATACTTTAGAAGATGTTAGAAATTGGATGATTGCGACGACGACGAATAGGAAGGAGGAGAAGTCGAGCGAAGTAGAAGAGGACGAGTTTACGAAACTTGTCGGGGAAGTTGTTTGTATGCGTTGATATGAATTCAAAGTTCGGCACATAGAATGGCAGCATAATAATATACAAATCTACTACTGAGTCTAATTCGCTTTCCCTCGCAAATCTAAAAGTGATTTCACGCCAAATACTTTTTCAATACCCTTCTCGAACGCGTCCACGGAAATTTTCGGCGGCTTTGGAAACCATTTTTTATTCACGAGACGTTTGACTCTCGGAAACTGGTCTTGTCGTCGCGCCATGACGCTCAAAGCAACCAAGGAAAGCGCGCCTAGCAAGCAAAAGAACGCAAAGTTAATCACGCCTGATACCGCGCGTAAGGGGAAATATAAAAGATACCTCCAAAACTCTAAATCTTCGCGCTCGCCACCGATGGGAACAGTCACCATGATTTTCGGTTCCGAACGCCATCCGCCGTGGACGTTCGCGCCGTTCCCGGGCGAAAGCTTCATGATTTTAGAAGTCAAACCAATCTCGACTTTCCTGTGAGGCTCGTGCGCTTTCAAAGTGATGCTATAAGTTGGTCCGCACTTGATGTTATCGTTGTGAAAACTAACGTCGCGGTCTAAATCGTCGTCGTCGACGAAACAATCCTCCGACGTTGGTTCTTGGTTGACTCGTATGACGAACGCGTTACTGGTTCGAATGGCGGTTCGGATATCAAACCCAGATTCCTCGGTTATTTCTTGATCGAATTCGCACAAGACGGTGAAATATCTAGACGGATAGATCGGATACGCCGACGACGATCCTTTTGCCGGTTTCTTCAATCGCAACCACCCGACGGCTTGGCCTTTGGGATATCTCAAAGGATCCGCATCTTCCTTTTCTCTCCGTTTTATACGATCCGCGAGGTGTTTCTCTCGAGGCGTCAACGCCGATACTCGTCTCACGCGCGATGCGAAGGAATCCACGACAAATAACGAGCCGCCTAAAGGCGCTAAGGCAATGTCGTTCGGCGCACCAAGACACGCTCGGAATCCGTACCCGTCCGGGAAAGTATTTTTGATGCCAAAACCCATGGATGTGGACGCTAACTGACTGGCTATCTTACATCCATCGTTGGTGACAAGCGTGGAGACTCGTGTTGCTTCGATGCGGTAATGCGCGGAATGATCCGTCCATTTCGTGGTGGTGGTAGAGGCGGCGGATGAAGCGCTTTCCTCTTGCACTTTAGATAAACTCACGACCCGAATAGTTTGTCCGTGTAACTCTGAAACGAATAGATACAACCCGTCCGGGTGAACAGAAATCCCTACCGGGTGGTCAAACGCGCACTCGTCTAATTCTAAGCTCTTCGTACTCCATTGGTTCTTTCCGGTGCCGGTGTATCGTCGATTACTGTTCCCGTACCCGATGTTCGCGCTACTTCCGGATCGATGACAATCGATCGTTTTCGATTTCCCGTTACCGGCAATCGTGTACGTTTCCCCGGTAGCTATGACTACGGCACGAATGCGATTATTCCTCGTATCCGCGACATACAAAATCTTCCCGTCCGGCGAAGGCGCGATCCCGCTCGGTTCGTTAAATAAAACTTTCGATTTGTCTTCGCTGTCTCGAAATCCACCTTTGGAGTAACTGTTCACGTTCCCTTTGTGCGAAAAGTTCTCGTCGTTGGTGTCGTCCCCGCCTTCCCCGGTGATCCATTCCTCGGTCAACTCGTACTCGGAGGATCCTTTGTTGTGGTTGCTCACCAACGCGAAAACTGCGTTTCGCTTTTTACACGCAAAGTATACGCCCTTTAATTTATGCGTCGACACGTCAGCATGGACCGCGATGCCGCTCACGTCTCTCACACCTAACCCGTTCTGGAGCACTTTAGTTGTCTCTAACGTTGCCGCCACGTATTCGTTGTTACTACTACTACCACCACTATCACTACCACTACCGTCGCTATTCTTTCTAGTCCCGAAATAATTCCTCTCTCGATTATTCCGAGCGATTTGCTCCTCGGATAAATCTCTCGTGTTTGCTTCGTACAACGTGCCTCGGTGTCCCGCTACGCGGTAGATGCTCTCGTCGAGTTTATCCACGATAAATATCGTCTGCCCATCCGAAGTCGCGGTAATCGGTCCCGGAATTCGAATGATTTCGTTATTATATCTACTGTTTTTCTTCCCATTCTTCTTCTTTTGCGTTTGTTCTCTTTCTTCTTCGTCTCTCTCCCCGACAAACTTGAATTCTATCGTCCTCACCGCGTGTTTCGTCATTTTCGCGATATCAATCGCTCTCACTTTCCTATTCTTCCCATCAATCACGAAAACCTTATCCTCCGTCGCCGCTACGTACAACGGACCTGAAAATCTCGACACCGCGCCGTAACCGTCCGCGTATCCCGCGTGACACGACCCTCCGATCGTCGTCACGTCTCCCGGCACCTCGTCCTCTATCTTCGCCGCTCGATTCCAAGCGTACGGTTTCACTTTCCCGTTACACGTTATCCCACCGTGTATCAGCGCGTTTTGTGCCGTCGCGGACGATTTTAACGACGCGTCCGACTCGAAATCCAAATCGAACCGTTCTTCCCGCCTGTTCAAATACTTATACCTGTCCGGCGGCGGAGGAGACGAAGGAGGCGTTTTGGAGGACACAGACGAAGATCCGAAACGTTGTTTCCTCGCTCCTCTCGTCGTGCTCGCCGCTGTTTCTTTTCCTCCTCCTCGTTCCGCGTTCGCGAACAACAACATCGCGCAACTTTTACTGCCTTTTTTCGTCGTCCAAGAAGACGTCGTCACCATCGTCGAGAAGAGGAACACAAAGACAAAGAAACTCCTCCTCCTCTTCGTCGTAAAACTCAACATCGTTGCACTCGTCATCATCGTCTCATCAACACCCCGTCGTCGTCGTCGCGAAAGCGTCGTTTTTTCTCCTGAAACTCTCTCCCTCTCTCTCTCTTTCGCCTCGTGGTCGTCGTCTCTTCTTCTCAGACAGAGGAATTAAAGGAAACGGAGCGGAGACAAAAGTCTTGTTTAAAGTCTTCGTGTACTCATCATCGTTTCTCTGCGTGCGTTTTGGGTGTCTTTGTAGTGCGGAGTTTTCTCCATAAAAAGAACAGAACTTAAGACGCGCGAGAAGAAGGAAACGATGCGCAACTGCTCGTGACGCTCTTTCTCGTCTCTCTCTCTCTCTTATTAAAATGGGCGGTGGGAGCAACAACGCGAAGAAGAACGACAAAAGTCGCTCGTCGAGGAGCACACAACAACGCGTTGCTTCGAAAAAGGATTTGGACACGTTTCGGGAGATTTGTCAACTCGCGAGAATAGATTTCGAGAGGCACCGAGAGACGTTTTCCACCTCTTCGTTGAAGAAATCGAGACGAGAGAAATTGCTGGACATTTACGCGGACGTGGAACATTTAATGAACGCGAAACGAGTCAAAGAGGCGGAGAAACCGAAGATTTTGTTGAGGAAGAAGTGTTTGCAATATTTCTACGGCGGGTTGGAAGAGGAAGGAAGGGGTGGAGGCGAAGAAAAGGAAAAGGAAAAGGAGGAGGAGGAAAACAGGAATGAGGAAACGTTTGAAGACAGAGAGAAGAAAGTATCGATGGAGTTGAAAAGAGCGAGAGTGAAGAAACCGAGCCGGTTTGATCAAAGCGAAATGGGCGCTTTGGTTGAAGCGGCGGGGGGCGGGACGACGAAGGTCGCGCCGCCGCCGCCGCCGCCGGCCTTGGTTGGAGTTCCGCATGGACTACCTTCTTTTCACATGCAACAACAACAACAACAACAACAACAACAACAAATGATGATGATGATGCCACCGTATCAGATGCAGCAGCAGCAGCAGCAACTTTTTTATGGTCAACAACATCTGCAGCAACAACAATATCAGCATCAGGCGATTGGAATGAGCGGGTATCAAATGCCGCCGCCGGTTCTCACGAGGCAACCGCTCGGGATGCCACCGATGAGCGTCATAAGCGGTCAAGCGCAGTACCCGTCACCACCGCCGCCGTTGCAGCAGTTTCAGGAACAACAGCCGTTGCGGTTTGGCGTGCCCTCTGCGTTAGAAAGTAGATTGACCCCCGGTGATAGTAATAGAAAGAGAGACCGCGGAGGTATAGCGATGGATGACGATTTGTACTCGAAACAAAACAAGAAGAAACGCGAGCAGAGATTTAATAATAACGAGCATTACGGGGAAGAGATTGAGCGACCGAAGTCGGTCACGCGGACAGATTCACCTCGAGGAGAAGTGACCATGGCTGAATTGAAAACCGGGAACAAACGCGCGGTGGGAACGAATCAGTCCCTGACAAAAGCGTACATGCGCCTGACCTCAGATCCAAAAGCTTCGGATATTCGCCCTCCGGCGGTTTTAAAAAAAGCCTTGGCGTTAGTAGAAGAAAAATGGAAGAGTCGAGAATGGACGTACGATCAGTTAAAAGAGCAATTAAAGTCAATCAGACAGGATTTAACCGTGCAGCACGCGAAGGGCCCTTTGGCGGTTTCCGCGTACGAGACGCACGCGAGAGTTGCTCTAGAGCACGACGATTTAGCCGAGTATAACCAGTGTCAAACGGTTCTTAAAACGTTGCACGAACGGTACATCAATGAAGAGAAGTTTAAAGACTCGCGAGGTGAGTTTGCGGCATATAGATTACTCTACGCGTTGATCGCGGACGAAACGGCCAAGAATGGTCGCCAACTTTTCACGGAGATGATTGATTTGACCGAAGAGAACATCGAGCACGACTTTGTGAAACATGCCTTAGAAGCTATTGTTTCAGTGAAAGGCTCAGATATTGTCAAATTTTTCAAGCTTCGGAAAATAGCACCGAATTATAATTGGAACCTTATGCAAAAGCACGCGAATCGATTGCGCGGGCACGCGTTGTTGGCGGTGTGTTCCAGTCACCGCCCAACGATTCCGGTTTCATTCTTTACGACGACGTTAGGTTTTGAGAACGAAGAAGAAACGATGGAGTACTTAAAGAGCGACGAAATCAAAGCCGTACTTATCGAGAAAAAAGGCGAAACTCCGCTGGTGGATTGTAAAAACACGCAGACGGCTCTGTTGTGACATGTATATTTTTAACGCACGCATACACACAAACAAACACATACACACACACACACACACACACAGTTTCCCTTTTTATTCGTGTATCTCTCTTTCACTTAGGCGTCGCTGGTGATGAACACAGTCGCACCAGCGATGACGAGCGCGATGATGAGAAATGGTAAACAAAAGCTCAAACCACGCCTCGCTCGCTTACTTAATTGGAATTTCCCTCTTCTCTTCTTTTCTTCTTCTTCTTCTTCTTCTCCTCTTCCTCCTCCCTTTCCTATTTCGTCGTCTTTTGATGAAGTCCCGGTAACCCACTTTTCGACGGTGTGACACTCGCGCCAACTCAGTGCCGTCACCGCGATGGCTAAAAACATATCCACGCCGTAGTGCGTTTGATCCAGCGCTTCTTTACACGACGCGTGTAATACGGCTAAAAATACGACGAAACTACCCAGAGATATACCGTGCGTTGCTAAGCACAAGAAGCCAGACATGTATATGACACCGTGTCCGGAGAAGATCAAATCGTTGCACCCACCAGTTCCCCGAATTCGACTCGATCCGTATTCAATTAAATGCCAACCGTCTTCGTATTGCATCGGCGCGTCCGAAAATTGACGGTTGTAACACCCGGGCTTTGGATTTGGTACCACGGTAAGCATGAATGACACCACGCGAATGGCGCGCGCTAACGCAATCGTCGCGCACGTTCGAGCTGCAATCCCAAAAACACTTCTTGAGCTACTACTACTATTAATACTACTACTAATATTGATGCCGCTTGCAATTTGCTCTTCCGCCGGCGAGAAAGCGGCGTTAGGTGATTTGTCCTCAAACCTTCCCGCGCGTTTTTCTCCGCGCTCTTCGTCTCTACTGTTACTACGACTATTATCATGACCGTTCAACGGTCGCTCGTCCCTCGAGAGCGTTTTTTGATGATCGGTGTTCTTCTTAAAAAGCATCCTACCCAAACCTTCGCCTTCGCCGCCGAGCGTCGGTCCCAACACGCCTAAAATTACCCACGCGCCAAAATGCAAAGTCGTCCATCCGGGAAACGTACCACAAAACAATTCCTTCAAAGCTCTCGACGTCTCGCACCCGCGACGTAACCACTGATACAAATTATCTTGCAACGACGTGTACACAAACTTATTCTCGTCCAAATGCGTAATCAACGCCACGCACACGTTTTCCGCCAACAATTGCGCGACGACCAACGCCGCGAACAAAAGCATCTTCATCGCCGGATATACCTCCCGTTCCCAGTTATACAAAGACATGGATAACAAAACCACTAAACTTACGATCGTTGTCACCATATAATCTAAAATCCTCGTCCCGGAAACTTCCACGGACGCTCTCAGTATCGGCGGAAACGCGGTCAATAAAGTCAACGCGGTCAAAGTCCGTCTCCTCTCCGCGCGGAAGTACCTCGCGATTTTTTTCGGCACTGAATGCGAGAGCGATTCTTCCCTTACGTTCTTCCCTCTTCCGTCCTCCTCCTTTTCTTCCTCCTCCTCTTCCGATGCGCTTCTCGCCGTTCCTCCTCCGCTCTTGAAATGTCTCACTAACGACCACGAGTTTCTCGCCGTCGTCTGGACAATCTTATTCAACCTCTCTCTGAAAGAGTTTCGACCTCTTCCTCCTCTGTCCTCCAAATCCTCCTCCTCCTGTTTCAGAACGACGACTTCTTCTTCTTCATCATCATCGTTGGTGTCGAAAGACGACAGCTCTCCTCCTCTTCCTCCTGCCATCATCATCTCTGTATCCACAGTTTTATTCTTATGGAGCAAAAAGCGCTTAAAATTTTGTATCTAAAAAGTGCTTTTTTGATCAAAATTTGACCCGAAAATTCTTTGTCTTTTTTCTTCACTCGCAAAAGAAGCAAAAATAATAAAAATATGTTTACGATCAATTTAGTATCATCATCGGCGGCAGCGTCGACGAGCAAAACCTCCTCCTCCTCCTCCTCCTCCTCCTCCTCCTTCTCTTCCAAGAGAGTGCGGTTATTCTCAAATTTTGAGAGAAGGAGAGGAGAGGGTTTCAAAGTTCGCGCGGAACCGGCGAAACCGAAATTGAAGAAAGCGGTACGTTTTACAGTTGTTGTTGTTGTTGTGTCCAATTATTATAGATTACTCACATGTTTATTTATGTATGCAGGAGGAATTCACGGCTGGTGGAGGCGGCGCGAGAGGCTACTGCGACGTCGAAGAGATTAAGAACGCGATTAAAGAGTGCGAAGGTACGTTTTGATTTAAATCCAGAAGAGAGAAAGAAGAATATGCGATCTTCATTTCTTTTCATCATCTTACAAGAAGCATCCGAGTCACCATTATTGCCCTCTTTATGCGAAGACTGACGACAGAACTTTTACTGACATTTTTAATACTAATAATAAACAGGATTGGAAGGCAAAAAGTTAGAAGCCTGTTACGCGCAGTACGGGTGCGATATTAACATCGTGACCGATCACTACGCGAAAGTTGCCGGGGTGGAGAAGAAAAGCCAAGACGAGAAGTAGACATCCGTTTTGACGAAGCGCTACCGAAACGCGTCGTTGTACGTTGTGAAATCGAATTTAAAATAAGAATGTATATACTGCACGACCGTGATAAAAATATTATATAGTAATGTGTTTCTAGTGGTAGTTATTTTTCTCTCTCTCTTTCGCGCCGCCGTCCTCTCTTCACCCGAGAGAGAGTTTGCTGCTTCCCTCGTTTACTTGAAGAAGCACATTTTCCCTTGATCCATCACCACTCTATAAGCGTACCTCTCTTGGACGAGCGTTTTGGCTAATTTTTGATCCTCTTCGCTATCTCCCGGAATGGCGGTGATGTGACCGTATCCTTGCGAGCGGAACCAATCGAGAGGGATGGACGGTTGACCGTAAACATCCAATCGAGCACACAAACCAGAACGCAAGAGCATTAAAGTGGTGATAAAGTTGTGCGTCGGCTCGCCTTCGTAGCCCCAGTTGGAAATACCTCGTCCTAAACCTTCGTCGTTGGCCAAGATGGAGTGGATGGTTTTACCCGCCGCTTTGGCCATCAAATACGAAGCCGCGTCCAATCGAACGGTCGTTTCCGTGATCGGTTCGGTGAGTTTCGTGAATTTGCAAAACTTAGAATCAGGCGCGCAGTACACCAACGTGTCGTGGACGTCAATGACCGAGGCAAATCGAGAAACAGTCGCGTCAAATCGTTGCCCGCTTGGGTCATACTCCGCGTCGCTGGTTAACGCACACGAACCGAGTTCGCCAGATTTGCCCATCGCCGGTAACTTGGACGAGTTCAACATCGTTCTCGGGTTGCTGTGCAACGTGGAGAGTCTCGCGGAGACTTCCGTGAGTTCTTCTGGGGACACGTCCGGATTGATAACGGCTTCGGCGTCCGCTCTTAAGGCGGCAGCCAACTGTAAAGCCGCTGCATCCGCGCACTCGGCGTTGGCAAACTGACACGCGATGTCGAAGAGCGACAGCTTCGCGACTTCAAACATGACTCTTTGTTCCGTGTCCGCTTGGTCGATATCGTCGGCGTTTTCAGACATACCCTCGACGAGTAACGGGTTCGTTTCCGGCCCAGCGTATCGTTCGCGACCGAACGAGGCTGACGCTAACGGAACGTTTTGCACCGAAGTCGCCGTTAAGGGCGTGCCAGTGATTCTCCCTCCTGCTTTCTTTTGCTTCCCAAGCAAGCTTCGCGCGCGTCTCTTTTCGCCTTCGTCGGAAGACGCACCCGCAATCGTCTCGGCGTCTTCTTGCCCAACTTCCAACTTGGTCTCGTCTTCCGTTTGTTCTTCGTCGGAAATCGTAACGCCTTCTTCGGCAGCCAATTCTGCCTCTTCCTCTTTCTCCTCGATAATCTCTTCCTTCAACTCCTCCACGGCGTCTTTCAAATCTTCCTTCGCGTCTTGCAACTCTTCCTTCGCGTCTTCGTGTTCCGCTTGCTGCTCTTCCGTGTGTTGCACTTTATCCGTGTGCGCGGCAGTTGTTCCGGCCGGTTTCGTGTAAAAAGCGTCGTCGTATCGATCGTGAAGCTCTAATCCTGGAATCACGCCGCTCGGCGCGACGCCCGGTCTAATGCACACCTCGGGCACGCCCAACGCCGCCCATCTGGCCATAGAATCCATATTCGATCTCGATGGCACCGCTTCAGCCGCATCGTTATTCAAACCCATTTCTGCCGCTTCCTCTGCCGCCTCCTCTTGCGCTTCTTCCGCTTCTTCCGCCGCAATCTCTTCTCGATCCTCCTCGGACATCGTCTCCGACGGCGCCAACTCTTCCGAAACGTCCACCGCGTCGCCGCCGCTACTATCAACATCGAAATCACCGCCATTGCTACTCCATCCACCTAATCCAAACTTCCTCGACGCTTGGTTCGACAATTTTTGCCCGGACGGATGGCCAATCGCAAACACCGCGATGGCGACGAGCACTAATATCGAAAAGATTATCGCCCCTGGGGAGGCAGATCCGCTCGAGCGAGAGGATTTTTGCTATAAAAGAAAAGAAAAGTGTCGTCGCGTCAGTTGATGTGCGAATGGTAAAATACAGAAAGGCTTTCAGATCATCGATCCGTGATGCTTTAAGTGCGGAAAAGGTACGTGAGAGAGAGAGAAAGAAACTCTGGAATTCGTCACCCGATCGTATCCGAAAAGGCAATCAATCAATCAAAAAGCTCAACAAAAGTGACGAAGAGAGAGAGTTTAGAGAAAAAAAGAAATCAAACGACGACGTACCATTCGCTTCTCTCTCAATCGCTCCTCGTTCGCCTGCCTCACTTTCTCGCTCTCGGCGCGAATCGTATCCGCGTTGGAAGAGCGATGCTGCATGTTTTTTGTTTGTTTTTTCTTTCCCAAAGAGGTGTTTCGAAACAACCAAAAAGTAACGAAGAAAAGAGAAGGAAAACGATGGATGGCTGAAAATGAGCAATTGAAGAAGACCGGTCGTTTTAGGGTGCGTTCGAGAATGAAAAAATACGCGAGGAAGACTAGCAGCGAGTCTTCTTCTTTTATGACATATAACGCGCCCGCCCGGGGAAGTGTTGCATCGAATAATAATATGAATATGTATAATATAATAAATAACTGAATAAATACGGATTCTTTTCGGTGTTCTCGATCGACTTTCGTATGTATATGTGTGAAGGAGAATGCACCAGGTCATGAGAGTCGAAGACGAAGTGAACGCCGCCGCTTTAGGCGGCTTCGGCCGCGAGAGGCTTCAAAGAAGAAGCTTTCTCGTCGTTGTCTTCAGTGGTTGACGTGCCTTTTTGCGTCGTTTGCACATCAGTTCTTTTCAACGATTTTAAAAACATCGATTGGGATTTCCAAAACGACGGTTCGTCCGGGTCTTTTTTCTCGCGAGCGAAAGGCTTTTCTCCGGCTTTGGCCGACGCAGATATGGCGTAGGCTAAAGTGACGAGAGAAAAGATGACCAAACCGGCACCGACACCGCTAGATTCAGTGTTCGTGAACGCTTGTGGGTTAGCAAAGACGGCAGTCGTAACAGCCAACCAGGAGATGACGGTACCTATGGCCAACGAGAATTGGCGGTTATGCAACGGTTGAGCGTACGGTTTGACGTATAATGCCAAACAGAAAGCGACGCCGCAGAGCATTTGCGCCATGGCGATTTGACACGCCGATGCGAATTCAGAAGAGACGTCGTAGCCGGAATTCGGATCGCCGCGCAAGTTTCTTTCAGTAGCAAACACTGGAATGGCGGCTAAAAAGAACTTGGTCGCCAACAAAACGAGCTCCCATCCTTCGCATCCCGGGCGATTGGATTTGTACATGAAACCGTACGTCGAACGCAAGGAATCGGATTCCGATAATTTCCCGGTCGGACGTCGTTTCAATAACTTCCATGCAAGAAACAACGGTAGACCGAACGGATAAATAATCATCGCGAGATACGCGGACGATCGGTAGGCGTTGAACGTCGCACCTTCGGCTTCGATTTTATAATCCACGCGTAAGAACGTTCCAACGTCCAGAGTTCTGGAGTTGAAGAGCTGCAAGACGGTTTTGGTGACGCCAGCGTAGGTTAAAACGAGCATCCAAACGCAGTTACGCTTACATTTACCTTGGAATTCGATTAATATCTCGTCGTTGATATTCAAACCGAGGAATGTATTCCTATTCATCTTCCTAATCACACCGGCGGTGTTAAAGGCGACGAAAGTAAGCATCAAGATGATCGGCGGCACGGTCAAAGCTCCAATGTATGACACGTAAAACGTGTTTGAGGCGTTCGAACATCCCGGCGCTAACGCATCCAAGTTTAAGTTGGTCACGTCGAGTATTCCCAACGTTCTCTTCATAGGCGAAGGCCATTTGACGTCGTAGGAGTACAACAAACCGAGCGTTTGAAAGACGTAAATGACGCACGTGGCGAGTACCGTTCCGGCTGCTTCCTGGAGCGGTTTCTTGAAAATGTAAATTATAAACCCGATCAAGGCTAAAATTCCGATAACTGGAATAGCATCTGTAATGGGTTTTGATTGGCACTTCAAACACTTGCCGCCTAACTTTCGGAAACCTTCTTTGCACAACGCGCACACCGGCCCTTCGTAGGCGTCCTCGCATGCGACGTTGCCAGTCGAGTTAGTCGCTTTGCACGCTTCCGCACCCATGGGGCACTGGAAGATGTACTCGGACAAGTCATTTGAGCGCCACCAACCTTCAAGTGAGGAGATATCGCTCCCACCGCGGCAATCGCCACCTTCAGGACACGGCTTGCATTGTATTCCATCCAGATTGAACGTTCGATCTTCGCAATAACTGCATATTCTCGCAGATTTTTCGCCGTTCTCTAAGTTCATCCAATTAGGCTGGTACCCGGGAAGACAGTTTAAGATTTGCGCGTTCAATATCAACTCGTCGCCGATTTGAACATCGTTCTCGCGTTTGCATAAAAATGATACGCGGTATACGTCACCGAGCTCGCCCCGAAATGTCACCTTGTCAAAGGTTGAAACGCCTTTCTGAGAATTTTCAGAGAGTTCGCCGGAAACGACCAAAGGAGAGTGATTTTTCAAAAATTCGAGCCTTCCAAGGTCTCCAGCGTAATCCGTGATAGCGATGTCGTCCAATTCGTGCGAAGCAGTAGATATTGTACACGTTGATGACGCTGGTTCAGAAACCGCGACATGCCCGTAATAGTCCACGAGTTCAACCGAGAACGATTTGGCAACTTCACCCGATCCGACGCCTTTTGAGAGCTCGGCTAAGACATGCGCCGGTGCTTGAACTTTCAACGCCTCCGTTGCGTAATCTTCTGGATGAAAGGTTGGCAAGTTGCTGCAGCTTTCGCACGTAAACTCGACGTTCGGCGAAGACGCTCGCGTCCAGTAGACGCTCGGGCCAGATTCCGCCACGTTCGAACGAAAAATCAACTGTGATAAAGTATTCATCGTAGTTGGTGTTATCGAAGCTTTCGCAAAGTTGGCGTCGAAATAAACGCCGCCGCCTACTTTGGAGGCTACGTTACTGTCGAGAGTCAGAGACGCGAGCTCGAAATCGAGTGCCGAGTCAGCACCGCTTTCTTCCGACGGCGGCGCGATGGAAATCGCACCACCATTAGTAGCTTCGTTTTTCGACATGACACTTCCGTTTTCTACTCGAAACGCGATTGCAGAGCTCGCAATAGCACCTCCAAATCCATCACTGGCGACGTTTTCAGCCATGATCGTTGCGTCGAGCTTCAAAGATGCCACGTTGTCTACGGCGCGAATACCTCCACCGTGTGTAGCGGCGACGTTTTTAGAGAAGATGGCATCCTTAGCTGTGACGATACCAACGCTCGCGTAAATGCCGCCTCCAGCGCCGCGCTTTTCGCCAGGACCGTGACATCCAAAGGCTGTATTTTCGAGAAGTGTCGCGCCTTCTCGAACGGTAACGATCGCGCCTTCGGAATACAAAGACACAGACGGGGTGGAACCAGAAGCAGAGCTCGTCGTCGCGGCATCACTGGAAGACAACACAAAGATTGCACCGCCGTCGATGGCCGCATTCTTCGTCATAACGGTGTTTTGGGAGATTTCCAAGTTGGTCGCGCCTTGAGATACGGAAGAGACGTCGTATACTCCGACGACGGCGAACGCGCCCCCACCAGCGCCGCGAACTCTCGGGCATACCGTTTCGTTGCTTCCGCCAGCAGTGTTCCCGGAAAATACCGCGGCGGTCACAGTAGTCTTACACGATGACTCGAGGTAAACACCGCCACCATATGAAGAAGCGACATTTTCAACAAATTTCGAAGCCGAATTAATGGTGATGTCCGCGCCGACGCACGACACGCCACCACCATTTTTGGCGGTATTTTTATAGACGGTCGTTTCAGACGAAAGGGTTACTGACGCTGACGGTTCAGCATGAATGGCACCACCGAGATTTTGGGCAACGTTTCCGGCCAAAGTTGTCTGCGCGGACGTGACAATTGTTGACGCCGTCTTGGCGTTGATGGCGCCTCCGTTGACTTTCGCGACGTTTTTCGTAAACATGCAGGAATCAAACGTGAGTAAAATTGCTTGTGGCCACGCCATGACTCCCGCACCGTAATCTGCTTCGTTTTCAGTAAAGGTAACGCCGGTAAACGTTCCTTTAGCGCCTGAATAAACGAGAAGACCACCACCGTAACTTTCGGCATTTGCCGTTGGCGTATTCTTGGAAATCGTGCCATCCACAAACTCGGCGTCACCACCATTAAAGATACCAATGCCGGATCCGTAACTCGCCGAATTCCCGGAAACCTTCGCGTTTATAAACTTTGGCTTGCAATTGTTCCCGATGAAAATACCAGCCGCGAAAAATGCTGAATTGTTTTCAATGACGGCGTTGGTGAAAACGCCGCTGGAAGATTCGTCGACGTTCAAACCACCACCTTTTCCAGAAACATCCAGAGAGCAACCTTTCACGGTCAAATCGTTCGCGATGACATTCGAGTTCGTTTCGATGTAAATACCACCGCCTCGATTGGCGTTCCCGGTTCGGTCGTTACCTCCCGAACAGTTTTGCACGACGACGTTATCAAACTTGGGAGAGGCGCTCACAACGTGAATACCACCACCCAAATTCTCTGCCAGGGAGTCTTTCACGACAACATCAGAGAGCTGAACGCGCTCAGAAGTCGCCGAGTTTGCGATTTTTAATCCGCCGCCGGTTTCGCTGCGACCGTTTTGAATAGTCACGCCAGAAATGGTGACTGCATCGTCGTCGCCGGAAATCGTGGCAAAATGGTTCTCGTATCCGCAGTCGATTGTAGTTGAATCGGGCAACCCAGTGAGAGAAGAAATCTCTACTGGTCCAAGAGACGTTATCGAAAGACCGCACGAACTCGAAGCGAACGTTCCGGGAAGCAACGACACTTTCTTGCTCACAGCGTTTCTGAACAAGGTCGACGCCAACGTTGCCGCCAACGACGCGCACGGAGACGTGAACGTACCGCACGACGTAGAAACATCAGATGAAGTCGCCGAGGCAAACATCTCAACAATCGGATTTCCGGCGAGAACCGGGACGTATTTAGCCGACGCGAAATTCGGAGAGACTGTTTTTGTACCAGTACCATCGATCACGACGGCGTGTACTAGAAAAACAATGACACTTCCCAAACTGGACGCGGTTTGCTCCATATCCGACAAGTCGACTGAGGTAGATAAAGCGCCGCCAAAAGCGACACTACTATTTAACGTCGATGAGATGCCATAATATGGCCACGTGTATCGAATGGGCATCTTATCAGCACCAGGAATGTAAGGCGTGACCGAATATAAGGAAACGGTCTCGTCCTTGTACTTCTCGCTCGCCGCCCAATGTACGGAGTACGACGTCGAAGACGTTTTCACCGCGTACGCGTACGCTGGAGCTTTCAAAACATCTTGCGCACCAAATGACGATTGCTCTGCCAGCGCTTGCACGCAAACAGAATCCGTCGACGCGTCGTGCTTCGCGATGCCATTCGCTAACATCGCGCCTTCCAAAGCGCTCGCGTACGCCGAAATATCCACCGTCTCCACGCCATCGCAGAAACACCCGGCGTCGTTCCAGGTGTTCAACAAAGCTTTACACGTGTTTGACGTCGGACTGGCACACGCGCTCACGTCTGGCATCGACAAACACGTCGAGACGCTCGGAACGTTATTCGTCGTTTCTTCGGCGCGCGCAAAGGCACCCCAAAAAGTAACAACGAGCAAGGAAAAGAAAAACATTCTTCTTTTCGAAAGGATCGTCATCGTCTTCATCCGCGCGCACGAACACCCAACGACCGAACAGAAGAAAGAAGATAACAGGAAACAAACTTAAACTCTCACGCGATTGATAAACCGTACGCGAACGCGCTTAACCGTACCACCGATCGAGTCAATTCAATAACAATCGCCAACGAGATCAGAATTAAATACGCCGACACGAACAAAAATAAATACAAAGAGCGCGCTTGGAGAGAAAACAAATCTCTCGAAAATAAAAACACTCTTTCTTGGTCTCGCTTAGTATTCGTCGTTGTTATACTCTGCGTCGTCGCAACTACTCCTGCGCTTTTCCGCGAAGAGTAGGAGTTCGTGATGATACTTGTTGTTGTTAACAAAAAGAAATGCGTTTTTTTTTTGTTTTTCAGAAATTTTAGCGTTTTTTTGTTTTTTCTCTCGAGCTCTCGTACATATAGAAGGAAAGAGCAGAGTAGAGAGCAAAGAGAGAGTACTTGACGTAACATAGTGTGCACAAATGATAATATTGATTTTGACTACTTATAATAAAGGTTCTAGGCGCAGAGCAGTTTGCTCCTCCTCGGTCGAGCAGTTTGCTTAAAGCAAAGAGAAGGAACCGACAGCAAGCGCGGCGAAGCCCAACGCGTGCCCGAGAGACCCCCACGCCATGACGTCAATCAACGTAAAGCCGCTCGGGTCGTTCGTCGTGTTCAAAAACGAAGCCTCTTCTGCTTTCACGTCGCCGGCGGCGTAGTGCGTCTCGCCGTTTTGCGTCGGCAAACCCGCTTTCGCGATTTCAGCTCTTTGATACGGCATGAAGACGAATCGTCCGAGCGAGAGCATCAACGCGTTCGCGCCGGAGATGGCCAAGTTCACGTCCGAGAAGGCTCTGGTTTGGACTTTCACCCCTCGAGAGGTGGATCGCGTTTGCGATTTGACTTTGCTGTTTATATTTTTTAACGGTACGTAGAAGATACCCATTCAAGACGAACGTGGAGAGAAAGATGAAGAGACGTGATAAAGAAGAAGAGCGTTGTGAAGTTGTGAGTAAACAAAGCGCAATTTTATTCGCGGATGGGATGTGTTGGGAGGACCGTATCCCCACCTTTTCCACTTGAGAATCGGACGGAGATCGCGCGCTTTATAAATAATATATTTTAAACTCAGAAGAAGAGAATAAAGAGACAGAGACCACGCGCGAATGAACAACGAACAAAGGAACAGAGTAAAACGAACCTGGAGAAAGTCGCGGTGGTGCGCATCGGCAAGGCGGTTTGCAAAGCGAACGACATGATGTGACTTTACAAAGGTTTTCTGTGTGTTGATATGAGGAGGAAAGCAGTTGCGGGGTGAAGAAGATACGGTTTTAAAAACAGAGATGTTTAGGGTTAATTTATCGATTTTGGTCTTCTTTATTGATGTTCCTTGGCCTCCTCTTCTACATCGCTTTTGCGGCGTGGTCGGCTACATTTTTTTTCGCCACTTATTGCGATGATGATGATGATTCGTATTACGATTGATTCTCCTGCTCTTCTTCGTCTTCGTTCTCTTCTTCGGTGGTGCCTTTTTGGTGGTGATGACAGGTGAACGCGAAAAAGTTTGGTCTGGCTCCGTATTTCGTCTCGTCGTATTTCTCGAATTTCTTCAACGCCGCTCGATTGATTTCGCACCCGGCTTTGACGAACGCCTTCTCCCACTTTTCGCGAGGCCAGACGGTGAGGTGCACAATCGCCGGTTTCTTCGGATCTTTAGGGTCTAGACCACTCCTTCGTAAACTGATGGTGACAAACACGTCTTTTTTCGCGATTCGTACCAACTCTTTGACGCTTTGTTCGGCTAAATGCGTCGGCACGTGTTCTAAGACTTCGCTCGAGAAGACGACGTCGAACCGCTTGTCCTCGAAGCGACTCAAATCATTTAAAACACCCGTTTCTACCACTCCTTCTTTCGCTAATTCCTTGCACGACGTCTTCGTTACGTCGGATATTTCAATCCCTCTGACTATTTTCCCCGCGCTTCTCAACGCTCTCATCGTCCCGCACGTCCCCGCGCCGCCGTCGAACCACGTTCGCGACTCTGGATACGCCTCCAAAACCGTTCTCAGAAAGCCTTTCAAGAGAGGATAGGCTGGTTTATTCTCGATCGCGTTTTTCAAGTACACGTCGTAAAACTTCTTATCCGGTTTATTATTATTATTGCTATTGCTACTACTACTACTACTCGACGCAACCCACCCTCTCCGGTGCGCGCTTTGCGTTCGTCCTCCTCCACCTTTTTTCCCGTGCCCGTCGATGTACTTCATCGCGTCTTCTTCGCCGGCTAAGAACTTTGGTAATACTTTCTTGTTGTTTCCATCTCTCGCCTCGTCGTCTTGGCCTGAGAGTTGTTGCAAGTGCTGTTCCATGTCGTTGCTGGAATGATGATGAATTTGCACTCTCTGTCGACTCGTATCATCATCTGCGGAATAGTAATGCGATTTAATCTCCACGATTAAAGGTATCGACAGGAATAAAAGACAGAGAAGTCTCAGTTTTTGCCTGCGCTGCTGCTTGAACAACGAGTGCGAAGGCGGAGGCATTTCACAAACAAATGAGGAAAAGAGAGTGAGAGGAGGATTTTTCAATAGTTGTTGTACACGCTCGTCTAGCGAGAGCTCAATCGGACAATCTGTTGTAAACAAAAGCTATGCAAGGATACCGCGATCGTCGTTCTCTTTCTTTCTTTCTTTCTTTCTAGAGTATGTAGTATTAGTTTAGTAGTACACTTTGTTTTTTCTTCTTCTCAACGTCTTCTTCTTCTCAAACGTCGTCGATGCTTTTCTCCGTCGCTTCTTTCAAGACTTTCTTGACGACTTTTTTGTTCTTCAACGAGTTGATATGAATCAACCCTTGAACGGCGGTTTCGTTCACCGCTCCGGGTAAATAGTCTCTTCCAAATAACGTTTTTAATCCTGGGACTTTCTTGGTTTCGCCCGTCGGGAGCTGGTCGTACGTCGCGGCTAAAGGACCGATGTATTGCACCAACACCGAATACAAAGGTTGCAAAACGCGTTCCGAGAGTTCAATCATATCCGTCACGTCCCGTCGTTTGTCGATGTATTCGTCCTGGTCGGTGTTTTCAATCATGGTCATCAGTCTATCGAAACCTCTCGATAACTCCGCGCTCGGCCATAATCCGTACTTGTCCGATCTGTGTAACCAAAAAAAGTATCCCCACTGAAACTCGAAGAACAAACGTTCCTCCAACGACTTGCCTCTTTTGAGAACGCCAAACTTCCTCGCGAATCCCCCCAACGAGCGAAAGACGTCGTTACGAAACGACGACAACTCGAAATTCTCCGGTAAATCCTTCAAATCTATTCTCTTGTAACTCTCGTCTCTGCAAAACGACCACCCTTTCCCTTCCATGATTCCCCAAAACGCCTCCTCGCTCAAGTCGTCCTCGAACTCGTAAATCTCCTCCAAAGTCACATCCACGTCCCACCCGGCTAACTCTAACGCCGCCAACGTGTGATGATGATCGACGACGTAATAATACCCCCGGTACTTCACCGCCGGTACCGGTTTAATCGCCATGTATTCTCTCGCGTTCTCCTCGCTCGAGAAGTTCGACAACTTATAAAACGTCCAGTCCCATCCGCACGCGGTTTGCGACGGTTTCGCAATCTTCTTAATCTCCGACCACGGTTTCGTTTTCGTCGGGCATAACTCTTCGTCGATGTTCCCGATGGAGTCTTTGTTTGAGGACTTTTTTTGTTCGTCTTTGTTTAAAACCGCGTTCAGTTTGGAGACTATTTTATCCGTATGAATTATTCGTTGCACAGAAGAAGATCCCGTCTTCTTTTTCCCACCACTCGAAGAAGAGGAGGTCTTCTTCCCTTTCGCCGTTCTGCTCTTTGTCGATCTCGCTTCGTCCACCGAAGACGAAGAACGAGGAGGCGCGAAACATCCTTTTCGACAACCTCTGTTACTCTTCGTAGTATTCGTCGACGAATCAACGCGTCGCGTCAAAGACAGCCGCGACGCCAAAACGGCGGTGGTCGTGCTCGAGGTAAAACTCATCTTTATTCAAACCAACAACCAACAACACAACCACAACGGGTAAGATTTTGAATATTTAATGATGCGTGTTTAAATCTTTCTCTCTCTCTCGGTCGCACGGTCTCCGCGCGTAATACACCACCGAAAAAGAAAGAAAGAAGAGAGAGCACACTGCTATGCGCGCACTTCTGAAACGCTTTAATAATGCGTAAACACCCGCCCTTCAAAAGAAACACAAGAGAGAGAAGAGATTAGAGAGACGGTTACGTCAGAGGAGAGAGATACGAATATTCTTCTCTCTTTTCTGTGTGTGAGGAATTCAAAGAGAGAGAAAAAAGCTTCAAAAAAGGACTGAGAAATCTAATACGTTGTTTGTTTTCCAACACGAGAGTACTAGTACTACGAATAAAACTCTGATTAAAACTCTACGTATAACGGCAAACGAAACACCTTCCCACAAAGCGAAAAAGTATAAAGACACATATATATAAGTACATAATAAAATGGCGCAAAGAAGAGTGGTGATCGTTGGCGGCGGGAATTCCGCGGGCTACCTCGTGCGAGCTTTAGTTGGCGCACCGTCGTCGTCGTCGTCGTTGTCGTCACCATCATCATCATCGGTAACAATCGTGTCGGAGGAAAACGTCCTGCCGTACGAACGCCCGGCGCTGTCGAAGGCGTTTTTGAACGAACAGTCACCGGCGAGATTACCTGGGTTTCATACCTGCGTCGGGGGCGGTGGGGAGAGGCAAACGGAGGAGTGGTATAAAGAGAAAGAGGTGGAGACGAAATTGGGAACCAAGATCACGAAGTGCGATTACGAGAAGAAACGGGTGGAAACCGCGAGCGGAGAAATAATCGAGTACGATGCGTTGGTGATTGCAACTGGGGTGAGCGCACACAAAGGGTCGTTTATTGAAGGTTTTGACGGAAAGATGTGTAAAGTTTTGAGAAGTCACGAGGACGCGTTGGAAGTGGTGAAAGCGATGGACGCCAAGCCGAAACATCCGGTGGTGGTCGGCGGCGGGTACATAGGTTTAGAGGTAGCCGCGGGGATGTGTGCGAGAGGTTTAAAACCAACGGTCGTTTTGTTAGAATCGAATATCATGGCGAGGTTGTTTACGAAAGAAATCGCCGCGCATTACGAACAGTTGTACGAATCGAAAGGCGCGACGTTTATTAAAAACGCCTCCGTGAAGAAAATCAACGACGGGAAATCGGTCATTTTGAACGACGGGAGAGAGTTGGACGCCGATTTAGTCGTCCTTGGTGTCGGTTCGGACGTTCGACCAAACGTGGAACCATTTTGTGACTCTTCTTCTGGCGGGCTGTTGGAGAAAGGAAAAGATGGCGGGATTAAAGTAAACGGCAAATTTGAAACGTCCCAAAAAGACGTCTACGCCATCGGCGACGTGTGTTCGTTTCCGGTTCGTTTGACTGGACCAAATGAGAACGAAGAACATTACAGAATGGAACACGTGAAACACGCCAGAGCATCTGCCGCGCACTGCGCGCGAACTCTCATCGGTGAAAAAGACGTCCCGGATTACAAATACGAACCGTTCTTCTACTCCAGGGTATTCGAGCAACCGAATTCGGACCGCCCAGTCTCTTGGCAATTCTACGGTTTCGGAGGCCACGCGGCGATGGAAACCGGGAAAGTCTCCGCCGTCGGCCCAATTGGTGACTTCAAGCCGCAACTGGTCTCCTTTTGGATCGAAACGTCCACGAAAAAATGCATCGGGTGCTTCCTCGAATCCGGCGGTTCCATCGAAACGCAAATCGCCAAAGACTTGGGGGAGAAAAATCCAGTCGTCGACGTCGACGCGTTAGCGAAAAGTGCGACCGTCGCGGAAGCCATGAGCGTTTGCGCGGAAGCGTTGAAGAAAAACTAGCGTGTGTATCATGTAGTTCAAATTGTCATCTTCTTAAAGTTAGTTGTCCAGTAATAAAGGTGTTGTCTTCGATTTTTGATTTTTTGTTGTGTTTTTTTATGTTTATGTCGACGTGGCAAAGGACATCTTGGGAGACTTCTCTCCTTGTGCGGAAATGCTTCATTGTACTCCCTCACATATCTTTACCACCTGTCGTCTGTTTTGTGTTTGAGATAAAGTAACATCGAAAGAGAGAGAGAGAGAGACGATACTGCAATAATTCTCTCGTCATGTTGAGCTCGACGTCGTCGTCGAGGACGGGTGTCGCGAGCTCTTCTCCTTCGGGTGAAAAGAATGTAATGAGAAAAACGACGTGTCAATTCTCGACCGGCATCTCGACCTCCCAACACCGCGCGAAGAAGAAGAAGAAGAAGGAGGAAACGCTAAACTGCTCTGAGAAAAGGGGCGAGACGATACAAACGAGATCATCGTTTGTTGTTCGCGCGACAAAAAGTGACGAACGCAGCTCCAGCGCGGGGGAGTATTTCACGAGCAACAAAAACAATACGTACACATTATCCTCTCACTCGAGGAAGAAGGACAAAAACAACAATTTGGTCGCACACGCGTTTGATGCGACCATGGACGAGAATAAAGAAGATAATAACAGCGAGATCAAGAAAATAGTAAAACCTAGATTTGGCATGGCTATAGATCCGGAAGTGTTACCTCGCAACGACGAGACGGATAAGTTAATCATGAAACTGTTCATACCGGCGGTGTTAAATTTTCTTATCATTCCTTTGGTTGGCATCGTTGACGTATTTTGGGTAGGAAGAATGGGCGATGCGGTCGCGTTGGCAGCGCAAGGCGCGGCGAATCAAGTTTTTCAGTCGGCATTTTGGATCATATCGTTCATTCCTTCCGTAGTGGCGCCGATGGTGGCGAGAGCGGCTGCGGGTGGGGATAAAGCCGAGTTGCAGAATAAAATCGGCGAAGGGATATTTTGCGCGTTTATAGTCGGTTTGTTCGGGATGACTGTGATGGGATGTTTGAGGAATCCTGCGTTAGGTTTAGTTGGTCTAGATCCGGTTTCAGCGACTGGGATACAAGCGGCGCCATACATCGGGATTCGAGCGTTGACGTTTATTCCGGCGATTGTCAGTACGGTTGGATTCGCGGCGTTTCGAGGTACGTTGGACGTGACGACGCCAATGAAGATTACGTTGGCGTCACAGTTAATGAACGTTATTTTAGATCCGATATTTATTTTTGGTTTTGGGATGGTTAAAGCTTTAGGAGTGGCTGGTGCCGCGTTGGCGACGTCGATGAGTGAGTTAGTCGCCGCTGGGTTGTACATCGGGACTTTATTGAAACGAAATTTGGTTACGGTGAGGTCAATATTGAAACCGCCAGATGCGAAAGCGATTGGTGCTTTACTCGTTGGTGGCGCCGGAGTGCAGTTGCGATCGCTTGCGCAAAATATTACGTTTTTAGCGGTGACGAGAACGATTTTGACGATGGATAGTACGGGCACCGCGGCGGCGGCACATACGGTTAGCTCGCAAGTTTTTCAGCTCGGCGCGATTGCTATCTTGGCGTTGTCGACGATTGCGACGATTTTGATCCCGCAGCGAATGCACTCGAAAGAGTTGGGCGGCCCGTTGGCGGCAAAAGCTGTCGCGGATAGATTGTTAGCTTGGGGCATTCTAATCGGAGTTTTCTTGTTCTTCATGCAATCGGCGGCAATTTTTGCCCTTCCGTTTTTCACGCCGATCAAAGACGTGCAGACATTTGCTGTTTTACCGACCTTGATTGGAGCGGCGTTGCAGCCATTAAACGGTATCGTATTTGTTGCGGAAGGGTTGATGCAAGGTCACCAAGCCTTTTTGCGACTTGCGGGCGGTATGTTTGTGAGCACCGGGGTGATGTTGACTGCGTTGAGATTTGAAGGGTCGACGTTACCAGGCGTGTGGATGTGCTTCGCAGCGTTCAACACGTGTCGACTTTTGTTTGCGTTGAGACATCACTTCGTAGATGGGCCGTTAGGGTGGAAGCACTTGAACGCGAATCAGATGAAATGGGAAGAGACGAATAAATCGGCGTAAAAGGAGATGAGAGCATCGAAACGAAAAGAACCACAAACAACAACAACTAATATACTAATATTGTCATCATTCCTTTAATATTATATCAACACGTGTTGCTTTTATTTATTATTCTGCTATACAACTCTAAACGCCGCTATTCGCTTATTATTTCCAGCTCGAAGACGTTAAAAATTACCACTTTCCTCCTCGTTCCCAATCGTAGCAGTCGCCGGTTGCTTTGGTCGTGGAGGACAAAACTTCGTCGATTTTACTTTTATCTTCCGCGTCGAGCGTAAATTGGAATAACTTTTGATGATCTTCGACGTGAAAATCGTTTCGCGCGCCTAAAATAACCGCCAAAACGCTTTCTTTCTCCAAAACCCATCGAGTGGCGACATTTGCGATGCTCTGGTCGTGTTTTTTCCCAATCGAGTCGAGAACTTTCAACAATTTTTGCAAATTACCCCAACCGCCGAAGTTTCTTATCACCGACGAATACTTCCTCTTCGAGCCGGTATCTAAAACGACGTCTTTTACGTCAGTCTCTAAGAACTTGCTCGATAAAAAACCGCCGGCTAAAACGCCGTACGGTAACAATTTCACTCCGCTCGCCTTGCAAAACTCGTTCATCTTCAAATCCGGTCGTCGATCTAACAACGAATACTGAATTTGGTTCGAAGAAATCTCCGCGCCTTTGTTAATCATCTCTTCCATTTTTTTCGTGTTGAAATTCGTCAACGCGACGGAGCCAATCAAACCTTTCGCTTTTAAATCAGTCAAATGCAACGCGCAATCAATATATTGCGAACTCCCGTAATCGTTCCAATACATTTGTACCATATCGATCTTCTTCAACCCGCCTAAGCGTTTGCTCGGAACATCAAACGCGTTCTCTTTCACCCATTTTTCAGTCATCGCAACTTGTTCTCTCCCAACGCAACACAGCTTCGTGTGCACTCGACACTGTTCACTGTTTCGATTGCGCTTTAAAAAATCTCCAATCACTAATTCGCTGTCGCCGTATCCGCACGCCGTCGGCCCGGTGTCGAACGTCGTAATCCCCGCATTTACAAACGTCTCAAAATCTTCCACCGCGCCTTTATCTTTCGACGTTCTGTCATCCGCCGGGTCGCCTTTGTGTCCACCCGATAACTGCCAGCATCCTTTAATCACCGCGGAAGGGTACTCTTGGGTAAACTTCAACGGAACCTCAGTTCTCGGTATTTTAGGGAGAGCAACAGAAGCAGAAGAAGCTTCTTCTCCGGCAGCGGCAAACGCGCTGCTTGGCACCAGCCCGGGTAAAATCAAACCAGACGACGACGACAACATCACGGACGCTCCTCCGGCGACTCGTTTCATCAAATCTCTTTTCGAGAGCAACGTTTTGTCGCGCAAAAGCGCATCGTCATCACCATTACTACCACCACCATCATCAGAAGAGCAAAAGAATGCTTTTCCCCGACCACCACGAGAGGAGGAAGGTTTGGAAGGTGTTGAAATCATCGAAATCGAGGAGGAGGAGAGCGAAAACATGTCGATGTTCTTGTTTTTCTTCTTCCTTGTCTTCTTCTTCTTCTGTTTCTTCTTCTCTCGACCGGTTATACGAGCGTTTGTTTTGTGTGTATTCGTAGGTCAAATGTGCCAAAAACCTGAGCAGAGGAGGAATTTTTGGCGGAAAACTCGCAACTGCCACGCGTAAAAAAGTCACTCATCAGCAAAAACATCATCACATATAAAAAGACACACATCATTATATCATGGGACTCTCGACGATAATAAAGAAGGTACAGTGCTCAATACTATTGTTTTATTAAGCGTGATGCCGTCGAAATCGTCGAGGCGTCGTCTCGAACGAGCGCGTCGTTTGATTTCTGATTTTTTGAAAATTTCCCTCGAGCTCGAAACAACTCTTTCGCCTCTCGTTGGCGTTGACTTTCTCGAGATGAAGAAACTTCCCCCCTGCTGATATCTTCTCTGTCTCTTCTCTCTCTCAAACGACGTAATCAACAGGTGAAGCGCAAAGAGCGAGAAATCCGAGTCTTGGTCGTGGGCTTGGATAACGCCGGGAAGACGACGATCGTGAAAAAAATAAACGGCGAAGACATTTCGAAAATTTCACCAACCCTCGGGTTCAACATTTCCAGCTTGCACTTGAACGACTATCGATTGAACGTTTGGGACGTCGGAGGTCAGAAAACGTTGAGGACGTTTTGGAGGAACTATTTCGAAAAAACAGACGCGTTGGTGTGGGTGGTAGATTCCACCGATGTCGCTCGATTACAAGACTGTAAGAACGAACTGGATGTGATATTGAAGGAGGAGAAACTCGTCGACGCGAGTTTGTTGGTGTTGGCGAATAAGCAAGACGTGGAAGGGGCGATGAGTGGAAGGGATATTGCGGAGGCTTTAGGATTGGTTAGTATTGGTAGTAGTAATAGTGTTAGTGTTAGCAGTAGCGAGGTGTTGAGTGGAATGACGTCGAATAGTAGCAAACGACGATGGCGAGTGCAAAAATGTTCGGCGACAACCGGGGATGGGATTTTAGACGGGTTCGAGTTCATCACCGAGGACGTCGGGAGTCGCATGTTCACCTTAGATTAACGATAATAAATAGTATTGGTACAATGCCATTTATTTAGACCTTCATCCCTAACTTCTCTCGTATGCTAATAAACGCCTTCTTCAACACCTGCGCCGGCACCGGGTTCACGTTTCGAAACAACGGCACCACCTTCTCTCCTCCTTCTCCTCCTCCTCCTCCTTCTTTCACTATCAACGCTACGTAATAAAACGCATCCGTCGTCGTCACCGTTTCGTTTATAATCACGTTCTCTATCTTTTCTATATCGTAAAAGCGGTCTCCGCTTATATCGACCCCGAGATTAGGTATCACCCGCACTATTTCGCTCTGTCGCTTTCGCAGAAGATACGAGGACAGAAGCCACATGAAGCTTAAATACAAAACAGTTACCGGTTTAAAGAACACCTCTTTTTGCCTCTCTATCGAGGCGGATGTGTTCACTAAACCAACCGCAACGGCCATTACGATCAACGCGCAGGATACGAAGACTTCTATTTTGCTCTTTTTCAGAAAGACTTGTACCGATATCGACTCGTCCGTGAATTGTTTTTCCTGCAAGACGTGTTCCCGAACTCGGAAATTGGTCGAGGAGACCGTCGCTTGAATGGATTTTGGGTTTTGCTCTCGTTTAACCGAACGCCACGCTCCTTTCTTGTGATGATGAGGATGATGACGATTGGACATTTTCTGTAATCTAAGTGCTGTTACTATCGACGCTTATGTATATATTATGTATATATTAAAGGTTTAGTATTAAGTTTGGGGAAGGAATTTTTGTGGTGTTACCTGTAGGTGTTTTTTCTTTGTTGTTCTTGTTTCGCGTACAGCGCTACTATTATTAAATCTCTACTCTCTCTCTCCCACTCACACACACACACACACTCTCTCTCTCTATGGATATATCCTACTACACATCATCTCTCGGAATGAAAAACGCTCTCGCCGTGTTCGAGCCACTCATCTCGAGTGACGACGATACCCGCTGATGACGACGATGACGACAAAGACGATAAACCTTTCCAAGCGTCAAAAATGCCGTCTTTGCTACCGTTTTTACTCAACGTCACCGTCGGCGCCATGCCTGGGTATGAGTTTGAAATCACGTAGTCCTGCAAACGGGTCTGCAAACCAGGGAGGCGCGAGAGTCCGCCGGTTAAAACGATCGAAGCGTCTTTGCCTTTCTCTTGCAAGATTTCGTGCTCGACGTCTTTGCCGCATCTTTTGAAAGATTCTTTTAAAGCGTCTTGTACGCCGCCTTGCGGGATGATGAACTCGTCAACAATGGCGGCTAAACCTCCACGAGTGTCTTTCACTTGTCGAACGATACCTTTGGACGCTAAAATCTCAGGATGAAACAAAGATTCTGGCGCGCGAATACGTTCGGCTCTCACTTTCAATTGTCGAGCTTCCATACCGGACAATTTTCGGATTTCGTATTGCGGGTCCACCGCTAAGACCTCTGCTCTCGCTTTTTCCCACAGCGATTCGCACGCGGATACTTTTTGCGCGCCCGGGTCTTTTATTTCGCCGTCGATGGCTTTATCCGCACCTCGCGCCATTTGTGAATACATGGACCAATCGTCTTCGCCGTCGCCGAACCCTTTGTCGGTCGTGTTTTGTTTTTCTTCCGCTTCTACTTCGTCTAACGTTTCTTTATTGCCAGCATGCATCGCCATTAACTTCGCGCGTTTTCTCGCCGCGGTAGTTTGCCGCCTGACGCCTTTTCTACCACCGCCTCCTCGCTCGCGTTCCTCGTTCGCTTCTTCCTCCGTGACGCCTCGAACTTCTAAACTTCGAGCGTATCGCGCGTCCTTCAAATTCTTCTCCGCAGTCTCCAACGCGTTCAACAAACCTTCGTAAAATGCTCTCGGATCTTTCTCTATGGCTGCAAATTCTCTCGCATACTTCTCCGTGTTGTTTCGAACAGTGTCTCCTTGTGCAAACCGTTTCACCATGGCTATTTTTTTATCGAAGTTGTGTTTCGCTTTCGCGACGACGTCGTTCAAATCCAACTCTTTGATGCCGTATTGAGGTGTAAATTGTAAGATTTTCGTTTTTGCGTACTCTTTACCGTTCAAACAGTCTCTCCATGCCTTTGTTTCTTCCTCGTAATTTGTCGATACGAGAGCCATCTCTCGAAACAACTGTCCTTGCAACGCCATCGCCGCGCGACCGCTCCCGATTTTCCCAGTCTCCACGAACATTTGGTTCAAAAAATTCGCCTTGTGCACGCTCTCTGCGCGTTGCGAATCCAACGCCATCTTTCCAAAGCAGTCGATTAACTTTTCTCCGCCAACGTCTACCCTCGTCGCGCCTTGCATTTGCGCTTTGCCGTTCAAAAAAGGCACGATTGAACAGTTCGAGTGACCTAAATTAATAACCGCGCCGGAACCAATCTTCTCTAAAGCGCCGACCGATTCGCACTCGCTGACTAATTGTAACTCCTTAAACCCAATTTTCTCCAAAATAATCTCGCACGCGTCCGATTTCAATCGCACGGGATTCCCGAGCGGTTCCGTCGCGATCATTTTCCGTTCTCGCACAGATTCTCCGTCTTCTCCGTTCGCCGACGTCGCCAAACGCGAGTCTCGACAACATCTCGCCACCACGGCCTCGAACAACTCCTGATCGCAAAACAACCCGTTATCTTTCGCACTCACCGTCGCGCTCGTTCTCCCGCATTCAAATCGACCTAATAGGGATTTCTTGTTGCACTCCTCGGACGTTTGAAAGATTGGATTATACTCGCCGACGAAGACGCCTTTCGTCTTCTCTCCTTTCTTGGCGAGCAAATCTTTAGGTAAAAAGTACCCGCGAGTGGTCACCGACCGAAAGAACAGAGACGGTCCGTTTGAAGAAGAAGATACAAACCCAGACCGAGCGTGGTACCCGCCCGCGTCCACTAAGAACGAATCCCTCGTCGACGAAGACTCGAAACTCTTCTTTTTCTTTCCATCGTTTTCTTCGTCGTCTCTGAATGCGTTCCAATCCAAAAACGGTTCCAAGTACACGAACGGAAGTTGTTTCTGTCCTTTTTCTTCACCAAAAGTCGTTTTTAAAGCCCCGTCGTCCTCGTTCGCTCCTTTTTCGCCGTGGTCTGAAATCGAACGAGGAGGAGGAACCGTCGTCGACATGGTGTTGTTGTGTCGACAAGACAGAGGGAAAGAAGGGGAAAATTCTGGGGAAATTCAGAAGGAATAACTCTTCGTTACTAATCACCACGCGCACAAAGCGCAACAAAGGAAGAGACAGAGACAGACACCCACACGCACAACAGAGAGAGAGAGAGAGAGAGAGAGGAACGACGCGACAGTTTCATCTCGTCTCGTCACAATAAATGTCCAATAACAACAACAACACCATGAACGAAGACAAGAACAAAGCAGCGCTGAGTGCGAAACAGCGAGGCATCGACCATTACGTCGCGGCGCGATACCAGGAAGCCGAGCAAGCGTTTACGGAAGCCATATCCATAGCGAATAAAGATGATCCGAGTTTACACTTGTATTACAGCAATCGATGCGCTTCGAGGATGAATTTGGAGAAAATAGAAGAGGCGTTGGTGGATGCGAAGAAAACGACGGAACTGAAACGAGATTTCGCGAAAGGATGGTCGCGGTTGGGACAATGTTTGCACAGACTCGCAGCATCGAGCGGCGGGGATGTGAAAAAGTTGGAGGAGGCGAAGAGAGCTTTGGAGAAGTGTTTGAGTTTGGCGAGCGAGAACGAGGAGGCAAGAAGGACTTTGCGCGCGGTCGAGGAGAAGCTGACGCGAGAGAAGGAGAGGAGAAGAGCAGAGAGAGGAGGGAATACTAGAAGTAATAGCGACACTGCGAGTGAGAGTGGGGGTATCCTCTCTCGCCTGGGAGATTTCTTAGGCGCGGTCAGGTATCAATATTCGTACGGGTTGTCGGATAACGGAAGAATTGCGGCGAACTGCGTCATCGCGGCGTTTTTGTTCTTCATCCTGAGACGATGGATTGGTTTAGGCGCCCGGAGCATGGGGCGGAGCACGTATGGAGATCGATTCGATCACGATTACGGTGATTACATCGACGATAACGCGTTCACGTTTGGAACGTTTCTCTCTTGGATGGTTTTGTACGTCGCCTATAAGAACGGCGCGTCTCCGTTTACTTTGTACATGTTGGCGAACAATCTCGGTTTAATTGGAAACGGGAGAGGGAGACGCGGCTACGGAGGTGGATACGGCGGATACGGAGGTGGTTACGGTGGTTACGGTCGGCGCAGAGGCATGTTCTTCTAAATCTACTACTTTTGTTGTTGTTGTTGTTGCAACAACGTTTCTCTTTCTAATAATTTATCTATGACTAATTCTATTTCTTCTTCCTCCGGCGGCTTCGGTTCATCTTCTCTTCGCACGCGGGACAGACGACCACCTTCACCAGCGCGTTCTTCACTTCCCCTTTCCCCCCTTCTTTATACCGAAAATTCAACTCAAACGTTCCTAGATTCTTCCTCTCCGAACATCTCTTCTCGCCGCAAATATCCACGCCTTTGCCTCTCGCGACTTCTTTCTCCGTTCTCCATCGCAAACCGACGCCTTGGGTGTCCCATCGGGACAAATCCGGAATCGCGTACTCTTTGAACAGTTTTCCCTCGTATTTTTTCGCCACGCGTTCGCCTTCGTTTAATAACGATAACATCGCTTCTTCCTCTTCGCCTCTTCCTCTGCGAGTCCTTGTTTCCTCCTCCTCCTTTTTGTCATCATCATCATCATCATCCTCTCGTAAAAATCTGTGATGTTTCTTCAACTCGTCCAAATCCGTCGTCGCGTGCGTCTCTCCGCCACTGCTTCTCTCTTCTCTCCGCGACAAAAACGCCGCCGTTTGATGACCTTCCTTCCTCGCACCACGAGTGAGAGTAGGGTCTCGCATGTGTTACTCTTGTTCTTACTTTTTTTTACTATTATTAGTATTATTTTATTAGTAGTAGTAGTAGCATTCGTCGTCTGCTTTTTGTCGTCTCTCGTGTGTTTTTAAAAAATATGACGTTTTTGGCAATCCTCTCGTTTTTTTACATGATTTTTCACTCTGCTGAAAAAATTGACGTCATCTCGGTTTTTTTATTCTCGCACGTCGTTTTGAACTCTCATCGTCATCTTTAAAACCGGACGAGAGGAGACACTTTGAAGGAGTGACAAAAACACGCTTTCGCGTGAATTATATAATAAGAATAACAACAACATAAAAGAATGTTAGAAGTACCGACAATCATCGGCCTGGGTTTAGGATTCGACGGCTCCGCGAACTGGGTGAACAAATTTATCGTTGACCCGTATCTCTTTGGCATCAAATCGGAAGATTTCAACCCGGAAACGCACGGTTTACTTCGGAAGTTTCTCGTCATCTGGGGGTTTCTTTTGGTGATGACGTATTTGTTTTATTTCACGTTTTGCCCTTTGACGTATTATTTCCTGTTCAAACGGAAAGATAAAAAGACGGGAGAGAATAAAGCCAATTGGTTCCAACGGGAAGGGAAGGACCAGGTGAAGAACGAGATCAAGACGAGTTTGTGGTCCATAGCGGTGATGACGGCGATGACGGCGCCGTTCGAGTTGTTGGTGGAGAGCGGGAAGACGAAGATATATTGGGATTTGAACGAACACGGCGGGAAGTTGTACGCGTTTGTGATCGCGCCGATTATGTTCGTAGCGTTTTCGGATACTTGTATTTATTGGATACATCGAGGATTGCACCATAAGAAGTTGTATAAACCGTTGCATAAGTTGCATCACAGGTATAAAGAGACGACTCCGTTCAGCGCGTACGCGTTTCACCCGATCGATGGGTGGTTGCAAGGGTGCCCGTACCATATTTTTGTGTTTTTATTCCCGATGCACCACGTGGCGTATTTTATATCTTTAGCGTGCGTCGGTATGTGGACGATAAACATTCACGATCGCGTGACGTGGAATTTACCGTTCGTGAACGGGGCAGCGCATCATACCGTCCACCACACGGGATTTAATTATAACTACGGGCAATATTTGGTGTTTTGGGACAAGTTAGGTGGGAGTTATAGGGATCCGTTTGTCACGGCGCCGTATAACGGGACGCCGCTCGATAAAGAGAAGAGGTTCAAGACGAGTTGAATAGTCAAACTACGTATTAGAGAAATTTTTGGACAATTACATAACGCACGTTGTTACTATATTTATTATTCATTGTTATCTTCTTCACTCTCTTACTCTCTCTCTTTATATTTATTATTACAAAACGGAAAATTATTTGCGAATTATTGTAAACTCTTCTCGTTCTCCTTCTTCGCGTCTACAACAACGACAACAATGTCTCGTCCATATCCAGTCTTCCATTCTCGCCTGCCAAACACTTACTCTCTCTCTCTCTCTCTCTCTCTCACTTACTCTCTAATATATTTAATTGTACTCTCTTATTATATAATTTGACTCGCGCTTCTTCTCTCTCTCACTTTTTCTCTCCTTCCCTTTTCAAAGCGCTTCCGTCGTCCTCTCTTTTATATACGCTTCACAACACATTATAAATACTTCTCGATAGTCCCAGTCAACGTACTCTTCGGCACCGCTCCAATCACCGTATCCATCTTCTTCCCGTCCTTAAAAATCATAACCGTCGGGATCGATCGGATCCCGTATTCCGTCGCGATCGAAGGCGACTCGTCCGTGTTCAACTTCACCGCTTTCAACTTCCCGGCGTATTCCTCCGCCAACTGATCGATCAGAGGGGCTATCATTCGGCACGGGCCACACCACGGCGCCCAGAAATCAACGAGAACCGGGACGTCCGATTTTAACACGTCTTGTTCGAACGTTTGGTCGTTCACGACTGAAGTCACGCCTTTAAGGAGAGAAGAGAAGAGAACATTAAGGCGGTGAGTATTTAGTACGAGATTAGTCATTTTTCCCAAGAAAACCGTATCCAGTATCCACGTCTCTCTGACGAAGCAAATTCTTTCTAACGAAATTTATCTTTTCACGTCGTAAACGGAGACGAACGAGGTCGGATCTGGATTAAAACGAGGGAAAGGAATCGAAATATACATTCAAACGTACCGGAAGTGCTCGTTTCTTCAGCTTTCACGCGTAACTGGTTCCCGCGCTGACCTTTTGAGGAAGATCTTCGGGTGTTGATTTTCGCGGCATTTTTAACCGAGAATGTGCTCGATGATGATGGTGATTGGAGCGCGAAGGATTGGCTCATTTTTTTATCGATTGATGATTGTGCGTCGCGTTTAGCGGTTACTCGTGTGTTATTCGCGAAATAAAATTTAACTCCTAAAGGTTAAATTCGTACAGTTCGTATCTTAAAATGAAACGGCGATGTGTCGTTGAGACGATTAAAGCGTTGTTGTTTTTGACGCATCACGTAAAACAGATATGCGCGTAAACTACTATATCCTCCTCCTCTCCTCGTTGAAAAAAGGAGAAAAAAAGTACGAGACCAAACAGCAAAAAAACGACGGCTAAACTTTGGGAGTTTTACTCAAGAAGAGAGCACTATGGCAAGAATAGAAGAAGGAGACATTAAAGACAAAGAAAAAGAGGTAGATTTACTGGGCGAAATCGCAGTTTCGGCGAACAACCAAGGCAAATCCATCCCGAGGAAACGAGACTACCGACAGAGAGCGCACTGTAACCCTTTATCGAACGGAAAGTGGGAGGATTTACCGACGGCGCCGGATTCATTTCGAGAGGATGCGCACTTTGAGAGTGCGTTTTTAGACAAGTTAAGAATGGAAAAGAAAGGAGAAAAGGAGGCGAAAATAACGTTCGCGGATATCGGGTGCGGGTTTGGCGGTTTGCTCGTTCGGTTGAGCCCGTTGTTTCCGAAAGAGTTGATTATTGGGATGGAAATTCGGGCGCAAGTGTCCGAGTACGTTCGCGAACGCGCTTTGGCGCTGAGGAAAGAACATCCAGGCGAGTATCAAAACATTTCAGGTTTGAGGACAAACTCGATGAAGTTTTTACCGAACTATTTCCAGAGAGGTCAGCTGAAGAAGTTGTTCTTTCTGTTCCCGGATCCGCACTTTAAACGGTCGAAACGACGTCGACGGATAATACAAACGGCGTTGATTGCAGAGTACGCGTTTTGTTTGCGCGAGGGCGGGATTTTATACACGCAAACGGACGTAGAAGACGTCGGGGATTGGATGAAAGAGAAGTTAGACATGCATCCGTTGTTCCGACCGATGACGGAAGAGGAGTTAAACTCAGACGTGTGCGTGGAGTTGTTGAGACGAGGGACGCCGACGGAAGAGGGACAAAAAGTAAAACGCAATAGCGGATCGACGTGGTTACATTGTTACGTCAGAGTACACGGAAATCCGAGATATTAGAAACATTATACACGCGTATTTTTGGTTAGTTCTTGGCCATTATTGGTCATCATGCTCAGTCAGTTTATAATCGTAGTTTTAGTTTGTAGTAGTGTGATTATACTGATATGTAAAGCAGCTTTTGAACGAATGCGAGTACTTAGTCTCGTTATCTGACGCATCACTCACATTTTTCGCGGTACAAGATGTTATCGTTATGTGTAATGTTACAAGTTCTTCTTCTAAATCTATCTACGTCTCTTTTTATCGAGTTATGTCTGTTCTCCTCCTCCTCCGCCGCCGCCCTCGCTCTGTTCCATTATCTTTTTCATCTCTCTATCGTACTCGTACCGTCTGTATAACTGATACAATCCCGTCACTGCCATCGCCGCGTTCACCGCCATCAAGTTATAGTTTTTCGGCGTAATATCCAAGGAATATTTCATCCAGATCAACCCGGTCAAGGCGACCGCGCTTTGTTGCGGCACCGAAAGTAACTCCGGCGGTCTTTGGAAATCTTTCACGTTGGCGATGGTTATCGCCCACTTCATGGTTGGCGCCCAGAAGAAGATGGTTTTCGGCCCGGCCGGGTGGTTCAAAAACGCTCGGAACGATGACGTCGCGGCCATTCTTTCTTTCGGTGGTGCGTCTGATTCTTACGCGTTTGTTCTTTCTTTCTTTCTTTCTTCAGCTCGTAGTTGCGCGTCTAAAAAGTGAAGATAAAGCAGCTTCGTTTGTTCCTCTTTAGCGGTGGGACTTTCGCAGGCCGACAGGAGCGAGAGCAAAAGAAAGAGAGAGAGAGAGACAGACGTTATCGAAGGAAGGGTTTTTTGCGTTGTTATCATAATTTATATACATGCATACAGGTTTTCAACGAGGATCTATGAGAGTTACTTTTATATATTCGCGGCCTCGCAACCCGTTGCTTGCGCTTTCTCTTTCTCGCTCGCCCTTCTATTAAGACTGCAAATCGCACTCCTCGCACTCCTCGTCTTCTCCGGCCTCTCCTTCATCCTTGGCATCGTCCATGCCCCTCCCGTCTAAATCAATACCGCCTACCCCTTCCTCGGCAAACGAGACTGAATTCATCATGTGTTCTCGCAACAAACTCAAGTTCTCTCGGTTCATTTTTACGCCGCAGTCTAATCCGCCGGTATCCGCGAAGCGTTTTATCCATCTTTGAAGCAAATCCTCCCTCTGCTTAATCAATCGTTCCGCGTGATCTCTTCTTCCTTCCGCGAATAACGCTCGTATGAATTTCTGTCCGTCGTTTTTATAGTTCACGCTGGCAAAATTATACAGCCATTTATACTCGCCTTTTCCCGGGCTCAAATCCGTCTCTTGCATCTGCGCTAAGGAGGACTTCAACGCTTTGAAGGTGAAATAATTGACCAGTAAGTTGTCCACGTCCGCGAAGGAGTCGCCGTAATTGCCGCCTAAATCCCCGTTTCGCACGATCAAAGTGCCTCTTCTTCTGTTGTTGTTCTTGTTCTTAGTATTCTCTGTCGTTCGTCTTCTTCTTTTAAAGTTGGTGTTCGCGTTGGTCGTTACGTGGCCGAAGGCAGACGAAGCGTTCGGGACTTTCTCGGAAAAGGAATTATGATGACGCGCGACGACGGGGGAAAAATACGGCGCACGCATCATCAACACCATCATCAACTCAACCTCGAAGAGTATTCAAAGAGATAGAAAAAGAGAAAGCGTATCGGTTTTCGTCCGAAAAGAGAGACAGAGCGCGCGCAAGTGCACCACCACCAAATTGGAGTAATGACGACAGACCGATGGAAAAAAATTCAAAAAGATCCAAAAACGAAGATTTTGGATTTGTGGCTAGAAAACACCTCTAAAGCGACGGAGAGCGAGAGCGAGAGAAGGAGCAGAGGAGAGCGCAAGAGAGGGCACACGCGAAAACACCACGCATAAACGATGACGAGAGCGTTGTTTCACCCGGGGTACTGTATATATATATCTTCTATTCATCGTATTTGAATGTTTAAATACTTACGCGCTCTGTCTACTCCTCCGAAGAAGGAGACGGAGCGGCGGGAGGAGTAGCGGCGGGGACGAGAGAAGGAGCGGATTTTAACTCTGGTTTATCGCTGGCTGGCATGCGTCTGGACGATCGTTTCGTCGCCGCCGGCGGTTCCGAAGTGAGCTTTTGTACGGTTAAATACGCGCCGCCTAACACCGCCGCGCCGAACAACAACGTCACCAATAAACCGATGCCGGGTCCGCCTTCGGCGACTTCAAAATCTTCGCCGCGGACGGTCGCTTCGTCCACGTTGCCGACTCGGACCGTCGTCGGTCGTTTATATCTGCCTTCTGTCAACGTCTTCGATTCCGGTCGGTTGCCGTAAGAGTCCGGAGCGTCTTCTTTGCGCAACGTCGGGAGGTTGGAGACCAAGTTCCCGAGCAAACCGGACGGTTTCTCGTCGTCTTCGTCGTCGTCCTCGATTGGTTTTTGGCGAAACCGCGAGGAGTCTTGCGCGGGAACGAAATCGTCGTCCTCGCTTCCAGCAGCCGCCGTAACTTTATACCCCGACGTCGACGCTCTTTTCGAGGACGACGAGCGTTGTCTAAAGGTGGCGGTGCTCAACTCTTTCTTCTTCTGACCACCAAGATTTCGAGTCTGTGTGATTAGAATATATAATAGAATAAGAAGAGAGAGAGAGAATGTGAGTCATCGCACATAAAAAACAAGAGCAAAAACAACGGAATAATAAAGAGCGAGTTTTGTGGAAGAGAATGACGCAAAGGTGTTGGTGTTCTCGCGCGCGTTACGTGAGAAAAAGGAGCCCCGCGTAAAATCTCTCTCTCTTATCAAAATGGGGAATAATACTCCTACTCCTATTACTTTCGATGATGACGAGGAGAGACGATGTTGCGAGACACACGCGCAGCAAAGGGACGATAATAAAAGAGAAAGAGACGTACCGAAGCTACGACGAACGCTCCGTGATTTTGCGCGGAAACAAACATAACTTATGTGTGTGTGTATTTGTGGGGATGCTTTTTTCTTCTACAAAAATATCCACGTCATCACTACATTTGTGGCTCAGATAAAGTATGGCAGTTTTTAGTATTTACCAGTAGGTACCTTAATGATGATATATACGACATCTCTCTCTCTAACACGGTTTCGTTTTATTGTAATTATCAGTATTATTGCGGCTTACTCGTGGTGGCTTCGCTCAACACGTCCTCGTCGGTGACTTTTCTCGGACCGCTCATCGGGTTGAAGTTCCTTTTTAACGCGTCGCGATTCCCGAGGAGGAACCTTCCCAACGAGAGCAACTCTTCTTTGACTAACCAGGAGCGAACGGCGCCTCGTTCGGCGACGACGGAGCCGATGTTTTTCTCCGGGACCGTGAATGGAGAATTTAAAGCTTTCATGGTAGCTAAGACTCTCGTTTTGACCGGGGATCGGCCGTAGACGGTGGAGTGTTTGCCCCAACCGGTGACGACGGAGATTTCATCGGGAAGGTCTCGGATGGAGATGGGGAGCGTTTCTTTGCTCGTACCGGTGAGGAGGGTGCGAGTGCCTTTACCAGCGGATTGGATATCCATCGGAGCTAACGCACGTTGGCGCATGCGTCTCAGCCACCAACGCAAGACACATTGGGCGGTGCCAGCGGAGCGGACTCGGTGCAAATCGAGAACGCCTAATTCATCTTCGCAGCCGAGGTAGCCGTATTTGTTTTGAGCGTCTTCGAGGTATTGCGTCGCGCGGTCCCATTGTCCCATCTCTTCGCACACATCGATTAACGCGTCAAAGGTCAACGCATCCGGAAAGATTTCCGGCGTTTCTTTCTTCATCAAGTTCATCGCGTTTTCAGCCTCGCGCCATTTGCAGGAGGCTTCGAAGGAGATCAACAAAGAGTTGTACGTGTGGACAGTTCGCGGAACTTTTTCGGAAATCATTCGGGAGAAGGCATCCGAGACCTCATCGAAACGGCCGTCGGCGTAGCACACGCGCAGGTACGCGTCGTACGCGGCGGTTTGAACGCCTTTGTTATTCTTCAACTTGGCGTTCAACGCTTCATCGCGAATAATGTCCAAGAGTAAGTCTGGAAGTTCGCCCATTGGGTTGGATCTCGATAACAAGTCGTCGTCTTCGTCTTCGTCGTCTTCGTCGTCGGAATTTAAATGCGCATTATCTCTTTTCGCGACATCCTTCGCGGCCATCGTGGACGGATCGTCCTCCAAAGCCTCAATCTTCAAGCCTTTCCAATCTTCTTCTTCGAGCGCCAAAGCTTCCATGCGTTCTCTCGCCAACACGAGCTTCTCTATGCCACACAAACAATCAAAAGTTATGGAATCCGGTAACAAACCGTCTAAGAGTAGCTCTTTATACGCTCTCGCGGCTTCTCGCCAGTCTCTTCTCGCCGTCGATTCCATCAATCTCGTATTGTACGTGATCAAAGTCGGAACGATGCCTTCTTCTCGCATCATTTTCAAAACCAAATTGAAAGATTCGTGGTCGGATTGTTTCGCGCACGCGCCGAGAGCGGAGTTAAAAACAACCGCGGAACACCGTAACTTTGGATTCCTCGCGCATCGAGTGAGTAAATCCAGCGCGCGTTTACAGTCTTTATCACCGGTAGAGGTATTGTTCCCGTGCGCGGCAATCATAACCGCGTGCGTTGTTTCATTCGCGAACACACCATTCCTCGCCATTTGGGCAAAAATTGATTCCATGTCGCCAATTTTGCGCTGCTTTCCGTAACTCGTGATTAACGAGTTGTATGTGGTGACATTTCGTCTCACGCGCGGATTTTTCGCCATAGAAGTGAACAATTGAGCAGCTTCCGGATACTTCGCCGCGCTCACCGCGGCGGATAACAACGCGTTGTGCGAGCCCGTATCGCAAAAGCACCCAGGCGTGTTCTCTAATTCTTGAAAGGCCGCCAACGCTTTTTCCCACTGACCACCTTTCCCGTACGCGCTGATGAGGGATGTGTACACTCTCACGATATCGTTGGACGGACCTTTGCGATCTCTCGCCACGAACGGTCTTCGTTCGCCGTATCCGCCGCCGCCATATCGTCCGCCACCACCACTCCTCGAGTATCTGCTATTGTTATAACTATCTTCATCGTCTTCTCTGTCGTCGTCATCTTTATTGGTTTTATTCTCGTATTCCGCGGCGATTTTATCTAAAGTTTCGTGCCATCCAACGTTTGGATCTCTTTTCATTTCCTCAAACGTTCTCTCCGCTAACCGCCACTCGTGCGCTCGAGCGTACGCCGCGATAACTTCGTGGTACGTTCTTTGGTTCGGTTTCACGTCTGACTTCTCTTGTGCTCTCATGCGTTGTAACAAAGTCGTCGCCGATCGATACGCCGGTGGCCGAGCTCGTTTACACGCTCTCAGCGCCGAGTTATACGCCCTCAACGGCTGCGCGCACTCCATCTCCAACAGCGCCTCCAACGCCTCCAAAGCTTTCGGCGCGTTCCCGGTATCCGCGGCTAACTCTAACTTGGCCCAACTCTGACCGACGCCCGGCGCGGAAATCGCCAACGCGTCGTACTCATCGCTTCCATCGTCGCCAAACTTGTCCACGTTGGCGGCTTTCAAAGCATCGTTCTCGTCCGCGTCGTCGTCCTCGTCCTCCCGACTAACCGAATCAAACGCTCGCAACACTTGATTGTAACTCTCCACGTTCGCGCTTCGAAAACTATTTCTGTTCGGATTCGACGACGAAGAACTGCGTCCGCCTCGATTGTACGAATCCCTTCTTCCTCCACCTTCGTGATCGTCGTAAGAAGAATGACTACTATTACTACTGCTCATCATCAGCTCTTCGTCGATGCTGTTCGCTCGTTCGTATTTCCTGGGAGGCGAAGACCCATCACTTCTCCCGAAACTCGCCTGCATCGTGCCTTGGTATCTCGACGCGAACGTCGCCGTGCGTTCGCGCGTGCCCGCCGCCGACGACTTCGTTGATGACTCCGACGTTGAGGAGAGTTGTTTTTTATCTTTCGTCGAAGTCTGTCGAGAAGACAGAGAAGACGAAGAGGAGGAAGAATTCTCTCTTTCGGGAGACGTCCCCGGAGGGTTATCCTTTCGTCGCTCGTTCTTCATCTTCGTCTTTGAAACTTTCGGTTTACGCGCGGGTCGCGAGACTTTCTTCGTCGTCTTGTTCGTGGTCATCATCATCGTCATCATTTCGTCGTCGTCGTCGTCGTCGTACTCCTCCGATTGCGCGTTGGATGAGGAACTGTCGCTGTTCGTGTTGTCCCGAATCGCGTCCAATCGCACGTGGTCGCCTCGGGTATGACGACCGCCTCCATTCAAGGCGGCAAGGCCACGCGCTGACGACGAGGATGTTTTTCTTCGTCTCTCTGCCTTTTCATGCGCGGCAACAACGACGACTTTTGGCGTTGACGCAACCGCCAAGGCCACTCTCATCGGTCGCGCTCGTGGTGTGTGCGTGTAAATCTGTCTGTCTGTGCGCGCAAGCGAAACGTGTCTGAAACTGTGCGGTGTGTGTGCACGAATTAAGGCGCGAGCGCTTCGAGTAAAACTCGTCCTCTTCTCGAATAATTTCTTGGCAAATTCTTGAAAAAGTTCCTAGTTGGTACTTTTTGGCGGTTTAAATCGTAGAACAAAAGACAAAATCATCTCTCTCTCTTCTGTGGTTTTTTTTTGTTGCGCTTTTTTTTTTGCGTGTTGTCCGAACGAGAGGAGCGAACGCTTTCGTGATGGTTCGTTACACATTCTCCACTCGAGCAACAACGCAAAGAGTTTTAGAGACACGATGGAAGCTTCAAAACCACACACACTTCTCTCTCATCGAGGAGAAGGACAAAAAGTTGCGCGTCGCTGTTCTCATCGTCGTCGTCGTCGTCGGAACAACAACAACGAGAACTTTAACCGGGGATGTCGGTATGACCAAGAGTCAACGTCAAAAAGAGCGGGAAAGGTACCGGCAACATTGGATGATGTTTCCCCGTCGCCGTGTACTTTGTCTGTTGCGGATGAAGAAGAAGAAGACAAAGAAGAAGAAGAAAGAAGAAGGCAAAGCGGTAGTAATTATTATGAGAACAACAGTAGGGATGATGATTGCACGAGAAAGACGAAAACGAGTTCTGTTGCCGTCGGAAAACGACAGACGATGATGATGGTTTTCACCGCGACGCTTTTGAGTGGTTTTGCAACTGTGCAGAGTCCAGCGAAAGCGCTCGCGAGAGAGAATACCGTCGTGGTAGAAGCTTTAACGAGCGCAACATCGGGGACGATAAAAGGGTCGGTGATCTTACCGAGCGGGTACCACGTGACGAGAGGCGCACGAAGTCGAATTCAGACGACGAGTTCAAGGCCGGACGTCGTGAAGATTACGAACGGGGAAAAGGATTTAGGGAACGCGTTACGGTTCGAGGTGGGATACGCGAACGCGAAAGCGGAAGACGAGGTGACGGTGAACGCGCTGGTGTATTTTTGCCAAGACGACGACGTGTGTTTGTCGCGCAACGTATCGTTTCGGGCGAAGGTGGTGGACGGAGGAGGAGATTCGTCTTCTTCTTCTTCTTCGGCGGTTGATTTGACGTACTCGATTCCAACGCCCGAACCGGAAATCTCGTTCGCCGTGCCGCAGTTTGAATAACAGAACGCGTGCGCGATGTGCGTGACAGTATGTATTTATTATTACAATTTTGTATACTAGTGCTATTAGTTTTATAAAACGCCTTCAATTCTATCTTCCGCATCCCCGTACATTTTCTTCAATTTTTCAATCGTATCGGCGTCCGCGTTCCACATCCCGCGTCCGTGCGCTTCCAACATTCTTTTCACGACGTTTCGGAACGCCTCCGGGTTATTCTTTTGTAAAAGCTTCCGCATGTCCGCGTCTTCGACGTACGTTTCGTTGGCGCCGTCGTAGACCCAGTCTTCGGTGAAGCCGGTGGTCGCGCCCCAACCTACCAGAGCGGTCATGCGTTGCGAAATTTCGAAAGCGCCCCCGCTGCCAGATTCAGCCATAGCCTTCGCCCATCTCGGGTTTAAGAGTTTCGTGCGGTACTCCAATCGAAGCGTCTCGTCGAGATCTTTCACCGAACCTTTCGCATCTTTACCAAACGTCTCCACCACCGAACACTGGACTTTCTTAAACGCCGGCTTGGGTTTCGTGCTGTCACTTTCTTTCTCCGCGGCGTCTTCTTTCGCCGCGTTGGCGGCGGCGACAATCGCGCCAGTGTTGGCGTAATACTCTTGAATATCAGTCAACCCGTATTCAACGGAGTCGATTTCTTGGACAACTCTTTCCGTGGTTCGTAAAAGTTCGTTCAAGACTTCAGGCCTCGCGACGCCTTTCTCATCGGACGATTTTCCATACGAGTACGCGTTTCTAGAAGCCCACGTATCGCCCAACTCTCGAGTATCATTCCACGAAGCGTTCCCGACGCGTTCATTTACCATAGACCCGTAATCTCCGGGAGGGTTCGAGAACAATCTCGACGACGTCGCGTCTAAACCTTTCGCTTGCATCTCCAACGCGTGTTTGCGAACAAAGTTCATCTCAATCGGTTCGTCTTCGGCTTCCGCGCACCTAGCAAAGCAGTCGTCCAGTAACCCGACGACGTTGGCAAACGCGTCTCGAAAAATACCAGACATGTTGCACAAAACGTCGATGCGTGGACGGCCGAGCTCTTCGAGAGGGATCAACTCGTATCGCGCGACGCGCCCAGTTTTTTCTTTGACGGATCGCGCGCCAAGCAAAGCTAAAACGATGGCCACGGATTCGCCTTTGGTTTTAATGGCGTCCAGACCCCAGAGGTTGACGGAAACCGTCTCCGGGAATTGCCCGTCGTTTTCTTGTCGATGCCTGGCGATGATTTCGTTGGCAACATCGCTCCCTCGGATGAACGCGGCGTTAGATGGCATGCGATACGGATCTAACGCGTGTATGTTCCTTCCCGTCGGTAAAGCGCCCGGTCCGTCTCGGAGCAAATCGCCCCCGGCAGCCGGTTGGACCCAATCGCCGTTCAACGCGCTCACCAAACCGACATCCAACTCTTCGTTGTTGCGTTGTAAAAGACTTTTAATCGTGATCGCTTCGGAGAGTTTTTCGGAATACGCGGTCGGGATATCGAACTGATTATCGAGTTGTTTCTTAATCGCAGCGAGCTCGAGAGAATCGCTTTGTTCATCCTCGTCGTCTTCGGCTTGTCCCGCCGCGCGAGATATATCCTCCGCGTGTTCAAACGTCGTCGAGGCGACAACTTGCTTCTCTAATGCGGTCAACTCGTCGCCAAAGTACGCGTCTAAATAACGTTCAGATTGTTCCGCGTCCGGTTGTCTTCCTAAAACGTGTAAACCTTCGCTAAACAACCGATTCTCCAAAACGAACAAATACTCGTTCAACTGGTTTGCCCAGTTTTCAAACGTTTCGTCCGACCAGACGTTCTCGGCATCGTTTGCGTTTACGCTGAGTAGCTCGTTCGTCTCCACGGAGTAACACGGAACGTCGTTATCCAACTGCGCCATCGAAGCTTGGTTAGCGACGATGCCGCGAAGCTTTCGATCGCCAAATTTCCGCGACTGTTGCGATTCGCGGTATTCGTTCAAAAGCTCGCGCAACTCCGCCGTTTGTTTATACAAACCAGCCCGGCCGTACGGAGGAACATTATGCGATACCATGACGCCGTATCCACGTCGCTTTGCAACAATAGATTCTGAAGGGTTGTTTGCCGCGTACACGTACACATTCGGCATCGCGCCTAACAATTGCTCCGACCACGACAACCCGGTATTACCCAACGGCGATCCCGGAAGCCATTCCACGGTGCCGTGCATACCAAAGTGCAACACGGCATCAGCTTGGAACTTGTATTGCAAGTACTTGTAGTACGCGGCGTACTGCGGGTGCGGGGTTAAATCGCGTTCAAATAGCAATCGCATTGGATCACCTTCGACACCCAACGCTGGTTGGACGCCAATAAAGACGTTACCAAGTTGGAATCCGGCAACGTTGAATCCCGATGCGTTCGTGTTTAATCCGCGATACTGTTCGAGGTTTCCCCACGCTTTCTCCATTCGACGAATTAAAATATCGTTTGGCGGTAACTGCGGGCAAGGGCCCCACTCATTCGGTCCCCATTCGGCTGGGAACGAGAGCCACTTGCGAAGCGTCGACGGCGAAACGTCCATCCCGGCTGGTTGGAGCGTGTTTTCTGGAAGACTCAAAGCGTTGCGTTTGGATGACGAGTCCTCGCTTCCGCCTTCTTTTTCCTCCTCTCTTTTGAGCTTTTCAATATCTCTCTTTGTCTTCAAAATGGCCTGTTCGCCACCTTTTTCCGCGCCTAACATGATTGCAGAAACCTCCTCGAGGTTGCGCAAAGCCGATACGATCGCCTCGCCCGTCGGTAACGGTTCGCCCTCTTTCACGCCTAAATCGTACCCTTCTTTGCGCAACGTCGCTAACGTTTCATCGATCGATTTTGGAACGTTCAACAACGCCGCCGTACCAGTTGCACCAACACCAGGCGGGAAACCGTATAACGTCATTGCGATTTTCTTATCTTTATTTTCTTTCTGTTTCAAAGCGTGCCATTTCTTTATTCGATTGGATAAAGCATAGACGCGTTCTTTGACCAAGAAAATATCGTCCCCGCACAAACCGCCCAAAGACACGGCATCGATGGCACCATCTAATTCCGGTAACGCGTATAAAATTGTCGATTGCAAACCGCCAACTCCGGATTCCCACCAACTGGCAATATCTTGAATCAACAGTGGCGCCGCGACAAAGTACGGCACGTTCTTGGCTTTTAAAATCTTATTCGCAATTTCGCTTTGCCTTCCGGCTTCCATCGACCCCGCTGGGCCACCGACGAGCGGGAACCCAACCGTGGAAACGACCGCGTCTACCTTACACGCGTCTGGTTTCAATGAGTCCACATCGATTATGCCTAAATTGTTCCTATTGAACTGCTCGTGAGAGGACGTCAGCTTATCGCGGACAATCGTGTGCGCCTCGACGCCGTTGATGAAGCACGGGATCGGGACGACCCCGGATTGTTCTAAACCTCGAATGAGTTCAGCTAAGTACGGTTGTTTCGTAATGACGTGTTTGCGATAGAGTAACACCGCGACGACTGGTTTCGTTGGATCTGCATCGGCAGTTGGAAGATTATTCAACGCTGCCCATCGTTTATATTCGTCGATAGTTTCCGGGTAAGGGAGATTTTGCTCCTCGAGCAGCGGATGGTAACACCCAAACGCGGGCGTTTCCACGAGCGGCTTCAATCCACCTTTTAAAAGTGGAACAGACTCGCGCAACGGTTTCAGAAGCAAATCCTTCACAAAGTCTCCCGGTGAAGCGCCGGTTATTTTCTCCTCTTCTTTTTCTTCAACTTCTCGCGCACCTAGGTATTCGCGCGCGATGTACGAAAACGCCTCTTCCACGTTTTTCTCGCCGCCTTGGTTCCAATACGCATACACGGTCAGCCAATTCTTCAAGTCTTTTGCTTTTTCGCCCGGAATGAAGCGCAACAACTGCGGGCCGATTTTCAAAAAGGACAAATATCCAACCAGTTTATCTTCCTCTTTGCCGCTGCCAAACTTCTTGAGAATTTTCTGCACCGCCGGCGGTGGGCCAGCTTTGGCGCCATCTTTCCCAGGTTTCATTTCAAACGTCCCGACGTTCGTTTCTGACATCAGTTCTAACGCGGACTCGAAGACAAACTTCGTTTTGATCCTTTCCAACTTTTCTCGCAGCCATTCCACTTGGTCGTAATCGAAGAGCAAAGAGCCGAAGAAGGCGTCGGCGTCGTCCAAAGCGCGTTCGAGTTCAACTCGGCGTTTACCAACAATGTCGCGGTCGGAGAAGACGCACAAAGTGACCGACGGATAACGCTTCTTTAAACTCTTGGAAACTTTTTTATACAACCGCACGTTGAACGATTCGAATCCGGAAATCAACACAATCTTCTTCGTTTTCTTCGAGGAAAGATACAGCGCCTCATCGTCGATTGATATTCCTTCCGCATCTTCATCGTCTCGTCTTTCCTCTTCCTCTTCCTCTTCTTCAGGTCTGGACAGAAACCCTCTTCCACCTCTCGCAGCTGTCGATAACGCCAATTCGTTCGCTTCTAACTCGTTCGACACTCTCGCCAACGTGCCTTTGCTCGCGTGAATGGCTTTCTGAAACTGCAAATACTTCTTCCCATCTTTTCCACTCGCAATTTTCAAGAGTCTCTCGCCAACTTTCGGGTCGATCTCGCACACGTTCTTAAACTTCTTCTCCGTCGTGACTGGAAAATCTTCGATGAACGCGTCCGAAACGTTCGCCGCGAGTTCGTCCTCCTCCTTCTCCGTCGCCGCCTCGGCGTCCGCCATCGATACGCCTTCGAATAACAACTCGTACGCGCTATCAATCGCGTTTTGCATATCCAAAACTTTCTTTTCAAGCTCTTCTTTCTTCCTCGTCAATCGGGCGACTTTCTCTTCGTCGATTTTGCTTTTCGTCGTCGTCGTCGTCGTCGTCGTCGTCGTCCTCGCCTCGTCCTCTTCTAAGAAAACGTTTTCGCTAAATTTCTCCGCTTCGCTCTTCGTCTTTGACGACGACAGCGCCGAAGCGATCACTCTTTTCCGCTTTTCTGCTCGTGCTGCTGCCTCTGCTGCTTTCTCGTTCAAAACGTCGTCGTCTGACGAAGCACTTAATGCGCGAAAAGCTCGTCGTCTTCTTCCTCGAACGAGTGCGACAGTCGATGACGTCTTTTCCTTCTCCGCCGTGAAATCATCTCTTCTTTTGGCTATCGTCGTCCTCGCTCGAAGAAGAAGCGAGGAGGAGGAGAAAAAAGAAGAATACATCTCAAACAAAAGCTTTCTCTTTCCTTCCTCTTCGTATTTCTTCGCTTCTTTCTCGGTGGCTTATGCGCGCAAATGTGTATTCATGTATCTGATTTTGACGATTTTTGGTGTCACCAGAGAGAGAGAAAATGTGAGAGTTGAGAGACTCTTTAGAAAGGAGAACACGTCGCGCACGGTACAGTCTTCGATTATTACAATAATAATTACACGCTTTTGTAAAAGTTCTCGTTACCTTCGCAGTCCTCCTCGTACGGGTCGCAATCGTCTCCAAACTCGTCTTCGTAATCGTCTTCGTCCGAAGAAGAGCAGTCGTCCGCGTCGAGGTCGAATCCGGCGGCGGAGCCGAAGAGGACGGGTTCGCCCCACTCTTTTCTGGTGATGCCGTCGAGGTCGTTGAAGTCGTCTTTGTCGTTTCCGGCGGCGTCGGTGTTAGTGCTGGTTGGTATCGTGACTTTCGGGTGGAAAACGAGTTTTAGAACGAGCGAATATCGCGGGACACCGGCGGCCTTGGACGGCGCGGAGACTCGATGGACGACGTCTTGATCCATGAGAACGAGGCGACCCGGCTGAGGGCGGACAAACACGCCAGTACCGGTACCGGGATCTAAAAACATGGTTTCAGCGTCGTAAGAAGCTGGCCAGACATTTGGGTTCAAATACACCAAAGCAGAAACGAAGAGCGGTTTATTCCGTTCTCGGTTGACGTATAACCCAAACCGTTCGGCCCACGGTGAGGTCGGATCTACACTGCTTGGATCCATGTCTAAATGCCACGAAAAATCCTCGCCGTTCACAGCTGCGTTTCCCACGGCTGTTTTTATTCGTAATCCACCCCAAGATCCGGGGATACCCTCCGGCTCGAGAGAATCGGCTGACATCGGCAGCACTTCGTACTCTGGGTATAAGCGTTGAATTCTCGCGCGAAGCGTTTTCACGGCAGACGAGCGCGCAACTTTTGCCAACTGGTCTTCCGTTAATCCCCAAGAGGAAGTATTTTTCGCCTCTGCGCTTTCTAATGAAGATCCCGACGTCGACGGCGAACCGGTATCCAATGTATCGTACGTATCTCTTGACCATAATCCCTCTGGAGGTTCGCTGTCAATCCAAGCGTCGAAACCGTTCGTCTCTTGATTGCCGCACATTTCCTTTAACAGGTCTCTCCTCAAAGGATCACACACCACGTTGTCCAAAACGACAATCTTCGACGCGTCGCTTCGGATCCCTCCCACACTCGTGGACGACCCGACATCGGCTCGGTCCAAAGCTAACGACATCGCGATACTGACAGATCCGGGATTAAATATAGATATTCCATCCTCCCCATCCGGCCAAGAGGTACTTATTAAATCATCCGTCGAATCATCATCGCTCCCATCGATCAAATCATCCTCCGTCCCTCTCAACTTCCAATATCTCTCGTGCGCGGAGATGACTTGCCGCGCGCAGTTCGCGATCGATTTATCGTTGTTCTTCTCCGTAAACGTACCGAAAATCGACGGCTGAAAGCCCATATCAATCATCGCTTCTTTCAACTCCGGCATTAAGCGTTTCGCGTTGTCTCCGTTCAGTAACACGCACCTGCAACTTTCTGGGTACGGCGGTTTTACCGTCGTCGTCGTCGACGTCGCTTCGTTCGTTTCCGCCCCGTCGACGGTTAAAAACCAGTTGCTCTCGTTCACTATGACTGCATTCACATCTCGCTCTAAACCGTACTCCTCCTTCATCTCTTTCAGCAAGTCTTGCAAGTGCATCAACTCTTCCTCGTCAAAGTTGACCAGGAACACGTCGCTTTTAACGTTATTAATTTTGTTGTTGTTCCCGCTCGCCATCATCATCATCGCGGACGATGGTTTCTTTTTTCGGCGGCGGTGTTGGTTAAAATTGGATTCTGGAGTGTGTTGTTTCGAAGAACAAGTCGCCGCCGACGCCGACGCCGCGCGTCGACTACCCCTCGTCCTCCTCCTTCTGAGAGACTTCTCAGAGCAAACGCTCGAACGATGATTAAAGGAACAAACACGCGTCGTCGTCTGAATTGCTGTTGTCATGATACTTAGTATTATTATTATTATTAGTAGGGGAAGCAGTTGAGTGCAGAAAATTTGAAGAGAAAAAATGGCAGTTTACACGAAAATATTGGCAAGAACGAACTACTTTTGCTTTTGTTCTTGTCCATCGAACAAGACGGCAAACCGTCCTCGAGAAACCTTACCGTCTCCGTTAGAGTCCGCTCTGACAATTGCGCTTCGTATTGGCAAGAACGAGCTACTTTTGCTTTTGTTCTTGTCCATCTAACAAGACGGCAAACCGTCCTCGAGAAACTTTACCGTCTCCGTTGGAGTCAGCTCTGACGAATTGCGCTTCGACGCGTTCGACTCTTTCGATTTCGTCGTCTTTTGCGCCCGGTCGCGTAAAGTAATACAGCGTTTCCCACTCGTCAAAATCGATGAAACCGTCTCGGTTAGCGTCGAATTGAGAAAACGCCTGGTCTAAAGCGAGTTCTTCTTCGCGCGATTTGCGAGGGGCGGGTTGTTCCACGCTTTCCGGGCCGCATCGTTTACAGCTTTTGGCGCAGTAATTACCACTGACGATCCATGCGTCGTTGCATTGGTTCCAGTTGGCGCGGTCGATGCAGTTGTATTGGTCGCGCGGCTCGATGTCGAAACAGTCCATCATGACGCGCAATAAGTTGCGGTTCAGAAATGGACGACTCGTGTCGCTCTCGTCCGGGGCGGCGCTGGAGGAGACACCTTTATCTTTCGGGCGTTTACCGGCAATTAAGGTAAACTTATCGACTGGATTTCGGTTGCGAACAGCGGCTTGGAATTCGGCGTCCGAAGCGCCTTGACGAGGCGTCGTCGCCAACCAGCACGTCGCTCGAGCGTTTGGACCAAACTCAGGGAAATCGCAAATGAGCGTGCCGAACTTGTTCGCCGAACGAGCGGTTACGCATTGAGAACAGTCGTCGCACCTAGTAGAATATATTTTGCTCCAAAAGTTGCCACCATTTAAACACGCTTCGTTTTTATACCCGCCGATGCCGACGATGGCGACGCCCGTGGTCCCGTTTTCGCCGCTCGAGAGATAAATTCTGTCGTCGTCCGGAGCATCCCACCACTTCAAATCTTCGCGAGTGAACCCGTAATTTTTCGTTCCGAACCTGGACATTTCGCGCGTTCTCGAATACACGTGCGCGTGACCACCGACGATGAACGCGCCGTATTTTCTGCAAATTTCGTAAGCGCCCCATCCCGTCGAGTCGCCTTTATATGACACCTGCATCTTCTCCATCGTCATGTGCCACACGCAAATCTTCCATCGAGCGTTGGAATTTTTCAAGCTGTTTTCCAAGTGCCAATAATGATCTTGGTTGATTTGGTTACTTTCCCCGGCTCTTTCCACGCCAACCGAAGAAAGAACGAACAAAATTCCCTTGTATTCGCAACTCATGTCCACTCCGTATTGGCCTTTACACTTTGCGCCTCTCGGCACGCCGTAGTCCTCGAGGAGCTTTTGGTACCCTTCGCTTCCGCTCCAAAGGTACCTCACGCCGTCCCACCCGTCTGCATCGTGGTTTCCTTTTGCTGCTATGTACTCAACTTTATCACGCACGGTTTCTTTTAAAAATTCCACCCACATCTTCGGCGCAGACTCGTAATCCAAGTCGCCCGCGTGTACGATCTATTTGTGAGAAAAAGAGAGAGAAAGAGACACGTCAACCTTTCGTAAAATCCAAGAAAAAAAAACAACTCACCAAATCTGCGCCAGATTCTTTCGCCAGCCTCACGACGTCGCGCGCTCGCGAGTAGAGTTTACACGGCTGTCCTGCGTGATCGTAACAGTTTCGGCCGTTGATTTTATACGGCGAGCCTTGTAAGTTCCTATCGTCAGCATCATGTGGTGCAAGGGAGAAGAGTTTTTTTTCGTCAGATGTCAAAAATACACGTTTTATTTAAAATTAGGTGTATCACGCACCCGCGATAGTCCACCCACGAGCTCGAAGGGTTATCGTTTCCGATGCCACTATCGGCGATGAACGCGATGCGCACGGCAGATGCTGCGGAGATACACGCGAGAAAGATAAAGATTAAACGTCGAAGAAGCATCATAGTTGTTGCGTGTTCTTGTTGATGTGAGGATTTTTTTTCTTTTGTTTTTTTTCCTCTCTTTCATCGTTCTTGTTCCCCTCGTTAAAATTGGTGTTAAGCAAACGCGGTGGTGTACGTGTGTGTGTTTGTTATTACAATAATAATGACATAAAATTCTCTCTCATATAATTCCGATACATTTGTTAGCGAGCGCGCGCGCGTGCATAATACTTACTTGTTTCAATCTGTTCTTTATCATACCGTGTGTTCGCGAATGTAGCTCGCTCTTCGTTCTTTGGCGACGGCGGATAAATCCGTCGGTTGTGACTCGGTAAAGCTCGCTACTTTTTTCGCGCCGCGATAAATGAAGCTTCCAGTAACGCGTAACGGCGAAGCGTTTGGTTTCTTCTTCTGTTTCTTCTCGTCCACTTCGTCTTCTCTTTCCCAACCTCTGAACGCGTTGTCCGAGTGTAAGTCTTTCACTACCCACGGGCCACACTCGCTCAACTTTCGTTCGCACGTGCCGCCGAGAAACGTCGGGGTTCGATCGATGCCACCAAAAACGTCAACGATTTCCTCGAACGCGGCTTTCGATTTTTTTTCACCGGTGATACGTCCGAACATGGTGACTTTCTTGCGCATTTGACTGTCTAAGAAACCGCTGACGGCGTGCCAAAAGACTCTGACGTTCAAACTCGCGTTGACGACGTAGAACTTATAAATCAAATCTGGGTACTGTTGTCGGAATATAATCATCATGTTTTTGAACATTTCCACGCGTTGTTTCGCTTTCAATTGTTTCCCATCTCGGAATTTCAACGCGATGTCTTTCGAGGCGTCGATGACAACCACGCACTTGTCGTGGACAATCACCGCGTCTCGCGTTTTCAAGCTCGGAAACACGATGTTCGTTAAATACGTAAAAAGCATCCCATAATTGGCTTCAACGATTGTTCGAGCATCGATAGAAGAGTGTTCGCTACCAGAACTTTTGCTGCTGATACTGTTACTTCTACCGCTTTTCTTGTTATACTCCGCGGCGGACATCGTCATCATGTTCTTCGACGCGTCCCCGACGCGCATGCAGCACACCGGAATCCCTAACGGCGTGTGCGTCGTGTAGACACTCATGCACGGATGCGCCTTGTGTACCTTTTTCTCTAACTCGCTCATCCCCCCGTCCTCCTCCTTCATCGTCCACCTTCTCAAGTACTCTCGCGGCTTCATCTTCTCTCTCCAGTCCATGGAGTTCACGATCATCCTCTTCGCCGCGTACACGTCCGAGCTGTTTTTCGTGCTCGACAAGTACCTCCTCAAACAATTCTCTCTATCGCCACCTACCATCATATCTTCCGGAAACTTTACGTCTTCCACCTCCTGTTCCAATTTCTTCACGTTCTCCTCGTACCCATTGACCACCTCTCTCGACCGACGCCAAATAACCAGCGACCGTCTCGCATTTTTATGCTTCTGTTTCGACCACATTCCCATGTTCTTCCCGTCGAACGCTTTCGCTTCGAACGACCTCATCTCAGACTCTAACTCCCTCTCTATCGCCAGTTTCCTCTCGCGGTACAGCACCCACGGCATGTTTCCGTGCACTTTCCGAAACACGTACCAAAACTTCATCGCTTGCAACGCGATGAACACTTTGACTTTTGATATCTGCGTTTTGTTCTTTCCGTTTTCGTCTGAGTCGTCGACCATCTTTCTCCGTCGTTGTTCGAACGCGTTCAATCGTTCGTTCATGACGACGGCAATCGGTACCAAGAGCGAAAAAAACGTAAACGTGACGTCTCGAGCGTAGTCCTCTGGGAGAGACAAAGAGACGAACATCTTATTCAACCGGAACGGTTTATATTCGTTCCAAACGAATGCGAAGAACCAGAGCGAAACCAAGAAGAGGAATGGTTTCATCATTATTTGTGTTTATGAAAATATCGATGACGATGATGATGTTTTTCGCGCTCTTCGTCCAAAATTCTCCTTCTTTTTACCGCGTCTTCTCTGCCCTCGTTGTTCGTGTTCTTGCTTTTGCTCTTACCTCGCGCGTGAGTTTGCAAATAGGTACGTTTTTGTGCCGTTAATAAGATTCCAAAAGAGAGAAAAGGAGAGCAAAAGGTCAACACTCGGCTTATATTAAATTTTTAAATTTTTTAATAATAAATGCGAAAACGCTTCTTTTGAAGATCTCAAAAAATAATACGAACTCAATAATATACGATGCGCGATGCCGACGACGACCGCCTTCTTCTTCCTTTTCAACGAGAACATCAACAAGAAGAGACGTGGAAGAAGAATTTAAGGAGGAGAAGGAATAGAAAGTTCTTCTCACTTTTCGCGGTCGTTTCCTTTGTCGTCTTTCTTTCCATCTCCTTTTGGTTCACCGAGGAGGGAACTCAAAATATGGAAAAAGTTTTTGAACGGGAAGACTTTAAAGGTTTCGTGAAGGAAGTGAGAAATGCGAACGCACAGATTCGAGCGCACGAGGAGAGAATGAATAATGGCAACAGTAAAGATTCATCGTCGTCGTTGCGAAGAAGAACGCTGAAAGATTACGCGGCGATACTGTTCACGCAAAATTTGTGTTTCGATTATTTTGTTCCGCAAGGAGGGCCGTACTTTTGCTTGTATCCGGTGCTTTGTTTCGGATCGGATTTTTATAGCTGCATGACGAACGCCGGAGTGGTACAAGAAGCGTACGGCATTGACTCGCAGAGCGCGTACAGTGTCGGAAATTCGCTCTTGAATAGCTTTTGAGTCGCATTAAAAATGAACTTTTAATTAATCATCTCCTTGGATAATCGATGAATGGCGTTGACGAAATAATCAACCTTCGCGCAATCCTCTTTCCCGCCTAAACCTGCACCTAAATTCGCGATGTATTTTTGTGGTCCAAAGTCCTGTAACATTCGCTTCGCTTCCCTTTCGATCTCCTCGAACGACCCGTCGACTAAGAGTTTCGGGTCAAAGTTGCCTTGGACGCTGGACATGTTCGCTTCGCCGCCCGCCGCGCCCGCCAACGTGTTTCTCGCGTACTTTCTATCCATAACCGTATCTAAGGTGATGCAATCGTACCCGATTCTTTGCAAATCGGAAATCGCGTACGGTGCATCTCTCGCAAAACCAAGCAACGGGACGTTCGGATGTCTTTTTTTCAACTCTTTGGCAATCTTCTCCATCTCCGGCAACGCGAACTCGTAAAACTCCTTCTCGTCGATGTGTTCGCACATCGCCTCGAAAACTTGCACCATGTGCGCGCCGTTTTGAATTTGCAAATCTAAATAGTCGATAACCACCGTCGTCAGTCGTCCCAACAACTCCCTCGAAGCCTCCGGGTGATTCTTCAACCAGTTCATCCCGGAATCCGTGTTCTTTCTCGAACTCCCGCCGACCATGTAATACATCAACGTCCACGGCGCCGCGCTAAACCCAATCAACGGAATTTGTAAGTTTTCTTTCTCAATCTGCTCGTTAATTCGTCGGACTGATTTCAACACGTGCGATAATCTTTCCTCGACGTCAATCGTTTTCGGTACTTTCGTCTCCAAATCCTCCGGCGTTTGCAACGGCCTCGGAACGACGATACCTTTACCTCCCGGCATCTCCACGTCCACGTTCATCGCCTCCGCGATGACTAAAATATCCGAGAACAAAATAGCCGCGTCTAACTTATACCGTCTCACCGGTTGCATCGTCACCTCGCACACGTCCTCTGGATCGTCCAACAGTTGCAAAAAATTCTTCCCGGTATCTTTCTTATACTGATTATATTCCGGTAAATGTCTCCCGGCTTGACGAAACAACCAAATCGGCGTCTTTGACACCTTCTCCCCTTTCGCCGCTTTAATCATGGAATCGTTCGCTGGATTTCGGTTCTTCAAAGTCGCCGGGTCTGTTTTCGATTTCAACGGACTGAGGGTGTTGTCACACGCAAATCCGCGATATCTCCTTCTCGTCGTCCTCACCGCTCGGGATGTTGTTGATGAAAATGATGAAAATGATAATGCATTCGCATCATCGCGCGAGGATGAGGTGCTCCTAAACCTACGCGAGGAGCGGGAACCACCACCACCACCGATAACAGTAACACCGCTCGAACGAGAAGACGAAGAAAGTGTTGTTACACTCATCTTTATCGCACGACTCGTTTGAGAGAAGAAGAGAAAAAGAATACACCTTTATTATTCGTAGTAATATTTGTGAGAGATTTTTTATCCAAAAAGAAAGGAAGATCTCGTCTGTGTTGTGCGAGAGCAGTCCAAAGAGAAAAAAAGAGAAAAAAAAGAAAAATTCCGCCGCCAGAAATCTTCTTTCTTTCCACGCACGTTTCTTTGCTTTAAAACGACTGTGTTTTATTACGCGCGAAAAGAGGCACACACACATATATATAAACGAATAAGAGCTAATAACTTATACATATATATATAATGCCGGGCCCGTCGAACCACGGGCAGCGGAACAAAGCGCACAACCACGGGAAACACCAATCGAAACACACGTCGAAATTGCACAAAACGGGAACACGTGGGGGCGGCGTCTTGAAAAAAATTGGAAAGGCGAATTTAGGCGTCGGGAATAAGCGAGAGCGATTGATACGAGCGAAGCAGGCGAGAGACGCGAATAAAAGGATGGTTTCGTACGAGAAGAAGTTGGAGAAGATGGCGCCGAAAGTGGTGGCGGTGATGACGTGTGATGGTGGGGATTACGACGCCTCAGATTTGAGAGATTTCTTGGGGAAGTTTGTGAACAGTTGCGAGAGGAGGAAAGAGCTCGCAAACGAGGGGTTCGTGGTGGCGGAGAAGTTGTTTCACGCGCCGAATTTGCCGCAGACGGTACGAGTGGAATTGCACGATCACAGGTTCCAAATTATGCTCGTCGATCACGGGCATAAATTGGCGGCGTTGGAGGCGATCAAGTCGGCGGACGTTTTGGTGTGCGTGGCGTCGGCGCACTCGAAAAAAGAGGAAAAGTACGATCCGCCGAACGAGCAGTTGGTGGAATCGACGATGCCGACTTTACGCGCGCAAGGGTTGCCACCAACGGTGGTGGCGTTGAGGAACTCGATGAAAGTCAGTCCGTCGGAACGAAACGCGGCGAGAAAACTCGGGATGCGGATAGCGACGGAGGAGATTTTGAGCGTGCCGAAAGATCGGGTAAAGTCGCAATCGGTCGATACCGAGCAAGAGATGAAGATGTTGGTGAGAATGGTATGCGAACAAAGAGCCCAAGCGCCGGCTTGGAGAACGCAAAGACCGTATATCATTTCCGAACTATCTACGATTGAACCGATCAGTGAACACTTGTCCAATTTAGTCGTCGAAGGGTACGTTCGAGGGTGCGGCGTGAGCGCGAACCAGTTGTTTCACGTGCCCGGAGTTGGAGATTTTCCTCTGGAGAAAGTGGAACTGATCGAAGAGCGAGTGACGAAAAGGCATAACACGAAGAATAAGAGTAGTAATAGTAAGAGTATTAGCGATTTAGAAATGGGGAAAGTGAGACAAGAGGCTTTAGAAACCTTCGTTCCGGATCCGGAAAAGAGAGAGCCGGTCGTGCGAGAGAACAAACCGCCAAACGACGTGGAATACGACGAAGACGCGCACGACGCGAGATTAGAACACTTGAAATGGGAAGACGAGGAGAAGAAGAAAGTGATGATGCGATTGAAACCGAAAGGATGGTCGGATTACCAGGCATCTTGGCTTCCCCGAGACGAAAGCGACGACGAAGGGTCGCTCTTCGAAGAAGAAGACGAAGAAGATGCCGACCAAGGCGATTTTATTCGAGAAGAGGATGCTAAAATGAATGATGATGATGATAATGATGATACTGATGGTGGTGGTGATGGTGGTGGTGGTAATGAAAGAACAACAAAGACAACAACAATGACGATATCCACCGGAAAAGGAACGACGAACCAAAACGAGAACAACGGTGACGAGGAAATGATGACGATGGATGACCACGAAGAAGGCGACATCGAATACGATTCCGACGAAGAAGAACAAGAACATTGGGACGGTGATTTACAAGGCGATATATCTTCCGACGACGACGAAGAGACGCTAAAAAACTTGCTCGAAGCGTCGAAAGATAGCGCGAAACGCGCGAGATTACGCGCGTTGGAGGATGAAAATTTCCAGTACCCGGACGAAGTTGAATTCCCGGAAGACGTCGAAGCGCGCCGACGTTTCGCGAAATACAAAGGGTTGAAATCGTTTCGAACGTCCCCGTGGGATCCGAAAGAAAATTTACCGAGAGATTACGCGCGTGCATTCGCTTTGGCGAGTTATAAGCGACTCGGTAAACGCTCGAAAGAGTATTTGGAAACGACCATGGATTTAGACGTCGGTTCGTACGTTCGATTGACGATTAAGGGCATCCCGACGGTGTGCTTGGAGAACTTGTTAGATCCGCAATCGTCCACGTTTTACTCCTCAAAAATTCCTTCGTCGGTGCAACTGCAAGTTGGCGATGCCGGTGGACTCGGGGGAGGTGTTGGCCAACCGTGGCGAGGGTGGACGGGAGGCGCTGGCGCTTTAGTCGTTTCTGGTTTACTCCGCCACGAATCGCGCATGACGGTCATGCACTTTGGCGTTCAAAAACGAAAAGAGTACACGGACCCGGTCCCATCGAAACACTCGATGTGGTGGCACGTCGGTTTTAGACGCGAGAAAGCGAAAGCTATATTCAGTCACGACGGTTTAAACGCGGACAAGTTTAAATTCGAACGATTCTTACCGCCTCGCGTCCCGGCTATGGCTTCTTTGTTCATGCCCATCACGTTTGGTCCCGCGCCGGTGTTGGGATTTAGCGAAAAAATCGGTGCCGGCGGCGCCATTCAAACCGCTTTAGTGTGTTCTGGTAACGTTCGCGCGGCAAACCCTGACCGCATCGCTTTGAAACGCGTCGTGCTCACGGGATTCCCGTTTCGCACGCACAAACACAAAGGCGTCATTCGGTACATGTTTTTCAACGCCGAAGACGTCAAGTTTTTCTCACCACTCGAGTTATGGACGAAATACGGTCGACGCGGTAAAATAACCGACGCGTTAGGTACACACGGTCACATGAAATGCCTCTTCAACGGCGTCATTTTGCAACACGATACTGTTTGCGTGACCATGTTCAAGCGCATGTTCCCGAAACTCGAGCGGCACCAACACAACGCGACGAACCAGAACAGCGAAATCGAATTAGAAAATAGAATGCACGATAGGAGAGAGTTTGAACAGACGGGTGATAAAATGCAAATGTATTAAAGAATAGTGCGCAACGATACGTAGAATTAGGAAAACTGTGTGGATAACTGAGGTGGTACCGATAGCGATGAAATGTGACGCTCCTCCTTTGTGTTGTTGTATTAAAATGTTAAAAATGACAGTACATTCTCTTCCTCTTCCTCTCTCTCGATTCTTTCATAAACGAGCATTCTCGCCCGACATCATCGAAAGAACACTTCGTTTGAGATGACCTGGATGATGATTAATCGTCATCTTTAAATTCTCGTCTGTCCAAGTATCGATTCGGTCGTAACTCCTTAATCTCCTCCTCGCTCATCTGTTCCCCAGTCGCTTTCAACGTCGCTCGGTTCAACTCTCGAATCTCCTCGATTCTCTCCTTATCTCTGGCTTCTTGCGTGACGAAGAAAATCGGTATCCCTAACCCGGCGCCGATGCCCAACACCGCCGCGATAACCGTCGTTATCGTCTCTTCGTCCCAATCCGCGAGTTGCGCGATCTCTTGTCCTCCTCCCAAAATGACGTTGTTTCTGTGCACATTTTCCCCAAAACGATTTCGATTTTGTCGATGAAAACCACCACTTTTCGAGGACACCACGCGGCAACTTTTGCTCGTCTTTTTTGTCTGAAATCTCGAGTTAAAAGTTGTTTTCGAAGAAGACGTCGTCGCCGTCGTTGGCGTGCGCGCTCTCGACGTCATCGTCGCACTCGTCACAGTATACATATTTTTTTTTTCTTGTTGTGTGTTATCCAAAACTTTTTTCTGTTGTGACGAACACATCTGTCTCTCAAAAAACAAGCAAAAAAAAACAAAAAACGAGCGAAAAAAACGAAAGAAGAGCAAACACATGACAAAAAAAAACACAAAAAAAGCAAGACCAGAGAGACCACCTCAAATAAGGATTTGAAGGTTTTATCGTCCGAAGAAGGGAGAGAGGGGCATCTCATCTCATCTCTCTCGGTTTTGAAGGTTGTAATTTCTTCGAACGACGACGCGCAACCCGTGTGTTTTAACCGAAAAGAAGAGAAAGCAGAGGGGGAGAGAAAAAGAAGAAGATGTTGACGCACGAGATTCAAAATTTGAAACTCTTTTTGGAAAAGAAAAAAGCGAAATGCGCGCAACATCTGCGCGAGTTGAAAAGAAGAGACCGGACGAACTTGTACGAAGAGAAAGATAACGTGTTAGATGTGTCGGCGTACGCGAAAATTCTCACCGGTTTTGTTTTTGGTATTTGTTTTGCAAAGATAAAAACGACTGGGTTTTCGCACGTTCTCATGGGCGTCGTTATCATTGGGACGGTACCTCTGTTCTTGATGCAGAACTGGTTAAAATACCCGGCGGAAAAGTCGATCGAGTGGGGTGGGCCGATCTCGTTAGCGACCGATGGTTTAGGCCCTGGATTGGCGAGTTTAATTTTGACCTGGTCGGTCTGTCATTCCATGTGGAACGTTTAGATGATGATGACGCCTATTCTTTTTATTGTTGGATTTCGCATTCGCGCTCTCGCGAAAAACATCAATCGCAGAGAGCGTAAGAGAGACCAGCTTAAACATACATACTAATAGTAGCAAATAATACTAATAACAACAACTATAATAATACTGGCAGTGATAATAATATACAAGAATACAAGAAAACGAAATCCGCCGCTTCTTTATGCACACTTTATGGACACTTGGAATTATCCAAGGTCAAGGTAAATTGTAATTCATTTTTATCCAATCTCAACCGAAGAAGACTTTTACTTACGCGAGCTATTTACGATTACCGCGCCGAGCGCGACGGCCGTCGCGCCTAACGCAAACACGTACGTGAAATACCTACAGAAAACAACGGCCAAAGCGGCACAAAACACGCATCAATACAACAAAAAGAGATTAATTAGAAAAAATGAATTCACCTCCAAAGTTTGCGATACCACGGTTCGACGTACACCAATCGTCTCGCGTCCAACACCTCTGCTTCCTCTCGTCCACTTTCTCTCGCGCGACGATCGGGGTCGTAGTCCAAGTGTCTCGTGCTCATTTTCTGACCCCTCCCCTTGTCACTGATCTCTTCTGTTATGTATGAGATACACAACAAAAGAATATTTTGATTTAAATTGGACGCGCTTTTCGCGGAAAAATGGCGGATTAATTGAAAGACAAAATCATCAATCGCTTTTGGACGCAAATGAGAGAGATTCTGATGTAAATTTGGGCAATTTCTGGCTTCAAATTTTTTGAAAGCTGCCCCCGAGAGCGCACCGACGGACGAGAGAGAACGACGAGAGATATTTGTTTAGTAACTGAATTTCCCCTATTATTATTAAAGAGTACCTCTGTGAGAGACTTAATAATATACACACACACATCGCAAAATGCAGACGATGACGACGACGACGAGCACTTTCGCTCGGCGCGGTGCGTCGTCGTCTTTGTACTCCTCCTCGTCGTCATCATCTTCGAATGCTAAAGTGGTACGTTTATTTTTTTTTCCGATCGTTTAACTCTCTCTTACATTTCTGTTTGGATTAGTACGCTCTTTTATGTGTGCACACGAAGCGCGGCGGGTGTCCGTGCAAACGCGCGCGTAGGATTTCCACGCGCTGCTTTACTGCTCTCTTTTTCTGTTTTCTCGTTTTTCTTTCGCGCGCAAAACGATCTCGTCTCAGTCTTTAATAAAAATCATCCCCTGACTCTGACCGGTTGCGTTTGATCTCTCTGTGTGTAGAACAAGAAGAATAGAAGAAATTCGCAAAAGTGCAAAGCTTTGAAGACAACAAATTCGAATTTTAAGGGAAAGAAGGGGATCCAGGAAAGCGAAGGGGAGTTACCGGTGGGCGTCCAAATGCTCACCGCGGCGTCTATTCCGGCGATGTTGATGGGGACGTTAGTTGTTGGCATAGAACAGTTATCCACGGAACCGGCGTCGGCGGGAGACGATGGAAACGGGAGCGTCGTACGTACGACGACGACGTCCTCATCGACGGTGGTAGCGCCACCGGCAGCGGCGAGATCGATGAAGCCAGGGGAGGCGGTCGCACAAGTTGCCGATGCTTCTTCCTCTTCCATGGATTTTGATTTGAAGCAAGTGCTCATCGAGGCGAGTCAATCGGCTCCGGCGACGGAATCGAGCGAGGCGAAAGAGAAGGCGGCGAGAGATAAGAAACAGAAAGCGGCAGACGCAAAAGCCGTCGCGGAGAAGAAGAGGGCGGAAGCGAAGGTGGTTGCCGAAGCGAAGAAACGTGAAGCGGCGCAGAGGAAAGCGGCAGTGATGCCGAAACAAAACAGCGAAAGCGCGAAAGAGAGAGCGCAAAGAGCTCGAGAGATTACACAAGCGAAGATTGAGGCGGATAAAGCGGCCAAGGCGAAAATGCAGGCGGCGAATCAAGCGAAAGCGGAGGCGAGGAAACAAGCGCAGTCGAGCTCAATTGGGCAACCGCGTGAATCGGAAAAGGATAAGATTGCTCGAGTCAACGCGCAATTGAAGAAGAAGCCGGAGGCGGCAAAACCAAAGCCAGTGACCACGGAAACGCCTGCTCCCGTGGCTCCGGCACCATCTCTTGCCGTTGAAGCCAAGAAACCGGCGGCCGCGGCGTTCAAAATGCCGTCCATGCCAAAAATATCGACGCCGTCGGCGCCGAAACCGACTTTTGATGCCTCTGCGGCCAAGGCAAAGAGAGACGCGGAGAACGCCAAGAAAGCCGAGGACGCTAAGAAGAAAGCATCGACCCCGGTCGTCGTCGCTGCTCCTGCGCCAGCAACTCCCTCTACCGGTGGTTTGTCCGCGCCAGTGCTCGGAAACAAGAAAGCCACGAAGTCCCCGCCGCCTCCGCCGGCTTCCACCACGGATATTGAAAAGGCGAAAGAGGCTGAAAAGAAGCAACTCGAAGACGCGCTCGAGGCGAAATTACAAGCTGTGCGTGTGCAAAAAGGTAAGAAGGTTGAAACTACCACCACTACTCCGGCGATCGTGAAGAGAGCATCACTTGCTGCTCCGGCTCCGGTCAAACCCGCCACACCGACGAAATCCGTTCATGCACCCGCACCCAAGGTTGTGGAAAAGAAAATTGAAACGCCAAAACCGGTTGTAGCGCCTTCTTCGTCGACCAGCGGAGACGACTTTAGCATCGATTTCGGTTCCTTCTTCTCGGAGTACATGCAATCCACGCCAGCTTCGATGAAGAAAGTCGAAGCGCCGAAGCCAGTCGTCGTTGAGACACCGAAGCCAGTTCTCGTTGAGACGCCGAAACCAGTCGTCGTTGAGACACCGAAGCCGGTGGTTATTGAAGCGCCGAAACCTGTGGTTGCTGCTCCTTCTTCGTCCTCCTCTGATGACCTCTCCATCGACTTTGGCTCGTTCTTTTCTCAATACATGGAATCATCGCCGGCACCAGTAAAGAAGGAAAAGAAGGAAAAGGCACCGGCTCCGTCCAAGAAAGTCTCGGCGAAACCTTCTTCTGCGGAGAAGCGCAAGCTCGGTCTCGGCAAGGCGAACTTTTCAAACATGCCGAGATCCGCACCGAAACCGAAAAAGGAAAGAACAGTCATCGAGAAAGTAAAACCAACGTATACGTTTCAACGAACGGGCCCAGCTGATAAGGAAGGATTCAAATCCGCAGACAGGCCGTACTTGAAATCCGCCGCGCCGACGAAGAAGCAAAGTTTAGTCACGGCCATCGCCGGTGGCGTCGGCGTTTTGATCACCTTCGTCGCGACGAGAGATCCGAAATACAAAAACGGCCAAATTGATATCTCGAAGACTTCGAACGGTAAGGTCGATTTCCCGGAACGAACGTTTGAAAAGAAGAAATGGGGCGGCGACGGCGTACCGAAGACGCCGGCGCCGAGGAAGAAGCTTTTCGCCAAGAAAGAAACGACGACAACCGCGCCAAAAACAACCACATCGGTCTCCGTCGTCGATAACGCTGCAGATGCCGGAAAATGGATCGACGCGTGGAAGAAAAACAGCACCACCGGCGGTGGCGGCGACAGTTCCTCTGCCGCCTCCGAGGCCTCCAAATGGATCGAAGGTTGGTCGCAGTGGAGTAAAGACCAAGTCGGCGGCGACGCGACTGCGCCGACGGAAGCGACTGCGGACGGACGAGACTCCGCGGAAAAATGGATCGCGCAGTGGAAAGCGGACGGGTCCCCGACCGACGAATCGCGCAAAGGCGACGCTAAGAAGTGGATCGACGATTGGAAGAACAAAACAAACTAAGAAGAAGAAGAAGAAGAAGATGAACAATACTAAACTAAATATATAATCGAACGAATACACATCACAACGCAATCTACGCATAAACTCTCACTCACTCACTCACTCCTTCATTCCGTCGTGCTATACACGACGTCTTCCTTCTCATCGTCTTTCGGCGGGCAACAAAAGTTATGCCACGATCGCATCGGTTTCCTACACGTCGGACACTTCCTCGCGTCTCTCACAAACTCTACCCTCTTGAACTGATTTCGACGTTTTTTCCTCGACGGCGTCACTTTCGCTTTCGGTACCGCCATGAGCATGACATCAACTCCAGGAGGCGCGTACCCGGGGAGTCCTTCGAACGCGTCGTTCGTTTCTTCAGATTCTTCTACTTCTACTTCGTTCTTTATCTTCTTCTCCTCGAGGAATGCGACGGGAATAGTGCTTCCGATTCCGTTCTCCCCCGACACCGAAGACACGGTAAAACCTCTTCTCGACGAAGAAGACGTCAAACACGGCGCGCAAAACAACTTCGAGCCTTTTCCTCCTCCTCCTTCAAAAAAGGAGCTCCTAATAAAAGCGAGTGTGGTGTTTGTGCTCGTGGTGGTCGTCGACATCCTCGCTTCTTTTATTACGCGCTTCGACGCCATCATCGTCATCATCCCTCGTCGTCTCCACATCCTCTCGTACGTGTTGTTTGTCTCTCTTCGCTCTTCTCTCTTTTATGACGAACGAGAGAAAGAAAAAAAGAAAAAATCCGAGAGACGAGAGAATTTTGTTGTTTAGGGTGTACAAACCTAACAGAACAAAAACCTCTTTTTCTCTTCTTTTTTCTCTCTTCTTTTGGTCTGCGTTTTGGATAAATTTCAGACAGAAATTGGCACGAACATTATTAACGACTCTCTTGCCATCATCACGATGAGCGGTGTTGGTATTTCGACGATTTCGACGAGGACTACGACGAGCTTTAGTCGATGCGTTTTGTCGTCTTCGTCCGCTTCTGCGCGTTGTGTTCGTACGAATAAAACTTTATCGTTGCGGAGTTTTAAGAATTTCTCATCATCATCATCGCGGAGAGAACAAGGAAGGAGGAAATTGAGAAAAGGCGATGAGGATGATGATGACGTTCATGTTCGTAACGAGAAGAGGAACAGCGTGAGAACGCGGGCGATTTTTGGAGGGGATGCGATGATGATGCCACCACCAGATGCTGGTGGTGTCGTGAGTACGAATAATGCTCCTGAAATTGAACGCGTCGAGATGCTGAAACAAAGAAACAGAAGCAATGTGTTCGATATCGCGGATGCGTCTTCTTTGTCTTTAGCAGCGCCTCCTGCGGTTTTGATGAGTGAAACTCCCCCGGAAATTGAAACTGTCGCGCCGAATCTGATGGAGGAGGATTCTCTCAACATCGCGACCGCTCCGGACGTGGTCGTGCAAAGTTCCATTAAAGACGCGATGGCGCTCATCCAAGCCGAAGAGAGAGAGGCGAAAATAGCGAGCGGGGAGATTGTTGGTACGTTGTTTCGTCTTTTTTCCTTTCCTTTCGTCGCGTTCTTCTTTCTCTTCTCGCTCGCGTTTGTTTTTTTGCGTTTGCTGCACAGACGGTCGACTGTGATTTGGGCTATACACTCGGTGCCTCTCAGTCAACATTTTTATTGTGCAGCTACATCGACTCTCGGACCGCGAGCGAGGCGTTTGACGATTGGATATTTGTTTCGATGGATTGGCGTCCGGAGAAACGTTTGAATTGTCGCCGCGGCGTTTCGGCCTACATTTTCTTTTCCTCTTTCTTTGGTGGTATCTATTCCGTCGCATTATATTAACGCCTACTTTCTTTTTCTCCTCTTCATTTTTACGCGCAGAGCCGCAAAGAACCGAGGGCGGCGTTTTCGGTCTCCTGGCGGATTCTTTCGAAAAGCTGTTGTTACAAATCCAAGACGTGGAAAAAGCGCTTGGGATCCCGTATCCAGTCGGGAACTCGATCATTATTTTGACCGCGTTAGTGAAATTAGTCACGTTCCCGTTGACGAAATCTCAAGTCGTCTCCTCGCTCAACATGAAAAACTTACAGCCGCAAGTTGCCGCGATTAAAGAAAAGTACGAGGACGATCCCGAACGAATGAACTCAGAAATCAATCGCATTTACGAAGAGAACGAAGTCAATCCATTAGCTGGGTGCGGCCCTTTGATTTTAACTTTACCCGTGTTCATTGGTCTCTATCGAGCCTTCAAGAACGCCGGTATAGACGGCGTCTTTGACGAACCGTGGTTGTTTATTCCGAATTTAAGCGGTCCGTCAGACGCGCAAGATATCTCTTGGCTTTGGCCCTTAGACGACGATTTCGCGCCTCCGCTCGATGGTGGCTGGGAAGCCGCGTGGCCATACTTGGTCATGCCAATTTTAACCACCGCGACGCAGTTTTACTCCATGAACGCCATGCAACCGAAAGAGGAAGAAAAAACGGACGAGATGAAGAACCAGTCACAGTTGGTGAAATTTCTTCCGTTTTTCATTGGATATATATCCTTGACCGTTCCAGCTGGGTTAGCCATGTATTGGTTGTTTAACAACGTGTTCACGACGTTAACGCAAGTCTACTTGAGAAACTTTGGCGGTGCCGTAGCTACCGTGGAAGCTCCGGACGATATTTTAATTAAAATTCCGCTCGGGTGCGCGATCATCGAAGACAGTTTCGAGCGCGTTCCGAACGATGAAATCGAAACGTACTTGAAAACCAATTCGAGCGTCATGTGGAATGAAGAGTGGTTAGAAGAGTGGCGACAACAACAAGCGAAGGAGATTTCCGAATCCGTGGAAAACGCGGAGAACGAGATGGTGGATTTAGGCGCTTCGGAGGAAGTGGCGGCGTTGTACGCTGCAAAGCTGAAAAATAGAGCGAAACGATACAGAGACATGGAGAAGCGAAAGAATGCGACGCCGAAGGAGATTGAAAATTTGATCGCGGAGTATGAGAAGGATGGGAAGAGTCGAGAGGACATTGCTAATTTGCAGAAAATGCTCGAGGCGACGATGAAATTCGAGGTGGAAATGAAAGAGAAGAAATTGAAAGGCGCGGCGGCGTTGAAGGAGTTAAAGGAAGCGAAGGGCTTAAACTTAACGGGCAAAGAAGCGAGTAGCAGCAGCAGCAGTAGCGGAGAAGAGAAAGCGTCGACGACGCGATAATGTACGTATATATATATATACACATACATGCGTTTTAATTCAAATACATATGTTCATAGTGACTTAGTATAAATATTGCAAACGCAAAGAGGTACTTGGTACATAGGTACCAGACTAATAATAATGAAATGATAAAAGACGCACGGCAACTCTCCCACAAATAAATTGCGCTCCAAGTGCCGCCGTCCACATATAATAAATAAATACAGCGACATATATACAGCAACATCTTCTTAGTAGTATAATCTTACTTTCGTTTTTGATGTTTTTGTTTTTGTTTCGTTTACTTTTGCTTTACGACATCAGACGAGTCAATCGAGCTTCCAAAGCGTGCAAGCGTGCCTCCGCAGCCTGGGCTTCTTCGTTGCCTATGGCTATCCTGCGATTCGATGTCACGATTCTATTTTGCATCTTGACCATACCCTCCAACGCCTCAGCTAAACTCTCACCTTCCGTTTTCAACTCTTCTTTTTTGGGATCTTCGTCGTCTTCGAAGATCATTCTCGGTTGTTCGCCAACTTGCTTGATGAACAATTTCGCCGCGCCCGCGATTTCTTCAGCCGTATCGATACCTCTTTGGTTTTCGAGGTTCTCGTACGTGCCTTCTTGCTTGGAAATTTCCTTGGAGACTCTGTCCATATCTTTCTCCAAACCGATTGGGTCCGAACGTAAGCGGAACTTTGGATCTCTGCTAGTTTCCGTGGCAATGACCGCTTTTCTTAACACTCTTCGTAAACCGAGCTGGTCGATTTCTCTGTCGTCGTCGTATCGAATAACGTTTTCTCCGGGCGGGATGTACGGAATGACTTCGTCTTCGGAATCCGTGGACTCGTAATCCGGATCTAAACCGTGTCTCCATCGCTTCAATTGCGCTAACAACTTGTCCGATGAAATGTGGTCTCGATGAAAACCGAAATATCTGGAGAATGATCTCCACGAATCCGAGATCATCGGGTTGACTTCCGTGTGTACAGAAATACTTTCGCTCGCGTTCGCTTTGACTTCGCCAAACGCGTCGACGATGATGGCCAACAAAAAGTTGAATAAGATGAACAAAACCATGATGTTGAACGAGTAAAAGTAAATCATTGCGACGATGTAGGTTAAACCTGGGAGTTCCACCAAATCGACGACGAAATACTCGACGTCGCCCAACAAGTTTTTGAACAACGTGTGAAAGGATTCCTCGAACGTGGAGAAGTATACCGACCCAAAACCAAAAATGACGTGCCCGATGAACGCGAAACCAGTGAAAACCATCATGAAAATCGTGAAGAAGTGAATCAAATCTGGCGCCGCCAAACCTAACGTGTGCGTGATCACACCCAAACGAGGTTGGAAGTCCATCAACTTCAAAACTCTCAACATCAACAAGATGATGTTGATCCCAGACACCGCCATGTACGATTGCAAAAACGTCACTAACGCGTACATGTCCGAGAACATGTTACCTAAATCTGTGAACTCGTGGTTCTCAAACAATCTGGTTTGAAATGCAGATGCGTCGATGTTTTTGTAAATTTTGTAATGGATTGATGGATCAAATCGCGGGCAACCGACTCTTGAAAATATCACCCACATGACGGTGACGCCCAAGTGAATAGTGATCGACGCGACGTCGATGTAGTTCCACGCGGATTCAAAGTACGCTCTCCAGTTACCGTCGTTTCTCTTCCTAGTCAAGATGAAATCCATAAACTCGTCGTAGACGGAGTATAATGCGCCAATAGCCAAGGCGATTTCCATCGCAAACCGTAACATATCTTGCCAGTTTTCGTAATACTGAACCTTGATGGTTTGATTCTCGTAGGTCACGACAATCTTACCGCCGTCGATGTACTTGAAGTAAACCATGGTGTTTCCAAAATACCCGAGCTCTGAGTTGTACACGACAACTTGCGCGGAAACTTCATCCGTTTGCGCGTCGGATAACAACAAACCGTATTCCATGTAGTCCAACCATCGTTGCGCGCCAGCGGCGTCCAAATTGATATCGATCAAAAACGGGAACCCTTTCGTGTACGAATTGGAAATGTCCATGGAATGAAAGCCCCACGGAACGTCTCGAGAGTTGAATAACTCCGCGCAATACGGCGCATTGTTTGCGGTGATATTCGTACCTTCAACGCGTAAATCGTACGTGGCGTTTCCAATTTTCGTGCAATCGTATACTTGCGAGATGGTTTTCACGTTGTCGTAATCGGCGTTGAACATTGGCGTTCCGAGTTTGAAAACCGGGTCGACGCCGTACGCGTTCGTATCGGTACCACCAGGGCAAAATTTATCCAATTCTGCGAAACGATCGTTATCGCACAAATTCAACTCTTTCCTTTTGACGTAAAAGAGCATACCGGCGACGACGCGGTTGGATAAGCCTACGTAGCGTTCTCTGAACGCTTCGGGCGGGTCTTCGTTGTCAAAGTTTTCAACTTCAAAGACGCGATTGACCGGGCCCATTTGACACGGAGCGTTCATCAAAATCGCATCTTTGGCTTTGAACTCTCGAGAATTGATGGAATCTTCTTGAATTTGAATGTACGACCCAATATCTTTAAACGCGCCGGACAACCAAGCGTCTCGAATCGTCAACCTTTGCTTTTCAACAGCGCGAGTGAGCTTATCGATAGCTTTCAAACCAGCCTCTAACAACTCGCTCGTTCTTTGTTGAATTAAAAGAGACGCTTGCGCCGCGGCTAAAGCTTCCTTTTGTTTCGCCACGATTTCGTCCAATTGCTCGGAAAGCGAGTCGTGCTCGGCTTTTAAATCCGTAAAACCAGTCGTCATCATTTGTTCGAGTCTTTTATCTTCAAAAAACGCCGTCGCTTTATCCGTTGCGGTTTCTTGATCCTTCTTCAACTCTGCCATGGCGGTGTCTAAAGACGTCTGGTTCGTCGCAATGGCGGACACTGCGGTCATGATATCGTCGAGCGTCACGGTAGATTCCGTCGTTTCCGCCGTTTGCAACATCGCGCGTCTATACTTTTGCGTAAACTGCGTGTTTGGTTCGTGCGCTTGCAACAACTTTCTGCCATACCCAACTTGACCGTCCCTGGTTGCGTTCAAGTACTCCACGGTATCAAACATGCCCTCGTCTTCGCACGCCTCACACACGCAGACTTCACCGGTATTTTTGTTGCAGTTGTTATTCGCGCCAGTCCCCCCGCCACACAAACACAAATAATTACACATTCTCTTGTATCTCGACTGCGTGAGCCAAACGGACGTGCCGTTTGTCCAGGGATCCCACCACTTTGGTCCAGCAACAGTTGTTGGGTCCGTGCACGTGCCTCTGTAAATATCCGAACGTTCGGCGATGTTACAGGTTAAATACGCGTAATCTTTGCGCTCAATAACTTTACGGTTGAACTCGGCCAAAGTGTAATTCAGCCGCGTCGTCACGTCGTGAAATCCCGAAATCGTTTCCGCGGTGTAAAACTTTTGGATCTCATCGACAACCGGCATCTTTGGTTTCTTGAACGTCGAATTCCCGTTTATCCAAGGGCTGTCGTACACTGGTACATCTTGCATTTTTTTCTCCAAATCTTGAATGCGCGCCGCGAGGAATGGAACGAGTTGTTCTCGATGATCTGGATACTTGCCGGAGTTGGCGTATCTGACTTTGGAATACGCGTTATCTTTACCACCAACGGAGTGTTCACTAGAGATAACGTACGCCTTCAAAATATCGTATGTTGCCGTGGCAACGGCATCACCTTCCAAGCCATCCATTTTAATCATGTCGTAATACTCGACGTTTTGTTGCGCTTGAAACGCCTTCAAGAAATCCACTTCTTCCGCGTCGGCCAATTCCAGCGCTTGCGTCTCGTACGCAGCCAACGTCGACCACGCGTCCGCGATGCCTTGGTTATACACGTTTCGCAAGAATCTATACGTTTCTGTACACGCCAATTGGTTTGGATCCGGCATCGTCGTGTTCACGCCGTTCCCGACGCACTTGTCCAAACACGCCGTCACTTTCCCGGTTTCGGCATCCTTCTCGCACTCGCAAAAGTACGACAAACCGTACGGCGGGTGAATGTACAAATCTCCAATCATATTTACACCGAAAACGGTCGTTTCTTTGGTACTCGTGGAGGCGGCGTCTACATTACTCCACCAATCTGCGTTCCAATCCGAAGTGTTGACGCCGTATTGACTCGTCGAATTGTCGTTCATGATTGGCATACAATCCAAATCCGGATCACTGGCGTAATCCACCAAAGTGTGATTATTCGCGAACGTTTGGTTCAAAATCTGAATAGTCGAGTTATACACGGTCGAGTTATACCAACCGCGAATATTCGCCAAGTTGTAACTCGCGCCGTAATCCGCCCGTTCGATGACGAACTGTTCGCTGTGCGCAACCTTCAAGTTCGTCAACTCCGAATTGTGCAACTCGTTCAGCTTTCTGTGCGCGAAGCCTTTCCCCAAATCCAAAAAGTCAATTCGTAACTTTTCCAAGATTTTCTTCTCGTGCTTTCTCGCCACGTTCGCGTAATGGTGCGCCAACAAAATCCGGTGTCTCTTTTCCTCGTGCGTCACGTTTTGCCTCTCTCGCACCGCCCCGCCAACTTTCAAAAAGATATCTTTCTTCATTTGCACCGACCACGTGCCATCCGGAACGTCGTCCAGCAAAACTTGCACCTGACCGCTTTGCGAAGGAAACGGTTGATCTGTTTCGTAATAACAATCCTTCCCGTGTCTTATCTTTGCAATCCCGGTGATCTCGTCCTGCTCTTTCGGGCATAAATTCCACGTCGCGTCCTTCTGCAAATCTACCGGGTTCACCGAACCTCTCGGATGCGTAAAATTATAGTATAAATCCAACTGAACTTCCGTAACGCTCATCGTCTGAATCCAGCGCAAACAATCCGCCTTACACCCGAACCTCCCGTACTCTGGAAACTCAAACGGTTCCGAACACACGCCGTCCCCACACACCGCATCGGTCCACAACGTATTCACCACCCCACTCGCCCAATCGATGATTTCTCTCGACGACGTGAACTCTTTCCTTTGCGGAATCAACACCGAGTTCAACGTCGACGTGAGCCTATACGCCTCGCCCGCTTTTCGTTGCAAGAAAAGAATCGAGAGGTAGAAACACACGAAGAAAATGAACGAGAATAACGAGACGTAGTTTTTCTTTCGCTCTTTCTGTTGTGTAATATCGTTCGAAGAGAACGAGAGAGAGAGAACGAGAGTCAGTACATAAACGTAAGATATATCTAAACAAAGGATTCGCGAGGAAACTTAATGTGCTTCTAAAAAATCTTGCCAGACAAAAGGAGATCCACCCTTTCGAAAGACGTTAGGGCAAAAATCCATTGGACATTTTACCGCCCGACCACCGCGGTTTCTTTGTCTTCTTTCGAGCGGTCTTTCTCTCCCTCACTCGTGTTAGTATCAGCGAGATGATTTTGGCGACAGCAGTTGGTGTCTCGAAGAAGGCAAAGAGTCTGCGATCGCGTTCGTCTTTTGATAAAACGCGAGATTGAAAACACATTTTAACACAAAACTTTGCGCGGAAAGAAAGATCAAAAGATGTGATCGCGAAAGACGAAGATTCTTCTCTCTCTCGAACGAAAACGTACTCTGCTTTTATACGCGCCGTATAAGTTCTCCACGATGCGTTTGTGCACTCTCGGATCGCTCAAATCGCGTTCGATTTGCGCTTTCGTTCGTTTACTTCTCCCGTGTAACTCGTCGTCGTCGTCGTCCTCCTCGGCTAAGATTCGTGCCGTTCGTAACCTCTCCTCGATGCGAGAGGATTGCGGGGCAGATTTCCCTCCTTCCGTTCCCGAGGGGTTCGATTTGCGCGCGCGACGAAGAAGACCCATTGTTGTTGTTAGTATTCTTTCCTCCTCCTCCTCCTCGTCCTCCTGGCGATGATGATCGGAAGTTTACAACACAGAAAGAGAGAGAGAGAGAGAGAGAGAGAGAGAGAGAGAGAGAGAAAGCGCAAAGAGACTTTCGTGTGTCGATTTTTCCTTCGACCAGATTTGAACACAAGCTCACCTTTCCTTTTTGTATTTACGAAAACGAGTGAAAAAAAGGCAGAAAAGAAATAGAAGGTTGTTCTTTCAGAGAGAGAGAAGGCACCAAAGTGCCACACTTTTCACACCCGCAAAAGAAACACACACACGTATCAGAGAGAGAGAGAGAGATTCAGAGAGAGAGATCGAAAGAAGAAGGAAAAGAAGCGCGTTCGTTCTTGCGCGCGTCGTCGGATACGAGAGCGAAAATGAATTCCGAAAATTCTTCCTCTTCTTCTTTGCGCGACAGCGCGGGGAATCCAAACTGGAACGCGATTCTGAAATGGTCCGTCGATGAAGGCTTGAGGCAAGAGGCGGAGTTGAAAGCGAAAGGAGGAGGAGAGATGAAGGAGAAAGCGCAAACGAGAAGAACGATTTCCGAGGAAGACCGCGCGTGGTTCTTGAAAGCCATCGAGAGCGGAGTCGTGGACGAGGTGAAACGGATTAAAGAAATCACGGAGAAAATCATCGGGAAGGACCCGAGAGGCGAACGTATCGAGACGGAAGAAGAGGAAGAGGAGAGAGTTCTCGCGTTGGAGGAACTGAGAGACCGGTTGGAGTCGGTGGATAACGCGAAAGATTTAGGGAAAATTGGCGGGCTCGAACCTCTTTTAGAAGGCATTCAATCGGAGAAGTGGGATGGAATTCGAGCGATGAGCGCGGAGTGCGTGGCGGTATCGGTGCAGAATCACCCCGAGGCGCAAAAGAACGCCATGACGTGCGACGCTTTGAACGTACTGTTGCTCGCGTTGCAATCGGAGAAGCATTTGAATAAGAAGAGCAATTCGAAAGTTATATACGCGTTGAGCTGTTTAGTGAGAGGAAACGCAGAGGTGATGAGTATGTTCGTGGAATCAGATGGGATTGAATCGTTAGCGAAGTGCGGGTTGACGTCTTCGGTCGTCAAGACCAGAGTCAAGGCGGCGGCGTTGTTGAGACACGCGAGCGTGACGTCGGAAGAGGCCATGAAACGGACGATAGACGCGAAAGTGATAGAAGTTGTGGCGACAAAGTTATCTGTGAACGTGGAAAGCGGTTTATCGTCATCCTCGCTCACAGACCTCGCGCAAGAACGAGAGTCGTACGCTCGCTTGCTTTTAGATATCGCCGAACGCGTAGACTTTACGACGAACGAAGACGCCGTCAATCAGTTCAGAAGCGATGGGTTCACGCAAACCCTTCGAGAATCTCGAAAGGTTATAGACGACGGTGCGAACGGCGGAATCACAGACGAGAAAGAATTTATCCTCGCCGTCGATCGATTAAGAAACATGCTCGAATAGAAAGTAGAAAGTAGCTCTCTGACGCTTCATAACAATAATAGGAGCTTCATCGTATTTATATAATAACACGAATACATAGTAACCGCGGACGTAAAAAAAACTGTATAAACGAACAGAACCATGCTCACATCGTCCTCTTTGCGAAGCTTCAGCACCGCTCCTCCGTCGTCGTCGTCTGAATCGTCGTCGTCGTCAGTGCACGTGGAAATGAAAAATTGCTTTCGTCGGTGTCGTCATCTTCGAAATCGAACTCGTTTCGCCGCAATCAAAAGGGAGAACGAGCGCGAGAAACGTGCAGCAAAAGACGAGAGCGAAACGAACACTGAACTTTGTTGCGTATCTTTCAGACGCCGCAGCTTGGCGAGTGCTTTGGCGAGTGCATTTATCATGAAAAGTAGTCCCTCGTTTGCCGGGCAAGTGATTGATTCGATGCAAAAAATGCTCGACGAAACCGACGAGTTGTTGAAAAATCCAGAGCTCTCTTCCGAGGAGAAAGAAGGTTTGGAACGAGAGAAGACGTTTTTCGAGAAGCAAATATCGCGGGTGCAAAAGAACGGCGAGTTTGTTCGAGAGCAGAAAGAGCGATTGAGTAAAACCGGGAATACGGATCAAGCGTATTATGCCTCGGGTATAAGGATAGCGGTGAAAGACGTGAAGAGCGAGACGCAGTTTTGGGAAACCGCGATGGGGATGCGAGTGACGTCGATAAACGAGAAGAGTGGGGTAGTGCGATTGGCTTACGGAAGGGAGACGTTGAATGAAGATGACGGCGGGAAAGCTTCGATTGAGATTCATCCTCTTGATTCTTCTTTGAATAATGGCGCAAACGATAGCAATAATGTGGTTGAAAAGTTAAAGTACATTCAGTGCACGGTGCCCTTTGGTATTCGAGTATCGAGAGTGTACGAAGCCGGCGGGGAGTTGTTGTACGGATTTGGATACTTTGACTTGCGTTCGCCAAACGGAGTTCCAGTCATCGCAAGCGTTGCGAAACGAAGAGATTCTCTCGAAGCCGTGTGCATAGAATCCACCAACGTCGACGCAACAACCAACGCCATTCGAAGCGCCTCTGACAACGGCTTGAGCATCTACGACGCTCAAATACCGGAAACAAAATCCGAGGAGGACCGGAAAAAACTCACCTCGTACGTCCCTCCGCCTCCGAGAGGATCGAAGTTCTTAACCGCTTTACAGTATCAAAAGAACAAGGACGGTTTGCGCATAGACGTCTTCCCAGACGCGGCTACTGTGAGAGCGAACATGACGTTTCAAGAAAAGGTCGCGGAAAAAGCCGAGCAACTGCGTCAAAAAGCCTTCAGTAGCGGTTCAGACGAAGACGACGAGGAAGAAGCATCCGCCGGTGAAGACGACGACTCGCAAAGCAACTTTGCGTTCCTCGGATTAAGAGCGGTGAGCAACGCGAACGAAACCAAAGAGGTTCCGAACATCGGCGCCGATAAATCGAACAGTTGGTCGTTATTTGTAGAATCCTTAGACGCGTTCGAAGGACGGGTGAAAGAACAGCAGCAATAATAATAGTACCTGGTAGTTATTAGCTGATACATAAGTGTCTACAAAGTCTAAAATCAAAGCGCTATCGCGATGAGGCTAAAGCTACGCGCGCGAACAACAAGAAGAAACGCAATCCAAAAACACCGTTGGTGTCATCGCTTTTTCTTCCTCACCATCGCTACACCAATCGTCGCTCCACACAAACCAATCATCGCCCCACCAATCCTCGTCAACACGTTCGCCACTAACTGTCTGTTTGTCCCACCGGGGAAGAAGAATTTGCGCACGTGATGGTCGTCGTCGATGAATGGGAGAAAGAGCAGCCACGCGGTGAGATAAAGAAAGAGTACGGAGGACACAGAAAGGACGAGTATACCTCGTATGGCTTCGGGAGAGTAGCGCTTCGTGGTGGTGAGCATTTCTCGTTTGTTGTGTTTGTTGTCTGAGGAAAAAAAATCGTTTTCAATATACCAATATGTGAGATGAATTTTATCATTTTATGCGTGAACGCGCTAATATGTTTCTCTTGAACAAGCAAACTAACAATCTAAATCTATCTGGTTTCAGACGGCATGCCTTCGTACACTCTCTGACGACACTCTTTGGCGGTTTTTGGAGCGCAGTTTTGTTCCACGGGTATTCTTCTGGCAATGTTTTGCCAGTAGTTTTCGTCCTTCTTTACCGTAGCTCGCGCGTTTTCAAGCGCGACGAGCTCCTCGAAAGACCATACAGTCTTGGAGTTGTTGATGGCAACATCATCTTCTTCGACGTCTTCCTCGGCTTCTTCAGTTTCTTCATCGATGGAGTGACCTTTTTTGAGCGCGGATGGAGGTGCGCTTTTCCCTTGAACGACGCGTTGGCCACCTCGCGTCCAGCCGACGGCTTCGCCTTCGTCCGAGGAGCTGCTGTCTTCGTCCGAGGAGTACGCGCGGTGTCGCGTTTTCTTGCGAGGTTTTGGGCCTGGCTTCTTCGCATCCGGTCGGCGTTTTGACCCTGGTTTCGGGCCTGGTTTCTTCTTCACCTTGACTTCTTCCTCCTCGCCTTCTTTGGTAGCGTCCTTCTTTTTCTTCTTCTTGGAGTCGCTGCTGCCTGGCGCTTCGTCGGCCTTGTCGTCTTCCTCTTTCTTTGCAACACTCCTCCCGTTTGCAACGCAATCGTAGCAGAACCAATCGCCGTCGGGTATTTTCGAAACTTGTGGTACCAAACAGAACGTATGGAAACATTTCGTGCATCCACCACATACGAGTAACGCGTAATCGTGGTCGCTTCGTTTGCATTGCAAGCACGCCTTTTCATTCGACGCAGCGGTTGGATTATCCACGAGCGGTGGTTGCAACGAAGGCACTACCGGGATCATTTGTTGCACGACCGTCGGTTGTATTTGTTGCGGTTGTTGACGTTCTGGCGGCGGTGGTTGTGAATGTAGTGGGCGCTTTTGTTCGGAAGGAGGTGCGGAAACAGGATGCGATCTTTCCGATGCCTTGTCATCGTAATCGTTCTTAGTCTCCTCCTCGTATCTTCGCCGTTCTCGCTGGTGGTTTTCAAGGAGGTGCTGTTGGTGTTCCTGCGTATCTTGCTGCGCGTACTTGCGCCAACCAACCGGTCGACCGCGTTTTTTCTTCGGTTTCTCCTCTCCGGAGCGATAGTCACCGTCGTCGTCGTCTTCCGAGTTATTCGCGCTGACTGTCTTCTTCGTCTTTGGTCCCGTTTTTTTGGCATTGGGAGGATTTTTCGTTCCCGGCGGCCGACCGCGTTTCTTTCTTCTCGGTGGCTGTTGTCCGTTCACGCTTCCATTTCCGTTCGCATACGCAACTCTCTTGTAATACATCTTTTCGCTTCGTTCGTCGGTTAATCCACCGATCCAATTGTCGTTGCTTCCATCGCCGTCCATATCGAACGATTGTTCTTGTAACTTTCGTTTCTCTTCGTACCTCGCGGTGTTCGTTTCCCAGTACGGCCTCGCCGGGAAATTTTTGTTCGCTCGAGAAGACCGACGACGCCCATCTTCGAAATCGCTACTCTCGTCTAACCGGTACTGATAATCGTTGTTCGAGACGAGCGTTGCCACGATGGCTCTAGGATGATGTCCTCCATACTTTTGAGACGGCGGCGGTGTGATGCCTAAAATTTTTGAAGCCTCCAATCGCAGCTCCTCGGATTCGCGACGTCCTTTTCGAGCACCGTTCTTCTTTGACGGTACATCAATCGTCATCGTCGACTCAGATGCGCGAACGCCACCGGATGGTGACTTTCGTCTATGCGCGCCTCTCGGTTCGATGTAGACGTCGTCTTCGTCGTTTTGTTGTTGTTGTCGTCGTTGCTGCTTTTCATCCGAAGCGACCGAGTCTATTTTCCGAAAGAATCCTCTCGGCGGCGACGGTGGCTTCTCTATTTTCGGATGCGCGTCCACGTACCCACCTCTGTACTCTAACGTCTCCTTCATCGTCTCGTCGTCTTCTATTTCCTGCTGCTGTCTATTTCTATCGTTTTTGTTATTTTCTATTTGCTTCACCGGTGACGGCGACAAACCGAGCGCTCGCATCCCCGGCGACGCCTCTGGGCGTTGATTCGACGCTTTCAGCGGCGACGGCTGCAACGTGATCCTTCGCGGTGGGCTTGTTAATGCGTTTTGTTCTTCTTGTTGTTGTTCATGTGGTGCGTTTCCGGTGTCGCGCCTCGGCGACGCGCGTTGTTGTTCTTGTTCTTGCTCTCGTTGACGACGATGATGACGATGATGCTGTTCTTGTTGATGCTTCTTCGCGTACGGAAACCCTGTAACCATCTTCTCCACGTGTTCTCTTTGCATTTGCATCTGCATCTCGCGTTGCTGCTCGAATCGATCATCTCTTCGTCGCGCGTCGAGGAGCAGCTCCGTCATATTTTGTGCACCTTCTTTCTCGCGAGGCGAGGAGTTTTTTGCCAAAAATTCCTCCTCCTCTTCCTCCAAATGCTTTTCACGTTGCCTCGTTAACCCACTCTCTTTCTTCTGTTTCTTTTTCTTTCGAAAGAGGAGAGGATACGAGAAGACGATTTCCCTGTGCTCCTCTTCCTCTTCCTCCTCGTCGTTCTCTCCCTTCGAGAGGTGCACTCGGCCGAGCATCAAGTCGTCCAACGTGAACGACGAGGTTTTCGTTGTTTTCGTTTCTGTCGTCGCTTTCATCATCGTCGCGTTTTCGTTCGTTCGTTCGTTCGTTCGATGCGATTGTTCTTTCGCGCGCGCGCGCTTCAGAGAGAGAGAGAGAGCGAGCGCGAGTTTAAATCGGAAAACCTCTCAGAAACGAGTTCAATCTCTCGGGAATGGGATTTCCCGGGGAAAACAAAACACAAATTTTTTAAAAACGAACAAAGTTTCTCTCTCAACCTTTCGTTGTTGTTTCCTCTGAACGCTCGCCTCCGAAAGCGCTCGCTCGTGACGTCGCCGAGAATGTCTGTCGCGCGTTCTTCTTCTCTCGATCGATTCGCGACGACAATACACCACCACCACCAAAGAAGAAGAAAGGATTCTGAGTTTAAATAAAGAGAGTTTGATGAATTTAAATGAAATAAATTTGTTGAAGCAGCCTCCTCAGAAAAAAAAGCTGCGCTCTCACGACACAAAAAAAGGGAGAAAAAAGAGACACAAAAAAAATGGAAGGAGGAACACCCACGACAGCGGGTGGTTTGACGCAAACTCTCGTGGCGACTTTGATGCGCGAGAAAGGAGGCTTAGGAAAGCTTTTCTCCCGCTCTGATGAGGATAAAAACGCCAACAACAACGCGCTCGTGGTTGTTGGCGCGGCGGCTCTTTCGGCGTCGTCCGCGATGATGGTGTGGTATTTCGCGTACAAAAAATCGTCGTCTCACATTTCGTCGGGAAATTTGAAAAAAAAGGACTGTGTCAAAGCGTTGGATTTGATTCCGCACCCGGAAGGTGGCTATTTCAGAGAAACCCACAGGTCTGGGGCGACGCCGATGGCAAGTCGAGGGAAAACAGATTCGAACGGAGATTTGGTGAAAACGTCGTCCGGAGGGAATGCGAGGAACACGATGACGTCTATTTACTATTTGATTGAGGATTACCAAGGATTGGTGTGTAACAAGAGCGACCACGTGCATTATTTTCACTACGGGTGTACGGTGCTGTATCACATCGTCAATCCATCCACGGGAGAGTATTACGTGGAACGATTAGGTTCAAATTTGAGTAAGGGCGATAAACCACAAGTCGTTGTGCCTGGAAATTATTTCAAAGCGGCGACTTTAGAGAAGACGAAAAGTTTTGACTTTGCGCTTTTAGGCGAAGGCGTCGGACCCGGGTTTGATTTTCGCGACTTTGAGTTTGTGAGTAAAGAGAAGTTAAAGAGGAATTTGTCGAACAAGAGTAACTTTTTCGTTTTAGAGAGGTTGTGCAAGCCAGGCATCGAAGACACGGACAAGTTTTACGAGAAGACAGATAATAATAAGAAGAAGAACAACAAGAATAAGAACAATACGAATAACAATAGAAATGGATCGAGCGATAAGTTGTCGAAAGGAAAAGATATATCAGCTCCCGGTTTGAAGAAAATTCCGACGCCGAAGATAGGTGGAGGACAAAGTACCAACGCAGTAGCAGCGCCGGTGAACGGTGAAGCAAAGTCGCCACAACCACCACTCCCACCCTCGCCGCCGCCTCCGAATGCGTTGCGAACGACACCCAACGGTAATACGGTTTTGGCCGACAGAAAACTCACGCGTTCGATGGCGACCAACCCGCAGATTCGCTTCGACGATATCGGTCAATCCACGCCTCAGTTTAAACCGCCAAAAAATATCAACCGAATCGACCGAGATAACGTGGAAATCACGCCGATGGGTTTGAAAACGAGACCAGAAGAAGACGAAGGCGATAAGTCGTTGGAATTGGAAAGCCCGCTTTAAAGAGAGAAAAATTAATCATAAAACAAAAAGCTGTAATACAAGACGCGAGCCATTCGCTGCATCCCTCCGCGACTTTAAACGTGTGCAAAATTTGTGCGCCCGTATCCGTTCTTGTCGCTTTGCTACTAAAACGTGAAGAAAGTGAGATTTTGAATTATTGTTTGTTATGTATAAATAGTGGACAGTTTTTACAGAGACGACGCGCATCCTAATCACTCAGAGCAGCAACTATCGTTTTTAAGTCCACTCCAAAAGAGCGCTCTTTTGTCGCGAACGAACGTTGTTCAAACCCTCTTCTCTTTCGTTCTCTCTCGTGTGTGATGTGATTTGTGTTCTTGTGTGTGTGTTTCGAATTTTGAATTTTTCCCCGAGCTCCGTTTATTAGTCCGTGCTCGCATCCTTCAACTGAGAAATCCAAATCTTAATCTCGTCCTCCGTCGGCGGTCGTTTGTGCTTCTCCTCGAACATCTTGCACAATCCGTCGAGGATGGAGTTCAACTCCTCGTCTTTGATATCCATTTTTTGTAAGTTTGAATTCGTCATCGTTTCAGAAAGCGGAGGCATTTTTTATAAGGAGAGAAGGAAAGCGTAATACACTGTTAGCATCGTATTTCATCCGGGTCATCGTATTTACTTGATCACTTCGTACTTTACATCGCTCCGAAAGACTACTCTATTATGAACACTACTCCATCTATCTAGTTCTATTATTTGAGGTGCTGCGTTTTTTTCTCCGTCTTCAAAGCGCCCCCGCTCTCTCTTCGTCCAACAACTCGATTTTCTTCACCTCCAATCGAAACGCGCCGTCCATGTCGCCTTTGCCGAACTCTAAACCGCCGCAGGCGATACCAATCGATCGCATGTTCCCTCGTCGTCGTAAACTGTCTTTACCACCGATTGTTTGCGACTCCACCACGCCTCCTTTGTAGGTTTTCATGAACTGATCGAGCGGGACGGTGAGTTCGGTCCAGTTCGTACGACCGCTACTACTTTCTTCGCTCGTCGTCGTTTTCGGCGCGAGTAAAAACGCCTGCCACAAATCGTGTTCTCCGTTCCCGAACGCGTCTCTCTCGGTTTTTATCGAGCACACGTACGCTCTGCCGTCGTAGTTTCTCATCGTAAACCGCACGTGCGAAAAATACTCCAAATCTACGTCCTCTTCTTCTTCTCGTTCTTGTTCTTCGCTTTCGTCATCCTTCCTCTCTCTCGACGTTTTCGTCAGTCGCGCCTTCACGTCGTTCCATCCAAAACCGGCGAACCCGGACCGTTTCAAGCTCCGAATCTCTCGCATCTTCTCGTCTCTCAATTGCGGCACCGATGAATCCAAGTTTCCCTCGAACACGACGCTGCCATAACCACCAATATCATCAAAGTTGTTCTCGTTCACGTGGTTCCTCTTTTCCTTCTTCGTCGTCGTCAGAGTTGCTCGACTTCGGCCTCCAAAATCCGCGTCCGAGAACGACTTCCATTTCTTTTTCTCCTCCTTTTCCTCCTTTTCCACGAGATGACACCGACTGAAATCGGCGATCGTAACTACCGCTGGAATCGTCGACGGTGGTCTTTTCGCCGCGGATATAAAACTCCCGAGCATGGATTTGTACATCGTTTTCGTCAGTTTCGAGAAAGACATTTGGATTTTGTTTTTCTCCCAACTGATGAGAAAATCCTACTCTAAAACCCAAACGACAGAAACCTCTCAACAGAGAGAAAAAAAAAGAAGGAGTATTCAAACCGAAACTACCACCACACGCGTGTTTTTGTCGCGCGTGCGTCTTCCGTGCGCGCGCGTATATATGATAACGTTTGCGAAGTTGTGTAATCAAAGAGATATTTTTTTGTTGTTTTTTTTTTGTTGTTTTTGAGAAAAATTTCCTGCTCGACAGCTCTTTTTGTTTTTTTTGCCTCTTTGAGCTCGAAAACGGGCGAAGATGGTCTGTTGAAATTGCGGCTTACGTTCGACGCTTTGTCTACTCCGCGCGAAAAGAACACACAAAGGCGAGACGACGAGAATACGAAGCTTAAGTGATAAAAGAATACCATGGACGAAGATGAAGAGTACGAGGGAGGCGGAGAAGAAGCAGAACCGGAGATGATCGATAACAACGAAGGAGGGAACGAGGAGGATGAAGGGATGGATGTGGACGGGGACAACATCATCGCCTCCGGGGATCGATCATCATCGTTGGGTGCGCGAGAAGGAGGAGGGAAAAGAGGGAAAGCGGTCCCGAAAGACCAACGAACGACGACACCGTACATGACGAAATACGAACGCGCGAGAATTTTAGGCACGAGGGCGCTGCAAATAAGCATGAACGCGCCGGTTTTAGTGCAATTGGAAGGCGAGACGGACCCACTGGACATTGCGAATAAGGAATTGAGGGAGAAACGAGTGCCGTTTACGGTGAGAAGGTTCATGCCGGACGGGAGTTGGGAAGATTGGGGAGTGGACGAGTTAATCGTGGAAGATCCAGATAGGAGAAGAGGGTTGTGATAACGTACGTAGCTTTTGTTGTATTAAAAATGATTAGTAGAGAGAGAGAGAGAGAGAGAGAGAGAGAGAGAGAGTTAAGTTACTCGTATTATTGTTAAACTTTGCCGCTCAAGAAGTCTCGAACGCGCCGGTCGATCGCCAGAGCGACTGCTTCTCTATTCGTAGAATACGGAACAAAAGTGGCCACGTACGTGTCCACATCAATCGCGAACTGGTTTATGCCTTCCTCGGACATTTCTTTCTTTTGCTTTTCGAGGAGGTAGCGAACGATATCATCCGAGAAACAGCGCTTGGAAACTGACGTGCAGATTTTTCGCCAAACGCGTTGGAACGCTCGAGAATCGAGAGATCTGTGGAGAAGCGCGAGCCACGCGCGAAGAGCGGGAAGACCGACTAAAAGGAGATGACTCGCTTTGGTCGGAAACTGAGAAGATGGAGACGCAGGAGGCGAAGTGTTTTCTCGATCATCGTCGTCGTTTTTAACGCCGACGCCGCATTTCGTAAAGCGCAAGGCGGAAGCGTAGGATCTGTACCCATCCAAAGCGTCGCACGATTTACCCACCGCGACGTTCGCTAAGCGATCAATCCATACCTCTCGCAAGTCTTTAAACATCTTGCATTCGTCGTCAAAAACGCCTTCGATGTTATCGTCTTCGTTGTCATCCTCGTCGTCGTCGTCTCTTTTGTACCCTCTTACCAGGTCGACTAAAAACGGCAACTCGGAAAGTTCGCTCAAAGTTTCCTCAATCTTCAACGACGCCGCGATGCACGCTCCAATTCGAATCACCGCGCGCGTGACAACGTCCATGTTTTCAGAAAACAAATCGTGTTCGACTTCGTTCGCCTTGTCATCGACGGCGTCGCGAAACTTCTCGACTAGAAGCGCCGGCACTCTCGCGAGAAACTCAACTTTGTGTTCGTCGTCTGAAAGTTTTTCGCTTCTCGCGACTAAATTTGCGAGCAGAGTAGCGAGAACGGTCGAGACTTTAGGCGCGGTTACGCCGGGTAAAGTTCCGTCATCTTCAACATCCACATAAAACGCGTCCCTTTCGATGTCGTCTGGAGACCCTTCTGCGTATCCGCTCGCTTCGCACTCCCATCCCGCATCTTTGGAATCCAACAGCGGTTTAATCTCGTTCCAACTCGCCTCTAATTCCGACAACAACCAGGACACCTTCCAATCTTCGCTTCCGTCCGCCAACACGTCTAAGCATTTCGGTGCGTTCGAAAACCGTCCGAAATCTTTCTCACACTTTTCGTCAAACGCGATGGCGCAATCTGCCAAGTGCAGCCACCATTTTTTCGCGTCCGATTCACACTTGGCGCAGTACACGTCTTCCAACAGCGCGCGAGCTGAATCGCTGAGCGCGGATGCGATCGTAGAAGCAAATGCGCTGGCACGTTTCTCGAACAGTTCCTCTAAGAAAGAAGTCGTGTCATTACTACCAGCGTCATCGTTGTCCTTCTCGTCTTTGTTGCACTGAATCAACGCCGAGGCGACGAACGATGGCACAAACTCAATCTGTTTCGCGCAACAATTCAACATCAACTCCGGCGCTCTCGAATGTTGCGCGCTCGCAAAGGCTTTCACGAACCGTTTTTGAACGGCTAAGGCAAAAGTTTCGGCCACGAAATCGTACTGACCGACTCTAATATCTATACTATCTTTTCTATTATCGCCGCTGATAAAAATATCGCTTTCTAACGCGGTTTGCAACACAAACAACAGCTCGCAACATCGACTGATTACTACCCCATTACTCTCACTCTCACCATCGTTCCACTCGTACTCGCTCAACTGCGAAGGCGTCAACGGAGGTGGCCAATTCGTTCGTTTCAGCGAGCGTCTCAGAATGGTCGTCAACGCGCGTCGACACTCTTCCGCGACCGCGAGCGTTCGTTTCCTAGCATGCGACGAAACTCTCGACGACATCGACGCAAACGCGCGAATAGTAGTATCGTCGCCATCACGATTCCTCGCCATCGACGACGCTTGATTGATCAAAGCGACGCTTTTTGCCAACTCGTCCAGCAAGAGCGGGTAGGATTCTGTTTCTTCTCCTCCTCCTGCTTCTTCTTCTTCTTCGCTCGCGAGGACAAACACGCCTTTCCGCTTCTCCTTCATCTTCCGCACGATATCCAGCGACGCGCACGTCAAGTGTTCTCGTTTTGCCAGATGGTGTAAAAGAACGCTCGCCATTCTCGACGCGCGTATACTTCTCGCTTTACTCGTACTCGTAGTTGTTTGCGTGGTAGTAAAACCGTCGATGTTGTTGTTGTTCATGTTGTCCTCCTCCTCCTCCTCCTCCTCCTCCTCCTCCTCCTCCTCGTCTGAGGCGACACCAGCGTCCTCGTCCTCGTCTGAAGACTTCATCAGCTTCCTCCTCGCGTTTGCCGACGTCGACGCGACCGCGGAATGTCTCGATAACCGCTCCAAAATTTGCACGCGTTCGATCGTTATCGCCTGATATATATATAGAGAGAGAGGGAAGAGGAGCGTCAGCGTTCAGAAGAGAGAGCGAGCGAGAGAAAGAGAAAGAGCGTTTTCCAATTCGAAAGAGAGAGAGAAAGTTGTGAGTCGTCTTACCTCGACGTCGCGCTCGAGAGACTCGATCGTCGTCCTCGTCGTCCTCGTCTCTGTCAAAGTTTCTTCTTCTTCTTCCATTATTTCGTCGTCGATGATGACGCTAAAAGTGCGTGAATAGAAGCCCTCGTTGATGGTGTCAGCTTCCACTGCACATCGTGCTCTCTGTTGAGACGAATACAATAACAGAGAGAGAGAAAAAGTGATGAGAGAAAGAGAGAACGAGAGAGAACGAGAGAGAAATCGCTCAGAGCGTTTTGACTGAAAACTTTCGAGCTGCAGACGTGTCTCTTTTTCACAAAGAAACGTTGTCCTCTTTTCTCTCTTTTTGCACCAACAAAAACCTCTTTTTCCATTATATCCATTACAGATTTGCGCGTTTAAATTAAAGCGGAGAGAAAGAGAGAAAGAGAGAGAGACGATCGTCGGAGCAGTCAGAGTACGTTTTGAACGACGCACAAAACACGGATCTGCGCTTTGCTTTATACACACACACACACACAGAATACGCGAAGGATTCTTTGTCTTGAAAACGTGATGTTTGCGAGTGAAAATGTCCTCCTCAAGAGGGGCTTCGTCGTGGCGGCACAAAACACATCATCTTCGTCGTCGAGACGAACGAACGCGCGTGTGCACGTCAAGCGGCATCCGCGAAGAAGACAATCGCACAAAAACGAGAGGTCATCAAAAACGCTCGTTGTCACGAACATGGCGAAACCACCGTCAAACTCGGCGGTATCAAACATTCGCGTGGAAAAATCCGAGGTGAAACCCGGGTGCGTGGTGGAGTTATCCGTGGCGGTCCCGATGGATGTTTTGGCCATAAGCTACGAAAACGCGATCGACGAAGCCGTCGCGCAAGCGGAAATTCCAGGGTTTGAAGCGCCGAAGAAAAAAGACGGGTCGAGAAAGAAAAGTGATACGAAGAGACCACCGATGAATATGCTTTTGAAAGCGGTCGGGAAGGATACGTTTTTGCAACTGTGCATCGAGGATACGTTGCAGAACACGTTGCCGCAAGCGATGCAATTCGTCGCCAAGGAAGCGATCCAGGATTCGGAAACGATCGCGACGACGCCGAGACAGCTAGCGGAAGCGTTTGGTGGGCCAGAGTGTACGCCGTCGAAAGAGCTGGAATACGTGATTAAGATTTGTGTGCAACCGACGGTGCAGTGGACGAAAAATATCGACAGTTTGGAGGCGACGTACGTCAGCCCGGGGAACGACGAAACCGATAAGAGAGACGCGGAGACGTTGTTTGAGAACCGATTGAGAGATTTGGCGACGATGCGAGTGATCGCGGATAGAGGATTAGAGGAAGGCGATGTTGCCGTGATTGATATTAATGCGATGGATACGAGCGGGAACTCGTTGCCGGGGATTGAAACGAAAGATTTTCGATTGGATACGGCGACGACGGATTTGAAATTACCCGGGTTGATGGAACAAATCGTCGGGATTAAAACGGGAGAGGAGAAAGATTTCAACTTATCTTTTCCGGAAGATTGGTCGGTCAAATCTGTCGCCGGTAAAACAGCAATGTTCACCGTCAAAGTGAACGAGTTGTTTTCGCGAGAGATGCCGACGTTGTCGGACGACATCGCCGAGGACATTTTTACCGGGTCAAAAACCGTCGACGAGGCGAAAGCGCAAATCCTGGAGGCGCAGAAAATGTCTCGAGAAGTCGAAGAGAAGATTGTGAAAGACGAAGCCGTGTTAGACGCGTTAGCGGCGGCGTGCTCGTGTGAAATTCCGGAATCTGTGTTGAGAGAACAATCCGAAAACATGTTTGGCGAACACTTGACCCAAATGCAAATGGAAGGTAAAATGTCCATGAAAGCGATTCAAGCGTTAGCCTCGGAGAAAAACATGAACAAGTTCGTCACGGAAAGAGCCGAGGAGATTAAACTCATTTGTAGAAGAACCATCGCGTGCGAAGCGTTGTTCACTGAAAAAAATATGGTCATCACGCAAGGCGAACTTTCCGACGAATTGAAAAACCAGGTGAAAGATCTCGAGGCGCAAGGCATCGAATACGACGAAGAGAGAATGATTCAAAACGCGCGAGCGGCGTTGGAGGCGGCAAAGACTATTCAATGGTTGAGAGATAACGTGAAATTGACCGAATTGCCACCTTTAGAAAGATCCTCCGCGTAGTAGAGAAGAAGAAGAAGAAGAAGAAGACGGAACTTTTTACTCTCGCGCACGGGTTTACGTGTCGGCGGCCGAGCGTTTTAATCAGAGATATTATTTAATAACAACACTTCCAATCCTCACTCCATCTCCACCATCTCCCACTCGATCGCGTTGTTATTCTTAGTATTCTTCTCCTTACTCTCCGCGGCGGAAACGACCACCTTCGCTGGAACTGACCCGTCCCCGTACGCTTCCTCTTCCACCGGCGGCACCATATCTCGACTGTCCATCACTTGCACCAAGACCAAATACCCGACCGCTATGAGGACCGAAATCACCCCGGTCACGATCGCGGTCACTTGTCCTTTCACCAAAGGTTCCGCCGTGATTGGATTGATCGGTGCGTCGATCGGTTGTCCGATGTTTGACGCGTTCATGTCTTGTTTCATCACATCGTCGTCGTCGTCACTCTTCGCTTTCGTCTTTGTTTTCCCCGCTGCTCGTTGTTTTACACGTTTCTCTCGTCCTCGTCCTCCTCGCATCATCATCGTCGTCGTCGTCAAAACGTGTCGCGACGATCTCGACGACGACGACGATCTCGACGACGACGACGAGTGCGACGACGATCGTCTGCGTCTCATCAGGGTCGCGCACGCGCTCAAGCTCGTCGTCATCGTTAAAGTAATCTCGTCTCTCTTTCTGTCGTCTTTTCCCCAAATGTGCTCCAATTCTCCTCAGAATTTATCGAGAGTACACGCACGTAAAGAGTCTCGCTTCGCGTCATGTCGGACAGAAAAGGAGTGGGAAACTGGCCCGACAGAGGAGATCCTTTTCATCGCGGAGGAGGATTAGGAGGAAAACCACGGGTGCGCGTTTCTTTTTGCTTTTCTTCACATCATCATCATCTCGTCAAAAGACTCGCATCCTCGTCTCTAGGGAAAAGGAGATCAATTTCCTCTCTTTCTCTCTCGCTCTTTTCCCGTCGTTCCCGCGAGTCGCGTTCCCTCGTTCGTGGATTTTCGTTCGCGCTCTTTCGCTTTCGCTTTATTCCGCGTAAATTCTCGATCGTGACGATGCGTTGTTGTCGTTGTTCGCGGCTCACCTTTACACACGAAATGTACGCAAAACAGGACGAGGCTGCCCCTGTGGGAGGACAACAACAACAACACCCGCCGAGAGGCCCGCCGCCTGGGATGGGCAACGCGAGAGGTCCACCACCACCACAGTTTCAAGGAAGCAACAGAGGAGGAGGAGGAGGAGGAGGGTATTACGGAGGAAACAGGTCACCGCCGCGAGCAAACAGACCGCAAATGATGACGACGCAGCAGCATCGGGCGCAGAGTCGGGATCGATATCCCGCGGCGGATGACGATCAAGGCGCCGAGGACGGCGAGGTAGGCGAGTTGCCTCCACCAGGGATGGGAAGAGGCCCTCCGCCGGGGATGATGGCACCTCCCTCGGGTTCGAGGTTTCCGCCGATACCGACGGGCGGGAGGACGAGTCAACCGAGACCTGGTTTTGACGAACCGATTATGGCGAGCGCGGCGATGCCGGCGAATCGACCGAGTCTTTTAGCGCAGACGCAACATCAGAAGAAGTACGTGCCACCGCAAATTCCAGGAGATGGTGGAGGCGGGAGTGCTCCGGTCGGACCGCCCCCGGGGGTGTTAAAACCGCCAGCAACAAGCGGTATTCGTGGTTCGGAAGGCGATTTGACGTCGCCGTCGAAAAAGAAACTCGGTTGGGGTCGGTCTTTGAAGCCGCAACAAGCGCCGCCGCCGAAGAAAGAAGAAAACGAAGAAGAGGAAGAAAAGAAAGTCGAGAAAGAAAAGGAGGAAGAAGAGGAGAAGCCGCCGTCTCGACCGCCGTCGGCACCACCCGTCGCTATCGAAAAGAAAGCAGCGCCGACGAAAGAGGAGGCGCCGACGATGGACGACAAAGAGTTGAAAAAGCTCAAAGCGGCGGAGAATCGATTAAAAACGACCAAAGCCGCGTTGGTCGCGCAGATGGATCGCGTGGACGAAACCGTCGTCGAGTTGGAAAAAGAACTCGAAGCGCTCGTCGATCAGAGACGTTTGGAGAAACAAAAAGATAAAGAAGACCGCGACGGCGACTCTTCGGATTTGCGTTACGCGAGACGCGAGACGGAACTTCTTCGAAACCGATTACAAACCGCAGAGAAGCAAAGAGAACAGCGAGAACTGTTCGTGGAAGAAAGAAACCAAGAAGCTCGAGAGTTGGCCAATCGCGAGCGCGAGTTGAAGGATATTCGCAAAGCCTCTGCGTCTGAAACCGAAAAGGCGGCGAGATTTCTAGCCAATCGCGTGTGCAGAGAGATGTGCGAAAGAGATAAGAAGAAAGTGAGCGAGGAGATTCCGAAGCAATTCGCGGCGGAAAACAAAAAGAGACACGACGATGCGGAGGAGCGAATCACCTCCAAAGATCACATTTCGCTTCCTAGTATTTACTCAATTCCAAAAGAACAACAAACGAACGCGGCGGATATCGCGAAGAGAGTCTACGACGAAGAAAAGGACGAAAAGAAACGCGGGAAAGTTCGCGAACAAATTATGAACGTCTTGCGCAAACGAAAGAAAAAGTTGAGCGAATACGAATACACGTTAGCGTTGCAATACTTGAAATATCGAGAGCGATGGCGCGTGTCGTTAATGTTTAAAGCGGCGGAAAAGGAACGAAGAGAGCGCTTGGCGCAAAAAGGCAATCGCCGAGGCATTACCGGCATGGGAGGTGGACCTTCGTCCTCCTCGAGAAACCGATCAGATTCGCGAAATCAACAAATTGGTGCGGGCGGCGTCGGTGGATTGTACGGTGCTCCTGGTTTTGGCTTCGGTCGCTCCGATGGTGTCGCGCGATCCGAATACGAGGAGATGCAAATGATCAAAGCGTTACAACGCAAAGAAGAGTTGAAAACGCTCTGCAAGGTTCCGGATATGATCTTGGACGAACACGAAAGACGCATTGCGATTTTTGACAGCCGAAACGGTCTAGTCGAGGATCCTAAAGCCGAACACGACGCGGAGAAGTTCATTCGCCCTTGGACCGAAGACGAGATTCGCGTGTACCACGAAAAATTCACCGCGTACGGAAAGAACTTTCGACGCATCGCGAAGCACTTGCCCGGCCGCGATACCGCGGATTGCGTCGTATATTACTACAGAAATCAAAAGACGTCGGACGGGTTTAAAGCGCGAAGGAAAGCCGCGGCGAAGAAGAGAAAGATGTATAACGACGCGCGCCGCAGCGGCGCGACTGGTTTGTACAGCGCGCCGCCGGAAGCTATAGCGCAAACGTTTAAAGAACGCGAAGAGACGCAACGTTCCGCGTTAACCGCCGAAGCGCGATTAGAACGCGCGGCGTTGGCGCAAGCCGCGAAAGCGGCAAAAGCGAAGAAAAGAGCTGAGAAACGTGAACGCGAAGGTGGTGGAAACGACAACGAGAGGAAAGGGAGTTTTTCTGAGTTGACGGATGCGTCCGGGGAAGTCAGCGGCGAGGCGAAGCGTCAAAAAGCGTGAAATGAATGAAACCGTAAAAATCGTTGCTCGTAGTAAATCTAGCGCTGGGTGTGTAAACCTAACTAAAAATTGATTACATAGAAGTACTCTCGTTGAGCGTCGTAAAAGAATACTAATACTACTCGGTCGTCCGAGGGTAAATAAAAATGGTGGTGGTTTTTCAATCGTAATCGCCTTCGCCGTCGACGTCGAATTCGCTCGCCGTGTACTCTCTATCGCTCTTCCCTAAAATCGTTTGAAACAAAATCGGAATGTTCATTTTAAATTCATCCACGCCTAAAGCAGAGCCTTCTCTACTCGGATCCCAGCTCGCCGAGAGCACGCCGTACGTGATCCCGACAAACGCCAACCCAAACGTCGCCGTGCTCGCCGCGAAAAACATCCAAGGTTCCAACCACTCCTGCGTGTTAATTTTCGCGAAATAATAATACGTAGGTCCCGTCGTGAATCCTAAAACCATCGGTATCCCGCTAAACCGTACGACTCGCGAGAGCATTCGATCGGTCACGATTTGCGGCACCGCTTTTTTTTGCGCGTTTTGAAACTTTTTTCTCTCCTCTGCTTTTCTCGCATTTTCCTCGTTTTTCTCTCGTGCCGTCGTTTCGGTCGCTTCTTTGATTCGTTTCAGGGACTGTTTGGAAACTTGCCCGCCTGAATACGAGATCGGTTTCCCGGTTCGTTCGGAGTATTTCACGTTCGGGAGTCTCTTTTCTCTTTTGCTGCTCTCTTTTCTTCGCTCAAAACTCGTCGACGTGGTTTCGTCTTCAGAGTTCTCGACGCGCTTTTGCACGGGTTGCAACGACGACGGATTTCGTCCTTTCATCCCGGCGTTTCTCCCTTTCGCCGCATCGACGGTGACATCGACGATTTGTCGTTTCCTCCGAGAAAACGAGGAGAATAAAAGGACGTTCGTTCGTCTCGGTTCTGTCGCCAAAGAAATCCTCGTTAAAGACGAGGAAAACATCGCGTGGTATTCTTTGCTCTGTTGCGTGTTGTGAGGATTTTTGATTGGTTTATCCAAAAATGTGGGCCGTATCTTCTCTCAAAAATACTCTGCGCGAGATGTCACTGTTTTAGTATTAAAAGGTGGTCTTTCTTTCTCGTCTCTTTCTCGTTTTCACGCGCTCTCTACTACTTCTTCTCGTTGTTCTCTGTAGAATACGCGCGAGATGTCACTGTTTTAGTATTAAAAAGTGGTCTTCTTTCTTTCTTTCTTTCTCTGTCTATTTCTCGTTTTCGCGCGCTCTTTACTACTTCTTCGCGTTGTTATTGTTGTTGTTGTTGTTGTTGTTCGTGTTGTTACTCATCATAATCGACGCAGACGGTTGCCGGCGGCTCATGCCTCTTTTCAACGCCGGATTGGTCGCCATCGTCGCCGCGACGGCGTCGAGTTCGGAGGCGGAGAGCGCGTTGTAGGAACTCAAGAATAAATTGCTCGAATCCGGGTCGGTGTTGAATTCACTCATCATTCTGGAGAGATCGCTGGAGTATTGGCGCGCGACGCCGGCGGCGGCGATGGCGCCTTGGCGCGAACCCGGTCGAGAGCCGAGCATGAGTAACGAGTTGGAGGAGGCGTTGTTGGAACCGACGGCGGAAAAACCTTGGACGTTTTGGAAGAGACGCGCGACGTCTGGCGGTGGCGTCATTGATGAGGTGGCGCGGAAACCTTGTTGCTGCGCTGGTGGGTTGTTCGCACCAGGTTTCGGGGACGGTGGTAACATCATCATCGCGTTTAGGCTCTTTTGCGACGGCAATTGTTGTTGAAAAAAGTTTGGCGTTCGAGATCGGCCGGGAAGGACGCCGTCGGTCAAAACACTTCCGGTATTCGAATCCGTCGGCTTTGCCGCCTCTGAAGCCACCACTTTCTTCCTCGTCGTCGCCGCTTTGGTGTGCTTCTCTTTGCTACCAGTCGATGTCGTCGTTTTAGTTTGTGCGCCCGCCGCCGCCGCCGCCGATGCCGCCGCGGCTTTCTTCTCGGTTCGTATTTTCGATCTGTTCTCCGTGGCCATTTTTTTCTCCTCTTCCGACTTCTTCACCGCCTCGACGTCCACCGATAACGTCTCTTTGTCCGTCGGTACCAGTAAAGGCGTGCCTCTCACGAACCCTTTCTTCGTCTTCCTCGGTTTACCAACAAAAATTGCAGCCAAATCTTTCGCAGTCATCCCGCTCGCGCATTTCGCCAACTTGTCCTCGTCGAGAACCCACTCGGCGGCTTGTCGTTCGTCTTTCTTTTTAAACAACTCTTTTGCGTCTTTTTCGGAGATATTCGTCGCGCCTTCCGAGGCGATGTGCACTAACAAACGCAAAAACGGTTCAACTCGAGCGTTCGTCCACCAATACCCGTTCACGTCGAACGTTTTCCCGTACGTTTGCGCGAGAAACTTATCAAACGCTTTGCGATACCCCAACCCGTCGCGACTGATGAAGACGTGCGACCCTTCCGCTCGTAATATAGCCGTCGTAAATCGAGCAATCGTGCGTCTCCTGTCCGCTCTTTTCGGCTTACTCGCGTTCGCTTTATCCCCGGACGCGGCGATAGCGCCAAACACGCCTTTCCTCGTCGAACTTTTCTTCTCTTTCTTTTCCGGCGGCGGCACCATCGGCGTTTGCTGTAATTCTCCGGCAAATTTATCTTCTTTCTTATTACTCGTCGTCGTCTGAATCGTCGTCATTTCCTCCGCGTCCGCTCTCCCGCGTTTCCGTTTCTTCGGCGGTGGCGCCATCTCTTCTTCTTTAACTTCTTCGCTTCCTTTAAAGAAAAAACTCGTATCAGTATTCGAGCCGTCGTCGCCGTTTACGCTTCGCGTCGAACTCAACAACCGCGCGATGAACTCTTTCGTGTTCGCGCGGTGTAACGGAGGAATTACACTCTTTTCGAGTAAATGTTGTTGTTTTTCTTGTTGTTGTTGTTTTAGTTCCGTCGAGGACGCTTGGAGGAGTTTTCCGCCTCCTATTCCTCCTCTTCCTCCTCCTCTCTCGGTAGCAGATCTCTTCGTAAACTCCGCCAACAAATCCGCGGTCGCTTGGTAATCCGCTTTCCGTTCCAGCAACAAACTGGCGAGGATTTTTTGTTCGAAAAGCGTCGAGTGTTCGATCGACTGTTTCAGTTTCGTCGTCGTCGTTTTAATCTTCTTTCTGTCGTCGTCGTCAAAGTCGTTCCCGCTGCCGGATTTCGATCCAATTTTAGACTTCGGAATGGTGGAAAGAAACAAACTCTCCTCTTCTTCTTCTCCTTCTGAACAGAGAGAAAGAGAGACGAGTTCTGTTTTACGCGATGCGTGTGTGTGTGGAGCAGTGTTAAAGAGCGCAGGAAAAACGTGACGCGAGAGGGTACGAGTGCAATAATCGCAAACAGGTTTAACGCGTCTGTGAAATGGAGCGTTTTGGGAGCTTTTTGGGGTGCCTTTCAAGCTTGTAGAAGAGAAGGTTTGTAGTACATTTTAGTATAGTAGATTACATGTTTTCGATGCGTATCTCGTTAGTATTAGCCTGGATTCTATTAGTATTATATTATTCTTCTATTATGATTATTATTATTAGCCTGGTATTCTCAAGCGCGAGTGTTGTTGTTATTATTATTAAACGTGTTGTCGGATAACCCGCGCAGAGAACCAAACGTGACGTTATCGGCGAGCGCGTTGACGTTGGCGTTGTAGTTTCGCAAATCTGACATACCTCTCAAGTCGCTCGTTTTCAACGATTTGTTCCCACTTCCCGCAGCGATGTTACCACCCAAGGAGTATAAATTACTTTTCTCCGGCGAAATACCAGCCGCGGCGCCGTTGAGTATTAAATTCATGATGTTGTTGTTGTTCAACGCGATGTTTGGAATTTTTGGCCGACCTTCTCCGTTGGTACCGTTGGAGTTCTTCGTAAAAATGCCATTCGAGAGGCTTTCCATTTGCTTCTTTTGTTCCTCGTCTCGTTCTTTATCTTCCAAAGTCGCATTCATGGACGGTGAATCCAAAGTTTGCGCGTCCAAATTGTTTTCCATTCTGGACATGGGTAAAGACATCAACGACGTGATCGTTTTCATCGTCAACTTCTTGGCGTTTAAACTTTGCGACGGCCATCGTTCGATGCCGTGTAAGCGAAGGACTCTTTTGAAGGTTGTTCGACCAACTCCCACCTCCTTGGCTGCTTCACGCAGCGGCATGTGGAATCTTTGTTCGATCATCGCGCGCGTGATGCCAAACGAAGGGTTATTTGCGAATCGTTTTCTTTTGGGTTGCAAAATTGGCTTCTCGTAATCCGGTGGCGCATCGACGCGTTGAAACTTCATACCTTCGGTGCTATATTTGGACTTACTCCCACTCGACTTTGTCGTCTTCGTCTCCGTGCTGACCATGGTTTGCAACGTACGATCTTCTCTCGTCGTCGGTTTGGTGACATTTTTCGTGCCAGGCGGTAAATCATCCGTCACTTTCCGAACTTTTGCCGACTCTTCTTCCAAAGGATTTTTCGAGGTCCCGTCGTCTTCTTTCGATTCTACGGCGGCGTACTCCCCAGCCGTTTGGATCCCTCGTTTCTCCATCATATCTTTAGCCCCTAGATTCGCATCCTTTCGTAACGGGTTTGATTTTTCGTCGTCCTCCTTTTTGTCTTCTTCGTGACCTTTCTGTGTTGCCAACACTTTCGCTTCCTTTTCTGCTTGAGATCTCTGCAACGCCTCTTCGTAGCTAAGGTTCTCTTCTGGCGGCTGCCTCGCGCTCTCCTCTTGCATCGCTTCGTTTGCCTGCGCCATGTCATCGCCTTGCACTAAGCGCCATTTGCCTCCGCTGAATAACGTCAAAGCATCCGGCTCGACTCTCGTTCGTAAACTCGCCGGGCGATGAAGGAAATTTGGATCATCCGGTTCTTTCATGTGCGCTCGGATAGTCGCCAACTTCAAAAAGTTTTCTACGCCTTCTTTGTACTTTCTCTTGCGTTCGGACGCGGGGTCCAAAATACCCACGAGGCTTTTTTTATACTTCTTCTTTGCTTTCTTTATTCTTCCTGTTTTAGTGTATTCTATTTTCCCTTCCTCCGCGACGGCCGCGTTGTTATCGTCAGCCGCGCTCGGAGTTGAAGGGTTCTTCATTTTTTTAATGCTACCACCGGATCCGCTCGATTTGTTCCCACTTACCGTCTTCATTCCGATCGAGAAGGAACTCAACGTCGCCGCGGCGTCGAATAGTCCCAAATCTTCGTTATCTTGATTCACCTGACGAATTCTTTTGAACTCTTGGAGTTTTGCCGTGTACGATTGCTTTTTTTCCGCAGCTGGCTTCTTTCGGTGCTGTTTTTTTTCGGCAACTTTTTCGGCGACGTCTTGAATAACCACGCTAGTGGGGGTATGAGACGAGGGACGAGTACGTTTTTGTTCCATTTCGTATTCCTCGGCTCCAGTCACCGTGCCATGCGCGAACTTTTCCTCTTTCGATTTCGTCTTGCCGAATGAACTCAACTCATGCACCAAAGCGTGCTCCACCGCCAACCGTTCTTTCGTCCCTTCCGCAAATCTCGACGTGATTGCGTACATCGGTTTCGTGTTGACATCCTCGGCAAACCTACCGCACTCTACCAGCGACGACATTCCATTTGTTTCTACACCATGCGAATTTGTCTTACAATAAAAACACACCGGCAGAATTGGTTTCAGAATTGGCAGTTCTTCCCGCCCTTCTTCCAACGCTTTCACGTGATCAACGAGCGTCGGCAGCGTCGGTGGCGAAACTTTTTTTACCGCGACGATCGTTTCTTTCAACCCGGCTACCACCATCGGATCTTCTTTAATTTTTTCTTCGTCGTCAAGAACCTTCGTTGGTTTTGGTGGTGAATGAGACACGCCGTTCTCTCCTTTTTCCTTTTCAACGATCGGGGCCTTCTTCGCGCTCGCGCGTAGAGGAAAAGGAGGAGGAGGAGACCCTTCTTCTTCTTTCACTTTCACGCGCGTTCTCAGAGTCGTTTCCGGTTCTTTACTACCAGCATCTTTTTCTTCTTCTTTTTCTTCTTCATCAATGTCTTTCCTCTTCGCCAACTTTTCCTCCGCGCTCGTCAAAGTCCCTCTTTTTTTCCCAGTGGCAGCAGCCCCAACATTTCCCAAGAGGTCAAACGTCCTCCTGGGATCATCATCATCGTCGTCGAGTTTTTTTTTCTCCTCTTCGCTCGCCGGCGTGACGCTTTTACTCCGCGCGCTCGCGACGACAGCGGTGGTTGTTTCTCTCGTCGAAAGTTTCGACGACTTTGAATATTGCGATTCTTCTTTTTTATCTTTCGTCTTCTCGTTCGCCGACGATGATGTGTTCGTCTTTCTCGTTGTTTCCGTACTTTTCCTGACCTTTTTTACGGAACCCGAAGAAACGTTCGTCTTTCGCGTCTTCTTCTCGTCCGCTGCGTTTTCCTCTCGTTTGTTCTTCTTGCTGACCCACTTCGTGGGGTCGTGCCACTCTTGCGCGGCGATGATTTGCGCCAGTTCTCGTTTGCCCATTTTCTTCTTCTTCTTGTTCTTCTTCTTCTCGCCGCAAGAGCGTTCACTCTCGTCGTCGCTCTCTTTGAATTGGTCTCTCTCTCTCTCTGAGACGATGGTGTCGAATTTGTACGGAGGGAGAGATTCTATATGATGAGAGAGTAAAAAAACAACGAAAAGAGACAGACAGAGAGCAAAACGTTTAATGCGTTCTCTCGTGTATCTTCTTCTTCTTCTTCTCTTTACACGCGTCTCTCTCCCAAGACAGAGACAACTTGAGAAGCGCAAAACACAAGGCGTTTGACGAGAGAGAATGATATTTTGTGTGTGGAGACGAAGGAATCAATCAATCGAAAGAAGAGAGAGAGCGAGAAAAAGGCCGACGTAAAAAATCCAAATATATGATACCCTAAACTCTACAAAGGAAAACCCTAAATAAGTGGTCTCCAAAATTTTGCCATAAAAAACTTTAACGCAATACAGAGGAGGAAACGCGCTCGTCACTCGCTCTCTGTAAATACTAAGAAGCTCTCCTTTGTCCTTTCTCTGAAGAAGAAGCGATTTTCCTCTCGAAAGTTTGAGAAGTCGTCGTTGAGAGGAGGAGATGAGTTACGTGAGGACGTTTACTCGTGTCACCGAGTGTGCGCATTTACATGCGACGAAGACAAAGGTCGTTACGAGAACGCCTGTTCTTGATTCGTATTCTTCTTACGATGAGAGGCAAAGCTTTTGTAGGAGGAGGAAAAGAGAAAACGAGCGAAGGAGAAGACGAAGGCGCGCAGAAGCGTCGTCGTCGTCGTCGTCCTCGTCTTTTGTTGTTCCCGATGATGTTGCGAACGAGGACGACGAAGACGCGGATGAATTAACCAAAACCAAAACGACCAGATTGTATTGCCTCCTGACGGCGTGTTTCGCCGAGCGATGTAGAAAGGAATATCATCAAAACGCGAATAAGAGAGCTGTGTTCGAACACACGGTAGATTTCGGTTTGTCGAGGAGTGAAATACGAATAGACGAGACACGCGTGGAAATTAGTAAAAGACAACAAAGTGTTGACGACGACGACGACGACGACGACGACGCGATGATAGTTTTAAACCGAGAGGACGTGTTCGCAATCGAGCCGGACGATTTGACGGTGTATACTGTCGTTCAGACGAGCGAAGATGCGGGCGACAGCAGGGCTTTGGCAAAATTGGAGCCGTGTCGGATATACTCGAACACCATCGACAGAGTGTGCGCGCTGTGTCCTTCGGATAGCGTTAATCCGGAGTCAGCGCCAACTGCGTTAATCGCGGGGTTTAGTATGCATCGATTCGGCTTAGGCGTGGACCCGAAGGAAGATACGCGACGCAAAATTGCCTCTTTAAAGCCGTACAAAGGCAATAATTTAGCGGTGTTGGACGTGTGCACGGGATTGGCGTACACGGCGATTATGGCCTCGGAGCTGGAAAACGTTTCGAGCGTGACGACCATCGAGCTCGACCCGACGATGACGCAAATATGTGCCATGAACCCTCACTCGAAAGGTCTTTTTGGTCGTGCGAAAAATACGACAAAAAAAAGGAGCGAAGATGGCGGCGAAGATGATTACGAGAAACACAACATCATCTCGCAACTTTACGGCAACGCCTTCGACGTCATCCAAACCTTACCCGACCGCGCCTTTGACCGAATCATCCACGATCCGCCAACGTTCGCCTTAGCCGGTGAGCTGTACGGCGAAAAGTTCTACTCCGAACTTTTCCGCGTTCTCAAGCCGTCCGGACGAGTCTACCATTACACCGGGGACCCCTCCAGTAACGTCGCCGGCGGTGGCGGCGTTCGAGGCATCGTCAAACGCATGAAATTCGTTGGTTTCGAATCGGTCGAAATCGACCAACACGCGCACGGCGTCGTCGCCGCGAAACAACCAAACGTCAAGTTCTTTTCCAGCGGTAAAAAAGAAAAGAATATGTTAAAGAATGCTCCTAATAAAAGGGGGAAGACATTTTCTTCTAAGCGCCGCGACGAAAGTTTTAAAGGAGGACGAGAAAGACGAGGAGGACGAGGACGAAACTCTTCGTTCGACGACGACGAACTTGACGAATTTGACGTGTCCTCCTCCTCCTCCTCCTTCTAAACGCAGTACACTCATCGCAAAACGAGAGAGAGAGAACAAAGAAGAGTCGTTTTATTGTTTGATCAAAGCCGCACATATACGCGTGAAATAGAATACTAGATTTTTTTGCTCCTCTGCACCACGTGGCTGTTTTTTGTCCTTCGTCTCGTTACAAAATTTTCCTTCTCGTTTTGGATAAAATGGAAAACACGCAGAGAGACGTCACAAAAACAGATGACGATGCCTTCTCTCGTCGCATCTTTCTCAAACTCGTTCGCGACGCAGACCATAAAACCCAATGAGAACAGAGGACGAAAGGATAGTTTTTCATCCAAAGATCGTTATTTAAGTCAAAACGTAACGTTAAAATTAAAGTCGGATGATTGCGCGTTGGGAAGACGTAAACGACGCACACGAGGAGGAGGACGAAACGGATCGTCTTCTTTCGTTGCCATCTCTGCGAACGGTGATGATGTCGATGTCGATGTCGACGCACTGAGGAGACCGGGAAAGAAGACGACGAAGAAGACAAAGAGAGAAAAGAAACCTTTAAAGGAAATCGCATCGAATTTATTCACGGCGTTGAAACCGGTGCGTTTGCGAGACGACGACAGCGAAGCCGCGCAGGAGCTGAAAGCTATTCTGGAACTCGCTCGAAGTCGTCCAAGCGACGAAGGCGATAACGGTGACGTGAGCGGCGTCCGAGAACGCATTCGGGCGGAAGCAAAAAAGAAAGTCGGCACGACTGTCGCGAAGTATTGGAAGGCGAAGTTTAAGGAGTTTGGAGAGTCCGAGGCGGTGAAAGACGCGGCGCCGTTGATGGGGAGCGCGGTGAACGTGGCGGTGACCGGGTTAGTTTTAAGGATATTTTTACCGCGGTTGGCGGCGTTGAACGCGGTTGGAGGGTTCGACGAGTTGGCGGAGTTCTTCGGGATACCACCGAGAGACGATTTGATTGGATACTTGGATCAGATTAACGGTCAGCCGATGATTGCTATTTTTGGTATTTACGTTTTACTCTTCTTCGCGGAAAAAGTGACGATGACGGATGAGTTCTTACCGATTGGATTTGTGTTGCCGGTGTTGTCGCCGATGGTGTTTGGGAACGTGTTGAACGGAACGGTGTTGACGTCGTTGGCATCGACGATTGCGGCGAGCGCAAACTTTTGGTTGGGAAGAACGGTATTGCGAGAGAAAGCGCTCAACTTCAAATGGTTTTCCAAGGACGGAGAGCCGACGAGAGAGAGAAAATGGTACCAAGCGTTGGATAGACGATTCAATTCGGAGAATTGCCCGGATCAAGTCGTCCCGGAAGGATTCAAATCGGCGCTGTTGTTGAGGTTGTGTCCGATTTTACCCATTCCAATCAGCGGTAACTGGTACGTGTGTGGCGTGACAAAGTTGAAGTACTGGGAGTTTTTCGCGGCGCACTTCATCGGGAGCTCCAAGACGGCGTTTATCGACGCGTATTTAGGAAGCATCATTTTGCGCACGATTTTGTCCCCCGAAGTCGACGGCGTGAGTGGAGCGGTGAAAGAACAAGCGAAAAATGCGGTTATATTTGAAACGTGCGCGCTTTTAGGCGTTTCGATTTTAGTTTCCACGTACGCGACGCAGTTGTTCACGGACATTCTGGACGAGGAAGGCGTAGACGCGGACAGTTTTGGTTTCGGTAATAAAGAAGAAGAAGAAGAAAAACAAGAAACGACGACGACGAACGCGTTCGCGTTCGTCGGCGCCGCCGCGGCATCCACGGACGACGACGAAAACGAAGGAACTTCATCACCCGAAGCGGCAGAAACCGAAGAAGACAAAAAACTCAACCGAGCGCTCCCGGGCGAATCCTTCGATTTGATGTCCACGGACGAAGACGGTGAAGTCTTCATCAACGCCGGCGATTATTTATCTCGACAACGCGCGTTAGAATCTGGCGATTTCGACGCGTTGGCGGATATGGATAAGGCGTTTGAAAAGTTGAGCGAAGTCGACGACATGGGTCCGGACATGTGAGCGAACATTTTTAGTTCATATTTGTATTATTAAAGCAGTCAAAACAAATCCTCATTAAAACACATCGCTGCTCTCTTCTTTCTCGCGCAAGAACATCAAGGAGTCATCATCATGGCGTCGACGGCGGCTTCTTTGTCTCCTCCTCCTTTGTCTTCCTCTTCTTCTTTTCAAAGTTGTCGTTCCTTTCGAAGACACTTCTCAAACACGTGTTATTACTTTAAACGACGGGGAAAGCAGTTAAGAAGAAAAACGTTCGTCTTTTCCCGCAACGAAACGATGCAGACGAGCAGCGCGTTGAATCTTTTGCGAGGACCAAAGAAGGAGGAGAAAATGATGAAAACGAGAGAGACGAAGAAGACTTTAAGAAAACAAGGGGTGATTTCCGTGCCGTCATCGTCATCGAATTATAACCAACAACAAAGTAGTTTAAAATTTCTTTCACCTCAATTGACGGAAGGACTGGTGATTGCGATTTTCTGCGCGCTGGGTTCGTCTTTGAGCGCTTTTTTACTCGCGCTCGTACCAACACTACGAGCGGCAGCGAACGCGATGAACGAAGTCGCTTTACTCGCAGAGGCGTTGAAAGAGGAAATTCCGGACACTTTAGCCGCGGTTCGCGTTTCCGGGTTGGAACTTACGGACGCGCTGGAAGAAGTCGGCGAGTTGACGAGCGAAGTTACCGGGGTGACGAAACGGACGACGCGGGCGATTGATATGAGCTTAACGACTGCGCAAAGATTTGGAGGGATGGTTTATGAAGGGTCGAAAACGATGGTACCGAGTGCGAAGAGGCAGGTGAAGAATACGGTGAAACCGATGGTGAGGAGAACGGCGAATGAGATTGAAAGCATCGCCCGGGAAAGAGCGGCGATGGACCCGTACGCCGGCGAGATTGTCAGCGGAGTCGCGGCGACGACAAAGAAAGGAGTTGGAAGAGCGAGGAAAGTGATCGAAGCGGCTGGAGTGGCGAAGCAAGTCGGGCAGGTGTATAAAGCGGTGAAAGGAAAGCCGCCGAAAGTAAGCGATTAGATTTCTTTTATGCGTATTTAATGGAATTGCAGCAACTCATATTACATGTACAACTCTGTTTGCCGATTCAACAAAGCGGCGCGTATAATAATACATCGACTCCCATCTCAAAGTTTTTTTTGTCTCTGACTTCTAATAATATTCTCATGACTTCTAATATATACATTGCACGTCTTCCAGCGCATACAATACCGTTTTTAAATAGATGACTTTTAAATAAGTATCGATTTCTTCTTCGTCGTCTTCTCGCCTCTTCCCCAATTCGTCCGTCGTTAAATACATCTGAAAAAAGAGAATAAATAACAACTCCCTCCCGAAACACGCTCCGGAAGCTCCACCACCGCGGCTTAAAACATTCTCTCCACCGCTTTCACTCGTTTCAACAGCTCGCAAGCGTCGTACAGCTTTCCCAGATCCGCGCGGCGTTTCGCGCTCAAGGCGAGGAGCGGAAGGACGACGCGTATCTTCATTCGAGTTTTAGGTTGTTGCGGTGGTGTCGAAAGCATTACCCTCGCGGGCGATGCGACCGATTTGTCGACTTTGACGTCTTTTGCTCCTCCTCCTCCTCCTCCTCCATCTCCTCCCAACTTTCCTTCGGAAAGAGAGGGAAGGGAAGAAAAGACGAGCCCACAACCCTCCTCACCACCAAAACCACCACCGGAGAACGTCGTCGTCGTCGTCGTCGTCGATGATGTTCTCAAGAGCAACAGCGAGGTCGCGGCGATGTCGTCGGTCAGAGTGTTATTGTTGTTGTTATTAGTATTGCGTCGTCGGCGCGACGGGGTGTGCTTCTTCCTCTTAGGTTTTCCCGGCTGTGAAATCACATGCGGTGAGACCAAGGGGCCAAAACTCTTCTTCTTCTTCTTCTTCGTCTTAGTATCATCGCAAACAGTATCAGAAGGCGAAGGCGCGCGATTCTCCTTCCTTTTGTTATTCAAAAGTTGCATCGTGGTCGTCATCGCGGTGAATGGATCGCGACCGATCGATCGTGGCATATTGAATAAAAGGAAGATTAAAAAAAAAGTGCGGTAAAGGAAAAAGAAGAAATTTAGAAAAACCTCGTTGTTATGAGAGTACTCGCGAAGAGTTTGGACGTTTATATAACAGTGAGCGTGATGACTCATTACAGGAGTTATAATGAAATATACAGTAGTAGCAGTAATAATAATAATATATATACGCGCGAGGGAGGTTAATAGTTGTCACCCTCTCCTCCTCCTCCTCCTCCGATCATGTCTTTGATGTCATCCGGAGGCGGGAGCAAAGAGAATCGACCCCCTTGTTGCGGCTTGTCCGGGCTGAACGAGGAAAGTGCGGCGGGTGGCGGTGCCAAGTTTAATCGATTGCTTTGTTGTTGTTGATGCTGCCCGTAGCCGCCGTAGCCAATTTGACCGAAACTGTTGGTCGCATTTTGTTTGCCCATGGCGATGGCGTTGTGCAGATTTTGCGAATCTCGAACTTCCTTCTCCAACATCTCCTTCGTGCGCTTCAACTGTTCGTTCACTTGGACGTACGCGTTGTAATACCCCAACGATTCTTTTCGAAGCTGCTCCATGTCGTACTCTTGGTTCTTGATGTGATTGAGCAACTTTTGCTTCTCGAGATCTTGTTGATGGTTTTTCTCCACCAGCGATTCGGCTTTTTGCTCGAGCAAGGCGACTTGCCTTTGCAAATCGGCGATGATTTTCTCCAACCTCGCCGCGTTCGTGGCGTATTCGAATGCCTTCTCTCTGTACTCCACGGTCAACGCTTCGTACGCGATGCGAATTTGTGTGAGCTCTTCGCGCATTTGCATTTCGCGTTCTTGGACTTTTTCCAACGTATCGCGAGAGTTCGAGGCGTATTCTTTCGCCATCGCCGCAGCAACCTTGGCGTTGGCGACTTCACGCTCGGCTTCGGACATTTTTGAAATCACCGCTTGGTACTCTCCTCGGCGCGTTTCAATCGTCGACTCTAGCATGGATTGTTTTTCTTGCGCTTGCTTAACTTCCTTCTCGAACATTTTCCTTTGCGCCTCGTGCGCGACGAGCTTTTCCTTGACGCCAACGAGCTCGCGCTCTTTCTCCGCTAAAATCTCCGCTCTCTTTTCCATTTGAGCCGTACGCTCCTCCAGCTGCTTGAACTTTTCCTCGTTGAGTTTATGCTTTTCCGCTTCGACGGCAATTTTTGTCTCGGCTTCGTGCAATCGCTTCAACTTTTCTTCGTTGCGCGAGAGTTCTTCGGACATGTGCTTGGATTTCGATTCGAGCTCGGCGCGTTCCTTCTCCAACGTCGTCAACGCTTGCTTCAACGTCGATTCGGATCGTTCTACTTTTGCAAACTCGTCTTTTGCAAACTCGTACTTCTCCTCGAGGTCTTTCCACGTGTTTACAGTTTCTCTTAACGTTTCCTCGACGGTTTGTAATCTGGTTTGTGCGTTTTGTAACGCATACCCAAGCTCTTTTGATTCCTCGAGTTCGTTCTCAAACGCCGCCTTCTCCTTCTCGAGTTGCTCAACGCGCTGATCCAACAAGGCGCGTTGCTTTTCAATTTCAGATAATCGAGCGGTTTGTGCGTACAGATTTCTCTCGTTTTCACCGTTCGTTTCCGTGAGCTTCGAAAGCTTCGATTCAGAGGTGGAAACCTCCTTTTGAAGTTGGTCACGAGTCTGAGCCAACAACGAATTTTCCTTCTCGAGCTTTACACGCGTAGCGTCGTTCGCCTTCTCGCGCTTTTCCATCTCACCAAACGCCTTTTCGAGTTTAGACTTGGTATCTTCGGCGTTGGAGGCGCGTGCGGATAATTCACGCTCGACAGCTTCGAGCGCCGTGATTCGCGCCTCCATCTTTTTCTTTTCGTTTTCGAGTGAAAGCAATTCTTTCTTCGCCGCCGGCGCATCGCGTTCGAGGAAGGACAGTTTCGTCTCAAGCACCGCCTTCTCTTCCATGGATTTCGCGTACTGGTCTTTCGTCTTGGACAATTCTTCGGCAATTATCGGATCGACGGTTGGTTTTGATGTTTTCGCCTTTTCGACTTCGAGAGTGGCAATCTCGCGCGATAATCGCGTATTTTCGCTTTGCATGCGTCCAAGCTCCTCTTTCGCGGCTTTATGATCCGCACGCGCAGCGACGGCTTCGTCTTTGAGCTTCTGCATTTCTCTCGTCGAGACTTTTGCCGGTGAATTCGCGATTGTTTCGTTAAGTTCGACCTTGTGCAACGAAATTTTTTCTTCCAAAGATTTCACCTTCGCTTCCAACTTAACCTTCTCCGTGAGTAGTTTCATACGTTCCGTCTCTTGTCGTTCGATCGTCTTCACTTGCTCGTCTGGTGAAGCGATTTTCTCTTGCATCGATCGAATTTTCTTCTCCAATTCTTGCGTTTTTTGCTCCGCGACCTCTAGTTTGAACTTGGCGTTGGACACGTCGCGTTCGCTCGCATTTTTCGCTCGCGCAAGTTCGTCCGAGATTTTGTCCTTCTCCCTCTCCAAAGCTCGACGCACGTCTTCGAGTTCGTTCTTCGCTTTGCGTGTGACGCTCGCAACATCGGATTCGAGTCGAGATATCGTCTTTTCGAGTTGCTTCTTCTCGTTCTCCGCGGATTTACGTAAATCCCGCATGTCGCGCTCGAACGTCTTCGTCGCGTCCTTTTGGCCTTGCTCGCGTGCTTTCGAAGCTTCGTGATCCAAACTCTTGAGCGCTTTGATTTCGTTTGCAAAATCACCTTCGACTTTCTGAATCTCCACTTGATGCGATTTCTTGAGCGCTTCGATCTTGTCGTCCGCGTCTTTGAGTTTCGCCTCATGCGCCTTGGTGATTCGCGCCAGTTCAGCTTCGTATCGCTTCTCGCTTTGCTTGTCCGGAATTTCTACGTATTTAATCACCTCTTCCGCTTTCGTAATCGTTGGAACGTTGTTGTTGTTGTTGCTATTGATACTACTACTCTTCGGTGATGACGATACGTCAGACGCTGGCGGCGAAGATACGGTCTTCTCTTCTTCCTTCGTCGCAGCCGCGACGATGGTCGGCGCAACCGCCGCAGCGCGAAGCTGCGCGATTTCGGCGATATACTTCGTCTCTGACTGTTTCTTTTGGCGCTCAAGCTCGGAGAGCTTGGCAACGAGTTCTTTGTTGAGTTCTGCTCTCGTCCGTTTGATCTCGTCGTCCAAACTCGATTCGATTTTCTTTAACCGGTCAATTTCGTGTTTGTACGTTTTTTCCGCTTCTTTAAACCCGACTGTTTTCGCAGATTCGATATCCTTGGCCATGGATTCCGTTTTCTTCGTGAGTTCAGATTCTTTGTTCTTATACCGTTTAATCTCTTCCGCAAGTAACGAGCGAGCTTCTTTTTGACCTTCCTCGAACGCTTTCATGGAATCAGCGTTGATGTTTTTCATCGATTGAATTTCCTTTCGCATCAGTTCTTGAGCCTCTTTTGATTCCGCTCGCGCTTCTTTGATTTTCGCTTTGTATTCCGCCTTTGCCTCTTCGAGTTCTTGTTTTGCAAGTTTTTTATTTTCTTCGGCTTCTGCTCGCAAAAGTTTTCTCGCTTCCGCCGTGCCTTCATCGATGCGCTTTTTGATGTTCTTGGATTCGTCCGCGAGTGTTTTCTCCTTCTCGGCGAGCGCCTTGCGCTCCATCTCGAAAGCCACCGCCGCTTCCTTCTCTGCCTCTGACACCTTCTTTTCTGCATCCTCGACTTTTTTCTTCGCTTCTCTGAGAGCTGTCTCCGTCGATGCTTTCAACTCTTTTCGAAGTTGCGACGTTTCTTTCTCCAGCGCCTTCTTGCGACTTTCGACGTCTTTTTCCGCCTTGTCCAAGATTTTCTTCTCGTGCTTCTCGAGTGTCTCCTTCGATATCCCGGTCGGAACTTCGACGAAGTACTCTAACTCGACGATTTTCTCGATAGGTTTCTTCGATTCAAGCGCTTTACGCGCAGATTTCAACTCCTTCTCGAGCTCTTTCACGGCTTTCGTGTTCTCGTTCTTTTGTTTGCGTTCGTTTTCGATGGATTTCTCCAAGTCTTTGATTTTCAACTTCAACTCTTCGTTCTTCTTCTTCACTTCGTCTTTGGTCAAATACACCTCGACGAGTTTCTCCACTTCCACCTCTTTCGGTGCCGTGTCTTGCTTCAACTTTTCGAGTTTTTCAATTTCCGACTTCAACTCCGCTTTACCGAGTTCTTTCGCGCGCTTCAAATCGGATTCGGTAATACCAGTCGGGACTTTCTTCTCGACAATCTTCTCAACAACTTTTTCGACTACTGTTGGCACATCTTTATACACCGGAACTTCAACAATCTTTTCAACAATACGCTCAACAATGACTGGCGGACTCATGGTGCCACTCGCTGCCGGGGAAAGAGTACCCGACCTTTCGTTCATTTGCGCACTGGCGTTTCCAGATTTGGATTTCATAATAGATGACATCGGCGCGTCCACCATCGGGGCCGCGTACTTCGCTGATTTGCTCGCAGGAGTAGTGAAGTTTGAGGTAGAAGACATAGCGGGAGCCGGCGTGGATTGATCGAGTTTCGACATTTTTGAGATTGGCGTGGTCGCCCCCGCACCGCCGCCTTTGACCATTTCGTGTTGATTTGGATCGAATCGAATCGATGCGTGTTTCGGAGAGTACTCACGCGAATGGATACCAGAAAGCACAGCCAAAGCAGACGATTTCGACGATTGGAAGTTCTCACCGAACGCTTCCTTTTCTTCTTCTTCTTGCTTCTTTTGAGCGTCTTTCATTGCGCGTTTCATGGAGGCGAGCATTTGCTCAGCAACTACGCGTTTCGATTCGAGACGACTGGCGTTTTCCGCCGCAACCTGCGCTCTTTCCTCCGCCATTTCCAAGCGTTGCTGCAACGCTTGCGCGGCAATGCCCACGCGATCGTTGCCTTCCGATTGTCGAGCGCGAAGTAATTCGAAAGTTAATCGTTGGACATCCTCGTTCGCGAGCTTCAATTTTTCCTCCATGACGACAAAGTTGACGTTTCGGAAAATGTCCTCTTCGACGAGATCGATGTGATCTTGCACGACAACCTTCGTATCCGCGTGCATCTCTTCGATCGTCTTGCTCAACGACGCAATCTTCTTCCCACTTTTCTCATTCGCTTCCGCTAAATCTTTCGTCAGTTTTTCGATGTTCATCATGGCGTCTTTTTGAACCTCTCGAGAGCTTTCCAACAACTTCTTGTTCGTCGAGTTCTCTTTCGTCAACTCTTCCGTTTCTTTTTCGTACTTCGCGGTTTCTTTTTGCAACAAAACGATCGCATGTTTCGCCTCGGCTAGTTGGGTCGCCTTTTCTAAACCTTCTGAGTGTAAATGGTCTTTGATTTGCTCGTGCATTTTTTTCATCTCCTCCAACGCCTTTGATTTCTCCTCCAAAGACATCGCCAGCTTCTTCTCGCCAGTCGTAAACTCGCCCTTGTGCTTGGAAAAGTTTTCGCGTTCGACTTCTAAACTTTTCTCGGCGGCAAGTTTTGATTGTTCGGCTTTTTCGAGGAACCATTTCAGCTTTTCATTCTCCGCAACAGTCGTTGCCAATCGATCGTCCAGCTTTTTCACGTTCAACGACGCCTCCGAATCTGCGTTTTTAATGAAATCTTTCAACTTGTTCACTTGTTCGTTCAAACCTTTAACAATTTTATTTCTATCGTCCCTTTCGTTGTGAGCGGCTTCCTCTGAAGCGTGAATTCTTGCCTCCAACTCTTTAATCTTCTTCGCGTACCGATCGCTCAACTCGAGAGTGCGTTCCGAGTGTTCTCTTCGTATCTCCGCGACCTCGTTCGCGTGCTTCACTTTCATTTGAGAAATCGCGTTCGGCAACAATTTGATCTCGTCCTCGTTCAACGCCACGTCTTCGCCGTCGTTGTTCTTTACCACGACGACGTTTGCGTTGGCATTTTCATTCGCGTATCTCGTTCTCGCCTCCATCAACATATCGATGTCGTCCCGCATTTTTTCGTTGGCCGAATTCGCGATTTGGTAAAACTTGGACGAGCTCAAATCTTTCGCCGCTTTCCCATTTCGAATATTTCGATCTCTCAAAGCGACTTCTGCCATGCTCGCCATTAATCGTGCGTTCGAGATGTCGTTCGCACGTTGCCTCAGTTGCAAGTTAATCGTTTCAACGACTGATTCGATATCCTCCACGTCCACAAACTCCTTCGGTTTAAACGCTTTATCTTTGAACAACATAATCAACGACGTCCGGCTTTGCATGAATCCAACGCTCGTCACTTTCGGAGCCACGGACTCTAAATCAAACAAAGGAATCTTCAATCGCAACGGTTGCGTTTGTGCCCCGCTCGAGACAGCCGGTAACAACGCGTTGAACAAACCTTCCTCTTCCTTCCCTTCTTCGGCGTCGAAACACACGTACGAAGTGGTCACGTACATCTCCCCGTTCCCGCTCGCTTTCGGTAACAACGCTTTACACTTGATCGGTCCTTTCGTCACTTTCTCCGACGGCGCGAGTTCAAAGAGTTCCCACGCGCCTCCGAGTTCCACGGACGCTTTCGCGAGTTCCGCGGAGAGTTTCGCCCTCGTCTTCCACCCGCGAACCACCGCCTGGACTTTCCTCAACGCTTTAATCATTTGCTGCTCGGCAATACCATCCGATTTGTCGGTGTGTTGCGAGGACAGCATGGAGTGCGATCGACTCGATGTCATCATTCCAGCAGCAGCATTAGTACCATCAGTCTCTGTCGATATCGACGGCATCACGCCTTCAAACGCGCTCACGTCGTCTTCCTTTTTCGTTGTTAAATTCGCGTCCTTTCCCAGATCATCATTTTCAGTCCTCCCCGTGGTGGTCCTTCCTCCGACTGCGGATTTCGACCGCGATTTCGATCGGTTCTTTTTATTTTTCCCCATTATTTTAAATGTTTCTTCGATAAATAACGACAAAACGGGAGCAGCGCGCGCGGATTTTCAAACCAGAAGAGAGATTTTGCGCGTTGTTTGCGTTTTTTTGCGCGTCGTTGTGTGATGCGTTTGGATCTCGCGTGTGGCTGAATTTGTCTTGGATTTCCTTCGGTGTGTGATGTGTGAAAGAGATATTTTTGGTGTTGATCCGGAACAAGAGCAAAAAGGAATTTTAAGTGTTGGTTCAAGGGGCGAGAGACGATTTTTTTAACACAAAAACACACACACCACGTGTTTGTTGTGAGACTACACACACACTTAAACACGCGCGCAGAGAGAGAGAGAGAGAGAGAGAGAGGCGACGATGATGCTGATGACGGCGCCTACTACTACTACTACTACTTCTGCGCCTTCAGATGATGTGCCTCCTCTTTTGCTGCGATGTTTTTAGTGGTAAAAACGTTTTGCTTTGTTTAATAAAGTAAAGAGAGAATTGGAAAATGAGCGTCGAGGAAATCGTTGAGAATCCAACGAAAGGCGTCACCGGAAAGACGGTGCAATTGTTACGCACTCTCGGGGTGACGCGATGGACGCAAATGCAAGAAGACGCGATGGATAAACTCTATCTAGAGGAAAAGGAAAACTCGAAAGATGGATTGATCTGCGCGTCGACCGGGAGTGGGAAGACGTACGCGTTTTTGATGCCGGTGTTGATGCGGTTTTTGTTAAAAAGTGATGATGAAGACAAAGAAGACAAAACCAAAGTGAAAGCGATCGCTGTGTTGCCGACGAGAGAGCTCGCGCAGCAAGTGTTTGAAAAAGCGAAAGGTTTGTTCGAAGAGGCGAACGGTATTAACGTCTGTTTGTGCGTCGGAGGGGTACGCTCGCACGAGAAAGATGCGGAAGATATCATTAAACGAAAACCGAAACTGGTCGTCGGGACGCCCGGGAGGATGTTGGAGTTGAAGAAGCTCAACGTTTTAGACCTGTCGAAAATTGAGGTGCAGATCTTAGACGAAATCGATCGTTTGTTAGATGGCGGGTTTGAGAACGACGTGTTGGACGTTTTGAGGCCACCTGGTTCGTGTCAAACGATATGCGCGACGGCGACGGCGAGAGGGAACTTGCGACGTTTTTTGAACAAGACGTTGGCGTTTGGATATAAAGAGATTGGCGGGAAAGTTACGACGACGGATGAGAATGGGCTTGAAGTGCACAACAGTTCGAGCGAGATTGGTGGGAACGTCGCGCACTGCGCGTATGCAATATCAAAGAGTAATAGCGATAACGAAACGGCGCAGATATACGCGCAAGCTATTTTGACAGCTTTTAAAGGCTTGGTCACGGCTTCTTCTTCTTCTTCGAATTTAGAAAAATCGCAGTGTTTATGTTTCGTTGAGACGAAATCGCTGTGCGACAAGATTGAAGTTGCGTTACAGAAAGAATCGATGGCGGTGAGTACTTTTATTATTGAGCTTATTCGTTTATTTCTTTTTGTTTTCAATGATGATGAAGAGGATGATGATGATGATGCAACAAGAAAAGATGTTCGTGAAGACAACACCTCGTACGTTACTTTACCTTCTCACGAAGATGAACGTTTACAAGACTACAATTCTCTGAAACATTTTTTACTAATTGCATCATGGTTGTTATCATCAACATCATCCTCGATGCGAGCGTGGCGATGACGATATACCATTTTATCACATGTTAGACTGTCGAGACGCTTTTAGACGGGCGTCGATGTGCACAAAAATCATTCCGAGCTACGCGGACCTTTTTCGCGACTTTACACATTTAGGGGATTCGTTTTGAAACGCTCACGTGCCACTTTTTCTTTCGAAAATCTCGTTCGTTCGCGCTCACTCTTGTACGTGTACTGACAAACTAACGTTCTCTTACCACTCAAAAGCAGGGGACGACAAATCAAAAGATTCAAGTTCGCTCCTTACACTCCTCGCTCCCGCAAAACCAACGCGACCTGACTTTACTCGAAGCGCGCAACCGCTCCATCGATATCATCGTTGCCACAGACGTCGCTTCGCGAGGAATCGATCTCCCTGGCGTCGAGCTCGTTATTCATTGCGGTTTCCCGAAAGATTCTGAATCCTACGTTCACCGATCCGGGCGCGCCGGAAGACCTGGATGCAACACTAGAGGCTGTGCTTTGATTTTACACTCGCCCGAGGACGGCGGCAAAGTCAGCGCGTTCATTGAAGCCGAGACGAACGTGCGAGTAAAACGCTTAACGGATGTTCGCGAAGCCTGCGCGTTCATCGTCGAGGATAATCGGGAGAAATCAGACGCATCGATCAAAGAAGAGCGAATAGAGAAGGAAAAGAAAGAGCGATTAGGGGAGAATATCTTAATCGCGCAACGATTTCAAATGTTGGACGAGGAGTTGGACGGACTGCAGAGCTCCATGAAAGGCGGGACGAAGACGAAGAGGAAAGGAGGAAAGAGATGAGCGAGAGGAAGAAAAACGTACATTAGCATGAATAGTTCGTAGCAATTTTAGCCTTTGTATCATTATAATAAGAAGCACGCGTCCCAGTGGAAATGACGCGAACGAGAGATGAACATTTTTCTCCTCTTCGCTCTTTGTCTTCATAAATAAAAGAAGACGAACACGATGCCAACAAAAGAGAAAAACGAATTCATAACCAAAATCGAGCGGTTCGTGCGAGATGAACTGCGAAACCACGACGGATCTCACGACTTTTGGCACATTCATCGAGTGCGTAACAACGCTTTATCGTTAGCAAAACTCGAAGGCATCGCTTCCGAGGAGGATTTGACCATCGTCGAAGTCGCTTCTCTGTTACACGACGTGCGAGATTGGAAGTACGCAGAAGAACAAAGAGGGAGTTTCGAGGATGTCGTCGAGGACGTTTTAAAAGAATACGAGCACAAAAAGACAGTCGTGGATATAGTAAACAATATTGGGTTCAAAGAAGAGTTGTCTTCGACCGCCTCTGCATCCACGCAAGGCGATACTTCTCGTATTAGGGGTGACATAAAATTCAAAATCGTGAGCGATGCGGACAGACTCGACGCCATCGGGGCGATTGGTATAGGACGGACATTCTGTTTCGGAGGCGCTAAGAAAAATCCAATGCACGATCCGGGTGTTCCACCGAACGTAGGTTTGACGAGAGAGGAGTATCAAGCGGCACACAATCCAGGGATGATAAATACGACCATCAATCACTTTCACGAAAAACTTCTAAAACTAAAAGATATGATGAAAACGGAGAGCGGTACGAAGATGGCGTTGAAAAGACACGAGGTCATGGAGAGGTTTCTGAAAGATTTTCACGACGAGTGGGAAGGACTGTAATTGCTCGGGTGTGTATTTATCTACGAGCGCGCTTATATGTACCTAATATGTGTAAATTACTATCACCTACTGCGGCTATCTAAAAACTAATACAGCGACTTCCCCGACGCGATGTTTTTCGTGCGTACTTTCAAATAGTATTTCGTAAACACGTTATGTTTCTCTGAATACACAGGGATGTATAACGTTCGCGCGAGGAAATCGGTCGATTTTGAGTTATCAAGAAACGGTAAACTTCTGACCACATCCCAACCGTAATCGTTTGGCTCTGCTTTGAAATATTTTTGACTGTCGTTTGTTTCGTCGGTTTCGACGAGGAAATCGCACGGCGAAGACGCGTTTGGAAAGAACCACTGGTTTACATGCGCTTGATTCTTATCGTTCAAACCTACGGGTGCACCCGCGGTACCTTTGCCGGCGGCACTTTCGAAATACATCGGTAGTGCGCCGTTAAATGCGCCTTTAATGAACCGTATTCGGTACTTTTCATTCGGTAAATGAAAATGCGAAGGAAATCGGTACCACTCGTCGCCGACGCATACGTTAATATCGTCGCTTGGCCTTTTATCCGGGAGCCACTCTAAAGGGTTCACAGGTAACGAGGCGTATACTTCAATCGGCGCACCATAATACGTAATTAATGCAAAAGTCCTCGATGCCGATAGCACTATGAACAACATCAACGATAAAACGCCGAGTAAAGCCCCGAGGAGCGAAAACGCTCGTTGCGACGATTTAATAAACTGCCCAATTTTAGCGCGCTTAATGACGCGTGAAAAGGTTTTGAACGTATCGAATATCGCAGCAACAGTTATACCAGTCGATAACGCTAAAGGACCGTAGACGATGTACAAAAACCGTTCCTCTTTATGCGGCATCAAAGAGAAAAATACCAACGCGACGTGAAATGGCAACGCGCAAAATAAGAGCGCCAACCAAGGCACTTTCCTTCTTTTACTCGTGGAAGAAGAAGCCTTTGTTTTCTTCTGCTTCGCCTCTAAAATACGTTGAAACGCGTGCGAAAACAACGCCATTATCGGCGCCACGAACGCCAACGGAAACGCGACGTTGAAATGCAACGCTAAATTCCGCAAATAAAACGACCAATTCTCCGTCCCGTACAGCTCGGAGCCTCCGGAACCTCGAACGTTGTACTTCACGATGTTCACTAACGAACTCGTCCATTCCGTTTTGAGTATTCCGTTCGAGAAACCACCGTAAAAGAACGTATCGCACAAAGTGGACAAACAAAATAACACCACTGCCGGTAAAACGATCGCTTTCGCCGTCCTCCACGCGCTCACCATCCACATCGACAACGCGCCAATCGGCACGCACGCTACACCCGCGAAGGGCCATCCGAGTAAAACGCCAACGACGCACCACATGCACGCCCTCTCCATCGCCCTCGACTCAATCACCAACGTTTCCTCGACGACGACATCGTCGCCATCCTCTTCCTCGTCGTCTGAAACCTTCTCTTTTTTCTTCTTCTTCTTCACCTCCTCCTTCGCGATGCACTCCCCGAACTCGTCTCGCGTCGCTCGAAAGTTCGCGTACTCGATTGAACTCGCCACCGCTCGAGTCACGCACATCATGGCAAAACTGTTCGGCAACATCGCCGTCGATGAGACGTACGCTCCGGTGGCAAAACTGAGCACTAAAAGTACCGTCGCTCCGATTTTCGGTTCAATCTTCAAACACTCCTCGACGAGAAAACAGTCGCCTCGTGCGCTCAATATCGCCAACAGCACGCGAATCGCGTAAAACGCAACCTCCTTGCCACCACCGCAGCCGAGTAAAAACCGAGCGGGTAATCCAATCCACGCGTGTAACAAGACGTACAAATACGATCGCAACTTGTATTTTCCGGAAAGCTCCCACGATTGCAGACCGATATCGCACAGGAGGAAATGTACCGGTTCGATGGTTTGGAAGGTCTCGTCGCAATCGTGGATGAGATTGTGAAACGCAGAGGAAACGCGAAAGGTTAAGAGTACGAGGAACAAACGCGAATGCGACGAAATTTTGTTCTCGTTCTTCTCGTTTGCATCTTTTCTCGTCGTCCTCGTTTTGAGTTTAGTAGTAGAGGACATTATTTACGCGTTCGTGCGTCGCGAAAATGTGAGCAACATCCACTGAAAAAGGGATAAAATGGAAACCAAATCTTCACTCATTCGAGCGCGTAACGAAGCTTAATAAACACACACGAATAAGAAGATAAAATGAGCGAACCGTCGTTCGAAGCGGCCGTGCGCACGTTGGAGGACATGTTCCCAGATTTAGATCCGATCGTGGTCCGTTCAGTTCTGGACGCCAAAGACGGGGACATGAACGAAACGACGACGAAATTATTAGCGATGAGTCGAAGCAAACGAGGCGGAGCGGAACCGTCGAGAGGAGGAGGAGGAAACGGGTACGGGGACGCGCCGAGGAGCGAAAGCATGGGAGGAGGAGGACTAGGAGGAGGGATAGACGTAGGAGGTGGGGAGGAGATTAATCCGTACTCGAGAGATGCCAGGTAAGGTTTAGGAAGGCGCATCATCATCGCGCGTTCATTTCTCTCATCATCATCTCTCTCGTTCTTTTTACGCGAAGCGCGCGCGATCGATGTTCGCATAAAAAGGAACGAGACGCGAACGGTTTTCGAACCGTTCGTCCACTTCTTCGCGTTCGAAAAGTGTTCTCACGTGCAAATTATCGCACATCGACCGCGTTTTCGCGACAGAGAACGTGATAAACCGAGCGGATGTGTGCGTTCGCGCGCATCGTTTCAATCGCTCGCTTTCGTGCTTCGTTTTCTTTCTCTTGGGTGGCAGCTTCCTCGAGAAAAAACGAGACGAAAAGCAGCTTTCACATAAAAATAAAAACAAAAAAAATATTGACATCCCAAACGCAAACTTCTTTCTTATTAAAGGCACAGCAGCGTATACAACAGCCAACCACCTCCGGACGACGACGACAACTTTTGGGGATGGCTCACCGGGGAAGAGAACGGGCGAAGGGTCCCGGCGTCGAGCGCGAATTACGCCACCGGAATCACCGAGGACGACGACACGTTCAATTGGTTGGCGAACCAGGCGAATTATTACGCCGGGGAGTTATCGAGAAACGTGAAATCTATGACCGATGCGATCGCGGAGGAGTTATTGGGACCAGCCGAGGACGAGGAAGGGGATGAAATTGAAGAGGAGGACGATTCGGTGAGAGGGGACGGGCACGTCGTGGCCGGCGGGGCGACGTTGAACGCGAGTAGAAGAGGGAAGGTGAAGGAAGAGAAACCGAAAATGAAACCGAAGAAGAAGAAAACGCCGCGAGAGTTGGAAGAAGAGGACGATCCTTTGGGAGGGTTTTTGGAGTTGCTGGGTTTAGAGGACGAGGAGGACGAGGAGTACGTGCGCAGAGACTCGAAAAAGGACAAGTAGTTGAAATGTGAGATTTATTTTTTGTATGTTACGTTCGTCGTTTGAGAATGAGAGATTGAGAGAGAGTCCCGGCAGCGCGAGAGAAAGATCGAAGCGAGAGATACTCTGCGAGAAGACCACCACCGTGTTATTAATACTTATTAGCAATTACCATTATTATATACCAATCATTCAATATTTTCATCCGAATATTCGACGCGAGTTGACCACCGACGTGAGCGAAGAGGACGAAGAAGTCGAGCTTCTCGATTTGCGCGCGGTGTTTTTCGCGGTCGAGAGAATGTGCGCGGATGAATGCGAGAATGGTTTATGCAAAGCTTCTTTTCGTTTTTCTTTTTCGCGTCTCCGGAGCTCTTCAACAGTCACCGGACTACGCACGGGCGCATCCGGGAACCTCTCGAACCGCTCCGTCGCGAAAGAGTCGTTCCATTCAGGCTTTTTTTTATTCGATTCTCTTTCGACGTCATCCGAGACATCCGAGACGATAGATCTTCGACCTTCTTTTCTTTGCTTCATCTCTTCCGTTCGCTCGCTGTATCGTTTTTCAAAATCAATGCGCGTCGATGCTTTGCTCATACTTTTCTTTTTCTCATCATTTACTTCGTGTAACTGCACAGCGCTGCTCTTCGCTTCGCCTCCCATCATTTTCTTCTTCGCGCGCGCCGTTTCCGTCCTCCTCTTCTCCTCGGCTAAAATCCTCCTCGCCAACGCAACCGCTTCAGCTTTTACGTTCCTCTCCATCACTCGGTTCTTCATCTTCTCCTTCCGCAATTTCTCTCTCAACATCGTCTTCTCGTCTTCAATCGTCTTCTTCTTCTCCTGAATTGCGTCGTCCTCGTGACGTCTTTTATCCTTTAAAACTTCTTCAACCGCTTCCTCCTTCGCCCACACCTCCTCCTCCTCCTCTTCCTCTTCGAGCGTCTCTAACACCCGATGCGGCGGCCGAGATAACCTCGGCACGACGCTCTTTCTTTCCTCCTCCTCCGCGAAAATTTCATTCTTACTCTTTTCCTTTTCCTTTCTCTCAAAATCCCTCTTCGCCAACGCGGACGCGCGTTGCCACTCGTGAAAGTCAACGCCACACGGAATGTCCCATGTCGTCGTTTCTGCTAAATCCCCATCATCTTTTCTTCCCGAGATGGTAAAGTCAAAACATCTTTCTTTCACCACCAAAGGAGAAGAGCGAGAAGAAGAAAATCGCTCTCCCTCCTCTTCGCCTCTCTTGTGGTGGTTTTGCGTTTCATCGCTCACCCCCCTCGTCATTATGTGATTATATTTCCCTCTCTGATCTCAAAAAGTTTTTGTTGTTGTTGTTGACTTTTTTTTTTGAAGCAAAAGCAAAACAACAGACCAAATTTTTTTTCTCTCGATCGTCAAAAAAAAAACACGAGAGTTTTTCTTCTCTCTTCTTTGAATTGAATTGAAAATATGCTCTTCGCGCGCAGAGGAGGAGGAAAGGGGTTGAAGAACGCTTTCGAAGACACGCTGAGAACGCGGCAGCTTTTATTGCACTTTTCCTCCTCCGCTTCTTTTTCCTCCTCCAAATCGAGGAGCAGTGATGATGATGCCGCGAATACTAAAGATTCATTCCGGTACCAAAAACTGTTCGATTACGAAACGAAGAGAAAAACGCCGTGGAAAAAGTTGACGTCTGAGTACGTTTCCGTCGTGGAGTTGTCCGAAGGTGGTGGACGGAAGCAAAAGTTCCTGAAAATCGAACCGGAAGCGTTGCGTGTACTCTCGGAAGCGGCGATGATTGATATCGCGCATTTACTCCGACCAGGGCATTTGCAACAGTTGAGGAACATTTTAGACGACACCGAAGCGTCCAAGAACGATAAGTTTGTCGCGCTGGAACTGTTAAAGAACGCGTGCGTAGCCGCGGGGAAAGTTTTACCGGGGTGTCAAGATACCGGGACCGCGATTGTCGCCGGGTACAGAGATATGGGGGTTCTGACCGATGGGAACGACGAGGCGTTGATATCGAGAGGCGTGTACGACGCGTACGTGAAGAGGAATTTGAGGTACAGTCAAGTGGCGGCGACGACGATGTACGAGGAGAAGAATACCGGGTCGAATTTACCCGCGCAGATTGATTTATACGCGACGAACAGTAGTGGTTTTAGCGCTAGCAGCAGTAGTAAAAGTAGCGACAAAAGCAATAACACAACGGAGGAAGATAAAGTGCCGGAGTACCATTTCCATTTCATGGCGAAAGGCGGCGGGTCCGCGAACAAGACGTTTTTGTTTCAAGAAACGAAAGCGCTTTTGAATCCTACGCGCATGAAGTCTTTCTTGGAAGAGAAGATAAAACTTCTGGGAACGTCGGCGTGTCCACCGTATCATTTAGCGCTCGTCGTGGGTGGATTGTCCGCGGAACAGAATTTGAAAACCGTGAAAATGGCCTCGGCGAGGTACTACGACACGTTGCCAACCACCGGGAACGCGTACGGCCGAGCGTTCCGCGACGTCGACTTGGAACAACAAGTTTTACAAATTACGCGAGAGATGGGCATTGGCGCGCAGTTTGGCGGCAAATACTTTTGCCACGACGTTCGCGTGATTCGTTTGCCGAGACATGGCGCTTCGTGTCCTGTCGGTTTAGGCGTTTCGTGTTCTGCCGATCGACAGGCGCACGGGAAAATTACCAAAGACGGCGTGTTCATAGAACAACTGGAAGACGACCCAGCGCATTATTTACCGGAAATCAAGATGGGAAGCGAAAGCGATAAAAGTAACGACGTCGTAAAAGTTGACCTGAATCAACCGATGGCAGAAGTGTTGAAAACCTTATCCAAGTGCCCGGTCGCTACGCGTCTCTCCTTGAGCGGCTCTTTGATCGTCGCGCGCGACATCGCTCATGCCAAACTTCAAGAGCGCTTAAACAAAGGCGAGCCTTTACCGCAATACATGAAAGACCACCCGGTGTATTACGCCGGTCCCGCAAAAACCCCGGAAGGTAAAGCCAGCGGTAGTTTCGGTCCAACCACCGCCGGTCGCATGGACGCCTACGTCGACGCGTTCCAAAAAGCCGGCGGCTCTATGATCATGCTCGCCAAAGGCAATCGCTCCAACAAAGTCACCCGAGCGTGTAAAGAAAACGGAGGCTTCTACCTCGGTTCCGTCGGAGGCCCTGCCGCTATTTTAGCCGAAACCAACATCAAAAAAGTCCAAGTCCAAGAGTTCCCGGAGTTGGGAATGGAAGCGATTTGGAAAATCGACGTCGTCGATTTCCCCGCCTTTGTCGTCGTCGACGATAAAGGGAACGATTTCTTCAAAAAATGGAGCCCGGAATAAGTAATAGTATTCGAAGAACAATAGTATAGGATTGCCTTTAAAACCGCAAACAATATGGTCATATTACTACATTTTCTTTCGATTTTTCCTCAGTCTTGTCTGAAGAAGAAAAAAATTTGAAATTTGAAATCTCCTTCACTCGAAACGCGCGCGCTGCTAACTCACCAACAATGAACGCGTACGAAACCAAAGTCCTCCAAAAACTCCGAAACGACTTAGAGCGTGAAGGGTTCCACCTCGCCCCGGGTTGGAGAGTCGCCATCGAAACTCGGAAATCCGGCGCGACGAAAGGAGGGACCGATAAGTACTACTTCTCCCCGGATGGACGAAAACTGAGGTCGAAAACGGAAGTGATGCGGTTTTTATCCTCAACTACTTCCGATGAGAAGAGCAAAAGAGGAGGACGAGGAAGAGCGACGAAAGTGGCGAAGATGATTGAAAAGGAAAACATCGCGGAAGAGCATAACACGAAGAAGGAAAAGAAGAAGAAGAAGAAGAAGAAGAAGAAAGCGGCAACATTCGGTTTGAATTTTGAAAATCGACAATTAAAGGAGCAAGAGGAGGACTACGAAACGCAGACGAAGCGTCAAAGACTCGAACACTATCGAGAGCAATTTCCTCAACATCAAGAAAGAGAAGCGACAATTTTCGTCGCCGGGGTTGAAGAAGACGAGGAGGAAGACGACGACTTAGAAGACGGTATAGTGCAGTTGCAACAGTCGCAAGACTCCGAGCAAGGGTTTTGCGAGTTGAGCTCGTTCGTGCACGAGTTGTTGGAAGCGCCGAGGACCGCGACGACAACCGCGACGACGACAAAAGTGAGACAAAGCGCAGAAGATTTAGCAGAGTTAGAAGAAATGAGCGAAGAACAGATGTTGAACCGGTATTTTCGGTTGACTGGGTTTGAGCCGCAATACGCGGACGTGTACGAGTTGAGGAGGATGTTAGCGAGCGTAAGCAGAGGACACGCGAGGAACGCGATGATGGGCGGCAATAATGATACCGGCGGTTTAGAAAGAACAGCGAGTGGTGAGTTGAAGTTACAAAGAGAGTTGGTGTTTGAAACCGCCGAAGCGAAATTTTCGAACGCGATGAGTGCGGTGCCGAAATATCTTGGGAATACGACGTACGCCAGAGACGCTTCGCCCGCGAGGTATCCAATGGCGATTACAACGACACCAACAATGACGATGCATCAACAACATCACCAATATCCATCAGAACATAATCAACGTCAACGACCCCAGGATCCATCTTCGTCTTTCATCATGCAACGCGTCACTGGTTCGCGCTTGCAACAGCAAAATAGTCAAGCGATGGTCGTCGGTGTCTCGAAAGCGTTCGATCCGCTTGACCAAACCACCGTGAACGAAGTCTGCGGAGCTTTATCGTTACAGAACGAAGAAGCTAAAATGTTCATCTCGCAAAGAGACGACGAGCTGCGCCAAATAACGACAATCGTGGAAGGATGTTTGAGAGACCACCGGTCGGGTTCGATTTACGTCGGCGGCTTGCCCGGTACTGGGAAATCGTTAACGCTGGGTGCGGTTGAGAAAACAGTCAAGAAGTGGTCGTCGTCTGCGACTGGCGTCGCTAAATCGCGCCCGCCAAAAGTCTGTTCGATCAATTGCATGGCCATCCAAGGGAAGCCAACGTCCGTGTTTAAGCGCATTTGCGAGCAATTAGACATCGTGCCTACGGAGGAAGACCGAACCCGAGGTAAAGCCGAGTGTTCGGACATGTACGAAGTGTGCGCTGAAATTGCCGCTTTACGTCGGTTCGTGAGTGGAGGTAAAGTTAGTGGTGAAGCCGAGCGGTACATGTGCGGCGACGACGAGGACGATAACGACGGCATCGATCACCGCCTCGCTTTGATGAACGGTGATGCTGCTCATCCGCACAAAGCCGATCACCACTTGTCAATGGTTATCATCCTTCTCGATGAAATGGATCAACTCGAATATCGCGAAGCGGCTATTCTGTACGAGCTTTTTGCTCTTCCGTCGCTCCCGCATTCGCGGTGCATTTTGGTCGGCGTTTCCAACGCCATGAACTTGACAGACAAAGCGTTACCGCGCCTTCGCGCGCGCGGATGGGAACCATCCTTAGTGCGATTTACCGCGTACACGTCCATTCAGCTCAAACAACTGCTTTGCGAACGCGTGCAGAAATACGACGCGTTCGAGTTGAACGCCTTGGAACTTTGCGCGCGAAAAGTTTCTGCGCAAACCGGGGACATGCGCAAAGCTTTGCGCGTGTGCACGGACGCCTTGCAACTCTGCGTCGACGAAGCCAGGCTCCGATACGAGTCCATTGAACGCGAAGGGTGCGTCATCCTCGACAACGGCGACGTCGTCGAAGGTCCCGCGCTGGCGACGCTGCCGCCCATCCACAAAATCAAAGTCTCGCACATGGCCAGAGCCGTCTCCAAAATCTTCCAAAACCCAGTCGTGGAAACCATTCGAGCTTTACCTCAGCAGCAACAAATGATCTTGTGCTCGTGCGTCCGCGTATTTGGCGAGAGAACTGACTTCAACAAATCCGCGAAAGAAATCACTCTGCGCGAACTCCTCTCCCGGTACACCAACTTGTGCAAAGAGGCGAAAATACGCGAGATGGTCCCTTCGGATTTTAGCACCGCGTGCCAACGACTCGCAGATTCTCGATTGTTATCCATCAAAAACGGGTCGGAAGAATACAACAGACGCGTTCACATGTTGGTCCAACGAGACGACGTCTTGTTCTCGTTGCAAGGCGTGCGGTTCTTCGCGAACTTGTTAAGCGTCTGACGCCAATGGGGAAACATAACATAAGCGCGGTAATACTTACTAGAGAAAAATTTAATATACACCTGTACTTTGTTTCTTGACCTTTCTGACGTTCAATGTACGAAAGGATGTGCAATTTAATTCTCAACTGTGTCAAAACATCTCACATCGTTCTTTGCGTGTCCTTTTAGTCCCGCTACGTTCATTTAAATACTAGGGTTAGATGATTTCGTTTCGTCACATTTGATACAAAAATACACGCACAATACAACACAATACTAACACCTTTTAATAAACGAATACTCATGCTGATGATGTCCAAGCTCTCGGTATCATCGTCGTTATCAGCACAATCATCATCGTTGTTACTACGCCGCGTTGGCCGCAAAATCGCCGCGCGATCGAGGAAGAGTACTACTTTTTATAAGACGGGGAAAGCGTTTGCCAGTTCCGAGGAAGGCGGAGAAGGAAAAGAAGAAGAGGAGTGGGCGGCGATGGGTTCGAACGCGAAGAGCAACGTCGTCCCGCGAAAGCCAACAAAGTTAGCGGGGACGAACGCGCCGGAATATATGCACGGCGTGTTGGCGTTCAATCGCTTCTACCCGGAAAACGCGAGAGGCGACACGTTCAACCGTCATTTGTTGGTTGCTTTGGTAATATTTTTTTCCGTTTTAGATACGTTTTTGTGTGTTTTCATCGCTCTGTTTTTCTCTTGGACGAGTACAAAGACGACGACGCAATCTTCGGCAATGATGGAAAGAAAAATCCCGTAACACGTTTCATGCTTATGATATTCGTCGTTATATGATTACAAAAGATATTGGTTCAAATTCTGAGCCGAAGATGCGCGAGAGAGAAGAGCGGTCCTTCTCACATTTGTTTCTCTTGCTTCGTCGATTCGATTCGCGCGTGCGTTCGGTAGCAATATAACCCGCGCGCCAGTGCGTCATCGTTCGAGTTCGATACCGACCCACGTCCTTTTTCGTTTCGTTTTTCTTTCTTCATTCTCATTCAATCTGAATTTATTGCAGGATAAAGGCGTCAAAGAAAGCGCCAAGGTTACCGAGTGGGTCGTAGATAACATCTACCGCCCGGGAGATTTGCTTCATCTGGTTCACGTGTCGGACCCAAACGAGCTTGGAGGATACATGCTTCCACCGGACGGTTTATGGACGTACGACTCCGCCATCGCGCGATACAACGCCGCCGATCGCGCCGCGCAATCGAAGTTTTGGGAAAACGAGCTCAAATCCACGGAAAATATGCTCCAAGATATCGTCGAGCAAACGCACGAGTACGTGGAGCAAAAACACGAGAAAGGTTTGTCTTTGCACGAAGATATCCCGCAACCGGCTATTGAATTAGACGCGCTTTTAAACGTCCAATATCAAAGCACGAGCGATGTCATCGTGAGTAAAGCCGAACAAGTGAACGCGGCGATGATAATTGTTGTGAAACACGACAAGGGATGGTTGACGCGATTGATCGAAGGGCAGTCGATCTCGACCAACGTGGAGAAGAAGTCAAAAATTCCGGTTTTGGTTTATCACGCAGGACACATGTTGACAAAAGAGGAAGAGCTCGAAGAGAAAGAGAAAGAAGCGAGACAACCGGGTGGGAAACACGCGTCGCAGACAAAGTTGTGAACATCAATTTTCATTTTATAAAAGAGCGGGCCGGCGCGCGAGAGAGAGAGACTTGTAAAAATAACATTTCAGTACAAATATCACATATACGCATCTCGTAAAACGTGTTTAGTCCTTTCAAGCTAAGCATTCCTTCACGTACTTGTACGAGTCACTCCATACCGCTTGGCACATATCGATGGGTAACTTGTCTTGCGCGTTCTTCATGTTCTTGTTGGCGCCGTTTTGCAACAAAAAGTTTACGATTTCAACGTGCCCTCGCATCGCCGCCCAGTGTAAAGCGGTGTTCTCGCCCATATCCAAAGCGTCCACTTCGGCACCATTCTCCACGAGAAAACGGACTGTTTGCAAATGCCCGTTGTGTGCGGCTCTTTGTAACGGCGTATCTTTCATCAAACCGGCTTGTTGAATGTCCGCGCCTTCGGAGATCAACAAGTCGCACACCGCCGTGTGTCCATTCCCAGCGGCTAAAAGCAACGGTGGATCCCCGCAATGATCCGCCTCGTTCAACGGCGCGCCTTCGTTGATGTGTTCTTTTACCCAATCGTAATAGCCATCGACGCAATCGCGCCAGATGTTCGATTTGTCCGGGATGAATCGGCCAGTCTGTTGTTTTGTTGAAGTCAGAGGAAAACGCATTGCATGTGTGTCAGTCCGTCCCGAAGGTGAGAAAAAGAGAGAGAAAGAAGAAAGATATCAATACGTGCGCGCGTAACCACGACGCGAAAATAAAAAGAACGAACGCACGATCAAGTCAAACGGCATCTCTGATGCGTTGTTTATATATCTCGCGTTAAAACTCTTTTCGAGCGCGCGTCTCTATGAATGGGTGTTTGTTGTGCAGACGGGGTTGGAAATTCTTTTTCGTCGAAATTGCAAAAAAAGCGTTTTCGATCGTTTTTTTCCTCGGTGTCTCGAACGCATCAGATCCGGTCAAACCCTCCTCAAAGAGAAGAAAGCACCGCGCGAGAACATCGAGAAGAAGTAATAATAATAACAGTACTGGTAATAACAACAGCGTTGAGAATAGTATTATGTTCCTCGAAAAGTTTACCGGGCAGTGCAAATGTGGAAACGTCCGTTTTTCCGGTCGAAAACTATTTTACTCGTTCGCCTGCCATTGCGACGCATGTCGAAACGCGTACGAAAAACAAGGGAAAGGTTTCGCGACGCCGATTTTAGGATTGAAGATGTTCACGACGGTCAAGTGCGAAAAAGAAAATTCAATCGAAACGCAAACGTACGAGACGAAATCGTCCACCGTTTTCGGAGGCGTGAACAGGATGAAGTGTAAGTCGTGCGAGACGTATTTCGGGTCGAGAGGTTTTGGTCTGTATTGGGTTTTTGAGTTTATGAATCAGAGTCTCTGCGCGGACGCAAAAGAGGATGAAATCGTCGCAGATTTCTACCTGAGCGACTCAAAAAGGAGCGAATTATCGTTACCTACTCGCCCGCATTTCTCGAACGATTGGATGTGTACGGCGATGTTCGTCGTATACTTTTTGAAATCGGTATTTTTCGACAGCGTTCAAGACGTGTTGTCCGTCGCGTTTGCCGAGAACATTCGAGAGGAAGCGCCCTGTATTCTCTTGTAAAATATTTCTTCCAACTGTGATGTTATGAAAGCGCGAAAGACCTGTATTATTGAATCGTGTTGTATACGAACCAGTGGTATATACGGGCTGCTGGAATTGTCATCTATATATTTATATATATATAAATACAAGTAAAATCTACGAGCATCCACGCGCTCGTTCTATTCCTTCGAAGGATCGATTAACTTTGATTTCGGCGTCCTCTTCGCCTTCTCTTCCACTCCACTCACGCCAAACCTATTCCTCAACACTTCCATCACGTCCGCGATTTCCACGCCTTGCACGTTCAGCAACACCATCGCGTGATACAACACGTCCGCGCACTCGCTCGCCGCTCTCTCCTTCCCTTCGTCCTTCTCGTACGTCTCGCACAACTCGCCCGCTTCTTCTCTAATTTTCGAGCACAGCAACTCCGGATCTTCCAACAACCGTCTCGTCCAACTCGGTTTCGCCCCTTCCTTTATCACCTCTCGTTTCCTCTCCGCAATCGTCGCCTCTAACTCGTATAAAGTCGTCAGCGCTTCCTCCGCTTTGTGCCTCCCGTCCTTCGCCGCGCCTAAAATCAAACCGTCTGCGCCGTCCACCCTTTTGTAATAACACGTGTGCGCCCCCGTGTGACACGTCGGTCCCGTCGGTACGCCTAAATAAATCAAGGAATCCTTGTCGCAATCCACGTGCACTGAGTCGACGTTGATAAAATTCGAGGAACTCTCGCCTTTGCACCATAACTGTTGTCTCGAACGAGAGAAAAAGCACGCTTTTTTGTGTTGTAACGTGTACGCAATCGCCAAGCGACTGGCGAAGCCTTGCATCAAAATCGCCCCGGTATCGACGTCTTGGGCGATTGCGGTGACTAACCCGTTCGAATCGTACTTTAACGAGTCCAGAAATTGTTTCATCTCTTCGGTTTCCGGGGAAACGTCCGACGGTTTCGTCAGAAGACCTGCCTCGCCATCCGACGCTGCGTTTGCTATTGGTGTTCGTCTTCTCCTCGTCTTTTGATCGACGAAATGCGTCGTTCTCCTCCTCGAAGAGGGAAGGATTCCCGCGGATGATACTAACGACGACGCTGCCATCGTAGTCTTCGCGATAGGTACACTGTGTATATAAAAGAGCGTGGGAATGTGTGTCGCTTTTATCCACATTTTTGCTTCATTTCTTTTCCCCGAACGGCTGCCAAATCACACCAGAGAGAGAACATGTTTGCAACGTACTCTTCTCACGCGGGAAGGCACTTGCTCCGACGACTTGGGAGCAATAGCAGTGGTGTTGGTTCTCGCTCCTACAATGCTTCTGCCAGCAACAGTCGAAATTCGCTCTGGTGGCGATGCCTTCATTCTTCTTCCTCTTCCTCTTTTCAGTTGAGAAGAGCATTCGGTGGCGCCGCTTCCCCTAACGATGGGACGGGGATGAAGAAGACTACGGAGAAGACTAAAGAAGAAGAAACGAGAGTAATATCGAAAGAAGAGGACGAACATTACATGCGGATGGCACTCGCAGAGGCAGAAAAAGCGTTCGCCGGAGGAGAAGTCCCGGTCGGGGCCGTCCTCGTGCACAAGATCTCTCCCTCCTCAAACAAAGAGGAGGAACAAGAACAACAACAGTTCGTCCTGGCGCGCTCACACAACACATCGGAAACGAAAAACAACCCACTCGCGCACGCGGAATTGGAATGCATCGAGAGTGGGAGAAAAGCGTTAGGTGGTGATTGGCGAAGGTTGAAAGATTCGACGTTGTACGTGACGTTGGAACCGTGCGCGATGTGCGCCGGCGCGATATTACAAGCGAGGGTCGGGAACGTGGTGTACGGAGCGAGGAACCCGCAGCTGGGCGCGCACGGGAGTTGGTGCGGGTTGTTAGGGACGAGGGATGGCGAGGAGAGTAAGGTTGAGGTGTTGAGGACGCATGCGATCATGCCAGAGGTGACGGTGAGGTCGGACGTGTTAGCGGAGGAGTGTTCGGAGTTGATGAAGACGTTTTTTAAGAATCGAAGGGAACAAGCGAGGGAAGAGAAGGAGAGGTTAAAATTGGAGGAGGAAAAGTACAGAGAGTTGCTGTTTACGTACGACGGGGTGAGAGAAGATAGCGAGAAGAAAGAAGAAAAGATGTAGGCTGACAAAGTGACACAAAATGTAGGTCATGTAGGTTTAATGTATATATATATGTCGTTACAGCGAGTAGTTCGGATTTCAATCTTCGTCGTCGTCAAAGTTGAAGTGGTCTTCTTCATCGTCGGCGTCAATATCGTCGTCTTCATCGTCCACGTCATCTTCGTCTATGCCTAATACACTGTTTGACGCGCGAGTACTACCGCTACCACGTCGTCTATCTTCGTCATCGTCGTCGTCTTCGTCATCGTCGAACAAATCGTCTTCCTCTTCGTTGACGCCAAAGAAGCCGCCGCGTAAATCATCCGCTTCAGGGTCGACGAAGGCCTTACCTTCGCGAAGTTTTGCAACTTGTAAATCTTCCGCGGCTCTGTTTGGCGTGATGCCTTCTTCAGCATCCTCCTCATCTTGACGACTGGATCGCGGTTTCAAGGGGATTCGTGCGGAGTCGTCGCCGCCGCCGAGTGGCGGGCCGTTTTTGTTCAACGCCGCCTCCTCCTCCTCTTCGAATTGCTGCCGGATTTTCGAGGAGATTTTGTGAGCGTCTTCGATTTCCAAATCTTCCGCGCTCTTCTTTGGGCTCATCTCGTCGTCGTCGTCCTCCTCCTCCTCCTCCTCGCTGCTCGGCTTGGCTTGCGACGCCAAAGTCGCTCTCTTCGCCGCCTTCTCGTATCGCTTCATGCTGCTCTTATCTCTGCGTTCGAGCATGCGACGTTTCTCCAACGCTTCCTCTCGTCTTTTTGTAGCAATTGCAATAGCTTCTGCGGATCGGATATCTCGACCGGCATCAAGAAACGCAAACTCATCACTTTCACCTTGGTAAATGTTAATTGGTGGATTATCGTAATCGTGCGGATGCCCATTTTTCAACTCGTCGAGAATCTTTTGTTCTACAGGCATGACTTCCAAAGGGAACCGTATACGCCAAAACTTGGCATGCACGCGCGAAACCTTAACTTCCAACTCACTACCGACGGCGAGAAAGACTCTCGCGCGGGGGATATCCGCTTCTGCGATGGGAATCAATCCGTCAATTTCCGTGCCGCAATCGACCAACGCGCCGTGGTATAAATCTAATGACTTCACTTTCGCTTTTAGCGTTTCGCCTACTTCTAGTCTCGTGAGCATTTTTCTGTCTGGTTCTCCTATTTTCCGATCGGCGTTGCGATCGTCGCCTGCGACGAGTTTTCTGGCAGACTCATACGTTTGCATCTCTGCGGCGCTCGGCATTTGGGTTTTATTCAAGTGCAACAATTCGTTTTGATCGATCGAATCTAACACCGGGTACTTCGTTGCATTCGCGGGGCGTTCGTACATCCACGTTGAGAAATCATACGCTTCGTTCCAATCGGAGGTGACTTTACCGGTTTCTGGATCTTCCGCGTGCTTCACCCCGACGAACTTTAACGCCGAGCCGTCTCTGGCGTCCACTGCGGTGTGGTCCGGCAACGCCTCCCATCCGCCGTCCTTCAACCACTCTTGTCCGTCGTCCTCGTCGCCGGTATCCGTTGGATCTTCCGGGTGATTTTTCTTTAACGTCAGTTTCTGGTCAAAATCTGTTTCTAAAGTACTCCAACGGCCGGAAGTCTCCGACGCTTTTCGATCCAACAAGTACGGATGTTCCGCAGAACCGTCTTGGAATATACGTTCCAACTGATCCCTGTCCAACGTCTGATTTTCTTCTTCTTGTTTCTTTCGCTCTTCTTCTTCTTTTGCCACTCGCTCGCTCTCAACGAGCTCGTCAAATTTCACCATCGCTCGGTACAAAGGATCGTACTCCACGTCCGTTTTTGTCATCCCGAACCCGCCCGCCGCGGCGAATCCCTCCACTTCCCCGTAATACCTTTGCAAACGCAACCCGTTATTCGTCCTATACGCCTCTTGAAAATCTTCGTCCACCAGCTGTTCGAACTTTTTCAGCTTCACCATCTCGCAATCGTAATATTCTTTTGATTCCTTGGCGCTTAATTTGTTATAATTCGTCCTCGCGAACTCAAACCATTCGCTCACCTTCTCTTTCGGCACCAGCGCTCTGTTGGTGATATCGTCCAGTTCGCTCGCGTTCAACTCAAACTGCGCCAAGTTATAATACACTCGCAACCAAAACGAAGTTATGCACACGTACAAAGCTCGCCCGGTAATATTCCCACGCTCGTCTAAAAACGTTTCGTGTTCGAACGCCTCCGGTACAGTCACCCCCTCGGCAGCGGCGTCCTCTTCTTCCTCCTCGTCTAACCGAGCGTCCACCAACCCCGTCTTCGCCCTATACTCTCGCATCTTCTGCGTTCGCGCGAGTTTCAACCAGTTCTTGTTCTTCGAGATGAACTCCATCACGTCTTGCACCCTCTCCACTTTTTCTTTATATTCGATAAACTCTTCCTCGTTTTCGTCGTCGATGGTACTTTCGCCGTCTTTCCTCGCGATGGTATACGCGCTTTCCCCCGATTTCGATTCATACGTTCTCTCGTTTCGCATCGTGAGGTTCTTCTCGCTGTTTTCGTATTCGTCGTCCTCCGCGAAGGAGAGTCGGTCGAGCGGTGGGAGCCACGCGACCGATTCCGGAGGAGCGTTAGGCATTGCGGAGTTGTTCGTTCTTCTCGTCGTTTCATCGTCGTTCTCCGCCTCGGGGTTGTCGTCGTTGTCGTTGTTCAAATCTGACGACGCGTTGGCGGCGGTTTTTCTCTTCATCCAATTTTGTCTTCTTCCTCCTCTTAAAGCTCTTCTGAATCCTCCTCGTTTTGAAGAAGACGAGGAAGAGAAAGAACAACAACAGCGCGTCGTCGTCGTCTGAATCGTCTGAATCGTCCTCAAAGTCGTCGTCGCGGTAGAACTAAACATGTTCCGAAGTTCTCGTCGTGTATTGTCGAGAGCAAAAAGTGCTTTATAAAAGTGGCGTCTTCGGGAAAAAAACCTCGAAAAAAGTGACATAATTTGGGCAGCAAAACGAGCAAAACACGCGCGATACGAACGCGTTTCTTTGGCTTTTTGTCAAAGTGTGCATCAAAAGGATGGTGTTGATGATGTGAGCACTGGATTCGGCGCGCTCGTACGCATCGTCGTTTTTTCTCTTTGAGTGCGCGAGAACAACGCACATACCGTTGCGATCTCTTTCTCTGCGTTTTTTAGGGGAAACGTCCGTCCTGTAACGAACTCTCGCATGTGATGGTGGGAGAAGCGAGGAGGAAACGACGAGAACACCTTCCGAAGAAGAAGAAGGAGACGAAGAAGAGTCAGACTTTGTCTCTTTTCTCTCCAACGCTCGGTTTATTTGATGCGGCGGAAGAAGAAGGAAACGACACTAATGTTTTCTTTACGAACACGATTGAAAATCCAGAGAGCGGAGTGACGTGCGAAGTTCTGGTGGACGCGAAGAGCGGGATGGCGAAAGCTGGGATAGAGCGCGACGAAGACGGCGATTTTTTGTATCAAGGAACGTACGACGAAAACGGGTTGAGAAGTGGAGAGAAGTGCGTAATGGTTGGAATCGGGGATTCGGTGGTGTACGGGACGTTTAAAAACGGCGCGCCGAACGGATGGTGCGTGTACGTGTATCCGAAAATCGCAGACGTGAGGAAAGCGTTGCTTTCGAAAGAGGACGGAAGAGCGAGAGAAAACGGGATGAAAAACTTGATCAAGGAGTGCGATTACGTCGTTGGGTATTTTAGGGACGGGTACGTGCCGTACTTTGACCGGGACAAGAAAGCACAGACGGGCGACGAAGACGTGTGGTATCGAAACGCGAGCGACGATAGAGTGGAAATGACCTTGGACGAAGAAATGACTGCCATTTTAGAGTGCCTCAGTTGGACGAAAAAGACGCACGGCTTTGAGGATAAAAGCACGTATGAGAAGCTGCGTTGGGTGACGATGGAGGAAATAGAAACGAAGATGAAGGGTAGACGGAAATGGATTTGTCCATTCGAGGCGAATTCGTGTGGGTACCACAAAGTAGGCATCGACGACGAGGGACGTTCCGAGACAAACTTCGTGTCCATTTACGGATGCAAAGAAGGTGAACTCGTTGCTATTTACTCGAGTTTTCCGGCAGAGGTGAAATGCTTTAAAGGACTTGCGAGAAGGTGGGATCTCAGAGATGAAATAGCGGCTTTGGACGATTTATCGGATGAGGAGGACGAGAACTTTTCTCGAAAAGACGAAGTACGAGGGCAAAAAATCGACGCAGAGAAGCGTGGTAGGGGAGGGCGATTTCTTCTGTGCGGTATGACTTACGATGGAAGGTATCGAGCCACGTGTACCACCTACGGAACGGATGCAGCAGTACACGTAAAAGAAGAGTATAACTGCGAGCGAGTACCTCTTTATCACTGGAAGATGATCGGGAGTGACTATTGTTTGTGTTTGCGAGCGCTGAGAGATATCAAAGCGAACGAACGCATATCAGTTGGACCAGATTATACCGGTGGTTGGCGGCTGAATCCTTACTCCGAGGCTGGCTATTACCATCATCTCATGAACACTCCAGAAAAAATCGTATTTGAATCGACAAAGCCGACGAAGAGGAGAGGAGGAGAAGTCACGAAGAAAGCGCGGAAGGCAAAGAATGATGACAACGAAGAAGAGAACATATCGAACGTTAAAATAAAGCGTCACGGTCCGTGGCTTTGCGCATACATCGATAACGTCGAGCAAGGATTATTGTACGACTCGAATTGGAGAGAAAGCGATGAGGATGAGGACGGCGAAGGAAAAAACAACGCTACAAAAATTGCTCGCATCGATCGAAGCGTCGTTGGTTTTGAATACATTCGCGCGATGGCAACCATCGCTATCGCATTCGGATGCGCATCAGACCATAGCTGGCTCGTACCGATTTTGTGTCCTAAACGATACAAGGAGATGTGCGATCCATTATTTAACGGATTTTTAGAGAAGGTTCGCATTTTAAACTTGGGATTTGGTACCGGCGCACTTTCCGGGTTTCTCTGCTCCAAATTGAACTCCGAATATGAACAGAGAATTGATCTCGAAAGCGTGGAGTACTCGAAACCAATGTGTGACGTGATTCTGAGGAATTCGAAGACTCTCGAGTTCCCGCGGTTTCCAAACGAAACCATACACGAGTGCTCGGCGGAACGCTACCTCGAAGAAGAATTGGAACGACTTTCATCAAAAGGATACCATCGCCTGAATAAACAAGGCTTTAGTTGCGTTTTTCTCGATTGCTACGACGGTCAAGGTCTCATCCCAAAGCGATGCTTGGAGAAATCTTTCATTCAAAACATTTACGATTGTTTAGAGAAAACTCGCGGCGGGATTCTCGTGTGTAACTGCTGGTCGGGCAATCTCAAAGCTTTGGCGGAATTCCGCGAGACGCTCTCCTCCGTTTTCAACTACGCATCGAGCGAGTCCACGGATGAAAACTGGGTCGAATCCGTCCAAATCTTCAAAGAACCGAGCGGCCAAACCAACAACTGCGTCGTCGTCGCCAGCCGTCGCGTTTTGACGAGGGAGTCCGAGATAAGCCGAAAAGAGGGAGAAGAAGAAAATATCCTCGAGTTTTTACGGCTCAAATTTCCATTCGGAGGAATTCCCTTTGGCCTCTCCTCGGGAAAGTCGTTGTTCGACGCCAGCCGTGATCTCAGTGTCAGTCATTTAGGAAAGTTAGAAGAGTTCACGTTTAGTTTTAGCGGAGTCGAGTATTGAAAAATTTTCCTCTTAAAATTCTCTTCACTTTTAAAACTGTCACTTGGAAAAAAAAAGTCATGAATTCGTCGCTCCTCGTCTCCGCGACGAACGCGCGATCTTCTATCTGTTCGCCTCAAAAGCACTGCTCGTCTTCATCACCGTCGTCATCTTTATCTTTGATGCGCACTTCGGCGATGTGTGTGACGAAATCGAACGCGAGAACAGGAACAACATCAGCAGCGACGTTCGATCGCCGCCGATCGAAGGCACCACCGTTACGACGACGGATGATGAGAATTGCGGCGAAGAAGAAGAAGGAGGAAGACGAGATGGAATCGGCGGAGGAATCGATCAAAGCGCCGTCGATCCCGTCCGTGGCGGATTCGCAAGACGAGGACGTGGATTCGTGCGCCTTTGTTTTGTGCTCCATCGATAACGAACGATTCGAGGATCGAAGCGTGATGTCCATCAGCATTCAATCCATTCCTGGACTCATGCGAGTGATTTCGTGGCTTCTCGAGGGTCTGGATTTGGAAATTTGGAACGCGAAAATCACCACAGACACCGACGGGTTCGTGAAGATGGACTTTGAAATCGTGGAGAAGACGTACGACGACGCGTTCGTGAAGTTGACAGACCCCGAGGCGGTGAAAGAACGGTTGGAGGATTACTTGAACTTTTGCGTGAGGAAAGGCCAAGGCGAGAAGGCGTTTGGAGTGAAGACGAGAAGAGGCGTGTGCGTGGATAACGAGAGTAGCAAAGGGACGACGATTGCAACGGTGGTGGTGAATACGAGTCCGGTGAAGACGTTGTTGCCTATTTCGAGCGCGGTGACTGCGTTGAAGTTGAAGATTGATTCCGCGGTGTTGGTTGGCGGCGAGAGCGACGGGGAGTGCTTCGTGGATTGTAAAAAGTGGCGATTTGAGCTTGTAAACGCTGAGAGTGGGAAGAAGTTGACCAGCCAAGAAGCGAACGCGTTGATGTATACGCTCACTTTGTTAATACAATCGGCTACGAATGTTACGGGACAAGGGAAAAGTTCGAGCGCGGCGGCGAGAGATATCGGCGAGCCGGAACAAGTTCCACCCTTTTAAAGTATAACCGCGCGCCCGTAAAGCGCGCGGGCGCTGTATCTATATATATATATAAGCATATGGATAATAATAGAAAATTGATATGTAATTACGAAGAGGAAGCTAAAGCATTAAGCGCAGCACCTAAGGCCCACGCGACTTCGACGTTTTGTCCTCGATACTCTATTTGTTTCACCAATCGTACGCTCTTCCAATCGTTCTTTTCGAATCCTTTCTCTAACAAACCAACGATGTACGTTAAATCTGTGCAGAGAAACGCCGCATCTTTCTCTTCGACGCCTTCAAAGTTAGTCAATATTTCACTTTCATCGCCCATGGTATCGCACGCGAGCTTAGCCGCGTCTTCGATCTCGTCGATGGTCAACTCGCCGTCGATGGCGTCTTGTGGAATCAACTTTGCGTTTATCGCGCGGTCCCACATGTACGACGATAAATACACCTCTTTCGCGTGTTGCGAGTTGAAATCGCCACCCCATGCGCCGTTAAACGAACACTCGTCGTCAACTTCGCACGAAGTGTCTAACTTTAACATACTTTCCACGTGTTCTTTGCACGCGGCGTAGTCTGAATTCTTCTCCTCGTGGCCGGCGGCGACGATTTCTTCGCCCGAGTATATGTATTTCGGGTCAGATCCTTTCGGTAAGCATGGGCTAGACATACCGTTCGCTTCCTTCAACGTCGCCGCTCTGGCAGCCATTAACCCGTAACCTAAGTGCGATTTCACGTACACTTCGAACGGTTTCTTCGCCCCTGGAAACGAGATGGATTTTGAGTACCCTTTTGGCGCCCTCTTCGCGACTTTCTCGTCCATGGCGTGCGCGAGCTGGACAGATCCGCCGCCTAAATCGATCGCCGCGACGGTAATTCCTTCTTCATGACTATGACTACTTTTCTTTTTATTACTCTTTTTATCGCTTCCGCCTTCCAATCTGTTCAATAAATAGTTCAACGCCAACCACTGAAACGCGCCTTCGTCTTCGCCTCCCATGATGGAAACGTCTCTCTCGGTGTCGAACGCAAACGGATACGTCTTCAGCGTTTCTCTCACGCTTTCCAACAAATCATCGGATTTTGTTTGCGGCTTTAACAACCTCAACCCGGCGGTCGCTCTCACTTCCACCGGCGTTTCCGCTCTTTGGCCTTCTGGAATAGTTTCCATCGCTTTCTCCAACAGCGGCTGCAAAGATGCCCCGGCTTTATCCGGTTCGTCCGCGTACGAAGACAATCCGGGTTTCAACTGCTCAAACGTATCGTCTACTAACTTTCCGGTATCTTGTTCGAATCTAAAAATGTGCACTCTCGACCCGGTACTCCCCGCATCAAACACGATGGCGTATTTATACCCGTCGCCTTCCTTTCCTTTGCGTTCTTCTCTCTCGTCGCCTCCTTCTTCTTCTCCACCGACGTGTACGCGCACGTGAACATCCTCTTCTTCTTCGTGCGCCGTGTGTAAACTCGACGGTTCTTCTCCAACCGCGCCGCCCGAAGACGATTCAGACGACGACGACGTTAAATACTCATCCGACTCTCGATGCGCTCGCTCTCTCGCCCAATTTGCCGCCGAATTTCCTCCTCTTCTTTCGATATTCTTCCTACTTTCGCGAGAAGATATAGACGAGGAAAACTCGTTCCCGTGCGGGTGCACGTTCGCGAAATCCAACTGATGGTGTCGGTGCAAATGCGAGTGCGTCGGCATCAACGTATACACGAGAAAAATCAAACCCATCGGAATGGATGCTAAAATGAACATCCCGCGCAACTTCCACAACCGCTCCCCGCAGAGCATTCGCAGAGGGCCGCCGCCTTTGGAGGAGGACGACGAGGAGGACGAAGAGGTGGTAGACGAGGAGCTCGACGCTCTCAACGATTCCATCATCATCATATATCTCTTCGCCAAACACCAATACTCTCTGCCGCCGGTTCACTCAGATTTTATCTCACAAAAATCAATCGAGCAAACTCTTTTATTATTCACGCGCGATGATGTGTATACAATACCTTCCCAGCGAGAACAACGACTCGCTTCTCTGAACAGTGGCAGACGATAGGTTTCAAAGAGAGAAGAAGACGTCAAAGAAGCAACGACAGAAGCGTTATTATTAAAGTCTCTCTTTTTTATTGAGTGCGAGTTTTATTCGTGTGATGATGATTTTGTGTCTCTCGTGCGTTGTTGTGAAAAAATTCTTGGCGCACAACGACGCACCAAAACTCGAGCGATTTTTACCCTAAACAAAACACAAACGCGTCGCTCTCGTTCTTATTAGACCTTTCAAAAACACAACCGTATATTCACACAAGAACAACAACAAACGCGATCGATCATTCGCGCGAGTAATCCTCCTCTCAAAGAATATATTTAAGAAGAGCTCTCGTAGAGTACACGCACAAACATCGACGGCTTTAGACGATCTTTCTACGACCTTTATACGCACATAAAGAATGCCACCGAAAGCGGAACCGAAGCAGTACACGCCGGAAGGCCAATCGGAGACGACGTCCATCGCGCTCGATAAGGCCACGGATTCGTTGCAAAATGCGGTGAAAGCATCCATCGCGGAGTTGAAGAATGTCTACTTGGACTCGCAACGTTCGCATAATTTGAAGCACAAAATGGACGTGCAAACCATGGAGCAGATGAAAAAAGAGTTCGATCAAGAGTTGAAGACGAGTGGAGTGAAACTGGACAACGCGACCGCGCAGATTAAGACTTTGAACACGCAATTGACCGAGGAGAAGATCAAAGCGAGCGAGGCCTTGAAGACGCACCAATCGACCGAACAATCTATTCGCGGGAAGTTGGAATCCGCGCAAACTTTGGCAGCCAGAGATCAAGATAACTTAAAATCGAACATCTCTGAGTTATCCAAACAACTCGGCGTGGCAAACACGGTGATCGATAAGTTGAAAGATGAAGCCAAAAGCACGGCTGCTGAGAACAAGTTGACGGAGACGAAACACTTGCAAAAAATCGACGAGTTGGCGAAAGCGTTGGAATCGGCGAGAATGAACTTTGCGGAGAAAGACTCGGCGTTAAGCGCGGCGAACGCGACGATTAAGAGCGACGAGAAAGCGATCACGGAGTTGTTGAGAGAGAAGAGCGAAGCGTCGCAAAAGATTTCGAGTTTGAACACGCAGCTGGAGAGCCAGCGGGCGAGCACGGAGCAGTGGCAAAGAGAGGCGGACAAGTCAAAGAACGACGCGGCGACGGCGAGGAAGGAAACGCAAGTGGAAACGAGCGAGAAGGCGAAGGTTTCCGAGGCGAAGGCGTTGTTAGAGGCGAAAGTGGAGGAGTTGTCGAAGAAGTTGAACGCGATGACGGCGGAAGCCGCCGGCGCCAAGGAGAAGAACGCGAGCATGAACAACCAGTTGAAAGAGAAAATCACACAATTGGCGGAGACGAAGGAAGCGGCGAGATTGCGATCGGTGGAAGACCAAGGAGTGATTGCGAACAGGGAGTCACAGTTGGCGGAAACGCAAGCGCAGCTGGAACGCTTGAAGCAAGAGGCATACAACTTGTACACTTCGTACACCGGCGCCATGCAGCAAATGGAAGAATACAGAGTCGCGTTGGAGAGAGAAACGCACGAATCCGCGAAATTGCACCAAGCGATCGCGCAACAAAAGAACGAAGCGGCGAGAGATGCGGTCAAAATGAGCTCCGCGGGTGCCATGTTAGGCCCGCCGGCTGGCTTCGGCCCAGGAGGAAGCGCCGGAAGATCTGGCGGCGGCTCCTCCTTCTACGACGGCCCTCCCATCGGCATGACCATCGAAGAGTTATCTGGCATGAAAAACTCGCCGAGAAACACGCCGAGACAAGGTGGACGTTAAACAATCGAAAACGACGAGGAAAGAAAGAGAGAGAAAGAGAGAATGAGAGAGCGGGATTAATGATGCGCATATTAATTAAGTAATTTACAACAACACAAAAGAGAGAAAGAGAGAGTAAAAAAAAAACGGCGGCGAAAGCGCGGAGGAAAGACGAGAAGAAGAACAAACAACAGGGGAAGAAGGAAAAAGAAAAAGAGCGAATCAAAGCGCGTGGAATTTCGCTTCGCCGCTCGAAAGAAGTTTTATGTAGAGAGATAGACGTTTTTCATTTTCACACACAGTACGTATATATTCTTTAAGAAAACTCCATAGTATAGCCAAAAAGCACGTAAACCCTAAACTGATTTTCAAAAAAAAAAATTCTCCTCTCGCTTCAAAATTTTTTCCTCAAACCAATCACCAAGAAGAAAAAAGAAGAAGAACGCACATGTCGTCGTTCACGCCACGCCCGGTTTCTTTTTTCGATCGCGACGGGGAGAAGAATACGACGTTGCTCTCCTCGGCGAAAGCGCAGTTGGGGAAAGTGTTCAGTCGATTTGCTTCTTCTGCCTCCTCTCCTCCCGCGAATAATGTTGCGTCTGAAAAGCCTCTGCCTCCTCCGCCTCCGTCGGGAAATCAGCATCCTTCGCTTCGAAAATCCTCCTTGAAGAAGACATCGTCGCCGCCTGATTTTTCGGTCGAGAGACACGGCAAAGTGACGTTCGCGAAAGAAGAAGAGGAAGAAGAAGAGGAAGAAGAAGAAGAAGAGGAAGAGGCACATCGACGCGTTTTGAGACGAGGACGGTCTTCCGGGGTTGGAGAGGGAAAAAGAAGAGACGAAGAGATGACGACGACTGCTCCCAACGTTGCCGAGACGAGAAAGAGGGAGATTTCGGCCGAGAAAAGAGAAGAAACGACGACGGGGAAGAAGAGAAGAAACGACGACGACGAGGACAACAACAACAACGAGTACACGGAGGAAGAGATATTAGAGATGGAGACGATCGTGAGAATGGCAAAGAGACGGAAAGTGATGGGCGGCGGCGATGGCGATGGCGGAGAACCTCCCGTACGGCAGCCGAGCGAACGACGACGGAAGAGAAGCGAGGAGGTACGGGACGAAGTGGACGACGATAAGAGTCCGCACGCGAGCGTGCGGGATATATTGCACGCGTACAGACAGAGAAAGATGGCGAATAAGACGAGGTACGCGAGCCGGCCGAGAGGGTTAGCGGCGACGGCGGGCGCGACGAGTTACGGGTTGTTGCGACCGAAAGTTTCCAGCGAGAAAAGGACTTTACTTCTTCCGTCGATGGGGACTAACGGTGCCGCCGTGAATGGAGGCACGCCGTCGGCAAAATTAGCGCCGCCAATTCGGGATAAAGGAATGCCGACGTCGCATAACGTGTTAAAGAAAAGGGATCCGAGAATCGTGAGCACCCCTGGGCCGGTGTCCATCGGTTTCGCGCAAGGCGAAAGGTCCAAGAAAAGGTCGCGAGTTGGAGAGGACGAGTTTATGCCATCGTCGGTGATGAATAGAAACGTGTCGAGGAAGTTGGATAGTTCATCGCCACCTTTGCGTGTTCAACAAGATCAGGAACAACAGCAAACGCCAAAGGTTGACTTGAGCGCAGTGCGCGCCGCTAAAGAGAAGATGGCTACTCAAACAGCCTCGAAGATTTTACGCGCCTTGGATAGAGCGAACGAATTTCGCAGCGGAGGAGCGACGCCTGGTAGAAAACCTTCGTTTACGCCGGCAGAGACGACGGGTGGACAACCTCCATCTCGATTAAAATCTACGAATCAGAAAGGTTTGAATGTGTCTTTTGCGGACGATGCGAGAACGCCATCTCCGGCTGCTGGTGGTGCTGGGACTGCGCCGCCGAGTCACCGAATGAGCACGCCGTACCCAGCCAAAAATGGTGGGAGTGGCGGCGAGAACGAGTTTAACGACGTTCAAGGATGCGATCAGTCTGTTCTGGCGGATACAGAGTATGAGCGATTACAAAGGAAGTATGGACGCGTCGCGCAAGAAAGCTTCGAGTTTAACGAAGAGCGCTATGTGCCCGAGTCCATCGACGAGGACGACGACGAGCTCGATGCGTCCGGCAAGAACCAAGAGGACAATTCTGATTCGGAATCAGATGATGCGCCAATTGGCTTCAAAATGGGTCCTGGTACCGCGCAAAAAGAGAAGAAGCAATCGTCGCTTAGTTTTGGAACGAAGATAGCGACGACGACGACGTCGAAACAAGGCAAGAAGAACGAAGGAGACTTGGCAAAACCACCGGTAGTGAACCTTTGGAGTGCTGATTTTATGGCGAAGAATAAAGCGCATCAAGCAAAAGTTCAAAAAGCTATCGAAGAAGAAGAAGGCGGAGGTGGTGCGGCTGGCGCCCCTGGTAAAGCGGCTCCGAGTCCGTTTGCACCGACGACAACTGCGGCGGCACCGTCGCCGTTTACGTTTGGCATTCCGGCTAAGACAGCAGGCGGTGATAAAGCCACGGAGAAGAAACCAGTGGCAGCAACAGCAACGGGCGGTTTCTCGTTTGGAATTCCATCCGCTACTGCGGTGCCGACGTCAAAACCAAATCCATTCTTAGTATCCGCGCAAACGAAGGAAACGAAGGAAACTCCGAAAACCGACGATAGTACGAAGAAACCGACATTCCACTTCCGCGCTCCGGAAGGTTCGAGCGATGGTAGTGGAAACGCTGGTGAAGTGAAACCATCAACGGCAAAGTTTACTTTCGCTGGATCGACGCCGAGCGCAGCATTTTCACCAGCTGCGACGACATCGACGGAGCCGACGAACGCCGCGGCGCCTCTTCTTGCTAAGCCTGCATCAGCGGCGCCTACGTTTACTTTCGGCAACACCGCTCCTCCTGCTGTTGCTGGACCAGCTGCTACAGGTGGAGTTGAGAAGAGTGGTTTGCTCGGCTTTTTAGCGTCGACGAAAGAAAAGAATGAGGAAGTGAAAAAAGATGAGCCGGCGAAACCGACAACTTTTAGCTTTGGGGGCGGCTTAGCAAACGCGCCCAAGGCGGATGAAGCAACGGCGAAAACGCCAGCTTTTACCGGTTTTGGCGCCGCGGCGAAACTTCCAACTCCTACAGAAACCTCCAAGAAAGAAGACGGCGAAACGAAGCCTTCCCCTTTCGGCACAACTTCGACGACAACTTCAGCGCCGCCGGTGTCAACTTCGCCATTCGTTTTCGGTGCTCCTAAACCAGACGCAGCTGCTGAAGCGCCTAAACCGGCGGCGCCGGCGACGTTTGCTTTTGGCGCGGCGAAACCGGCAGAGACGGCAAAACCGGCGACGTTCACCTTTGGCGCTGCTCCGGCTGCGTCACCAGCGGCAGCGAGTTTATTTGGTGCGGCGGTAGCAAAACCGACCACGGGTACTCCTCCTGCATCACCAACTCCAGCATCGTCTTCTCCGTTCACTTTTGGCGGCGCTCCGCCTTCCGCGGCGACGGTTGAGCTAAAGCAAGCCGAGGCAAAAGCTGCGGCTCCGTTCGCCTTCGGTTCGTCCGCTCCGGGAGCAGTAGCACCTGCGCCTGGTGCGTCAGTCAGTGGAGGTTTTACCTTTGGTGCTAGTGCGGCGACTGCGGCGCCTCCTTCCGCGCCAACATTTACCTTCAACGCGGGCGCCGGAGGAGGTGCGGCGAGCGCGCCCAATCCATTCGCTACTACCAGCACAAATCCGAGTCCGTTTGGAGCAACGACTGCTGCAAATCCGTTTGGTGGATCTAACAATGATTCGCGACCGTCCAGTCCGTTTGGTGCACCAGCGCCAGTTACTGGAGGTGCAAATCCGTTCGGTGGTGGAGGAGGAGGGGTGGGAGGTGCGAATCCATTCGGCGCGCCGGCGGGTGCGAATCCGTTTAGCAACAACGCTGGCGCTCCGCCGCAACAACATCAATCCGGTAGTTTCGGTGCCCCATCAAATAGCGATAGCTCGCAACAAGTCGTTCCTGGCGGTCGAAAACCTATTCGTCGCGCGAAACGTCCAACTAGACGTTAGAGAGAGAGAAAAAAAAAAGAGGAACGGTGTTTTTTCTATACCGATGTACAAAACTATTCACAACAAACTTTAAATCGTGTATGTATACATGCTCGCGCGCGCGCTCTGCCCAATTCCTTCTTCGTCGACTACTCTTCTTGCCCTTCTTCTTCGTCTTCCTCGCTACTACTCCCCACTTCCACCACATCTCCCGCCGCTACGTTCTTCCCTTCCAGTGCCTCTTCGCTCGCAAAAATCTCAGGAATCGCGCCCGCCTTCATCGGCATCCGCAACGTCTGCTCGAAGAGCAACTCCAACGAATTCCTCAAAATCTCTCCAACCTCCTCCTCCGTCTTTGCGTTTTCAACCGACGCGCCAATCTGTTCAAACACGTCCTCGATCGTCTCGCGCGCGCTCTTATACCACTTCTTCGCCTTCTTCTCGAACTCGCACAACTCCATCGCTTTCGACGAATTCGTTCCGCCTTCGCCTAAAAACATCCGCTTCAACGCTTTCTCTCCCATTGCCGACGCGCTCGCAAACGCCTTCACCGGATCTCGCCTCCTCGTCTCCTCTTCCTCTCGCTTTCGTTTCTTTTCATTTTCTTCGTTTTCTCGCAAAGATACTTCCATCGCTTTCGCCATCTCCTCCGCCTCCATTTTTATCGTCATCTGCGCGCGTAAAATATCAACCGCTCGCGTTATGACATCGTTTTCGTCCTCCTCGGTGTTGTTTTGATTGTTAATGTTGGTGGTGATGTCCTCCTCATCATCGATTATGGTTTTCTTGTTCTCGTTCTTGTTCGTTACGAACGAAGATGTTGTTCTTTTCAACGCGCGTTCGATTTCCTCTCGATTCGGTTTGAATTTCATCATCAAAGGATCCTCCTCAATCGTCAGGAAAGATTGTTCGATGAAATCTATATTCGTTGTTGTTGTTGTCGTTGGATTCATGCTCTGTTGTTGTTGTTGATAATGAGGATGATGATGACGATGCGTTTTCTCGTTCTGTTTCTGATTGTTTCGTACGATTCTTCTCTTCTTACTCTTCCCGTCGTTGTGTGCTCCGTCTCTGTTTTCGCTCATCGTCGTCGCATCGTCTGAAAAGAGACCGACAAAAGACGCGAAAGGTACACACGAAAACGACGAGAGAAGACGTTTGTATATTGTCTTAAAGTTGTCTTTAACTTGTCTGTGCCGTAATATATTTTGACCTTAAAAAACAAGGGGTGCTGCCTTAGTACTGCCTTAATAACTAAATAACCTAACTTTTCAAGCGCGTACGACATCACTTCAAAACAAGTACTCGTACCTAAACGCGGCAAAAAGAAGTATCAACACTTCCTCTACCCCGTTAATCATCTTAATCAACGAAAGTCGCCTTCGGCTCCACTCGTAAGTAAAGAAATAGAAACCGATTTTTAATTGTCGTCGTCGTTTTTCCCGAAGTCGCGAAAAGTTCCCGAAGTTGCGGACGTTAGTATAAGTTGCGGGTGGGGGAGATTTGTCGCGTAAGTTCTGTGGAGGCTTCGTTCTTCGAATAATCGCGTTAGTAGATCCGCTCGAAAACTTCTCCCAGTGCGTTAGCATAAAAGTTTGCCTTTGTTACTGAACATTCCTTCCAGCAAGGGAGAGACCTTTTGATATTTTCTTGTCCTCCAACTAAACAACAGACAGATTATAACAGACCCCAACGGCCACTTTCAAAAAAATATGACAACTTCTTCCAGCAGCCAAAAAAAAAAAACTCAAGTCGTTGCTGATTTAATTCCGAACAACTACGAGGAGCAACCTGGATTGATCGAAGGAAAAACAAAAGTGTTCAAAGACAAAGTTGCAGCGAGAGTCGACGATTTGGACAACCTCGGGAAGTTCGTTACTCTTTTCCAATATGTGCTGATCTTGGTGGTCATTCTCGTTCTCGTTTTATCGAGGATTTTCAAGGGAACGACGATTGCTTACTCCGAGTTGAAGCCTTCGTATTCGAAATATTTGGAATTGAGAAGTGACCCGGATGTCATGAACATGAAATGTTCGGTAAGTAACGACACATTGACCTACGCTTCGTTCACGACGTACTCGTACGAAAAGGCGGATGCGTGTAGCTGGGTCACTGAAGATCTTTTAAAGGATAAGAGGACGTACAGTGAAACAAAATACGTTCTCGTTAAAGACGGAGATCCTTACGACTTGGGAGACGGCAATGGAGCGCAAACCTCTTATGAAGGATATGTTTTGCCGAGAAGTAAGCTCGGTAAAACTTCGGCGTGCAAGGAGCTAAAAAAACTGCAGACATGCCAAGCGATCAGGGACGGCTGCTCTCGAGGTCACGAGCTTATGGAAAAGCTCATAGAAAAATCAGAAAGTGCAGTTTTTCCTCTGAAAGATCTTCTCGACAGCGAATCAAAACTTCTCTCTTTTGTCAACGCCACGTTGACGCAATCTTTCGAATCGTTGCTTTCAGGCTTGGAAGGGCCTCGAATTGCTGTGAAAGAATGGGCGTCGAAAAATATGCCCGCTTTGTATGGGTACTTTGGCTCTCTGCAAAATTACGCTCAGGGACAATTTTTTCGACAAGAATTATCATCGGACTCGCCCACCAATTTTTTTAAGAGCGTCTCCATCGCATGCGCAATTTACAATGAAAAAATTGCCGACGCAGGTACGTGCGATACAAGCTGGATAGGGGATGGCGTGTGCAATGCAGCGTGCAATAATCCCTACTGTCTGAATGACGGTGGGGACTGTCTGACAGGGACAGCATTATACACGAGCTCGCATGAGTTCTGGGACGATGCAACAGACGAATATACATATCGAGGATTTTCTCCTTTGCAACAAGGCGATGAACTATTTATTCAGCCGTATTATAACATAAGCGACAAGGAAACCCTCTTCGATGATGATATGGTGAATATACTGAAAACTATACTGAATGCCAACGACGAAGACGTGTGGACAGCTCTTGAAAATATATTCGAAGAGCCCTATATTCATCCAATATGGCAAACACCTACAAACATGTTTGTTGGAGTTGATCCAAACGACACGTGTGGTAATCCCAGCACTTGGTATAAATCATACGAAATGGACAGGCCTCCCTCCTGGCTTGAACACCTTGAGTCTGACATTGACTTTGTATACGATACAGTCTTGCGCGACTCTATTTTCCCAGCATTGGGTGAACCCTCCGGAGCACTACGTCCTTCTGGCTTTGTTCCAGTTCAAAGGACTGATGTTTTTTCGTGTGATGCGCAGTCTAAAGCACAGAATCTTCCTGGGATAAAAGGCGAAACAACAGCCAACATCAAGGCCTGGGTTGATTACTCATACGCCTTGTTTGCTTATTTCAAAGATAAGTGCGGCGCTGATGAAGCTGGGCATTGGAAAACAGATTGTCCAACCTTCACTGTCGACGATTCTATTTTTTCGGTGACCTTCCCTTTGGCATTTTTATCCGATGATACCGTTGGTTCAGATGATGAAAATATTGCTTTTGAACGGCTCGATTTCATCCGCTTAGTAAGCGAGTTAGAGTATGCGTATCTGGGTTCATCGGCCCGCGAGAACTCGGGCAGCGTTGAGCAACTCCTTCTCGATGCTGGCATCAAAAGAGATTCGGCAGGCTACAGCATTAATCCGAGTGTCAACTATGAAGCCTACTACACAGCTTCAGACGTTTCCGAGTGCTCGTACAGCAAAAGAGTTGGCGCGAGCCCGGCGACGGTTGTCACCGTCGTTCTCGGTTTAATCGGGGGTGTCACTACTACGGTTTCAGTCTTTGCGCTCGTTCTGTATCAACTTTTCAGAAAGAGCGTTTTCAAAAAATACAAAAATGAAATGCAATCGAAAGACCCTTCTTCTTCAGTTCCCGTGTAAGAAGAAAAAAAGAAGTTGGAGAGAACATTATACACACGCATATACTTATGTATGGGTAGGTTGCCAAAAAGTACAAGAAGGAAATTTCGGTAGAAGAAAATTCTTCAGCCATCTAATCCTCGAAGAAGGAGTCGCTTCGAAGCGCGCGCTCCGATCAATATCTTTTATATTTATTATTATTCTAAAAATTCACTTGACGAACACGTTCGAAAAGTCATCACATATATATACAAATAGCTCCCGACGTTTGTACATGATTAATACGATGACCAGCAAAATAAAGTTCCTTACACTCGTCGCCGTATCCGTTCTATTTCATAAACCTGTCAATAATGAAATCTTCCCCGTCCACTTTCGTTTATATATTTTTTTTTGAAGCATTTTTTTCTTTCCTTTTTTGCTCGAAACTCACCTAAAACTGAGGAGAACTGACAGACTGCATTTAATTGGAGAAAGAAGCAGAGCATTCCTCTTTCCACGCGCACAATTTTTACTCCACTTATTATTAACACACAACGAACGTATTCTTTTTGTATTCTTCCGCGGACGAAGAACACGAACCCTTTCTTTCTTTCTTTCTTTCTTTCTTTCTTTCTTCCTTTCTTTCTTTCCTCAGTCGTTGAAAAAGAGAGCGTTTATAAAAGAGAGAAAAGGATTAAGAAGAGAATACCGACGAGAACATCTCTCTCTCTCTCTCTTTCTCTCTCCTGTTTTTCTTCTTCTTCTCTCGAGTGATTTAGAGAGCATTAGTAGGGGAAATGGAAGCAACAACAACAACCGATGACGATGCGCCAGGAAAGAAACAGACGACCGCGACTCCTAAATCAAACGCGGATTTTCGAAACTTTCTCCTTTCAAACGGGAGGAACGACGAGGAGAAGAACTTTGCGAAGAATACTACGACGACGAGGACGACAAAAGAAGAAAAAGATTTGCCTGATGTTGGTGCTTTTCCAAATCGAAAGAAGAAGAAGAAGAAGAAGGCGAACCAACTACAGGAAACGACGACAAAAACGCGACGCGATGAAAATAATACGCATAGATATCGAGATCGAGCGAAAGAACGGAGAGAAATGGAAGAAGAAGATCAAGATGATGATGATGGTGATGAAGGAAGAAGAGCGGATAATCAGCGCGATAAGAGTAATACTTTCGCGACGACGACGACGAGAGGAGGGGTGTTTGAACACGCTTTCGAGGATGAGGACCGACTCACGACGAAAACGACGACGATAAATACAAATAGCAAACGTTTGATGGACATTGAAAAGAGCAAATACATGGGCGGGGACGAGAAGACGACGCATAAAGTGAAAGGATTGGACTTTGCTCTGTTGAGGAAGAAGAGAGAGGAGTTGTTCGAGATGAAAAAGGAAAACATAGAGGAGGGCGACGACGACGAAGAAGAAGAAGAAGTAGTAGTAGACGATGAAGACGACGCGAACAATAATAATCCATCGTCGTCCGTGTATTCTTCTCTGTACGACGCGAAATCGAACCTCGGGCGCATCCTCGTTTCTAAAATCGAGACCGCGCAAAAGCGAAACAAAGACGCGCTGACGAAGCGGACGAAAATCCCACCGCTCTCGGGCGTTTCGTACCTGTACGACGTCAACAGTCGAACGCGAGAAGTGACGAGAACGATCGAGATGGAAACGAAACCTCGAGCGGATATCGAGGAAGAACGGAAAGCGCGACGAAGAGAGTTTGCGAAGATTTCAAAAGACGAGGAAAAGATTTTACGAGCGGTGGCAAAGGCAATACGTGAGCCTCGCGGTACAAAAGAAGAGGAGAAAAAGAATAGTCATAACATAGCAACAGATAATAGCAACGCGAGCGCGGAAGGAAAGAAAATAGACACCAACAATGCGGCGGCTGATTCGGATTCTGAGGATATTTTCGCAGACGTTGGCAAAGATTACGACGCAATCGCGGAACTGAAGAAAGAAGAGGAGCAAAATGGCAAAAAAGAAGCAACGACGACAGCAGCAAAGAAAGAGTCGAGAACAAAGTTGTTCGACGGCGAAGCGCTGCTTGAGGAGTTCGAAACTGGACCGCGAAAAGCAGACGAAAACATTAAAAAAATGGACGAAGCGTACGAACGTAAGCGATTGGAAGAACGCGCGGAGATGGACGACGACGCGTACGGCGAGTACTATCCTGGTTTTGACGCCGGATTTGGCGGCGAGATAGACGACGACGACGACGATGGCGATACCGACAGGGATAAGGACAAAGATAAAGATACCGGCGAAGAAGAAAAAGGGAAGAAAGGGAAAAAGAAGAAAGAACTCACGGAAGCGCAAAAAATGAAACAGAAAGAAAACGAAGCGTATCAAGCCATGCAGAAGCACATGAAGGAGAAGTATTCCGACAAGTACGACGCCGCGTTCGGGGTCGTCAAGAAAAAAGAGGACAACGAGAACAACGAAGCCGAGGACACAAAAACGGAGGAGGAGAAAGAAGGCGTCGCCGGCGGAAAACGCGCCAAGCGTCTTAAGATCTGATTCGTAATACTATACGTCTAATGGTTTAAAATACGTGTAAAAGTCAAAGTCTCGCTCGCATCTTTTTCTACACTTACGAGCTCGCGTTTGTTGTTGTTCTATGGTTAAAGTTAAGTTCCAAATGGGTTTTGGAAGCAGATGCATTTTTTGCCTTTTGCGTTTGCGCACTACTAAGCAGTGGAATATTATTAGGTAAGCTGAATAAGAGGAATATTTTCCCTCACTGTTTTCCAATCTCTTTTCTTCCCCTAAAAGAAACCCGTTTCTAGAAAGAGATATACGCGCTTTCCACGCGCGCACACAACAGAGAGCTCGAGTTTGGGAGCGGAGTCTCTTCCTCTTCTCTTTTTCTCCATTTGTGCCCGCGTGGTGCGCATTCATTATTCGCGGATGAGAGGAAGAATTTAAAAGCGAGGAAAGATGTCGACGCTGATGCACCAACGGCACTTGCTCTTGCTCGAAAAGAAGCACAGACGAAACGAGACGACGTGGTTCGTGACAAAATCTGCACTCAAGAAAGGAGAGACGAGGAAGAAAAACTTTCACGTTGTTCGTCGTCGTTTGTTGCTCTGCTGTCTTATATTGGTCACCTTGGTGTTGTATTCTCGATTTTATTCGTCAACAAAGACGACGGCGACGTCGCCGTCGAAGATGCAACAAACGACCACCCGAAGAAGAAGAGCAGGAACGGTTAAAGAATTCGTTGGATGTAACGACGACAAGGACGGTAACGAAGATGACGAGGACGAAAAAGAGATGGATGCGAAGGACTTCGTGCTCCGCTCGATCGAAACCACTCGAGTTCGCTCGAAACCGTTTGCGAGTTACGTGCACTTGTGTCGCGTGTTCCCTAGAAAACTCTATCGAGAAATGACGGAGTATTTCCCACCGAAAGAAGCTTTAGCGCCGGCAAAATTGACGAGCCATAAGTTAAGATATAAAATCGATCGCGTCGGGAGTTTACTCGATCTTCCCGAGGCCATGAAGAAGACGTTTAAGAATTTCACGAAGACGGTAGAGGTGTGGTCAAAAGCGGAGGAGATTTTGTTATCGGAGAGGTTGAGGGAGACGGTGTTTAGAAAATTAGAGGTAGACGAGGTCGAGAAGAAAACACGGTCGAAGGATTTTCGGATACAAATGGACGTCGGCGGGTTCACTTTAGGGCCGCACCCTGATTCACCGAAAAAAATCGTGACGTTGATGTTGTATTTTCCAAAAGAAGAGGAAGAGGAAAGCAATAAAAAACTCTTCGGGACGTGTTTGTATACGAAAGAACAATATGAAACGTTCGCAGACAACGACGAAGGAAAGGAAGTATTACCATCTTGCGAGAAGAAGTTTTTGTTTGAACCAAACACGGGATACGCGTTCAAAGTAGGCGAGGAAAGTTACCACGGCGTGGACGACATCCCGCCACGCTGCGAAAGAAGAACGCTTTTGATTAACTGGTACTCGACAAGCAAACCAGTAGGGACTCAATCTGGAATCTTTCCAAACATTTGGGATATTATTAGAGGGGATGCGTAATCTTAGAAACATGTACATAATGAGTAACATTCGCGGCGGCTATAGCTAAAACATTTACTACTCCAAAAACGAATTTAGAGCGCGTAGAAGTGCTTTAAATACTCCAACGCCTCTTCGTTCGTGGAACACACTTTCAAATGTTCCTCCATTTCTCCTTCATTCACTAAACCGTGCTCTACGCACGACACGGTGATGAACTCTAAAAGCTTGTCAAACACGCCGTCGTAATTCATGAGCAAAAACGGAACCTTCTCTTCGCTCCCGATCCGTCGCAACTGAAATAAAGTCAAAATCTCCGCGAACTCGTCCATCGTACCGATACCGCCGGGAAGGCAAAAGAACGCCGTCTTCGTGTCCTCTTTCCCGTTCCTCACCCCCGCGTCGACGAGTCCGTGCTTCCGCGCGCTAAAGAACGAACACGTGGCGTATTGAGATTCGTTCAAGTACGGATGCTTCCGAGTCTTCTGCCTTCTCATGACTTTGCCTTCAATGTTGTCTCGTTCCTCTTTCTCGCCCATTAATATCAAGATACCGCTCGCTTTCCCGTTCGCTTCCAACCCTCCTAAGGTCACCGCATCCATCAACCCCGGCCCGATGCCAGACCACGTCGTGCACTCCAACAACACTGCCACTGCTTTGGCTAAACTCTTTGAACGCGCAAAATGGGCGTGCTCTTTATCTATTCTGCTCGAACCTAAATAGATCGCCCCACGACCGTTCCTTTCCACGAGTTCGTACACGAGGTTTAATTCCTCTCCGATTTTCGTCACCGACTGCCGATTCTTTTGTTGTTGTTGTTGTTGTTGTTGTTGTTGTTCTCCAATTGGCGTCACCGACGGTCTCTTTTGAAATTGTTGTCGTTTTCTTCTCGATGATGACGATGATGATTTCAAGACGCTCGGAATGCGACCACGGCTCAAACAACGAAAACTCATCGCATTCGTCGTCTTTGTCGTTCCATTCTTACGTCGTGTAGTTTGTTCTTCTGGGCAGAGAGAAAGAGAGAGTTTAAGAATAGCAGAGTTTAGGGAAATGCGTCACTTTTCCAATTCAGAATGCAGAACACCAACACGAAGAAGAAGAAGACAAAGAAGACAAAGACCATCATCGCGGACGAGCAACCTCGTCTCCTCGAGACAAAGGAGAAGAAAAGAAGAGGAGGAAACCAGAAGAGCAACAAACGCGCTCTCGATATCGAGAGTTCTCTCTCTTTATCTTCTTCTTCTTCTTCTTCTTCTTCTCAAGAAGCGGTAATACCGTTAGGGAAAGACGAGGAAACCTACCACGTGTACTCCGCGGTGTTTATTAAACTCTTCTCTTCTCCTTACTCTTCTCATGCGAAAACGAGGAAGACCACGGGAAGACTTTTAGGTGGAGAAGGCTTTGAAAAGTGTACCAGCAGAGAGGCGCTTCTCTCGCTCGCGTTTTACGGAGACGAGGAGGAGGAGGAGGAGGAGAACGAATTAGATGGTCGGAGGAGCAGCACGAGCAACACCTTGAAGAGCGTCGTCTCTTTGGAAAGAGTTTCGTTGAGCGGCAGAAGCAACAAAGGCGGGAAAGGAGGAGTGTCTGTCGTCCCGTGCGTGGCTGCCTTTGCCGCGATGGACGAGATTCGATTCGCGACGAAATCTTCTTCTTCTTTGCGTTTTGTTTTGACCAACGCGGAGAACAAACGCGTGTGCGAAGGAAGGTTGAACGCCGCCGGAGAAGGGGTGGCGGCATCGATTTGGAGTCGGGTGGAGAGCGAAGAAGACGAACGAGAGGAGGAAGAGGAGGGAGAGGAGAAAGGCAAAAAAGTTTTATCGCGGACGGAAAAGAAAGCAATAACGACCGAGGCGGCGACGAGGGGAAAACGAAGAGGAGAAAGCGACGAGGAGACGTGCCGCTTGGAAATGTCGTTCGTCGGTGAAAACGCGACGGTGAAAGCGTCGTGCGAGGTGCCCGCGGAGAAATTTTTTGCCATTTCCCGCTCGAATGAAAGACGCGTCTCTTCTTCTTCCCGCGAGCATTCGCCGACGCCGTCGGAAAGAGGAGGGGGCGCGGGTTCCGAGAAATCCGTCTCTTGGCACGAATTCAACGTCGATCGAAGAGATGATTTCGCGAATAGCAGCGGGGACGACAACGTCGATGACGACGAAATCGACGACGACGACGAAAAGAACGATTTGAAAACTCTACTCGTTCGTGGTAATACTACTACGAATAGTAGTGAGAGTAGTAGTCACATCAACGGTAAAGAAGAAAAGATAATGAAACCGGCGATGATGCGAAACAAAAAGAACTCAAAGTTAGTCTCCTGCTTGCGAGAACTGATTCCGTTAGAAATTCCTTCCGCGGTTGCTTCGTCTGGAAACATGATTTTACGGAAAATCGACGATTCGAAGGCTTACGCTCAAGACACGACGGCGCTGATACGAGCGCAGTACGCGGAATTGACCAAAGAATGGAATCACACGAAAGCAAAACTCAATTCATCCGGCGATATCATCTCGGAAGAAGAAGAAGAAGAAGAAGAAGACAGCATTCGCGGTACGAACCGCGCGTTAGTCGAGATGCAACAAATGACCATCGTTGACGACGGCATGAAAAGTGTCGTCAGCGGAAGAGCCGAAGCAAACGCCTCCACGGAAACCCACGCCAACGAACTTTCGTGGTTCTCCGCGGGCGTGCGCATTGGCGTCGGCGTTGGATTGGGAACGTGCTTAGGTGTTGGAATAGGTGTTGGAATTTTGGTCAACGGTATGGTCGCTGGTAAAGATAAAATCGCACGGATCCGTACGGTCGTAAAAAGCAGAATAACCGGAAGTTAAAGAAAAAGAAAAAGAAAAAGAAAAAGAAGAAGAAGAGATTAGTTTAGACGCTCGCTCGCTCGCTCGCTCGCCGCAAAGAGTTGTTGTTGTTGTTGATAGTATTGAACTACTTTTAATAATATTTTATACTCGAAGAAAAATGATATACAAAAGGTATACAAAAGGCTATGGATATATATACCTCTTCCCACGACTACTACAACGAATACCCGAGTTGCACCAACAATTGTCCCAACCACTTTTGCGTCGCCGCGTCGTCCTTCAGATGCGCGGTAAACGCCGGATCTCTCAACTGATCCGGAAAGCACCTCCTCAAACACTCCGCCGCTCTCGGATTATCGCTCAACCGTAAGTAACACCTCACGATGTGCTTCAACAACCTCGCGCTCGGTTGTTCCGCCAACTGCGCGACCATCCCCCCTAACACCGACCCAACCGCGTAGCACCTCTCCGCCGTCGCGCACGTGTACGCCAACCCGACTTCGTCCGATAAAATTTTCTGCACGATAAACGTCGCCACCGTTTTCGACAGCTCCGACCCTAACTCCATCGTTCGTAAGCATAACGGGATTATCTCCGTGCTCAGTAAGAAATTAATCACCTCCGTGTCGTCCACTTTCACCAACGCGCCGATCACCCCTAACGACGTCAACCGTAAATACTCGAACGGTCTCGTTTTGCTCACCGTGTTCAAAAACGGGTACAAGAACAACGGCACGTGCGCGTTTAAAAACTGCGCTCGCGTGTCCGGATGCGACGCCACGCACTGCAGTAAAGCTAACGCGTTGCACACTCTGTTCGACGCGTGATTCGTTAAAGACGGTGGCGATAAGAGAGGATAAATGGAGACGATTTCTTGCAACAACGCCGGGACGACGCCGTAGCTGTGCCACAACACCGGCGCGAGATCGACGAACAGATCTCTCCGTTTGCTGATGTCTAACAAGGCGTTTTCTCTCGTTTCTGGGTCTTGTAAGCTCGCGACCAGGTGTTCCATTTTTAACGCTTGGTTGTTTGATGAAGCATTGTTGTTCGAAGTAGTGCTCGTTTGTTGCTGTGTCTGCGCGGCTTGCGCGGCCATCATCATCGCGTGTACGAATCGTCCAATCGATTGGAAACGCTTTGACGCTCTCTGCGCTAAAAGCTTTTCGAACACGTCTCGAACAAATATCGATCGTATGCGAGCGGAATTTTCCTCGAAACACAAAAGGCACTCTCACGACTCGTTTACTACTAAAGAATATAAGAGTGTTCGTCGTTGTCGTCGTTCTCTTCCGTCGCTGTTGTGTTGTTGTTGTCGCGGAAAGTTGTTCGTCTCTCTTTCACGTGCGAGTCAAGGTGTTTTCGAAAAGGGGAATTTAGGGTTTTTAGGGTTTAAGGGTTAACGGGAAACGTCGAGCGAATTTTCCTCAAAAGAAAAGAGCGTTGTGTGCTCTGTTGTTGCGTTGTTTCTGTCGTCGTCTCACAAACGGTGGCGGCGTTTGACACGAAGAACAAAGAAGAGAGAAAGAGAGCGCGGGTTTTACGGAGCGCGCTCGTACATCTCCGCCTCTCTCGTGTTTTTGCAGGCGCGTCTTTTTGCTTCCGAGAGGAGTAGTATTATATTGGTGCGTTCGATTCGTCTCGCGAGGCGGATGCGCGCAGAGCATGTTGGAACGCGGAGAAGAGGATTCGTTTCCTTTGCACGGACGACGACGAGGATGCGATTTTTGGTCACATTCATCCTCGGCGCGGCAATTTTGACGACGACTTTGACGAATAATGGTGTTTCTTGTTCGGACGATATCGTCCAGAAAGAGGACGGTGGCGATATCGTCGTCCCGAAAGTGCACATCAGTCGACATTTCACCACGAGCGACTCAAAGACTGGGTTCCCGTTCGCGCTCGATCCCGTGGTAAACGCGCTCGAAAAAATGTTGATTACAACATCATCCTCTTTCTCCGACGACGATGATAGAGACGAGGAAAAAGCAGAAGTAAAGGAGGCGTTTACTAATAAGGAGAATCCAAAATACAAAGGGTATTACTGTCCTTTCGTCGGCCACGCCAAGTGCGAGGAGACGGATTCGCCGGAAAAGTACCACGGCGTGGACGCGTGGACGATCGACGAGACGTTCGAAGGCGTTTCGCCACCAGAACACGTACCTTTGGGAGAGTTTGACCAGACGAGGAAAGTACCGTCGCCGTGGCGCGCGTTAGGCGTGAGAGAGAGAGAAGGCGAGAAGGCTTTGAAGGAGGTGTTGAGGCAGAGGAGGAGAGGCGGCGGCGGCGGCGGGAGTAGTAGTAGTAGCGAGGAGGAGGAGGAGGATTCGTGGACGAGGAAGTACGAGAATAATAACAACGCGGATTATTTTTACGAGGATGACGCGACGTCTTCTTTTGCTTCTTCTTCTTCCTCGTCGTCGTCGTCGTCGTCGTCTGAGGAGAAAATCGAGGAGGCGTTCAACGCCGCCATGCGCGTGTTGCAATTTCACGATTCGGACTTGGAACGCGTAAGAAGAAGTAGGAAGTATAAGAACAAACACTATCCTGGCGAGGAAGCCATGCGAATGGGCATCGAACAAAGGTTTGGAAACATCAAGACGGCTTTGCTTGATTTCATGAAATTACTCATCAGTTCGAAAGAAACGAAGAGTCCCATGGAGGTTTACATCGAGTTGCTTCAAATGGGTAACTGTTTCCGGGCGAGAGGCGAGTTGGGCGACGCGGATTACGCGACGGATGCGTTCGAGATGGCCTTGTTAGCGAAAGGCGTCGCCAGGACGCAAAACGTGGAAGTATACATATTTTATGGCGAGTTTAAAACGTACTTGAACGAGTTACCAGCGGCGAAAGCGTTGTTGCAAGAAGGCGTGAAGCAGGATCCTCGCAATCAACCGATGTATTTCGCGTTAGGTAACGTCTGCGCGAGTCAAGGTCAGTGGGAGGAGTCGATCGCGGCGTTTGGGAAAGCGGTAGAACTCGCTCCGGGACACGAACGATCGAGAGAGGCGTTGGAGGCAGCTATGAAACACGCGGTTGGCTCGAACAGACGCATGTACGCCGCTTTGTGTTTGTTGCTCTTAGCAGTTTTAGCGTGTTCTTCGATGATTATTTTCTTAATGGGCAGTAGTAGTAGTGGTAGCAAAGAGAAAAAGGCGAAAGACAAAGAGAGCAAAAAGCGCAAGTAAAGTGTGTTTTATTATATGATACTAATGCAAGCGTACGTAGAGTAGTAATATTTCACAGCTCTCAATCTATTGGCCAAACAAGCTCGGAATATACGCGTGATACGCAAACTCAGGGTCAAACACGAATTGCGGGAACCACATTTCCGACGGATCTAGCAGTTTGTGCCAAAACAAAACGATCCACGGGCCGACGCTTCCTAACGCCACGTTCAACCAAATCGCGTATTTCATCGGCATCTGTTTCCTCCACCCTAACGTCGAGATGAAAATCAACAACGCGACGGTTAAAGACCCAGTCGTACCTTTTACCAAACGCAAATGAAAATCACTATCGTTAAAGAGTTGACTCGTGTGCCAAAACTGTTCCGGTCCCAAGTACGTGTACACTGCCATGTAGCAGTTATCGAACACCGCCGCGGCGGCGTTCAAACCGACGTACGTCAACGTCGCCGCGTCTGGCGACATTTTCCCTAACCTCTTGCGACTTCCAGCCGTGATGAATTTATTCAATTTATTCCCGAAACTCATATCTTCCTCCTTCACGTCTCTCGGTACCTCCGGAACCAACGCCAAACAAAACTCCGTGCTCTCCCACAACTTGGCGATGGAAAAATACCAAAACGGCATCACCGCCCAAAACATCCAATCCGGCGCGTCTGGTTGCGCCGACCAGGCAATCCAAACCACCCCTTGAAACGACGCGACAAACGAATACCCGAGCTGCATGGCGTACTTCCCTTCTTTGCTCGCTTTAAATATGTTCATCAAAGGCCCGTACGATAACGAGTTTACCAAAAACAACGACGACGTCACCCACATCCACGTCCACCCCGGGCTTTCCCTAAACACCCTCTCTACAACCACCGCATACAACGCGACCGCTAACGCACCAGCGCCAGAAAACACGTGCAAAGTTGACGCTAAAGTTCTCGATTTTCTCTGAATCGGGTTCCCGATCGGTCTCGGCACAGCCGAAGATCTCCAGAGCGCGTACGCGGTGCCAAAAAACAACGTCGCCAAGTACACGTCTTCGATGTACCCGCCGACGCCGGGCGCGTGGTTCCCAATTAACCCGTTCCAAAACGAGAGCATGAATCCCTGAATCTTCTCCAAAGATTCCTCGGGACCGCCGTTCAAAGCGACGATCCCGCCGGCGATCGTCGCCGTCGCAAGAAGCACTAGATTTTCATCAGAAGAAGAACTGTTGTTCTCGTCGTCCTTTTTTGACTTCTTCTTCTTCACCGCTTCGTCCTCCTCCTCCTCCGCACCTTCCTCGACTTCTTTCTCCGCGACGACGACCACCCCCATCATCCGTTGCTTCTGTTGCTCCGATATAGATGATTGTTGTTCTCGTTGCGACGACGAAGAAGCGCATCGGATCGATGATGATGTGGAGGCTCCCACACTGGATAACAGACGTTCTGGATGTTTTTCTTTTTGTTGAGTACGAGGTACTCTTGGTCCCCTCCAAATCCTCCTCCTCCTCGAGGAATACGAAACACCACGACAACGACTCCTCGCCGTTTCTGTCGCGGATGCCGTCGCCGTGGTAATCATCATTTATTGATTATTTGTGGTGTTATTCGTATCCGTGTAATGGAGAAAAAAAGAAAGAGAAAGGAGGAGGAAGATACTCTCAAGTGTTAGGGTTTAATACCCTAAACTTTTGCCTTGATTTTTCCACCCTTTTTACTCGCGTGAATTTTCGTCATTTTGTCGGCTTTCGTTGCACACTTTCGAGCGAGCGATTGAGCGACGGAAACATCGTCATGACGCAACAACGAGAGGGTGATGTTGGTGTTTTCAGTGCGCCTTCTTTGATCCAAGTCCCGATCGGCGACAGCGGCGAACACGTCTCGATCGACCCGCACAATCTCTCGCAAACGAACGTGGAGGACATTCTCGGCGTCCTCCAATCGGAATTGGCCCCGTTGCGAGTGTGGTTGGAGTGCGCGAAAGCGTACTTGGCCGAGGATAACGAGGAGGCGTTTTTGGAGATAGTTGGGAGCGGGTGTTCGCCAGGTGAGCGAGCGTTTTTAGTATTCACTCGTCGTCGTTCTTCTTTGTCTTCGATTTTCGACGAGTGGCGATCCGATTTCGACGATCGTTTTTCCCCAACCTTTGCTGACACTTTTGTTCTCTCGTTCTCTCTCTCTCTCTTCGAACAACAACAACATTAATAACAGAAATCGAACAGTACTACCCGAACGACGTGTACGGTCGCGCGAAACTTTTGTGCTGTTCGGCCGCGCACCAGGTAAACGTTGCCGCCAGATTACGATTAGGAGGAAAAGGAAAAGGAGGGCAAGCGAATACTACGAACGCGCAAAGACGACAAGAACATTTAACGCGAGCGGATAAACTGCTCCAACGCGCGTTCGCGATCGCGTCGAAAGAACAAGTGGTGGCCATCACGAGAGCGCACTTGTTGTTCGAGAAAGGGGAAAAGCCAACCGCGGAGAAGATTCTCGATTCGGCGTTGGCGATGAAGGACGGAGGGAGAGACAACGTGGCGGCGATGTTATGGAAAGCGAGGAGGCTGTTCGTGGAGGAAAGAAAATATTCGGAGAGTTTGACGTGGTATAAGAGGGCGCTGAAGATGCATCCGCAAGCTCCTGCGGAGGTGAGGTTAGGGTTAGCTGCGTGTCACTTTGCGATGAAAGATTTCGCGAGCGCGAGGTTGGCGTTTGCGAGAGCGGCGGATATGGATAACGAGTGCGTGGACGCGTACGTTGGGTTGGCAAAGTGCGATTTAGCCGAGTTTGAGGAGGTTGGGACGAAAGAACACGCAGAGGCCGTGGAGAGGTCGGTGGAGAATTTGTATAAAGCGTTTGAGATTGATCCGACGAACCCGTTAGTATCGTTGACGTTGGCGGAACATTATTTGTACTCCTCCGCTTCCGCCGGCACGTCTTCGGAGGAATTGAAAAACATCGAAACTTTAACGGATGGGATTATTAAAAACGAGAAAGAAGCCAGCGTGTTTCGCGCGGAGGCGTTGTTTATTCGAGCGCAAGCGTTCCACGCATCCGGTAATTTACCGAGCGCGTTGACGTATTACCAATCCGCGATTGATTTAGACAAAAATTTTGCCGCGCCACACTTTGGCGTAGCGCAGATTTTCTTGAAACAAAACGATGCGTTCGAAGCGAAGAAACATTGCGAGAGAGCGCAATCGGCGTATCCGGAAAGTTTATTCGTGAAGAGAGCGTTTGGGAAGTTGTGCGCGGCAGTAGGTGATTCCAAACGAGCCGTGGAAATGTACGATTTCGATCCGTACAAGAGAGACGGCACGGATTTTCAAACCATGTTAGAGCTCGGAGAATTATTGGAACGTTCGGACGCAACGAGAGCGTTAGAGGCATACGAGAAAGCGATGAACATTGCCAAGAAAGTTGGAGATACCATAGATGCGGTGACGTTGAATAACGTTGGCGTGTTGAGAGCTCGATTGGTGACGAGTACAACCGGCGCCGAAAAAGAAGATAATCAAAACAACAAAGACAAAAATATTAGCAAGAATGATGACACCGACGTGAAGAACAAAGAAGCATCTTTACACTCTTTGGAAGATGCCCTCGATATTTTCTACCCGGAAGCTGCCCCGAACGTTGCTTCGAAACTTCAAAAAGGCGACAAGAAAGCTATCGATTTGGCGAAGAAACTTCCCGCGCCGGCGCGAGCGGTCGCGTTCAACTTGGCCAAAGCCGAAGAGATTTTCGGCGAAGAGAAGAAATCTTCGAGTTTGTTCGAGACTTTGAACAAGTCTAACCCGGACGATATCGACGTCGCGTTACGAAAAGCGATCGAACTGTGCGAACGATTCGGGGATTTCGAAGGCGCTTTAACTAAAATCACGGAAGCGTTGAAACGAAACCCGGGCAACGCAGACGCCGTCGCCACTAGCGGTTGGGTTTTAATGAAGCAACGCAGATGGAAAGAAGCTGAACAACAATTCGAAGAGTTGAGAGAGTTACCGAGCGATCTCGCCGAGGAGGATAAGTTCCATCTTCGCAACGCAGCTGGTGGCGGCGACGAGGCGAGCAAAAAAGATGACGACAAAACGTTGAAGCTCGACGAGTACGCGTTGGTTTCCGCCGGCAACGCCGCGTACTACTCCGCGTTAAAAGAAGGTTTACACAAACGTTCCGATCCGAAAATCCGCCAACGAGAAGATGATCACTACAAAAGAGCCGAATCGTTGTATAAGAAAGCGCTGGTGAAAGAACCAACCAACGCGTTTGCGGCGAACGGTTTAGCCATTCTCCTCGCCGAACGCGGTCGCATGGACGACGCCAAGGCGGTTTTCACGTTAGTTCAAGAATCTTTGGAGATTGAAAACGCAGGCATTGCCGGTACATCTGCCTCCGCCGCCACCAAAATCCTCTCTGAACTCCAAGCGGACGTCCTCGTCAACCTCGGTCACATCGCGTTAGCGAAAGCGCAATACGCCGCCTCGCTCAAATTCTACGACCGCGCGCAGCAGGAATTCTACCACGGCACGTCGCATGAAATCATGCTCTTTCAAGCCCGGGCGCATTACGAGAACCAAAATTTGCTTCAAGCGAAGAAGACGTTACAGGAAGCGTTGCACATCGCCCCGATGAACCATCGCGTTCGATTTAACTTGGCGTACGTTGTCCAAGAACTCGCGCAGAGGTCGTTGAACGATACGTTGAAATCCGTCTCTTCGGAAGGTCGCGTCGCGAGAGTCGAGAAAGCTTTGGAGAACATTCAAGTCGCGTTGCACATGTTTACGCAACTGAAAGAGTTAGGGAACCAACCGAAATTCGGTTTTGATACGAAACGTACGACCGTGCACGCGAATTTTTGCAAACAAGCTTTGGAAAAGTCCAAGCCGCACTTGGAGAAGGCGCACGCGGAGGAGGAAAAATTGATGAAGTCGAAGAAAGCGCAGATGGAAGCGAGAAAAGCGCTGGAGGAAGGACGTGCGAAAGAGAAAGCGGCGAAAGCTTTGGAAGAAGAGCAAAAGAAACGAGAGTTGGAAGCGATTGCCGCAGAAAGCGAGAGAAGATTCAAAGAGACTCGCATGCGCTGGGAAGCGAGAGCTCAAGCGAGGAGAGGCGGAAAGGATTACAACCCAGAGGATGGCGACGACATGGAGGATGGCGGCGAAGGCGCCGTCGTCGGCGGAGAAGGCGTTCCCAAGAAGAAAAAGAAGCCGGCGGCGAAAAAGAAGGAAAAAAAAACAAAGAAGCCAACGACGAATGGTTCTTCGTCATCCTCCTCGTCTTCGAGCGGCTCGAGTTCGGATTCGGATTCGAGCACTTCCTCGGATTCCGACGACGACGTCGATACCAAAACCGCCAAGGCGCAAGAACCGCAAACGGAAGAAGAGAAGGCCAAGTTGAAAGAGAACGCGAAAGCGGCTTTAGCCGCCGCGGGATTATTTGATTCAGACGACGACGACGACGACAAGAAGGAAGAAAACGATGCGCCTGGCGCGGCGTTCTTAGCCGCCGCGAACAAACGCAAAGAGCAAGAGAAGAACGTAGAAGAGGACGAGGACGAGGGAGAAAAAACCGCGGAAGAGGAGGAACCTTCAAAAATTCGTCGCGTGATGATTGACGACTCGGACGACGACGAATGAATATAATAAACGCAACAACGATACTTACTGTAGGTAGCATTACTTTCTTTATTATTGTACCACGGTACCAAGGTAATAATAGAGTATTATTACCCACAATATTAGCAAATCTACGACTACCTCGCTATGCATCATCATCTAAAAACTATTTTTCAGCATCACCGACGCTCGCGTCGTCGCCTTCGTCCTCTAAGAACGTTTCAAAAAACGCGCTCAACAAAACGCTCGCGGAACTCGCCCAAAAGCACACCGCGAACCCGGTCCTCACGTCGTTTTCGAACGCGGTGTATATAACGCCCGATAATATCGTTCCAAACAAGCGTCCAAACGCGTTAGCCATGTAATAAAAGCCAACCGACATGGACAGTTTGTTCCCTTCGGCGTATCGAACGACCAAATACGAGTGGATGGCGCTGTTCACCGCGAAGAGAAACGCGAAGAAGGCGATGCCGAGAACGACTAAAACAGCTCTCTCAGTTTCGTATTTTTCCTCATCTTTTTTCGAATCAAACAATTCGGTAGAAACGCACGCGCCTAAAAACAACGGGCACAACACCAACAAAACGTTCCACAACACCGCGACGCGCTTGTTCGGCGGCGACTGCTTCAGCGGTTTCAACACCAACGCCGGAGTCCAGGATTGTAACTGACCGTACACGATGATATACCCGGCTAACATCGCTCCGACTGCACTTCTGGACCATCCCATCCCGCCTATTGAATCTCTCAAAAAGAACGGCAACGGAATCTCAAACCATAAATCTCTCGACCCGAACAGAAACACTCTGGACAAGGACAAATACTTCGTGTTTCGATTTTGCGTCAACGCTTTCTTCAACGTCACGTTTTCCTTCCCCACGCGTCCTAAATCTTTGCTCAAACCAAAAAACCCAAACGGTAACGCGATGACGATGAGTGCAATCATGACGATCAAACTCGTCGCGTAACTTATCGTCAGCAACCACGCGCCGAGAAAATACCCGACCCCTTTGAACGAATTCTTCAACCCCGTCAAACCGCTCACGAGGACGAACAATCGATTTTGCTTCTCATCCGGAGTGACTAACTTCGTGACCGTTTTCCCGCCTAACTTTGTTAAATCCTTCGCAATCCCACACAACGCTTGCGCCCCAGTCACGTACGCGATCGCTTCCATCTTCGACCATTTATCGTCCCACGCGAAGAGCGCGCTCAACCCCACGATTTGCAAGCACAACCCCACCAACAACGTCATCCGAATCCCCCATCGCGCGCCCATAATCCCGGCGATTAAATTCGTCAAAACGCCCATTAACTCGTACAAGGAGAACATGATTGCAATTTCCATCGCGGTGAAGGATTTCCCGTACGCGTGTAAGAGGACGATCATCCGCACCGCGCCGTCCGTGATGGTGAATAAAATGTAGGTGATGGAGACGATGGCGAACGGGAACAACGCGTGTGGTTGTTTCTTTTCTTTCTCAGCGTTCACTCTCAGAGTCTCCGCATCAGTTCCACCTGATCCTCCTTCACCTTCGGATATTTTCATTCCTCTTTTTTAAACCGCTCGTCGAAAAGCGAGCTTTCACTTTAGAAAAGCTCGTCTTCTGTCGTCGCGCGTTTACGGAGACGTGAGAAGAGTTTGAACAATGGGATAAATTGGAATATTCCTCTAGAGTTTAGATACGAATTCGAAGTCGTTCGCGTCATAAAGAAGGGCACGTGACATCGTAAATATCTATATCTGCGCGAACGAGACGACGACAAAACAACGAGAAGAACAAACGCAGAAGATTGCTGCTCTTTTTGCACCACGGAATACAACAAATAAGAAGAGAGAGAAAAGATGGGAGGATTCCTGCGACGAATCCAAGACGTGGACCTTCGGGAGAAAATCGTCCTCGTGCGAGTGGACCATAACGTGACGATGATTGAGTCGAAGAAAGGCGACGGTTTAACCGTCATTTCCGACGCGTTCCGGGTGGAAAGTTCGATACCGACCTTATACGCGATAATCGAACGAGGCGGGAGGCCGATTTTGATGACGCACGTGAACCGACCGAGAGATAAAAAGACGAAGAAAATCACGATGGATGAGAAAAGAGACGGGACCAAGGCGATTGCGAGATATTTGAGCGAGAAACTCGGGTGCGTGTTTGCGAGTCCGAGAGTTGTGGAGAAGACGGACAAGGCGGGAGAAGAAGAAGAGGACGACGGCGGGATCGAAATGTCGCAATTTTTTAAAGATGGAACGATGCAAACGATGATTGCGGATTTGAAAGCACGAAGGATTGGCGGGATATACATGCCGAACGTGAGATGGTTTAGCGGAGAAGAGAGAGGCGGGGAGGAATGCGGCGCGCGATTGGCGAGGGAGATGGCGAACATGGCGGACGTGTTCGTGAACGACGCGTTCGGGTCGTGGCAGCCGCACGTGAGCACGTTTGATGTGGCAAAGTTGTTGCCGAGTTACGCCGGGCTGTTGATGCAGAGAGAGTTGGACGCGATGAGGAGAGTTTTGGAACCGGTTCGACCGTTTGTGGCGGTCGTCGCGGGATCGAAAGTGAACACGAAGATTGGGACGTTGATCAACGTGGCGAAAAAATGCGACGCGTTGATTCTAGGTGGAGTGATTTATAACGCGTATTTATCGGCTAAGTATGGAGTGAAAATCAAAGGCGTGGACGAGGAGGACGTGGAGTTAGCGAGGACGCATTTAGTGAACGCGGAAGAGGTGCGAGAGAAACTTTTGGAGTTGCCGACGTTGGTTGAATCGAAAGAAATAGACGGATGCGGATGCGTGCCGGTCGATGGGAGGTGCACAACCATGCCGAAAGAGTACGACGACGTTCGCTTGGTGCACGTAAAAGACATGAAGCCTGGGAATGAACACTCATTCATCAACGATGTCGCTTCGATTTCGTACTCAGACGAGAAGATTGTCCAGGCGGTGAGAACGGCAAAGACGATTTTAGTCAATGCGGTTATGGGATACACTTCGAAAGGCTTTCACGAAGGCACCGTTGGGCTAGACGAACTCATTCACAACAACACAGATAGTTCATCGCCGGCGAACGTCTTCTTTGGCGGTGGTGATACTCTCCAAGAGTTCAAATCCTTATCGCCGGGAAGTTATCTCAACGCTCTGGAAAATCCTCAAACGTATTTGTTCACCGGAGGCGGGACGGTGTTGAAAGTCATCGAAGTAGGCGAGGCTGGAAAGTTAGACATTGTTCGAGTCTTGACCGACGAGGAGGACGAAGACGAAAGAATACAAGACAAAAATAAAACGTCGTCGCTCACCGACGCGGATTTATACGACGACGACGAAAAGCGGGAAGATCGAAAGGGAGATAAAGAAAACGTCCTCGTCGCGAAAATAAAACAACCCGAATGCAACGCCGACCGCGTAAACTGCGATTGCTCGGATCTCAACGCGCACTACCCGCACCAGCGCTTGTAATTATAAAATAATTTTTATCATCATCAATTTTTGTGTGCGCGTGTTATTCTCGTTTGTGTTATTCGTATTCGAGAGTAACATTCGTTACAAGCTTCTCTCTCATCAAATCTCTCGAGACTTCTTTCGCTTCACATTTTTTGCCGCAAAGGCTGCGTTCGACGTATGATTTTAAAAGAGGAAAAGGACCCCCTTTCTTTCGACGACGACGACGACGAAGACAAAGACAAAGCGCCGTCGCCGTTACCAGCGGTGATAAGCAGTTACCCGGAGGAAGACCCGAACGATTCGGACTTGTACGAGATCGAAGGCTACCCGGTCGACGCGGAACCGATTTCTTTGGATTTTTGCGAGAAGTTGCTCCTCGTTGGCCGTTACCGACAGAGCGGCGTGATGGCGTATACGATTTATAAAACGCATCAAAAAGGGGAATACGTGTCCGCGTTTCCAGAACGAGAGAAAGGAAGAAACGTGAATGTCGTCAGCATGGCAGTTTGGATCCAGTGTAAGTTCAAAACGACCGGATTGACGACGATAGAGGAGGATTTAAGGGTGTTGTGTGAGGATGGATTTTTAGAGGCGAAACGAGGAGGACGAAGACGATTCGGACGACGACGGGAGGAGGAGGAGGAGGAGGAAGAAAAAGAAGAGGAAGAAGAAGAAGCGCGAAAAAGAGAAAGAGCGGCGCACGACGAAGTCGGGATCGAGTTTAACAACGAGAGCGAGCGGATGGTTCTGGACAAATGTCCGAGAGTTTTACGATTGCTTTGGGCGAAATTGAAGTGGGAGGAAGACGCGGACGCGCCGCCGGATTTGACTTTGGCCGAGCAAAGTGAGCGGAGAAGGAAGGAATATCTCGACGCTGGCGATTTGGAAACGAGGAGGAGGAACAGAGGAGAAGAACAAGTGAAAGAGGTGGAGAGAGTTTTGTTGAAGTACGTGTTGAGTTACGACGAGGAAGGGAGGAAGGTTGACTTCGACGAGGATGATGATGATGAAGAAGAAGAAGATAAAGAAGAAGAAGAAAACGTGGACGTCTGCGGCGGCGAAAGAGAGAGTAAAAAAGTGCCCGTCACGGATCAAGCGTCGTGGCTGTACGCGGTGGAAATTCTCGCCAGAGAAAGGAGTGCGCCCGAATACGCTCAGGAGTGGATAGAGAAACGGTACGAGCGTGGTGGTTGCAGTCGAGAGGCGTACGAGTGCATATCGAGGGACATCGGGGACGTGATCGAGCCGAAGATTGTCAATGTGCGGGTATCATATAACGGAGGGAACGTGAAGACAGAGCAGATTGTGACGAGGAAAAGCGATGGGAAAAAGATTATGCGACGGGTGCAGACAGATAAGAAGCCAACGCCGAAAGATGTGTATTATCTTCACGAGGAAGAGGAGAGGAAGAAGAAAAAGGAGAAAAAGACGACGGGAAACAAAGTAACGGCGAAACAAGAACCATCAATGCAAACGCGCTCGAAACCATCGCGCCTGACCACCCCACCGTCGTCCTCGTTTTACGAAATGATTAAAGCGGAAGTGAACTACAGTTCGGCAGGACTTCCTATCAAAATAGCATCCGGCGTTGCCATCCTTGGCGTGGGATACTCGATTCTTACCGAAACGTATCGTCTTTTTCGCAGAGTAGGAGGAAAGAGATAAATCGCGCACACAGGTAGCACACACATTAGATTTGGAAAGTAGAGGGTATGTTATTGCTTTTAGAGCGGCTGCGCAGGTAATTTAAGCACGATTTTGAAAAAGAGAAATGAAATGTTTATCTTCAAATTTTTATAGGAACTTTTGCATTAATAACTTTTGCTTCAATAATATTTAAATATGTTCCTTCTCAACTCAAGGCGCAAAATTCTATGAACTTTTTTAGTTCATATTCGCCCAGGCCGGATACTTGGACATCGGCGCAGCCGCACCTTGCGCGGTGAACGCCGCGGCGGTGAAACCGACAATGATCAAAGTCAAAACCCAACCAGCGACGGTCTTCATCAAGATGAACCAGTTAATACCGCCAACACCTTCCAAGCAGGCGACGCCGACAGTGGCACCGACTTGGCAGTGAGTCGTGGACAACGGCCAGCCGAGACGAGAACCCATGATAATAACCATGGCGGCGCCGAGCTCGATGCAAATACCTCTGGACGGGGTCATTTTGCAAATCTTGCCGCCCAAGGCGTGCAAGATCTTGTAACCGTACAAGGCCAAACCAATCACGATACCGAACGCACCCAAAGACAAGATCCAGTAGGAATCATCGCCCATCGGCATCTTCTTCTTCACGCCACCAGCTTTGTAAATGGTGACGATAGCGGCGAACGGACCGACAGAGTTGGCAACGTCATTCGCGCCGTGGGAGAAGGCATCTAAGCAAGCAGTTAAAACTTGCAACGGTCTCAACGCCAATTCGGTCTTTTCGTCGAAGACTTCGGCGTTGGCGTGGATCGCGGCAACAATTTCATCTTCAGCCGCCAACTGGTCGTTGTCGTGGTTCAAAGAAATAGCCAAGTGATCTGCGACGGCGTAGTACATTCTTGCCGGGATGCCAAAGACACCTTTTTGGATCACTCTCGGTTGCTTTTCCGGGAAGTCGGACGGCTTCTTGAACATGCCCGAATCAACACCGCCACCTTCGGCTCTTTCCAATTGAATTCGCTCCCAGTCGGCTTCAATCTTTTTGAACAAGATCGGGTTAACGACAAGGAAGGCAATGAGGCCGACGGCGCCGCCCATACCAAACGCCCAGGCCATGCACTCATTGATCGACATGACGTCCAATTCCAAAAACTTCGCGCCTTTGTAGACGATGAAGAAGGTGTTGATAACGACGGTTACCATCGACATGACCGGGAACAAGTATCTCGCAAGGTTGTAGGAGTTCGCTTGTCTCAACACCAAAGTTCTGATAACCAAAAACAAGGCAAACGCGAAAGCGCCGGAAACAATCGGAGAGAGCAACCACGAGCAGACAATCGCGGCAACACCTTTAACGTACGGAAATTCGTCAACTTTTTTTGACCAGATGACGCACTTTTGACCTCTGGTGACCAAAGTCATGCCAATCATGCCGCCGACGCAAGAGTGCGTCGTCGAGACCGGCATCTCCAAATACGACGCCAACATCAACCAAATACTCGTCGCGGCCAACACGCACAAGCACCCGTACATCATAATTGCCGGATCGTTGGTAAAGCATTTGTAATCCGCGATCCCTTTACGGATTGCCTCGGTCACGTGAGAACCCATAAATAAGGCACCCGTGAATTCGCACACGGCGGCGAGCATAATCGCCAACTTAATCGACACCGCGCCGGAGCCGACCGAGGTCGCGAACGCGTTCGCGACATCGTTCGCGCCGATGCCAAACGCCGTGCAAAAGCAGAGCAAAGCGCCGAGGACGACAACTGTTGTTGTTGTTGTTGAAAGAGAAAGAGAAATAGTTGGTGGTTAGTTTTTTTTCGTGAAAAAATTTTGCCTTTTTCTGGCTGAAATTTCAAGCCGCCGCCAAAAAATATTCCTTTTTGGGTCTGGAATATTCCTCTCGTGCTGGCTTTATATTCCTCAACAGACGCGTTTCTCTCTCTCTCTCTCTCTCGATTTTGATCGATTAAAGCATATCAAACGAGAGAGAGACGGTGGCAGTGCATCGTCGCTGTTCTTCTGAGAGGCGTTGATTTATGCTCGCGGTGGCGTGCGGCGCGCGAGGTGCGAACGCATCGTCGATAACGAGAGAATCCCGAGACGCATTGGAAAAGTTCTCGAGGGGGATAAAAAAAGAAAGAAGAGAATATAAAACAAAAGAAGAAGAAGACGCACTCCATTCGAAATCGTGCAAGTGGTCGTTGTTCGCGGTGAAGTCGAAGGACAACAAGTGACGACCAGCCGTGGTTAACGCGTCAGTGGAGGACATTTTGTATGTGTGTGTATGTATATATGCTTTGGGAATATATGTTCACAGAATGACGACTTTGAAAGCGCGTTTGAATTTTTAAACGAAAATCTCCGTGTGGCTGATATTTTTTGCTTTTTGCTTTTTTTCAACCACCCGGATTTTTGCTTTTTTTCAAAACAACCCACCGACCGTAAATGTTGTGTGTTCTTGTTTCTGTTGGGGCTGCTTTCTTTTAGAGGAGGGAGGATGCATTCAGAGTTAATATATTATATGTGCTCCGAGATCTGTGGTATACGAGGAGTTGGTGTTGGCTTTTTAATACACAAAATACGCCTAAACGCGAGGAGGCGTCGTTGAAACGTAAAGGTACTATTACTCGTGCTACCTCGTAGATATTACCGCGCGTAATTAGAAGTCGTGGGAGTTGTTGTCGTTGTCGTTGTATTCGTCGACGCGCGTTTGGTCGTGTACACTTTACTCGCGCCGCGACGTTTGGAATGCGTCCACTTTCCAGATTTACTCCCATAAACGCTCCACCGTTGGTTCAACCAAATGCACCCGTATTTGCACGCAAACATCCGCCTTTGACGTAACTCGATGATGAAACAGAAATAGATGTTCAAAATCATCGGTATTATGGCATACACGGAGAGTATCGAGGAGACGCAGGTTGGATTTAAAATCTCTCCGAGGATGACCATGCACGCGTGGCGTTCGGCTCGAATAGGCCATAACGCCGAGGACATGCGGAACATGACTACTTTCAAAACGATCAACACCGGCATGATGACATTTTCGAGCTGTTTATTACCAGATGGCAAGAAACTGAGCAAAATTCTTGACACTACGTTAATCGCTTCTCGGTGTCGCACATAAAATTTCGGGTTGAAGTAGTTCATATAACACAACGCCGGGAGCGTGCAAATCGCCACAAACTTTTTGAACAACTGAGTACAAGTAGACGGGAAGAAGATGATACCAAACAACTGATTCGCGCGATAAAATCGCACGTAAGCGATGAATATTGCCAATGAGTAGAACAAGTGCACGAACAAATCAGTTGAGATCTTCTCCGTTGAATCTTCGTGAACGTAAAGCTTTTCCATTTCCGGTTCGTCGAAAGATAAAATCGCCAAACCTGCTACGTAATCAGCCAATCGATGCCACGCGTTTTGAACTTGGGTGATTCGTGCACGTGCTGCGGTTTCGATATGAATCGCACAAGTCGACAATTCCATCCTTATCCTACTTTTTCGTCGATGATGCAAAAAGCAATCATTCAAAAAAGAATCTGCGCATCGCGGAGGACTTCCGTCTTCTCTCGACTGGAACTCGCTCGATCCACGAACTTCCTTTTTCTCATTATTCTCTTCTTCTTCTTCTATCGCGCGCGCCGTGGGTCTATTCAGCGCATTCATCATTTCGCGCCGAATGTGCGAAAAGTGTCGGTCGCAAACTTCTCGAACGACGTGATCGCAAGAGGAAAGCACCTTCGCGAGCTCTAAAGAAAGACGCACGCCTTCATTGTTTTCTTCCAATAATACATCGATGTCGCCTTCGTCGGTATCCGCGACTGGGGCAGTCGTGATGGTAGCAAAGTCTGTAGATTTCGATGATTTTGCGATATCTTTAACAAAATTTGTTTTCATATCGTCAATGATACCCGACGAATTGCCGCACACTTCTTCGTAAGCGTCCGTCCAGCACGACAACGCGTCTTGCGTAAAAAGGCGATGTTTCATAGCAATCGAGGTCAAATATTGGTCTACGATAGCTTTCGAAACGTTCCAAAACACATTCAGTGCACTTTGCACGCAGCGCTGCACGTATAGGTGTTGCAAACTGCCTCGTGGTTCATGCCCGGATGAGATATCTCTCGACGTCTCGCCCTTTGAATTTTTCAGCGTGAAGAAAGCGCGCACGTTTTCCTCTCCCAATAAAAAGAGTTCCAAGATCAGCGGCGAGGAATGCGCGAATACGTCCGATGAAGCCACGTGTAACGCGCATTCTTTCGATCCGTTAGGTAGAGTGACCATTGTTGTAGCACTTCCGAATATATCGGAATCACCACCATGAATAATAACCATCTTGACGAGATTCGATGAGCCCGATAAAGAGGCACTGTGGAGGTACGTCTTACACGTCGTCGCCAGAGCTGTGTGCGCTTTTCTCGAGAGCTGAAATTCTTCGAGCGCGCGTTTTTGTGCCTCGAATAAACGCTCGACGGTATACGAGAAGCTATTCCGCAACGACCACGACGTGATATCCTTTACCATTTCCCGAAACATCGGTCGTTCAAAGCTTTCAGAGCGAAAGTCTTCGGCAAAAATCGTCTCGAAGTGCGTTCGAAGGGACCGAGCCACTCTCGGACTCAAGGAATGCACCTCCGTGATGAACGATTGAATCTCATCCGCAACTTTTTCGTCTGGCGTCAAAATTGTCGTGAACCGATCATACGCAGGCTTGCCAACCAGATCTGGATGCGTTGAATCTTCATCGCTCCAGACGAGATCGACGGAGAGAACGCCCTCCGCGTAATCTTGCGGCACCGAAAAACATAACACCGAACTATCGCTTCCGACTCGGCGCAAAGACTTCACATCCTTCAGAATTTGACCGTTAATCCGCACGTGTGCGACCACGTTCTCCGCGATATTGCTTATGCGAAACAAATTGCCTTTGTTTTCATGCTGTTGATGTCCTTTCTTATGATTATTAATTGTGTTCTTCTTTTTATTCCTACTCGGATTGGTACAAATCACGAACGGAGCGTTCCATGGCGCTTCCAAACTTCTTCCGAAAGAAATCATTTTCGAGTTTTTTTCATCCGAAACTGTCCATTTTCCGTTCTTTCGAGTCGCCGATTGGTTCCGAAACGTGACGCTGGCGTCGACGTCGTCCAAAGTTCGATCTGCGTCGACGGCTTTTTGGGCAAGTTCTCGCGCGTTTATTTCTACGCTCGACCCCCCATTCTTCAGGCGCACTATGTCTGGAAATACGGCATCCACGGTAAGTTTAGTGCATCCCGGCTCAGCGCAAACGCGAATATGCGCGGCATCTTTAAAGATCTGACGAATTCCGTTACCAACTGCGGGAGAGATATCCGCCGGCGTACGATTTGAAATTTTAATCTCTGCGCGAGAGACGTGCACGTCGGGGAAGTTGGTCATTTTGTCCGCGTACAATTTTTGTTGCTGTTGCTGTCGTTCGAAGAATTCGTCTACGTCGCCAGAATACGTATCGCTGCCAATCTCTTCCAAATGTTTTCTTGCTCCCTCTTGCACGATGCTAAAGTCGCCTCCCGTGCTTTCCCCTTCCGCATCTTTATGTAAGTTCGTTCTGCTCCGATTTTGTAACGTCCCCGTCGTAAAGTCGTAAGAGAAGAGTCCAAGAACGTTACTTTGCGGACGAATTGGTTCTCCTGCGCTATCAAAATCGTTTAAGTACGCGTCGTCGTGCTCTTCCATGCCTGGAAACGCAAAGTCGAGAACATCAAAACCGCGCATGGTGCTTTGCCCTTTTTGTTGTCCCTGTTGTTGGTGTTGTTCATGATGATTTTGCTCTTGTCGCTGATACTTGTGGTGCTTCGTGTTGTCGTTGTTTCCACACGTATTCGAATCATCGCTGGGTTCTTTCCTAATTAACGAGGTGCTTTTCGAATTGCTCGTATTTGAGTTCCTTTGCTGTTGTTCTCCTTGCTTCAGCTGGTTTTGCCGCTGCGAAAGCTTCGTCGTCGTCAGATTACTTTTGGCCTGCGCGATCAGCGCGTCAAACGGCACGTGCTGCTGATACCCTTCGTCATTTCCGTTGAATGACGTCATTTCGCTTCTATCTGCATTCAACCCACTTCTTTTCGCCATCGCTGCCATCATCGAAGACCCTACCCCGTTGACGCCGTTCGGCGCCCGCACTTTCGCCAACTTTGACAGCGAGAGCGCGCACGCCCTCCTCTTATCTTTAAACTCCTCGATCGAGTGAAACCTCGTGCACTTTTGGCAAAACCTTTGCAACATTCCTTCGTGAAAGACCTCGTCCATTTTCAAATGCATCTCGCACACTTTCGATCGTTTCCCGTACACGCGCTCGCACATCATTTCGCACTTGTCCACGCGACAGCGGACGAGTTTGTCCTTGATGTTCGCGACGGAAGAGGACGACACTTTCGCACTTCCATTTGCAGAAGAGCCGCCCCCATTTCTATTTTTATTATTATTCCTCCTCGTCTCTCTCTTTCCATCTTCATTCGACGCGACGATGGTGATATTTTTTCCTTTTTGCTGCTGCCCAATCAAAAACCTCCTCTCGTCCGCTTCTATCTCCCGAGCGCCTCTCGAGACACCCACGAAGAGCGGGTTGTTCTTTGTGGTGTTGAGGTCAAACAGCGACAACTTCTCCTCGTCGTCGTCTTCGAGACGTTGTTTCTTCTGTTGTTTCTCTTCCGCTCTTCCAAAGGCGGGGGAAGAGGAGGATAATTTTTTCTCCTCCTCCTCCTCGGGGATCCCCGATTCTTCACCCCCGGAGGAAAACGAATCCATCTCGTTCTTCATTCGTCCGACGCAGTTGACTTGGTCCCACTCGTACTCGTCCACCTCCCAGGAAGGAGACGAAGAGCCTTTATTCCTCTTCTTCGTCTTTGTCTTCGTCTTTTTCTTCGAACGAAGGTGGTTTTGAAGGAGGAGCGTTGCCATCTCGTCCTCCATTGTTCCATACGTTGGAAATGTAAAAACTGGGGCTATTTGACAGAAAATATCACATGCAGAAGGAGACCTCTTTGGGACGTGTCGTCCAATTAAATTCAAGCTCTACGTAAACCCTATTAGAGGAAAACGCTCTCCTCTTTCTCCCCCTCTTTCTTCCTCTTTGTGTCAGATTTTTATTCACCAGAGACAGATATGATGGCTGCGAACAACGCTTCCGCTGCTGCTTCAAAACGCGGTTGGTATTCTCATCACCAGGTAGCCAAAAGCGCGAGGACGACGACGAGGACGGCGACGACGACGTGTTCTTCGTGTTCTTCTTCTTCTTCTTCTTCTTCTTCTTCTTCTTCTTCTTCTTCTTCTTCTGCCACGACCACCAGTGTGAGAAGACGAAGAGGAGAAATCATCGTCCCGAAAGCCATCCAACGAAAAGCCGGCTCGAACTATTCCGAAACGTCGATCCAGTTTTGGAAATACCAAGGCCTCGGGAACGACTTTATTCTCGTGGACAATCGAGAGTCGGATGCGCCGAAAATCTCTCCCGAGCGCGCGGCGTTGTTGTGCGATAGGAATTTCGGCATTGGGGCGGACGGGGTGATTTTTGCGATGCCGTCGCCGGATCCCTCTAAGTTTGATTACAAGATGACCATATACAACTCCGACGGCTCGGAACCGGAGATGTGCGGGAACGGCATTCGATGTTTAGCGAGATTTGTCGCCGATTTGGATAAAGATCAGAGAGGGAAGAAATACAACGTGTCTACTTTAGCCGGGTTAATCGTGCCAGAAGTGCGAGAGGATGGTCAAGTGGCGGTGGATATGGGGACGCCGATTTTAAATGCTTCGAACGTGCCGTCGACGTTGAAAGATTGCGAAAGGTCGCACGAGATGACCGTGGACGGGGAGAAGTGGTTAGCCAACGCGGTAGGTATGGGAAATCCACACTGCGTCGTCTATAAAAAAGCGAACGGGGAGATGATTTCGGACGTGTACGGATTAGACTTGCCGAAAATAGGCCCGATTTTCGAAAAGCACGAAACGTTTCCGGCGAAAACAAACACCGAGTTTGTTCAAGTCGTGGACAAAGGACGGGTCAAAATGCGCGTCTGGGAACGCGGGGCCGGGTGCACTTTAGCCTGTGGCACCGGCGCGTGCGCAACCGTCGTCGCCGGGGTCATCGAAGGCCACGTCGACCGAAAGTGCGTCGTCGAGTTACCCGGTGGGCCTTTGGAAATCGAATGGAGAGAAATAGACGACAAAATCATCATGACTGGTCCAGCCGAGCCGACGTTTGAAGGGACCACCGCGTTAGGCGTTTAATACTACCGATACTACTCATACCCTCGCAGAAAGGGAGTATCTTTCGCGCGTTCGCTCTCTTCGCCACATCCAAGCAAACACCATATCCAAATCGTCAGAACAAGCAAGCGCATCAAATACCCCACACAGAACACAGAACGTCACTCACTTCCACGCGTCAACAGCACTCATCGAAACGCAATAATTATAACGATGACATCGTCTGTCTGTATTTTTCCGCCATCGCAGCGTTGTGTTTTGAGTCATCATCAAAAACCGTCCACGTCTGTCTCTTCGCGGATATCTTTTCCCCGTCGTCCTCATCGTCGTCGTCGTCGGAAACAAAACGCCTCGTCGAAGAACAGCGAGAGCAACAACGCTCGAGAAGAAGAAGAAGACAAGGAAGAAGAAAACGTGCAACAAATAGACATCCGCGACGAGGCTTCGCTGGCGAAAATCGGTCTGAAATGGAACGACGATTACACGGAGCTTTTGGACGTGAAAACAGGGAAACCTTTAGACGATTTTGAGGAGATGCAAAAAAAGCAACAAGAGGCGACGCGGTTCGACATCGCGGTTCGAGCCATGCGAGGAGAGTTTACGAAAGCGAAAGGGAAGACGGAAGGGGAAGTGTACGGAGAAATTATGGACACGTTGACGAACTACCCGGTCGTGTACACGTTTCAAGCGTCGGCGAAGGTGAGCGAAGAACACGACGTGTTGCGACTCAGGCGACAAATCAAAGAGACGGTGGAAACGAGGTGTAAACGAGAAGCGATAGAGGTGGAGATTAAACCGAGAGGAAAGAAGTTTCACTCTTTTTGGGTGAAGATTAGCGTTTCGGATAGCTGCGAAGTGAGCGAGTGCATAGATTTATTGAAGAATTTGCACGAAGTTGTGACCTGTTGTTAACGCGACGAAGACGCGTCTGGTACTGTTTAGCCTCTCATTATCTAGGTAGCTGCGCGATGAATATGCGATGCACGTGTGAACATCTAGGACTAAAAACTAACTAACTAACTAACTGATATGCGCATATCTTCTTTGTCTCTGCTACTACTCGGAATCCGAATCCTGACCTAACGTCGCCGCGTACGCGTCTAAACGGCGATTCTCTTCCTCTTCGGTTTCTTTCTTTTCTATATTTTTCAATCCAATAAACTTCTCGACTCCGTTCCACATTTCAGCTTTGAGTTGTTTCCCACCGAACCATCGATTGTGCATGAGCTGTAAACACGCGTCCGCACCTTCCGGCTCTTTGAATCGAACGGTTACGACGCCGTTGGCGTTGACGTACGCGTTTTCAACTTTTCCGCACTTTACTCGGCATTCCTCGGCGACGTCTTCTTTCAGCTCGTCCGAAAACGTCTGCGCGTTTAAACCGTCTTTCCTCGCTTCTTCTAAATCATTTTCGTCGTAGATGTTTCGAAGCACGACCATGGTTTTCGTCGGGTCGTGCTCGTCGTCGAATCCGTCCCATCCGAGTTGCCTTTCCGCTTTGCGTTTCAAAAGCGCCGCGTTTTTACGAATCTCTTCTTTTGAAACGTGCGCGTATTTATCTATCGCGCTCGTCGTTCCTTTCTTTGCGTTTACGTTGCCGATGTTGCCGTTGCTCTCGTTTTTGTTCGCGTCGTTCTCTTCTCCGGCACCTCTACCTTTACTCTTGCTAAAATCCGCCTCGGTCACTTTCACCTCCTCGCCGACCAACTCGAACTTCGCGCCGTCCAAAACCGTCAACGCCAACTCCACGCTCGGCCTCAACAAATACGTCACCAGCGCGTTCCCACTGAACACGTTCTTCCCTTCCTCCTCGTACAGTTTAATTTTCGGCATCAACGTCGCCGGGTCTCGCTTAATCTGTCCGCACTTGCTAAAAAACTTCTCCACGCGTTCAACCGTCGCGTCGCGAGGCAAGTTTTCGCAATACACCGACGTCGTTGCATTCGTCTTAGTATTCGCCTTCGTTTGTTTCTGCTTCTTGCTCTTGTTCTGTTGTTGTTGCTCTCGTTTTCGTTTCACCGCTTCGATGTCAATCTCCGGTTTCTTTCTCTCGCTCTTGGTGTTGTTGGTGTTGTTCTTCTTCTCGTTAAAACTTTTCTTAAACGAAGGAGGAGGCAAAACTTTCTCGTTTGAATCGTCCTCGGGACAGAACGTCATCTCGCGCACGTCAAACCCATCACCAGCACCACCGTTTCCGTTTCCTTCTTCGTTCATCTCCCTCGGTTTATATCTTTTCTCTTCTTCGCTCCAATCGTACGTCGTCCCGTCGTCGTCCACGAACGTCTGTTCTCTCTTTTCCTCCAATTCGTCTTCTTCTTTAACGCATTCCTTCTCCGCTTTCGCCACTTCTTCGAAGAAATCTCCCAAAACATCCTCCTTCTCCTTTGTTTCTTCTTCTTCTTCTTCTTCTTCTTCTTCTCCTCCCGTCATTGTTATTTCAACGAAGGGCTTTTATTAAAGCTCTGAAGAAAGCGCGCGCAAAAGCTTTTCTCTCGAAGAGATTTTTGGCCTTCTTCATGTTTAGGGTGTACAACCCTACCCGCCGCCGGGCCTTTCCGAAAGAAATCTTCGTTCGCATTTCTTCTCACTTTGAAGCACTCAACTGAGCTGCTCAAAACAGAGAGAGAAAGGAAAGAAGTTCGTTCCAGACGAAGAAGAAGAAGAAGAAGAGAAGCAAATGAAAGGTCGCGATAAGAAGAATGCGAGAAGAAATGATGGGAAAAAAGAAGCGTGGATGGACGACGACATCGAACTCGCGAACAAAACGGTCCAGCAGAAATCGTCGAAATCTTTCGTCCGCTTGGACAAGGAGAGCTCGGACGAGGACGAAGACGAGAGCGAGAGCGAGGACGAGGAGGAAGCTCTGATGGACGTGTCGTCGTCTGAATCGTCGGATGAAGAATCGTCGGATGATGAAGAGGAAGAAGAAGAGGAAGAAGAAGAGTTTTTGGAAGACTCGGAAGACGACGAGGCTGGTTTGTTACGAGCGATGAAGGCGCAGAAGAAAAAATTGGAATACGCGCGACTGAGGAATCGCGCGGAACATTCCGACGATTCAGACGAGGAAAAGGATTCCGAGGAAGAAGACGACGTTGGCGTGAGAGGGAAGAGGAAGCAGGATTTCTACGGCGACGAGGAGATTGATCACGAAGACGCGGAAGAGGAGGAGGATAGGAAGGACGAGGAAGCCGCCGCGAGGGCGGCGCAGAAGCAAAGAGCGGGGAAGATGCGGCTAGGAGATTTCGGATTGGAGGATGAAGAAGACGATTCCGAAGAGGAAGCGTCGTCGAGTTCTGAAGAAGAAGAAGAAGAAGAAGATTCGGAGGAGATGACTTTACAGCAGAAAGCGCAGAGAAGTAAGTTGGGCGCCAAGAAGACGCCGTTGGAGGAGGAGGAGGAAGAGGAAAAAGGAAAGCAGAAAAAGAAAAAGAGATCAAAGACGAGCGATGGAGGTAGTGGCGGCGTAGTCGTTGAAGCGTTGGACGACGACGAAAAGCGCGCTAAACGCGAGAAGTTAGAAAACGCATCCGCGAACGCCGACGAGGCGGAGGAAGTGAGAGCGTTGGCGGAGGAGTTGCAAAAAACGCTCGCCGAAGTCGAAACCAACGTCGAACCGATCGTGAAATCCGCAAAAAGAGGCGAATACTTAACCGAGGAAGGCATCTCGTATTTAGATACCAAGTACATGCTCCTCTTGAGTTATTGCGTGAATCTCACGTTTTATTTGTTGATGAAATCGGAAGGAAAATCGATTAAAGATCACCCGGTGGTGATGAGATTAGTCGAGATTCGTTCGTACATCGAAAAGCTTCGACCGATCGATAAGAAGTTGCACTATCAGGTATGTTTTCTCCTTATTTGTTTGTTTCCTCGTTCGTGTGTGTGCATGCAGCGTGCAAAAATATATATATCACGCTAATATGTTATCGCGGTGATGAAAAATGCTTCACAGCATGTCCTGAAAACGTTCCGCTTACCGCGGCACGCCCATGAAGGCTTTTTATTGAACATCTAAGGGACTGAGCGATATTACATACGTGCTAGAATCACGCGTGGCGATGCGTTGTTTTTACGTCGACTTTTATCGCATTCATCGATCGATTACACAAACAAACTAACGAACGAATTCTATTCTTTGTCTCGAACAAAACGCAGATTGAAAAACTCCTCAAAGTCGTCAACGAAGACGGCGCCGCAGGCGGCGATAACCTTCAGTTCAAACCGAATCCGTCCGCTTTGGTCGGACGCGGTGAAGGCGCAGAAGGAGAAGACGAGGAAGGAGACGGCAAATATCGTCCGCCGAAGATGTTACCGACGACCATGGAACAAGACGAAGATGGAAAGGAGAAATCGAACAAGGAAAAAAGACGAGAGAAGGAACAAAGGCGACGCGCGCAAAGATCTTCGCTCATCAAGGTACGTACGATTTTGTTTATTCTTCTTGCGTATTTTTATTTCTCGTCATCGCGATCTTCTTTTTCTCGCACTTTTGCCCCCGGGACCTGCTATTTATCAGGTGTTCTCGGGCTTCCTAAAGATGCGTATAGCCAAACGTACTAAGTCTTGGGCAGTGGTATCGCCGTGTCCGTGGCGGTACTTCAATCAAGAAGTGGACATTTTCTTTTCTCTCTTACGTTTTCATTCGATGCGATCATCACATTTGCGAACGCATATACTCACGAGCGTCTTAATATATAATACTCATGTAACAATCAATCAATACAGGAACTCGCGCACGAACTCGGCGAAGACCCGGAAGAAATTCAAGACGGCGAAGCGAACGACCGCAACGCGTTTGTCAAGAGAGAACACGCACGCATGGAAGCTCGCGCGAGAATTGAGGAAGATTTGTTTACGCGGGTTCCGTTGACGAAACAGGAACGCAAGCGACAAAATGCAACGACGAGAAACATCAGCTCTATCGCGGCGATTGGTGACTTTGGCGACGACGTTGCGGATTTAGTAGAACGTGCGCAAGAGCTGGACGAATTACCGTCCAACGATAGGAAACGAAGATTAGTAGATGTCGTCCAAGATGGCAACAGGTCCGTGCCAATTGGCATGAGATCTGGGAGAAGAGACACGGGAGAGGAAGACGTGCCGTTACGCGACACGCTCGGGGTACGTTTGTTCTTGCTTGATTTTATCGCATCGTTTTTCCTAACAATTTCGGCATCATCATATCGAAGCTTCGATAAGTCTTTCCCGTGGTTTATCGTTGTCAAATTTGATGCTAAAATAATCACCGAATGAAGTATTTATACTTCACGGGGTGCAGCTTGACCGTTTCGATGTTTACCTAGTCTTCTTTTCGGTCTCGACGCGCTGGACATTCACCGTTTTCCTTCGCTGCCTTTCCACGCGCAAAAATTATTTTGCGAATGCCTCGAACTCATCGCTGACGTTTTTTATTTCTTTCCTCGCCTTCTCATCACACAGGAACGCCGACAAAAATACGAAAAAGGTGCACTTCGCCATCACGAACGACACGAACACGCAATGCGAGAGCACGAAGACGCCATGCGTGCACGACCGAACGAACCTCGAAGAGATTTGGGCGCCAACGAGGAGTACGACTTGGCGCTTTCCCACCGCGACCGCAAGCGTTTGGAGAAACAGCAAAAATACACGCGCGAACAACGCATGGCAGTGGCACCCGAAGACGACGCCGAAGGACGACGCGAAATAGGTGGCAAAATTATGTCTAACAGAGGTTTAACTCCGCACAGATCGAAGGATATGAAGAACCCGAGAGTGAGATTAAAGAACAAGTTTGCCAAGGCGGTGGTGAGAAGAAAAGGCACGGTGAGAGACATGAAAGTTGGAGCGACAACCTACGGCGGCGAAGAGACTGGCGTCAAAACGTCCGTCATCAAATCGAGAAAGCTTTAACGCATATATATTTGTTTATTATATTAATTGTGCTATTACAAAATGCATTACTTATTGTCCTAAAATAATCCCCTCGCTTCTCTTTTGGAGCTTTTCGACGACTTGCGTCATGTTCCCGATCGTCTCCAAAGTTGCCTTATACATCGTCTCCGGCGGTTGCTCATCAAAAACCACCAAACACCCGCTCCCTTGATCTAATATACCCTCAAATTTCCCGTCCAAAATCATTTGACTCAACTTACTCTCCACCGCCAGCGTCGGCAACTCGATCAACTCGGCTATTCTCGCAATTTCCACTCGCGAATATGGCTCGATCAATCGAAACAAGTTTTGTTCCATCAAATCGTCCTTCAACTTACCCAAATGGTTCGCCACGATTGGATCGTTATCCAAAAACTCTCTATAATCTCTCAAAACTCTCTCCAAATCTTTCAAACTCCTCGAAATGTACGCCTCGGCTACCGCTTTCATGGCATCCAACGACTCCTCGCCGGCGAATTTCAACCCGCTTTTACTCGCCACTAAAGTCTTCACGTCGCCGGCGTTCCCGCTCATAATTTTACACATCAACATGTACTTCAACGCAACGACGGTTTCTTTCTTGTACGTCGCGTCGTCCAAATTCGTCAACTGCTCGAACGCCTCGAAAAAATACGAATATCCAGTCTTGTAATCCTTCTCTTCGGCGTGTAAAATACCGCTTTGCAAATCGATGCCGCACTGCGCGCTCGGCGGCACGTAAATCGACCCGGCATTCGTCCTACTCGCGGTCAAAGCCGCTTTCGCTTTGGCCAAATCGTTCAACGCGTAGTGAATCTTCGACTCTAGCAAGTGTATATCCACCAACAAAAGCTTATCGTCCAACTTTTTCACCTCTCTGGCTAAACTCGAAATCATCCTCAGCGAATCCGTATACCGCCGGCTTTTCAAATACAACGCCGCGAGCCGCAACTCCACCCTGTGCCTCAAAAACGTCCTCTTCTCTTTCTTACTCCACGCGATTTGCTCTTTACACAGCTCCACTTGCAAGTCGTCGAACCCTTCCAGCGACGCGAACACATCGATCAAATTCCTCACAATCTTCGCCGTCTTCGCTTTCGGCATTTGCTCGAACAGTGGTTTCAACTCATCCACTAAAAGTTTAATCGCGTTCGCGTCGTTGTTTTTCGCGTACACGCGCGAGACCGCGTCGATGGCTTGCTCTTTAATTTTTGTCTCCTCGTTCATCTCCGTCGTCGTCTTTTTCTTCTTCTTCTTTTCCTCCTCCTCCTCCTCTGAACCCGTGGAGGAAAATATCACCAAACGGTACTGCTCGATCGCTTTTTTCCCGTTTTGGTCAGACTTTTCCAGATCTCTCGCGAGTTGAAACTGCGCTCGCATGTCTTCCAAAAGCGAAGAAGACATTATTATTATAGTAGTATTATTATTAGAAAGAAAGAAAGATCGAGACAGAGAGAGAGAAACTGCACGGAGTGACGTTCAAAGTGTTTTTATGTTCACGTTTAATAAGGCGTCGGTTTTTAGTATAAAGCGCGATGAGATTGCGTTCCACCCTTCCTCGCTTCCTTCCTTCTTTTGCAAAATTAGGGTTGGACACCCTAAGCACTTCAGTGCGTGTTTTTTTTTCTCCTTTTTTTCTTTCCTTCAAAAGTTTTGGAGTTTTTGGGGGTGGTCGTTGACTGCACTTCTTAAACGACACAAAGCGCGCGCGAGAGAGTCCCGAGAGAGAGAGAGAGAAGAGAGTTTTTGAGGAAGAAGAGGAGGAGAAAGAAGTCAAATGACAGACGTGGCATCGACGTCGTCATTGAATGCGATGTTGAATAATACGAGTAGTAATAGTAATAGTAATAATAGTAAGAAAAAAGTGGTTCCGGTGCGACAATACCTCGACGAGTCCGTCGTCCCGTGCTTGCGAGAGGCGATGAAAGAGCTCGTGAAAGTTCGACCGGAAGATCCGCACGAGTTTCTAGCCAAGTATTTGATGAAACACAATCCAAATCAGCAACAGCAGCATCAACAGCAGCAGCAGCAGACGACGACGACGGGGCAGAAAATGAGCAGCATTTTAGAGAACAACAACGCGAGCGAGAGAGCGGCGGAGAAGAGCAACGATAAAGCGACCGAAGTGGAAGAGAGAAAAGGAGAAGAAGAAGTCCAAGAAGAGAAGAAAAATGAAGGAGAGGCGTAGATATTGTAACCGCTATCCGTTTTGGTTGTACAACACACTATTAGTAATACACGTCTCGCTCGCTCGCTCGCGTTCGTTTGGTCAACCGCGCGAGATATACTCCAGGGCGCGTTGACTTTTCTCTCTCGCTTTTTCAGCGCTAGCTATTTTCCACGTCTAACCCCCTCACTCGTGTGTCGTGAGTCGATGTCAACTGCCTGTCTTTCAACCCTCGTTTCGTTCGCTCCGTTTGCTGGAAATGAGTTCGGTCTTTACACAAAAATGGCGCGTATTTCGGTGGGGTAGTATTCGAGAGATTTTTCTTTCTCGCATCCACGTCGCGAGAGTCTATCAGCGCGTCGTAATTTGGACAGTGGAACCACACGAGACTTAATCTGCTTTCTTCTTCTTCTTCTTCTTCTTCTTCATTGTTGCTATTCCTATTAAGAATGACTCTGTGTCTCGTGCTCTTATACTCTCCGTTCGTCCACGCCATGAGAACGTCGCCAACGTTGACCAACATCGCGTTCGGAACCTTAGGAACGTCAATCCAACGACTTTCTCCCCGCGCACCTCCTTCTTCTTCTTCTATTAAAATCTGTAACCCATTCGGACCACGCTCGTCGTCAAAAAATAAACACGTAAAATCCGTCGGGTCAGTGTGTGCTCGTACGAGTAAAGTATCGTCCTCGTCCTCCTCCTTCTTCTTCAGCGTTCTTTTCGCGCGACTCACGTCGTAGCGCAACGCGACTAAATTCGTCACGTGTTTCCTCGATCTCTCCACGAAATACTCCAACTCCTCTTCTTTCATGTTCAAACTCATCGCAAATACTCGCAGCAATTGCTCCGAAAACCGCTCCATTTCTCGATATAAACTCGAATACGCCTCTTCGAACGCGTCTTCTTCACCTTTCTCTCGTGTGACTCCAAAAACATTTCGAGGAAACGTATTCTCGCAGTCAAAAAACAACGACCGATTCGGATCGTAATACGGATCGTTTGACCGTTCGTAGCTTTCCAAGAGTCTCCCGCAGCTAAACTTCTCGTGAAACTCTGGTTTTCTCACCGCGTTTTCCGTGCCATTGATCGGGACGTATCCTTTTTTCAACGAGAAACATCTCATCTTCGTTTCCACATCGCGTGAAAAGAACGCGTCGCATACTTTACGCGCTCGTCTCGCCTTTTCGAGAACAGAAGGAACGCCCGTGGCGTAGAAGAACCCGGAACGTGCGCACGCTTGATGCAGTTTTTTAGAGAGGCTTTCGGAAGAGGAGGAGGAAAAATCTAGGATTGGTACGTCCTCTTCGTCATTCATTCGGTTGTTTTGTGTGCGGTATTTCCCAACACGTAGGAAGTAGTTATTCTCAAAAATACGTGTACAGCGTTGAAGTAAAACAAAGAGAAATGTCAAAACCTTACTAACGCCGATCGGTTTTCCCGTTCCCTCTTTTACCGGAGAACAAGTGTTTTGGCATTTTGGTGACGATAACTCTGTCGCCTTCGCCCGAGCGCGCTTTTTTACTCGATTTCCTTTGCGCCAAATCGGCTAAGCGTTGCGCTTTGATGTTCGCTTCGGCGTTTTTGAGACCGGAACCGCTCGCGGGCGTTTGGGCGACTCTTTTGGCGACGGATTTGGAACGCGAGCGCGAGGAGTGGGTTCGTTTTTTCTCCACGCCTTCCATGTCTTCGTCCACGTCGCCGTCTCCTCCTTCTTGGAATCGAGAGGAGGACCGTTCGCGTTTTCGGCCTCTCGATTGACTTCGCGCTCTTTCCACCGCCTTGTCCGCGTCTAATCCCATACTCTCTAACGAGTCTTTCATGTTTCTCGTCGTGCGTTTGCCTTCCGGGTCCGCTTTCGAGGCTGGAATCTTCGACGAGTTCCCGGCGACGGATTTCTTCCGTCGGTGTTCCGCGACTAACTTTTTCCTTCTCAGTTTGATTTCTCCCAACAATTGTTTTTCTTCCTCCGTCAACGGCGCTTCCTTCGGTTCTCTCAAATGCGCTTCGGCCTCCCATTGTTTCTCCAACTCCTCCTCTTCGCGTTCCAGCTCGGCTAACTTGGCCTCGATTTCCGGGTCGATGAAATCCGCCACGTTTTTCCCGTTGTAAATTTCCGGAACGACGTCGTACTTCCACTCGTCGTTCGCTAACAAATAGTGCTTGTTGAAATCGGCGGAGTAAACACCCGCGCCGCCGTTTTGCTCTTGTAAATCTTTTTCTGTGATGATTTTCTCCCCTCTCGCTTTTCTCGCTTTCATTTCTTCCAAATTCGCCGGTATCGACGGCGGCCTAGACTTTGAATCTCTCGCTTTCGGTTGCGCCACGTGCAATCGATTTAAAATATCCCCCGCTCTTCGACCGGCTAACTTTTGTTCCACGCGCATCGCCAACAAACGATCGCAGCACAAATTCTTCACGTCTGCGACGCCATCTTCGCTCAGCGTGGACATCGTCGGTAACTGTTGGTGCTCGCCGTCGTCCTCACCGAGCTGCAACGTCGAAGGTCCCGCGACAAACTTCCTCATGTCCTCCAACAACTCTCTGTCCGACTCTTTCAATTCTTCTACTTTCGCCACGTCTGTTTTATTCAAAGCCACCACCAACGGTTTATTCGCGAACAAAGGCGCGATGGAGTGAAATAAATCCGACTGTTGCTTAATAGTAAACCCACACTGCTCGGAAATATCTACGACGTACAAAACCACGGCGCGTAAATGCGCCAAAGCGGTGATCGATTGCATCTCGATCGTGTTCCTCTCGTCCAAAGGTCGATCTAAAATCCCCGGGGTATCCAAAACCTGCCACCTCAAATACTTATAATCCGTGTGCCCGACGTATATACTTTTCGTCGTAAACGCGTACGGCTGCACCTCCACGTCCGCTCTGGTCACTTTATTCATAAACGACGACTTGCCGACGTTCGGATACCCGCACACCAAGATCGTCCGCGTGTTCGGATCGATCGACGGCAATCTCGACATGTGCTGTCTCACTTGCTCTAAATACGCTAAGCTCGCCGCGTGCTTCTTCATCATCGTGCACATCCTCCCCATCGCGGCTCTTTTCAGTTGTTTGCATCTGTACAGTGAATCCCCGTACTTTAAAAGCTTCACGTAATCTTTGCTAATTTTATCGATTATATTTCTCGCCGTATTCAACTGCCCCAACGCTAATTTGTAGTGATCCTTATCGTACAGAACGTTCAACAAATCCGAATAAAACGGGTGCACGTCGTCCACTCTAGGGAAATCCTCCAATATTCTCGATAACTTCTCGTGCCAACTTTGCTGAGTATATTTCACTTTCCTCATGTAAAACTGGCGAATTCTCGTGATGGCGTAGCCTCGGTGGATGACCGTCGGTGTTTGTCGTTGCGTTTTGGAGAGGACGATGTCGATGAAATCCTTCGCCGTGGGGACCGTGGCGATCTTTTTGAAGTTGTACTGAGACATATTTTTGTTTGCTGTCGTCTGAGCTTAAGAACTCCTCCTCTTTTTCTTCTTCGGACGATGATATCAGCTCAATACTCGAGACAATAATATTTTGTGCGTTCTGCGCGCGTGTTTACGAGTGCAAACACTTCAAAGCCGCCGCCAAAGAGTTTTTTCCGTCGGTTTTTTTGACATTTTTTTTTTCAGCTGAGTGTTTAGGGTTTATTTAGAACCCTAAATCATTGGCACGAGAACATTTTATTCCTTTTTGTACCTTGGGGAAGTGTTGTTAGATTTATATTCCTTTTCCTTCTGTGGTGCTGTATCTGTTACGAGCACGAGCACTCTCTCGCTTGAAAGTAAGATCGACAAAAGAAGAGGCTACACGAGATGACAGAGACGAACAAGAAAATTCGGGTCGGGATCAACGGATTCGGCCGCATTGGACGCTTGGCGTTTCGATTGGCGTTTGAGAGCGACGATTCGCGTTTGGAATTTGTGCACGTGAACGAAGGCGTCGGGAGCGGGGAGTCCTCGGCGTATCTCGCGAACTGGGACAGCGTGCACGGACCGTGGCGAGGATTTAACGCGGAGTTCGACGAGAAGACGGAGACGATGACGGTGGTGAAAGAAAAAGATGGTTCGAAGACGACGACGGTCATGACGTATTCGCAAAAGATGTCCCCAGGGGAAGTGGATTGGAAATCGAAGGGAATAGATATGGTATTAGAGTGTTCGGGGGAGTTTTTGACGAGAGAGAAGTTGCAGGCGTATTTCGACCAAGGCGTGAAGAAAGTCGTCGTCAGTGCGCCGGTAAAAGATGCGAAGAATCCAGTGTTGAACATCGTTTACGGCGTGAACCATTCCGAGTACGATAAAAATGTGGACCACATCGTCACCGCGGCGTCGTGCACGACCAACTGTTTAGCGCCAGTGATTCAAGTTATTTTAAAAAAGATTGGGATCGTCAGAGGATCGATAACGACTATTCATAACGTCACGAATACGCAAACGATCGTGGACGCGCCAAATAGTAAAAAATCGGATTTGCGAAGAGCGAGGAGTGGATTGGTGAATTTGGCGCCGACGAGTACCGGGAGCGCTACGGCGATAGCGTTGATCTTCCCGGAATTGAAAGGGAAGTTGGACGGGTTAGCGGTTAGAGTGCCTTTAATCAACGGGTCGTTGACGGATATCGTGTTGGATTTACCGAGAGATGTGACCGTGGAGGAAGTGAACGGATATTTGAAAGAAGCGAGCGAGAACGAGTTGAAAAACATTTTGGGTTACGAGACGCAACCGTTGGTGAGCACGGATTACATCAACGATAAGAGAAGTTCGATTATTGACGCGTTATCGACGAAAGTTGTGGACAAGAGACACTTGAAGATGTACGCATGGTACGATAACGAGTACGGGTATTCCGCGAGAATGGCTGATATCGCGAATATGGTCGCAGAATCGATTCTGTAAATAAATAATACACATGGTCATTTTTAATCGTCGGTTGGTCCCGCGCTCAAGAAAAAACGCTTCAAAATCTCCAACACGCCGCCTTTCTTCTTCTCTGGTGGCACGTATGTCCCAGATTTCACTCGCAACTTTTTCTTTATCGTCTCTCTTTGCGCTTTCGTCAACGTCGTCCCTCTCGAGTCCAAATTTTCCTCTTTCAACTTCTTACTATCGTCCCCGTAATACCTCCCCGCGTCCACTTTCATTTTTCCATCTCTCGTGGGCAACGAATCTCCTTCCGATTCCAGAATATCCACCGTCGCTTGTCGAATCGCCTCCTTCTTAGGACCACACGGCCTTTTACTGGTCAAAAACTCATACGCCGCATCTAAACTCTCAAATCTATCGTCCGTCCAATACAAATACGCAATCACCACCGCCGGACTCCTCCCCATCCCAGCCGTGCAGTGACAATAAATCACCTCCGTATCCGACTGATTCATCAATCGGTCGAACTCACTCACCGCTTCCGGTAACTGCTCTCTCAGCGAATCGAAGCTAAAATCGACGATCGGTTGTCGATGCAATCGCACGCCCGCCTTCTTCGCTTCCTCCTCGCGCTCGCCAATGTTCACCTTCCAATACTCAAAGTTCCCGTCTTCTTGCGTGTTAAACAACACCGTCACGTTTTCCTTCTCTTTCAGATACGTAATCGACCCTTCCTCCCACGGTTGCGTCCCGACTAATATCGAATCCGTGATCTGGTGGTAATACAAGCCTTTCTCGTGTTGATATTCAAACGGAGAGGCTGAATACGCTTTCATGGCTTCGTTGTATTTATCTTCTATGTCGTTATTGTTGTTGTTGTCGTTCTTTTGCTCTTCATCGACCCCTGCGCGTAAAGAGGAGGAGGAAATGCTCCTTCTCGACCTCTTGTCGTTTCTCTTCGCGCCTGTGCTTGTGCTGCGGCCAGAACTTAGCGCTGCTTTCGAGGAGCAGTTCGGGAAACATTTGGTCGGCGGCTTTGACTTTGATGACGACGACGAGGAAGAAGATGATGAAGAAGACGCGAAGGAGGAAAGTACCCGGGCAACGGAATGATGGGAACGGTACGACAGATGATGATGACAATGCGCCGTCGTCGTCGTCGTCGTACAGTGCATGATTGTTGGTGTTGTGTACAAAAAGCGCGTGCCAAATTGTGAAAATTAATAACCCGTTTTAAAAGAAACCTTAACGTCGCCATATGCTTTCCCTTCATCAGTAGTAAACGAGACATCGTATTATATTACTATTATTATATACTAGTATATATAATGAGTAGTATTAAAACTTGAACTTTTTGCTGCTACTTTTTTTACCACTTCCGTTCGAGGCGTCGGCGTCCGCAGTTTTCCGTTTCTGTTGCCGAGTGTGGTCTTTGACCATATCGGAGAAGTCTTCGCCTCGGCGCGCGGAGACATCTTTTTCTTTTTGCTTTTCGAAAACTTTGCGCAAACCTTCTTCGTCGAGGTGTTCGAGGTCCTCCGGGGCGATGGCGACGTCGACGCCGGAACCGATGATTTTCTTTGACGACGCTGCCGCTCCGGAGACGTCGTAGATGCGTTCGGAACCCATGAGCGCGGTGCCGATTTTGGCCTCTTTTTCGCCAAGGACTTTGTAGAGTTCTTTCGGTTCGTCCTCGCGAGTCGCGGTTGTGGTGGTTTTGGACGAGCGTTTGCGCAAGTCGATCGATTCTGGTTCATCCGCTTCTTCTTCTTCTTCTTCTTCTTCTTCTTCTTCTTCTTCTACTGCTACTTCTTCTTCCTCTTCTACTTCTTCCTCTTCCGCTTCTTCCTCGTCCTCGGATTCTTCCTCGGATTCGCTCTCCTCGTCGTCTGATCCCAACTCGCCAAAAAAGTGATCACCTTTCATGACTGGTTCGTCGTATTTCGTCCTATCCGTCTGCTTCGCCGCGTTTATACCAAACACGTCGCCGTACAAAGCTCTCCCGTACTCGTCCACGGGCGGTTTACCCCATCCTCCAGGGTGGTATCCAAACTGCGCTCCTTCCGGAATCGGCGCCGATAACCCAGGAATCGGTAGCTTTGGGTACGCCGGCGGTGGCCCATACCGTTGCATATTAATCAACCACGGGGGAGGCCCGTTGTTCCCGTCAATCCCTAAAGCCGCTTTTAACTCGTCCGACAAGTTGCCCGGTTTCCTATCGCCTAACGAAATCTCGTACTCTTTGCCTTCGAAATACAAGTCTCCCATCTTCGTCATCTTCGGTTTCGTTTGAAATTTAAAAAATGCATCGTGCATGACTTGATAGTCGATGTCTATCCGACCCAATTTCGCAGTTTTCGTGTCTTTTACTTTCGATTTCAACGATTTCTGCTCCTCTCTCTCCGCGTATGAGTCTCGTAACTTCGCAATCCCGGTCGCCTCGATAAACGCCGGCAACTTAAACGGCGGCTTCTCTATCCCTCTCTTCCCGGCTAAAAACGCTCTCTTTTGACTCCAATGTCTCGGTACTGGCACCGCGTTTCTGCTCGCTTTAATATACACCAGAAATTCCGGATCTTGCGCCGTCGTGTCCCATATTTCCACCACCTCCGGTTTCTCGCACACTCGTTTCAAGTCCGCTATTTGTAACTTTTTCATCTCTTTTCGTTGCTTTCGGGTTAATCCGTCCTCGGTGTTGTTTTTCTCGTCGTCGTCTGAATCCGCATCATCGGAAGACGAGGAGGAGAACTCATCATCAACTTCTTTCTCGTCGTCGTTGCCGTTCTTCTTCTTTGTCTTCTTTGTCTTCTTCTTTAACGTCTTCTTCTTTTCCTCGTGGATTCGATCGTTTTCCAATGTCTTCTCCCCGTTTTTGTTCGCCGGTTTCTCCACGAACGCCTCGAACACTCTCCGCATCTCTTCCGAGACGTCCGCATCTAAGATCGTCTCCAACGGCGCCGCCACGTACTCCACCTCCACCGTCGGTGTTCCTTTCCTGCTCTTCTTTTCCTTCTCTGTCGTCGTCGTCTTCGTCAAAGCCGCCGACGAAGAATTCTCATTCTTCTTCTTCTCCTTCGCGAGCTTCTTCTTCAACCGGCGCTTTTCCGCCACACCCATGATGATGAAGAAGAAATAATAATAAGAGAGGAATTTCTCTCTTATTCTCTCTTATTCTCTCTTTCTGCTTCTTCTGCTGCTCTTAATAATAAGCGCGCAAACGTCTTTCTCGCGTGTGTATTCCAACTTCCATTCTCAAAATCGCAATATCAATTTAGGGTTTTTTCATTTTAGAGAAACGCTCGTTTTTCTGGTTTCGAGAAAATAATAAACTGTTCTCTTTTTGACCACAAAATACGCTCAAACGACTGGGACGATGACGTGCAGAATGAAGACAACGACGTGTTATTCTTTCATGCACTGGAAGCGCTGGCTGTTCTTTCGAAACAACGCGTTGTTTTGCGTTTTTTTTTGTCTTCTTTTTCTGTTCTCGTCTGATAGTTTTGGACAAGTTTTCGGACAAGAGGTAGAAAATACTGCGCAGCAGCAGGAGCAGGAAGCATCTCCGGCGTTTGATTTTTTACGAGAGATGTTGCAAACGGCGGCGGATGGTAGCGAGGAGAACCAGATTTGGAACATCGTGAGAGCGTTTGGAGAAAATTTCGGAGAAGGGAACGAGGAGTCGTGGGCGGTTTTGAAAGAAGCGTACGAGAGGATTGGACGGTTGAGTCATACGGAGACGAGTGGTGAAAATACTGAACTCGACGCCGGTCGAGACGCATTTTTGAGCCGGTTGATGCAAAGCGTCGCGAGTGGGAGTTTTGGCGACGGGAACTTGATGGAATCGTTCGCGCAAGCGGGAGGTGAAGATGGATTCTTTAGCGGAAGAGAGACCTTCTTAACGAGGATGTTGCAAGACGTCATTCAGTCCGGCGGCGCCGGAGAAGGCGCGGTTCTCGGCGACGGGACGTTTGCGAATCGTTTGATTGATAATTTGAACGCGGTTGAACCGAGAGACGCGTTGAGGTCTTTGATTGAAGCTATCCAGACGACGTCTTCTTTTTCGAATAGCGGTGATCCTAATATCGTGCAGTCGCTTTCGGGAATCGACACTTCATCGTTACCTTTGTCGGATGAGATTCGGGCGGAGATATCGAGGCGATTGCAAAGAGCCGCCGAAAAGTTCAATTTGACGCTGAGCGAGCCTGGTAACTTTACCAGCGAAGAGGTGCGATTGTTAGGCGAAAAAATCATCGAAGATGCCATTTTGACGTCCCAAAGCGATAGCGAAAGTACCTCGGTATCGTTCGAGTCCAATTTTGCGCCGCCACTGAGAGAAGTATTTTTGAGTTTTTTCTCCGCGTCTTTACGGTCGTCGATGAATGCTACTACAAGTACTGCGGAAAAAAATCCTTTGGATGTGATGGTGCGCACCGCGATACAAGACGCCATGGACTCTGCCGTGCGTTTCGGCTCTGACATTTTGTTCCTCAACGCCGGAAGAAACTCGACATCTGCGAACACCGACGAAGTCATGGCGTTATACGACCGTGTCATCGGTATCATGTCCTCCTCTCGCAATATCTTCACGCAAGTCCTCGCAGACGCCGCCGAGAAGAATACCGGCGACGACGACGACCGCGAATCCGAAACTCTTCGTCGAGCGCAACAACTTCTTGAGGCGTTCAGAGCTTCCAACATCTGGAACACCGACGACCAAGTTCGAGAAATGGGCGGCGACGAGTTTTCAAACGCGGGACGAGTCAAAGACAGAATCGTATATCCACCGACATCTTCTAACAATACTCAGCAGCAACAACAAACCGCCTCGAAACCTTCCGGCGTTCTCAACGAACGTGCGAAGAAACTCCTCATCGCCTTCTCCGCGCTCTTCGTCGCTTTCTTCACCGCCATCGGCATTTTCAACCGATTTTGTTCCTCTTCCGCTAAAATGCGCCGCGTGAACATGATCCTCCCAGAAGCTCGCGATCAGCACGTCGACGAACAACCGTCTTCGAGAAGTGAAACGTACCGCCAGGCGAACAAGGAAGGCGTGCCCGTTGCCGAACCTACCGACGAGGACAGACCGCTGGCTCCGCCTCCGTCGCCCGAGACGAGCGAGCGCGAACAAAACAAAGAGACGACCACCACCTTCGGAAAGGAGACGACGACGTCGACATACCAATTCCCCGTCCCGCGAAAATCATCTCTCGTTCGTCGCACGCCGAGCACGGGTTTTTGAAGAAGAGAAAGAAGAAGAGAAAGAAGAAGTGTTCGCAATATGTGTATTCGTGTTATATGTAAATTTTTCAATTTCTCGAATTTTTTTTTTAAGGAAAACAAAAAAAAGTGAACACAACGACAAAAAATGTTCGCTCTATACACACGATAGAATAACTCTTTCGCACACTAAAAGGACACAAAAGATGCCTCGCAAACTGTTCGCTCGAATGGATTTGGACGACAGAGACCCGGACGGCTTTAAATTCCCGTCGAAAAAGAACAACAATCCTCGAAAAGCATCCGAACCAACAACGACGAAACCTCTTTTGCGCTTTGGGGAAAACGGAAACGGGAAGACGAAGAATAAAATGCGAGGCGGGATTCAGTTTCGAAACAAAGAAGAAGAAAAAGAAGAAGACGGCGAACGGGCGCAGTTCGACGCGTGGATAGTCACGACGTTTTTCATAAACGAAAAGCGCGATAATGATAACGAGAATAAAGCCTTGCTCGCGGACCTTCGAGAACACGTTTTCAAGGAATTTAGACACCAGGACAAACGAGAGCGGTTCGAGAGGAGGAAAAAAGAGTTTCAGAATTTGGCCGTTGGTATGGGTTTTACGGGGTTTTCGGATCGATTTGTCTCTCTCGATTCGCGGAGAAGCGAGGGGGAGAGTAGTACCGCGAGTTATGATGGAGCGTCGCCGTCGCCGTTGGTCGATATTCCGGTACACGTGCGAGATATCGTCTTGAAAAAAGCAGGCGCGAGGGCGGCGGCGGCGATTGCGTGCACGTGTAAGGAACTCAGGGATGACGTGAGAGATCATAAGAAGCGGGCGACTGGGAATTTTAAGATACGGCCGTGTGATGTGAGCGGAGGGGAGGAGGTGAAGCATATTTTGCAGCCTTATTCAAACGTGACCGGCGTGAGCGTCGATAAATTGATGCTCCATCGAGGAGAGCGTGCTTTGGATCCACACTTCAATAGACAAGTAAAGCGTAAAATGATTGAAGAAGTACTTGCCTTCACTCATTTGAACGAGAAAGTTACTCGATTGGGATTTACGAACAGCGAATTGGACTATACTGACTTTATGCGAATAATGTATCAAAGTTCGATTAATGTCCATTCGTTTGATTTTTCTGGGAATAATATCAAACGAATGGACACTGGTATCGGTTTTGGCCTGGGATGGGTACATCAGTGTATTAGTGACGGGGTTGGGATGGATCTATTTAAATGGCGAGAATTCGCTGGTGTATCGTTTGCCGAGCGTGTATACACTATCTTTGCTTCGACTTCATTAACCATGCCGGCAGGTAAAGTGTTTTTAGAGTTGAACGTTTCAAATTGTGGATTAGAGCATCATTTAGAGGTGTTCTTTTACCTTTGCGAGTTTCCAAATCTGAAGCGATTGGACGCGTCGAGAAACCAGCGATTAAATATCTATGAGCCAGACGACGAGAAGAGCATTGGTTTGTATGGGTGTCGTCGCGATTTTTATCACAAATACGGTAGTTCAACTGGACATACAGGTATCAGCTGCTCGCTTGAGCATTTGAACGTGTCAGGCAGCGCGACGTTGCATTTCCGCTTACAACCGAGCATGCCGTTTAATCCTTTCGCAAACTTCAATAAGTTGAAAGAGTTGAACTTGAGTGTATCCATGCGTTTGCAATCAGTGTATCTCAGAGATTTACCTAATCTGGAGGTGTTGAATCTCGTGAATTGCAAAAAATTACACACTCTTGTATTGGTGAAGCTGCCATCGTTGCAGACGCTGTCTCTCGACATATGCAAAAAGTTGAGGAATGTATTCTATTCTAGCTCTCGCCTCCCGGATCCACACAACGTGGCGGACGATTTTTTTTACGATGGATTCAATTTTATTGAAGATAAAATTGAAAGTTTGCGGAAGCTCTCCATGAACCAATGCGACGCACTTATCGAGAGGAGACATTTGAATTTGTTACGTTCGGCTGTAAATCTCGAGCACTACCGATGCGAGGGATTACACAGCGAGAATGTGCGAGAAGTTCGCATACCGAGCACGTCTTTGGTTTCCGTAGAAATGAGTGGATGTAAACAAATTCAATGCATTCTCTTGAATACGGCGAAGTTGAAATTGCTAAGAGCGAGAAATTGTCGGTCTTTAAAGGATATCCGAGTGAACACAGGACAACAACGCGCGGCTAGCGTGGAAACGACCGTGGAAATTGACGTGAGAAATAACGCAAAATTGGTAAGCGTCACGGGATTGCGCGTCGATCGATCTACGCGCATATTAGCCGGCGGCGCGACATCGTTAGAACGCATACAAACGGTAGATTAGATCAGATTGGATTAGATCATAATTAGGCTAGAAACTAAGTACCTAAGATAGCTACGTCGCATAATAAAAAGTAGATCGCTTTCATCAAACTATAAATTGTTGCCAACTTCGATGCCAATCATAATCATATTCGATAACGCGTATAACAAAATCAACGTCACGCCGAAAGGTTTAGTCACCCGGAACCGTTTCGCTGGAACATACGTCAAGCTTAAAAGCAAACTTGCGAATAAAAACATGAAACTAATCGGTATGTTTGCGTGCGTCAGTAGCGTCAACGGTGCAGGGGAAAGTTCGATGGCTTGCAACGCAAACGCCAAACCCAAACCGACGCACATGTTGAACATTGGACCCGAATAACACGCCGCAACCGCCATAGTTGGTTGGCCACTTTTTGCTATGACAACGTCGGCGACTAAATCACCGACGGAGTTCCCCCACGCTAAAACAGTCACCCCTAAAACAGCCGGCGATATCCCAGAAATGTGTCCGAGTACGGTCAAACACTCCAGCAACTCCGTCGCCGCTAAGGAAATCCAAACGATGGACGTCCCAAAAGCCAACGCGAGTGCTAACGGCCAATATTCAGGTTGGTGCGAGTGATTGGATGCGACAAAAACCGCGCATCCGACCAACGTCGACGGTATCAAAACGCACATCCAAAGCGGTAAAAAACCAACGAAATCGTTCCCAATCAACGTCTGCGCGCCCACGACGTCTTTGACCTGATGCAGCAACAACAAAGGCCCGAGCGCGACAGAAGACAACGCGTAAAATCTATTCCAACGGTCTGGTTCCGCGGACGGAATCGTCATTCGTCTGCATACGTCTAACGGCGCGTGCACGAGCGCTTTAAACAAACCGTACTTTGTTCTCCCGTGCGCTTGACACCATCTGACGATGTTTTCTCCGAGCACTTCGTGCGCCGGCGGTTCATCCATCCAATCGACGACACCCTTCTCCCCGTCCAACCCTACTAAATTTTGTTCCTTCTCCTCCAAACCGCTATGACTACTCCCTACCACGTCGCTCATCGACTCTCCTCCTCCGTCTCGAGTCAGTCTTTTCCTTCTCTCTCTCACGTCCGACACAATCACCAAACACACAAACGCTAAATAATACAAAATAAAACCAATCGCGTGTCTCGGGTAAACCTCTCCACTCGTAACTACGTAACACACCAAAACCGCGCCGAAGAAATAAAACCACGCGTCTCTTAAAAACGCGCCTCGCGGTACTTCAAACGGCGCGGCAACCACCGCCACGGCGCCAACCACCCCGCCGCTCACAAACATCCCCGCGCTAACGATTGCGCCAATCATCCCAGCACCAATCTCCCCACTCCCTCCATCTCCGCTCGAAAACGCCGCCAAAGACGCAAACACATCCGGCGCTCCGTTTCCTAACGCCAGTAAAGTCACCCCGGCGGTATTCGGCGACAACTGTAAAACCTTGGCGACTCTGCGAACCACCGGGCAGAAAAATTCCTCCGCCGTGTCTCCTAAAACGTAAAAGGAAAGGATCACGACCCCGATTAACGTAAACACGGACAAACTCTGGTACTCTTTCATCGTGCAGTGATGAAAATACAGATAATTCGCAATCATCGACTCCGTGTCCGCGTTGCATTCGTATTTTTGCACGTGCGTGCACTTGTCCGCGCTCCGCTCGATGGCGAGTGAAGTGCAGTAAAAATTCGCTTCTTTTTCTTCTTCGTCTTCTTTTGACGGCAACACCAACACATCATCGCGTTCGTTTTCCTCCTCCTTTTCTCCGAGCAAAACCCGCCCTCCTTTGGAAAAAGACAAGGACGGTTCCAACACGGAGGAGGAGGAGGAGGAAACGGAGTCGATATTTTGAGCAACGGGCGCATCATTAAAGCAAACCGCGCACAGAACGCCGACGAACAACAGACTCATTTTCACGAAAAATCGTTCGGTTCGAAATTGCGCTCGACAGCGTTTTCGATGGTCCCATAACTCCCATAACTCCCTCTCTGCTGCGTCGAAACGTCCTCGCTCGCCGTCGCTTTCACGTGGCGACCACATGATGCGTCGTCTTCGAAAAGCGAGAGGAAAGGATTTTGTGTGCGTAGAAAATGTGAAGCGCAAGGGAGCGTTGCATCCTTCCCCGCTTAGAGAGAGAGTTGTGCGTTCGAACAACGAAAGCGAAAGAAAGTATTCAGAGCGTACAGGTTCCAAAAGGATCGTATCGTAATAATACGCGAAATGTTGTTTGTTTTTTTGATTTGAATTATTACTTTGCTGCTATGTGATTGCGTTTTGCGCTTCCTCTTCTCGCGTCGTCTTCGTCGTCTCAAAGCTTTCGCTTCGCTCTTCTCGTCTGCGCGCGGACGACGGATGCGTCATCGAAACACCATCACCAACACCGAATCAAGAAGAACGACACGAAGAACGCGACGTAATGCTCGTAAACAGAGCATATAATTAATCCAAATCTGCGATGCCTAGCACGTTCACCAAGAGTTTAATCTGGTCGATAAAATCCACCCCGGTGGCGTATTCCGTCATCATCCCGACGAGCAAGCCAAACATGGTCCATCTTCCGTTGTTGATTTCGTTCTTCTTGGTGAACCCGAACACGGTCGAGTCTTCCACGAGTTGTTGATATTGTTGCTCTTTGAAGTATTTCACCATTTCTTTCGCTTTCGTGCGTTGGTATTCGATGGTGGTGTTGTCTTTTTGTTGGGTGGTCGTCATCGCTTGGGTCGTCGTTGCCGTCGTCGATGTCGACGACGACGCTTTCGCGCTTCGTCGTAATCTCGCACTGCTCGAGGACAAGGCGTGATTGAGTAAAGTCGCGGGAGAACTACTGGTGATGGAAAACATTTTACTTTTTGTGATTCAAAGAAGGCCTCGTTTTGATGAAGGAGTTGTTGTTGTTGTTCAATCGCTCGATGATGTGAGAGAGAGAGAGAGAGTATCAGCGCGCGCGCGTCAAAGAGTAAAGAGTTGCTCGAAAGATTAATGGATAAATGGGTGACGTGGAATTAGGGTTGGGAACCCTAAATATTTTTCTCCTTCTTTTCATGGGAAGAAAATCTCGTCAGAACGAGAAGAGGAAGAACGCGTCGTTCAGAGAGAGAGAGCGAGAGAGAGAGAGAGAAGGAAAAGGGTTTAGTAAAAGAAGAGAGAGAACATGTCCTCGTCTTCTTCGTCTGTTTCTTCTTCTTCTTCTCCGAGAGGTTTCCAAGCCGCTCGCGAGCGCTTGAATCTTCAAAAACAACACGACCGTGAAGGAAATGGAGGAATGGATGTTTTTCTGAAACGCACCGACGCCGGTCGGTATCTCTCCTCGCTGTTCTTTGAGAAGGATGATAACACGAAATGGATTTTGAATGTGGCGGGTGTTCTGTTTTTGTGCGTGATGTGCGTGTTCGCTCTGGCTGGTTTTGAACACGTTTTTCGAGGAGGAGGAGGAGGAGTTGTTGTAGAGGCGAAGCCACCGGTTTTATCAGAACGAGAAGAAGAAAAAGAAGAAGAAGTTAAAGAAGAAGAAGAGAAAACGACGACGAAAACACTCTCAGTGGAAAGCATACAAAACATGACCGAGGACGAGTTGCGCGTCCTGGAGCTTTCGGTAAAAATGAGAGACGTTTTGAGCAAAGAGAAGAGCAACGCGTTGCGCGAGGCGCGGTTATCGGTGGAGCGAAAACAGTTGGAAGCGAAATTAGCCGGTTTGGATTTGAAGAAAGAATCGAACGAGACGATGAAAACGACGAACGATATGAAGAGGGAGAGTTTGGAGTTTAAGATGAAACTGAACAGAGAGAAGGTGTTTAGGGAGGACGTGGCGGACGCGTTGAGGACGGGATTGGTCGTCGTTTGCGGAGCGCTCGTTTATTTCGGGTGGAACGTCATTCGAGACGCGTGGTTGAACGAGAGCGAGATTTGTTACTCGTCGTCGTCGTCGTCGTCTTCTTCGTTCTCGTTGATTCCTGCGAACCTGGCGTATTTTTTCGCCACGTTTATCAACCGCTTGGAAAAACTGTGGTGCGTCTCCAAAACGTTCGCCAAAGCCGCCATCACCTCGGTCGCGAGTTTATACTGTTCCAAAATAGTCGTCAAATTCGGTCTCCTCTCCGGCACAAACTCCACCGTCTCCCCGCTTTCCTCCATAGCGTTAACTCTCGGCGTCGGCGGAGGGTACCTCGGTCGCAAATTCGTCCGATATTTACGAGGCGACGAGTTTGCGTTTCTCTTTTTGTGGACGACGTATGTTGCTATCGTTTTCCTCGCGAACGAATCCGCCGATCGCCTCGGTCGGGAGATTTTACAGTCCACTTTGAGGAGGGTACTTTTTAGATTTATCGTTGGGTTTCTGGTGCCCATAATCGTCGCCAGCGTGCCGTTTAGAGAAGCGTTCTTCGTTTAGTATACTAGATCAGATAGAAGAAGTGTTGTTGTTATTAGAAGTTTTTGATGAGTTTTTCTCAATTTTTTCAAATTTTCTTCATTTTTTTCCAAGCGCAGACACAACTCTCAGAGATGGTGGTGTTCGAAGCTGAAGCTTTTCCTCCTCCTCGAGAACACCACGACGAAGACAGACCAGATGATGAAGAAGAATCACCATCGTTTATCTCCCGAACGACCACAAAATTGGCGCACGACCTTTCGTCCATTCGTTTACGCGCGTTGCAGTCGTTACATTTTAAAGTGAAATTCAATTTGGTTCCTCTGTTGGAAGTGACTGCGAACGACGCGTTACTGGAGATTCTGATTACGAATCACGCGCTTCTTCTCGAAGATTCTGAAGAAGGAAAACAATTTAGCGGTGGTGGTGGTGGAGAGGTTAATGATGGTTTCGACGAGGACGACAAGAGGAGTAATAGTAATAGTTTTAAAAGGAGTCCAGTGGTGGCGATTTTAACGACAGTCGTTCGAAAATCGACGAAAAGAGAGTTGAAAATTTTCCAAAGAACCATGAGAAAGATCAAAGGCGAAGCGACGTTGCGAAGGATAGCGGCGGATTGCAAACTCATCGAAGGGAAAGAATGGATGAGCGAGGAGATTGATGCATATTTTAAAGCGAAACGGAGAGCGATGGTTATGCAATCGCTTGGGAATGATGATTTTAGTGGCGGCGAGGATGAAGACGAGGATCCGTCGTCGTCGTCGCGGCGCGAAGCCGCAGCGGCGAGTTCGAGGGAAAGTTTCAACGCGAAAGAGGAGGAGATTCGGAGACGGTTGAAAAGATACGAGAACGAGGAGTTGAGAACGTCGACGAGGAGCGAGCAGACGGTGACTGTGAATAAAATTCCGGAAGTTCCGAGGATGGTGAAGTGCGTGAGCTCGGACGGGTCGTTTGGGAGGAAGCTGGTGTCACGAAGACGAGTAAGACGACGGCATATCGACGCCAACGAGGAAAAGAAGAACGAATACGACATTTTACGGAAACGCTTGACGCAATACGAACGGACTCTGAAGACTACGACAAACGTGGACGTTTTAGTGGGAGTTTTGAGAGCTTTAAGGGAGAACATTTTGAACGATTGGGGCGTGCAAGCGTTCGCGCTGGCAAATCCAGAGGGTGGAATTGTGAGATCGGCGTGTGATATTTTAGTATCGTCTTCGAATAGTAATAGTAATAGCGCGGCAGGCGATGATGTAGGAGCGGAAGATTTCTTAAACTTGGACCGTTCGGTGGTTTCTTTAAAGCGAGAGGCGTTGCTGTTCTTAGCAGACGTGGCGTTGGGGTTGAAGTCTGAGTTGTACGAGAATAGAAGCGATGGTCTTGGTCTTAGCGCCACCGCGATAGAGATCTACGACGACGACGACGTACGTTTCGATTACGCCGTGTCCACCCGTCGGCGGGAAGTCATCTTCTCTCAAGGAGGCGAACATCACGCGGGGCGAGATGGTAACGATGTTATGCTCGACGGAGATGAAAAAATGTATTATTATCATTCCGTGCACGCGTTGCCGATTGCGCACGCCATTGCGGAAGCGTTCATCGCTTTGGCGAGATATCCGTCATTATGCGGCGAAACGTGTGAACTCTTTGAACGATGTTTTCTCGAGTGCGATGTTTTGGAGCTCGCTAGTATAGATGCGAACACGAATGGCGCGCATCCGTCTTCACTCGTTCGTTTGAAAGGATATTTACGCGCGTGGAACGTCTCTGGGGCGAGGTCAGTCGGCGACTCTGGCGCGAACGCCTTGTGTTTCATTACGTCTGAGAAACTCGCCAGATTCGCGAAAGGCTTCAGCGTTGTTGTTGGAAAATCAAAGAAGAAGTTCAACACCATAGATGACATCTACGAAGACGCCGACGAGGAAGAGGAAGGCGCTATTTTGCGCGTCAACGACGCGTTAATCGAGAGCTGCGTGGAAGGACTCGACCAATCGGATTCGCACGAAGACGCGCACTGTTTGCTGGACGCCATGTTTATCATGCGAGCGCTCGGCGGAGGCGATTGTTTGCTCAAATCACTCGCGAGTACTCGACAAAGCATAGCTGGCATTTGGGAGCGATTTTTACTGGTCAAACCGAAAACAGTGAAAGATACCGCGCTCTGGTCGCGCATGTTGAGGCTTTTGTGTGGATGTTTGAGTAGCAGTTCTATTTCGGGAGCAGATGTCGAGGAGAAAGAGCACGCGATTCGATTTCTAGCGTACGCCGTTGCAAAAGTAGGCGCGCACGCGTGTCGCCGAGGACTTCTGGATACGAAAAAGTCTCGTGCATACGACCACAACGAAATGGGCGAGAACGTGGATCCAAACATCGTCAGTAAAAATACTGCTGTCGAGGATTCGCGTCCGGTCTGGTTGAAACATCCCATAGCGATCGAAAGAGAGCTCGAGAGAAGCGGCGACGCCAGCGGTGTTCGAAGATTAACGTTTCAAGAAGTTTTGAGAGATGTTTGCGATTGTTTAGAAGCGCTTCTGCGCGTTTCATCGAACGCATCTTTAAATGCCGTCGACGTGTTTGCAAAGTCCGACGAGTTTGCGATGACCTTATCAGACGCCTTGAAAAATCCAAAGAGAAGCGTCGAATACGGCTCGTTGGTCGCATGCTGCGATTCCATCTATGCGTTGGCAGCGATGACGAAACGAACGAGTAAACGAAAGATGCTACACACCGATGCGCTTTGCGAGTCGTGTCTTCCAGAATTGTTGCGCGTCGTTGAACGCACGGCGACGAGTATTGTGACTCACTTCGATAAATCTCGATCGAGTAGTATTTTCGACGACGCGTGCGGTGGAGAATCGTTGTTGGAATCCTCACTTCTCGCAGTCATCGAGGTGTGTGAGAACGCGTCCTCGCCTTCAATATGGGCGGAAAAATTTGACGCGAACTTTGAAAATACTTCAAACATCTTGCTCAGTCTCGTAGCGCGAACAAGTTCGGCGGATTCAGTAGCATCCTCCAAAGCGCCACGATGCGCAGCTCTGATTTTTGATCTGGTCGCCATGTTATCGGCGGCGTTTCTCGACGACAGTCAAAATGCAGCCAAAGCCATCGCTTCGTGTCAGCGCGTCCGAGAAATTGTATTCGCATCAACCTGGTTCGATTGCGCATGCTTGCTTGCCATAGATAAGAGTAACGCATCTATAGCCCGTTATCGCGCCGCCGTGTGCGTCGCGCAGATTCTATCGAGCGTGGCGAAAGATGAAACGTCGCTGTTCGACGCCGAGGTGCCTAGCTTAGATCCAGGTTCTAATCACAACGGCGGTCGCGTCTCGATTATTTCTTTACTCTCGCGACGCAAACTTTGGATTACGTTCGCTCGAATCCTCGAGGAACCCGTAGGCACGGATGCCCTCGTCGCGAGAGGCGTTTCGAGCGCCATGGTTGCGTGCGCGCGCGTCGACGTCGTCACCGCGAAGGAGTCGTTTTCAGAATTCAACATGTGCTTGAAGAATTGGCTTCGGCCGAGGAAGAAGAAAGCCGCGACGGAAGGTGAGGTGCATATGCACAGATGTGCAGCGTCTGCAAACATGTCAAAATTACTCGGTTTATTCATCGTCGGTGAGCGTTTGAACACGGACGATTACGATAGCGATTACGCATTGAAAGCGCGACCGAACAGTCCTCTTTTCTACGCGTTGTTTGATGTTTTGAAATCTGCACAGTCGAGAGGCGCGCGTGCGAAACTTTCTGCTGGCGAGCTCAGGGCAGCGTCGTCGGCAGCGTTAGCCATCGCTGCCATGCTCGACGGAGAGTACAACAACAGTTTATCGGCGGCGGCTGATGACGGCGTGAAGACAAATAATCTGGGAGAGGAGAACGCGCGAGGAGAGTTGTGCGAGGCGACTTGTGCATTGCTCGAAATGTCGCTCGTGACTACGTCTACCGTTTCATCGTCGTCGCAAGGTCTTTTTGCGTTGATTGCGACGATGTTCAGTTGCGAACGAGCGAGCAGAGATGCGTTGACGTTTGATCCCGAGGATGAAGACGACGGTGGCGATGAAATGCCACCGAAAACACCGCCGCTCATCGACATTGAAAACGATGGCCACGAAGAGACTGCAGCAAATGCTTCGAACGAAGGCGCGCATCTACCGATCGGTGCTCGTTTATCTCGCGTTCTTTCGAGAGCTTTTACACCTCGCATTACTCGTGGAGGTATCGACGTTGACTATGTGAAAGAGAATGATTTGTATGTAACCGTCGCGTCTGCGTTTCAAAACGTACTCGCCCACTGCGCGAGTGCAAAGTTTGAAATGATTCGTTCTGGTTCTCTCGAACTCGTCTTGAAGAGAGTGCTGAGCGAAAATATCGACACAGGTGGTATCGCGTTATGCTTGCGCGTTTTGCAGCACGCGAGCTTCTCGGCTGCAACGTTTGATGAAGAAAACGACAACGAAGGAGAAGAAGCGTTAGAAGAAGAGCACGCGTCCTCGATAAAAATTCGAGAAGCAGCTGCGATGGTAAAAAACGCAACGTTGCTGAAATACAACGGCGTTTTGGTCTTTGAGAAGCTCTTCTCGCTTCTTTTTACTCCTGGTCGATCCACCGACTCCGCGCTGACGCTCTCGAATCGGGTCAAAATTGAACTTCGCGACGCCTATCTTGCCGCGGTAACCAATTTCATCCTCGAGTCGGACGAGTTTAAGCGATGCATATGTACTGCATCGAAGAACAGCGGCGAAACGTCCATATTCAACCGCCTCGTTTCTTTGCTGTTTCGCGAAAAGGAGAAAACGACCCGACTTCGCGACCCGTTGAGTTTTGCCGAAGAAAAGTTCATTCCTTCGATTACAATGGCGCGCGGCGTGAAGCTTCTCTCCTCGCTTTCCACGTTCTCGCTGACTCGAGCGCAATTATCTCGCTCCGTGTTCATCGAAAAGTGTTGCGAAATGATTGCTCGTTTCTCCATATCGGGAACAGCGAGCACGAAGAACCGTTCGCGGGTCGATTTGAAAATCGAGTGCGACGCGGCCATCGACGCGCTGTGCGTCCTCTCCGGATCCGACGAGGACGGCGCGAAACTCCTCTTGCGTTCGTGTAAAATCAACATAATCGGCCTACTCGTGGATTGTTACGAACACGCGGACAATATCTTCGACGAAACCGTTCACGACGAGAATGAAATCGACGACGCCGACGACGACGAAAAAGACGAAGATGAAGCAACGCCCTCCTCCTTCCTCCTCACCAAACGCAAACTCCTCCTTCTCTTCCACAACCTCTCCTTCGCCGGCGACGTCGCCAAAGCGCACTTCTGCGCGAAAACGAAATCTCTCGACGTGCTCATCGAGAGCATCGAAAACAGTTTCGACGCGGAATCCGCTTTGCTCGGTTCCGCCGCTCTCCTCTCGCTCGCCCGACGAGGCGCTCGAGTCCTCGCCGCGCTCCGCCGCGGCGACCGAGAGGAACGGTTGCGAAGATGTTCGCGCGTGCTCGGCGAAAGAGTCGCGTTCTTAAACGCCTCCTCTACCTCCTCTCTCTCCTCCTCGAATACATTACACAATCGGAGTGCGAGAAAAGAGAGAAGACGAAGAAAAGAGTTCAAAATGCTCGCCGGCGCTTTGAAACGTTTGCGTGAGATTTTAAAAGCTTTCGAGCACTCCGAATCCTCTCTTTCGTAGAAAAGTATTAATTGACAATCCAATTCAATTCTACATTGCTTCATTTCTTCGCACACGCGTTTATATAATAAACTCTTCCGAAAAGCGGCTCTTTAATCGAGACTTGTTTTTTATCATCTCGAAAAGAGAGAGAGAGAGAGAGATGTTTTCTTGTTCGTGTTCTTGAGAGAGAGAGAGCGAAGAATGGAAGCGACGACGACCCGTTCTCGCGATGATGAGGATGTGAAGGCACCTCATCATCGCGACGACGCTTTGTCGTCAAAGACGAAGAAGCGGGCATTACGAGAAAGAAGAGGAAGAATGCGGTCGATGCTCTCTGTTCTCTTCTGTTGTTTCTTCCTTCTTCTTTTAAGCGTCGTCGATGTCGTCGTCGCGAACGAGAGCAGCAGCGCGACGACGAACAACAACAACGACAACAACAACAAAGATTCACGAGGAGAAGGGACAGAAATCTCCTTCTCGTCTAAAGAGAGGCTGTTCGTGGCCACGCTGGACGGTTCGGTATCCGCGGTGGATTCAAAGACGGGGCAGTTTTTGTGGTCGTTCGAAACCGGGAGCGCGTTAGTGCACGCGTCTTCTTCCTCGTCGTCGTCGTCGAGCGCGAAAGCGAAAGCGAGCGGAGAAGGCGGAGAGGAGGAGAGCGGTGACGGTAAAGGCGGGGATATCGAAGGGAGCGCTTCGAGTAGCAGCGTATTCCCGGGTTTGGATGGATCGTTGTACGTCGCCCGGCGCGGCGTTCGGGGGTCGTCCTCGGCGGCGGATATTTTTAGCGGCGGGAGGAAATTTTCTATTTCTCGCCTTCCGGTGACCACGAGAGATTTAGTCGAAGCGAGTCCGTCGGTGACGAACGATGGAGCGGTGATTGTCGGGACGAGGAAGACGACTGTTTTCGCGGTGGACGCGGAGAGCGGGGAGATTGTGAGGACGTTTGATCCAGAGACAGACGATTTTGAGGATGAATCATCGGTGAGAGGGAACGAGGACGGAGAGGACGGAGAGAACGGTGGGAGGACGATTGTGTTGCTCGGGAGAACGGACTATGCGGTGAAATCTATCGATGCGGTGACGGGGAAGGTGAGATGGAACGTCACACACGGGGACTTACGCCCGGTTGGAGGAGGAGGAGGAGGAGAAGGAGTGGGATATATAGGTGGCAGCGACACTTCGAGTGGTGATAAGTTACGAATTGGGGCGAATAACGCGTTGACTCGAGTGGATGAATCTGGAAATATCGTTTGGACGACGCGAACGTCTTCGATGCCGCTTTCAGTGATCAACGAAAGAGGCGAGAATATATTAGGAACAACTAGTGATAGCGGAAAAAGCGACGAAGGTAGCGCCAACAAAAACAACGACAGTAACGAGGTAACCGTAGGAGCACACGCGGGTGGTTACTTTGCGTTACCAAAAGGTGGCGAAGTAGGTGATCCCGTCGTCGATGGGAGTAGCGGCGCTCTAGTCGTGCCGAAATACGGGGAATCGAGCGCTTTGACGAGCTTCGTCGTCGGCGACAATCCAACCGAAGACGATTGGGCGTGCATGCCGATGGAGCTGAAGAGCATCGTCGAAATGCAAGCGGAAAAAGGCAAGATCGAACAAAGCTTATTACCCGGCGGAAAGGTGAAGGACGAGGAGAATGACACCTCATTCGGTTCAAAGGTTACTTTTGGGCAGTTTTCTTTCATCGCGATGACGGGTACGCTTGTCGTCACGGCGAGTGGAACTGTTTTGTTGAAACTTCTCCTTCAAAGACAGAAAGTAGCGAAGAGCAGCGAATCAGCCGATGACGCTAATACGAATGGCGGCGAACAACAAGAACAACAACAAACTGCGCTCACTCCTTCGCAAAAAAAGAAGATGAAGCGAAAGATGAAAGAACAACGCGAAAAAGAGATGCTCGAATACGCGCAAAACGCAAACGAAACGAGGAGCATAATCGGTTTCCCAGAAGATGGAGAGTCGTCTAGAAGTGCCATGAAAGTTGGACGCTTAATCGTGAAACCGACGGTTCTCGGTTACGGTTCCTGCGGGACGGTGGTGTTTGACGGTGAACTCGACGGTCGATCGGTCGCGGTGAAGCGTTTGTTGGCGCAGTTCCACGAACTCGCTCGGAAAGAGCTCGCCGCGTTGATCGCGAGCGATGAGCACCCGAACATTTTGCGATGTTTTGCCATGGAAGAAGATAAAGATTTCGTGTACGTTGCGTTGGAGCGGTGCGAAACGACGTTACAAGCGCGCGCGACGGAAACGACAAAAACGAGCGACTCCGCACCTCTCTTGGACACGTCTGGCTTTCCAACCAGCGATGGCGTTCGAATTCTTCGCGACGTCGCTGCTGGCTTAAAACAACTGCACTCGCAAGGTATCGTCCATCGCGATTTAAAACCTTCGAATATTCTCATCACTGAGAAAGGACGCGGTAAACTTGCCGATATGGGCGTCGCGAAAAAAGTGAACTTGATCGACGGCACGAGTTTTGAAACGCGCGCGATACTGAACAATAACAACGGTGGAAGTGCCGGTGGTGGTGGCGGTGACGGTACCGCCGGCTGGCAAGCGCCCGAACGTCTTACCAACGGCCGTCAATCGCGTGCCGTGGATATTTTTGCGCTCGGTTGCGTCGTCCATTTCGTTCTTACGAAAGGTAAACACCCGTTTGGGGAAAAGTTCGAGCGGGATTCGCGCGTGTTGCGAGGCGATTACAACGTATCCGCGTTGAACCATCTGCCAGAAGCGAAGGATTTGGTGAGAAAATGTTTAGAAGCAAACCCGGAAGACCGGCCATCCGCGAGAGAGGTTCTCAGACACCCCGCGTGGTGGTCGCGAGAAAAGCGCACGCAGTTCCTATGCGACGTTAGCGACCGCATGGAACTCGAAGACCGCGAACCAGGAGAGCGCATCCTTTTCAAAACTTTGGAGAGAGCTTCTAAATTCGCCATCTCCAACACCGATTGGCGCACGAAAATCGATCCGGCTATGCTCGAAAATCTCGAAAAGTACCGCAAATACGACGGTCGTTCCTTGCGTGACTTACTTCGAGTCATCCGCAACAAATCCGCACACTTCCGCGAACTGCCTCCGCGCATCCAGCGCATCCTCGGCGAACCCCCAGACGCGTTCTACGCCTACTTCGCATCTCGATTTCCCAACCTCCTCTTAGCCGTCCACGAGTTTGCGCGAAAATCCACCCCCATCGTCAACGACCAAATCTTCCTCAAATATTTCGGCGACGAAGAACAACTCCAAGAAGGTAACGAATCCTGGAAAGACTTGAAAAAGCTCGCCAACGACCAAAAGATGAAGAAGGAATCGAAATCGTCATCAAACACCACCACCAACAACAACAACAATACCGAAAACAACAACGAGAACGACAACGACGATTGGGACCTCCCGCCGCAAAACTTCCCGGTGCGTCCAAACGCCATCGACTGCGAGTTTTACGTAAAAACTGGCAAGTGCAAATACGGCGAGACGTGTAAGTTTAATCACCCGCCCGGGTTGCACTACCGACGCGTGTAATAATAGCACATTTATTTAGCTCTTTATATTGCGTTAGTATTCTATTCGTTCCTCAAAAACTCATGAAAGCACAAAGAGCAGACAAAAAATTTCCTCTGTTTTTTCCTCTCTTTATGACTCGATCCTGATCATCGGATTTTGAAATCATCACACGCCACAATATACGCACACTCTTCCTTTCTCTCGAAAACGATCTCTCGTGGAGACGAAGACATTTAAGAAAATGATCGCGCAGCAACACCGAGTCTCGTCGTACGTTTTGTCCTCTTCTTCTTCTTCCTCGTCGAGGAGGAAGAATAACGGACGATCATTTTCATCGTCGTCGTTTTTTTTAAAAAGACGAACAACACCACCAACGAGAAAAGTAACAACCAGAGCGGAAGCGGAGGGAGAATCATCCTCCAAACGAAAAACGACCGGCGCGACGAGAACGGTCGTCGTGACTTCCGGAAAAGGCGGCGTCGGGAAGACGACGAGTTCCGCGAATCTCGGCATGTCCATGGCGCGTCTCGGGTATTCCGTCGCCCTTGTGGATGCTGATATTGGTTTAAGAAATTTGGATTTATTGCTCGGATTGGAAAACCGAGTGGTGTATACCGCGATGGAAGTGTTGGAAGGCGAGTGTCGATTAGAGCAAGCGTTGATTCGAGATAAGAGGTGGAGAAATTTAGCTTTACTGCCGATTTCTAAGAACAGGCAAAGATATAACGTGACCAGAGATAACATGAATACGGTTTTGGATTTGTTGAAGAAGTCGGATTTTGATTTTATTTTCATCGATTGCCCGGCGGGGATCGATTTGGGTTTTATCAATGCCATTTCGAACGCGGAGGAGGCAATCGTGGTGACCACGCCGGAGATTACCGCCATTAGGGATGCGGATAGAGTGGCTGGGTTGTTGGAGGCGAATGGGATTTTGGACGTGAGGTTGTTGGTGAATCGCGTGAGAGCGGACATGATTAAAAATAACGACATGATGAGCGTGAAGGACGTGCAAGAGATGTTGGGGGTGCCTTTATTAGGCGCGATTCCGGAGGATACGGAGGTGATCGTGAGTACGAATCGTGGGGAGCCGCTGGTGTTGAAGAAGAAGTTGACTTTGGCAGGGATCGCGTACGAAAACGCCGCGAGGAGGATCGTCGGGAAGCAAGATTTTCTCATCGATTTGGAGCAACCGAGGAAAGGGGTGTTTCAAAACATCAAGGAGTTTTTCACCGGAGAAGATTACGAGTAAATACAAAACGCTGTTACTATTATGATATCACTACTACTACTGCTACCACTAAACTACTTATATATATGACATACTACACTGTGTTTGCGCCCGCGTTGAAAGCGCAGACGCACGAGTAGAGCGGACCGTTTAACAACTGGGCGACTTCTTCGTGCTTGACCATGCCTAAATTAATGCGATCTATACTGAATTCGGCTCTTAAATTCGTTTCGATACCGCGACCCATACCTATGAGAACGGCCAAGTCGCAATCGAGGCACTCATTCGCGCATGGTTCGCTGATTTCTCGCAAGTCTATCACCGGCAAATCGGAACCGGAGCCGATGCAGGCGAGCTGCCCTGATTCGATCGCTTTTTTAAACACGTTATCTTTGTCATTCATACGAAGTAAAGTCGGAAACACGAGTTCTTCGAGTTCTTTAATCGTAATGTCGTTAATCGACGGCACGTCGTTCGCGCATAAGACAACTTTCGTGCCTCTCTTCAACATCTCTCTCGCGAGCGGCAAGACGCCTAAAATAACATCCGCGCCGGCGTTGTCGACGAAAATGCAACACTTCTCGTGCACTCGTGTTAAATCATTCCATCTTTCCTTTAACGCGTCGAAATTATTCACCACGAACACGTCCGTTTTCGTATCTCGCGTCTCGAAGAACGATTTCGAGATGTCGTCTTCTCCTCCTTTATCTCCGTCGGTAAACAAAGCCTGACTCGCCGCCGCGCCTAAATCGAAAATATTTCCCGCAAACACGCCTTTCACCAGCTCTAATATCCCCGCGTTTTCCTCCTCCAAGCGCTCTAAAACTCTCGGCAACGCCTCCAACGCTTTCATATTCTCCTCTCGCTTCACCGTTCTAAAACAGTCGTAAAATCCAAGCCGTCGTAAACACTCGTCTCTGAAACGACACATGTGAATCACGTTCATCTTCTCGTCTTCGTTCTCGTTCAAATCGTTCAAATACTTCTCAAATCGTTCTCGAAAGACTTCCGATTTCACGTCTGCATCCTCCACTGTTTCGTCCATTTTTGCTCGTTTCGTAAACTCTGGCAACGCCATCCGAAACACGCGTATCCAATCTTGCTTTTTTATCTTTTGCGGATGCAGTTCTCCTGGATTATAAAGAAAGGTCGTCGGTTCGTACGCGTGGATATCTCTCAAGTGCGGGAATGGAACCTTCGTTTTTTTTTTCATCTCGTTTACGTCTGAATCATCTTTCGTCGTCGTTGTTGGCGCAGTAGCAGTCATCCTCCCTTTACGCGGACAGGTGGAGTTTGTCGCGCCGCCGCCTCGCGCGAAGGAGTTCGCGTGCGCACACCACCGAGTCGTAAGAGGAGTAGTTTTTGTCGTTCTTTTTCCCGACAGCCGAAAGAAGCCAAACATACATGCATTTAGGGTTGCAAAATCTTGAAAATCTTCGTCGCGCTCTCTCGTTTTATGCTGCAGCGGAAAAAATCTCTCAATCGCGATTTCTCTGTTTTCCTTTCCACTTCGTAGGAACGTCATATATTGCACGCTTAACCATAAATAAGAATGTTTGCCTTGCACGCACAATCGTTCGCGGTTTCCGCCAGGTAAATACGTTTCGTTTATTTCGCATCATCCGATCGTTTTGTTTTTGGATTTCTAAGTAGTATAAGCGCGATTTGATTTCCTTTCCTTTTTTTTGTCTCAGAGAGAGAATGGATCTTTTAGTACCAAAAGAGAGGTTGGTTTGTTGGTTTCCGGTGCAAATTGAAGCAAAAATAATTAAAAAATCGGCCGCGAAAAACTCACACCTTTTACTCTCTCCCCTTTTCAACGTACAGGAACACCACCATTAACAGAAAACAAACGTCCAAGAGAGCGTCTTTGAAAGTTAGAGCGGAGGTACGGATGATTTTTTCGCTCGCGAGGAGTAGAAGCGCCGCGTTTTTCGATTCTCATTCTTTCGTGCTCGGGCGATATATTTCCGGGCGTATCAGAACGAGCCGGATTTTTTTTTTTGAGAGGCTGTTTTTTCCTTGTTTTTGCCCGTGATGATGAGCCTCCTATGTAATAGTGTTTCTTTGGAGTTCTCGCGCTGACCTTTTTTTCTCTTCTCGTTTCTTAAAAACAGGGTGAAGCTGCCCCGGCGCCTGAAAAGAAGGCGGAAGTGCCGCAAATCGGCCCGCCGAGAGGTTCCAAGGTGAAAATCTTGCGCCCGGAATCGTACTGGTTCAACGACTACGGCAAAGTGATTTCGGTCGACCAATCCGGCGTTAGATATCCGGTGGTCGTGAGATTCGAGAAGGTCAACTACGCCGGCGTCTCGACGAACAACTACGCTTTGGACGAGATTGAGTATTAATTCAATCAAAATCTAATGCTAATAATATATATTAAAAATGGAGAAAAGAGAGGAAAAGGAAAGAGAGAAAAAGAGAGAGAGAGAGAGAGGCTGTATTTAGTTTCAAACGCAACATCAGCAAGATTGTATTCGAACGGAAGGGTGAAAGAAAGAGAGAGAAAGAGGTAGAGAGAGGCGGAAATACCGTCCACCCAGAAATTTTTGAACGTCTTGTTTAGCTCGTAGTAAAGTCGGCGAAAAGTATAACAACTAAGTGCTGTGGTTGTAATAAAAAACGAACGTTTTGTATAACCGCATCATCCATATTTAAGCTTCCTCACTTTTCTCTCTTTCTCTCCTTTCTCGAGAAAAACGACGAGAATGAGGGGCGGCTCTCACCGCCCCCGTCGTCCTCGCGATTGGCACCAACAATCGTCGAGGTCGTCCTCGCGAGGAGACGATATGAACAATTTGGTGGTAGACTTGGACGACCCGACCGTAAAACTCTGGGGTCGGTTAGCCGTCTACGCGCTCGTGTTTCTCGCGCCCGGGTACGCAAATTCTGTTTGCGATGAGAGATTTTCCAATCAATACTATCATCCGTTTCTTCGTTTCTCTCTGACTCTCTGACTCTCTCTCTCTCTCTCTCTCTCTCTCTCTGCACGTACGCGTGCTTATAGGTTACTGTTGTTCGCGTTACCGTCGATTCGACTGGGTGGGAACATACAACTTCAACAGCAGCCACGAAAAGCTTTAGAGCAGCAACACCAACACCAACACCGCTGGTGGCAACACGACGAGAAACAGAACGAAAACGACGAACGAGGAGGAATAGATGCAATAGCGGACGATTTAGACGTAGACGCGCTGTTTGAATTAGAAGAAGTGAAACCGCACGAAATGGTTGAAGAGCATCAAACGTCGTCGCGGGGCGACCGGGAGCACGCGCGCGCGCCGTCGATGGAAGGCGACGACGAAGAGGAAGAGAGGGAAGCGTTTGAAGCGACCGAAGGGGGTGGCAGTAGGAGTAGTAATAGTAAAAGAAGAGTTGATAGTGTAGACGATGACAACGTAACAGAGAATAAAGACGCCATAGGAGCTGGAGGAGAGGAAGAGGAGGATAAGTTGGAGAATTTAGACATGTCCTGGAGCGAGAAGGAGGAGCACGAGAACGCGATTAGAGAAGAGGAGGGAAACGCCGCAAAGGGGAGTAGTAGTAAGTACAGCGATAACGATGATGATGCGTTAGACGCAATCAGCGCGGAATCGTCGGCATCGCAAGCGAGAATTAAGAAATTGAAGCAATTGATTAAACCAAGGAAGATGCGCGTGTTTCTTTCCTTGAAAGCTATAAATCCCGGGTGCCGCTATTTATCCGAAGGCCTCGGGAACGTCGAACGAAGTGATCTTCAAGGGAACGGGTACGGAAAATTAGTCACGGATCCTTCTCAGTTATATACCGTTGGAAGTAGTGGTAGTACTAATAACGGTTTAGGAGTCTCCGTGCAGCAGCAAAAGCAAACGATAATTTACGACGGAAACGGAGAGCCGATGACGAAAAAGCCATCCGGCGCGTCCGTCGCGAAAGAAATCGCCTCCAACGCGGGCAGTGGCGGGCTGAGAAAACTCCTCTCTTCCGACGACAACACGAACATTTCTCCGGACGAGGAAGCCGCAAACGCTCGAATCAGTCCAAATAAGTGTCGCGTTCGCTGGTCCACGGGCCGAGACGGCAAGGAAATGTCCACGACACCGATGGAGTTTAAAATGCTCCACGTTGCTCGCAAACAAGCGTTAGAGCTCGAAACGCAATTCCTTCCTCGTCTCCCTCACCGAGATTACGACCAAACGTATAAAACCTGCGCAGTTGTTGCCAACGGAGGCGTCCACCTCCGAGCGCAAAAAGGCAAGGAAATCGACGAGCACGAAGCCGTCTTTCGCATCAACTACGCCCCAGTTTCCGGAAAGTCGTCCGCCACCAACAAAGACTTCTCCAAGCACGTCGGTTCTCGAACAACCTTCGACGTCGTCAATCGTCCAAACTCGGACGCGCTTCTTCGCGGCGCGCACACTTGGCGTAAAGCGGAAAGACAACCTGGCCAATCTGGATTCGCGGGTAAAAACACTCCGGGCAAAACCCGCCGCGTCGCTGCGTTAATCCTCGGCGAACCTCTCATCCGCGATGCTCGCCGAGAACAGTTTTTGCCGCTCATGCGCGCCAACAAAGACAAGGAAATCTACCTCACCACGCCCGAAACGACGTACACGTTTCGCTACGTCTGGCACGAGTTGAAAAAAATCGTCGAAGCTCGCAACCCGGGCAGCAAATACAACGACAAACCGATGACCGGTTGGACTACGGTCATGCTCGCCGTCCAACTCTGCGAAAACGTCTCCTTATACGGTTTCCAACCGTTTAAAGGTGACTCCAAAGACGATCGGTACCACTACTTCGACCGAGTCACCGCGAGCTTAAAAGTGCACTCGTTCGATTTAGCGTTTGAAGTGTTCAAGTTGTTGCGAGGTTTCAACGTCACGTTGATCGATCCCGAGCACGACGGCGATTTCGGGAAACGGATTCAATAGTCATCGTTATGACGCGTAGCTTTAGATATGGATAGATTCTAACCAATTTTAGCCTCATTATTATCATCATCGTCGTCGTCGCGTTGTTGTTCTTTATGGTGCGAGATTTTTTCTTCTTCTTTCAACTGTTTCAGAAAAAGATCGAAGAAATTTTTCCTCACTTTCCTTTCGCTTTTGCGTTCACGAAGTCATCCATCGCGACAAAGTCAGAGGAATAGGGTTAAAATCCTCTGCGTCGCGATAGTTGGGATACTACTACCACTGTTAAAGAGAGAAGAAAGATTGCTTCGTCGTTTACTTAAACATGGTCCAAATCCGAGAAGGGTCAAATCCTCCTCCACCGCAGGTCTCATCACGCCGCCAAAATGACACAAACGTGTTATGCAAACCGATACAACCGAACACAAATAACAACAACAACAATCCACCACCGATGCATCATCAACGAACTCGTAACCACCACGACGTGAACCACGAGGACGATAAGAAAATCGAAACCTCCAAGGAGTCTTTCGTGAAAGCGAACGCGCCGAGACGAATAAAAAAAGTCACTTTTTCGACGATGTCTGGGAGCGAAATCGCGAGAGCGGGCGTTTTACACGTCACGGAAAGGACTTTGTACACACCAACGGAACGCATGCCGTTAGAAGGAGGAATATTAGACCCGAGATTAGGGACGACGAATAAGTCACAGCCGGAGTGTCAGACGTGTAAAGGGAAGATTATGGATTGCAGCGGCCACTTCGGGTATTTGAAGTTGGAGTTGCCGGTGTTTCACGTCGGGTATTTTAAAGCCATCGTGCATTGTTTGCAGTGCGTGTGTAAGGAGTGCTCGTGTTTGTTAATGAAGGAAGAAGAGCAGGAAGAGATGTTGACGAAGTTACGGTCGAGGGAGAAGAAAATTGGAGGCGTCGACCACGCGTACAGACGGGTGATGTTTAAGAAATTGTTGGAGAAGTGCAAAAGGACAAAGGTGTGCTTTCAGTGCGAAGCGGTGAACGGGCCGGTAAAACGTGCGGGACAAAACCTGAAGATTATTCACGAAAAGTATACGAGCAACAAAGCCGAACAGGAGAAAAGAGAGAGAGCGTTTGAAGAGGCTATGAAACACAACGACCAGTTGAGACAACACATCTCGAGAGCGCAGGACGATTTGAACCCGATTCGAGTGTTGCAAATTTTTAAAAGAATCGCTGAAAAGGATTTGAGTTTGTTAGATTTAGCACAGAGACCGGAGAACATGGTCATCACGCACTTGAGCGTACCACCGTGCTGTATTCGACCGTCCGTAGAGTTGGACGGACAAGCCGGGAGCACGGAGGATGATATTTCCATGAAATTGGTACAGATTATTGAGATTAATAACGTGTTGAGGCAAGGGTTGGAACGAGGATTAGCGGTGACAAACATGATGGAAAACTGGGAGTTTTTGCAGATTCAGTTCGCGATGTACATTAATTCAGAGTTGCCCGGGATATCGAGTCAATATCAGAGTCCCGGGAAACCGTTGAGAGGCTTCGTGCAACGCTTGAAGGGAAAACAGGGACGGTTTCGCGGTAATTTGTCCGGGAAAAGAGTTGATTTCACCGCGAGAACGGTCATATCTCCCGATCCAAACTTACGAATCGACGAGGTAGGTTTGCCACAACACATCGCGATGCAGTTGACGTACCCAGAAACGGTAAATAACAACAACATCGCCGAGTTGAGACAGTTGATAATCAACGGCGAAGGAAAATGGCCGGGTGCGAATTTCGTGAAGTCTAAGCAGTCCGGGCATTTTTCGGCTCAATATTTGAAATACGGCGATAGAAATCGAGTCGCGAAAAAGTTAAAACCGGGAGACATCGTCGAGCGGCACGTGCGTGATGGCGACATCGTTCTTTTCAATCGCCAACCGTCTTTGCACAAGATGAGCATCATGGCACACCGAGCGAAAGTCATGCCATGGCGCACGTTACGATTTAACGAGTGCGTCTGTGCGCCATACAACGCCGATTTCGACGGCGATGAGATGAACATTCACTTGCCGCAAACGGAAGAAGCGAGAGCGGAAGCGATCAGTCTCATGGGTGTGACGCAAAATCTGTGCACGCCCAAAAACGGTGAAATTTTAATCGCCGCGACGCAAGATTTCTTAACTGCCTCGTTCTTATTAACCTCCAAAGAAGTGTTCTTTGACCGCTCGCAATTTGGACAATTAGCCGCGTACATGTCAGATGCGTTAGAATCAATCGATTTACCGTCGCCAGCGATTGTAAAACCGATTGAAATGTGGACTGGAAAACAAATCTTTTCCGTTTTGATTCGACCACGCATGCGAGATCAGATTTTCGTCAACTTGGAAGTCTCCGAAAAGGCGTACACAAAAGTGAACCAGCAAATGTGCTCGAACGATGGATATGTTTGCATCCAAAACTCGGAAATTATTTCTGGCCAGTTAGGAAAAGCAACTTTAGGCGGTGGAAACAAGACGGGTCTGTTTTACGTCTTGAACTCCGATTACGGCGCCGACGTGGCTGCAAACGCCATGAACCGTCTCGCTAAACTAGCCGCGCGATGGATAGGTATTCGCGGCTTTTCCATCGGTATAGACGACGTGAAACCGTCTCCTGAATTAGAACGAGAGAAACAAAATCGAGTCGATTCTGGCTACGCCAAGTGCGACGAACGCATCGCGAGCTTCGAGAAAGGTACGTTGGATTTACAACCCGGGTGTAACGCCGAACAGACTTTAGAGGCGGAAGTTTTAGGCGTGCTGTCTGCCGTTCGCGAAGCGGCCGGGAACGCGTGTTTAGACGCGTTACCAAAACTAAACTCGCCTTTAGTCATGGCATTGTGTGGTTCCAAAGGGTCTACAATTAACATCTCGCAAATGATGGCGTGTGTCGGCCAACAGGCGGTTGGAGGCACGCGCCCGCCGGATGGCTTTTTCGAACGTTCTTTGCCGCACTTTAAGCGCGGCGAAAAAACGCCCGCGGCAAAAGGATTCGTCGCGAACTCTTTCTACTCTGGTTTACTTCCAACTGAGTTTTTCTTCCACACGATGGCTGGGAGAGAAGGTTTAGTCGACACCGCGGTGAAAACCGCCGAAACCGGGTACATGTCCAGACGCTTGATGAAAGCGTTGGAGGATTTGAGTTTAGGCTACGATGGGACGGTTCGAAACAGCAGCGGAGATATCGTCCAGTTAGAGTACGGGGACGACGGGATGGAACCAACGTTGATGGAAGGTTCAGAAGGCGAACCTGTAGAGTTGGAACGCCTCATGTTGAGAGCGAAAGGTTTGATTCCTCAGCGAAAACATCCATACGAAGAGAATCCTACACAGACGCCGCCGACGACAAAAAACGGTAGAAAGAACGGTAAAAACGGAGTACACGCGACGACCACACCCGCTGTAAAGTTGGAAGGTAAAGATAAACTCATACTCACTACTGAAGATGCGAACGTTATACTCGAAAAGCGAGGTTTTGGCGAGAAGGATTTACCCGAAGACGACGAAGACGAACGCCTTCGCGCGGGATTACAATACAGCAAAGATAAAATTTCGTACCGTTTCAAGCAATCCGTCCGAGACTATATCTCGTCGCCAAAAGTGCTCGAGCAAAAACTTTCCACGAGACGCGTGGATGCGTTTCTCAAGGCGTGCGTGCAAAAGTATAAATCGAAACGCATCGAACCGGGCACGGCGGTGGGCGCTGTCGGTGCGCAATCTATCGGCGAACCCGGGACACAAATGACGTTAAAAACCTTTCATTTTGCCGGCGTTGCGTCGATGAACATCACGTTGGGTGTGCCTCGTATCAAAGAGATTATCAACGCGACGAAGAATATCTCCACGCCGATCATTACAGCTAAGTTGATTTCGGACAAGGACGTGAAAGCGGCACGGTTGGTGAAAGGACGAATGGAGAAAACGATGCTTGGCGAAATTTGCGAAACTATTTCGGTCGTTTTGCGTCCGTCCGGAGCGTACCTTGAATTCGTACTCGACGAAAAGGCGATCGCTTCACTACAATTGGACGTGACTGCTGAGTCCGCGAGAGAGGCCATATTAGCCGCGCCGAAATTGAAACTGAAAGACCACAACGTCGTCCTCGCCGGGAACCGCGCGATACACGTGATACCTCCTGACGAGAAAGCATCTTCGAAAGATCCTACTGGTAAGAGAGCCATAATCAACGTTTTACAATCATTGCGAACGGCCGTACCAAAAGTCATAGTTCGCGGTTTGTCTTCCGTCACTCGCGCGGTAATTAACAAAGGCGGCATGAGCTCGAAGGACGACAAGGATTCGTTCAATTTGATCGTCGAAGGCACGAACCTTCTCGACGTCATGTCTATCGATGGTGTCGTCGGCGAAGAGACGACGACAAACCACATCATGGAAGCCGAAAGGTCCTTAGGTATCGAAGCTGCGCGTTCTTGCGTGATCAAAGAAATCAACGATACGATGAAGGCCCACGGCATGTCCATCGATTCTCGACATTCGATGTTATTAGCTGACGTGATGACGTATAAGGGAGAAGTTTTGGGCATCACCAGATTTGGGATGGCTAAGATGAAAGAGTCCGTACTCATGCTCGCCTCGTTCGAGAAAACCACGGATCACTTGTTTGAGGCGGCTCTGAGGGGCCGCACGGATCAAATCGACGGCGTTTCCGAGTGCATCATCATGGGCGTTCCCATGCCGATTGGTACCGGCATGTTCAAATTGAAACAGCGGAACGTGGATTTGAAAGTGACCAAGTTGGATCGAGTCATCAACGTAGATGAAGACGATGATGATGATGATGACGACGAGAATGAACATTTGCGACTCGAGCGATCTCAGTACGACGAAGAAGTCGAGCACGAGCACTTCATAAGTGAGATCGAATACACCGAGATTCGTGAGCTTCCGAAACGACCACCTTTATTGTTAGAGTAGCGCAATATATGTAACAACGATTAATACCTGGTACTGAATACACGAATATAATCACCTAAAGCTATACACACACACACGCACACACACACACACACACACACGCGCGCGCGGGGCTACTTATACATTTATATTCAATGAAACTTCTTGATTAACTTTGCCAAAATAGAAGCCGCGTCTTTCATATCGGACAAAAGGCAATGTTCGTCGTCGGCGTGATACGTGCTCATCAAACCAAAACCAATCAGTTGAATATCAAACCCGGCGGATTTCAAATCGTGTACCAGCGGTAGACTCCCCGTCAATGAATACGGCTCTGCTTTTCCTTTCACCTCTTGAATCGAATCGCACATCTTCGTAAACGCCGGAGACGTTAAATCGCACGCGATGCCAGTCAATAAATGTTCGCCCCATTCGATGGACAACTTACCGACTATTTTCTCGCCGCCACTTGGATTTTTCGGATCGTCGATGATGAACTTAGACCACGGACCTCTCGTGGGTAACTCGCCAACTTTTTTATTCATCTCCTCCACCGTTTGTTCCAAAAACGATTTCACCTCCTCCACGTCGTAAAACGGAGTCAAACGAATGTCTCCGGAAACCGTCGCGTCTGGAGGAATCTGATTCAATCCGCCCGGTGCGCAGCGAATCTGCGTCGGTTTCATCGTCGAACTCGTGATAAACTTATACTCTTTCTCTAAATCGCAAGGCGGGAACTTTGTGTAAAACTCCTGCTGCAACTTTGTCGTTGCTTCCATCGCCAACTCGATCGCGTTGATGCCTTTATGCGGCAAACCCGAATGAAACCTGTGCCCTTGACACTTCAAATCCCAAGTAATCGCCCCGGCGGTACCAATGCACGGCTGCGAATCCGCACAATCCACCCAAACTACCGGCCCGCTTTTACAATGATCCAATTCCCCATTCTCCACTAACCCATCCACGCCAATCCCGGGCCCGTTGGCCTCCTCGCTGGCGATGAACACGCACGACAAACTCGTATTCAACTCAAACCCGTCGATTTCGCTCAACTGCGTAAACAACGTCGTCATCAACGCCACGTGCCCTAAACAATCCGTCGTCCCTCTCCCGTATAACTTATCTCCGTCGATGGTCAGTTTAAACGGATCCACGTTCCAACTCTCCGGATCCGCCGGCACGACGTCCAAGTGCGACCCGACAAACGACAGCTGTTCTGAGCCTTTTCCAGGTAATCGAATGATAACGTTGCTTCGTCCGGGAACGTACGTCTTCCTCTCCACGATCAGCTTCCCGCCGTTCTCCACTTTAAAAGGGTCCAAACACTTCAAAACGTGAGCGACCACTCGGTCTTCTTCCGGGACGAACGCGGTACCAACTCCGGTGTTTTGGACAAAACGTGACTCCCCGATGAGCTTTTCGAGCAACTCGAGGAAGCGAGACTCGTTCAGTTGGAGCGCGTCAAGAGCGAGCTCCGTGTCCGTGGTTGTAGACGACGACATCGAAAGGGTTGTCTTTTTATTAGTATTACTCTTCCTCCTCTTTCCGTGAAGAAAACGGGAGGTGGTGTGCTTCGTGTTCTGTTTGGGGGTGAAGGCGAGAGAAAGGCGAGAGAACGAGCGCAAGGGAACCATGGAAAAGTGAGGAAATGTGATGGATTCCGCACGAGTGTGTGCTTGCTGCTTCTACTAAAACTAAAACTAAAACTAAAGTATTCAAGAAGATTAACAATACTTCGGAGGATTCAAATCGTTCCCTTTCGGCGCGTACGTGAAGACGTGTTCGATTTCAAAGTTGCCGCCGCCGGATTCATCGAACACAGCGGAAGAAGAAGAAGAAGAAGAAGCGCTCACTATGTTCCCGTCACCATCGAGTGGAACACCGTGCGCGCCCCAGAAGCTTCTCGAACTTTTCGGGAACTGTAAACCGCGTTTACCTAACGCAAATCCTAACGCGAGTGCGGCGGAGCACTCGCTATCGCCGGCGTCGTAAACGAACGCGCACCGGACGCGTTTGCCGTTGCGAGCGAATTCGTGTCGGTCTCGCGCGTTGATCGCGCGAAGATAATCGAGTAACTCGTCGTCATCCGTGTTGGCTTTGTACGCTTGGGAGATCGAGAAGGATTCGTAATCTAAAACGTCCGATAATGGGAGCGCGTCTAAGAGCGCGTGGGCAAAGTGATCGTCGTCGTCGTTCGCGTTGGCATTTTTCTTGTGCAACAGAACCGGAATGCAATCCGACCACAACGCCAACGCGATGTTTTTTGTCCAATGATTTCTCTCGTCTATGTCTTCATCACCTTCCGCGTCGTTTGGTACGATAACCACGCAAAATGACGCTCTAAATCGCATGTCTTCTACATCGGATACCTTGTGAATCCTCCGTAAACGCTTCGCCTCATCGTCGTCCCCTAATACGCTAATCAACGCGTGCGATTGTCTCTTCGATTTCAACTTTTCCGCTGTTTCGTCGTTTTTCCTTGCCTCGGACTCGGAAAACGCGTCTGGAATCACCACTTCTCGAAAAACGTCCGTCGTTTGCCCTCGCACGTCTCTCGACGCTCTCAAAAACAAGCAATTCGCGCAGTGCGCTCGCCAATTCGGAAACACCGCATCCATTCCTACTCTTGGCGCCACGAACACGTGATCTAACCCACCGCTCATTTGGAATCGCCCGAGTCGTTTCAACACGTCCACGTAATACCCCTCAATCGTCTTCTCGTCCAACTTCTTCTGCGTCCTCAAACACTCCGGATACGCCGGAACGAAAAAGTGCGTCGCCTCGCTCTTCTCGCTCGTTCTTAACTGCGTCGAGTACAAAAACATCCGGTGTAACAGCTGCTCTGATTCCACCCTTTCGCAATCTTTCGGCGCTAACTTTGCGATTTCGGATATCTCTCGCGACGAGTACACGTACACCTTCGTGTTTGCCAGCGAAAACTGCTTCTGTTCTTCCTCCTCTTCCTCCTCTGATTTGCTCACACTCAAACCCTCCTGTTGATTATGAGGACGATGATGAAAGCTCTCCTCTCCTCGCGCCATGCTCAGCGCGTACTCGTGAGGACTCTTTTGCAAAAACTGGTGGTGCGTATGGTGCGTTCCGAACGCGTATAAAGGTTCTCGCCCGTATTCATCGTTTAAGTGCCGCCCTCGAGATGATGATTTCCCGAAGAAGAGAACTCTGAACGCGAGGGAAAAGAAGAGGAAAACGATGCAACAAATAGCACGTTTGGTGTGCTTGCGCTTCTCTCGGTGAGAGAGGGAAGTGCGCGAGAACGGGGGTTTTGGAGGCATTGTTGCGAGGCAACCAACGCGCGAGAGTATGCGCGTTGTTGTGTGTATGTGTGTGTTACTTTTTATGCGCGTTTTTGAAGTGAAGATTAGATTTGTGTGTGAAGTCTTTCTCTTGAAAGAAGCCAGAAACTGCGCACGACGCGAACACGTCTACTCTTCGTTCTCTCTAATGTATATCTATATCTACATATACTACTTTATTCTAAATATCAATCGATCTCGATTTCATTAAATTTAACACGGTCCCCACCGATGCTCTCACCCATAGCTCGCGCGTGCGCCTCTTGGTTGTACCAGTTTTGGGCGTCGTTGACGCGCGAGCGAAACTGCGCCTCGGCTTCTATCCTGCTTAGTTTCGGGATTAGAGATTTCATCTTAGAAATCCACTTGGAGACTTTTTGTAAAGCTGGATCGCCTTCATTGGCGGCATCGAATGTGTTGGCGGATACGCCACCGTTGAGGACACAATCGGCAAAATCCCACAGGCGGACGAATTGCCAGACGTCGTCCGGGTTGTTGAACTCTGGATTGCGAGAGGAGAATAAGGCGTCGCCGACGAGTGCTCGCGCGGCGAGGTCTCTCGAACATTCAAAAGAGACTCGGAAGGCTTCGACGTCTACGCTAGCGTCTACTGGGGAAATGGTAGAGGGAAGAGGTACATCTTCCTCGCTTTCATCATCGCTTTCATCCTCATCGTTTTGTCTTTTTCTCGTCAGCGGAGGACCGCGTTCGATGCGCTTGAGGCATCCGCGAAATCCGTACAAGGCTAAACCGTCGCGAATATACGCGGAAAACGTATCACGGACTGGGAACCACCTCAAGATGAAGGTGACAGCGGGTAAAGAGCTGTCGTTACTGACGGCATTCGCGAGCTTTTGCGATAACTTCATGGAGAATTGCTTCTTACTCGCCGCGTCGATGGTATTACACGAAGAAACGCAACGCAAGATACTTTTCACGCACGCATCAAAACACGCGCCCGAGGCATCCGAGCGCGGATCGAGTCGAATTTTGGCGATAAGTTTTATAATTTCTGCGCATCCATCTGCGTCAAACTTTTCGCTCTTCGCGTGTGTCAACGGCGCTTCATCTTGAAGGTAATTGTAATCGCACAGAGCGCGAATGGCGCTCACGACGCCCAAGACGTTGACGGAAACGTCCGGGCGTTCCTCGTACACCGTCCCTTTCGACTCTTTCTTTTTATTTTTCTTCTTGCTCCGTGTTGGTTTCACCATCAAATCGTACTCGGATGCCGGGAACGAGTCGTCGATGCCAACTTTCTTGAGCGCATTTAAAGCGTCTTGCGACGACCAAGTTCCGGAAATTTTAGCATTAGGGGTTTCCGCGAGCGTTGTTATTTTGCTACATTCGACATCCAACACGATGACGACATCGTCCGCCTTCTTTTTCGAGTTCTTAATTGGCGTGGAGCTGTTACGACTAACACTGCTGCGCCTCTTCTGCCTCCAGGATCGCTCTGACTTTGCGACGGCTAACACCGCTTCGAAGGAGGTGTTCGTGAGCGTATCCATGTTATCACCGTACCACGATCCAATTATACTCTCCCCGCCGTTTCCTCCCTGCCGTTCGTTTTCGTACAGCGCGAAAATCAAAGCATCTCTCGCCGCAAAAACAATCTCTTTGTTCTTCGAAGTGTGTGTTATTACGTTTAACAACCATGGAAAAAGTGCATTCGGATCGTCGCACATTTTACTCTTCTCGGCGTATCTCAACCACCTACCCAACAAAAGTTCCGCGCATAAATTCATGTGTTCGCTCCTGTTCTCCGCTCGTTGCATAAACGCTTTACATACCGGACCATCCGGAAATAACTCAAACGGCTTCTCTTCGAAATTATCAATCTCGTAAACTCCTCCACCTTCCACACTCGCCGTACTTTTCTTCATCAGCGCTTTACTCGCAATCGTCTTCATCCTCCCCTTCGGCTCCGGCCTCATGTCCAACTCTTGATGCAACTTATCCGCCTTCTCCTTGTCAAGAGCTTGTTTGAATAATTTATCCGTTTCCTTATCCTCTTCCTCGTACATTTCCTCCACCTCTTCATCCTCTTTCTCTTGTTGCTCGTGCTTTGCAACCATGCTCTCCTCCATCTCGCGTTGCTTCCTCTCCTTCTCGTGTTCCTCCGCGTTCTTCTTAAGCAGCTCGGCGAAAGTGAGTTGCTTCTTGCTCTTAGTATTTTGTCGCTTCGTACTGTTCGTGTTTTCATCTCCGGACACCTTTTCGTCGTCGTTCGAACCACCACTATTACCACCGCTCTTTCGTTTCCGAGTCGAACCGTTCCCATCCATTTTCATCTTCGCTTCGACCTTTTCGAACGTATCTTTATTGTTCGAGAAGAGCAATTTCAAAGACGCATCATTTTCCGACTCGCTCTCTTCTTCGTTTCGTTTTATTCCTGTTTTTTTCTCCCTCTTCTTCTTCCGAATCGTCGTCGCGTCGTCCTCGCTGTTGCTAATCGCGCCAGACGTCGTCGGCGTCTCCTCCACGTTCTCTCTTTCCTCGTGAACGTCAATCTTCTTCTTCTTCTTCTTTTCGTCCGATTTTCGTACCGTCGTCGTATTTTTCTTCCTCCTCGAATTGAACAACAAATCCTCCTCCAAATCGGAACTCTCGCTCAAACCGTCCGGAAGTTCGTCTAACTGCATTTTTGTCTTCTTTTTTGCCTTGGAAACCATTCTTTTTACCTCCTCCGATCAAAAGCGCGCGCTGCTACTAATGAGGTATTCGCGAGCGATTTTTAAAAATTTGTTTTTCTCGTGTGGGAATTTAATTGGACGCCACCAAAGCAAAAAAAAAACCACTGCCTTGTTTTGGATAAAGCGAGAGACGACACAACTACAAAAGAGCGACACAGATGTTCAGACACGCCTCGTGCACTTCTCAAAAGATGTTCCTTTTTAGAAACGTTCCTAACGTCGCTGCTTTTTCTGCTCGCGCTACTCGGAGCAAGAGCAGCACTACCACTGCTTTTCACGCGAGGAAGACGACGATCGTTGTCAGAGCGATGTCTGCGGATGCCGGTCCGAGGGATTTGATCGATTTAAGAGTGGGAAAAGTGACGAAATGTACGGTGCATCCAGACGCGGATAAACTGTACGTCGAAGAGATTGATTTACGAGAAGCGGAAGGGCCGAGGACGATTTGCAGCGGGTTAGTTCCGTTCATGAAAGAAGAAGATATCTTGGGGAAAAATGTCATAGTGGTGGCAAACTTGAAGGCGAGGAATATGCAAGGGGTGAAGTCGCACGGCATGTTATTAGCGGCCTCGAACGAGACGCACGATAAGGTGGAGTTGTTAGTTGCGCCGGAAAATGCAAAGTTAGGGTCGCGAGTTGTTTTCGGCGACGCGGCGTTTAACGGCGAACCGGCGAGCGCGAACCAGGTGCAAAAGAAGAAGTATTGGGAGGCGTTTGGACCGGAGTTAGTTACGAACGGGGAGATGGAAGCGAGTTGGAAGGAAGACGGGGCTGTCATGCGCGTAGAGTTGGAGGGTGAAGAAGGCGACGAAGGCCCGACGTTTGGGTCTGTCAAGTGTGAGTCGCTGACGAACGCCTTGGTCGGTTAAAAGAAGTATTTCGAGGAGCGCCGCCAAGCAGTAGGTGATTCGCTTTCGCGAGTCGGCGACGCTTTGATGACTTTTAGGAACAACAACAATAACAACAAGAAAATATCCGCGCGAAATACAAGATCAGTGTAGTGTTACTGCTCTTTCCCTCTATATAATCAAATCAAACCGCACGTTATGCACACTCTACATACTACTAAACTTTGGGCGCGAAACACCAACTTACTTTACCCCGGCCCAACTTTTGGAATGTCGTGATGTTCGCTCAATCTCCCCAACTTCTCGTTAAACAGCCTCACCTTATCCTTGTGACTTAACTCCGCGTGCTCCAATATTCTCTTCTTGCGTTGTTGTCGACTTCGTTCCTCGTGCGCTTTTTCCGCGTCCGTTCTCGTGTCCAACTTGTTGTTGTTCTCGTCCTCCTTCTTTTCCCGACTGCTTGTCCGCTTCTGAAAATGCTCGTCGTCGTCTGAATCGTCGTCTTCGTTCAACTCGACGTATTTTCGCTTCCTCGTCTCGTCGTCATCCTTGTTCTTCTTCTTCTTCTTTTTCTTCTTCTTCTTCTCCCTTTTCTCTATCGCGGCGCCTTTCAGTTTCAGCTTGCCGCCAACCACGTTCTCGAATCCCATCTTGTGCGGTTCGTGACGCGTTCTTCCGGAGACCAAAGGGCTAAAACCTACACCCTAAATTCCAAAAGAAAGAAGAAAAAATTCGACGCCTTCTTGATCCGTTCTCTCTCTCTCTCTCTCTCTTCATCACTTTCCACACGCGCTTTCACACAACAAAAGCGCACACAAAAAAATAAAGGAGTAAAATGACTTCCAGCGGCATCGAGCTGCGCATCGGGAACAAGTACCGCGTCGGGCGAAAGATAGGAAGCGGGTCTTTCGGGGATATATATTTAGGTGAGAAGAGAAAGAAAGAGATTTTTTTTTTTTCCCAAGCACAGCTTGTGTGTTGTGTTGGTTTTTGTCGACACCACGAGTCTATTCGCGTAATGAAAAGAAACGCATCATCAACCTTTACCTACGCGTACGACGACGGATGATGCGAATTGATTTCGCCCTCGACCGATCCAAAATACGATGAATAATATACTGACGACTCTTTCTTTCGCACAGGAACGCACATACAAACGGACGAGGAAGTTGGAATTAAGCTGGTACGGATTTCGCGTTCAATTTGCTCGTTTTCTCTCTCGCGTTCCGTCGTTTCGGGCCACGAAATCACATTTTTGCGGAGAAGGAAACACAACCTCTTCTCTCGTCGCGGAAACGTTCTTATCTGGTCATCTTTCGTTGTTTTTGTTCGATCGGGGACGAGAGGATCGAACGAACGATGGATTCTTTTGTTCTCTGACGTAATATCTCTTCCGTGTTTATTATCACATCGTGCGCGCGCGTGCAAAACACAAAAACAGGAATCGTGCAAAAGCAGACATCCGCAACTTTTACTCTACGAATCGAAACTCTACAAAATCTTGCAAGGCGGCACCGGCATCCCGAACGTGCGATGGTACGGCGTGGAAGGTGAATATAACATCATGGTCATGGATCTGTTAGGTCCATCGTTAGAGGATTTGTTTAATTTTTGTAACCGGAAGTTATCGCTGAAGACGGTTTTAATGTTGGCGGACCAACTGGTTTCGAGAATCGAATACGTGCACTCGAAGTCGTTTATTCATCGAGATATTAAACCGGATAACTTTTTGATGGGGTTAGGGAAACGCGCGAATCAGGTGAACATAATCGATTTCGGTTTGGCGAAAAAGTATCGCGATCCAAAAACGCACATGCACATACCGTACCGCGAGAATAAAAACTTAACCGGCACCGCGAGGTACGCCTCGATCAACACGCACGTCGGCGTAGAGCAAAGTCGAAGGGACGATTTAGAATCGCTCGGGTATGTTTTGATGTATTTTTTGCGAGGATCGTTGCCGTGGCAAGGTTTGAAAGCGCATACGAAGAAAATGAAGTACGAAAAGATTAGCGATAAGAAGATGACGACGCCGATTGAGATTTTATGTAAAGGTTTCCCTCCGGAGTTTGTGTCGTACTTCCAAGTCGTTCGATCGCTGCGATTTGAAGATAAGCCGGATTACTCGTTTTTACGCAAATTATTCCGAGATTTGTTTATTCGAGAAGGGTATCAGTACGATTACGTGTTCGATTGGACGATATTAAAGTATCAGCAAACGCAACAGTTATCGAGAGGTATTAGCAACAACGCGAACAACACGACGACGAACAACGAAACCGGGGGTGGTCAAACGACGCAAAGAGACGCGGTGGGGAGATCGAGCGGCGGAGCTGGAGTAGATAAATCCAAAGATCCAAACTGGCGATCGGATTCTAAGGCTGTCAACACGGGGTCGCGAGCTGATAAAACCAGATCGGGTGATAAAGATTTGACGGCGAAAGAGGACGCCAAGGCGAAATCTTCCTCAAGAGATCGAGGCGCCAGTTCTCGGAACAGGCGGGAATAAAAATTTTACGACGAGTTGTATTAGTAGAGTATTTTATAGTAGATAATTGCATGCGAAGAAGTAACAATAATAACGAACCGGGGATGAAGAGATAGACGGAGAGAAAGAGAGAGACAGAGAGACGTAGAGAGGTGCCAAGTTGTTTGATACATGTTATACGTTATATAAAATGAAATGTAAGCACCCCCGAAAAAAGCAGGATCTACTGCGAAAGATTTCTTCTTCTTCACCACACTCTTTCCGCGCGCAAAGAAGGAACAACAACAACAAAAAGAACAAAAAGAACAACAAAAGAAACATTACATGCAACAATGACCAGCGAAACGTCTCAAGACAACCACGATTTTACCAACAATAACAGTTTCATCGCCGGCACGCAGTTCACTCGGACCAAAACCGTCTCGTTACTGGAGCAAATGAAAGAAAACGAACGAGAAGAAAAGATTGACAATTTGTTCGACAGCGGCGAGTTTTTAAAGACGAAAGACGACGACAACGATTCAGAAGACGACGACGTGGAAAGACTGCTGAACGTTTTCGGCGAGACGCTAAAAAAAGGCGACGAGGAAGAAGACGAAGAAGAAGACGAAGAAGAAGAAAAGAAGAAGAAAGAGGAGGAGGATTTTCGGCAAATTTTCGATGTCGATGGAAAGAACAGCTCCGGACGGTTGATTTTGAAAGTCGTGCCGAGCGACGGTTGGACGGAAGGGATGAAACAAAAAGTTTCGAAGGACGCGCGAGACGTGAGCAAATGGGACCAGAGAGAATTGGAAGTGCCGATAAAATTAGCCGAGCGTTTGCAAGAGTACCAGAGAGATGGCGTGCGGTTTTTGCACGGGTTATACGCGCGAAATCTTGGCGGTTTGTTAGCGGACGAGATGGGTTTGGGGAAGACCGTGCAGGTCGTGGCGTTCGCGACGGCGTGCTTGACGGCGAAGATACCAAGGGGTGGGTTTGGCGGTGAAGGCAATGGGAGGAGGATGGTGAAAGGTGGAGTGTTGATGAGAACGACGAAGAAGAGCATTTGGCAAGACGATTCAGGCGAGGAGGAGGAGGAGGATTTGAAAAAGAGCGCGAATGACAAAGAAGACGACGACGAAGAGGAACGCGCAGAAGAAGGAGGAGAAGAAGAAGAAGGAGAAGAAGTGATAGATATGGAGGAAACGAGGTATGACAAATGGGGTAAGCGTGAAGTACTCTCCGAAGAAGAGGCAAAGAGGAGAGGCGTCAACTCGAACAATCGAAGACCGATTTTAATCATCGTTCCGGCGACGTTGATTGATAACTGGAAGAACGAGTTTGAAAAGTGGGGCGAGGCTATCGGTGACGACGAAATATGGGACGTCAATGTAGCAGTTGCGCACGGGAATAACAGAGAGGTGGTGTACGACGACATTGAGAACCATCGCGGTGTGGACGTGGTGATCACGACGGTAAACATCATCTCCAGAGATATCCAATCAAATCCAGATTTTAACATTTGGACGAACACCAACTGGGATTTTTGCGTCATCGATGAAATGCACAATTCGATGAAGAACCCGAAGACGCAATCGTCTAAAGCAATGCGCCAAATGAAATGTCAAAAATTTGGCTTAACTGGGACGCCTTATCAAAATAAAGCCGAGGAATTGCACACGATATTTGATGCATTGAATTCGAACTGTATTGGTTCGTTATCTCATTTCAAATCGTATTACGAGAGACCGATGCACAAAGCGCGAAGCGCATCAGCGAGTGCATACGAAATTGGACTCGGCAGAAAACGCGCGATGCAGTTGAATGGTTTACTGAGCATTTATATGCTGAAGAGAGAGAAGAAGCGCGTCTTGAAAGCGGGGACGATGAAGAAAAAGACAGAGAAAGTCGTATTTTGTGATTTGGCTCCAGCACAAAGAAGAGCGTACGAACGCATCCGCGAATCGACGAGTGTACAGTTGATATTGAATAAAGATAGTCCATGCGATTGTGGAAGTGGTGAGAAAAGGAACAAGTGTTGTTATCCTGCTAATGGCTTGAACGACGATGATGGGGACGAGATGTGGTGTGCTTACGGACCGCACAATAGACACGGACGGACATGTCCGATGTGCGTCGGATTCGCGTGCGTTTTTGCCTGTCGTAACGTCTCGAACCATCTCGAGCTTTTAAAACCGTTTGATTTACCCCCAAACCCGAAAGAAGAAGATGTGGCAAAGTTCAAACGCGCGCAAGCGGTGGCTAAAGTTGCTCTCGGCGACGAGCTCGATGCGCTCGGGGGATTGCGACCGCAACAAAACTTTCTCGCCGCTTCAAACTTTGACCATTGCGGTAAAATGAAAACGCTCAGTATTTTACTCGAGCGGTTTTACAAGAGAAACGATAAAGTTGTTTTGTTTTCGTATTCCGTTCGGTTGCTAAACGTGATGAATGAATTCGTCAAGCGCAAGGGATATGTACACGTACGATTAGATGGCGGCACGCCGGTGAAAGAGCGTCAAAAAATTGTCGACGATTTTAACAAACGGGGCAGTTGTTTCTTGTTTCTCATGTCCTCCGAAGCCGGCGGTGTCGGCCTTAACGTCGCCTCGGCGAATAAAGTGATCATTTTTGATCCGGCTTGGAATCCTGCGAAAGATTTGCAGTCGCAAGATCGCGTGTACAGATTGGGCAACAAGCGCAACGTGGAAGTGTACAGATTAATTTCCGCCGGTACTCTAGAAGAGCTCGTGTATTCTCGTCAGATTTATAAACTGCAAATGGGATCGACCATGACGGATGGCAAGATGGAACGACGAATCTTCGAAGGCATCCAAGGTGACAAAACGAAGAAAGGCGAGTTGTGGGGCATCGTGAACTTGCTCAGACTGAACATGGCGGGAAAGGTTGAGGTTCGCGAAAAAGTAGAAGAAGAGAAACGGAAAGACGAAGAAGAGGACATCATCAAAGAGGAAGGGCACCAAGGCGAAGACGGATTTAACTTTAGAGTTGCGAAAGGTTTAGATCAAGACCAAGCTCGTGATATCGGTAACGCTTTAGAAGAGGAACGGGAAGCGGCAGCGAAGCGAGGCGAGAACATCTTCGAAGGCTTGCTCAACGAGGAGGAGGAGGAGAACGACAACAACGAGAAGAACCTCCAAGCGTTGCACACCATGGACCATAACAAGATCTTCGGCGTGAGCGAAAAAGAGAAGAAGCGCATTGAGGACGCCGAGAGAGCTTCGAAGAACGAAAAGCTATTAAGCCGCCTCGCTAAGAAGAGGAAAGAGGCGGAAGCGGCAAATAAGGAAGGCGGCCAACGAGGAGGATTCTCCATCAGAAACCGAAAGAAGAACGCGCTCGATCCGCACGAACACGCGGTACAAGACATCGCTTTACGCGCGATGGCAAAATACAACAACGTTTCTGAACTTGATTTTGCCAAGCACTTCTTATCTATAAAGAACGAAGAGGACGCGCAATACGCGCTAATGCGGAACGTGGAAGGCTTAAGAAGCGAGATGGATGATTTCGACGACGACAACGAAGAAGAAAATTAAATTTTAGGGGTGTTTTACACTCGCGGTACAAAAAAAAACAGAATAGAACGCGCATGTCAATGCAGCGCGTTGGCAGCAGCAACATTTTAGGAGCGATAGTGACAAAGTGTTGAACAAACACTTCATCGATTGTAAATTTACGACGCAGCATTATCAAAAGAATTCGCGTATTAAATATACATTGACATCAAAATCAGAAAACCTCTCGCAGTAGCCGAGCGCAGACTTCTTTATCCATCCCCATGACTCCATCTTCGCTCCCATCAATCTTCGTCACGAACGGCCTCACTTTCTCGTGTTCTACCATCAGACCTCCCGCACACCACATGACCTCGCCTTCATTGATCAAAAAATCCATCGCCTCCTCCGAGATCTCCTTAAAATGAATCGTGCACACGTCCACGGAACTCGCCGACGCGCCCGTCGCCACGTCCGTCACTCTGATCGAACCAACCGTCGAGCACGGATTATTCTCCTTATACGACCGCATAAAGATCCTCGCTTCTTCCTCTGTCTCTGGTTTCTCGCGTATTTTACCGTCAAAAACCACCACTTGATCGCACGTGATTAACAGCGTCCTTCTCTTCTCTTTCGCTCCTTCCTCTTCCTCAGCCTTCCGGATTCGTTCCAAAATCGCCTCGGCTTTTGCTCTCGCCAACGCTTCCACCAACCGCGAAGGATCCTCGAATCGAATCGCTTTTTCGTCTATATCCGCCGATATCGTCGCGTATTCAATCTTCATCTCGTTCAAGATTTGTTTTCTCGTCGCCGATTTGCTCCCTAAAATCACCCGGATATTTTCTTTCCTCAACCTTTCCCCAACATCATCCATTGTATTGGACGAACAAGACGCCGTTTCGCCGCTGATGCTTCTCGTGAAAGCTTTTCTCCCTCTCGTCAAAGAAGAAGAACGAGATAAAGAACGAAAACCACAGTGAGTAGAGAGAAAGAAAGCGACGCTAAAACGACGCGAGGAGAGCGAAACTAAGCGCATGTGATTATGTGGAAAAATGAAGCAATTCACTCCTACTACTATAACACAACGCTACACGCTACGAGTCTATCTACCCCGAGAACTACGACCACACTCCGCGAAAAATGAAGAATTACCGAGGACTTTCCTCATCCGTATCCTCGTTATTGTTGTGAACGCTGACACCACCACTCTCTTTCTCCTCGGGCTTTTCCAGGAGGTCCCGGTACCTCTTCCTCCACGAAACTTCCGCCTCGTTCGGATCCATGATTTGCCACGCCTGCGCGAACGCGCGCGCCTCTCTTGCCTCCTCTCTCGTGTTTTCTTCTTCGTTTTCTTTCGTTTTCGTCAAGAAGTGTTCGCATTTGGTTTTCAGCGAGGATAAAAATTGTCCTTTCTTCTTCTTCTTCGTCTCGATGTCTTCGATGTCGTTCTCGCTTTTCGAACCACTTTTGCTCCTTCTTGTCGGGAGTGGTTTCCCGGTGTGATTTTCAATCGATTTATAAAAGTCCTCCCAAAACTCTTCGCAGTTGTCCATCTCGCCGTATCGGTAGTATCGAGTCAGTTGGAATCTCGGCGCTGTGATGTTTTTCGTCGCGTTAGAGAGAGAGAGAGAGAGAGAGAGAAAACATCGGTCAGTCGTGCACTCAAAGCAGAGAGAGAAAAAAGAGCGGAGAACGAAACGCACAGTAACACTCCCAGATTTTCCCGAACGCGAGTCCAACCGTTTCTTGTTGTTGTTCTCCTCGATGATTTTCGGTCGCAGAAGTAGTACTCCCAACAGTTCGTCTGGATTCGTTTGATTCTTCGTCTTTGCTATTCTTCTTCTCAGCGCCACCGAAAGGAAAGGCAAAAGAAACGGGCATATCTTTACCAGCAAAAGAGGTGATTTTTCCCCGCGATGTGACGTTATAAAGAAGAACGCGCATTTATTCACACACACACAGCACACACTCTCGCGAAAGAAGAATGGCACACGCAGTTCACGGATTTTGCGCTTCTGTCGTTGCGTTCACGTCGTCGACTTCGAGAGGGAGGAAAGTTCGTTCTTTGTCTTCTTCTTCTTCTTTGAATAACAACGGTACCATCACATGGTCTGTGACACGTCGTTTTCCCCGGGGGCGTATCTTCTCGAAGACGACGAGGAAGAACAACAACGGCGCAGTCGCGGAACCGAGCGGGGATGTCGAGCTTGACTTCGGCGCGCTCTCGAGCGAGTCCGTGTGGATAAACCCAGCGAATAACGAAAACTATACGCTCCAAACGCAAATCTTAAAGCTCACCCACGACACGACGGTTATCCGCTCCTTAGACTGGGACCGGGACAGATTCGATATCGAATTCGGCTTAGAGAAAGGCACCACGTATAACTCGTACGTAATCAAAGGCACAGAAAAAACAGTTTTAATCGATGCGAGTCACGAGAAATTCGAACAGTTATACATGGATTCCTTAGCTTCGGTGGTTGGAAACGACGATTTGAGTTCGATCGATTACGTCGTGTGTTCGCACACGGAACCGGACCATTCCGGATTGATCGGCAAAGTGTTGGAACGAGCGCCGAACGCGACCGTGGTCGGGACGAAAGTGTGTTTGGCGTTTTTGGATAACTTGGTGCAAAAGGAGTTCAACAAGTTAGTCGTGAAAGGTGGAGACGTGCTCGAATTAGGCGACGGGAGGCAGTTGAAATTTGTTCCGGCGCCGAATCTTCACTGGCCGGATACCATGTTCAGTTACGACACGGAGAGCGAGTTCGTGTACACGTGCGACGCGTTTGGCGCGCATTACTGCACAAAGGACGTCTTCGACGAAGAGTTACCGAAACTCATGCCGCATTTTAGTTTTTACTACGAGTGTTTGATGAAACCAAACGCGCGATCGGTGTTGACGGCTTTGAGGAAGTGCGAGGCTGACGGAGTGAAGTTGTCCACGGTGTGCACCGGACACGGGCCAATTTTACAACGCAACTCAGAAGAACTCATCGGGGACTATAAAAAGTGGTCCGAGAAAGCTTTGGAGAAAGCGAAATCGTCCGTGGTTGTTTTTTATACCGCGGATTACGGGTTTAGCGATCGATTGTCGCAATCAATCGCCAGAGGTGTGGTGAAAACCGATTGCGAAGTGGCGATGTTGGATTTGTCCACCTGCGACGCGCAGCAAATCGTCGAGGAGGTTGGTCGTGCGAGCGGTATCGTTTTGTTAGCGCCGCCGAACGCGAAGGATGAGATACAAGATAACGTAGGCGTTTTAATAGGCGCGGTGAAGCCAGGGAAGCAAAAGATTTTGGTGTGCGAGAGTTACGGCGGCGACGACGAACCGGTGGACCCGTTGATGCGTAAATTCGCCGAGATTGGTTTGCAAGAATCGCAGTCGCCGTTGAAGTGCCAGTCGTCGCCGACAGAAGGGACGTACCAGTTGTACGAGGAAGCTGGGACGGATTTGGGTCAGTTGTTGACGCAAAAAGAAAAGTTGAAGGAGATGAAATCGAGCATGTCCGCGGACGTCGCGAGAGCGTTGGGGAGAGTCTCCGGCGGATTGTACATTGTCACCGCGGTGCAAGGGACCGCGAAATCTGCCATGGTCGCCTCTTGGATCGCGCAAGCGTCGTTCGAACCCTTAGGATTTACCATTGCCGTCGCGAAAGATCGTGCGATTGAATCCTTGATGCAAGTCGGCGATAGTTTTGTTTTGAACTGCTTAGGCGAAGACGGTTTCGAAGCGCCGATGAAACACTTCTTGAAACGTTTCCCTCCAGGCGCGGATCGATTCGAAGGCGTGGATTGGAAACCGGCACCGTGCGGATCGCCGATTTTAGCCGACGCCGTGAGTTACGTGGAGTGTAAAGTGGTTTCCAGAATGGACGCGAACGATCACTGGGTGATTTATAGCGAAGCCATCGACGGCGGCGTGTTCAACAAAGACGCGAAAACGGCGTCGCACTTTAGAAAAGTTGCCACGTATTATTAAAAAAATGTACATCACAACAAAGTATATATCCTCTCTCCATCGCTCTCTTCTCCTCACAGATTAATCGTCCCGGCGTACCAACTCGACCTTTTCCTGTCCTTCTCCTTCTTCAAACCGGCGTCGTCCAGAACGCTCTTCGTCGCGCCGACGACCAGCGTGCTCGTCCGCGCCGTCCCGATCGACATCGCCGGCGTCGGCGGCCGTTCCGAAATCTGCGGTAGAATCGCCGCGCACGTAATCGCCACCGCCGTGAGCGTGCGCAACAAAATATTCTGTTTGCGCTCTTTCGACGGGATCGCCATCGTCGTCAGTTTCTTCGACAAGGCTTTGTCGAAGGACTTTTCAACCTCTTTTTCCTTTGAGGTTTTGCTCTCATCATCTCTCGTCCTCTCGTCTTTTTCCTCGTCGTTGTTTTTACTCTCGATTCTGCTCGTTCTTTCCGTTTGTCTTCTTCTCATTAACGACGATGAACTTGTCGTTCGGCCGCTGAAGGATGCCGCCGAGACGGAGTTTCTTCTGTCTCGCGCGGACGATGATTGTTCTCGGAAAGGTCCAATTGCGGTAACGGAAATTACATCGGAGGAGGAACGATGGGTGTGGCGCGGTGCGTTTTTATGCGCGTGTCTTTTCGTCGCACTTCCGAGGAAGCAAGATGTCGACGAATACGTCGCCATGGAGTGAGAAGAACGCATGACAGAGAGAGACAGAGTATGTTTTTACCCCGCGCGTTACAAGTTGTGAAGTGTTTTTTCTTGGGGGAAGTGACACGTAAGGAAAAAACAACACAAAAAAGAGAGGAAAAGTACAGTCAGAGGGGACGAATTCTTTCGTAATCTCTTTCAGGCAGCACGAAAGAGGAGAAAAGAGATCTTTTTTGTTGGCTGTTTTGTATGAACGTATGAAAAGGAAAGCGAAAGCTGTTGCGCGTTTTGTAAAAATAACGTGTCTCTTTTGTACGTTTTCCGATATGGTAATACAACGGGATGTGAATGTAAGAATCCCTCAACAAAACTACTCTCTTTCTCTTTCTCTTTCTCTTTGTGTGTGTGTGTGTATATATATATACAATATCAACCTGTGTGTATCTCTTTTCTGACGCGTATTCGTGCGTGATATTTTTCCTCCTTTTTTTAACTGACGGTGCGGCCAAACGCGACCGCGGAGATGTAGAGATTTTTCGCCCACTTTTCCTTGACGTGCGTTCGTGGAAACGCGGACGTTCTCAGCGTCTCTTGCGTCTCGTCTCCTGGTCGTCGACGAGGGATGGACAAAACGAACGCGGCTTGGTCCGGAGTGGCCGCGCAACACGTGATTCTGAAACCGCAATCCCATCTGCGGTGGATGCCTTCGGACGGGTACATGTAATCCAACTCCGCACACTGATCTACTAAACCGGCATTTCTGGACATGCAAATAGCCCATCTCGTAGCACATGTGGCCATGGAAGTCACGTAAAACCCTTCCTTCCATTTTTTGTTTATCCATTTAAACGGGAACGAGTCGGAAACTTTGTATGATTGTTGCGTGTACGGCGTGCCCTTGGACATGATGACCAAAGCGGACCCGGTCGTCGATCCAGCCAAAGAGGTGATGTAATAGCCATCGTCCCATTGCTCCAAAATCCATTCTTTCGGTAAGAACTGCGTGCTCAAATTCCACATTTGCGCGGAATACCCGGTCCCGGCGTCCATGATTAACGCCCACAACTCTTGCGCGCAAGACACCGAACTGACGAATAAACCGTCGTCGTTGCCTTTTTCAATGTGTTGCTCCACTCTTGAGTTGGCCACGTTGTAGTGATATCTTTGTTTCATCGGTTTGTGCGCGTTGTAAATGGTGATCCACTGTTGCGCCGGAATTCCAATTCTAACCTTCTTCTTCGCCGCTCCTTTATCGTCTTCTTCCAAGTTGCCCATATCCGTCGCTTTTCGTTTCATTCCAACTTTCTTCGCGCCGTCCGTGCTAATCGGTCGTCTCCCTGGTGGACCACACAACGGTTCGAACAACGCCGCCATCGCCGCGTATTTCGGTTCCTCGTCAAATTTCAAGTTAATCACCGCCTCCATGAACTGTCTGTACGCCGGCGGCGAATACCGACACAAACTCTCCGCGCACGTCGCCATCTTCTTCTTACACACCAAAAAGCCTTTGTTATCGCCTTGATAGCCTTGCCACGGCAATCTCCCTTTCAACAAAAACAGCAAAGTGTACGCCAAACTCTCCAAATCGTCTCTTCTCGACGCCGTTCTCCCCAAATGCGCGTGCACGCTCGCGTATCTCACCGTCCCTCGAAACACGTCCGGCCTTTGGTCGTAATCGACGTGCGCCGCGCACACCGGATCTCTCCATCTCGTCGCTAAACCTAAATCAACCAAATACAGCTTCTTCTCCGTCGGCGTCCCCGGTGGTCCGAGTAAAAAGTTCTCCGGCTTAATATCCCCGTGCACGAACCCTTGTCTGTGAAAATTCTCCAAAATTGCCAGCGCTTCCACCGCGATGCACGAAACCATCTCTTGCGACATCGATTGTCCGCACGTGTTCCATTTATCCCACAACGAAGGCCCAAGTAAATCCATAACCATCACGTACCATTCCCCTTGTCTCCCTTTAAAATGTACTTTCGGAACGCCTAAAATTCCGCCTAAAGAATTATACACCGACCACTCGTACGGCGGTCCGTAGTTGCACCCTTTGCTCGATCGGTGCTCGAATTTCAAGGCGATTTCGTTCGCTCCAGGACCGATGTGTTCGTTCGCGCCTTTCGCCGTCGACGTCGTCGCTCTTCTCCCAACGTACACTTGGCCGAAACCGCCTTTCCCGAGTTTCCTTTCCACGATGTATACCGGTGAGCCGCCGACTTGTGTCTGTTTTACGTTTAAGAGAGAAGTTTAAGATCAGATTCCGTCGACGCGCTAAAGTGCGGTGCGCTTTCATCGAAACATCGCCGCCTTTCGCGAAAGAAAGAGAATCAGAGAGAGAGAGAAACGAAACAAAACTTTGAGAGCATAAAAGAAGCGCACCTTCTCTGGAACTGGCGCGGAGGCGCCGTCTTCGTCCGCTTCCGCGTTTTCGCGATCGTCCGTCGGTTCTTCGACCATCTTTTCTCTCGTTATTCAAACGTGTTTTGATTTGATCGATGACTTTACGGAAAGAAAGAAAGTAAAAAGAAAGAGTAGTTTTCGAAAAGAGACTGCGCGACGCCAAGTGATGCGCGAAAAGAGTCGATCAGTTTACTGCGCGCGTGGTGTTTGAGCGCGTTTTTAAGCGCGTTTTTCACGTTTGTCGTTTTGTGTGAAGAGAAAAAGAGCAGATTTTGAGTAAAAGAAGGGAAGAAGGAATTCTGAGATTTTTAGTAAACTCACGCAACAAAGAGCAACAAAAACTCTTTCTCGCTCGAGGAAGTATTACTGTTCAGATGATGATTTGCTACTCTTTTACATAAAACTGCTCAAATCGGTGATGGCACCACCGCAGACTTCGACGACGACGCACCCGTTCGTGTTCATATCGTTCTGCATCTCGCGAATTTTCCCTTCGTACGAGAGCGCTAAACACGCGCCGCACGCCGGTTCGACGAGCGCTCGGTGGTGGTTGGCGAAGTTTTTACACGCGTCGATCGCTTGGTCGTCGGTGACGGTGGTGGAGTGAATTCGGGGGGACTTGCCTTCGCGTTTCCATTGTTTGGTTAAATCGAACGCGGATGGAGAGACTTGGGCGGCGCCGAGGGATTTGGCGACGGAGGTGATCGCCGGCAAAGTGACGAGCTCGTTTTTTTGGACGGATTGGTACAACGAGTCGCATCCGACGGTTTCGCTGACGACGACGTCGGTTTTCGCCCAACCGACTTCGCGTAAACCTTGCGCGATGCCTAGAAGTAAACCGCCGCCACCGACGCAGGTGCATATAAAACTCGGCGGGACGGTTTCGCCGGCGTCTCGTAACTGCGCGCACATCTCGTGCACCAGCGTCGCGTGTCCGGTCCACGTGTCTTCGCCTTCAAACGGGTGCGCGAAAAACGCGTCTTCCTCCGCGACAATCTTTTCCGCGAGCTCGTTCGCTTCCGACCATTGTTTCCCGTGCACGATCACTTTCGCTTCGTACGATTCCAACCGGTCTCGAATAAACTCAGGCGTCGTCTCCGGAACCACCACGGTCGTCTTCGCGCCCAATTTGGATCCGCTATACGCCACCGCCAAACCCGCGTTCCCGCCGCTGCTCGAAACGAACGTCTTCTTTCCATCCAATAGTAATGCCTTCTGACACGCGTACCCTAACCCTCTCAGTTTAAACGACCCGGACGGTTGACAGTTGTCCATCTTGATGTACGTTTTCCGTTCGTTTCTTTCCGAGAGCGGTTGCGAATAAATCAAAGGCGTGGACACGTGCAACGGCCCTGAAGTCGAGAGAAAACCACCACTCTTTTGTTGTTGTTGAAAGGTTTGTGGCAACATCGTCCCTCGAGGACCGAAATTGAACCACTCCAACTTGAGTTGTTCGTCAAAAGCGGAGGAGGAAGAGGAGGCTCGAACGTCATCGTTTCTTCGTCTTTGTTTCTTCGGATGACGATTCTTCTTTAACAACTTCGTCCTCGAATAATCGGAAGAAGAAGAAGAAGAACAAAAAGAAGAAGAAGAAGAAGCCGTTGATCGAAACGACGACGACATGAGTATCTCTTATTACTAACTCTCTCTCTGCTGCTATGGTTGTATTGCTATTAAATATTTCTATCGTGCTATTTTAAATGCCGCCCCTTAATGAAGCTCCTCTCTAATAGGACTAATAGTACTACTCAAAGTATTCTTCTTCTTCCTCTTCCTGAGTTTCGCCGCGTGGTTACTCTTGTGTCGAACAGCCACGCCTTTACTCTCGAAATACTTCGCCAATTTCACCTTCGATATGCATTTCATCCGCAAACCGTTCTGGCAAAGGGTCTTGACCTCGTCCAAGTCGAGCGGCTCCATGCGCAAGATGGAAGCGTACACGTCGCGAGAGGATCTGAGAAAGGCGGTGAGTTTGGCGTCGAGCGCTCGCTCGTCCGTCTCATCTTCTTTTTCTTTTTCTTCTTCTTCTTCTTCGTCCGTTCTCGGTGTTCTTTCTCCTCCTCCTCTTAAAGTACTCGTCGTTGCGTTCTTCCGTTTCTTTGTCGCCATCCCGACGCCGACGGCGTTCGTTGCGTTGTTGTTGTTGCACGCGTTCTGATCCCGTTGACTTAAACTCAACAACTCCTCCTCCAACCGCTGCGAATACGCCGCCCCGTCGCCTCTCTCCACCATCTTCTCCGTCCAAATGTTCATCAAACAATCAATCATAGCCGTTCGTGAACCGAGTCGTTTCATACCAAACTTCGCCAACTCTTTCGCGAGCTCTTGGTCGGTTTTCGTGGAGTATTCCGGAGGCGACGAGAGAGGCGCTCCTAATCCTCCTCCTTTTCCTCCTCCTCGCCCTCTTTGCGCGTCGTCGTCGTCTTCCTCGTCGTCGAAATCGTTTCGCAGAAAAGAACTCTCCTCCAAAGGTGTTGGTTCCGCCTCCAAAGTCTGTTGGTCTTCTTCTTCTCTTTGTGATTGCTTTTCCTCGCACCTCTTCTCCGCCGCTCTTTTCAATAACCGCCACGCCAGCGGTTGCGGTTCTTCTTCTTCTTCTTCTTCTTCTTTCTCTTCCTCTTCTCGCGTCAAGTCGATCGGCGCCGAGGAAGAAGACAACAAACTCTTCTCCTCCACCTCTTCTTTGTCTTCTTCTTCTTCTTCTTCACCCGATGAAGACACTTCCCCGGGGAGCAGTAAAAAACCTCGCTCGTCCCTGCAAACAAACAAACGATTATAACGCGTCCTTAGTCTCGGTTTTCAGAGAGAGAGAGAGAGAGAGAGAGAGAGAGAGAGAGAATGCGCGAAGAAAGAGCACATCGCGTGCACACGAAGATGCGTAAAACCAAAAACGGGGAAGAAGACAAACAAATAAATCTCACACTCACGTTGGAAACCCGGCTCGATTTAAAATTTCTCTCTGACACTCTCTCAAAGAATCCGTGCCTAAATGAAGCATGACATCTTGCCAGCACGGTAAAAGGAGACGAGTAAGAGGAGGAGGATTTCCGGGCATCTCTCTCGTCTCTCTTCTCCTTTGCAACAACAAGCGCGCGCAGCAAATATAAAATGACGTTTTTTTTTCTCTGTGTGTGTTTCTTTTTTCTGTTCTGTGACGGGTTGCGGTGTTGTTTCGAAAGAGAAAAAAATAATAATGTGAGCACTTTCTGTGCTCGACAGCTCTTTCTTATGGGAGAGAAAATTCATATCGGATGCCTCTTTTCACACGTCATGTACGCTCGCGAAAACACACTCCTCACGTGACTGTTTCCGCATTTTTTATCGTATCATCTCTTCTCTCTCGTTTTTAACACACAGAAGAAGAAAACAGAACACATTTACACAGAAGAAGAAGAAGAAGAAGAAGAACATAAAGAGCAGCGCAAAGAATATGTCGACGAGTTGCTGTAACGTGTCGTCGTCTTCTTCGCGCGCGTCGTCGTGGAGAAAACTTTCCCCTCGTCGTCATCACCGCGAGACGAAGATGATGGATAATAAAAAAGCGACGAAAACGAGAGGAAAGAGCGTTCCTCGCGCAAAGCAGGAGGAGGAACAAGAACCCGCGGAAGAAGAAGAATCGAATCCAAAGAAAGGGAGAAACACGAAATGGTTGCGTCGGGCGTTTAAGACGTACCGGGATATCTCTCAAGACGGTTTCGTGCAACAAATCCCAACCGCGGAGGATTTGACCAGTGGCGTGGAGAAATCGCTGAATAAGAGAAATCTGTCGTTGCCGGATTTACCGGACGCGGAGGACGTGAAAGAGTTGATTTCGAGAGACCCGAAAGAGTTCATTCCGGAACTTCCAGAGTTTGAACTTCCACGGCTGGAGAATGTCGTCGAGGACGCGAAACCGTTCTTGGCGAGTTTAGCGGATGGGATTAAGAAGTCGTTCGCGAAGCGAAACATCGACGTTCCAAAAGTACCGACGAGCGTGGAAGAGGTGAGAGAGACGGTCGCGGAGAAGACGAAGTCGGTGAAAGTGCCGGAAGTGCCCGATGCGGGCAAATTGGCGAGAGGTGTGAAAAAGTCCATCGCAAAGAGGAAAGGCGGGGCGTACGAAAGCGCGGACGAAGGCGCGAAGGAGGCTGAAATTAAAGCCGCGCTGAAGAAAGCGGAAGATGTCAAGGCGAAGTTTAAGAAGATGGAAGAGGAGGTGGCGAAAGCGAAGCGAGAGAAGATTGAGGCGGAACAAAGAGCGGCGGCGGAAGCGATGGAGGCGGAAATTGCGAAGAAAAAAGCGGAGGCGGAAGCTGCCGAACAAGCTGAGAGAGATGCGGAGGAGGCGAGAATTCGAGCGGCTGAGGAAGAAGAAAAAGCGAGAATCGAAGCTGAAATGAAAGCGCAAGAAGAGGAGGAGGCGAGAATTCGAGCGGCGGAAGAGGAAGAACGAGCAAGAATCGAAGCTGAAATGAAAGCCAAGGAAGAGGAAGAGGCGAGAATAAAAGCGGCGGAGGAAGAAGAAAGAGCGAGAATCGAAGCTGAAATGAAAGCGCAAGAAGAGGAAGAGGCGAGAATAAAAGCGGCGGAAGAAGAAGAAAGAGCGAGAATCGAAGCTGAAATGAAAGCCAAGGAAGAGGAAGAGGCGAGAATAAAAGCGGCGGAGGAAGAAGAAAGAGCGAGAATCGAAGCTGAAATGAAAGCGCAAGAAGAGGAAGAGGCGAGAATAAAAGCGGCGGAAGAAGAAGAACGAGCAAGAATCGAAGCTGAAATGAAAGCCAAGGAAGAGGAAGAGGCGAGAATAAAAGCGGCGGAAGAAGAAAAAGCGAGAATTGAGGCCGAGCAGAAAGCTATTGCTGCGGCGGAAGCCAACCGTGCCGCTGAAGCGAAAGCAGCTGCCGAAGCGAAGGCGAAAGCAGAAGAAGAAGAAAGGAAGGCTGAAGAGGAAAAGAAGGCCGCAGAAATAGCTATGTTGCAAAAGAAAGCAGAAGAAGAGGCGGCGGCGGTAAAGATGGCGGAAGCGGCGCGCATCGCCGAGGAAGAGAAGAAGAAAGAAGCAGAGGAGCAAGAAGCTGTTAAGCAAGAAGAGATTGCAGAAATCGCGGCGGAAACGGTGAAACTTGAAAAAGCGCGGGCGGAGAAAGCTGCGGCAAAAATTGCCATGGCGGGTCACTTTGCGCGCATGAAAAAGAACGAAAACGAAAAAGCAGCTAAAGCTGGCGCCGTTGCCGAAATGCGGGTATACGATTACACGGAAGTCGCTGCGGAAGAAGCTCCAGAGATGAAGGAAGAAAGTTTTGAGAGCAGGCCCCCCACTCCACCACCGCAAACTCCACCCAGCGGAAACTCGAAGCAAGAAGCCCCTCCAAAAGCTCCTGAAGTAGAAACAAAAGTCTACGAAGAGACGTTGCCAAATTCAGATAACATCCAACTTTCTAAGTGCGTGACGACGCAAAGACTGAAGTTTGAAGTCGAATACGCTTTGAAGAGAGGCACGAGTGATAACGTGTACTCCATCGAAGGGACTGAGAAAACTGCTTTGATTGATGTTCCGGATAAAGCGTTCGCTGAGAACTTGTTCGGCGAGAACAAGCACTCCTCCTCAGATTTCTTGATTTTGCAGCACATTTCGCCGAAGCGTTTAGACTCGATTTCTGCGCTGTTAGAAAACCGGTCGGATGTCCTTCCGCCGATTGAGATTGTCGTCACGAACCCAGGCGCGAGAGTCATCTACGATGCGTTGAAACCGCCTGATGGGGTCACTCCGGGGAGTAACGAACGTTTAATCGCCGCGTGGAAACGACCGTCAGAGCTGAGCGGGAAACCAAAGTTGCGCGCGCGCTTGCGCATCATTCGTGGGAACGAAGAAAAGTTAGATTTGGGTGGAGGAAGAACGTTGACGTTCATGCCATGCTCTACGCCGAGATGGCCGGATGTGTTTTGCACGCGAGACTCGAAATCTGGGATTGTCTTTACCTCAAAATTTTACTCCGCGCACGTTGCCAACGAGCAAACTGACGAGAATAACAGCCACGTGGAGATGTACGACTCAGGAGGTTTAGATTCCTTCCAAGAAGACTGGCGATACTTTTACGATTGCATGCTGGCGCCGATGGCGACGCAAGTCAATAGCGCGCTCTTCAAGCTCAAGGCTTTGGCGTACAACTCGCCGTATAAACAACCGCGTTTGGCGCCGTGCCACGGTCCAGTACTTTTGAACTCGTCTCCAGAACTTATCCGTGAATACGACGAGTGGACGGATAAACAGTTGAAGCAAATAAACGACGTCTCCGTGGCGGTCATTTACGCGAGCGCGTACGGGAACACCTCCGCGATGGCGCAAGCCATCGCGAGAGGCATCACCAAAGCCGGCGTCGGGGTGGAAATGGTCAACTGTGAACTCACCAGTGCGGATGAAATTCAAGAGTTGGCTAAAACTGTGGGCGGTTTCTGTCTCGGTTCACCAACTTTAGGCGGTCACGTTCCAACTCCAGTCACGGACGCCATGGGTCAAATCGTCAAATCCTACGACACGGATAAACCAGCAGGAGTCTTTGGCTCCTTCGGTTGGTCCGGTGAAGCCGTCGATATCATGGAAACCCGCTTGAAAAACGCCGGATTTAACTTTGCGTTTGATGCCATTCGATGTAAGTTCAAACCGACGGAGGAAACCTTACAACTCTGCGAAGAATCCGGCACGGACTTGGCGCAACTCGTCTTGAAGAAATCCAAGCAAGCGAAGAAAGCGGAATCGAAAAGAGTTCAATCGGAAACCTTTTCCGGAGTGACGGAAACTGAAGCCGCAGTTGGTCGAATCGTCGGATCTTTATGCGCCGTCACCGCCAAAAGCGGCGACGCGCAGTCCGCCATGCTCGCTTCCTGGGTCTCCCAAGCTTCGTTCAACCCTCCCGCGCTCACCGTCGCCGTCGCCAAAGACCGCGCGGTGGAATCCTTCATGCTCCCAGGCGGCACCTTCAACCTGAACATCCTCAAACTCGGCAACGAAAAAGAAACCATGAAAGCTTTGTTAAAAGGTTTCGCCCCGGGAGAGGATCGTTTTGGCGACATGAAAGTTTCCTACAGCGAAAACAACGAGTGCGCCATCGTTACCGACGCTTTAGCCTATTGCGAGTGCTCCGTGAAGAGCCGCATGGAATGCGGCGACCACTGGGTGGTCTTAGCCGAAGTCACCGGCGGTAAGCTGTTGGACGAGGAAGGAAAATCCGCCATGCACCACAGAAAAACCGGGAAGAGTTACTAATACTAAAACTTTATTTAATCAAAGGATACGTTTACTAAGCGTAAGCGCAGATTTTCACCCCTTCCCGGACATCTCTTCTCTTTTCTTTGGTGTCTGTCTGTCTTCACAAAAATTCCCAAGAGGCGCACCCCATAAAATAAAAGAAAGCGCTCCTCCTTCGTCTTCGCTTTCGTTTTCGCTGCGATGGGTTTAGGTGCCCTTTGGGCGGACTTCAAGGATGACTTGTTCACGTACAGGACGGTGAAGGTACGTTTATATCGAGCGCGCGCGTTCTCGACGAAAAGACAGAGAGAACGAGTGATTCCGCGGTCTCTTTTTTCCCGAGACGGGGTGCATTTAGAATCACCGCGCGCCTTCCTCTCTTCCCTTTCTTTCTTTCTCGTCACTGGCGCGATCAATACCCGATATCGTCTTTGTTTTTTAATCTGTCGTCGTTCCCCGCGCGTATCTTTACCTAACGACGGTCTCGAGGAAAGTTGATTCGAGAAAAGTCGCTGACACATTCTCTCCTCTCTTCCTCTCTCAAAATTCACCAATTAAAAACGCTCTAATCAATAACGCAGTTGGTGAAAACGAAGAACCCACTTCTGGTGACGACGGATTTGACGTTCAAAATCCTCATCGCGTTATTCGCGCTCGTGTCCATGATTATCATGAAGAACTATAATAAATTCAGCACGCCGAACTTATACGCCAAGTCGCAGTTTGAAGTTCCGCACGCCATCGTGCCGAGGTACTCGATGGGCGAAGATGGGAGCAGATCGGTACAGACGAGCTTTCTCGGGGATTCGAAAGAGGTTATCGAAGAGCACGCGGAAAATGCGACGTATTGCGAAAACGCGACTTATATTAATTGGCGATCGCCGACGTACGGCGGAACGTATTCGACGGTGCATTATAGCACGGACGCGGCGGCGTGCGCGGCGTCGGCGGAGTGCACGACGCCAATTGGGTGCATTACCGGCGGGATGTCAGTGGGAGAGATGGTGAAATTAACCCCGAGCGGTTTGTGGGTGAAGACGTTTTTGCAGGAGTGGACGTTTAGTAGACAGTGCGACGGGTGCGGGGACGCGGACGGGTATTCTCCGCCACCCCCGGATTCTCCTTCTCCACCTCCTTCCCCAAGTCCTCCACCATCACCACCGCCAGAAGGTGCCCCGAGTCCTCCTCCATCACCACCGCCGGCGGAACCTAGTCCGCCACCGTTTCCGAGTCCGCCGCCTTCGACTATGTGTGCAAACCACTATGCTTTTCCACAGAGTTGCGCGTACGGGTTGATGGGCGTGAGAAGAGGCTTTACGATTGCGCCGGAGAACATCTTCTTACCGTTGGAAATATGGTACCAAGACAGTCTAGGAAACTTTAATCAACCTAAGAAAGTGTTTTTTAACGGCGTCGAGTACGATGGAACCGCTGGGGCGTTGCAAGGGATTACGTTGAAAGATTTATTAGAGTCTGCCGGCGTCGCGTTGGACGATTACAACGATTTTTTGTGCGTCGTTGGTAACGACGAAGCAGACGGCGGGTGCGCGCAAGGTTCGACGACTGGATTGACCTTTCGATTGACGGGCATTAAGTTATTAGTGACCGTGAAATGGGAATCGGTGCATTACTTAGAACCGCTGAATAACGACGTTTGGGCGACGTTGAGCGTCAGATTCATTCCATCCAAGCAAATGCACAGTATTGGAACTGACGCGCATTACATGGACACTGGAAATCCTTGGCATTCAAACGTTATGGAACGAACGTTCAATGGGGTGGAGATAATATACGAGTCTGGTGGAACGGTCGGTGTATTTGATATTTTCACCTTGATGTTAGCGGTGACGAACGCGTTTGTGTTGATTGGCATGGCGACGACGATCTGCGACGCACTCGGGACTGCCACTTCGGAACAGTTTATGGACGATAAATACGAAGACGACGGCGAACGCGCGGGTTTAGAGTATATGTTAGAAATGATTGACGATAAACAAATGCCTGGTTTGCCGTTTAAAGTGGAAGATTTGAAGTTACGAACCGACAACGACGAACCGACGGAGACGTACGAAAGAGCGATCCAAACGTTACAGATTCAAATAGCAAACGTAGAAAATAGACTATCGGTGTTACCCGAGGACGAGAGCGAATTGAGAGCTTTAAATACCGGGCACATGGATAAGATTGAATATAGAAAGATGAAACTGTCGTTGATGGAAGACCCGCAGGCCTTGGCGTTGAAGCAACAGCAACAAGCGCCTACTACGCCTCGCAGTGGTTCGGCGAGACGGCGACAGAGTTTAATCACAGAAATACCGTTGTACCCTGGCAATCAAACCATTGGTCGCGGTATGGCGGGTATAACTGGCAAAGCGATTTCTCGCTCGCAATTGACGTTAGCTGTTATTCGCGAAAAAGTTCGCGTGAAGAGTTTACGCGACGGGCCGGGCGTCTTTAGACTAGCCGTCGGTCGATGGGAATCCTTGCCATCCGAGAAAGCTGCGGTAATAGAACCTGGAGATAAGATCTGTTTGCGATTAAGGGAGGGTCGACCGGGTGGTCACGAAGGTATTTTTGAGTTGCAATACCAAGACGAGTTGAAAGATGTGGACGAGAACAAGTCGTGCACGATTTTTGGCTTCGAGGTATTCAAAGCGCCGAAAAAATAATTCTACTACTTGAAGTAACTGTGATGATGTGTATTTATTGTTGTAACAAAACGAATCCTATTTCTTACATAGACGTACGCAAAGTTTGGGTTTTTAAAAGTACACGTTATGATGTTATTGTTACAATTTTGATCTATTTCTACAATCATTGATGTGCAGAGAAAACTAATTATCCTTGTTTATATCTAAGCAGTGTCCGGCTCATTATGCGCGTTATTAACGACGCATGGACCAGTACGGACAGGGGACTCTAAATACAAGAAGAACAAAAAGCAAACAGACATCGTCTCATCGTAAAAACAGGAGTAACTCGTGTTTATCAGAAAGTAAGTAAAATGTCTCTTCTCTTCTTGTGCTCAAATGATGGGAGGCGAATTCGCATTCGTCGCTCATATATGTACACTACTAGAGAAAGAAGTCGACGGAACGGCGATGAAAAACTTCTTAGTTTTCCATCTCCGCTTCCAATCTCCTCTTTTCCTTCTTGGACAACTTCAAGTTGCCGCCGTTTCTTATAAACTCCTCCTGTTCGAGACGGGCTTGCTTCTTGGCTTCTCGCGCCAATCTGCGTTCCTCCTTCTTCGCTTGCTTCTCGCGTTCCATCTCCGCCATGATTTCAATCTGCGTCGGCGGTCTCTTTTCCGCTTTTTTCGTCTTCCCGGACTCAAAGTCCAAGCCGTGGCCGAAGTTTAACGTCCCGTTGTCCAGGTGCATTTTGGCCTCGTACGCGTTCAACGCTTGGCCTCGGTGTAAGAGCGCGTGGAATTCTGTTTTGTTTATTATCGGAAAAAAAATCAGAGTAAAAAATGTCAGCAAAACTCGGCACCCAAACCTCTCTCTCTTCTTTAGGTTAAACAACCAACCAAAATCGTATCTCTTCAACGAGAATCATCGATCCTCCGAAAAGAGAAGAAACCTGCGCGCGATGTGTGCTTCGAGGAAAGAAGAACTTTGCTCATCCGCGCGAGAAACGTAAAAAGCACACATTTTTGCGCGAGAAAAAACGTTTCTCGGTGAAAGAAAAGTGTCGCGCGACGAAGAAAGAGAAGGTAATTGTCGCGCTTCATCCGAGCGAGAGAATCATCGATTTCGATGATGATGATGACGAGGATTTCTTTTCTTCTTTTCCGCAAAATTTCATTCATCATCATAACAACGCGCTTTTAAAAAGAGAGAAAGAAAAAGAACAAATAAAACGCACTCAAGTACGTGTCCGCGTTGTCGCAGCCGTCCGCGAGCTCCTCGTTGTGCTCGTTCAAGTCGGCCGGTAAGTTTTCGGTGTGCGCAGAAGACATTTTTAATAAGAGAGTTAGTTATAAGTGTGTTGTGTGAATAGAATTCCGAAGAATATGACGACTCCTTCGCCCTTTCGTTCTTTTTTGTCAAGCAAACAAAAAATCAAACCCTAAATACTTTTTTTTTTCTCACCTTTTTTTTTTCTTCCTCACTCGCGTGCACGCTGAAGAAGAGGAACGTCGTCGTAAACATGATTGTAAAGTAACCGAGTTTTTAATCACTGCGGCGAAAATCGAAACCGCGAGAAGAAGAAGAAGAAGAAGAAGAAGAAGAAGAAGAAGAAGGAAAATGAGAAACGAAGAGGGAGATACAGACGCGCTCTCGAATTTGGTCCTCGGTCCGCTCTCTGTCGTCGCGAGAGACGAACGACACGTGCAACGAGACGTGTTGCGAGATGCCATCGTCGACGACGACGACCGAGGAGGAGGAGGAGGAGAAGAAGAAAAGACGAAAATGGAAACGATGGTGTTGCGCTCGGAACGCGCGGTAGAGAAACTCGAGCGCTCGCTGTTTGAAATCGACCGAGAGATTGAAGCCGTGGAAGCGGCGACGAAGGATTTAGGAGTCGAAGAAGCAAAGAAGAAGGAAGAAAAAACGCCTTTACGAGACGTGAAACTGAGGAAACAAGTCGCCGCGAAACGCGTCGCCGGGTTACGAGAGAAACGAAGCAAAGTGGAAAAAGAGTTGGACGCGGCATTGGAAGTTTCCGAGGTGGAACGACGCGCGTTTGAGAGAGAAAAGAAGAAAAAGAAAGACGCATCCGACGCGGACGCGAAGAAGACTGGTGGTGTTCCTCCGGAAGAACAACGACGACGACCGAAAGTGGTCGTCCAGGACGACTTTGATTTCGACGCCGAGTTAGACGCCGTTCAAAAGAAAACCACGACGAATAATTTGTTAGGTGGCGGTAGTAATGGAGAAACGGAAAGAGAACGATTGATTCGTATTGGAGCGATGACGCCGTTTGACCGCTTAGACGGGTTCGATAAAGCTCGGACGGATGAAGCCGGAAAGAAGTTGAAAGAAAAAGCGGCGCTGTTGCAAAGCGCGAAATCAAAGTTGAAAACGATTGATTTGAAAGATGCACCGAAACAAATGGAAAAAATGCATTCGAGAGCGATTGGAGAGGCGATTTCGAGACGCGTGAAACCGACAAAAAATGGAGACAGCGCGGCGAAGAAGAAGTTGGCGTTGAAAAGAAAACAGTGGAAAGAGCAAAGCGAACAACAACAGAACAAAAAGAAAAATGGTGCGTCGGCAAGGAAAAAACGACGGTCGTCGTTTCAAGCGTACAGCTCGGACGAAGAAGAATTAGATGGAGACGCCGATGAAGACGGTGACGATGTTATTGAAGCAGAAGAAGACGTTGAATTTGAAGGAGGATTATCCGTCGACGGCGACAGGTTCGCGAAACTTTTACCGCATCAGAAAACAGCCGTTAAATGGCTTTGGGAATTGCACTGTCAAAGAGCCGGTGGGATAATCGGCGATGAGATGGGTTTAGGGAAGACTGTACAAGTTGCCGCTTTCCTCGGCGCGTTATCGAAATCGAACTTGTACCAAGCATCCGTTGTCGTGTGTCCGGCGACGATGTTGCGCCAATGGCGTCGCGAATTGAAAATCTGGGCGCCCGAGCTGAAACCAGTCGTCTTGCACGACTCGGCTATCACGCAAGACGCTTTAAAAGTTGCCAACGGGAATAGAAAAAATGCGATGAAAAACGCCATACGGAACGCCACGAGAGACCCGAAAGGCTTGGTGATTACCACGTACGAGTGTTTGCGAGGCATGCGCGAAGATTTGTTGACCGTTCGATGGGGGTACGCGGTGTTGGACGAAGGGCATAAAATTCGAAACCCAGAAGCAGACATCACCGTCGTCTCGAAGCGATTACGCACGGTTCACAGAATTATCATGACTGGTGCGCCTGTACAAAACAGGTTATCCGAGCTTTGGTCGTTGATTGATTTTGTCTACCCCGGGAAATTGGGCACTTTGCCGGTGTTTCAGGCGCAGTTCGCGGTGCCTATACAAATCGGCGGGTACGTCAACGCGAGCGATCAAGCGGCGACTACGGCGTATAGGTGCGCGGTCGCGTTAAAGGATTTGATTTCACCGTATTTACTTCGACGATTAAAACAAGACTTGGATATAAACTTGCCGGATAAAACGGAACAGGTTTTGTTTTGCCCGATGACGGAAAACCAACGCGACGCGTATAAAGGTTTCCTCTCCTCGAGAGAAGTGGAAGATATCATCGACGGTCGACGCGAAGCGTTGGGCGGTATTGACGTTTTGCGTAAGATTGTTAATCACCCAGACTTGTTAGAGCGAAACTCGCGCGCTGGCGATGCAAATTACGGCGACCCGGTGCGTTCGGGCAAGTTACAAGTCGCGCTGAAAATCTTGAGCATGTGGAAAAGCCAAGGCCATCGATGTCTCGTTTTTTCGCAAACGCAACAGATGCTGGATATTTTAGAGCAAGCGGTTGCCAACGAAGGATACACGTATCGACGAATGGACGGCACCACACCTGTCGCGCACCGAATGGGCTTAGTCGATTCTTTCAACGACGCCGGTAACGTGGGCGAGGAAGGCGTCGCCGCGGAGGATATGCAAGAACCCGTGTTTGTTTTTTTGTTGACAACTAAGGTTGGTGGTTTGGGTATAAATTTAACCGGCGCGAATCGCGTTTTGTTGTTTGATCCGGATTGGAATCCGTCAACGGATGCGCAAGCACGTGAACGAGCCTGGCGCATTGGTCAAACGAAAGCGGTGACCATCTATCGGTTAATCACCACCGGGACGATCGAAGAGAAAGTGTATCATCGACAAATTTACAAAGAGTTTCTGACCGGTAAGGTATTAAAGGACCCAAAACAACGACGTTTTTTTAAAGCGAGAGATATGATGGATTTGTTCGCGTACGATGACCCGGAGGAGAAGCAAAGAGGAGGCGGTGTCGCGGGAAGCGCGGCGATGGGCGGCGGAGCCGCAAACGAAACCGCCGAGCTTTTCGCCGAAGTCGAAGGCGAGATCTTAGCGGCAGATTGCAAAGATGAAGACGAGGAGAGTCTAATCACAGTTGAAGGAGATGAATCGCTGGAAGAAGGCGAGACGACAACGGCGAATAATGGAACCATAGTCGAGGGCGTGCAAAGAGTCGAGACGAATCGATTGAACGTTAATAACAAAGACGACAACGGGAAAGGCGATGCGGCGATTTTGAAATCATTGTTCGACGGCGAAGGCGGATTACACAGTGCTATGTGTCACGATAAGATTTTGTCAGCTGCAGATAGCGACCGGCGCGCGAAAATTGCCTTTGCAGATAGAATCGCGAGACAAGCGGCGGAGGCGGTGAAACGCTCCGGACGAGGCGAAATGAATGGGCATTCCAACACTCGCGTTCAAGGTCAGCAGCAACAACAGCAACACATCAACGCAACGACCACATCAACTACGACTATACGAACTATTGCCACCAATAATATCAACACGGGCCGTTTCGGAAGCAATAACGCTGGAAGTCGTCGCTTATTCTCTCGCATCCAACAAAGACGCGAAGAAGACGCCGCCATCATCGCCACGAATCAAAACGCCAACGCCAACCAAGATGAAGAAGCCCGCTTCGCGCAAACCCTTCTCAAAGACATCATTCAATTTCTCAAGTCTAGGGGCGGTGAAGCTCCAACCGGACTCGTCGTCGACGCCTTCGCGGATAAAGTCACCGCCGAACGTCGCGTCATCTTTCGCAACTTATTAAAGCAGTGCGCTCGATTGGAACGGAATCCGACGACGAACGATGGAAACAAAGGATTCTCCGCCTGGGTTTTAAAATCAGAGTACGATACGTAACGTACAGTTCAAATTAGCAAGTAGCAGTATACTAGTAGTTTTTAGCATTTAATGTAAAATACGTCTAAGACGCGCGAAATATAGAAGTGACCCGCGAGAGGAGTTCGAGGAGACAGGAGAGAAGTTACAGTTGGCTTTTCAGCTCAAATCAACCTCACAACAAATTAAACATGAACGCGACTACCTCCGCACCTGCACCGCCACACTTCCTCGAAAGCTTTCTCGTCATCCTCGCTTTCTTCCATCTCTCCGAATTTCTCATCGCGTTCGCGTATAACCGTAATCTCCTCAATCGACACTCCTGGCTTTTCAGCGTCCCGTACTGTTCGGCGATGGCTTTGGGATTGTGCGAGTACTTTTTCGTGGATTACGGCGCGATGCTTGGCCAGGAAACGATTGCACGCGTGCATAAAATCGGTATCTTGACGTGCCTCGTTGGCGAAACTATTCGTAAATGGGCCGAAATACACGCCAAACATAACTTCACGCACGTCATTCAAACCGAGAAAAGAGCGACGCATTCGTTGGTCACGGAAGGTCCGTATAAAATTTTTCGACATCCAGGATATTTCGGATGGTTTTTATGGGCACCAGGCACGCAGTTAGTTTTAGGGAACGTGGTGAGTTTTATGGTGTTTGTGGGCGTCAGTTGGCGGTTTTTTTATAAACGGATACCGGTGGAGGAATATTTCTTAGAGCGGATGTTTGGCGAGGAAACGTACACGCGGTATCGCCAAAAGACAAAGACGTGGATTCCCGGAATTCCTTGATTAGTAGTAGTTTAATAGATGTGCGGGTAAAACCTTAGAATGATAAAGAGTAATAGCTAATGTCCTTTTCATCTTACCTATATGCTACGAGCGCGTGCTAAACTAAACTAATTCAATGCCGACACCGTTCCCGTCGTAGTTGTCGTTATCGCCTCCGACGTTTCCTTTTCGACACTTTGAGATTTTACACGCTTTCATCGTTCCTTGCACGTTTTCAAACGCGTCGACGCCAAAGCCGGTGCAATTGTCGATTTTGACATCTAAAGAGTCTATTTGTACACCACCTCGTAATAAGATTCCGTCGCCACCACAATTCGATATCGCGACATTTTTCAGGTGCACTTGACCGCTCTTCGGATCTTCCGACTGATTTCCAAACGCCGAAACGCCGTGGTTTTTGCATTTGTCAATCACCACGTTTTCTGCGTCAATCGAGCCGCCTTCGGTAGCTACACCGCTCCCAGTTTCCGATGTCACCGACACATTTTTTAACTTCAGACTCCCTTTTTCTTTAACAAACACCCCAAAGTTATTCGCCACGGATTTACTCGCGTGCGTAAACTTCACGTTCTCCACGCTCGCGTTTTCAGACGTAACCTCCAACACGCTTTCGTACGGCGTCGACGTTCTCCATTCCACGAAAACATCGTCGCTCAAACCAACCAATTTTACGTTATCCTTGTTCATTAGTATTCGTTCCTTATACGTGCCGCTTTTTATCTCAATCGTCGCCCCGCCTTCCTTCGCGCTCGCGTCGAGCGCTTTCGATATCGTCTCAAATTCGCCTGGATTTGGGCCCACGGTTAAGGATTTCACCCCACACGATGAATTATTTTTGTCGTCGCTCTTCTCATCACCGGGAAACCCGGGAACACCACCAACACCATCAGCAGCGGCGAAAGCAGAATTTTCGCTGTCGTTGCCGCTGCTCGAATACCACGCAATCATCGACAAAGACGACGATACAAAAAGCGATCTTCTTCTTCTTCTTCTGTCGATTGATTTCCCCCCAAAATCATCATCATCATCATCACCAAAGGTTTTGTCCTCCTCATCATTCGCCTCCTTTTCTTCGCGGAGAAGAGACACACTCGCTCGCCGAAAACGCCTTTTCCTCCCCCTCCTCCTTCGAAAAGAAGAAAAAGACAAAGAAGAACGTTCGTTATCTCGAGAGGGGGAGGTTCTCAAAGCAGCGACGACCGCGTTACTAAAGGCGCGCGATGATGACGATGATGACACCATTTCGAATGTCTCTCTTTTTCTGAGCACTTTTTGTGTTTGTTTTTGGTCTGTCTGTTTTTTTTTTTGGAGAAACAAATTTTGATGATTGCGAAATTTTTCTTTTCTTGCAAACGTTTGGTTTTTGCCCCGGAACGTTATGCACGCCGATGGCAAACGTCACCAAACACCCTTGCGCCCACCCGTGGACTCCTGAAAAACTCACCCCGACGCCCGACCCTTCCCCGAACGAGTGCGCGGTCATGATACCAACCACGAGTAACGTTTTCCGTGCATCCGCGCCGACTAAATTCGCAAACGACACGTCTTCGTGCGCGCGTAAAATTTTCTGCAAAAAAGCAATAAAAGTTGCCCGGCAGAACAATCCAAAAACCACCAGACCGGGACCGTGCGGTTGGCCTTCGTGAACCATATCGAATTTGACTATCGGATCCCGATTATAAAGCTGCTCCTTTACGAGCTCTTCCATCAAACTCAAATAGCGATTCATCGTATTGGCACTTCCGAAAGAGTCGTCAATTCCGTCGATTGCGCATTCAACATCTTCAAAACATTGACATTCAATCAAAATCTTCAAAAAGCATTTGGATTGCTCGGGCAAAAGAGGTGACATTCTCCCACGATCGCTTCCGTATGCCTTTACTTTCTCTAGGAACTCCTCCACGAATCCTGAAAGAGACAATTCAAATTCAAAGCTTTCCCTGTTCTCGCCGTAAAAAACGGTGACGGTGTGCGTTTGTTCGTGGTTGACGACGAGCTCTGCACTTTGGACTTTCATCCCCGAAAGAAGTTCCTCTACACATGACCTTTCTTCCTTTTTCCTCTCCTCCTCGTCCCACCTTGGAGGCGAATTTTCCAAGTTCACGCTCTTCATCACCATTGCAAATCGCCATCGATTCTTCTTTGCATATTCGAATAAATCCTTCATGCTTGGCGCGACGTTCTCCTTCGCACTTCCATCTCCTCCATCGTACTCATTCGCGTCTCGGTGTTCTTCTTCTTCTTCTCCTTTTTTTCTTCCTATCTCTTCTTTTTCCTTCTTTTCCGTGCCTGGTGTGACGTTGACCGTCCCTTCTCCTGAACTTGCCGCTTTCCTTCCACCGTCGCTCATGTTGAATTCGCAGCGACAACAAACTCTTTCCCGCGTGCGTTCGCGAGAGAACCTCTCGTCGTCGTTGTATATCCAGCGAGTGATGCGCGCGCGCGCTCTTCTTTTGTGTGTGGTTTTGTTTGTGTGTGTGTTTTTTAACGAGGGAGAGAGAAAGAGAGTTGACTTGTTTTCGAGGCAAAGAAGAAAAAAGGCGTTTCTTCTCCTCAAAAATAAATGGAACCCCCTCACCCCCCCCAAAAGGCTCTTTACGCACGGAACAGAAAAAAAACCAAAAAAAAAATGGTTTTGGAAAAACCTCAAAATTCATCAGTTTTTTGTACTCTGCGTACCAAGAGAGAGAGAGAGAGAGAGAGAGAGAGAGAGAGACGAGCATTTATATTTAAGGATCGCTTTTTTGTGAAAGAGATCTTCTCGTTGGCGCAAGGAGTCTGTCTGTTGTTCTTCCGATGACGACGTCGATGCATCGTTTAGCGGGGGTGTCTTTTTCCTCATCGACTCCTTCAAAGGGAAAAATCGAGAGTAAAATGCAGACGTCAAAGTCGATGATTGCGCGGCGACCGAAAACGATGATACCGTCGGTTTGGAGGAGGACGACGAGCAGCGAAAAGAAACAACGAGAAAGAAGAAGAGGACAGTTACAAATCGCGAACGTCGGCTCCACGTACGGGAGATTCTTCCGGGTGACGACGTTCGGGGAATCCCACGGCGGCGGCGTCGGGTGCGTCGTCGACGGGGTACCGCCAAAGCTGCAAATATCGAGGGAGGATTTACAGTTCGAGCTGGACCGACGTCGACCGGGGCAGTCGAGAATTACGACGCCGAGGAACGAGGAAGATTCGTGCGAGATTTTGAGTGGGGTTGGATTGGACGGCGTGACCCTTGGAACGCCGATTGCGGTGCTCGTGAGGAATAAAGACCACAAGTCGCAAGATTACGGCGAGATCGCGGTGGCGTATAGACCGAGTCACGCGGATGCGACGTACGATATGAAATACGGGGTGAGAGCGATTGCCGGGGGTGGAAGAAGTAGCGCGAGAGAAACTATCGGGAGAGTCGCGGCTGGCGCAATCGCGAAGAAGATTTTGAAGCAAATTGGAAATACGGAAATTTTGGCGTACGTGAGTCAAGTGAAGGACGTGAAAACGAGCGAAGGCGGAGTGGATCACGAAAAGTTTACCATGGAGGACGTGGAGAAGAACATCGTGAGGTGTCCGGACGATTCTGTTGCGGAGAAGATGATCGAGGCGATCGATGAGGTGAGAGTGAAAGGAGATTCGTGCGGCGGGGTGGTGACGTGCATCGTGAGAAATTGCCCGAGAGGTTTAGGCGCGCCGGTGTTTGATAAGTTGGAGGCGGATTTGGCGAAAGCGATGATGTCGTTGCCGGCGACGAAAGGTTTTGAAATCGGGAGTGGGTTTGGAGGCGTGTTAGAGAAGGGGAGCGAACACAACGACCCGTTTTACATGGACGCGGAAAGAGGTTTGCGAACGATGACGAACAAATCGGGCGGTATTCAAGGCGGCATTTCCAACGGCGAGATTATCGAGATGAAGATTGCGTTTAAACCGACATCGACGATTACTCGACCGCAAAACACGGTCAATCGCGACGGTGTGGAAACTGAGTTGAAAGCGAGAGGAAGACACGACCCGTGCGTCGTCCCGAGAGCGGTTCCTATGGTGGAATCCATGGTTGCGTTGGTGTTGATTGACCATTTGATGATGCAATACGCGCAGTGCGATTTGTTAGGGAGAGAGGATTATTCGTTCGTGAGAGACGGGAACATGGCGACTCTATACGACGCGCAGGCGAGAGAAGTTGCGGCGACGCAAGCGAGTAAAGCCGGAATGAGCGCGAAGAAGATGCAAGAAGAGTACGAGGAGAATTAAAATTGAATGAAAAGAAAAATGTAATAGAAAGAAAGATGAATATTAAACGAAAGTATTTTGATTTGTCGTATATATGCTCGTGCATACAACAATGTTATGGTCGTATGTTTCTATCGAGCCCCTTTTCGGTGGCTGTTGTCTCTTCGTATTAATATCGTCGTTTTGTTATCGAATATCTTTTCTAGAACAATGCGAGGACGACCGAAACTAAGATCGCGACAAAGGTTGTCGACTTCGCAAAAGCGCCGCCTGTGGGATCTTCGTCGTCCGAAGTCGTTGAAATGTCCGATTCCATCACGGTTGCGATAGAAAATGAGTCAACGCACGCCGTCGCGATCCCTTCGGTACCGCTGGTGTTTTCTACGACGCATTCGATCAATTCAAACGGCGAATTTTCATCCGCCGCTTTCATGCATGCGATCGTCGCGTTGTTCACATCCGTTAAATTTCTCACAAACGGGATGGCGACTTCAACGCACTCGTCAAAGACTGTCCCGTGTGGTGTTAAAGTCAAAATAGTGCCGATGAAAACCGATCGATTACCGACTTCACCTTCGGTTGCGTTCTTCCCTCTAAATCTTTCCGGTCTTTGCAACTCTTTTACTTCGTCTTCGTCGACCGAGTTGACGCCGACATTTACGTTCGTCTCGTTCGCTCTTAAACTGTTCGGTTTAAAAGTAACTTTAACTTTATTGTTGCCTCGGCTGGGTAACTTGTAATTGTCGTCGTCATCATCATCATCCTTATCCTCGAAAACGTGTTCTTGGCCTCTCACCACCTCTTCCGATCTCCCCTTGTTTCTTAAAAATTTCTTGCACACTTGGGAAGGATCCTCGTTCGCCGCCGTCTTCGTCGCTTCCTCCGCCACGCAGAAGGCCTTGACGACGTACATGCAACCAGGAGTTATCGCGCCAATCGATCTGATCGATTGCACAGATTTACTTGTTTCCGTGCAATTAATGTTGCCGCACGGACACGCGGAATTAATCGTATTCGACTCCCATCCCGCTTCGCAGTCGTACGGACATCCAGTTTCAAAGTCTTTCTTATCTTCCCACTCGTCGTCGTCAATTTCGCGATCAAAGTCGTCGTCTTTGTCGTCGTCGTCTTTCTCCGCACCGAGAGCGGCATCGTCGTCGTCCACGTCTCCGTCCCGATCCAAATCGCCGTCCGCGTACACCGTCGGATCGTGCGCTATTGAAATTTTCTGCCCGCTCGCGCAATGCTGGGAGCACACAAAGTACAGCGTCGCGTTTTCCGCCGGCGTCACCGAGACGTACGATAAAATACCACGGCGACCGAAATCCACTTGAACCTGTTTATAGTGTGTTTGATAACATCATAAGACGAGAAGACGAAGAATATAAAAAATGTCAGCGTTGCTTTTCATCTCAAAGGGCACCCTCTTTAGTAAGCAAACAAAGCATCAAAACTCCTCTCTACATTCTTACCTCGGGCATTGGCACCGCGCCATCCAAGCTGCAGCTCTTGAACGCGTCTACATCTCGAACTCGATACACGTCGTGCCCCTCGTCGCTTTTAAATTCAAACTTGATCGTTTTCGTGGCGTCGTACGCGCCGTAGATTGTCACGTTTTTCTCGGTGTCAATTTTCGCCCACGGAATCACCCCGGGTTTCCTTTTGTCGTCGTCGTCTTTCGCGGACGCGAAGAGCGAACAGAAGCAAAAGAGGAGGAGAAAGGAGACCAATGCGCTGCCGCTGCTGCTGCTGCTGCTGCTGCTGCGTCGTCTTCTCGAGAAGAAGAGCGTTGTCATCGTGATAAAACAAACGCGTGTTGGTAATGTTGCTTGGGTGCCAGATTTGTGAAGTTTTTGCGCTAAATTTGGATTTCTTTGAAAAGTCTGGCGAATAAAAAAAATGAGAAATTTCACTCCTACTCTCTCGCTGCCCATATTATTTCCTCTTCTTCTCTTTCTTCTCTTTCTTCTCCTTCCTTTCCTTCTTCTCTTTCTTCTCTTTCTTCTCTTTCTTGCTTTTCTTTTTATCCCCGATTGTGTCGTCGTTTTCGTCGTCGTTTTCTCGTTCGTCTTCTCCTCCCGGATGAATCTCGTCGCGGCTTTTGCGCTTTTGCGGCGGCGGCGGGACCTCGCGGAGGACCGTTTTGTTGCGATTTTCCTCCTTTTCCTTCTCGGGCGCGTCGAAACCAAACTCTTTTTCAAACTCGGCTCGGATGGCGGCGGACTTTTCTTCCCGTTTCTCCCATCCGCTGGCGTTGTTTTGGAATTGTTTGACGCCTAAGCGTTTGAAGAGGACCACGCCGTGTCGAGTGGCGACGATTTCTTTCTCTCGCTTGGAACAAAGTTCGACGATTTTTTTCTTGGTTTTGTTGTCGGTTTCGCGGTAACACGCTTCGAGGACTCGAGAGCCTCCGGAGGAGACGGCTAAGGCGACGGCGTTGTCGACGAGGAGTTCCGCGATTGCTTTCTTGTGTTTTGCTTTTACCAAACGAGAGTTTAAGATTGCTTCGATGGCGTGGGAGCCAGACGCGTCGCGGGCGGCTTGGAGGAGAGTTTTCGGATCGGTATCGCAGAGAGATTCCAGGAACATGACCGTAGCGTCGGCGGGGTACTTGGCGAGCGTTTGCATCATAGCGGCGCCGAGTACGGAGCATCTCCCGTGAGGTGGGTTCCCGAGGAAGAGGAGCGCGCGCGCGAGTTGCGATTTGCCACCTTTTCGGCTCCCTCCGCCGCCTTCTTCGTTATGAGTACCATCCGCCGCCGTCGCGTTGTTGGCGTTTTTCTTTTCTAACTTGAACGTCACGCCTCTCGCCAAGGCTTTGCAACAATCTTTTTCGTTGGTTTTCAATCGCAAACAGGCGGCTAAAAGTGCCGCGATAACACCGGCTCTGTTTTCGTACAGCAACGTTCCGAACAACGCGGAGAGTTCAGAGACGGCAGAGGCGACAACAGCTGGATCCTTCGAACTTCCTAAAACCGATTGCAACACAAAGTTCGCCACCGGGTGTTTCGATATGGACATTAATTTGTCGCGAAAAAATCTCCGCCAAATCTCCGCTCCTAACGTTCTCGGTGCAACTCGCACGATAACTTCCAGCAAGTGCGACCCGGACCGCGATTGCATGAGTGCTTTCATGTCGTCCGAAGAGAGGTCCGCGAGGAGCTCGCCGTCTGGCGCGTCTTCCGGAGGCGCGCACCCCAACAAACCGGGAATGATCCATTTTAAACTTGCATCGTCTCCTTCTTGACTGAGCAAAATGGCTTGTAAATACGCGCTCGCGCACGGATCATCCGTCATGTCCCATAAAACTTCCTCGACGTTCGCTAATACGTCGTTCGTGTGCGATTCTAGAAGTTCCGGGAAGGCGTTTATTCTATCTTCGTTCTTTTCGTCTCGGTGTTTCTCTCGATTCTTCTTGGACGCGTCGAACTGTTCCGCACTCGTCGCGCCTTTCAGTTTACTCTCTAAATTACCTTGTGGTTTATAATTTTGTTGACCAACTGCTAACGTTTTATCTCTGCCGCCTGGATTGAGCGGCATGTCCTTACCAGCAAAGAGAAAAAACACGCGCCGAGCGACCGGCGAGGCGCGCTGGTCGAACGAGATGTCCGTCGCTCGCGAACTTAAAACGTACGATAAGTTATCTAAACAACTCCTCGGTCCTGCTTCTGGGAGGTTATTCTTTTCTCCATCGTCGCTGTTGTTGTTTCTATTTCTACCCTCGTTCTCGAATCCGTCGTCCACGTCTTCCTTCTCTAAAAGCATCTCCTTAAACTTCAAAACCTCTTGTATGCCTCTTTCTTTCGTCGTCGCGTGATGATGATGAACACTACCCTCACCATCAACCACCAATCTCTTCGAAACTTGCCTGATAACGCTCTCTAAGACTCTCGAACCAAAAATGTTCATCGCCAACGCGTACGTCTTCCATCCTCGACAGGCTTTCCGTAAAAAGAACACCAACGCTTCATCCGTCGCGTGCGCGACCAGTCTCTCGATCAACCGCGAACACCGCGCGTCCATCATCAACTCCACCTCTTTCCCATCCGCGCCTTCCAGCGCGTTGTTTGCTAATATTTCGATCGCTTCGTTTCGTTGCTTGAGCTCCTCTTCTTCTCCATCGTCTCGTCGTTGTTGGATGTTATTCTTTTTGTCGTCTTTGTCGTCAAACTCTCTCAACGCTTTTTCAATCTCCCCGAAATACTCGTTCGTGGCATCGTCCAACTGGTACCTGTTCCCATCCGCGGCGAGTATAGAAATTGGCCCGTTCGATTTGAACTCTTTCGAGCCGAATCGCGCGGGCGCTTCTTCTGTCATCGTATGAGAACTTCTTTGTCTTCTTCTGCTTCTTCTTTAGGCGGCGGCGAAAAAAGGCAAATCCAAACGTGCTCTTCTTACTCTTACTCTTACTCTTAAAACGCTCCGACGAAAACGAGGAAAACGATTCCACGACGACGCGATGGTATACAGTATGAGCGAAACTTTCCCTTCTCTCTTCTTCTCTCGTCGTGAAAGCGCTCCTCTTGAAGAAGAAAGAGATTAATTAAATAAGATTCGTATCTCCCAAACGCAGTATGGACGAGAAAACTCTGGAGAGAGAGAGAGAGAGAGAGAGAAAAAGCGAGAGAAATTTTTTTGTTTTGCCTTTTTTCGCGAAACGTGTTGTCTCTTTTCATTTGCGTCTCTGCGACATATGTCCGTGCGAAAATCTCTCGAATCTCTCTGCTTTCTGTGTTCTTTCTTTTCTTTGGTTTATTGCCACGTCGTTCGTCCCTCACACGCGAGCGACGCAAGAAAAAAAAAACGCGAGACTTTGTGGGCTTTTGTTAAAGTCGACTTTGTTTTCGCATCATCAACCACACGCGGAAAGAGAGAGAGAGAGAGAGAGAGAAACGTAAATAACACTTTTGGTGGTCTCTGCTTTTCGAGCGCGAGAGATGATGACGACGATTTCGACGACGATTTCGACGACGAGACAGTTTTGTCCGTCATCTTCGCGTGGGGGGGGCAAAAAGATTTCGAGAGATTTTATCGTCGAGAATGCACGGCGTCAAAGGCGACTTAATAAACGACGACGAGGCAGAAGAGATGAGATGATAAGGAACCAAGCGGTGGCGGAACCGAGGGAAACGACCGTGTCGTACGACGAAATCGGCTCCGACCCGGCGAAAAGAACCGTCGTCATTCTCGGGTCCGGGTGGGGTGCGGTGTCCTTCGTGAAATCCTTGAAGAAAGATATCCCGTTTGAAGTGATTTTGGTGTCGCCGAGGAATTATTTCTTGTACACGCCGTTATTACCAGGCGTGGCGACGGGCGCGATTGAAACGAGATCGATCGTCGAGTCTATTCGACGTCCAATCGCGGAGAAAGGGTTCAAGTATTACGAAGCGGCGGCGACGGATATCGACGCGAAGAATAAAATCGTCACGTGTCGCAAAGCGAACAACGAGTTTACGTTGAAGTACGATTATTTAATCACCGCGGTTGGGGCGGTGACGAATACGTTTGGCGTGCCTGGAGTGGAAGAGAACTGCTTGTTTTTCAAGGAGATTTCGGATGCCGCGAGGTTTCGAAGTCAAGTGAACGAAAGGTTTGAACGAGCGACGCTGCCGGGGATTTCGAAAGAGGAGATCCAGAATTTGTTGCGGTTTGTGATCATTGGCGCCGGGCCGACGGGCGTCGAATTAGCCGCGGAGTTGTACGATCTGGTGTATCAAGACGTCGCGAAGACGTTTCCGAGACGATTGTTGGAAGATGTTTCGATTAACATCATCGATTTACAGGAGAAAATTTTATCCTCCTACGATCGAGAAATCGCCGATTACGCCACGGACTTTTTCAAACGAGCGAACATCAATTGCATTTTGAACACGCAAGTGAAAGAGGTGAAAAGGAACAGTTTAATCGTGGCAGATAAGAATACCGGCGAAGAGAGGGAAATTCCATGCGGCATGTCCGTGTGGTGTTCGGGAATTAAACTCAACCCGATTTGCGAAAAGATACAAAATAGCTTACCGGAAGGCTCGCAGCCGAACGTTAGATCTTTATCCGCGGACAAAGCCATGCGCGTGAAAGGTTCAGACGGTTCAATTTTCGGTTTAGGCGACTGCGTGACCGTTGAACGTCCGAAATCGATGGCGAAAGCGCAAGAAATATACGCGAAAGCCTGTAAATGCGACGAGGACGGCAACTGCGAACTCCAAATTAACCTCCCGACTGCCATCAAAGCCCTGGAGCAAGGCGGTAAAGATTTCCCGCACTTGAAAGAGATGGCCAAATCTGCCACGCTAAGCATAGATGTATTCAAATCGTACACTCAAAAACGTGACGAGATGACCATGTCTGAATTCATGAAAATGTGCGAAGCGTTGGATAACGAATTGCGCGCTTTCCCGGCTACCGCGCAAGTGGCGAAACAACAAGGAAACTATTTAGCCGAAGTTTTCAATAGCGCCAAAGAAAACGGATTCGAAGCCCTCCAAGACCCGAACATGAGATTCAACTACGAGCACAAAGGTTCGCTGGCGTACATCGGCAAGGACTCCGCCGTCGCCGATATCCCGGGTTTTACCATCTTGAAAGGCTTAGCCGCCGGTTTGGTGTGGAAGTCGTTCGAAACCATCAGTCAAGTGAGCATTAACAATGTCTTTAAAGTCGGCGCGGATATCGTGCGAACGAAAATATTCGGGAGAGACATTTCCAGACTTCTGTGATGATTTCGGATGATACTAAAGAAGAGCAGCAAAGCGTTTTTAAATCTCATCACCACGTACTAATTTTATCACATGTGTCATTTCTTACTCTCTGGACCTTCTTCACTTTTGTTAAGTTTTGATATCTTTTGACACGCGAAAGAACAAAGAGGTTTCGCAGAAGAACACGCATTTCGTGTGCTTGTGTGCGTGAAAGAGAGAGAGAGAGAGAGTATGTTTGTTCCTCCTCCCCCTGCTTCGTCGTCGTCGTCGTCGTCGTCGTCGCGTCTGCATCACCAGCACGGGCGTCACCATCACGGAACGAATCACGAAGGCGGAGCGAAAAACTTGAAACTGAAATTCATCGTTTTGGGGTTTATTTTCACAGTTTCCACGCTCTATGCGGTTCAATACAGATGTTTCGAGGAAGAGGAGTACGAGTATTCGCTGTCGACGAATTTCGGTGAACAGGTGCCGAACGATGCGAACGCGTTCGCGTCGAACTTACCCATATCGGATGAGGATGATTTTGGCGAAAGGGAAGAGGAGGGGGCGACGACGACGACGTCGGGCGGAGAGGAAGACGAAGACGAAGACGACGAGAAGGAACCTATTCGAAGGAGTAGCAGTAGTAGTAATGATGAGAGCGTGAACTATAATTTACCCGGTGCGGACGCGTCTATGCCGTGTGGAGGTCAGCCGAGAGAGATGTTGCCGTTTGAGAGAGAGCGACGGCTGAGGAGGAAGATGTTAGGCGATGCGGGTGAGGATGATGATGAAATTGAGAGCAGGAATATATCAGAAGACCATTTTTATAGAAACGCGTCATCGTCGATGAGGGATAGCGGTAGTAGTGATAGTCACAGCAGCAGCAGCAGTAGCAGTAGAACGGGAAGAAGAAGAAACTTGCTCCATCGCGGCATCGGTTTCACCATGGGTAAAGCCGGATGCGGCAAGGAACTTTACGTCAGAGTCGTCCACGAGAACGATGGTCCCGGAAATATCGTATCCAAGCGCGTTTTTAGTCAAGAGCAAACGCTGAACGAGTGCTTGACGCGAGATCCGACGTTGTGCAGAGAGAAAGACTCGTTGACGGCGGCCAAGAAACTCCCCGGCGTGAGAGGTTTAAAGAAGCTCCCGAAAGTTGGTTTGTCGCCGCTCCTCGGGAAAGGGAAGAAATTCAGCACTTGCGCGATCGTCGGTAACGCCGGTCACTTGATGACGAAACCGTACGGAAAGTACATCGATGCACACGACGTCGTCGTTCGGTTCAACATTTTACCGACTACTGGTTTTGAAAAGCACGTCGGCACGAAAACGACGCTCCGAGTGTTAAACGGTCGCCGCTCCATCGCGCTGTGTTGCCGCGGTAACTTTCCCGAAGGCAAAGCCGGTAACGAAGACACCGGCGTGATGATTTGGTTCCCAGCCGCACAAGGTGAAATCCTCTCCGCGTGCAAAAAGCGTTTTCCGAACAACCCGCGCTTCGCGCTCCCTCTGAAGCTCTCCAAATCCTTAGCCGGCGCTATGAACAAACTCCGAACCGATGCCAGCCGCTTAGGCTTGACTGGTTTCACCCAATGGCGCCAAATGACTTCCGGCGCGCACGCCATCCTCCTCTTCTCGCAACTCTGCGACACCGTCAACGTATATGGGTTTGGATCTTTCCCGGGAAAAGAGAAAGCGCCGGACCAATACGGAGGAAGAAGCGCTCGCGCTCGCTCGGGTACGATTTGGCACGATTGGAGCGGAGAGAAAAACGTCAATAAACTGTTACACGCGGCCGAGGTCATCAACGTTTGCTCCGCGTAATAGTATTAGTATTACTCAGTAGTTTCTTTGTATTCACACGTACGACGGGGCTCCTTCATAAAAAAAACCAACTGACAAGAACTCTGGTTCCCACATTTCATCATCATAAAATTTCAAAGAAGCTTTCTGAGGGCGCCTCAAATTAAGTACAGAGGCCACTGCGTGAGAAAAAGCGCTTCGAGAGAATCTCTTTTTTTGCTCTTTTTCTGAAAATCTCTCTTTTTTCTCTCGCGTTCAGATTGGAAAAACCTCACCAACGCTTCTCACAACAAAACGAAAGCGACGCGCGCGCTGCTTTTGCAAAACATCCCCTTAACTCCCCTTCTGCTCTTCTCACCGTTTTGCGCATCATCGTCATCGCACATACTGCGCGCGCACACACGCACACGTCTCTCTCTCATCTCTCTCTCTTGTACTACAAAAGCAGAGTTCAGAGCGAATTGGTTCGTTGACAAGAAAAGCTCGTTAACCTCGTTTTACCCCCAAAGACGAAAGGGAAAAAATGATGATGTTTGCTTTGTCATCGACGACTTCCTACTGCGCCGGGGCGAAACTGAAGACGACGACGACAAAGAAGAAGCAACAACGAGTCGTCCTTCTCGCCGCAAAAGCCTCCTCTTCTTCTTCGTCTTCTTCGTCCAACGATAAAGACGACGAAAGGGAAGAGGAAAAGGAAAAGGAGGGGTTTGTTCCCCAAAAAGGTGAAAAAAAGGAGGAGCAAAAAAAGGAAGCTGACGAGGATAAAATTTCGTCGTCTACTGAGTTTTCTCAACATCAAAACTATTTGGCGTTTGATTCTCCGGAACTGCGCGTCTTATCCGAACGCATGCGTTTGGTGGAAATTGAAACGATCTTATTGAGAGACGAATACAACAAGATGGTCGTGAAAGCGATGCGAACGCCGAAAGATTTTATCGAATGGAACGAACGGAACGGGTTTAACGAGAAAGGGGAGAGTTTAGCGGAGAAGCAACCGAAGAAGAAACGGTTGGAAACGGAAAACGCGAAGAGCGCAGGCGGCGAGGCGAAGAAGAGGAGAGAAGAGATTGACGAACGCATACGAAAGACGGACGAGTTCTTGAGAGAAAAGATGAACGGGTCGTCTCTTTTACCGGAGGGGTTCCTCCAAAAGATGAGCAAGGTTTTGGGCGACCAGAACAGTTTGTTTTCATCCGTGGAGGAAATTTTCGAGAAACGTTTGGGCGAGGAGCAGTATAAGAAATATTTAGAAGAGAAACAACAAAAAGCAGCCGATGAGAAGAGCAGTATGATTACTAACGTGGCGTTGGTGAACTTGAACTGTGTGGAAGACTTCTCGCCGCTGTTTGTTCTCGTCTTTCACCACGGTCACAACAGCCCGGAACAGGCTGGTATTTATTCTTTGCAAGAAAAAGCGACGCCGGAGGAGTTACCGGTGGATACGATTTTGGCATTCATGACGAAGGAAGATGCGGAGAGGTACGCTAAATTACTCAAGTCATCATTAGGTACGGTACCGATCGTAGAGTCGGTGACGAAGAGCGAGTTGGCGCTGACGTGCAGAGTCGGCGGACATCGCTGCGTAGTTTCTAATAAAGGCTACGAGTTGGCGCCGCCCAAGGAAAGTTTACGCGTGACTGATTGGGAACGATCAAACATGTTGCGATCGGGCGCGTGGAGAGTTGTCGGCGAGGACGACACGTGCACTATTTCCGACGACGATTTGAGTTTAGATTGGAAGACGCAAGGCATGGAATTGATGGCTTCGTATAGAGAAGAAGCGAAGAGAGAGCGATTAGAAAACGCGCGAGAGAGATTAGAACGGTTATATCGTAAAGGAACTTTGGGAAAGAACGAGGAGGATCACACCGACCCGGACGATCACTCCGAGTAAGAAGAAAGAAGCAGAGAGGAGGAAGAGGAGGACGAAACGGACCACGTCTGAACAAGACGACGGTTTTACATTCATTCATTCATTCATAATAATATAAAACTTTGTATTTCAATCGATAATAATAATTAAATCGAAAGCTCTCATCACTTTTAAAATATTTACAACAATTTTAAGCTTTAGTCGCTCGAGAACGAGAGGATCGACCAGAAGCGCGCGCTTTTGTGGCGGGCTTTACTTCTTCCTCTTCGACGACGTTGACGTTACCAGCGTTTTCGTCGTTCTCTTCCTCTTCTTCTTCTTCTTCCTCTTCCTCATCTTCGTCTTCGCTAAAGTCGTCTTCTTCTTCCTCCTCTTCCACCTTGACCTCTTTTTCTTTCTCGACCGACTGTTCCGTCTCGTCTTCAGCTGGAGCAGCATCCGGTGCCACGTCCTCACCTTTACCTCCTCCTTCTTCCTCAACGACGGGCTTCTTCTCTTCGCCTTCTTGCATTTCTGCTTCTTCTTCCTCCTCTTCGCTCTCCGCCCGTATGACTTCGACCTCTTCCTTCCCTTCGGCTCTGGCGGAGACGTTGTACGCTGCCGCCTTCTCGGCGTGCGCTTCGGACATCTTCGCGTCGAACTCGTCGATGAACTGTTTGAACTCGGTCGATTTTGCCACGCGTTTCATCTTGGCAAACATCGACTGGAAGTTCTGCGTCGTCTTGGCGTCGTACAGGCACTCCTCGTACATTTTCCACGACTCGGTGAACTTCTTGAACGCCTTCTCGGAAGTCTTGAGCTGAGAGATGCAAAACGAAATGTCTCGCGCCGGTTTTGCAGAACCCGCTCGCGAGGCTTCCGGGAATCGCTGGACCAATTTGTCCGCCAACGCGTCCGCTTGCTTCTCTTTGTCGATGAATCCACACAATCTGCGCATGATGCGCTCGAACGCTTCCTCGGAAATCTCCACGTCGCTGGAAAGTCTCGAGAGAAGGTCCGGCAACAAGTTGTAGATCGGGTTGCCGTGCTTTTTCGCGAGTTCTGCAAAGAACAAGCGCGCAACAGATGAAACGCGCGGGTCTTCGTCTTCCAAACATCTCGCCATGGCGGAGATGTGACCTTTGACTTTCATCATGTCGTTCAACACGAGATGCGCGAGCACCGTGACGGAGTGCTGGCGAACCTTCGACGACGGATCTCGCAGCGCGTTCCCCCACTCTTTCGTGCCGTACAAGTGCTCCGTCCACGGTTCCAACGCGTTCGGGAATCGAAACGCCAAATCGCCGAGAGCGACGGTAATCGCCGCTCGAGCGTGTACGTCGCGTTCGTCCTTGACGCGCGTGAAGAGCAGCGGCAAGTGCGTCTCGCAAAAGTCCATGTCCAACGCCATCAGTCGAGAAAGCGCCGCAACAGCCGCACCTCTGACGACCGATGCGCCTTTCACAACTTTTTCGTTCCCGCAAAGTTGGACGACAATCGGCGCGTACGCAGCGATGACGCCACCGAAACACTTCTTGTTTTTCTTTGAGAAACCGAGAAGTTCTTTCTCGGCGTCCTCTCTCGCGTTATCCAACGCGGCATCTTCAGCCACCGCACCTTGGCCAAGTGCCGCTGCTAACGCCGCTTCTTCCCCGGTAGCACCGTTGTCGTCTTTTTGCGCCGCAGATTCTGCCGCCGCGTGAGCAACGCGGTCTCTCCCGATTCGCGCTCTGCGTACGGTACGCGCGAGACGTTCGCAAAACACCAAGTGGCGCACGGCACATTCGCCAAGCATCCAAAGAAAGCGGGACAAAGCCGTTCCAGAAACGTTCGAGAAGTCGTTGACGTTTGCTTCCTCTTCTTCTCCGCCGTCTTTTTCTGCTCCTTCCTCCGTGGCTTCTTTGTTGTTGTCGTCGCTATTAGTCGTCGTCGATTTCGCGCCAAACGTCGCCGTGGCGTGACTCTTAATCAGCTTCGCGCACCACGATTCTGGATCCGGATGCAACGCGTACACCGCCAACAAAGCTTGCTCAGCGCACGGGAACCAAGCTTTACCACTCAAAGGCGATTTTGGGTGTAACACTCTCGCGAGACCGACGAACACTTCCGAGTCTAACGAAAATGGCCCCGCTTCCGTCGGGCGGCACTGCGCCAACGCCGCGCACGCCGAACGCGCCAAAATGGCCGCACCGCGACCGCTGTGTATCTTCTCTGTACCAGCAGCAAGCATGGCGTCCGATAAACACTGCGAGACGACGTCGGCGCGTTTGGCAAGAATCTGTGCGGACGTCTCGTTGGCGTCGTCTTTGCACATGCGCAAAGCGTCCAACGCGGCTGCTCTTCGCGTGAAATTTTTCTCCGTATCCGCGGCATCGACCCACAACGCTTGCACGATTGCACCATCTGGCGATAATCGTCCATCTCTGGCCAACTCGCGAAGGCATACTTCGAGCGAGGCCAGCTCACCGAGATTGGACGTGCCCGCCAAATTCGCCAACTTCACCGCGGCGAATCGCGGTCCTTGGCCTTGCCCGTCCGAGGCGAGGTAAAGTTCATCGCACGCCTCAATCGCCGCTTGCTTTACATGCGGTTCTTGAGAAAACACGAGCTTCAAAACAGATCTCGCTGCAGCCGTCGAGTTGTCGACGCCGAACTGCTTGAGCTTGACCAAGACGCGCGCGGCTTCGACGCAATCCGTCGCCGTCGTCGAGGACAACAAAGCGACAAAAATTGGTACGGACTGCGCGAGTTGCATGGAAAACCCGAGCGCTGTTTTCAAAGCAGCTACCATAGTTCTCACGGCTTCGATACCACCAGCGAGGTGTTCGTCTTCCTCCTGTGGTTGTTGCGGGGGAACTTTCTCGGCTGGCGTTTTCGCCGGCGCGGCGTCTTCTTCGGCTTCCTCTTTCTCCTCTTCTTCCCCATCCGTGCCTTTCGCATCAACGTTCTCTGAATCACCGACGTTTCCTTCCTCCTCCTCGGCTTCTTCATCGATACCTTCCAAACGTTCCGGGGTTTTCTTTTCTTCGCCTTCTTCTTCTTCTTCCGGTTCCGGCGTCGGTTCCATCTCCTTCAACTTGGCCTCGTACTCGCGCAAACTTTCCGCGAACGCCGCCGTCGGTAGCTCTGGCGCGAACGGGTTAAATCCTAACATTGTACCGATCAAATTCATCGCCGCTTTTCGCACCAAACCACCTTTATCGTTCAATCTCCCGATGGCCAAATCGCACACGATTAACCAGTGCGATAACGGAATCGCTTTTTGCTCAGCCATTTGCGCCCACGTGTTCAAAACTCTCGCTCGAGTAAACGCGGAAACGTCGTGCACGCGCTCCACCAACGCGTCCAAAAAGCCTTGTTTCGCTCGCAATAGCGGCGCGGACTGGTCCACCACCGTCGCTTCGTTCACCGCGCCGACATCTTTGTGCGCGATTAACAACCGTCCCAAAACGGACACCACCGCCGATCGCAGCGAATACGCGTCACCGTCCAAATGCGCAATCAACAAAGACACGTTCCGCATCGTCGTCTTTGGCATGCGATTAGCAATCTCTTCCAAAAAGTTCCCGACATTTCTCACCCCAGCCGCATCGGTCAACTGCCTTCTCTTGTATTCTCTCGGATCGACGCCGCCAACTTCTCTCAATATCGCCGCCGCCAAGCGCGCGTCGTCGTATCGATCCGCCGCATCTCCGCACAAATCCGCAATCGCCGTGGATAAATGGTCGTGCTTATTCAAGACGTGCAACAGCGCAGTCACGACGTCGTCCAACGCCCCCCATTTACTGGCAACAGACCCGACCATTTGAAACGTCGCGCGTTTCGTCACCTTTGATTTCAACGACGTTGGATTCTCCAAACTCGCCGTCGCGACGTTAATAAACAGCCGACAAAACGCCTGGTCCACCGGTTTCGGTCTGAACACGCGATACAAGTCCACGTCCAGCGCACCGTTCATGACGTGCGTCGCGCGTTCTCGTTGCTCGTCCCACTTCCACTCGACCAGCTGCCCTTTCTTCGCCAAGTTGGACTTCTTCTTCGCGCCGCCAACTTGCTTCTCCACGATCCCCATCGCTTGCGTCTCCTTCGCCTCTTCTTCGCTCGTGTGCATAACTTCCGCGAGAAAAAATGAGTACGCTTTCAAAGCCGACCTCAACGGTGCCATCTCTTCCTCTTCCTCGTCGCTCGCGTTCCCGACGCACAAGGCGGTTATCGAGGCGCTCAAAACGCTCAAATTCGCGCACAAACTGTCCAACACGCGCACGCGCGACATCGTCGGTAAACTTCGAAAGTTTTGCACCAAATGGTACACGTCTTCGAATATTTCCTGGTCGAGCACGCGCGTGGGTTCGTTTTCGGTCAGTTCGAAGCACACGCGTTCGACGGATTCGTTGGACTCGTCCAACTCGAAATCTCTCTCGCGCTCGATGCGATACGAATTTTCTCTTCTTCCGTTATTCTTTTTACCTTCTTCTCCGAAAAATTCATCGTCCTTCTCCAACAAGGAAGCGAAGTTTGTCGGTACTTCAAACTCTCCCTTCATCGTCGTCGTCGCCTTCTTTTCGCAATAATAACGCGTGAGCGTGTGTTTTAAGTGTGTGTGTCTTTCCTCTTCTGCGAGAAAGAAAGACTCTCGCAAAGTGTTTTGAAGAGTTTTGTTTTTTTTTTTCTTTCCCCTTCTTCACTTTTGAAGAATTTAGGGTTTGGTTTGAATGTTTTTGAATCAAATTCTCGGGAACAAATTCTTCATTTCCCACCATCATAAAAAGAGAGAGAACACATCATCGGACGCGAAGATGGTCGCGACGAAGAAGAAGAAGCAACAGGTGAATTACAAAGAAGACTCCTCTGAAGAAGAAGATGAAGAGAGTGATTCAGAAGACGACGTCCCGTTGGCCGCGCTGAAGAGTAAAAAACCAGCAGCAAAAACAGCAGCGGTAAAGAAAAAAGCAACACCACCTGCAAAGAAGAAAACAGCAGCAAAGAAGAAAACTCCGGCGAAGAAGAAGAAAGCGCCCGTGAAGAAGAAGAAGAAGACAAAACCGACGACAGAGACGGCGTCGAAGAAAAAGTACGAATTCGCGGGCCAAAAACGGGACCCTCCGGACGAGGAAGATTCTTTGAGGAAGTTTTACGTCTCTTTGCGCGCGCAACGGCCGGATTCGATCATGGCGGAGGTGTGGTTGATGGAACACGGTTTGTTGGAAGACGCGAAAGCGCACGAGAAGGCGCACAAGGCGTTTATGAAACGGAAGACGGCGCCGAACACGAAGAGTTCGATCGCGGGGGTCGTACAACCGAGACGGTATTTGGACGAGATTGAAAACAAAAATGGAGCTTTGGGAGGAGGAGGAAAAGGAGGAGAGGCGAAGAGCGAGGTGAAAAAAGAGACGCCTTCCGCGCGGAAGCCCACGCCGCCGGCGTCCGCAAAGAAACCAAACGAATCATCGGCGATGAAAAAGAAACCTAAAGTAGAAGACCAAAACGAGGAAAGTTCGGACGACGACGTGCCGTTGGCCAAGTTAGCCGCCGCCCAAAAGGCGTAAATGTGAATAGAGAGAGAGTTATTACGAAGATTTTGTGTTGTTGTGAGAAAAAAACGCTTCCCTTTTGGATATCTTACACGTCACATTAATCCAGAACGCCGAGACATATACACATACAAATATCAACGACAGCACACAGTATAACGCAAGAATACTACTCGCAAGAAGAACGACTCAAAAATGGGGAAGTCAGAAGTATATCTCACCTCTTTCGACGTCTCCCCGGTGGAGTATTTCGACCTGATGCTCGACACCGTCGTACAACAAGAGATACACACCTCGAAGGACGGCCTGAACATGTCCGTCTGGCGCGCGTCGGACGGACCACTCCTAGGCGTCCCAAATGGCACATCTCGAGTCGTTTTCAGCGAACCTGATTTGAAAGTGCCAAAGTTTTTGAAGAAGTGGGTGCAGAAAGCGCAGAGTTACAACGAGTATTCGGATTTTTATCCTCCCAAGTTGGGGGGCGACGGTGATGACGGTGAAGATGGTGGAAAAGGAGCGAATCGAGCGAGAACAACGAGCAAGCGCGAATGTGTGGTCGTCCCACACGTCGGTGCAAACCGGATGACGATGACGTTTACGGAGTACTACACGGAGCACGAGGAATCGACCGCGCGAAATCCGAAATGTTTAGTTCGCTCGGAAGTTTTCGTGGAAGTGAGAGCGCCACTCATCGGCAGCAAGATGGAACAGTGGATACTGAACACGAGTCGAGAAAAAGTGGAAGAACGCGACGCGTTCGTGAGACGGATGTTAGAGAAGAGTAAAGAGAAGAGAGGGAAGAGTAAGGGTTTGGAGAAGAGAGGGAAGAATGAAAAGTGGCGGAGAAAGTTTTATAGCAGTCAATGGTTTGAGGAAGATTCGGCGTTGGAGGAATCCGAATCCGCGTCGGTAGAGGAGTCGCGGATAACGAGCGGGAGTAATGATAATAGTGAAGTAAAACTGGAGAGTTTAGAATCGTTTCCGATAAAACCGAGGACGAAAGGATTGCGACGGGTGTTTTCGGCGCGCGATTTAGCATTTTAGTACAGAGCACGTAAAGACTATTGTGAGACGTATTGTTGTAAGGACTTTTACTTTCGCGGGCAAATCTATTTATACTTCACAACCGATTCGCAAAATAATTTTTGCGCGTGGTTACGAGCGAACTAGGATTCCTATCATACATCACTACTTCTATGCAAAGAGCTATATACTATGACGCGAGAGTCACTCCATATCGATATCTCCTCCAAAGTTATCCATCCAATTCGTATACTTGGACTCGACGACGTTCAAGAGCACATTGGTCTTCTCCACCACGTTCGCTTTGCGCTCCTTCGCGGTGGCGTTACCACCGGCTAATACGGGTAATTCGCCGTACCATTGCGCGACGGAGAGACCGGAGAGACAGTAACACGTGTGATAAAAATCAGCCGATTTACCAGGTTTATCCCTCAAACCGCCTTTTTCGCTTTGACAACATCCCAAAATCCATCCTTGCAACGCTCTGGCGTTGAACGATAAACGGGTGCGAGCGAGTGGTTTCTTTTGAATCTTTGCATCGTCGTCGTTGTTTACCTCGATCGTCAAACTGTTTTCTTCTTTCAAGTTACACATCTCTGCCGCGGTATCGCGCAATGTTCCAAGAAACAGACATTCATCATCATCACGCGTGGAAGTACCAATCGCATCACCAGCAGCGTCCATCCCATCTTCGTCCCGATTACTCGCGATGGGTGGAACACTCGTCAAATCTTCCATCGTTCTCTCTTCGAACAACAACTGCTTGGACTCCTTTCCACCTCGAACCATCTCTAAGAGAGGGAAACTTGCACCTATCCAAAACGAATAACACCCGTCGCACAATTTATTCGTCCTTCCGTTAAAGCCACCTTCCACGCCGCACTGTCGATGTACCAACCACTCCTCGAATGCGTCCAAATCCACGCCAATCTTATACTCACTCTGCTTTATCTTCTTCTTATTATTCTTCGCCGTCGTTTCATTCTTCTTTTTCTCAACCACCATATCACACAATACCAAGGTCGCAATCCCACAATACGCGTACCCACCGTGCGCTTCCGCTCCAGGTTCACCGGCAAACCCACCCTCGTGCGTCTGACACTCGGCCACGTAATTCGCCACCCCTCTCGTCAACTCTTCATCCAACACTTTACACAAATGCGCCACCGCAAGCGCACAATACGAGCCTCGCACGTCGCTCTCCCCATCCACGTGCATCGCAAAGCTTCCCACCACAACATCTTCCCCATCTTCTTTTCGCGTCGTCGTCGTCACCGTCTTCAACCGCATCAACCACGCTCGCAGTTTCCCTACGTCCACGACCGCCATCGCCTCTTTCGTTCCGATCGTCACCAACGCGCTCATCGCCGCGTACGTCGGCGCTAAATGCGCTAACTGTCCTGGTCCACCTCCAAACCCACCGGACTCGTGCTGGCACGATGCTAAAAACTCCACGACGTCTGCTCGTAAATCTTCCTCCAAATCGAGCTCGCCGAGAACACCTAACGAGTGCACCAACCAATACACAATCCACGTTCGAGAACTGTTCAAAGAGACGTACGTGGGGTGTAATTCGCGCACGTTTCGCAAGCAATACTCCACGTGCTTCGTTCGCTCCAAGTTGAATGTGCGTTTCGTTCTTGAAGAGGAGGTCGTAGGGGAGGTTCGACGAGCCCCGCAGACGTCTTCTTCTTCATCATTTTTCAAATACATCTCCCGAACAGTTTCTTCCAATTCGGTTTGCAAGACGGTCGTTTCCGAGTCTTTAATAACGCTGTTGCTTATGTATTCATCATCAAAAGAAGCAAAAGTCGCAGCAGCAGCAGTAGGCGCGCACATGAACATGTTGTGCACTTCGTCTTCTTCTTCTTCTTCTTCTTCTTTCCTCCTCATCCTTTCGCGAGTGTACTTTTTGTGCAGAGGAAAAGGAGAGAGTGTGAAGTGCAAACAGAAGAAATAAACGTTCTCGCGAACTCAGTGCTACCGGTACTGGTGCGTACAAAATACAAAAAGGAGAGAGTGTGAAGTTCTGAGCAGAAATATTAAATGTTCGCGATTGATTGAGTTCGCCAAAGCTACTACCGGTACTGGTACGTACAAAATACACACACAACTCATAATACACGCTACGCTCTCTGTCTCGAGCGCTACTCTAATTTTTTCAAAACTTCTCGAAGAACTTCTTAAAGTATTCCACGCTTACAAACCGGACGACGTTCAGCGGCACCTGTCTGGCAGTGGTCGGGACCAAGCCTTTATAGAGCGCGCCGACGCCTTCGCTTCGGACGGTTTTAATCAAACAATCGAACGTCCCGGCGTACGGCATCTTGCCGGTTTTCTCGTCCGCTTTCATGCTCATCAATCTCGATTTGGCTAAATCTATCGGGTTCGAGGTCAACGCGGCGACGACGCCGGCGGCGAAACTTGCCATCGTTTGCGTGACTAATCCGTTTCCTAAACTCGGCGCGACTTCTAAAATCGTGTTTTTACTCTTGTCGTATACGGCCATTTGCGAAGCGGTCACGATCATCGCTCGGTTCACGGTCGGCCCGGAGCCTCTCCAAAGCGCGAACACGCCTTCATCTTTCGCAACTCTAAACATTGCGTTCAAACCGTTCGTGTAGTTTCTCCTCAAATGTTCCGGCAACCTCCCGTCCGCTTGCATTCTTACCATCGCCAAATCCGCCGGGTTCCCGACGACCGCGCCCATCGCTCCGGCGCCGATGCCGCACGCCACGAACTGATAAAACGGTAAACTCTCGTCCTCTTTTACGTTATCCCCCCCGTTGTTGTATTTCCTCATCGTCGCTTTCAAAACGTCGTACGTGCCAAACTTGGTCCCTATAAATGTCGCCTGCCTTAACAAAGACGCGGAGAGACCTTTATACAAGCCGAAAGCGCCTTCTTTGCCCAACACCATAGCGCCGGTTCTCAACATTCCCGGTGGCTTAACATTACTACTACTACTAGAACTACTACTACTCGATCCTAACGCTGAGGACGCGCACTCCCCGTACAGCTGCATCCGAACCTTCACCAAATCGATCGGGTGTGTCACCGCGCCCGAGGCCATCGCCCCGAGCGACCCGCTCGCGAATCCTTTCCACACCGCCGCTTGTTGTTGTTGTTGTTGTTGTTGTTGTTGTTGTGGGTGATGATTATTTTTCCCATCATCATCATCCTCTTCTCCACCACCCTTTTTGCTCTTTGTCTTCTTCATGATGATACAAATAACAGTAATAAAAGAATAAAACGATAAATACTACTACTACTACTGATAAGAACAACAACAAACAGACGCGTCTCTCTCTCTCTGTCCTCTCGCTTTAATCAAGGTATTACATGAATGAGGAGCGGACGATGTTTTAACAAAAGATATCCAAAACAAGGGGCTTAAAACGACTACAAAACCCTAAACAGCTCGGCCGCGAAAAACTTCAGTCTTTTTTCTTTCGTCCGTGACTTCGAAGGGTTCCACGAAGGGAAAAGTCAAAGCGAGAACTCATCCCAAAGCCTTCCCTCGAAGTCCCTTGTCAATCTTTCTACGATTGAAAGAGAAAAAGGAAGAGAGATCAAAACGTTTTGATCGTTCTCGTTAAGAAAAAGGCTTTGGGTTCATCGAACTTTGTGCTCTTCGTTATATAAATCGACGACTGGAAAATGATCATCCAAATGTGTTTTATGAAAGAAGGTTATATCAGGCATTTAAAGTTGTACCCGTGCGAGCGCGTAAACAAACGTGACGTCGTAAAAACGGGATATACCACGGAAAGGATGGTGGAGGTTCTCCCACCTTTACACGTGAAGTAAAGCGAATTAAGTAAACATTCGTACATTATTATCGATGAGGGCATACCGGACAAGAACCGGACAAGTATTGCCCAAGAATTGAAATTGAAGAATCCTCAAAACTCACATGGGACTCACTAGGGCAACGAACGCTACACGCGCGCGACCCGAAGACACACCGCCGAGAAAGAATTGAGAACGTTTTCTGTTATTTTGTCAGCGTTCATTCTAGGTCACAGCTGGTGGTTATTTTTAAAAGTCACCGGTTGTGTTTTAAAAGTCGTGAGAGGGTCCGCGAGAGCTATTTTAAACGACGGCAAAGTCACGGCGCGCTGAGTGTCGATGCGCCGCTGTCGGGCCGCCCCTTTTACGCGTAGTGCGGATGTTGTCGTCTTCTCCGCATCTATACCTCGTGGATAGCTTTCCTATTTCTGGGAGAGGGTCTCCTCGGGTTTAGATCAAGCACGACTGGTAAATCCTTGAGCGAGTTTTCATGTTTGCGCGGAGAGATTGCATCTCTCGGCGCGAGCGGAGTTTCTTCGTTCGTAGGTGGATATTCGCGCGGCGTGTTTTCTGAAAGTCAACACGTCGAGCTCTTGAGAGCGCCTAATCGACTGCTCAAATCTGGCGAAGCGATTATCGAGGATATGTTGTTGATATAAAGTTTTATCATCCGATCAATTCAAAGCAGTACAGTGTACACAAAAACTTTGGAGAGCGCTTTCGCCGTTTGGGCGGTTGATCCTTATCACTCATAGTTAGATCTCCGTATTGCTCTCGAACGAAGTGCACACAAACAAGTCTTGCCGGATCAGCGTGTGTGTTCTTCAATCAAAAGCGAAGTTTTAACTACAAACAAGAATTATACAGAATTATAATGAACCAGATTTGTACTTTTTGCGAATGAATGATAGATATGATGTGTGATACTATGAGTATGATATACAGTTGTAATAAACAATAAAACGATCGATGATATATCCGAATCTTTATCACAAGCATACACGCGCGCTTATCTCGTATCAGTTACTAATTTTCGTGTTGCTTTCATCTGCTCTTAGCAAAGACGAACGTTGATGCCCTCGAACATTCCACAATAACGCGTCTTTCATCGCCCGAAACCAATCCATATTCTCGCTCGTCCGACACACGCTCGGGATCGGATACTGCGCGCACCTAATAACTAACGTCTCTCCTCTTTTCAATTCCGCGTGATTCTTTCCGTCAAAGGCAGCCCACGGCGCCGCTCGCGCGTCTTCGGGCACTCGCACCGTCAACACCACCGAATCTGGCAAAACGAGCGGACGAAACGAGAGACTATGCGGACAGACTGGCGTAAAACACATGGCAGAGACGCCGGGGTGGACCATAGACCCACCCGCGGCGAGACCATACGCCGTCGAGCCTGTTGGTGTGGATACGATGATACCGTCAGCGAAAACTTTCGTCGCCTCCGGTCCTACCCTCAATCCTAACCTGTTATAGGAATAAC